ATGGAAAATGGTGACTCCATGCGCTCTGCCATTAAACAGATCGCGTCTGGTCGATTTGGTGTCACGTCAAACTACCTGGCGGACTCTGACGAGCTTCAGATCAAGATGGCTCAAGGCGCAAAGCCTGGCGAAGGAGGTGAGTTGCCGGGCCACAAGGTCTCCGAGCCAATTGCCCGCACTCGACATTCTACTCCCGGCGTGGGTCTCATATCTCCGCCTCCCCACCACGATATCTACTCAATCGAGGATCTCAAGCAATTGATTTACGACCTCAAGTGTTCCAACCCTCGAGCTAGAGTATCCGTCAAGCTCGTGTCTGAGGTCGGCGTCGGTATTGTCGCGGCAGGTGTCGCAAAAGCCAAGGCTGACCACATTTTGATCTCTGGTCATGACGGTGGTACTGGCGCCTCAAGATGGACTGGTATCAAATATGCCGGTCTTCCATGGGAACTCGGTCTTGCTGAGACCCACCAAACGTTGGTACTGAATGATCTCCGAGGTCGTGTCATTGTACAAACCGACGGCCAGATCCGAACTGGTCGCGATGTTGCGATTGCCTGCCTGCTGGGTGCTGAAGAATGGGGCTTCGCCACGACGCCTTTGATTGCCATGGGCTGTATTATGATGCGCAAGTGCCAGTACGGCCAATTGCCCCTCCCACTTGATTTTGGAACGTGCTAACAGATATATGTAGTTTGAATACCTGTCCCGTTGGTATTGCTACGCAGGACCCTGTCCTACGCAAGAAATTCCAAGGTACCCCGGAGCACGTCATCAATTTCTTCTATTATATCGCGAACGAACTGCGTGCAATCATGGCTCAACTTGGGTTGAGGACGGTCAATGAGATGGTCGGGCGTGCAGAGCTCCTGAAGGTGCGCGAGGATCTCCGTACGGACAAAACCCAGAATATTGATCTCTCGCTTATTCTCACGCCGGCGCACTCTATCCGGCCCGGCGTTGCGACTTACAACGTCCGAAAGCAAGATCACAAATTGCACACCCGCTTGGACAACAAGCTGATCTCAGAATCCGAGCTTGCTCTGGAGAAGGGATTGCCCTGTCGTATCGAGACAGACATTGTCAACACCGACCGTGCATTGGGCGCCACATTGTCATATCAAATCAGCAAACGCTATGGCGAAACCGGTCTCCCTCAGGACACCATCCACGTTAACCTCCGAGGCTCCGCTGGTCAATCATTCGGTGCTTACCTCGCGCCAGGTGTTACTCTCGAATTAGAAGGCGACGCCAATGACTACGTTGGTAAGGGCTTGTCCGGCGGTCGTCTGATTATCTACCCTCCTCGTAGTGCTGTTTTCAAAGCCGAGGAGAACATCCTGATCGGAAACGTCTGCCTCTATGGTGCCACAAGCGGTACATGCTACTTCAGAGGTGTCGCTGCTGAGCGCTTCGCAGTACGAAACTCCGGCGCCAATGCGGTCGTCGAAGGTGTTGGTGACCACGGTTGTGAGTATATGACCGGTGGCCGCGTTGTTATCCTCGGTGGTACTGGTCGCAACTTCGCAGCTGGAATGTCGGGCGGAATCGCCTATGTTCTCGATATGAACCAAGACTTCCACTCCAAGATCAATATGGAAATGGTGGAAGTCTCTGGCGTCGAAACGCCAGAGGAGATTGCGTTCCTACGAGGTATGATTGAGGACCATCACCACTATACTGGATCGGAATTGGCAGCTCGTATCCTGCTCGAATTTAATCGTGCCCTGCCACGCTTCGTCAAAATCTTGCCCACTGATTACAAGAGGGTGTTGGCGGAGCGGGCCAAGAAAGCGGAGGAGGCAAAGAAAGCAGAATATCCTCTGCCAATATTACCAGGCAACCCTGTCCGCAACCTTCATCAAGAACAGCGCGATATCGCTGCAGAGAAAGAGGCCAAGCAGAAGAAGGCGAGCATGCTCGATATCGAGGAAGGTGTTAATGGTGATGCAGATCAGGCCAAGCACAAGGCTGCTTTGGTTCTTGACAAGACTCGCGGTTTTATGAAGTATGCTCGTCGGAGCGAAAAATACCGCAACCCGAAGACTCGGGTCAAGGACTGGGCCGAGCTCTCTTCACGTCTGAACGAGGACGAACTGAAATACCAATCCGCTCGATGCATGGACTGTGGCGTCCCGTTCTGCCAGTCAGACACTGGATGCCCCATCTCCAACATCATCCCGAAATGGAACGAACTGGTATTCGCTTCGCAGTGGAAGGATGCTCTCAATCGCCTGTTGATGACCAACAATTTCCCCGAGTTCACTGGGCGTGTCTGCCCCGCTCCTTGTGAGGGAGCTTGCGTCTTGGGTATTAACGAAGACCCGGTGGGCATCAAGTCCATTGAATGCGCCATCATCGACAAAGGATTCGAGATGGGTTGGATGGTGCCTAACCCCCCCACAGAACGAACCGGCAAGAAGGTTGCTATCATTGGGTCTGGCCCAGCAGGTCTCGCCGCAGCTGACCAACTAAACCGTGTCGGGCATCTTGTCACGGTTTATGAGAAGTCCGACCGTGCTGGTGGCTTGTTGATGTACGGCATCCCGAACATGAAACTCGACAAGCGAATTGTCCAACGACGAGTTGATCTCATGGCTGACGAGGGCGTTAAATTCGAGACAGGGGTAATGGTTGGTCCGGGCGAGAAGGTCACCCTTGAATCGCTGCGTCAGAGCAATGATGCGGTTGTGATCTCTACCGGGGCGCAAGTTCCTCGCGACCTCAAGATCAAAAACCGAGAAGCCGAAGGTATCCATTTTGCAATGGAATTCTTGCACGCAAACACAAAGTCCTTGCTTGACTCGCAGTTGGGTGATGGTCACTACATCAGCGCCAAAGACAAGCACGTTATTGTCATCGGTGGTGGTGATACAGGCAATGACTGTATCGGCACGTCCCTCCGCCACGGAGCCAAATCCATTACGAATTTCGAGCTCTTGCCCCAGCCTCCACCAGAACGTGCTCGCGACAACCCATGGCCTCAATGGCCAAGAATCTACCGTGTGGACTACGGTCATACCGAAGTCAAGCAACACTACGGCAAAGATCCTCGTGAATACTGTGTGATGACGAAAGATTTCGTGGTCGAGGACGGACGCGTAGTTGGCATTAACACCACCCGTGTGGACTGGACAAAGAGTGCAACTGGTGGCTGGGACATGAAACCCAGAGAGGGAAGCGAGGAATATTTCCCAGCGGATCTGGTGCTCCTGTCGATGGGTTTCCTCGGTCCCGACGACCGTCTCTTCGAAGGCCAAGTGGAGCTTGATCCACGCAAGAACATCAAGACACCCAAGAACATGTACAACACCAACCTTCCGGGTGTGTTTGCCGCGGGTGACTGCCGACGCGGCCAGTCTCTCATTGTATGGGGTATCAATGAGGGCCGACAATGTGCTCGACAAGTGGACAGCTTCCTCATGGGCACAGGATCCATCCTTCCCGTCACTGGTGGCATTGTTCAACGAGCCCAGCATGACGCCGTCCCCACTCCCCAAGAGATGAAGGCTCACAAGCACGGCGACATGGCGCAGGCCGCCGAAAACTATAAGCGAGGTCCCGAAATAAAAGTCGCTGCATGATTTCTCTGATGATCAACCGACGTTAATGGTTGCGTATGACACCATGATGCACCAAGTGAACACTAAAAGTGACATGGGGCGGCTTTTCTATCTTTCTTTCACGATTTGGCATGGCGAGCGTAATCAGCTAGTATGCGAGATACCCTGATGAGCGCTTTTCGGAGCATGAGACGCGAGATGAGATGACCGATGGAATCTGCAACGGGTCATGCCTTTTGGTTCCTATGTTTCTTTGATGTGCGAGGCATTTTGACGCTACGAGGGTGCAGACATGTATGTTCCCTTCCCGCAATTTTGGATTTTTGAGGGGGAAAGTACGTCAGGGCGTAAATGAAATGTTGAATGTTTGTGCGCATTCGAAAGAGATCGAAAAGGAGTGCTGCAGACTGCCAATGGAAATGTATCAATATCAGCCACAGGTAGATAGCAGAACAAAATACATAACTGAATAGTGTCCTTCCCTTCAATTGCTGTGCTTGGTTGTGACGCCCACGAGACTTTGGGCCCTTCTAGGTCGGCGAGCCAGATTATCCTAGAGTTTTGACGACATGTTCGGGTATCTCACCGAGCCGTCAGGGTCAATCCAGAGACGGCCTCCCTGCAAATGAAAATACGACATGCCTTCCCTCAAATCGATTGACATGAGTGAGAAAATAAGAGTGGCGCTATCCATAGTTAAAGTGATTCTCGCGATGTCTTATTGGTGTCTGCGCTGCGTTAACATCATAAGGTTATATTGGCGCCAACTCTTAATATTCGTGCTAACAAAATATCTCAACCATGTCTCTTTATTTACTCGGCCTCGTCCACATCATTTGTTTTGGGGGGACATTTTTCGCTCGCAGCAACACCAAAGTCAAATCTTACACTTTGCCACAAGCAGAAGTCTGCTGGGCTGAGTTTTATCGGTCAATGGTGGATAAAATATAACAAACTAAAGATTCAATCGCGACGCGTTCTTCAATCTCCAACTAGCACATGTTGCATCGCGGCACAAAGAAGGCCCGAACTACAGTTACAGTAAAGGAAACCATCAATCTGGGAGAGAAATTCTATGCTCAAAACGACCTGTCAACTACTCCAACCACGTAGGCGTCGACGCGTCTCACACCACTCAGGACACACACCTGAATCTCAATCTAGAATCACTTCAGTCCGCTACAATCGATATTGCTCACAATGTTCCTGACATGTTCACTCCCGCTCTTACCTCCCCCACCAGCGTCACTGCTCCCGCCTCTCACCACTTCATTCTCATCATCCGAAACCTCGTCGTCACCATCCTACCAGCATCAATCTCTTCACCAGCATCCCTCGTCCTCTCGCCGTCCCAAACCCCACCATGCAAACATCAACAACAGGAATAACACGCTCCTCGCCCTTTCTTCTGATGAACGAATCATCTCCCAGCGGAAAATGGCCATCGCTATGTATGGCTATAGTTGGCTTAAGCCAGCTGGGTGTGCCAAGACGATGCTGGGGAGACGGGAAGAAGAGGTTGAGAGGGAGGAAGTCGAAAGGCAACTGAGAGAGGTAGAACTCCAGGAAAGGTTGGCGCTGGAGACCGAGGAGCAGGAAAGACTGGCGAGGCTCAACGAGATGGGAGAGGGTGAGATCGAGGAAGCGGAGCGGGATCTGGATGAAGATATTCCAGACGCTGATGAGGTGGACCTGGATGGGGAGGGGGATTTAGAAAGTGAGGAGGAAGATGTTGATGGTATCGAGGATGGCGATGGCGACGAAGATGACGAAGCGATGCAAGCCGATCTCGACGACGACATTCCTGATGCGGATGACCAGGACGACGAAGACGAGGATGACGAGCCAATGTCGCCTGAGCCACCGGGCGCAGATGGAAATTGGGTCTACGACACACGTCGGGAACCAGACACGGACGACGAAGAACAATTACCTCATCCGTATCCCAGCCATCGTCAACCTCCAGGTCGCGCCACAGCTGGGAGGCATGCGACAGTCGCTGGCGTGCGTCTCCCCATGCCAGGAAGCGAATATGGTTACGATGAGCGTGATGCTGAAGATTTAACGGCAGCTATGCTCGATCGAGACGAGATCTTTGACGAACACGCTACCGGGAGCAGCAATGCTGCCTTTGTGGAGCATGATCTAGATGACGATGTTCCCGAAGCAGAAGACGAGGAAGTCTGGGAACATACGGACACAGAACTCGAGGAGAGTGAGATGGATATCTCCATCCTTCCCGGTCAGGGTGCAGGCCCGAGTACAAGTGGAATGGCACAGACTCAGAATCTGCGACCTCCTCGCAGCTCCGGGCCATGGGTAACAGGACCTTCTCTTTCACCCCAGACACATGGAGAGATAATCACCCGGCGTGGAGTCCACGCCAGGCCAACTCCCGACGCTGCCTCACGCGCCGCAAGGATCGTATCGGGCAATCGGCAGCGCCATTACCATCCCGGTCTCCCAACTACGCGACCTCACCTCAACCAGACGCCAGCGATGCTCGATAGTCCCCTTGACATTGACGAAGAAGAAGCCGACACCGACCTCGAACTGGATACACCTGACCCATTTACTGGCCCCGAGAATTTGAGAGGGGCGCCTGCTGGCCGGATGGGTGAGCGAGAGACTACGGGCAGGAACGGTGCAGCCCGAGCTGAAGCAGATGAAACTAACAATCGAAGCCCAAGTCGCGCGGCCGCGGCGCGCAACTGGCTCGATGGAGCAGCAGCAGCAGTGGTCGGAGGGAGTGGAAGTGCCAGGAGAACGTTATTTCAACGTGCAACGCGGAGAAGAAACAATGTCGATCCCGACACCACGGGCGCCGGCCCTGCGCAGGCTACCATCGGTGGTGCCTCAAGTGGTGGACTGTTCACCCCGTCTCCACATCCTGGGCGTGCCGGTTCTGCTCGCGCTCAGGACCAGCCGGGTGGAGCAGCACTGGATTGGGAAACGCCTGTGAACGCGAACGCGAATGCGAATGCGGGTGACGGATCGTCAAGTCAAGGTCAAGACCAGAGGGGAAGGATGAGACGTACCGGGCGGTTTCTGGGGGGACGGAGACGAGGAGAATAAATCCCAGTACAGGTTTGGAGAGGACTGTACACCAAGCAAGCATGCTGTGGTACGTATTCAGAATCTGGAATTTCCTATGAGGAGCTCTGATTCAAGGTGGTCTTTGTGTGTGTTTGGGTGTGTGGCTTTTTGTTGGCACAGAATCCACGCTGCCTCAAAAGGGTGTTTTGCTCCCAAGAGACCTATCATTTTTACCCTGTGGTTGTTCGGAGCATTAGGTAGTTAGTTCGTCTCGTTCTCCCTAATCAACTCGTATTGAGTGCATTACATTACGAAGGCTACTCGGGAGAGCCGGACACACAAGTATCGCCACACGAAAAGATGGGGTGGCTCCGATATCACTACTCGTGAGAGCACATATTCGGGATGGAAATGTATACCAACCACTTCAATAGTGATCAAAAGGGTTACAAGAAAACTCATTATTTATTTACTTTTCTGTCCCTGCCTGCGTGCCTGCCTGTCTGCCTACCTGGTTCTCGCTGCGTGATATATCCCTTGGCAACAAAATCAACGGAAATCAAGTCGCTCCGAATTGGCTCCGCTCCAATAACGCCTTGCTCTACGGCCGGCCGGCCGGCACCTGTCCTGCACCGTGCCCCGTGTTGTTGCGGCCCTGGGGTGAGGGGAAGAAGAAGAAGAAGAAAAACGGGAATGGGTGAAGTGGAAAGTAGAAAGTGTGTGGTGGTATTATATACAGCTCAGTGGGTTTGGTAAGGCGGTAAGGGGCGGGAAAAGGGGTCGCTGTTCAGAATGAAGGCGGTTCTGAGATAATTCGTAGGAGGGTAGATTGGCAAAGCCGAGAATGTCCGGAGGTGATCTGGGTTTTGGAGTTTGGATTTGAGAAAAGGTCCCGATGTGATGTCGTTTTCAAAGGAGGTTGCGTGCCGGCTCGTGTCTCTTCTCCGGATTCCTTTCATATGGCGTGACATGAGGCGGATCGGCGCTGCAGAAGCCTTCCATTGAGTCCTAGATCGGCTCGCCCAGTTCCAAGTCAAGGGCGCTGTGCTGTACATGGCGCGACAAAACTGAACGTCTGTTATTTTGCCCTCTCTACCCAAACCCACCGAGTCAGGTCTTTTCCTGCTCAGAACAGCCACACGTAGGCAAACAAAGCCCAGACGGCGATGAAAAATATCAGCCACACTCTCCAGCCCACCCCTGTCCGCTCGGCCATGCGTAACATCCTCCTCATCGTGCCCCGGAGCCTCACGCCCGTGTTCTCAAATGAATCATTGATGGTCTGCGCGAGCTGGGAGGAGTCGCGGATTTCATCACCGATGGCGACCGTGAGTGACTTGAGCTGGGAGACTTTTTGACTCAGGAGGGTGGTCTGTGTGATTTCATTTTGAGACTCGAGTTCCTCAAGGACAGCGGCAGAATATTGACCCTTGGAGTTGGGCGTCGCGGGACGGAACCCCGACGAGGGCCGTTGAGGCGTGCTGTGGCCGTTTGTGGAGGAGTAGGGTGTCAGGTAGGGAGACGAGGAACTTGCGGGTTGTGATGTGGGATAGGCATAGCTGCTGGGTCTCTGCCCGGAAGATGAGGAGGATGGGCGCGAGCCGGGGTAGTCTTGGAAGAGGGTGGAAGATGCTGGGGCGGTGCGCCGGTTCAGAGACGAGTAGCGGTTCCTATTTGTGGTGTCAGTCCACCTGAACACATGTTTCTTGTGACACTGTGGCAGTACGTTGACATGTTGGGCGGCTTTGTTGTAGAGCGTGGTTGTTGTTCATGAGGAGTGCGCACTGTCTGTACACTTTTGCTTTCAAGCCATCTTTGTTGGGGATTAGAGTTGTTCGCCACACATGAGAATTTGTGCCACTCTGTCTGTGATTTTAACAGGACAGGAGATTTTGTTCGTCTGGGGCACGAAATGACCTTGATCTCAAGGCGCAGAAAGAACAAAATGTTCCTGGGCTTGAAAGATGACGCCGGTGGCGGAAATACCCGGCCGAACTCATTGCACATGATGAGCCAAATATCCACCGTAGAATATATCTACAGCTGTCGCACACTTGCCCCCACAAGTGTGTGTTTTATCTAGATAGCTGGGATAGGTCATGTCCGACCGAAGTCTCGAATTGGCTTCCATTGTGGCCTTGATGTTCTTCAACATGTTCAGGCGACACCTAGGTTTCGGAAAGCAAACCCACCGTCTCCCAGTGGATCTTCCTTCTCGACCGAGAACGTGCTGAAGCCGGTGTAGTAAGCATGGCCTTCGACCTTGACTCTGACTTGCACGTCTTCAGTCTTTTTGACATCCGTCTTTCCCTCTACAATCGTCCCGATAAAGGGCGGACCAATCCCAAGCCTTGAGACCAATGAATGATATGCCCACGACGCGTTCACTTCGCGAGTCCCATCAAGGTATGCGAGTGCTGCACGAGCAGCCACTCCACTTCCGGTGGGGGACCGGTCAATTTCTTCGGCAGCAAAGTAGCAGACCCCCAGCTCGGAACCCGACACCGCGTCATGTTGCACGTCCATTTTGTCCGTAACAATGACTCCGTACAGAAAGGACATCTCGGGCTCAGAATGATGCTCGTAGTAGCGCGCGAGACCTGGATTGTCCAGTATGGCTGACTTGAGACCCCGTGTGGCACGGTTCAGTGCTTCTAGGTCGACTGCTTTCAAGCCATTAGCGAATCCTAGCCCCGTGGCTGCGACAATGCAATAAAATGCTCCGCCATACGCGAAGCCCGCCTGAACCTCCGTTCGGCTACCTTGGAGCTCCGGCCAACGTAGATGGGCAGGTATAGGAATTGCGATGTTGACCCCTGTTGCAAAAGAGGGAACGGACACAAAGGAGACAGGACGTTGAGGGTCCGATGCCGAACCAGTTTCATTGGTAGGTACGGAGACCTCCACCAGCCCACATGGAGCATGAAGGTTGAGGACGGCATACCGAGTGTGAGGATTGAAACGTATCTGATTTCTTCTCGGGAATATGTCGAGGTCATGAGTATCGACTAGAAAACGTCCCAACGCAATAGTGGCATGACCACACATTGTGGAATAGCCATCGTTGGTCATGAAGAGAACACCGATATCAGCTTCGCCACTGTTTGTGAGCTCTGTTTTCGGTCGAAGAATGGCGCCATACATGTCATAGTGCCCACGAGGCTCCAGCAAAACCCGTTCTCGGATGTGGTCATATTTGGTTTTCGCTTCAGCTCGCTGTTCAAGCAGCGTTCCATGATGTAAGTCTGGGTATCCGCCGATAACAATTCGCGTAGGTTCGCCGCACGTATGCATCTCAACACATGAGATTGGTTTGTTCTCGGGGAGTAAGAACAGCTGTTTGATGTCCATGATTGATAACAAACTGGGACCGAGCCTCGAGACAATCTGTACGATGAGGCTGTTAATGAAGCGGATATTCAAAGGACCAAAGAAAGATAAGTGTACAGAAACGTCCAACAAGCCACAAAATACTCGACTCTTTCAACAAGAATGGAGATGCTAAGCAGCTACTGTTAGGTGTATAGCTTTGTAGTAGGGCGGGATTCCGCTACGGTGGTCCATACGGCGAGTCGCGTATCTGCGCCTTCCACAACGCGTTGCAACCAAATTATGAAGATGTCAGTCTCAACGCAGTGAACACAACTATACCGCAGTCCTGTGTGGCCCCGAAGTTGGCTGGTAAACACCCCTCCCCCTATTTGTGCCTCGAGCGCTTATAACACCCTCATGCTTCAAATGCCCCTCGGCACAGCATGGTTGCACCACGGCACAACGAGAGTCTCGGCTCGGTGGGCGAACTTGACGCTGAAGTAGTGTCGGAGTTGAGAGACAGGCTGACAGAAGTCTCTATCAAATGCTCTGAACGATGTTTATACCAGTCAGCGAAATGGTAAACGACACAGCCACCCAAGAGAAATCAGGCACTGACTGGTGTACTAGGGCAGCGGAACTGCTCGATTCTCTCCCTGAAGACGACGATCCATTTCGAGACTCTCCTACGCAAGCTACAGATAATGTTCAGTCCTCTTATCGTCTGCTCTCAACCAGCTATGATGACCCTGAAGAGGCGGCATTGGAGGCCAAGGAGGCATCAAAATATCTGCTAGCGAAAGCATTCTTCGACACCAAAGAGTTTGACAGATGTACAGCGGTCTTCCTACCTCCGGCCATCCCAGCTGGCGGCCTAGCGATCTTCGACAAGCCCAAAAAGCGGACGCCCGCTTCCACTCCATCTCGGACAAAGGGGAAATCCAAGGAGAGCGGTACAACAACGACAAGCAGTCCGTACCCACGACTCAGTCAAAAGTCCCTGTTTCTTGCGCTGTATGCCCGATATCTTGCTGGAGAGAAGCGCAAGGATGAAGAAAGTGAAATGGTTCTCGGTCCAGCCGATGGCGGACAAACGGTCAATAGGGAACTTCCAGCACTGGCACGAGGACTGGAAGCATATTTCCAAGTGCGAGATGCCGCCGATCCACAACTCAAGCGATCTCAAGGATGGCTCGAATATCTGTACGGTACCGTCCTCGCCAAGTCGAGACAAGAACAACTTGCGCAGCAATGGCTTCTCCGGTCTGTGCGACTCAACCCCTACCACTGGGGTGCCTGGGAGGAACTGGCGACCTTACTCTCGTCGATCGATGACTTGAATTCTCAGCTTTCTCCTTCCGTCCTACCCCAAAACCTCATGAGCATCATGTATCAGGCCTACGCCTCCGTGGACTTGTTCTCGACCAGCGACCAGTCCACGACCTTGAACTACCTCCGTATTCTCCTGAACTACTTTCCAACTTCCACATTTTTACTCACGCAACTTGCGCTCAGCCACTACCACGCGAAAGAATACGAGTCCTCTGCATCCATATTCCAGGAGTTGCTGGTAGCTCACCCTCATCGTCTGGATGGGCTCGACCACTACTCCAACATTTTGTACGTTATGGCGGATCGGCCGAAACTTGCCTTTCTCGCCCATCTTGCTACATCCGTCGACAAATTCCGCCCCGAAACTTGCTGCGTGGTGGGTAACTATTACTCTCTGTGCTCCCAGCACGAGAAGGCAGTCATGTACTTCCGCCGCGCCCTGACACTGGACAGGAACTTCCTGTCGGCGTGGACTTTGATGGGCCATGAGTATATCGAGTTAAAAAACACACACGCCGCCATCGAAAGCTATCGGCGGGCTGTCGACGTCAATCGCAAGGATTATCGTGCTTGGTACGGCCTGGGTCAAGCGTATGAGGTCCTCGACATGGGCTTTTATGCGTTGTTCTACTACCAACGAGCCGCCGGACTGAGACCGTATGACCCCAAAATGTGGCAAGCCGTGGGATCTTGTTACGCGAAAATGGACCGCCTGGATCAAGCGATCAAAGCTCTCAAGCGTGCTCTTGTTGCAGGAACGTATTTTGAAGAGTCCACTTCGGTGCAGTCAAGTTTCAATGCAAGCAGCAGTGTTTCAAGCAATTTGACGTCTGGCACAAAACGCGGACACTCCACTTCCCAGACGAAATCAAACCAACAGAAGCCCGCCCGCAGACTTCTCGATCCGGAAACCCTCTACCAAATCGCCCTCCTGTGCGAACGGCGTGGAGGCGAAGAAGGCGAGAAAGAGGCTGTTCAGTACATGGAACTCTGTGTGGCGCAGGAAACTGGTGGAAGTCACATGAGTGTTCTCAAAGCGGAGAAATCCCTTCGCAGACGTCAGCGGAAAGAAGATAGGAAGAGCGCCGCCGCCGAGGAACGCCGAGCCAGAGCAGCGCAAATGCGTGCGCAGGGTGGAGCAGAGATGGAGTTGGACGCCGGGCAGGAGACCGCCGGCGCTGATGACGATACGGAAATCATGTCCCCGCGCTCTGCATCCCCTTCGTCGCCGTCAGGGTCATCACCGTCACTCTCGGACGTCGAAAATGTCGGCGATATTAGTGCGGATGGTGGAGGTGGAAGTGGAGTTGATGGCTTTGGCACCGGTACCACTGCTACAACCTCCAAAGCACGCCTGTGGCTCGCCCGCTGGTGTGTGAAAAAAGGGGACTTGGACCGTGCCGAGAGATTGGCCGAGGAATTGTGCATGGATGGGTATGAGGTTGAAGAAGCGAAGGGGCTGGTTCGAGAGGTCAGAGGGAGAAGAGATGTGGACGCAAGCGGGATGAGCGAAGGATTGGATCTGTTGCAACCACCGAACACCTGATATGCGGTTTTGAAGGCGTTGAAAGTCTGGGAAAGAAAAAGTTGTTCCTCGGGGCGTGGCCAGGTTGAACGAATTATGAGTCTACGACTGAGTATGATATGGATGCAGTCAGTTTGACGATTTGTCCCGCTCGCAGTTCCGTGCGAGACTGTATCGCTAGAGGGTACGGGCAAGATGGTTTGTAACAACAGGGCTTCATACACAATAGCTGTTGACCATCACACCCTCTGCCTCTCTGTCTCTCTCTCTCTTCCCCCCACGAAGCATGCACTGTCTGAACTACCGCGACTAGGAATGCAATCACGACTTCCTTCCACTCCACTCCACTTCACCATGGACACGCGCCACTGAGCCGGGAAAGGGATAAACTATATACTATATCCCCACGCTACCGAAAGCTGGATGAGTATCGGCGATCAGGTGCTTGCTTACTTCCAAAGCTTCTTGTGGTGGTAGTTCCCTCTCAGGGACGAGGCTGAGGGTTCAAAGGGGGGAAAAGTGCCAGTGCGAGATAGCCGAGGTTAACCGAAGCATAACAAGCTGGGTGAATGTGAGTGAAACCGGAAATCATCTGTAGAGGAGAGTACCATTTTTTAAACACCGCCTCATAGTGAAGCTTCCTTTGGCGACAGCCTATGTCGCCCTCATGACCGTCGTTAGCGATATCACCTCGTGTACGCCCTCAGCATTACCCTCCACCGTTCCTGTCAGCACCTGAGTCCCTCACCCAGCATTTTCTCTCCAACCCTGCTGTTGCCCAAAGGAGTGTGAGTTGTGAAAGCACTGGACTCCCAACATTTGTTTGTCCTTTGTCTTGTCTTCCCCTACAGCCATGATCATGCTGCACAGCTCTGACTATCAATACAATGAAATCGAAATGTCATGTCGCAGAAGGTCACAGGGGTGACGTTTTCTCACGCAAAGACCTTCACGGGTGAAGTCGTGGAACTCTACACCAAGTGTCAGTTGTATCAAGTCTATCTTGAAAGGGGGGGTTGGAAACGTGCAGCTGTCTCCAGTCCAGGTAAGACCTAGATCATGAAGGCTTTCACATCTTTCTGACGGTATGAACCCGGCAGTCAATCCTGGCGCTTTGAACATAGTTGTCCCAGTTTGGATATAGTCCCCATACCGTGATGGCAACTCTCCAACCAGCGCCCATGACTCTGATAAGCTTTCCGATGTCTTCATCTTCATCGTTATAGGACCAGGTGACTGTATGAGTCTTGAACTCCTGGCCCGCATGAATATTCGTGATTATCTTTCTTGGCGGAAACTTGAAGACAGGCTCTGCTTTCATTTGTGGCTCGAGTGAGCCTTCCACAGGAGACAAAGATCTCTTGTGTGCGTCAGGTGAAGAGATCTTGACTTCAAACCATGTCTTGCTGTTTGTGTATGTCCCGACATGCTGCAGGTCATTACTGTGACCTTGGTCACAAGAACTGACATTGAATATAAGGGAACGCAGTGCTTTGGGTGGCAAGGTAGCTGGCATTTCAGCTTCAAGGTAGACCGCGCCTGATTTGTGACCGTTGATACCGTGCTCTCGCTCAGTGACTTTGAAAGGTTCTGGGTCCACTCTTGATGCCAGATGAATTTCATTCCACAGTTCGGCCAGGTCAAGGATGTCTGGAACCACATCACGATCGACAACACGGGAAAGGACCATGGCAGTGCGGCACACGCCACGGTTGCTAGGGCCCTTGGGCTCTAGGGGAATAGAGTAGCAGTGTTCGTCGCATTTTTTCAGGGCGCGCTCGGCGTATGGACGGACACAGTCTGGGAGACTCGGGATCAGGAGGTGTCGGATGACGAGTGGCAAGATAATGTTGAGGACAAGTTTGAAGAGGATGAGTTTGAGAAGGAAAAAGTAGATGGCCCAGAGCCCAAAAAGGCCCAGGAGAAGATGGTTCAACAACATATTCAAGAAATAGAAGCTCGGCACGAGGACGACAATACGACGGCCATTGATTAAGAGGAAGGGAGAGGGCTTGTAAGCTACAGTATTAGCAACCACATGGTAGCGGTGAAGTAGGACGGCCGGAGAGGACGAGGAAAAGATACGGGAGAAGATTAGGAAGAGGAGACAAGTACATGATGATTTGAATCTTTCAAGACTCATCAGGCACGTGGTAGGGGAAATAGTCTTTAGGGGAGGAAGATGCGTGTGACCGAAGGCTCAATGACCCAAAGAGGGATTTGAGTGATGAATGATGACTGGGGCCTGATGCCTGATGAAGAAGGGCCACTCTGTTTGCGCTGGAAGGTCCGTCGAGGACCTACCTCCCTGCCTACCTAGGGTACCCTAAGGTCGACGTGTACTTGGGTTCCTAGGTAGGGGAAGCCTGGGCAGAGCACCTGAGAGAGTGCCCCGAGGGGAATGGTGTTCCCGTTTCCCTCAGTCTCCCTGCGCCTTCCTTCCACCCCCTTTCAACCTCTCAGTCGGCGGCGTCAGTTTTTTCACCTCTCACCACCCATAGCGGATCTGTCATGAACGATCCTGCCACCAGCGTCTGGATCTCGATATTGCGCCATCCACTCCACCACAGATAGTCCCCAACCATGTTGAGCCTCTCGTCCTCATCGATCTTCAGCCACCTTCCAACCACTTTGGTGGGAAAGCACCGATTGGAAATGACCAGGTGCACTTTTCCTCCCTGATGAGTCTGTCGTCGAATACTTTGTAACACCTCAACTGGCTTGGTAAGGTAGTCGATGGACACCACACACGTGGATGCGTCCAACAGTCCTCCGGCCAGGCTAGGTAAGTGTACCTCCGGGTCCTCATTGAGATCTTGCACAGACCAGTGTGTCAATACAGGATTCTTGCTCAGCTCAGCACGGTTCATGCCCGTCCCTAGCACCTCGACTTCTCCTGACGACGCTGCCTTGGTGACCTCGGTCGGATAGTGTGAGATCCAGCTGGAGCAAAAGTCCAATATTCGTCCTTTGCACGACAGGACCTGCGCATAATACTTGCGCAAATTGTTGATGGCATTGTCGTCGATATGTGTTACAAACCGCGGAACAGCATAAAAATTTGTGTCATTCCCTGACTCCCTGGGAGTGAGGTCTTCCTGAGAATACGGAAACGGCCCTTCTGGGCTCTGAGGGACATAGCGCCTTGAAGCCATGGAGTTCGAGTTTATCTTTCTCGTCGCTGCAATCAATCCTGAGAAGAGAGAGAGCGACCGAAGATTAATTCTGATGGCGGTGGGGGGCATTTGCCCTCTCAGCTGATGCTAGGGGCAGAGCGACGATGTGGCTTTGACAATGCTCTGTTCCCGGAATCAATCACCTTTTGAAGTCGACAATGACGTCTTTGACTCCTGACCAAGCCAGAAGTGGCAGATTGTTTGGGTCCTGACGACTGCAACTGCAACCTGAACTTGCTTTCTGGGATGTTACTTGATATCGCCTCTGATTTTCGGCATGACTGTTCCTGCTGGACACTATCCGACAGACGTGCCCCTCCAGCAACGGGTGCGTCAATATTGGACACTGACACGTGCAGCGGCAGATCTACGCGTTCTAGCGTGTTGAACAACGAGCCAGAATATCCGGCTCGCCGGTTGTGTGCACTGAATCATTCTGGCCATGAGAAGCCATTGCTGCATACATAATCCCCTCACAGAGACGCTGGGCAAAGATCTCACTTTGTCGCAATGCTTCACAATGCTTCAATTCAAGACCCTTTGAAATCGGCAGGAGTCGCCGCGTGCTGCGTCATTGACAATACAACGGAGTGACGTGCCGGCCACTGGAGATTTTAATTCATTCCAAGACTATTATACGAAAAAAATATGATGCAACTGAGTGTCATCTACTTATCGCCTTCATTTTCTTTGTCTTGTCCAGAAGAGACTATTGGAAAGCTGCTCACTGCTTGAGAATAACAACACTAGGCACCCAGCTGTCGAAACCCATATTGCTCTTTCGACCGTCGATCAGCTGTCCGGTGTTCCCCCTACACCTAACGAACCAACATGTTGGAAGGCCAGTCGAGAATCGTGATAAGCGGTGCCGGGCAAGGTACGGTCTGGCCGAGTTGATCTTACATTGTTTGGCCTGATACCATGCTCACCATTCCCCAGGCATCGGAAGAGCCATGGCCCGTCACTTCGCATCTCGTGGCCATAAGATCTTCATTCTCGACCTCAACGAAGACAATATCCGACATACTGCTGAGGAGCACTTGAAAGAACATTCGGACCGTGTCGCTTGGTCTAAGTGCGACCTCCGTAGCGTCGAAGACATCCGTTCCACTGTCCAGAAAGCCGCCAAGTTTCTCGACAACCGCATCGACTTCTTGATCAATAATGCCGGCATCTCGTACCCTTACTGGCCAGATGGGAAGACCATGGCCGATGAGTCTGTCCTGGACAAGTGGCAGGCATACGTCGAGACCAATCTCACAGGACCATTCGTCATGTCCCAAGCATGTCTTCCTTTCATGAAAGTCGAACGGCAAGAAGATAAGAAAAAACTCCCCGGGTCCAACGTCGGCAGTGCAGGGCCGTGTATCATCCACGTCAGTAGTTTTCGAGCCATGATCTCGGATCCCAATCAGGAAGGCTATGCATCGACGAAAGGTAAGTCCGAGTCCAACCATTCTCTCTCGTGAGCAGTATCTCAAAGACCAATGACTAATTTGATCACACAGCTGGATTGCTCGGCCTCACTCAGAGTATGGCGGTGTCCCTTCAGACATTCGGCATCCGCGTCAACATGGTGTCGCCGGGGCGAATCAAGGTCACCCATGAGAACCCCGAAGCGGATGAAGAGGGAGAGGACTGGACCGTGGAAGAAGACGACGTCAAAGTTCACCCAACCAATAGACCCGGTTTGCCTGAAGACATTACTGAGGCGTGTGAATACCTGTTGGGCGCTGGTTTTGTCACGGGCCAGAATTTGATTGTCGATGGTGGAGTGAGTAAGGTCAAGGGCAAGGCGTGAGGACTCTGTGGGCATTTCTCTTTGCGTGCTTCTGTGATGGATGAGTGCGATGACCATTTGTGGTCTTTGAAAATCACTTTGCGGCCCCCTCTTCCGTAGCTCGTCTGACAGCCTGTTTTGCCACTTACACACTGTGGGCTATGTAGCAAGCAGACATGGAAGTAGGGGTCTCATTGTGTCAAGGAGGACGGACCCGGGATGAAAACAAGCCGAAGGTAACGCGAGACAGACTCCTCATTTGCGAAAGAGTAACAGTGGCTTACTCAAGCAGCAGATCGAGACCATTCGGTTCCATCATGGCCTCCGCATTGTAGAACACTCTCCTACCAGTTACCATCCCCGGATTTCGTGTTCGCTGCCCCCATCGTCGGTCACCGAAGCATTCTATTGGCCAATCCATACATCTGCTGACCTCATTGCCCGGAGGGTCGAATTCCGCCGTCGACAGGCCTCGTAAAAAAACAAAGTACATAACTATATAAGACGGAGGTGTTGATGATTGTGGGATGAGGAAGTGTTGGATGCAGCATCGATGCTCGCCCGATCCTATTCTACTTGGACAACCTCTGTCGTTCCATTAACTAAAATCCGTCCCACCAACTCAACGTCTCCATTACGTCAATTCCAGCGTCTCCAAGTACCAGGCCGACGTACAATGGCCACGGCATCTCACATCGAGCTGAACCCGGCCAGCGCGGGTGTCTACCATGTCCCAGATATAACCGCAGAATCTGGCAAGATCGGGAGCCAGCTGCTGCAGGAAAATCACGACAAGTTCCATATCTACTTCAATACCGGCGGCTTCCACAACCATATCGCCCATCACCTTCTGAGCATTTACGCCCTGGGAGCCACCCCCGAAGAGATCCAGAAGGCGTTCGATATCAACAAGTCCTATCAAAGACCGCAATACCCGGTAGACAATCGAGAAGTTGAAGCGCTGGCAGATCACGACAAATTCAAGGAGTTCTTGGGCAAGGAGAAATACTTCCATGACTTTGAGATCTTCTTCCAGAAAGAAATCGACGAAAAGGGCTGGGAGCAGGTCTTGAATGAGCAGGTGTTTGCGCGGAACGAGCATGCTGACAGGATGCTCGACAGAATGTTTGCTGGTGCGTTGCACCAGTCAGCTCAGCCCCAAGATACTGACAGATGCTAGGCTTCCTACACCCCCTGATTCATCTCGGATTCGGCGTCGAGTTCAAGCAGCCGGCGATCATTGTTGAAGCACTCGCCCAAGCAGCAATACATGACGGGTGGACGGGCAAATTCCTCCACGCCGCCGAAGACGCCGCGAAGGCCAGCACCGCGTCGAAAAGCTTAGTGCAGCTCATCCACGAGGCTCGTGCAAACGAAAAGCTGCGTACCTCAGCTCACTGGGAAGATGGCAACAAAGTCCGGGACGGTGTATTGGTCCGCGCCCCCGATGAAATGGTATCATTGGCGTCTCAATGGCACGTCAAGCCTGACGAGCTGGAACAGAAGACGGCCGAGATGATGAATGCCTCGGTGTACTTTGCGGGTGCAGCACAGAAACCTACCAAGGCGATCAAGTTCGACTTCTTCTACATGCACTGCGTCAACTGCTCCATCTTCTTCTCGGCATTCATCAAGGAGCCCTGGCTGAAGATGGAGGACAAGTGTCGGCTGCTGGAATGGAAGGGTCGCCTGGATCTCGCACTGTACGTGTCACGGGGCTGTCCAGAGTTGCTGATCGATGAAATCAAGAACTACCAACCTAAGAACCCGAGCGACGGCTGGGCAGAAATCATCCGTCGGGTGGACAAGTTCCCGGACGATGGACATGCCAGTAAGCTTGTCCGTGCGATTGCACACAGCGAGCAAGCTTGCAAGCAATTCGAGACTCTGGAGGATGATGTCTTCCCGATCAAAGGCGACATGTTCTTGAAGCTGGGCCACATGGCAATTGACTCGGTGGAAACAAGTGAGCCGAATTGGGTGAGGTCGGCCGGCTTTGAAGAGGCTTGGGAGAAGATTCCAGGACGGGCAAAACTGTAGCCGTGTGAATGTACACTATTGTGTCTCTACCGTTTCGATCGAATTCGATGGTCCCATGTTGTTCTAATCACATACAGCGAGCCATTTACGCTTGGAGCCAATCAATGTGAACCCCGCAGGCAATGGTGACACTTGCAATGCCCCCCGCGTCAAGCCGCGACCTCGCAGTCATCATCTTCCTGCCGCCCCCTCCAGGCATCAACGACTTGCTTCTGTTTCATCATCACCCCTTCGTCCTCCTTGTGTTACCTTTTGATTCTGTTTCATAATTCCTTGCTTCAATCTCGGTTCATTGTTATATACCACCGTACACGACATGCCGGACAACAAGAAACCCCCCGACAACTCCATGCCCCCTCCGCCCATGGACCCCTTCCCCACCTATCAGACTCCCTATCCTCGCTCCAACAAAGACGACGAGAACCCATTCATCCTGTTCCGTCGCTTCGCTGACGAGCAGTTCTCCTCGTTCTTCTCCGGATTTCCCCAATTCTTCGGCGTCTCTCCCGGACGCAGTGACCGCTTGAAGCAGGAAGTCGACGACCTGATGCGCCAGCGACAGGAGTGGGAGGAGGGCTTCCGGAAGCAGGTCGAGCAGGAGATGGAGGAGATGAGACAGCAGCTGGAAAAGTCCAAAAATGAAGCATGGCGGTCCATGGAAGATGCGTGGAGACAACACTCGATGGAGAGCAGGAGTGAAGCAAAGGAGACGCCGTGGTGGACCCGAGGCAGGGCTGCCCGCTGTCCTGCTTTGAACGGCCAAGAGCCGCAGAAGAATGCGGCCAAGTGCCCTGCTCTGTACGATGAAGCAGGACAACCCCGGACAGAATTGGATGCCTATTCTGCGGTTCCGTGGAAAGAGAATGACAAACAAGTCCAAGTGTTCGCCGAGGCATCAGCTCACGGATCGACCGAGAAGAACTCTTCCAGGTCTTGGTTCTCTGCTCTTGGTTGGGACGGCAGACAGAAAGAGAAGCACTCGACCAACAACAGCGGCGATACGGACGAGACCAAAAACGTCGCTCGAAGCGAGAAGCCCATTTCTCCGCCCACGACATACTCTCTCTGGGCAGCTCGCCGGATGGAACCGTTCAATAACCCGGACGAGACCATCCCCTGGCTTATGCTCAGCCCTTACTCTCCAATATACCTCTGCAATCCTGCACAACCGCGACTTTTCAAAGTCAAGATCCAAGATTCGGAAGGCGTGCCATTTCAGATCTCTGGCGCCAAGTTCTTCGAGAGATGGTACACGAGCGTGGACGAGAAGATGGCGAGGCACAAACCTTGGGCTGACGCGTTTGAGGATCTGTTGAGCTTGGAGCAGACAGGAAAGATGGTCGATAGGGACAACTGGAATACTTGGCGAACTCCCAAGACTTGGATACACGACATGGTGAACCGGGGCAGTTTTGGGAACCGGTGGGGCTTCAGCGAGCAAGGTATGCTCGTCAAACGCTCGATTGACTCGAGATTTGCGGCCACGACAAAATCCCTACCAACCTCGGAAGATCTCTGTGCCAGATGGCGCTGGAACCGTCAATGTCGACACAATAAATCGGTAGAAGATCCCACGACGTCGGAGAAGGAGCCAGAGGAGGGAAAGCCGCAGCTTGACAGTCTCGTAGCTGCTGCCACAGGTGCAGCTGTTTCTGCTGGCGATCAAACTTCGCAGAAAGAACCTGAGACGGCAGCTGTTGTCTCCGTCAATGAGCCGGTTACTCCTCTCCCATCAACAATATCTCCATCAGCTTACTCGTACGGCTCTGTCCCGAGCAACAGCGAAGACGTGCAGCCTGCCAACAAGTCTGTGGTTGGAACTCTGACTACGATCTCCACGCGGACATTACCGGATGGCTCCGTCGAATCGAGAATGGTCGTTAAAAGGCAGTTCGCAGATGGGACAGAAGAAACCGATGAGAACTTCGGCGTAGTGAATCTTCCCGTCCCGAGCGCCCGCCCCGAGACCGATAGCCGGGAGACACAGAATCTTTTTCAATCTGAACTGGATGGGCAGCAGAAGGACGAAGAACAGCAGCAACAGCAACAGCCTGAAGCCTCCAAGCGGTTCCCTCGGAGGATTCCAATCACGACGGCCGAGACAGAACCGGAGTTGGAGCACGAGCAGCAACCACTACCAATGCAACAGCAAGATCAAACCAACAACCACGAGCGGTCCAGACGGAGTGGTGGTGGGTGGTTCTGGAACTAATTGAATCCCGTGAAGGTAAATGGGCAGCGAAGTCAAGAGATGGCATCATGGCTGCATGTCTGCGCGTTTTCTCCCTCTCGATCTCGAAGGAACCAATGCTCACTCACCAAAGAGACCCGATCCAAACTGCAACTTCGGGCTACTGTACCTCACCTGGTACCAAGGTCTCCTCCGTTCGCCTTCTTTCTTCGTCCTTGGACACCCTACGACATGGTACGATATCGATATATTTATTTGTTTTCAGTGGAAGGATGGATGAATGATTGAAATGATTTGGGAATATGTACTTACACAGGTCAATATCCTCCTCTCTATCTTAGTGGGCCAGCGGCCTGTTATTGTTACTACGACCACTCACTCTCTTTCTCGTCTTCTTGCCTTTATATCCTTCTGTATTGCATGAATGTTGTATTAATGATGCCTTGCTTGATGTCCGAGCGAGCCTTCCAAATCAACAAATAGCAAACCCAATCAACCATTTTCTTCTCGTACATTGCCGGCCCCCGCGTGCGATCTCCTTCTCAGCAAGTCAAGAAAAGAAAAGTAGGAAATCTAAGCGCCTTCTACATCACTTACATACATATATACATACATACACACACCGTCCATCTATCTGCGTAGGTAGGTATGTGTGTGTGTATGAGTGTGTGTTTATATCTACCTACAGTGGCTATCTCGCTATCGAAACAAATGTCCCTCGGGACCCTGAGCGCTCACTTCCTCCCGTTTTCTGTCTGCCTTGTCTATTGAATGGCCAGTCCGAAGTGTTTATATTGTATGGATTACTGCTTTCATGTCCCCTCTAATTAATTGTCTTGCAGGTGCCAGTAACTGATAAAAGCAGCAGGAAACAAAAACTCCCACAAAACTGCCGAGGTACATATTTAAGCGGCGTGTCGTGTCGTCCGCCTGATCTCTTGCGGCGCAGCAGTCCGTTTTGTTGGCTTGAACTGTGCCACCATCTATCTTCATCATCTAATGTGTATTCCGTCAACCTCTGATCGCGACAAGAGCGACTTGAAACTCGAATTGCTTCTTCCAGGCGACACGTGAGTTTTTGTACGCGTCCTCTGGTGCTGTACGGGTATTTTTATTCCTCCTTGCCCCGTTGAGTCGGGTGGCCTTAACCTCTTTCTTTACACCACACGCACCACACGAGCTTCTAGTAGGTGGGTAGGTAGGTAGGTAGGTTGCAAAGAGGTGTGACGGACGGTGGATCTGGCTGATCTCGTTGAGTCCTTTTGGGAGTCTCCTCTATCGCGAGGCCATGATGTCCATAATCACTACCTCAGTCGAAACTTGGCGATGACGATAGAGCGATATTGTATTTGGCGGCGGCGGCGGGGGGAGAAAAGTGTCCGGACAAGATGACCAGACCTGACGTGGCGACAACGGCAACGACCACGACGACGACGACGGCGGCGGCGGCACTGGCAAGTCTACAGCCTACACGGCGCGATACCATGTGTTGTGTCAAGGTCAGCTTTTTCTGCTGTCGCCAAGATGCTTCTCCTCAAGAAAGGCGTGGGAATACGACCCATCGCTGCGAGGAGGGGGGCATATGTACTCCGTACTGTACATACCTCAATTCCGGCCGGAGCCGTCGAGCCCTGATTGTTGTTTCTCTTGAGGCATTTCCACAAGATCAGCATGGTGGGAGGCAGGGTGACGATCACTCCGACAACCGCGACGACTGCTTCGGTCGAAAATCGATGCATCTGGGTGGTGTTTGGCTCTCTAAAAAGTCTCACACGGTCGTCGGTGGTTTTGACCAGCCAGTCAGAGGCTTTGCTTTCTTTGTGTGTGTGTGTGTGTGTGTGTGTGTGTGTGTGTGTCAGGCTCGCAAAAGAGTCGGGCTTCAGAAAGTCTCTATCTAGATGGGCTCGTCTGTTCTGTCTGTCACGCTGGAGCAAGAAAGAATAGGACAGGTAGGTTGCCAGCCAGCCAGCTAATTGTGGGCGAGGTTTCTCAATTATATTATGTGCCTACGCCCCCGACCATGTAAACTGAGGTATGTACATACGTCGAGTTTGATACGAATCTATAATCCTGTTCCAGAGTCCGGGACGACGCTTACGACTTGCGACTTCTTCGACAGGAGGAGGAGGAGGAGGAGGAGGAGGCGCCTCACTGGCCTTTCCAAAATCTGGCGGGCTGATTCGTACTGGCATTCACTCACTCACTCTCTCTGGGGACAGCGATCAGACATACTCCTCCTCGTTCTGAGCCACAATGGGTCGCGCATGCTCGCTTGTTGGACCCAGTCCAGAATCTCGTGGTGATGCTCCGTATCAATTGGCAGAAACCCCGGTCGGTAGCTCTGCATGAGATTTTGGCCCGGCCAATGACATCTCATGCCCCCAGCAGACAGTACAGTAGATGTGGATCCCAGATTTTGGGTCAGGCGGCTTTTAGAGCCAGGGACGCTGTGTTTTTGGCCTAGTGATTTCTTGGGTCGGTCGGTCTTTGGGGACACAACGCTGCTTATGTACAAACACTGGGCAAAGGGTGTATTCATCTGCTGGCTTATTGACGCACGGTGCATGGTCTATGAGCCAAATGTGAGCGAAAATCAGGTGTGCTTTACCATCTCGTCTGACTAGTCAAGTCCCAACATACATGTATCATTTGTCTGACCCACGTCTTGATCACCGTCCCAATTGTCCATGGGCCATTCAGTCCAACCCGGGTCGCCGTCATTGTTCCCATTTTCCATGGGCAGTTTAGAGCAAGCTAGGTCGCCATTAGTATTTCCATTGTCCATGGGCGATAGACGCAGATTTGCGGGCGGACTCAGTAGCTGGGTGCGGTAATTCTCGAGAAGGCGTCGTGCTGCCCGGTGGCCGTTTTTCGAAGCCAAATCTCGAGCTCGTTCGAACTGTCTGCTTCCTTCTTCGATGACCCGAGCTCCAGAGTCCAGCAGGAGCTGCATCACATCAATCCGGCCGTGCTCTGACGCTCCTTCAAGTGCTGTTCTCCCTCCCACCTTTGCAGCTGGGGCGTTGACATCAGCATTCTTCTCTAACAGCATCGACGCTGCGCCAAGAAATCCCTTGATTGCCGCGAATTGAAGGGCAGTTGCTCCATATTGATCGTATGCAGGTGCGTCCACGTCTGCCCCCTTCTCCAACAACAAGTTGACAATATCCATACTCCCTTGCTCAACTGCCAGCTGCAAAGGAGTGCGCGAGATGCGCTGGATAAGCCTTGGATTCACCTTAGCGCCGGCTGACACTAGCATTTCGACAAGTTTCACATTGTTCTGTTTGATTGCAGCTAGAAGAGCAGTGTCGGTTGGCTGTTCGGATACGATCTTGTTCGGGTCTGCACCAGCGTTCAACAGCCTTTGGACGAGAGCTAGGTCTTCGGTCATGTCAAGTCTGATTGCCGTTCCAAACGCAGACTCGTCCCGTTGCAGACCAGGATGTGATCTTCTCCTGAAGGGCGTAGAGTTTTGGTATACGATAGTGGTTGAATTGATGCCGTATGACAGCAACAAATTCACCATCGAGGTACTTGAAGACGCAATTGCACGTTGCAGCGTCCGGGAGCCAAATGCTCTTGGATATCTTCCACATCGATTCCATCTAGCCGTCAGGACCATCTGCATTCGGTCCAGATTGTGATGAGCAGCGGCGAGCAAGGCTTTTTCGGTCACATCAGGGCCGACGGCTAAGAAACGCTCGACCAAGGCATCATCAGTGATTTTCTCGATCGCGATATTCAAGCATTCCTGATCTGGTTTCGCACCGCAGCCAACAAGATAGTTGATGATCTCCGTGTTCCCGTTCTGAACAGCAGCTGCTAGCGCTGTGTCACCGCCGAAAGACGCGTTAACATCAGCGCCAGCTTCGACCAAGAGTTTAATGCTGTCAAGGTCATTTCTTTCCGCTGCCACAGTGACCGCTGATTTTCTGTCATTACTTCTGCTCTCGGAAGCTCTTGAACAGGCGTCGATCTCAGCGCCTTCGTCAATAAGTATCTTGATCAATCGACGCTCACCTCGAGCCACGGCTAACGGTAGAACTGAGTAAATATGTCCTTCTGAAGACAATACGTTCACCGCCGCTCCAGACGTTAAGAGTATTTCCGAGAGTGGCGCATCCATCAAATTTATTGCCGCAAAGAGAGGAGTTCTTCCTGTGTCGGATGCACCACTTGTCCATTCACCATCTACCTTCAAAGGAGCTCTTCCTGTTCTGGAACCGTTAACGTCCGCACCGGCTGCAAGAAGCATTTCGGTGACGTCTCGTTGTTCATGAGCAATAGCCAAGTAGAGAGAGTCGCCCAAAGATCGGAGAACGGTTTCTCGGTATCTTGAATCTTCATGGAGAAGCAAGCGAAGGGTCGCAATGTCTCCTCTTTCAGCAGCAGCCTCGATGGCATCAGTTAGCCGAACAGTGGCGTGAAGCTCGACACCGGCTGCGGATAATTCTTCTATCAGACGCTGATGTCCCTGTTTCATCGCGGAGGTAAACATTCTCGTCCGGAAGCGCCCTTTCATGCTTTCTTGTGCGGAGTTCAACAGAAGTTGGCACATGTCTTCGTCACCCAGGTCTGCCGCTTTTTCAAATGTTGTCTCTGTGACAGGTGCGCCGTTCCTGATTAGGAGTTTGACACAGGGCAAACTCGAGGAAATAGCCTTCACCAGAGCTTGTTCCGTAGTACGTGCTCCAGCCTTGAGAAGAACTTTGACCACCTCAGTATAGCCGCTGTCACATGCATATTCCAAGGCCGTGAAGATCCTTTCGCCTTCGGAATTAGTTGAAATATTCACATTGGCACCTGCCTGCACCAGTTTGCGGACAATAGAGACAACAATAAATGGCGGCCCAAATGAATTCAGCACACCTATGAGCGGGGGTTTCTTCAAATATCCAGGAGAGAGATCTGGATCTGCGTCATTATCGAGAAGGAAAGTGACCAGCTCCAGATGATGATAACTGGCAGCGATTGCCAGAGGAGACTCGCCTGAGGCCGGGTTAACACTTGCGCCTGCGTCCAGCAAAATGCGTACCAGTTCGATGGCTTGACTGTCTTCAAGGTCGTTGTCGCTGTCTTCAGGCTCACTGTCAATGTCTTCGGACTCACGGTCAATGTCAACAATGTTCCCAGCTTGACAGATGTTCACTACCGCATATCCCAGAGGGGAATAACTGTCTGGAGATATCACATTGACATCTGCCTTAGCATCTAGCAAAGCTCGCACAAGTCCCACACTGCCAAGTTGACACGCGCGCTGAAGAGGCGTGATTTGTCGTCCCGATGGGTCAGAACATTTCAGTTCATTGGGATCAAGACCGGAATCTAGGATCCGCTTAACGATATGAACGTCTTCGTTCTCAATCGATATGGAAAAGAGGTATTCTGCAAGTGCTTCTGCTGTTGGGTTCTGGAGAGATAGGAGATATTCAAAAAGTTGCGTATTGTCCTGGTCATTGACCCAATGGTATACTTGTGTACCGATGTCCCGGTGTGATCCAGCAACCTTATTCGACACCATGAATCAAGTGAGATCCAGCATTTTCAAGGCAGAAGATGACTGGGTTTGTAATGAGGCCATCGGCATAGAGGAGACACCACTCGCTAAAAGTCGTTCCGGTATTAGTGCATGGAGATCATTTCCAAAATTCTCGTGTCCCCTTTCTGATCTGAAGGAGTTAATCAAGCTCGGCGGGAAGCCATGCGGCTGCAGGCTAAATGTCACAGCGCTGCTTCTGGAGGAGCTGTTGTGAACATTCGCTGAAAACCCATCGTTAGCAAATTTCTCACATCATCGAGTCGGGAACGTCTCGCGAAGGAAATCGCAGATATAGTTCAGCACTACAGGGCCATAGATGAGCCGTACCTCCCGCCATGAGAAATGATTGAAACCGCGCAAATGGAAGAGAGCCCAGCAAAGTAGGAGCATAATTCAACAGTGGTGACGAGTTTCTTCCTGGAGATAAAGGCAGAGGCGTATGAACGGTAACAAAAGCTGGTAGTGCTGGCGATGATGCTATTGAGGTGGTGAGTGGTCCTTGAATCTTCGGTAGGATGAGGCTGAGGCTGAAATGTACCTTGAAAGAGCGCTGTTGAGGCCAGTCCGTACCGCGACATTGCTTTCTTCACCTTCTCTTGGACCATTGGTACCCCATCAATGCATACTTCACTTTCCTTGTTTTCCCTTTTCCTCTTGCCTATTACGGCCCCGACCTTGTGCCATTCCTTTTTACTTAAGTTCTTCCGAATCCCCCATTCCTTGAATTTGCACTCATACTGTGCCTTCCTTTTACAAGGTTCAGTTTTCAGCTGTAGGGATGTTGAGAATGGGGCTTACGTTTTGTGGAAGTGATGTTTTGTCGCCATCTCGCGTCTGAGCTCTTCCAGACTGTGATCTTGAACGAAGTAGAATGTGCGGATGGTGTTCTTGTGAATATCCTAGGACGATTCCAGTCCCTCGCATAGAGCGATGGACGTAGACATCTTGTTAGGCCGAACGAAACATGCGCGAAGCCAAATAGAACCTCGTTGTAGGAGTGTGCGCTCAACTTTAGGTCTTAGATTCAGGATAGCAGGCCGTCTATAGAAGTGTCTTTATAACACAGTCCTGAGGCTGACCAGGATGGCTCGTTGGGCTGGATGGCCACCTCTCCTTACGGTCTGGCTGCATATGTCTGTCTGGCTGTCACTGGATGGTTCCCAAAATCTTGGACCCACCACGACGAGCGCCTTCTCCGCCCGAGTTGCCTTGCATTCGCGTAGCCAAAATCTCTTTGCTTCCTTGGTGTGATGTGTTGTCATCGTCGGCTTAGATAGACACCGAGACTGGTTGTGGAAACTTGGGTGTGGAATAATGTTCCCCTATTGCTTGAATTCTTTTCTGGAGGCGCGTGGCAAATGCTCTGTGCACAGTCCACCTGAGCGCCTGACCTCACAAGCACGGTAAGCTGCGGGTAATGCGTGCGAATAGTTAGCGCCACGAATGTGATGACAGCGAGAGTCTGTTTGTTGGTGCAGGTTGATGGTCTACTTGCGTGATGTGGGATTCAGTTGATGATTTGGGGGAGCTCACCCAGAGCTCACCCAGAGCTGGACCACCATTTTGCTTAGTAAGATTTCGGCTCTCAGTTGTACGTATTGTACAATTCAACCACGCACTCTGTCGCAATGCTACGCCTAAGGCTACAATGAGGTCTAGACAACAGCGAAAGGGCAGGAGTGTTTGTTCAGGGATTGCTCAGTGATGCTCAGCTAGACGCTCTGTCAAAGCTCAGATTAAAGCGGTCGCTTTCCCTTTCCTGGACGAAAATGGTAAAGGAAAGGATAAAGCACAGTTCGGGCCATATATAATGTGTATACATATAGCAATGGACCATAAATAAAACGCACATGTGACGTGCAGACATGTGGAATACATAAATGCATGCATGAATATACCGCGAAGCAGCGAACCTGTGCCTATTAAACCCTACTGTACCGTACTCATTGAAAGAGGAGACTTGGCATGATCTCGTCGTGGATGAATCATTGTTGATATGTAATTCACGTTTATTGCCATTGGACCTACGCCGTGCTATGTTATGCTATGCTATGCTAAGCCGGGCAACTATGCTGTGCTGTGCAATGTAAGACCATGCCAGGTACAAATGTGTACGTGAACATCAAGCAAAAAAAGAAACGATCAGGCAGCCCAAAAAAGAGAAACAACACCAGCTGTCGCCGAGAGCCTTCATGTGCCGGGGATTCGTGGCGGACATTCCACGGTCCAGACTGTCATGCAGCAGCAGCAGCATGGGCATCGAACAAAGTCGAAATCCATCCTCCATGCAATCAAATTGAACCCGGACACGTCGCTTATGGCGCCAAAAGATCAACTCGCTCGGCCGTGCAACATATGAAAGACAGAAAAGAAATAGAATCAAACCCACCAACACTCTAGACATCAATCACCTGAAGTCATGATGATTCCAATGCCCTGCATGTCGGCAATCACCTCGTCCACGTTGATTCATCACGTCGTTCTCGTATTGCATCCCGCTCCAACCCAAGTTCGATCCACCACGCCCTGAACTCAAACAACCAACAGTCATGTCTCATCAACCATAGGGTGCCTGCCTCGTTCCCCTGGCAAACTCTGGCCTCTAGCCTGTCTCCAGGTGGCTTCTGCGTGTCTTTCAGAAAACGTCGTCAGGCCATTCCCAGTTCTCCCTCTGAACACCCTTGACCTGCATCGTCGCAACGTGCTCTTGGCCCTTCATTCCCCTGACGTTCACAACACCATTGGCCGATTTCATTTCTGCCACCAACTCCATATCACCCCTCGGGCATTGATTTTCCTTCCGAGACTGTGCTATTCCTGTTTCTTCGTCTTCTTCAATAATGGCAGAGAACGGATGCGAAAACCCTTCACCCCTGACGGCGGACGAACGCCGGCGCTGCTTCTTCGGATTATGTTTTTGTTGGTCATTAACATCTGATGTTGAAATGATCACCAGATCGCCGTTGCCCTTGTTCTTAACATGCGGCTGATTTGTGGTGTTGCTCAATGTCCTCAACGCCGCGCGCTCCGGTATTGGGGGAACATGCGGGCCTGCTGCTCCAGTCTGTTTCTGGGTCTGCTTCTTAGCAGAGGACTGAGCTGTGGAGAGGTCATTTTCGTGGACTCCAGGAGTCAGAGTATGCTGCCGGGAAGAAGATGGCGCCGGCTGAGTGGTCTTATCTTGCTGCTTCTGTCTCAACAAAGCTCGCAGCTGTTGGTTCTCCTTTTCCAGTTCCCGGCGGGTTGGCCGTTTCTGATAATCGAGGTCATTATGACTGTCAGACCATTCGGGCTCAGCCGCGACCGTCTTCGACGGAGACTGGCTTGGACGTCTATTGTTGTTTGGAAGCGGCATGCTCTGGGATTGGCTGCGAATCGTAGCTCCCATCTCGGAGATGTCTGTTGCTGTAGCCAGGCCCACATTGGATTTTCTCCTCTTCATGCCAAATTGTTGAGCGTACGCCTCCTCTGCGCGTCTCTTTCTATCATTGAGCACCTCAAGTTCGCTGTTATGACTTGAGGCTGCGGATTTCTTTTCCGGGCTCTCTGAACCCTCTGCAGTCTTCTTTCTGTCACCATGGAGGTTCCATAGCGACATGCTCTTTCTCAGGCCATTCTTCTTTTTTGCAGCCGGTTCCCCTTCCACCTTTGTCGTACTTTCTTTTGATTTGGCCTTGGCGCCAAATTTGAAAAGGCGTTGCTTGAATGTAGGTGCGATTACAGTCTCTGGTCTGAACTCGTTCAGATCGATAGAAGAGCGCTGTGGGGACGCTCGTGGGGTAGCATCGCCATCTGATTCGGTTTCAGAGCAGCTAGCGATTGAACCATGCTCCTGCCAGGTGGAAGATATTCCAGCAGACCGGGCATTCATACTCCCCTCTGCAAACCTTGACGCTCGTAAAGGCAGATCCTCTTCCTCCGTAGAGTTGGAATCGGCATTTTCGATTGCAAAAATCGAATTCTTATGCGCTGGCCCTCGACTAGTTTTGGGTCTTTCGTTCACGTCCACCGGGTGGGCCAGAGGGGCAAAAGGACGCAGTTCTCTTAGTTGTTTGCTTGGTTGCAGAATTGGACTAGGTGCCGGGGGTGGTTGTAGAAAGAGGACATCGTCGTTGAAGGGCACAGTTGTCCTGGTCGGGGATGGTCTACTCCAGGCTTCCCGCTCTTCTCTGATGAAGTATGGCTCATTGTGGGTGTTGTTGAACGCTTTGAGTGTCGACTCGTGGTTTTCCCAGGTTGGACTCGATCGCGAAGGGCTTCTCGGAGAGGAGCTTGGGCGATATGAGACACGTAAACTAGAAACATGCTGCAACCCTGGTGACCTCGTGGGAGTCGTGGACGCGTTTCGAGGCGGGGTTGAAGTCTGATCACTCAACGTCCGTACATGTGCTTGGAACTTCTGCCGAGGTGATAGCGGAGGAGGCGACGCAGCCGAAGCTGGGTGATGCCGACAGGAATCGGAGGTGAGGTGCGCAGGAGTCGGGACTCGTGAGGGAGCCATCATCGACTGTGTCTGGGATAAGAGGTGGGCGAACTCTTGACGATTCATGGTGACGCCAATACTGATTATGCCATTACAATTATTGCTAACAGTGCAGAGACCATGCAAAGATGGTGCTCGTAAGCAGTTTACTGAACTGTATAGAGAAAATGGTGGTTGAGTAGTAAAGTGAAAGCGGACTGATTTGTTTACAGTTGCCACGACACACCGCATACGGCGTGCAACGTGCAGCATACGGCATGCGCCAGGGGTGGCCGCTGGGAAATTGGCGGGGCACCTATTGGCACTTGATTGGCGTTTAATTGGCACTGGCAGGTGCCGAGGAAGCACTGACGTGGGTGGCATGTCAGACCCCGACTGGTGATGAGTCCTTAGGGATCGACCGCCCCAGCACCCCCCTCAAGCCCTATGATCTCAATGGCGACACCCCAAGGTTTGTTTTGGTGGAAATGGTTTTTTTCTCTGATTCCGGTAGGTTGTCAACTTCCTTGCGTGTTCATTGTTCGCCCCCCGCCTGATAGCCTCACTAGCCTAGGCTATGCCCCTCCTCCACCCCTGTGGGGGCTACATCGGCCATCCCCATTGCATGGCAGCCCTTACAAGGATTCCAAGGTACTTCTCCAACCGCCGACCCTTGGATCAAAATCATCCATGGCTTTCGGCCACTATCCATATGCGGTCAGTCCGCCTTACAGTTCTGTCCCCTGTCGACTGCGTCGCAGTTCGTGCTTACTGAATACTTATTGGCACTTACACCCACGGCATGGAAGTTCCAAACCGCACTCTCTTGCCTACGCTCTAGAGCATGCAACTGTACTTATCCCCATACCTGAACCAGAATGCGCCTCTTTGGTCGAGCACCGCTTAAACGTCCTTGCACGCGTGCGCTTACGATCGCAAGATGAGATCCCGTCTCACCCCTTGCACGAGATACAGTTGGCTACTTGCTGCACACACTCCCTGTTTGAACACTTGAGAAGAAATGGTTGGCGTCCCTGGGAAAAGCAAAGGTTGCAGCACCTGTCGGCGGCGGAAAAAGGGTGTAAGTATTGCAGAAAAGAGCCACCCTCTATCACACATGCTCACTTCTTTGCTTCAGTGCGATCAGAAACGTCCAATCTGTGGTCAATGCCTCTCAAGTGGCAATATTTGCGGCGGTTATGACCGGGAGCGTACCTTCATTTTTCACCCCGCCAGTAAAAAAGTTCAACATGCCGTCTTTATCGCACGTGCCAGACCCTCCATCGTTCCTCTCCCGGGCTCAGTCAATCGGGGAGCGCTGGAATCGCAATGCAAGAGTCTATTTTGGGACCTCTATATGCCCCATGGAGATGCAGCATGCCGAGACGACTTTATAGTGCGGTGTGGCCATCCCATGAATTGGACGGAGGTCATCCAGAGTGTCTCGAAACAGGACAACTCCTTGGCCGACGCCTTTTCCGCTTTGAGTATTTCGAGGGTCGGTCAAGGTCACAAGGACGTCCGTCTGGTTCATGAAAGTGCCAAATTTTACGGAAAGGCACTCAAGGAGCTACAGCTCGCGCTCTTCGACTCCCAACGAATGCATTCCGATCACGTCCTGATGGCGTGTATGCTGTTGGGGCTCTATGAGGTCTTTGAGGGTCCAGCACTCAATTCGCGAAGTTGGTTGGCACATGCCTCAGGAGCGGCTCGACTGATCCAGCTTCGTGGCGCTGGGCGTCATCAGAATTGGTATGCTCATCACCCTTTTCTGGCTTCGAGGATCCCCACCATATATGCTGCCATTCTGCAGAGAAAAGCGACCTACCTGGCGACGGAAGAATGGCGCACGATACCGTGGGAGTTCCAGCACCGGACATATTTTGACAGGATGGTTGATCTTGGAACTCTTATCCCTGGCATCATGGAGAAGTTTGACATTCTCCGGGAGTATGATTTTGACACGACGGCGGAGCTTGCTGGGTTGCTGGACGAATGCAAAGATCTACAGACAAAAATGAATCGGTGGAGGGATGGGACAAAGAAGGGGGCGACGCCACGAATCGTCGAACACGATCCAGCCGAAATACCTAGTTCTCCTTTTGCCACCGATTTGTGGTTCGAAAACCACTTGTTCGCCCACGCACGTCTGGTCTACCATACATGTTCGCTGGCATTGAGCGAAGTGGGAAATGAAATCTTGCAAGCACTCGATCTCCGAGATCAAAAACGACTGAGCTCTGTCGACCGCGCATCGTTGATGGAGCTCTTCGACGCGGAAACCCAAGCGGCCAATGTCTGCCGATGTATTCCCTATTGCTTACAACCAGAGATGGGAGCATTGGGCGCCAACATCATCAACTTTCCTGCGAACCTGGCATTTGCGTATTATCAAAAGACAGGTCACACGGCGGCTACTGACTGGCTTGAAAAGGCTTTCCAAAGCGCGAAATCGAGAGGGCTCCACGTTGAGAATGTCTTCGACGTGCTTCTGCCGACTCTTCAGGATCGAGACGATCGAATGCGCTTTTTGAGAAGAGAATCAAGTACCGAATCATCGGACGGCAGCGAACATTCGCCAGCTTCGAACCAAAGTTTCGCAAGCCACACCCTTTCTCATTATAGTCTATCCAGTAATGCGACAACTATTTTCGTCTACGAGGACCCGTCCAAAGACTACGACACGAGCTACGAACCCGATTGAGACACGTTAGTTGCATGGTTGTTACAACACGACGAAAACAGATAAGGATGACAGCATGCAGTCCGCCGGAAAGTTGGGGGATGAGATCGTCTTTCGCAACGCAAATATGATAGACACAGCATGCGTTGCTTCTGGTCTTATCCGACACTGCACTTTGATATCAGACGTGCCTGTCTGCAAGCAGAGAGATAAGCCGCTGTTCAGACCAATGTCTCTCGCCTTGGACAAGTCACAATGACTCCCCAACTCCGGCATTCTCGATCTAAGCCAGTAACAGCTCGTTTACGTCCGGCGTCCGACGTAAGGTGTTCCAAATTATGTTCTTGGCTATGCGAGCACCTGCGTGGGGGCTAGGCTGCTATTCATTCCAGATATAGTGGTCATTGACTAATCTCCTCGTCATGGTTCCATTGAGTGCCATTGGTCTCAGACTCCGATTGTCCTCAGTGCCGACAATGGATGATGTTGGCACCTACTTGAGTCCCCTGTCTTGCTGCTTGGCTCCTTTTGCTCAGAGACGATACCACTTTGGCTCAACTCTGGCCGGCCCCGTGTTGGGTTGCTCAGCCTGCCATACGTGACCGCCTTCCATCACAACTACGAAGGAAAAGCATTCCATTTTCCACCTGGACCATCGCCTTTTAACCAGAATGAAGCTCACCTTATCTTGGGGGAACAAATATTTTTTCAGCACCGCATGGTGTTCTGTCTCCAGCGCTTTAAAAATTCCGCTATACCTGTCTTCATAAGAATTTGTGAGTGACTTGGAGATACAACAACCATGCTTGACACTGTGGTGGTCGCGCTGAATCCAGCTCGCTAAAGTGTCTCCCCCTGTTATATTATACGGAGCAGCTGTGAGTGTGATAAGAGTTCTTCCCATCTGGCGTTCGTAATGGTCAACCGCATCAAACCCACCCTGCGAAATGTATGGATCGCTTGTTCTTCGTCCTCCTGAAGGCTTCCCATTCGCATCGAATCCACCCTGCGGACGCTATCCGTCACATCTTCCTCCTCTTCTTTTCCTTCGTCCCCAAGGTGCCCCATCCGCATTCCACCGGGCCGAGCTCTCGAGGAGTTCGTTTTCACGAGGCCGATTCCCAAGCAGGTTGTCCAGGCCCTAGCCCGCCGCAACCCGGGATCAAAGTTTGGGGCTTTTACCAACAGAAGGCACCAGAGAGGGCCAGGAGCCTCTGAAGGCACGTCGAATGTGATACTCCCCTTTATATAGGTTCCATTGTCATGCCACCACTCTTTGTCAGAGGCGGTAAACTCGCGCTGGACGCCTAGGTCATCACGCCGCCGACCACACCGACCAGAGATCAGTAGGCCTTTAAGTTCGAGTGCAGAGCCCTTCGGCAAGGGGCTGACGTTCAGTTCCGTGGATGTTCCCGTGATATATATGTCAGAGACCAGGGAAGAGTGTACGTAGTGGTCCCGTTCAGGTTCCTGTTTGTCCCTTTCATAGACGTCCGAAACCTGGGCCTCCTTCTCGTCCACCAACTCTGGGACAGTTCTGGTTGATCCATTGACTGAGCTCCAGCACCATGTTGGCGCATGGTAGTGGCTAAATCGTTTGTGTGTTTCGGACGGCAAGCGCCCGAAACCGGTGCTTTCCCATAACATCCCTCGGGGCAAGTCTCCTTTCCAGAGTCCAGACAGATAGGTCCAGCCTCCGTGCAACTGCATCGACTCTGCAATGCCTGCCAGGGCTGTCAAGTTGTCTGTGTTGTCGAATAGTGCCCTGCGCTGGTATTCCAACAGATAGTAATGCCAATACACCATGCGCACCATCAAGCCGGTCTTAGACCCGTTTATGAGCTCCACGAGCCGTTGGGTGATCGCCAGCTTTTGCCCCTGCGGCTTATTTGTACGGAAGCCGAGCAAATTCGGTGCGTTGGTGAAGACCGAGACTTCGGCACACTCGCAGAAGACGACGCCGTTGTCCAGGATGTGGAAAAGCCTCGGCGACAAGTGACGCTCTTGAAAGCACCATGCTCGGGTTCCCAGTATGCCGCCCTCGAGAACGCGCTTCATGAACACATGGTTCTTCATGGGTGTGCCAGCGCACTGTTGTCTGATCGCCTCCCACTCGGGTGTGATCTTCTTGCTCCTGTCCATGGAAAAAATATCTTGCGACGTGTTCAGGGCAATGGTCAGGGTCGCTGCACCGTACACATGCCTCATGCGGACGGATTCTTCTTTCCATTCTTGGTCGTCGTCCTTTTAAGATTACCCCAGACAAAGTGGAACCAGTAAGCAAAGGAGGATTTCCAAGATCGAATTCAATTCAAGCAATCTACATCTCGACCTTTTCCTCTTCGCTGGGGGCCTTGATAAAGAATGAATGGTGATGAAGAGACCGGAACCTACCTGTAAGATACATATCGAATCCATCCAGAAGTACTCAAAGCCGAAACTTCGACACATGACCATGACAGCCTGGTAGTTACGCGGAAAAGTCCCGACGTCGACCTTCCGGGCACGAAGATCTTGGTTGTCAGGTGTCGTTTTTATGGCGAACTTTTCCGCGTCCGACAGGTGCGACCAGCAATGGCTCAGGGCGACGTAGCGTACCGGCTTCTGCTTGATGTCCTCGGTGAACACGAGCTTTGCGGGGAAATCATGCCCTGTGGGTCTGTCCAGGTGGAGCAGCCGCTTGGGCAGGCTGTTCTCGTGGTCGACGACGACTCTCTGGCAGATCGTGTGGCTCTCGAGGCATTCGGCGAGGGGGTGAAACTGGTAGGGATGGAAGTCGAGCGTTTGGAACTTGGCCACTTGTTGTTCCCAGTCCATTATTTTTCTTCTCTTTCTTTCTTCTCGTCGCGAACAGCTAGCTCACGGCTTGAATGGGATGGGATGGGATGGGATGGAATCGGAAGTGTCTACATCTGATTGTAGGGGGAAATCATCCAAAAGAAAAGACTGAAACGAACTGAGGCTGGAGCTGGACAGACATGCACCATCGCAAAAGTGAGCATACCAATCGGATCAAGCCGCAGAGAATTCACCATGGCCGAGTTCCCGCCAATAATACTGTGATACGTAGCATTGGAGCCTGATGAGAACAAGAACGGACTTCCAGAGAACGGGGATCGTACAGCCACTCGAGGTGGTCCTCGCCTTTAGACTGGCTTCCGCGATAATAGTCGCTCGGAGCCTTCGAGCTCTATATACTTCGTACTTATCTGCTGATGATCAGTCTAAGAGAAGTTGGATTGTCCAAGGGAAGAAAGGCTGGGGATGCAAGTCAATTGTTGTCTCATAATCTAGCCATACTACTCTACATTTCTATGCCGTCACAGTGAAATCTGTCATTCAATGAAGGAAAGAACAGTAGCATCTATCTCGGCGTAATAAATCTGCTTGTTCAACACAGTCTATCCCGACTGGGAATTCTTCTGAAACGCTGTTTTAAGAAATCCACTTACCCGGTGTCAACCGAGCAACCAGAATTTCCGAATCTTCAGATACCCCACGGCGATACTCAGGGCACTCGCGAGCATGCACGAGCCCGTGAAAAGCACGAGCACTTGGTACTTCCCGACCCCGTACTGTCCGATATGGATTTGGTTGAACAACATGTTGGCACTGATGGGGCCGGCCAGGACGTTACCGATGCCCTTCCCGAAGTTGAACAGGCCGAACACCGCAAAGGCGGACGTGACGTCGGTGGTGACACCCAGGCCCATGCGCGCCCAGAGGGCCGTGTACCCGGCGCCGAAGAAGCCGTAGATCAGCCCGAAGACTGACAGCATGGCGAAGTTTCGCGCCAGGCCCCAGAGCGCGAACACCGCGGCCGCGGGGATGAGGGTCGATGCGAAGGAGAGCACCGTGACCGAGACCCTCCGGTCTGAGAGGTATCCGAAGCTGAACTGGCCCAGCACCTGTGAGACGCACATGATGGCCAGAAGGAGGGAGCCTTGCCGCGAGCTCAGGCCGAGCGTCGAGGCGTACGACGGGATGTACAGCGAAGGGAAGAAGTAGCCCAGTCCCTGCATCAGATTCGAGGCTGTGTAGATCCAGAAGAGCGGCGTCTTGAGAAACACCCAGCTGGTCCGGGGCGTGTGGTTTTGCACGGACGGAGGCAGCCGTCCTTTCAGCACGGGTATCAATGGCCCTGTCAATACGACCAGGCCCACGGCGATGGATCGCAGCGTCGTCGGATACCCATATTTGTGGAGCAGAACCTCCAAGGACAGCGGCATGGCGATGCCCGAGAATCCGGATGCACTGCACAGAATGCCGTACGCCATGCCCCGTCGGGCGATCCAGTACTCGTTGACCATGCTGAGGATGGGATAGTAGAAGATGATGAACCCCGTGCCGTACATCAAGCCTTGGGTAAAGATAAGGCTGCCCACAGTGCGGGCGAAAGATCCGCATAGGATCCCCAAGATACATAATGTCCCTGTCCTGCCGTGTCAGTTTGGACGCTGGTCAATCTCGTGGAATCATGACTCCGTACATCCAAAGCATATCATCTGCCGACGATATTTCGCGTACCGTCTCAATACGGGAATGATCAAGGGAGCGCCCATGTACGACATGCCCGACGCGATCGTCCCGATCACCGAGATGTACCGCTGATGGACGAAGTCAGGCAGCTGGGAGTAGTAATTTTGGAAGACCCCAAAGGAGAGTGGGAAGCCTATAACAAGTCAGTACTTGGACAATGCAAGCAGCATGAGCCAGATGAACGGAAGCACATATCTCCCCGAGTACTTACCCCAGAGCAACGCCTCAAAAATGTATGCCACGAAAAGTAGTTTCCAAGCAGCCCAGCCTCCATCGACCGGATCAAGTGAGTTCTCGTCGTGCTGTGGAACGCCTTCATGCCTCTCTATCTGATATCTGTCCTGAGGGCCTGTTTGAGAATCTGGAACCAATTCGATATCGGTGTCCATAACGGCATAAATCCTGGATTTGCTGCTGTCAGTTCTGTGAATCAAGACAAATTCGATTAAGTGATAGTGCGCCGGGTAATGACTCTATATTCGCACACTTTTGGTGGAAGCCAATGTCAGGGAGCGTATAAAATAGAAAGAATCATGCTAGATATTGATAGCGGTGGTTGTGATACCGGGTTTGGCTTAATACATACATTGTACTGCGCAGATGCCTCGGAGCAAAGGGATCGGCATGAAACGAGGAATCGCCGAATCTGACTAATGAAGGATTGTCGGCAATATAGTAGATAGATGGTGCACGGCACCTCTCTAGCCACCTACCCACCAGGTTAGCCACAGGCTGTTTTGACCATGATACCGTATCCGTTTGGATGTATTGTTCTCCCCGGGGTGTACAGGTAAGAAGTCGAGCTGAACATTCACTGAATACCATCTCTCACGGTGAATGCCGCGGCACCGATAACATGCATATGCAGACAGCGACTCGTGGTGCGATCCCATTCCGAAAGCACGTCATGGCAATTCGTGTTGAGAGGGAGGTTCTGGCCCACGCGCGTGCATGGCTCATCCTTATCCTGTGCATCCAGATAAGAAACAGATCACTCCCTTTCAAGATTTGGGAATGGCCTTCTTTTGATCAATAACCGGAAAGGCAGAAAAAGCACCTTGTCGAAAGATGGTGGCCCAAAAACTCCCTCCTGAACCCAGCAGGCTCCGTGTGGCTATCTGCGGCGGCGGTCCAGCTGGCCTGGGTGCTGCCATAGCGCTCTCCGCGCTCCCGAATGTCGAAGTGACCATCTATGAGCAAGCCAGAGAGCTGCGAGAGATAGGGGCGGGGATTCGCATCGGGTATAACTGCTGGAGAGTGCTGGAGCTGATGGGTGCCGCTCAGGATGTCAAGGGGCATCTAAAGACAACAGTCTTGCATCGGTACGTCGAACAGGGGCTCTGCAGATTGTCCAATGACTGTCTCTTTTGTCTCAAAAAAATAGGATATTGACTTGGCATCCCCATCAGCAATGGCGTGAATGGACAGATCCTGGATACGAGGTCGTCTTCTATGCCCGTCCAGTATAAACCGCGGCGAGTGAGGAGGACACGCCTTCAATCCGCCCTGCTCAAGCAAGTTGCTCCGGAAACGATCAAGCTCAACAAACGGCTTGTCGCGCTGAAGAACCTGCCTCAAGGAGGTATATCGCTTCTATTCGAAGACGGTTTCGAGACGACTGCCGACCTCGTCGTAGGGGCAGACGGCATCCGCTCCGTGAGTGCTTCGCCTTTCTGCGTGGAAATCCTGACTCCTGAGACGCTGCAAGGTCGTGAGGGACAGTATCTTTCCTGACCACAGGATCAAATTCACAGGTATGCTGATTTGGATCGTTGTCGTTCTCATCTAAACCGGCATCGTACACAGGGACAACGATCTGGCGGACGCTCATCCCCATCAGCACCATTTCCCACCAAGCTGAGCTCAACTCGCTGACGTCGTGGTGGTACGGTCCCGCGGGCCACGTCTATCTCTCCCCGGTCGACGATCCGGAGGAACTGGGCGAAAGTGAGAGGATGTTTGAAATCTCGTGTCGGAACCTCGTCGATCCAGAGACCGTAGGCGGGAAGAGGTTTAGCTGGGGAATTCCAACAACAAACCAGAGAGTCCAGTCTCATTTCACGGTATGTTTCTCTCGAATCGTCCCCCTTCTTCCGTACGAAAAGTCATGCAAAGCATTGATATATGGGCTAGGAATATGACCCGCGCGTCAGAGATGTGATGTCCCGCGTCCCCGAAGGACAGTGGAGGGAATTTGCGGCATTTGCAGGCCCAAGGCTGGAAAAACTCACCGCGTGGGACAAAGTGGTGCTGCTTGGGGACGCGAGCCATCCGCTATCGGGTATGTGTCGTACATCTTGCCGTTTCGGTAAGCGCTATGTACTCATCATCAACCAGGAGCCTTCGGTTCAGGGGCGGCGTTTGCGTTGGAGGACGGCTGGATCCTCGCACGAGCCATCGAATACACTCGAGACATTCCCAAGGGCGGCCTCGCACAAGCTCTTGAAATCTTCGACGCCGTCAGGTCACCGTACTATCTTAGAATGTGCGTTTGTTTGCCTCTTTCCACTCTGCGTGTGTGATTGCGCGATTAAAACCGCTGAATCTTTCTATATAGGTACCAATATCTCGACGAACAGAAGCGAAAGGCAAAGGAGGCGGTGGCCAATGCCCCCGATAAGTCGTTCGAGTCCCTGCTGAAGATCAAGATGGCGTCGTTTGGGAGCGAGGAAGGATTGCCGTGGATATACCACAACGACATCGAGGACGTCTGGGAAAAGTACCTAGAGGCTCAAGTCAGCTTGTAGATCCTATAACTCTGCATGAGCCCTAATGGTGATGGCGCCTGGGAAGCCATCTATCTGAATAGAGTGTCCTCAAAGCGGGAGAAGTTTGAGCTTTTGATTGAAATGGGCGAGGTTCTTCAAAATATCGTGATGTAGATTCCTAGCTGATCGACCTCTCAGATGAGCAGCTCTTTCTTTTCCCTCCATAAGAGTGACTGGTATCGATACAAGACGAGGATTTGATGTCTATCAAAAAAAAAAAAACAAGTTTCCTTTCCCACACCCCATGTCAATGAGGATCTTTGTGCTACGACTTCTTTGAACGCCGTACAAACGATGGTGATGATTGATTTCAAAGTAACTTGTCGTCTCCCCATCTGGCTTTATACATACCCATCGCCTTGACGGGAAAATAAAACTTGTAATTCGGATATGTGATCATGCAGCTGCAATTGAACACCCCTTCGATGGCCTCTTGCAGCCATTCGCCGTTCCTTTGCTGTCTAGCCATAATCATTTTGATCGCCCTTTTGAGCGGCTCTTGGTCAGGATATCCAGCATAAATCAGCGCAATGACGGCCCAACAGGTCTGCACCACCTGCGATTTTTCATGGTCAACCCACACTTTGAGTTCTGAGGCGCGATAGCTCTCGCCCCAGCCGCCATCGGGCATTTGATGCGAGATGAGGAATTCACAAGCTTTCTTGACACGAGGCGAGTTGGAATATGATTCGCCCACTGAAGACAAGGATTCAAGGGCAAACATGGCTGCATAGGTGAAGCAGATACCCCAACTGCCGTACCAAGATCCGTCGTTCCTTTGGGCCCGACGGATGTACTGCAACGCAGACTCCTTGACCAATTTTATCTCATCCGTACGGTAGTTTGGATAGAATTTCTGGAACAGCGACAAGACTGTGACCACGGCCGTTGTACATTCGGGGTAGTCGTACTCCACCATGATACGCCCAAAGACTTCAGCCGCATTGAGCATCTCGAGGTACTCTGACCCACGTTGGGGCTCATAGCTGGCAAAGCCCCCGGTATGTTTGTTCTGCATGCTCAACAGCACGTCAACCGCATCGCAAATGCGAGACTCATCAATCAAGGGTTGGTAGCCGTGGCCATTCTGGAGAAGAAGGACAACACGGAGAGCCTCACTTGTGCAATCCGAAACGGTGTAGCCTTGCAGTTTGGTGCTGAACGGCCACGCGCCCTTGCGTGACTGGCGGTAGCATGTCTCTCGGTCGGGGACCTCGTCACGGATCTGCTCAGATTCCAAGTATTGCAATGCTTTGGTGAGCATGGGTTTCCACTTGGCCGAGTTGGCCAAGCCAGCTTCAACACAAGCTTGGATGCTGAATGCCGTGTCCCAAACTTGCACGCCATTGGTCCCGTTCACGAGCATCCCTTCTTTATTGACCCAGAGATATTCTTCAAGGCGGTAAAGGTGTCGTTTAAACGAGTAGCTTTCAGGCCCTTCTTTGATAAAGCAGCAGAGTGTGTTCATGGGGGCGTTGACTGGGGCCAGGTCTGCATAGTCCGTGTTGTGGTCTTCGTACTCGACCAGTCGCCAAACCCAAGCTTCAGCTTTCTCGACGAGTGATCTTGTTCTCAGAAAAGGGATCCAAATCCACACTAGGAGCCACATTATCAGATTTAGCAGCCAAGACTTTGGATGGTAGTTGTCTTCAGGGGCAATCGAATTACGATGTGACCCAAAATCAATGGACTCGTAAGGCTGCACGAACAGTTCTTGTCGCAAGGATCGAACGAGATCGGTTTCAGGAGCTGTGAACTTCTTCGACCAGACGTAGGACATGGGGAGAAACACCTGGCGCATGTGAACCCACCACCGCCAGGGAGCAATAGGTACCCAGTCGGGCAATAGCCACAGTTCAGGAGGAACTGGGTTGACAATCTCCCAACGGGTCACTCCCAAGACGCTGAGCCAGAATTTGGCCCAGTGAGGACCATTGGTTGCCCCGCCCATTGCATGAAGTTTTCCTCTTGCTTTGATCATTCTTGGGTCTTCCTCGCTGGCGCCCAGTATTCGTAGGACGGTGTAATTCATGGCTGTCCCAAAAACAGAACTGTGACCCTCGACGTGCAATCCCCACCCGCCATCCTTATTTTGCCTTGCGAAGAGATAGTTTTTCATCTCAATCTTATATTCTAGCGGGATGTGCGTTCCAGTCGCGTACCAGCAGCATACGATGCCGGGCATCAGAAAGAGGGGGCCGCCATACTCGCAAGCCCAGTTGCCAGGAGGCAGCTGCAGTTGCGAATAGAAGCTCAAGCAGTTGTCTATCGATTCAGACGGTCTCGAGGCAGGAGGGAGGTCAGGGAGATCCTAGGCTTGTCAGCAAACGTTGAAACGCTCTCCAGATATTGCACCTACAGTCGGCAGCCCTAGATAATACTTGTCTGCGGCCGACTGCGGCCATTCCGCAACCTCTTTGTCGGTCTTGAGGTAGTGCCAAGTGTGCCGACCTGATTCATTGAGCAGTCGCCATCTGGATCGATCTATTTGCTCGACGCTTGAGGATACGGCGTGGCCATTGAGGTGGCCATTGGCGGTTCCGTTAGCATGGCCATTGGCGACGCGGCCTGCCAACTTTTGAGAGGTCTGTCGAGTCTGTACCATGTTCAATAAAAGTCTCTAAAACGGACTGGACATGGTTCCAACAGATGGGACCTGCTTACAACGAAAGGGGATGCACGAAACACGGTCGACCCTTAACTCTGGCTCACCGGTTCAGGTACACCGACAAAAATTGGCGAGATCGACGAAAAATAAGGCCACTCGGAGGATCGACAGGCGATGCAGAAACTCGTTCTGAGGCGATTGGCTGGCCGTTGTTGGGGCTAGTGAAGATTGTGCCTGCATCATTATTGTGTTCTGAGCCACGCGGGGAAACTGATGGGCGTGGAGTCGAGGTCTACCACATGCTCCCCGAAGCGCAGTCTGACAACTCAATCCTCAAGTGCACCAACCACGACCAGAGTATGCGTGACATACCTCGTACGGTGCACAGCCTACTAAGCGATGTCAAGCCATGGATCCTTACAGGATTCTCCACTCTATCAACCAGCCATCACCACCGCCAACCAGCTCGTCCTTGACTACATCGAGGCAACCTTCAATGCCATTTTACAAGAAATCAGACAGTCGTCGGGCCATGGCAAGCCGGTCATCGTGCTGAAACGAATTGTGGCAATGAAACCTTACTTTGCTGAAGACGATCCAACGCATTTGAATTGGCACATCGAGTCTCGAGAAGTCAAATATCACTTTCCGGGCCAGAACAAGGCCGAAGCGTGGAGGTTCGGTAAGTGGTAGGTGCTTGTGGCACACATTGGCTCTGATCTCTCGGTGAGCATGTGTTGGGCGCATATTGCGTGAGATATATGTTGCAATTAGGCAAGGTGTCACCATTACAAAGAGGTCAGTCATTGTTAGGAATCCCGGAACGAATGGCCGCTGACTCGAACGCAGAGACATCTACTACCACGATGTTGGTCTTTTCAAGAACCAGGAAACAGTGGATCGATATGTCGATGACATCGCCCACACTTGCCAGGTGACGAGACGAGACCTAAACGTCGTATGGGGACTGTCATTCCACGTTGTAACTTTCACTTCTCACTCTGTTCGCTCAGGTCGCAAGCCCGAAGGGCCTCGTTGCAGGACTCTGTGACCCTCGCCCCAGCGAGCATGCGCCAGTCATCCAGACCATCTGTGTAAACACTCCGTTGACCGCCATAGGACATGTCAACTGGATCCTTGTCATAGAGAAAGAAGTCTGTTGAGGCATCCTGCTGAAGATGGCTTTGCTGACAACAAGGCAGGCGACATTCAATGCCCTGGTCGAGAGGGAATTCCATCGGAACCCAATCATCGGCCCAGGCCTTCTTGTTACCGTTCAGTAGCCCCTTCCAAGCCAAGATCATTGCAGCACTGATTGTTCCCCAGGCCAAAGGATACCCTGACATAGCCACTCGATATTTCGTACGCCAGCTTCTCGATCACTCTCCGTCCTCTACCCCAGTATTTGGCTTGTTCGATTGGGATCCAGACGGCGTCGGGATTTTGAAGTGTTACCTGTACGGATCGAAGAACTTGGCGCAAGAGCACGGTTGCAATATCCCAGAGCTAAGATGGGTAGGCCTTAAGGCAGAAGATGTTGTTTCGAGTCGAGATACTGGCAGCTCATTTATGCGGTTGTCGAAACGTGACCGAATGACAGCCATCGGATTGCTGGCGAGCCAGGAGTGGTATGATCAAGCAGGCACAGCTCTACCAGGTCTGCAAGAGGCGGTCACTGAAGTCCAGCGGATGCTTATGTTGAACCAAAAGGCCGAGATTCAAAGCTTGGATGAGGGGCGAGGTGGCCTTGAGGACTGGTTGACAGGAAGGTTGATGCAACAGCTCTGTTGTAGGACATGAAGACTGAAGGTGGTGGCCGAATAGCCAGGATGCTGAACTCATAATCCTAGTGACCGCCGCACTCCTTCTCTCACCTTCTTCTCAAAATCGGGCCGTCGTTCTCTCCACATTTTTGCTGCCTCCACGTTCGCCGGGCTTTCATCGTTCGGCTCGGCCAGCATTGACATGACAGATATCAAGATCTTCTCCACGCTTTGAATCGGTGACCATCTCTCAGAGGCACTCTCGTAGTGGTTCGGGTCGTCGCCGGGGGGATGCAGGATGGAAATGCAGACTTCGCCGTTGGTGTAGACTGCTTTCAGTTAATCGAGGCGCTCTTCTGCGAGTATGAATGTATTCGTCTCACCATTGGGATGCCAGATCTCGCCGAGGAACTTCATCTTGGGCGGGTTCAGAGGATAGTCTTTGGGAAACTTGAGTTCTGCGGGGAAGATGCCGCCCTCGAAAGGTGTGCCTTCCGGCCCTTGGATCAGAGCCTCCCACACGAAGAGGTCATCCTCGCTCACTGGACCGGCGGTGATGCCATCGGGCGGATTGGTCAGGAGGGACTTGTACTCCTGGAAGAGGCGCTTGGAGGCCACACTCGCAGCCATCGCGAAGGCAGAGATGTCTGAACGCTACTATAGACGACGATCAACGATAGCTCGAAGAGGGGCAGGTGGGATGAATAATGCGTCGCACTGTGGTTGGGTGATGTCACGTCGTTGTTTGTTGGAGGTGAAACATATAGCGAAATGAATCTCTGGCTGCTCTAATAACTTCCTCGGAGACACGAACTTTGGGTCCGTCGTGATCATTAGGCCGCGGAGACGTCTGGAAACTAGGATCTTGAGCACGTGACCACCATTTGCCATTCAAGCGGCGAGATTACCTGAAGTAGCGTAGTTGATTTGTGTCAGCAAATCTTGGCGAGTGCGTCATGACAGCACTATTGCTGGACCAATCATAGACAGGTATGCGGGTCCGCAAAAGGTGAAATGGGTTGTATATACGAGTATTACATCTACCTTTTACCACTTTTGCTTAGGTTCTCTCTCCAGATGTGTTTACGTCGTGTCTTCATTCTCTCCCAGGGCCTGGCTGTCCTGAAGCCTACACGGCTTGACTGTGCTCATTAGTAATGGCGCATTCCAACACACCCCTGCGGTAGGGCTGCCAGGGACAACCTCATCAAGTTCTCAGCAGAAACGGCCGAAATCTTGCCAAAATATTCTTCTATTATTCATCTCTAGTGTTCTTCGTAGAACCTGTTGACGGGCCAAGCAGGTCGACAGCATTATGGCATACATAGCTACACAGTAGCGTCGAGTGCAAACAGGAGGTGAATACGAGGCATCAGAGGTATAAGTATCCCGCTGCTCGAGCTGATAGAGGTAGAAAGATCAAGTTTTCAGTCAACCAAGATCAAGCAGATACATTCAAGGCTCTCTTCACTTCAAAGCAAACACTGTCAATATCCTCCAATCCATAACGACCCTTTTGTTCAAACAACATGGTCACGCTTTTGACGGTTGTGGGTGCCACAGGCACGCAAGGCCTCTCTCTCATCAATGCCGCACTAGAAGACGGCAGCTACAAGATCAGAGGCCTGACCCGCAATCCAAACAGCGAGAAAGCGGCCGCCTTAGCCCGGCGAGGCGTTGAAGTTGTCAAGGCTGATATCAATGACCAGGAATCGCTGATTAAAGCTTTTGAAGTACCTGGCCCATTCCTCTTGATGCCTGTTCGTGACAGCTAACCATTTGCACTTCTATAGGGCTCGCACGCCATCTTCGCCATGACCGACTTCTTTGAGCCATTCGTCGCCCACGGTCCCGAAAAGGCTATTGAGATCGAAGTCACCCAGGGCATCAACATGGCTAGAGCCGCCTCGAGGACTGCTACCCTGGAACACTACATCTGGAGCACGCTCCCCAACGGCAAGAAGCTGACGAACGGCAAATATATTGTGCCGCATTTTGAAGGCAAGAACCGCATCGACGACTACATCCGCTCCGATCAGGCCTTGCTCTCCAAGACCACATTCCTCTGGATCACCTGGTACGGGAACAACCTTGCCTACCCAATATTCACTCCGAATCTCTTGGTAAGTCACAACCTCCTCCCAGCCCCCAGTCTGTCTGCCTGGGACACTGGGGACCCTAATTTCCCCCAGATTACTGACCAAGAGGGGCCGACTCCAGAAAACCGCCAACACGTATATCCAGCTCTCGCCCGCCACGCGCGACACCCCCATCAAGGCCATCGGCGACCCGCACAAGAACATCGGGGTGTTCGCGCTGTCCGTGCTCAAGCAGCCGGCCCTCACGCTGCGTCCGCAGGGCCGCTTCGTCCTCGCCGACAGCGAAGACACCACGGCCGGCAAACTGCTGAGCGACTGGTCGGCCGTCACGGGCAAACCCTCCCAGTACGTCCAAACACCGCTGGAGGATTTCAGTGCCATCTGGCCGGGCTTCGGGCTGGAGATGGGTGTCATGATGGCCATGTGGAGCGAATTGAGGGATCGCAGCTGGAGTGGTGAAGAAAGCCTGCTGACCCGGAAGGAGCTCGGCATCAAGCAGAGCGACTTGACTACAGTCAAGGACGCTTACGCGGCCATGAACTGGGAGATTTTGTTGTAGGTCGGTTCGAGAAGGGTGAAATGCTAGACTAGGTTGCAACAAACCAATATACGAGCCAGGGTGATGTTTCTCTCGTAGCGTCAGTAGTGGTGTCCTCACACGTTGGCGACCCCTTGGTTATCTGGAACTTCCATTTCAACAATGGAGACATCAGAATTTTTAATAGCTCTCTATCATGATAGTGTATCAGAAAAACCCCATCAAACCTATGTAGCCTGTGTCTTCTTACTAAGCTCTCCGATATCCTAGCTCCTGATTCCGAGTTCTTCTCCCCTGCCGCAGGTTGTAGCGGGCGGAACCCCTTCAAGCCGATACGCAGAGGCAGGACAAGGGCTGAGAAACCCGTGATGAACTAAAATTTTCCTATGCGAATTCCCAAGCGTGAGCCTTTCTGCCAGTGCCGTCGGGAAGAATTCTATAGGTGGCTGCTCGTCAAGGAGCTGTCCGGTCATACCGTCATATCTATCTCGCTGGGTGCTATTTTAGGTAGGCTGACCAGGTGAGAAGTGTGCCTGCCGGGAAGCAACCAAGTTCGAGCAGCGAGGCGTCAAATACGGACATATATACATGTATCCAAGCTACCATGCGAGTGCGTCTAGCATATCAATTCTACCGGGAAGGACTCTCCGATGCTTAAAGCGTGTATCTGAATTGCGGATTCTGCAGCATTCGAGCGTCAGTTGTCAAAAATGTTCGTTTTTTGCTAAACAAATAAAAAGCCGGTGCAGAGAGTGATGAGGAAAATGATAAATTCCGCATCGCAACAGCCAGGGAGAAAGGAAAGGACGGGAGACTGCTCGTGGGCATGAACGTGGCCAGACGGCACATACCTTCTTGTCCGTCAAATCGTCCTCGTAAGCGTGTTCGAACGCCTCCATTGTGCCCGCCTTGTCCCGCTTCTTGTTCTCCCAGACGCAGATGAGTCGGTACACGATGGACAGAACGGCAGCGACCGCCGAGGTGATGACCACGGCGATAAAGCCGGGTGCGTAAACGGGGGCGTCCTCGGGTTTGAAGAGGAGTGGTCCGACGAAGTTGCCTGGGGCCGCAGAGTTAGAATATTGTGTCGTGTCGAGCGTGATGCGAATTACGGGACCATTGGGCAAAACCATGAATTTGGGAGATGAGACCAGGAAGGGGAAAGGGGAAACATACCCAGACAATAGCCTACGAAGATGCCCGAACTCGCCAGACTCCGCTTCGTATACCCGGCTGTGTTGGCAATCTGCATGCCCATCATCACGGCATAGCCGCCTCCAAAGCTGGCCAGGATGTACGCCCCAAACAGCAACCCGCCGGTGGAGTCTCTCGGCAACAGCCAAAGCAGGAGACTGGCCAAGATCGTGCCCATCTCGCAGATGGTTACCAGGTACGCTCTCATGCCGGGGAACTTGTACGCAATGTACGGTGCCACCCATTCGATGGTCCCGATGATCGCGCCCGCGGGCATGACCAGCAGCAGCGAGTTCAGCGTGTTGAATCCGAAACTGGCAATGATGATCGGGGTAAAGGTCGACACGGGTCCATTCGCAATCATGACGAGGAACGCCATGCTGAAAATTATCCAGAATTTCACGTCGAGCAGGAGTTCCCAGAGTTGTTCCACTTTGAAGTGAGTGTTGCGGACGCCCGCGTTGTTGATCCGCAGGCGGGCCACGGCGATGTATCGTTCCCGTTCGGTGAAGCCCCGTGCCCGAATCGGGTCAGGAGGCATGAAGAAGAGGATGACCACGGACCAAATTATGGTGAGAGCTCCTGCTACTAAGTACATGTAGCGCCAGGGAGAGAGAGAACCCTTGATGTGGCCGAGGCCATAGTTGATCAGGGGAGAGACAATCGAGACGTAACCGGTGCAACAGTACCAGGCTCTTTAAGGACAATCAGACATCAGTATCAACCACAAACAAGGTATAATACAGGTGCGAAAAATAGCAACTTACCCCATCCGCAACGCCTGCTCGTTTTTCTTGTAAAACTGTCCCACGACCAACATGAACATCGGACTGATTCCGGACTCCAAAAAGCCCAAGAAAAATCGCTGGGCGTAGAGGCTCTGCCAGTTGTGGCAGGCCGCAGTGCACATCAAGCAAATACCCCAGACGCAGACGATACCTGAAGCAACCCGCTCAATGGGGAAGCGTTGGGCCATGACGATGGCAGGGTATGCACCAACGATGAAGCCCAGATAGAAGATGGACGCGGAGAAAGAATAGCGGTTGCCCACGCTGAGGTTGAGATCAGTGCGGAGCCCGAAAAGTGCCTATGAACATCTGGTTGAGTCCAGGGAGATCCAGTCAAAGGGAATTTCAGTCTGTCTCACATACCGCTTGCGAGAGCATGGCCTTGTCATAATACTGTAGCCCGTACGTGGCGCAGAGGATGGGAAGCAGCCGGCGATCGATCTTCCTCTGGACTTTCTTTTCCTCCTTCTCGTCCCACGTTTCCTCGCCAGTGTAATTAGCAAGAACTTTCATCGCCTCATCGTTGTGAATTGTGTCGACTGTGAGGGTCTTTTTGAGCTCAGATACTGCATCTTCCGTGTTCTTGGGCGTCGCCTCAGCCTGTATGGCTTCTGGTTTCTCCACATCCGCCATGGTGTCTCGAGGAATTGTCACGAGATAGAATGAAGACTTGAGTGTGACACGTGTAAGCCTGCTGAAGAGAGATCCCAAGAACTGAAATCACCCTCAGGACACAAAAGCTGATTGTGACAGGCACCCCAACCCGGAGCCAGGCCAAGCAGACATTTAAATCCTTCGTTCTGGACAGTGTTCGGCAATCCATGTCCATGTCTTCGGTTATCCATCGGATTTTGCCCTATTCGCCAAGTATCGACATCTTCAGTTTTCCGAGGATATCTGGATTCAAAATTGAACGTCAAGCGGGATTGTGGCGGTATAAAGTGTTGGCAGCGCGTGTCAAGCAGAAGCCAAGGCTGGGCTCTATCCATATCTGTTGATCGACGGTGGGTGACGATCGAGCAATTGGTTACTTACATGTCACCCACATGTGGTACTCCAGTCCGATGACTTCGCTTGAGAGGAGAAATCCTTGGCCCCCCACGTTGCTCACCTTGGCCCATTGCCAGGTTCGTCGCCATGGACCTGGGGAAAGTGCGGGGACCACCGACTGTCTATGAAAACGTGAGAATGTAAGCTCGGGAAATATGAAGAGGTGATGAGTCTGCCTGAGATATGAAGTCGATCAGCCGATGGGATGTAGCCAAGAAACTTTCGGCGATCGCATTGATTGGGAGGTTGAAGGGTGCCGAGAGCAAAAGTACCTCGTGTTCGTATTCTGCCGTGAGTACATACAGCCGGGAGAGCTTCTTCATTCTGTTGGGCATATAACCTCGGAGAGAGAGAGAGTAAAACTCCTGCGGGGGACGGTGGACTAGGGCGATGCCGCTGTCTTGCCCGCCGGGACTTGGCCGACTTGCCCACCTTGCTTTCGCAGACCGGTAGTGTCTGGAAGAGGCCCCATGGGTCTTGTTTCTCCATATTGGGGCAAGTGATCGAAGACCAAGGAAGTAGGCGCATCGTCGAGGGCCGGTGATACCACGACCCTAGTCTGTCCTAGGCAAATATAATCTCCCCCGCAGAGCTCGCGGACGAGGTTGGGGTTGGTCGTGATCATGTCGAAGACCAGCCGAAGGTTCATGGACTCGCCGAGTATAAGAGCCACAGGTGTCTGGGAGACATTGCATAGTTTCTGGGATTGACGAAGTCTCATTAGAATTGGGCAACGTCGGCCAGCCTCTGGCGAGCTGCAAGCAGCCAGGGCAATATCGATCATGAACAGATCCTCGGCCCTGGAAGGAGCTCTTGACCTTAAGTAAGAGACTTAGATCAACCATAGAAGTCGGAAACAAGCTATTTCGATTGCTAATAGCCTTGGAAGCTTGAATTTTTTGATTAGAAGTAGCCAACGTCGTGTGCCTCGGAAAAGGGAAAGATTCCTTCTATCAAGGAAGGCTTGGCAAGGGGTCGCTGCGACGAGGCTGCTACTCCTGATCATCACAGTTCTATTGACGGGTACGCGGCTCACCTGATTCTTCCTGTAGCCACTGATCGATCACGGCCTCGACCCTCCCTAGAGCCACGTCCATTCCTTCTTGCTCTTGCTGCTCAGCCGCTACTGTCTGCGACATTCCACTTCCCTCGATCTCTATCCCCTGTTGTTGACGAACCGGCTGAGGCGAAATTGCCGTTTCCTGCAGCGAATGGTCAAAAACCATGGAAATGTATCCAGGTCTGCGGAGGTACCTGCACGTGCTGGTCTGATCATTCCGGACTTGCGAGACGCTTTCGCTGGGTGTGATAGAACAACCGCTGGTCCCCGAGGATGGAGTCTGCGAATGCGTCGTTGCAAAAACAGCTGAGATAGCACTGGGAGACCTCCTCACGTAGATTGGGGTTGAAAAGCCTGTCGCTTGGGGCGGGATCTGGGGGAGACTTACCGCGGTTTTGTCGTTCTGAAGAAGCCCCCTATCTTCGCTCCTGAGAGATCGATCATTTCGTGCACGTTCTCGTGCTAAGGCAGCATCGAGATAGTTTGCCCAAGTGTCACCGAAGGGATTGTTCATGGCCAGTGGCTCGATCGGCAAAACACCTTGCTCCAGCTGCGCAATAGCCAACTTGAGGGCATGTTGAAACAAGACGTAATCCATGTCCTCTGCGATGGGCGACGCCCCTAGCACACTTGGAAATTTCGCTGGCCAGGGCTGTGACAACTCCAGAAGCCTCTGGAGGGACGCAACGAGTTCTTCATGAGAATATCCTCGTACTTTGCGACTGGCGAGGCAGCCAAGTTCCCGGATCTGTAGGTACTGCAACGCATCCCCGAGGACAATATCCATGGTTAGCTCGTCTGGATGACTGAAGGCATCTGTTCGAAAGTTGAAGTTAATTTCAGATTCTGACGGAATTTCTCCTTCAGGCAGGCTCATCAGCCACGCCTCATAATCCCTCCACTTGGCGGTACTTACTGCATTGAGGTCAATTCCTCTGGAAATTGCAAGGAGAAGGAGTGAGAGGTCAAGACGTTGCTCCAAGGACGGTTCGGGCTGTGGGGAGACTGTAGCCGAGGAGGCCATAGTGTATGACTTGAAGGCTGCTAAAAGATATTAGTAGGCAGACTCGACCTGTTTGCTTGTGTGATTCTCTTGTAGGAAGGTAGCTGAGTGGTTGGCAGAGCTTGGCTTAATGTGTCCAACGCAATGATCCTGTTAATGGTACAAGATCGATGCTCCCACGGGTGCGCACCTCTCTCATACATATATCAAGTAACAAGTCCTTTGACCATCAGAGAAAGCATAGACCCAGTTCTTTGTGCCGAACGAAGGACGTGTAGGGAGAGCCCTCTCCTTGTTGATGAAACAAAGAATGAAGACACATTCAGAACATTTGACACAAAGAAAGATTGAAACAACCTGCTTTCAACGGCGCCGTGGCTGTCTAATATTCTTGATAAAGGATCAAGTCAAGAAACCGGGCACAAAGGATCCAATCTGACGCTGCCTGATTGGTTTCGAAAGCCTTGCACGGAAGTTTGGCTTGGTTCAAAGCAGACGAATCGGAATGGAATGGAATGAATTCTCTATTGAAACAATATTCAGACCGTCTAGTGTCTATATGGCGCGGTATTGTTACATCCGGTCCGATCACCGTGCGCATTCTATTCGGCAAATTCAGCATCGACCTCCTCATAATGATCGAAGAAGCCTTTATACAGCTGCACCCCGAGACCAGGGTCGAGCGAGCCTGTGGTTGCACGGATAGAATGCATTGATAACTGCGGGATGCCGCAGTCGATTGCGCGACAGCCTAATCTCGAGCTTTAAGAGGCATATAGTTAGTGTCCATAACTCTGGATTGGTCTTTGGAGAAACGTACCTAGTCATGGGTCCAATGGTGCCACCGCTTCGACTGTCGTTGCGAATTTGAAACAATTGCAACGTGCTGCCACATTTCTCGGCAATTCGGGACAACAGGGCAGTCGAGACGCTGTCAGTTGTCATGTGCCCATTAGGGTCCGCAGAGACGGCCACTCCAACGTTCAAGCGAGGCGCGTGATTCTCCAGATATGCGTAGAGGAAGTTGGGGTTGACGGCGTGAATCACATCAGAAGAGACAAGGAACGAGTTTGCGAGCGTCTGATTGATGAGGTTGGGCCCACAGTAGTCGTTGAGAGCTTCACAGATCCTCGAGATGACGCTGGGCATGAAGTTGGATCGTGCACCTTGTCTTAAGAAGCTTCCCACTTCTTCGTCGTCGAAACACCCAATCATTTTGACGATACCAGGGGAAGCGTCATCGGGGGAGGAAAGCAGCCCATGGATAGCAGCAAAGCAGCACAGCTTGTCGTCGATCCTGCCTGCAAAGATGAACTCCTTGTCCAGGCCACCAAGCTGGGCGGGCTGAATGTCGAAAAGCTCTAATTCCCAATTGACGATGGAAGTGTACTCCTTGATACCCAGTTGTCCTGCAATCGCCCGCACGAGGCGTTCTGGTTGTTTTGCGACAAATGTTCCAGCAGGCAGCTTCAGAGAAGGCAGCTCCTTTCCCGAAATGTCTGAGTTGTCAAGCCCGATGATGGGAACCATGTTGGTTTCTAGGTTAAACGGCCCCTGAGCAGCTGCCCCAAAATGAGGTGCCAGTGTTGGTATCCTTGCAATGGGCCAGTCCAGTTTGACGAGCTTTTCTTCTATCTTTCCATTGTCGTTCTTGACAAGCACCTTGCCGCCGATACCCAAGTCTCGGTCCCACCAAGTCATATTCATCCCCTGAGCGTAGGGAGCGACGCCGAGCTGAACATACCCGGCTTTCGTCTGCAGCTTTGGAACCGGCTTGACCTTTGCGGTAAGTGCATCGATATGACCGGCGACTATTCCAACACCATTTCCAGCCTTGTAGTCTTTCCCGACGGCAAAGGCAATGAATGCACTGCCGTTTCGCTTCGTGTAGTATTTTCCACCCGGCTTGATCTTCCACTGTTCACGCTCCGAGAGATACACATAACCAGCCTTGTCTAACTCCGCTGTAAAATACTCGACGGCATGGAATATGGTAGGGTTCTGGGTCATAAAGTCCAGGTACGGCTGGGTATATCTTTCCGGATAGAAGTTCTTCTTTTCAGGGCTGGGAGGTGCCGAGGAGGGCGGGTAGGCTGTATGCTGGACTATTCGGTCATAGCCCCTTGACACATGAAGTGGCATGTCCTCATGGATGGACGAGAAAAAGCCAGAGGACGTTTTGCGGACCATGGTGAGATGTGGCTTTGGGGGAGGATGGGAGATGAGAATGAAGCAGCTTGTAGGAGCTCTTTGGCGGAAGCAGTTGATATAGGAGCACAGATCTGGAACATGCGGCCAAGTTGCGATCAACAGGGACAGATGGTGTCATACGCATTCCCGGCAGGGAGGCGCCATCACCTGCACAGCAACCTTATCGCTAGCCGGCCCTGCGGCGATAAGGTCGGGGGGCGCTGGGGGTTAGCAGGCAGCGAATAAACAGGCTTCATGGGGCCAGTAAGCCTCCCCCGCACCCATCTGCAGCCCCATCCTCTTGAACGTCCCAAGTGACTGGTGCTGACCACCCCTACTGCTGACTGGGTGCGGCTCTTTCGGTGCCTCTAGCTACGCCTAGTTCCGCTTAAGTAGGTGACTGGCACTCGTATGAACCCCCATTCCCGTACCTCGACTACATCCCAATTCTAGGCTTCTAGGCTTTTGCCTTCATCCAAGCTAATTACAATCAAGGCTGGAAAAGGTTTGTCTCGTGAGGAGGCTATTGCACGGACACCACAATTTTTGAACAGTCTTGCATAGGTTCTCTATTCCAAGTCGTATGTTCCAACCCTCGACCCGGTCCAGTCTGTACTATGCAATATTCAAAAAAGTCGCGCTGCCGTCAGACGTGTGCCACACCACAGAACACAAAACATCCCTGACCCGCGGTGCTAAATCTCATCAACATCCTCATCATCGGCGCCGTCCGTCTTGATTTTCCTCGCCTTGGAAGAGGAATCCAGATCCCTCATTTCGTATTCGTCTCGGCCAGTTGACATTGCCACAGCGTGCCTTGCCGTCGGATTCTCCTCCAGGAATTCTCGAAGCCGCTTCTTGCCTTCCTCCAGAGCTTGTTGAGACGCCGCATTCGCCATTTTGAACATCGGGCCCCACAGATTGAGAGTGTAAGTGACATAGGCAGCGATGGCAATCAATATGAGGAACATGAAGTAAACAGGATTGCGAAGAACTGCAGCCATGTTAGTGCCATGTCACGGGACCAGTACTGTGAAACTTACCAGCAACGATCTCGTTCCAACCCAGCGCCAGCAAGAGACCGTAGAAGTAAAGAGGCACCTGTGTCATACCACCAATCGCACTACGCTTGGCTTCGACATATACTCCATCAGCGGCCTTTTTGAATCTGACAGTCAAATCCTGCCGTTTGGCTTCATTGAGGACCGTCGTCTCTTCTTCCAGACTTTTTCCCTCTTCCTCGTCAACCCCTCCAATGGGAGTCAAGTCTTCCTCATCGGCTGCCGTGGCAGCAGCAGGAGTAGGTCCGATCCACCGATCGAGAGGTGGTGGAGCTCCAGTCTCGGAATGCCGGAAGCGAGCAAGGAGAGGAATCAAGGTCAGAGTGCTTTCTCGAGCTCGGGTATAGATACCCTCGATGTCGTCGGTTGGACGCCAAATCCGCGGAACGCCTGCCTCGTCGTACCGGAATTTGTCCTCGAAGTTCTCTCGGAGCTTCAGTAAGAGATTACCTTCCATCATTTCTTCGTCAATCTTGGAACGGAGTACGCCCCACGATTTCCTTCTGAGACGCCAGATGCCGACTTCAACTTCTTCGGCGCTAGCGTCAAAGGAAGCGGCCCGGTCGGCGAAGCGCTTCTCAGCATCCTTCACAGTGGCGACAAACAAAGACCAGATCCGGTCCCAAATACCCTGCTCTTGTGGTCGATCACCCTGTTCGGGAGCACCAGAGCCACCGCGGCCAGATCCAAGAGCATTGAACTCTAAGCCAATGCTGTCGTTGAGTTTGCTTCTGACCCATCTTTCAACCCTTGTTGCGAGCCGACGCATTTCGTCCCTGCGTAGCTGACCTGAGATCTTGTCCAGTTCCTTCTGGTATAGGGCCATTTCTTGTTTGTAGTCAGACCAAGGCAATCCCTCGATCGCAGACTCTTTCCCGACAGACGCAAAATTGTCGAGCGCAATTTTCTTCTGCTCTGTTACGATTTCGGCGAAATCATACGATGCCCCTTTCTTCTGCCCAGCCTTGACAGCGGCACTGACTGCATCCGAGAACCGTTGAACGCCCTCTTTGTGCGCGGCCGCGAGTTGCCCAGCAAAAAGGGCCTTCAGCCTGGTATCAATCTTACTTTCAAGCTCTGTCCGTTTTCGCTGATAAACACCCTTGTGATATCTGCTTGCTTCAGTCTCGAAATTCTTGATACCATCTGCTCGCGCTCCCTTCATGGCAGCACCCAATCCGGAAATGGGTTCGGCTCTACCCATTCTTGCCGCGTCCGCTTGTTCTGTCTCACGGGGGGTGATCGCTTCGTCAAACGCAACCATGACTTCCCTCATGATCTCATCACACCTGAATTGGGCGAGAAGTTCTTGCTGGGTCGGAAGATCGAGGTCCTTGTTGTTCGCAATCTGATCCCAGATACCCTCGGCATAGTGGGAGAAGCCGTCTGCTGGTATTCGTCGGTGATATTCTGGCAAAAATATCCCGCCGTCAAATTCGCCCAAAAATGCATCTCTTCGGCGGTCACGATGGCCATCTCTGAACCGTGTTGCCATCTTCGCTACCTCAGCCTTAAATTGTTCCGGTTGATATAGCTTGTGTGGCAGTGCGGCAAAAGCAAAATCGAAGTAGTCGTCAATGCTGCTGTTCTCCAACCCCGGGGGCTTTGACAAACTGGTCCATATCCTTGCCATGTCCTGCATCAACGTGTTGCGCAAATTCTGTAGGGGAGTCGTGCCCAGGAAGTCTCGAATGACGAAATATAACAAGCTCCGTGAAGTGGATTTTCTGTCCTTAAGAAAGAGCTGGAGGTTGACTTCAAAGACAGTCTTTAGCAGTCCCAAATTGGCGCCCTGGTATAATCCCACTTGATGTTCCCAGATATTGACCATGAGAACTTCGCTGGTTGCCAACGCAAATAAAGAACTTTTGCGTTCAAAGTCCTGGTCTTCGCCTCTTTCCCGACCATCCGTACCTTCGACGTCCATGACCAGGATATTGTCCGCCATTTCTGTCGCTGTAGATTTGTTTTTTGCCAGCCATATCCCTCTAGTAGTTTGGCGTCTTTCCGACTCGGACATGACGGAGAAATCGGTTTGGAAGAGGGCATTTAGAAGAGTAGACTTGCCGGTCGACTGCGACCCGAAAACGGAGATGAGATGATAGTTGAATCCGGCATGGGACACTCCAGTGTGACTGAGATACTTGGCCAGATCCGGGCTGCGACAGGTCAGTGAGACTGGGTTTCTTAGAGCCCAAACCAGGGGTCATACTTGAACTGCTGGTCCTCGTCGATGACTTGGACACCATGTTCAAAATCCGCGGTTCCATTCTGGCCGGCGGACGCAAAATGCCCATTCACCGACATCTTTTCCGGAGCAGTGTTTGCTCGGTTGATTTGGAGAGGTCTGTCGCGGGACGTTGAGGAGGAGACGGGGGACTGCGGCGGCGAAAGAGTAGAATGCGCCATGACGGTGATGGCGGTCGGATGATATATCCCTGCAAACAAAGCCTTGGTACGTGCTAAGGGGACATGGGAAAAGAATAACTGGTCATCACCTGAACAGCCACCTGCCAGGGGGACGTGGAAGATGGTGTGCGGCCTGGGATGCGGTCGTGAAACAATTGGCAGATGATGGGGCCCAGCCAGTGCGAGTAAGGTGTCCCAACCTTACTTGTAGGGCTAGTGAGTAGTGACCCTTGAGGGCCGGTCCGGCTCACCTGCTCTAAATGCATGATGACCCCGGGCATGAGACCGTTAGTGCCTGAGGCCCCTAAAAGATTATCCGTTCCGGGCAGTCGCGGGGGTGAGCGGTTCCACTTCTGCCTGTTTCTCAACGTTGACGTTCTGCAACCTTCAGCCTTGTCCTTTCTCTACCCAGAGGACCTGCACCAAAGAGAGTCTTGCTCCCTCACAAGCAGAGGGGGCAGAGTAAGGTATTCTGTATGCGCCTTATTATAAATATGAAATACGCCCATGGACACATGGCAAGAAAAGAGTGCTCTCACTGACAGGATCTGATGTGCTTTAGAGGCACGGTTGGAGCCTGAAGGGAAACTGACGCTGACTGCTGGCACACTCGCCACCCTGTCCACGATTCGGTCGCTTCTGGAGTTGGTCCAAGGTACTGATTGAGGACGTCGAGAAGTGTTTGGACAATACTGTTGTGTTTTGAAGTGGATGGGTCATTTGATGGCCACGCGCAGGCCTGAGTTCCCGGGCCAGAAATACTTCGCACTACCACGATCAGTGCCGCGGCCAGAGTCCAACATGGTTTCGTGTCTTGCGACAAATACATACCAGCGCCGAGAAGAAACTTTCCACAGTTGGGATCTCTCAAATTCATCAACCGCGCCGTATCTGGTTCTTGGTCCACTTGGCAAAACAACCGTGGTGAAGCTGCTTTGACCATACCTTCCCATCCTCAACTCAAGATATCTCTGAGAGGGCCGCTTCAATCTCAGTTTGTTTCACTCACTCACCACTCAATCACACACACACACACACTCTCTCTCTCTCTCTCTCTGTCTGTCTCTCACTCTCTCTCCTTGCCACGCCAACATCTCGCAACCATGCCTCCAAACAAGAAGAAGAACCGCCGCAACAGAGTTGCAACTCAGAATCAGGACCAGTCCCTCCCACCCCCAAAGACTGTCCCATGTCCTCGCTGCCATGAGGAGATCATCGTCCCCAAAACTTGCAAGCACGGCAAGAAATTGATCAACTGTCAAGGAACTGGATGTACCACGGCCCACATCGATGAGCACAACGAGCACTGTCAGCCGGTTGCGCCATCCCGACCTGCCACATCTGGACCTGCCAATACACCACCAGAATTTTCCGGACCAACTCTGATAACTGGCCCGTGGGTCACTGGACCTCCAAATGCACAACTCTCCGCCGCTCTCAGGACCTTCAACTCCATGCACACGGTAGCGTTGGGAGAGCTGTCTTTTCAACTCACGAACCTCATGACACGCCGCGGAAAATACGCAAAGTATGTTGACGGTATGCCAGTGACGGAGTGGTTCCACAAAGTCGAAGATGGGAGTGTGCAACTGGTCAACCAATGGACCGAGAAGTTGAGGAAGGTGAATAACGGCGAGCAGACTGTCGAAGAGATCGGATACGATGATGATGAGAGTGAAGACCTGGGCGACGAATGCGCAACACCATCAGAAGACGAGTGATGGCAACACGATATGCGAAAAAGGTCAGTCGGATGCTCGACGGACATGAACAAACATCCTGTATACAGGTGATTGCGCACATCTCACGGTCATCAAGCAAACCAATACCCAACCTGTTTATTGGGGATAGAGGGACGCATGAATGGCATTGGCACTCGGGTGCATCGAAAATGGGAGGGTTATCCGTGTCAAAAGACAACCCCTGATCAAAGGTATCAACTACATCCCACGCAAAATTGGCACCAGTTCGAGCTCAAGATGCTTGTTGATCATCCGCGCTTGCTCCCCACCTGCTTAGAAGCAGAAGCCATTGTCAAATAGTCTTCATAGGAGAATAGAAGCTGAAGCCTGTGGCTGGCAAAACGATTACCTAGGACGTCGCTTCAACTCGGCAGTAGTGATAGAGGCCAGATGAACCTGAATTGCTGGCTCCGTGGAAAACACAGATTGTTGATAATGAATCCCTCCATAGGTGTCTTACCAGGCCCGCTAGTCTCGAACCGACTTCGAGAACTTGCTGGGCATCCGAATCGGATCGGACGACTTGCGAGTAATCACCACACAAACACCGAGCAGGTGAAATTGGCAAGACAAGCAACCTGTTGTGGCATGTCAGGAAGCCTTGCGTGGCCGTCATGGCCAATTGTTACATATGTACAAAGAGTTCCCGTCTGTCGACGCCTTTCTCCCTTCCACGCTGGTATACTTCTCTATGTTTCGGCCATGCTCAGACTCCCAGCCAGGCCATTCAGCACCACATTTTGAGAGTCGGAATATGTGATGCAGCGCCGGCATGGTGCCGCGTGTTCATTGTGGTTGAGTGGCGTCCTTCTTTCTAACACCAACATCCTTCTCCCACGGCATGACCACTTGTGGATAATCGGCAAAGAGCTGCTTGTCTCGCAGGTGAATTGGCGTCTGGCCCTTTGGTGTATCGGGAATTGTCTTCTCCAAGCCCTGTACCATCAATCAGTCCAGAAGTCCGTGCGGGATGTCTGAACATAGGTACTTACGATCTTCTGGAAGACACATCGGTTAAGCACACGTTCTGGCCGTCGACATTGCCATAACTGGTGGTTATTGTTCTCCAGACAACTCCAATGTGCTCGAAACTCCTCTAGGCAGCTTTTGTTGATGTCGGCCAATCTGCGGCATACACAACCAATATCAGCAATCTGCACCTGAAGCAACTCTCTCGTTCTAATTCACAGTATAATCCCAGATCTCTTCCTTTTGGATTATGGGGTCAGAACTGACACGCTCGCTGCACATCTCGTGACTTTCCTCCCTTCCCGCATGCAATCCAACTCTCCCCTGCCGTATGCCTCGGTCTTGCACTGCATGTAGTCGTCATTGTACGGTCGGCACCTCGCACCGATGAAGAAGGATGCGCTCAGTAAGGGTGCTGAACTGGCTCCGATCTCCTCGACTTTCGGGATGTGGTCGGGCATGGGCGTGGTGTCAATGAGCACATCGGTGCTGAATCTGTGGACAGACTGTTAGCCAAAGCTGCGTCCCGAAAGCCTGAAGGACTCAATAAATACCTTGCTTCTCGTTTCGCCATGGTTGCAACTGTTTTGCCCACGCCACAAGCACTGTTTGAGACTCTCCGGTAACAATAGCTCTGTTTGTCCGTGTAAGTTGAAGTTCAAGCTGCGGAGGCGGAGCTCCAAATGCCAAGATGCGCTTGAACCGCTCCTGGCCGACTCCAGATGGGGAAAGGGAGTGATGCCGCCCTTGGCCTGAAGCGCTTGCCAAACTATGCTTCACCGTACCTATACACTTTGTTCGTTGGGAGATTCAGTTGTACGTTAGACCCATGTCAGAGTGACCGAGTTAGAAAGTTCCGCGATTCCAGAAGTGCTCTATCACGGTAGAGTAGCCTCGTGATAGCATACCGAATGTATCTCTCCAAACCAAGCATGACACAATTGACACAACTGACACAACTTTGAAGACGCCTGTCTCATTCATTATCGGAGGAAATAGGTGTGCCAAGACGAGTTTGAAAGCAACAGAGCTTGATAAGACTCGGATAAAACTGAGGGACAACAATCTGTCAATATGAATTGGGTGGTTGTTTCTCCTTGATGCGGCAGAAAACTCGTTATCTTGCTGGAATTGTCCATCCTGTTTTGGATCAGATAGATGGGCACAGACATCGCACCCGAATCTCCAGAGTTCCCGGATGGACCGCATCCGCCCGATGCGCTGAGATGGACGGACGAGCATGACCCAGAGAACCCGTAAGCGAAGCCACTTTCTTCAATCCTACAGAAGCCTTACAAATCTATCAGGTTCAACTGGCCAGCTACCAAGCGTTGGGGGGTGGTGGGTTTGGCGTGCTATGTGTAGGTCGTGAGGAGCAGTCTTCGAGATGGTCAAGCAACTGATAAGCATTCAGAACTTTTATTGTTGGATGGAATGCCACGGCAGTCTCGGGAGCAGCGATAGAGATTGGCGAATACTTCGGCGTCAGTGATGAGAGCTTTCCCAATTCATTTTGGCCCGTCACATCATGGACGACTGGTGCCGCTATGGCGCCCATGATCGTGCTGCCCATTATGGAGGATTTTGGCGTCCGGCCAGGATATCTGGTGAGTTTCCCTTGCGTGAGCATGTGGAGGTGTGAATTTAGAGTCCTGACAAGGATTGAGAGGTCAGATTTCTTATTTCATATTCTCGATCTTCGTCATCCCGCAAGCTGTGGCCAAGAATTTCGCAACACTGATTGCGACTCGCTTCTTTGCGGGCTGCTGTGCCGGCATTCTGCAGGATGGAACTGATGGTATTGTCGCCGACTTGTTCCCCGATCCTGTAAGACGAAGTCTTCCCATCAGCTGCTACGTGTTTTCCCTCCTTGCCGGAGTCACAATTGGACCAGTCATTGGCGGTGCTATCAACGAAAACTTGGATTGGCGATGGTACGAAACTCTTTCGGTTCACGAAGCGTGTGGAGACTCCTGCTGATCCAACCCAGGTTATTCTACAGCCAACTCTGCATCTACTTTGGCTCAATGCCGATGATATTTCTCGTCATGAAAGAAACACGGGGCCCTGTCATCCTGTTGAAGCGGGCTAGAAAGGTATCTCATCAACAAGTCAACGTCTCCGAATTAGAGAAACAGCAACATCATATCAGCATCGTCCAGTTCTTCAGAGACAACGTGGTGCGCCCTGCCTATATGCTTGTCACGGAGCCGGTTGTCTTCTTCTTCACGCTCCTGACAGCACTCTCCTACGGCATTGTCTTCGTCTCATCGCAGAGTGTCACCCAAGTCTTCATGGCACTGTACGGATGGCCGGAGCACCAAACCGCCTACATGCAAGCAGCGATCGTGGTGGGCGAGTTCCTTGGCCTCCTCATCTGCTTTTATCAGAACTACCTGTTCGAGAGAGCGTTTCGGCCGGAAAGCCGCACACCCAGGTCCCGACTCCCGGAAGTCCGCCTGTACATGAGCATTCCTGGCTCTTTCATCGGACTCGCTGGCGGACTCTTTTGGTACGGCTGGACAAGCTACAGCTCCCTGCATTGGATTCTGCCCACCATCGGGCTGGCCCTGACTGGGATAGGCAGCATGGTGGTCATGCAGGCTGTCATGATGTATCTCACGGACGCTTATGCGAAGTATGCTGCGAGTGCCAGCGCTGCTGCTTGCGCAGGCGAAAACATCTTCGCCGCCTTCCTGCCTTTGGCTGCTCAGTCAATGTACACCAACCTGGGATTCCAGTGGGCCAGCAGTGTGTTGGCATTCATTGCGCTCGCCTTGAGCTTTGCACCCATAGTACTCATATTCTACGGCGAGACCATCAGAAGATGGAGTCCATTCATGTCCCAGGCCACATATGAATGAGTACTTGGTGTCGTTATAGAAGACAGATAGACAAAGGGATGGGAGGCTAGTACATGTCCTTCTCCAATCCTTGGGGAAAAAACCGGCATCACCTCCACATCTGACAGTACTTTCCCCGATCATATCTTATACTATATGCATTCCATTTCCCTCATCTATTCTCAGTACTGCCAACTACCAAATTCCAACACCTGAGCTGGCGTATTGAGGTGAATAGCTACGACCAGTCCGCTCGACATCCCTGACCATAACCTGGGCCTCACTTTTCTCGATCGATCGCCGCGACTCAAAGCAATGTCCCCCTCCACCGCTGGCCCATCTCTGCTCCGCGGCTCGGCGGTCCTGATCATTTGGGGCGGCGTGCCGGGCTACGAGGACGCGAAAAGGGAACGCGACCTGAACGACTGGTGGACGTACGAGCATCTGCCGGAGCGTCTGGCGTTGCCGGGCTTCCAGCGCACGCGGCGGTATTACCGGCCCAGCCCGAGCAACTCGAACTACATGGTGCTGTACGAGGTGTCGTCGCTGGCGGCGCTCACGTCGCCGGAGTACATGCACGCGCTGAACAACCCGACGCCCGGCACGCGACAGTACATGCGTGTGATGTCGAGTCTGAGCCGGTCGGCGTGCCGCGTGCTGGCGTCGGTGTCGCGGCCCGAGTTTGCGTCGTGCAGGGTCGGCGGCGCCGGCGGGATGCTGGCACATATGGTCTTCGACGCCCCTGTGGCCGCCGACCGGCGCGCTGTGTTGACGGACTGGCTATCCCGCGATGCCTGGCCGACGCTCTGCGCGAAACACTCCAGCCTGCTGGCCATGCACGTGCTCGAGCACGACGAGGCGGCTACTAGCTCCGGCAGCTCGACCAAGTCGTACGACGAAGTCAACTTCAAGAAGAAGAAGAACGAGGGCCCCGAGAGCTCCAGCCCCGAGGCGCCGCCCCAGTGGATGGTGTTGCTCGAGTTCACGGACCCCTTCGGAGCCCCCTTCGCATCCTATGACCACAACAGCGACGATTTGAGGCAGGGTCTGGCGGACCATGGTGTCGATGTATCCAAGTTGACGCAAGAATTATTTGGATTGTTCGTCGTGATGGAGGAGTAGAGAAGGTTGGTGGCCGTCCCCTTTCTGAAGAAGAAGAACAAGACGACGAAGAAGAAGAGGAACAAGGCGGCTGAAGCAATCTATGTCGTTATTTTCCTGCTTCTATCTATCATCAAAAGATGAGATGGGACTAATACAGCCGAATCGAGGAATCAATAAGCACCTGGCGAGCACCATTGTGTTGTCAATGTGCTCAGTACTTTTGGAAACGCTTTTCTTTCGATCGGTGCCCCTTTGTGAACAAACCTACCTGTGCCTTTTTCGACGGCCAGTTTGTACCAATCTGACCTCAACACACCTTTTACCCTTCACTCATCGAAGCCGTATCAATCTTGAAATTCCCGATGTCATTAAGGTAATCCGGATCTGTAATGTCATTAGATTAGCCCGGTCCTTGTAACTGTAAGAGCAGCAGATTTGCCTACCAGTTTTCTCTTCCATGATGTATTTCTGTGTCTTGCTGATCATTCCCGTCAATTCGCTCGTCAGCTCGTGTGTTCTCAACCTGACTTTCTCATTCCGTTTCGCTGCGCCCTTGATAGCCTGCATGGCCACGTGGTACCGACTAGTGGCGTTTACAAGCATCATATTGAAAGGTGTGGTGGTGGATCCTTCTTCATTGTAGCTTGCAATGGTAACACGCTGCATGTTGGGCCGCCCGAACAGCAGCCCTTTAAGTTCATTCGCATAGCCGTGATAGTTGAAGTGGATGGGAACGTCTTCGGTGAATAGAGCGTCGAAAGCGTCGTCTGTCAAAGCGTGAGGGTGGCTACTAGACGCCCCCAATATCATGAGGTCCGTGACATTGACAACCCGCACGCGCATCTCGGGCATCTTGGACCGAAGCAAATCTGCTGCGGCAATGACCTCGAAGGTCAATTCCGCTCCGATGCCAACCAATACCACATCCGGGTTCAGTCCATCGTCTGTGGACGCAAATTTCCAGACGGACGCACCAGCACGGCAGTGGTTCTCCGCCTCGTCCGCCGAGAGGAAAATGGCGGAAGGTTGTTTGGAGCCCACCATCAGATTGACATAGTTCTTCGATTGGAGGCAGTGTGCCATTGTAGAGAGGAAAGTATTTGCGTCGGGGGGAAAATAGACTCTTGCAGCATGTGGCTTCAGGTTCAATACCGCGCCGATGAAACTTGGGTTCTGATGCGAAAAGCCGTTGTGCTCTTGCCGTGTCCAAGTCGACGTTTCGAGGTAATTAATGCTAGCAATGTCGTCACGCCATTTTGACTCACGAGCCATCTTGCCGAATTTGGCATATTGGACCATCATGGTGTGGATGATACCGAGGAAAGCCTCGTAGCTTGGGAATAGGCCAACTCGACCCGTGAGCGTGTAGCCCTGTAACCAACCTTGACATTGGTGTTCGGAAAGCGTCTCAATCAGACGGCCGCCCCTCGCATTGGAGAATTGGTCCCACTGAAAGTTGCGATTCGTAGAATTCAAGACTGCATCCAGCTTGTTGGATTCGAACTCGTCGGGAGAGAAGATCCTGAAGGTCGTGGGATTGTCTTTGACGATCTGCTCGAGGAGTTTGCCGACTGTTTTCATGGAGCTCTCCGAGGTGCCCTTTTTCACTGCAAATTTGTGCCAGTCAATGGGCTTTAGCCCTCGATAAGCCCCATAGACTTCTTTCTTCTGGCCGAGACGGCGGTCTGGATTCTCAGGGATGGTCGACTTAATATCGTCGACCACATCACCATTGTCCTTGAAGAGTTCCTTCGGCTTATATGACTCCAGCCATTCTTGGAGCAGTTTCAGTTCTTCGGAGTCGGTCTTGGCCTTTGGTAGAGGAACCTGGTGTGCCTTGAAAGAGCCTTCGACGATCTGACCGTGGACTTTCTTGGGTCCAGACCATCCTTTCGGAGTACGGAGAATCAGCACTGGCCAACGTGGTTTCATTATGGGATTGCCACTTCTGGCGGCTGTTTGTATTCGTCTGATCTCAGAAAGAGCCCATTCCATGGAGTTGGAGAGGTCTGCATCGATATCGTCCAGGTCATCAACCACTCTCGGTTGGTATCCGTACCCTGTGAACAAGGCTGCCATTTCCTTGTCATCCATACACCTGTGGACGATTGTTAGCCCATATCCGACGGGAGGGACCCGAATCAACCATTCTCTCCAAAATGAACTGGTCCATTCAGGAAGAGAAGGGGACTTGCCCGTAGATGGTTCTTTCACTGATTTTGAAGCCGTTGACGTGCACAATCGGTAGGACTGCTCCGGACTCCCGCGGGTCGATGTACTTGTAACCGTGCCACGCCGTTGCAGTAGGCCCCGTCTCGGATTCACCGTCACCCACGATGCAACAGGCGATCAGATCTGGATTGTCCATCACCGCTCCAAAACTCACGCTAAGAGCATACCCAAGCTCCCCACCTTCGTGAATAGCCCCCGGTGTCTCAGCATTGATGTGACTTGGAAAGCCACCCGTCGTGCTAAAGTTGGAGATGAGATTGCGCAGGCCTCGGGCATCTTGCGAACAGTGAGGGTAGAACCTGGCCAAAGACCCTTCGAGCCACAGATTGGCCAGAATAGCCGGAGCACCGTGACCTGGTCCAACAACGTACAACATATCCAGGTCATGGGTCTTGATGAGGAGATTCAGATGTGAGTACACCAAGGTCAGCCCAGGACATGTTCCCCAGTGGCCCAGCAATCGGGGCTTGATGTCTTCGAATTTGAGATCTCGCTGAAGAAACACATTATCCTGTAGAAAGATCATGGCGGCAGCGATATAGTTGGCTGCGCGTCTATACTTTGCAATAGCCTCATTGGTCTTGTCAGCCAATGTGGGCTTATCGAGTTTGACCAACAGATTCGAGACATAGTCAGGGACATTCGAGGGCGCAGGTTCGGGATTTGGGCGATCGATCACTTCACCAGGCATTGTTAAGTGGCGTCTGGGGGTACAAATGTAAAAAAAAAGGCCTATGCTTGCGGTTGTATGGAAGCGGTAGCGGGTGGTTCGGGATACGTGTGTTTGGGTAATGCCTGCACAGTCAGCAAGCAAGGAGAAGAAGCTTTTCAAGAGGTAGGAAGGAGACTCGATCGAAATCAATGGTTGATACCTGCCTCATGTCTCATCATCACCTCAGCAGGCGGAAGAAACCTCCAGCCGTGATGTCAATTGATCAATGAATAGAATGAACGGGAGTTGACTGATCGACGTCACCGAGAAGCAGGTTCGTGGATGCCCGCAAAGGGTTGCAGGTGTGAATCTGACTTGACATGGGGATCTGCACATCGTCTGTCCAGTAAAAGGTGAGCGCAACTCGCCGACAAACCATGTGGTGTTGGTGGTGTGATCTCATGGGATATTTAAATCCAGCTCCAGGATAAATAACAAGCCATGTCAACGCCCGGGCTCGTCCAAAGTGTATTGAGAAACTTGAACCTGCTTCACAAGATGGCCAACGTTATCCTTTCCATCAATGCCGGAAGCTCTTCATTGAAGACGACACTGTTTGTGGAGGAAGAGAACGAGGGCAAAGCCAAAGGGCTACGGCGCTTGGGCAGTGCGGAAATATCTTCCATCAATGCCCCTCCTGCGCGCCTAAAATATCTTCGTGGCTCCTACAAAGACACCCGCGAAGTCGGCGACATCAATGACCACAACCACGCCTTTGAGCATATTTTGAACGCCTTCCTTGCTGACACCGATATCCCAGAGGTCTCCAGCAAGGATGACATCGACTACACGGCCCATCGGGTGGTACAGGGAGGAAACTTCGAGGAAAAGTGAGCAAAGATTCGCGAGTCACACATGCTGTGGTGCGAAACTGACTGCTCATCAGCCAGTTTATAACCAAGAAGACGTTGAATAAGATCAACAAGCTGTCAGATCTGGCGCCCTTGTACGTACTCGAGGACTCCAAACGTTTCACCTTGCGAAATGCTAATCGTTATCTAGGCACAATGCCTCCGCTGTCGGTCTCATGCTGGCATGCCATGAGCATTTACCCAATGTCATCAACGTCGCATGCTTCGACTCCTGTTTTCACCAAACAATGCCTGACTACGTCAAGAGCTATGCCATCGACCAAAAGATTGCAAAAGAGAAAGGTCTGCGCAAGTATGGGTTTCATGGGCTGAGCTACCAGTACATCACAAGAGCCACGGCCGCGTTCCTGGGCAAACCGGAATCTGAGACGAACATTATTGCACTTCACCTTGGGAGCGGTGCATCGATGTGTGCAATCCAAAACGGACTGTCAATAGACACGACAATGGGCTTGACCCCGGTCTCAGGGTTGCCAGGAGGTTCTCGGAGTGGAGATATTGACCCAAGTCTTGTCTTTCATTACACTTCCGATGCCAGTGCGCTGAGCCCGAACAGCACGAAGGATCTTCACATCTCCACTGCAGAAGAGATTCTCAACAAACAGTCCGGATGGAAGGCATTAACCGGGACATCAGACTTCGCAAAGATTGCCGACCCGAACGCGCCGGACACTCACAAACTCGCGTTCAACATCTTTATTGACCGGGTCGTCGGATTCGTGGGCAACTACTATGTCAAACTGGGCGGCAAAGTTGATGCCTTGGTCTTTGCCGGTGGCATTGGCGAAAAGAGCTCCTACTTACGACAAGTGGTGATCGGCAAAGTGTCGTGCCTCGGGTTCACGATCGACGACGAGAAAAACAAGAAGGGCACGGATGGAAATAATGTGGTCAACATCGGCACCAACGGAACGATACACACGTTGGTCTGTGAAACGGACGAAGACGTAAGGCTCCACACCCATTCGATTGAGGATCTCCTGCTGACAGCCTGACAGTATGAGATGGCTCATTCGGTCCTGGCAATGCTCTACAAGAAATAAAACAGCCACTGACTTAGACGACCTGATGACGAAGCACGCACGACAATAGACTTTAATCCCATCTACAAATTAGACCGAAAGTTGCAACACACCGGCCTTGTTTCTACACGGCTTCTTCTTTCTAGGCTGTCTAATGCCGGTCCTTTGTCATTAGTCACTCCGCTTGCCTTGCCTACATACCAGATTGGGGAAACGCCAGATGCTAATTGGTCTCGGACCCCGAGTCTCGAATCCCTTTCAGGTACGGTCCATGGAGGCGCCATGTGCACGAACTCGATTTGTCATGAGGTCCATGGACCGAGAAGCGTTCTCTGTAATGGCTGCTGGGTGAGTAAGCTGGTTTGGTAACGTGCCCAGCCTTGACCACAATCCTCCGCAGCTGTGACGCCTTGCCAAACAAAGGCAGCTCGACCTCAACGCACGATGGCCAGACTGCGGAGAGCTTCTAATCCTTCGTAACACAACCTCTCGAAGCTTGGTACTTGCCAATGTTGCCATGGAACAGCAAACATCACGGCCATGATTAGTAGTACTCTGCGGGGACCTGCATACCAGCGTCGAACTGAAAGCAGAGAGGGCTGGTGCGGACCACTGCTCTACCAAGGGATGGAGTACCATGTTCGTAACTATTTAAATGCAGTGTTTATGCCATTGGAAGGTGAGTCTCGCAAGTATCAAGGGCACTGTTTTCCTTGAAATTCTCAAATACAAGGCTCACAGTATCACGGGACGATGCATTTCTCTACTTCCATGTGGCTGTGGCTCCTGCTTCCAGCCTTGGAAGCTACCGCTCAAGCTGTTCCCAAGCATAATTATACGTGCACGAGCTTCATGGTCAAGGTGCCAGTAAACAACGCAACAGTGGTGGTCCCTCCGTTTCCAGAACTCCCAAATCAATATGCTGCCACGGCATTTGCGAACCAAATCACACTTCGGACGCCCTCTTCTCCGGACCTCAACCTGACCACATTGACGAGGACTTTCAACATCAGCGCAGAGTATTGTACTCCAGCAAAGCCTGGTCCCAAGGCGTCGACCTTGCACATTCTCACACACGGTCTTGGATTCAACCGAAGCTACTGGGACTTCTATCTACCCGCAAAGCCTAATGACGCTCAGTATTCTTACATTAACAGCGCCACGGGCGCTGGGTACAGCACACTGTCCTGGAATCGTCTGGGGATTGTGCCCTCCACCATCGCAGATCCATATACGGAAATCCAGAGTCTTGTTGAAAGTGCGGTGCTTATCAGTCTTACGACCCTCGCACGCGCAGGGAACATCTCACAAGTCCCTGTGCCACAGAAGGTCATCCACGTCGGCCACAGCTTCGGCAGCGAGTTGACCGCGTCGCTCGCCTCGGCCGCCCCAGATCTCACCGACGGCGTGGTGCTGACCGGCTACTCCGCAATTAGCAATTTCACCACCTTATTTGTGGCTAACTCAGCGCTACACTTTGCAAACACGAACCAACCGAAGCGCTTCCCGCCCAGTACCTACTCCTCTGGCTTCCTTACTTGGCCAGACAAATACGGCAACCAATACTCCTTCTTCGAGTATCCGTACTTCGATCCCGCCGTGCTCGACCGCGCCGAAGCAACCAAATTCCCGTTCACATTTGGCGAATTCCTCACCATGGCTGCTCTGCCCCTTGCGGCGCCAAACTTCAAGGGCCCTGTGCTTTATCTCGCCTCTGAGGCCGATTTGATCTTCTGTGCTTCGAATTGCACAGGCCTCTTCGGACCCGACAGTGCTGCGGTACAGTCGTTCAGTGGGAGCAGCAGTGTCGAGACCTATCTTCAGCCGAATGTGGGTCACGGGCTCAATCTGCATCACAACGCTACGGGCGCGTACAATGTGATTCTCGATTGGGCTAGTAGATCTGGATTCTAAGAGAGGCTTGGAGGAAGACGTGCTGGATCAAGACTTAGACACTTATGTCGGTCGCTACCAATTTCAAGGGAGACAGTCAGGGACCATCAACGGAAAGTAGCTAGCATCTCAGCCCACCAGCCTATGCTGATCAGCCAAAGTAGCCTATATAGTAATACCAAGACCTTACGATGATCTTGTATGTGTACCCAATCATCGTCGCATTGATATACAAAATGGTCGTGAGAATATACATGAATTTTGGTTCATCACAAATGTCTCATGAAGTTCCTCCTTTCGAGCCGAAAAGTCGACCACTTGCCAGAATCCTCCTCGTACATCCCGAGCCCTCTTCAAGTTTCAAGACTACTGGTTCTCCAGCCTTCGTGTGAACGCATGAAGACTACCGGACAGAAGGCCCGTGCGGTGTTCAAGAAATGCCGCCATCGTTCACGCCCTCGGAGAAGGATAGTTTAGGCTCAGGTGTGGGAGAGCGTTTCGAGCTTCCCCCATCGTTGACACCTTCTGAGAATGATAGCTTTGGTTCCGGCTCTGGTTCACGTTTCTCGACCAGTTCAATGACGGCAACATACTCCCGGCGAGTCTTTACTTTGCTGCTGCCTCCGTCATCGACTCCCTCCGAGAATGACAAGCCTGGGCCTGGTGAAGGGTTGCGCTCGACCAGGTCTGAAGAGAGAATTCCTGCTACGGGGTGTTCTATTAGCATCTTTGTGTGGGATGTATGCGTACGAACATGACGCTCGTTGGGACCGGATGGGACAGACATACCGGGCACGGGAACGGCAATGGCTGTGTGGAGAAGAGCTGCCGAGAGCAGCATGATGGTGGAGGCTGAGGAGAAGTGCATCTTGTAGTTGGATATCACCACTGGGCTGGGAGGCAATGTATAAGGTGTGAACGTGGATGTGATATGTTCTCGGGATACGTGCTTTCTTGTATTGCTGGGTATTAGAAAGAGGGGACTGTAGATAACAGAGGAATAGGATGGGTGCTGGATGTAAGGCGGGGTTGGCTTATGGACTTCTTCCTACCTCTGGGATATTGATAAGAAGCTGCCATCTTTATATTACCTCCAGGACTCGTGGAAAAATTCCACAGACGCTGACATCTGATGGAACGCAGGATCGGACAATTACGTGTCTGCAAGTAGCGCGGTGGCTTGCCTGGACCACGTCGATATGTATTCATAGTAGTATGCGGTCTGCATTTGACACGGTGACGACGAGTTATTTCACCACGATTCCATAGAAGCAGGCCTGGTCTAGGAGAGCTCACCGAAATAGACATACTTGCAGATAGAGGAAAGCCAAACACCGGAAGATCCAGCCGTGAAGAATTCTGGCCTTTGGGTCGACCGCAAGGCCGAAGAAGCGACCATCTCCATGTGCTGGTCTCTGAGTAGCTAGCGACGCCGTGACAGTGGAACCGAAGCGACCCGGGGGCCGTCTTTTCACACGTCTCTGGCTAAGGGCAGTCCAAAGCCTTCCCCGGTCGCGAGAGCAAACAGCCGCACACGGAGTCTCATCCAATTGGGCGACAGAGGGCTTGAGAATATGCTAGTCCAGGACAGTTGACTGGATGAGATGATCGGAAAGATGTGGCCGTTTCATGGCCCTGTTAGGCTAATGTGGTCCGGCCCGGTTTGCACACTGCGACACAGTTCAGGGAGACAAAGTGGTGCTGGCGCTTACATACCCAATATATCAAGTTTCCACCCAAATGCCGTACCTCTCTTGCCTTTTGTGCGAAGTTTACTATATTCGCACGACTGCATGGTTCTTTTTGGTTCGTGAACTGTGCTGGTGCTGGTGCTGCTGCGTTACCCACAGCTGCAGCCTGAATTGGAGTTGTGGAAACCCCGTTTCGAGACTCGCGGTCAGCTTCGTCTCCATTTGGCGAAGTTAGCTCCAGTCGGTGAGCCGTGTCTCTAGGAGCGGTATCCAATTTGTGCATTCCTCACACGAATGGGTTTCGAGGCAGAATATCGTGTCGGAGACCGGTGCTCCAGCGGGTCGAGTTTACGGGTATGGTCCCAGCAGTCGCCGTCCAGGAAGCGTTTACCATGGAAGATATTGGCCTATTGGCGGAGGGGAGAAATGGATGGCTGCTCCCAAGCGCATGGGAACTCTCTTCCACATCTGAAGCCATCACCGACATTGGGATGGTCACGGTAGCCGGCCAGTACGCAAGCTTGATCACAACAGTTGATCGAGTCTCGAAACCTGACGGCCCAAATCAATCACACAGATCTTCGTCCGACTACCTTCCACGAGTCTCATCCACAACCGCCGCATGGCTGTAGAATCCGTCGACTCAGGCCATGGGACACGCAGGTTCCGACCTAGGTCGGGGGCTTGGGATGGAAGCGGCTGGAATGCGGTCTGGCCACTTCCTTTTTCCTCTCTGTCTGACTACTCGTGCATCAGAGACGATGTTGCCGCACAGTGATATGGAGACCAATATTGTGTCAAGTAGGGAGAAGGAAACCGCTTGTCTCAATTGACATTGTGGAAGTTGCGTTTTGCTTTTCCTGATTTCCTGCCTCTTAGTCGAGCTGGCGTCCCGAGCTGGTTATATGGAGTAAGTATCAATAGTCCGAATCTTGCCAGCCTGTCTCTCCTCAATCCGATACCGCGAGAGCACCTCGAACGAGGCTAGTTGACGAATTCACGCCTCAAGCCTCATCAATCCCAATTCATCAACAAGTGATTCTGGTTCGTCTGGCGTATCCCGACATTACAGACCATGTGGCGGCTGAGGAAGCTGCCCAGCTCCTCCGGTTCCTGGGCAGGGACTTCGGACGAACTTGACGCTGCGGCTTCAGTGGGCAAAAGGCCTTCTTCATCGTCATGGAGAGACCACCACCATTGGCTGCCGCTCAGCATGCCGTCCTCGTCGTCGAATTCCTCCGCGGTTTGATGCGAGATCACGCCGCTGTCAATGTCCTCGACGGTCATCCTGGCAATCCAGCTCCATTTACGCCAGAACCACCGCCTGACTTCCCAACTCCTCTTGTTCCAAGCCACACCATCCCGCATGCTCCGCCCAAAGTTGCCATTGGCACGCTCCCGACCCCAGCAGACCATGCCGTCGTGCATCAGGTCAAGGAAGAGGCTCATGTGGTCAAGCCTCTTGGCGCTCGAGAGGTAAATGGCCATGCTCCGGAAATGAGGGAAAGGAATGCAATCCAGGTATGAGGGGTGAGGAATGATGAGTTGATGGGCGGTGGGTCGGAGATCGACCGGGATCGTGTGAATGTTGGCATTGGAAGTGGTTGAAAACGGAGACGGGTGGTCGTTGACATATGAAACAACGGATATACCTAGGCTCTGAGCGATGGACATGGTTGCCGCGAAACATGATTCTCCAACCAGTTGAAGGTGGTTCTTATAGGGTGACGGGAGGGATGGTCGTGTTCGTGATATACTTCTAGATGCTGACGAGCGAGAGCCGAGGGAAGGCTGAGGGGAATATTGAAATGGTGAGAGCTGTCTCATGGGAGACACGGAGGGAGACAGAGCGCTCAGCGGGCTTTCTCGTGGAGTAAAGCCTGGTGGAAGCGTATATGTCTTAGAGTCGACATCGTCGGGGACGGGCCAAGAGTGTCGCATGTCTAGAGCGTCTGGGATTGGTGGCACGTAGTAGTAGACCGCCACTCTCAGGGGAAGAATTGGCTCTGGGAGCGTTGGCACTTTGTTTGCGCCCTCGTCGGTGCCCACGTCTATCGATATTTCGTCAGTGGGGGCTTTTAGAATGGTGTTAGATGAGCCATCGCCAGTCTCCAACGGTTCCGCTGGGGAGGCCAGGTGCTCGGCGGTCGAGAGCTGCTGTGCATGTTCCCTCTCGCGCTTTGATAATTCCTCTGCGACCTTGGCTTTGATCTCTTCGTCTCGACGTTGCCTCTGCCTTTCTCGCCAGAGGCGTTGTGATCGCCGGTTTTGTTCCCTCCGCGCATCGGTGAGCTTTCGCTTGTACTTATCTGGGGGCTTCGGTTCAGGGCTATGTCCTGGGCCAGCAGACGAAGAGCTCGACATGGTTTTGTCTCCAGTTATTTATTTCCTCATATCTCAGGGAAATCGGTGTCAGGGCGTGATACAGTACGAGAGCCGCAGAGTTCGCAGGATACCCGGGATGACCGGCTATTACGAGAAGTCGAGCACAACTTGTACTAAGTCTCCCCTGAATCCTTCTGCCTGGGTTCGCAGGTGTTGCTGAATGCCAGTTAATGTGACAAAGATGAAGAGATGGCTTCGGAGTGCGTCGTATTGTACCGAGTAGTTGAATCAAAGATGAGAGCCATTCAGGTGGAGGCAAGGCACGATGCACTTGGCGTCTTTTTCAAGTATTACACGCGTGATACATCCACGTGGAAGTCTGTGGCTCGGTCCGGAGGACACAATAGGGCTCGAAGGTGCGTGGAGAGACGGTAAGCAGAGGTATATACAATAGTTACGACAGGCTTTTTAGAGACAATACAGTCGTGCTCTACAGAGATGGGTGGTTACAACTGTATGGAAGCGTAATTACAAGCCGTTACGGGACCTTCGGACAACCTTCCCAGTCGAGGAGGTTATTTAGCCCCAACTTCGTGATGCTGTGGCCAGATTTTGCCAGATGCAGAGTCTCGACTCTCAGACGAACCCAGAACTGTGGGTATGGACCAAGTACGAGGTACATACGCAGTATGTGGGAGTTCAGGGGTCGTTCGGGCCTGGTCTCGAATCGGTTCCATCCCCGTGCTACCTCCACTCGACTTCTCGAAGTTTGCCCGAACGCTCCTGGAATGTCGATGCTTTTTTGTTGCGGTGCTGAGGTGCCTCAGTTCGCCATTCTACCGGTAGTTTGCTTCACAACGGTCCCATGGCAAGCCATCGTTTCTCTCTCTTTGAGAGCTTTGTCGGTGGTTCCAGGAGAGACCGCTCCTCCTCCTTCGGCCCACGCCTGCCCGCATTTGGCGTCAAGCGAGCTCATGCACTTTCAGCTGAATTGTGGCTTGCGTGACCCAGGGCCAGGCTCCGCCAATCGGCACTATTGACTGCCGGGCTCGACTCGAATGGCCCATCACCCTGTCAAAAGGGTCCTTTGTTATGGTTTCTCTGTGATCGAGAAAAGTTGCTCCTCAATTTATTACAACGATACTGGCGTTCGTGCTCGAGCTCAGGGTTTGAAATAAAGCCGTCTATCTGGGGCCTCCTGAACATAGAGCCGTGCCATCTGGGAACAGAAATGCAGAAGGCTCCTCTAGCACCGCACTCGACTCCAGTCTCCACGAGGAGATATCTCAGCCTCCGTCATGCGAAACATGTAATCAAGGCACAGGAGTCACACGGAGTCGCATACGTGTTGCCATCCGGCCAAGAACAGCTGTTCTCAAGTGAAATTCCAGGACTGCAGGGTGGCGACTATGTCATAAGTGCAACCCAGGTTGTCCACCATAAAGAAGACGATAGAGTTTTGGACCAGAATCCCAAGCCTTCGGAGCAGCAGTTTCATGTACAAGCACCGAGATTCTCTTTGCCAGAAGATGCTATCTATTCCAAGTATCCGCCACCAGGCCAAGAGGCCAACCATGATGTTCTTCCCCATATCGTGTTCAATCACGCGACAATGCCTTGGGAAAACCAAGGGAGCCTCGTCTTCCAAGGCGATGACAGGAACCGAAACCGGGTCCCATGGCTCGCATTGCTCACTTTCACGGCCGATGAATTGTCCAACACCCCCGACCAGGTGAAATCATTCTTCTCCGATTCAGCGGCAGGAAAGAGTAATTACCGCCAAAACGACACCTTGTCGGTCACTGTCAGCCTGAAGGACATTGTTCAACTTAATGCGGATCTTGCATCTGGCCCACGATACGGAGATACGGATTTCCAAGATGCCACATCCGAGAAAGCGAGCCTCATATTTGTGCAAGCGAAGCTGTTCAATGACTTGTTCAGTGCCTACAAGGATGATGGAGAACGCGATACAACGCCAAAACCCGATATGTCACGACATAGGTTTTTGTCCCATCTTCGGAGCATCAACACCCAAGGCATGGCGGTCGCTGGGGAGACGGAAGATACACCCAAGCGGGACTTTGGTGTCATCGTCTCCAACCGATGTGCGCCCTCGTACTTTGAGCAGCCGACAGCTATTTATGTCCATCTGGTGTCACTTGAGAGGTTGGAAGACATTCAGCCGTGGCCTGTTCCAACCAATAATGCTTCAGGAACCGAAAGACGTGTCGCCCTATTGGCACTCGATAGCTGGGTTTATACATGCTTGCCACCAACCGGGATTGACGTGAAGACTCGGCTCGAAAATCTAGGAAAGAACGTATTTTGGATGCAGCCGAACCTGAAGACCGCGCCGGAGATGCCTGACACGCCAGTCAAGAAAAGAGCGTTGCAGCGGATTGCAGATGGCTTTTCCATGGTCCGGTACCGAAGCCAAACCGGAGAAGAAACAGTCGCTTTCACAAGAGGGCCGCTGATTCCCGTCATTGTGGATAAACGCGAAGGCCTTCAATCCAACTCTGGAGAAAATCTTCGGATCATGGACAAAGAAGTAGGCATCATGGACATCTCCTACTCTGTCGCTTGGCAACTTGGGCGGACCATGGCATTGGCCGACCGAGCCTTTACCACAGCTCTTACCCGTGTCCGACGACAAATCACGTCGATTGCTCAGAACGAGGCTCGTGTCAAGCTTCTCCGCGCTGCTGGAAGACCACATCTGTCAAGGCTTGATTTAGTAGGCGCCCTTCCTGATGCAATGGGTCTGCTCCAGAAACTTTCCCACTGTGAGGCTTCTGTCATCGGAGACCAGCAGTGGAAGCAACCCGAGACCGACCCGGTTGATCTCTCCTATCGGAGCCCGGGAATGTCTTACTTCCTTGAAGATGAGCTCGGACGAGCAGCGAGCCTCGTTGCGAGCACCACTGATGTACGCATGGGCCGCAACGCAGATGATCCACCTCCCCCCTACAACGAACTGAACACGCCATTCTCGGTGGATTGGATGGTGGTCCTTAAGTTCGTCCTCGACCTGTACCATCTTGTCAATGTTCCGGCCCATTACTTGATCACGGATTCGTCGCACGTGCCTGAAGAGTCGATCCGGTTCTTCATCATCGACCAAAACTGGATCAATGCTCTGGTTGACGGCGCCCTCAGTCTGGGAAATCATGTCGACCCCCAGGCCGATATCACTCGAGCCAAGATCAAGGACCAAATCAAGGAGTACCTCAAGGACAAGGACCCCAGGCTGAATTATGAACCGCCCGTTCCTCGATTTGGTTTCTTCATGAGGTCGGAGATCGTCACGAAATTTCCCGACCTCAAAGTCGAAATGAGGTTGGATGGTGACAAGTCTGCCGGCGATCCACTCCTGCTTCGCCACGAGATCATCTCGAAAGATGTCATGCTCGGCTTTTTCAGCCAACGGCCCATCACTCAGGGCGTGTCGAGCCTGACGTTTACGCTTCCCAGTCATCAGCAATACTTTTCCGTCGGCTATGACTTTGACCAGACGCACCTCAAGCTCCAGTACAAACGCATTTGCAGCAGCAAGGGTGTCGACACCTCGACCCCGACCCCGATCAGCTCGCCTATCTGGCAACGCGACCAGAAGGGGACTGACGACAGACCTGTCATATACAAATGGGGGCATACCCCCAAGACGGACGACATCCGGCTGCTTCTTGTCGACAAGCTGGCTCTCGATGTCCACGACACCTTGATCAAGGAGTGGCCGAAGCAAGCTCACCCGGAGGAGTGGAAAGAAAAACACGCCACTGCGGCCATGATGGGAATCCAGCTGAATGCCCCTGCCCTCCAGCTGCAAGTTAAACTGCCCACGCTGGGCCAGTTGCCGGGGCCCTTTCCAGATGCTTTTCCCAGTGGTCCCCTGCCTGTGTTGAGCCAGCCCACTATGTTGGACGTCGCGAAGTACCCTGAAAAGATCGCCACACAGAGTACATCTTCTCTCGAGGACCGTACCAAACTGCCGGCAATCCGTCAGGATGATGTCGTACCGCCTCACTACACGCGGGTCGTCGGTGCGTCGCTCCTGGATGGGGAGACGCCTGTCTCTCGAACAGGATCCGTATCGAGCTTTGTGAGGATCTCCCCATCGCCTTGGGGACCTCTCCTCCACGTTACCGAGGGAGTTCCCGAATTCAAATACGCCGTGTGGCCGGCCAAATCGCCTCAGGCGGGGAGCGTGCAGATGCTGGATACGCGGCAAGACCTGATCTTCTCGGTGGTACGCGGGCAAGCGGACGACGCGGCCCAGTTCCGACTGCGGTCGCTCACGCTGTGGTTCTGGCACCACTCATCGGACAAGGACGAGCACGGGCTTCTGGACGACGAGGCGGGCTACGAGGGCGTCTCAGCCACGATGGTGTCTAACCTGCGCTTCAATGTGCGTATCGCCTACTCCCGCGACGACAACCGGCTGCTGCTTCGACTGCTGCCGCGCAGTCGCAACCGCTGGGTCCGGGTCGCCGACATCCAGGAACTCAGCGTCCTGCTGTCCCGCGTCAAGGTCAAGAAGTATGACAAACCCACCGACATCACCGTCACCGCTGTGACGGAATACGTGGACGCGCTGTCGCCGGACGTGCCCTTTAAGATTAAATTGGTTTGATTTGACATGGGATGGGATGGTATATCTAGTAAGTAGTAGAAGACACGTTTCTCGTGCTGTTCACTTACTTAGTCATTCAAAAAGAAGAAAAGGCTGATATACTGTTTTTTGGTAATAGTAATACATGACTTGCTGCCACTACAACTCACTATTGTACTTCATATGTAGCGAGCAGTGTGAAAGCCGTTTTCTCGACCTTCTTCGCGAGCCTCTGTTCATGTTCCGAGGTGGTCATTATGTTTGTATGTATGTATGGACCAGATGAATGAACAAATGATGAGTCTATTGAAAAGTGAGCCTCCCTCCCTTCTCCTTTTTTCCCTCCTCCTTTTCTTTCAGACACTACGGTGTTTGTTTACCCGGGCGGTTTATTCTCAATCGGCCCTCGGAGCTGCATGTATCCTTCGATGGCGGTGTACGGACCTCTCGCGAACACGGGCTGGACGTCGATCTTCTTGACTCCCAGTGGCATGTACGACGTTTTGAACTTGAGCTGGGGGGGCCCGTCGTCTCCGAAGGTGCTGTCCCAGTCTTCCGAATCTTCCTCGTCCTCATCTTCGTCTCCAGCTTCATCTTCAGTCTTTGAAATTAGATGGGATGATGGTAATGATGACGAGGAGGAGAATGATAATGCTGGTAATGATGGTGGCTGCTGCTGCTGCTGCTTGTGATCCTTCTCAGCCACACTATACGGCTGGAGCCAATTCCACTCCGCCACCTGCAGGGCCGGCATGGCAATGGCAGACGCGACGTCGGCGCCCGCCAAATCATACCTCTCCGTAAGCTGCTTGGCGGCATCGAAGGAGGGCACGTCGTCGAGGACTACGACGGGGCCCGCGTGGAAGAAGGTCGTCATCTTCTTGAACGCCGCCTCCCACGTCCACGTCGGCAGTTTGAGCGACTTGATGGGCAGCATACTAGAGTAGGCGTTGACGGGCAGGAAGGGGTCGATAATCGCGGCAAAGCGCACAAACGTGGCGGCCCGGCGCGCCTCGTACCGTCGGGCCGCGTCTTGGAGGGTGCCACCGTCGTCGTCGTCCTTGTCTGGGTCAACCCACGTCGCCGGCAGGGTGGGATACTTGGCCGACACGTCGGTGAGCAGCTGCTTACTCTTCTCGTCGTAGACGGGCGCCGGGTTGTGGCCGTAGTAGGTGAAGCACTTGGTGAGCTCGAAGTCGTCGCCGTGGCCCTGCTTGGGCCGCTTCACGTCGTCGCGCGCCTCGAAGTACCCAACCAGCCCGTCGTGCTGGCGGTCCTTATCGCCCAACTTGACCGGGAACTGGTACCGCAGGTCGCCGTCGCCCTCGAGCAGGCCGATCGGGAGCCGCTTGTCCGGGTGCTGTCCGCCGGCCGTCGACTCGTTCTTGCGCGAGTCAGCCGCCAGCTCCAGCGACCACCCGGCATAGACGAGCGCCAGCGGCCTGCCGACCAGTGCGTTCGGAAACTGCCCGTACGCATCCGGCGCTTCGCTCAGGTGCTCGACCGAGCTCGTGACCATGTCCATGAACTCCGCTAGGTACGCCTTTGCGTCGTCCCCTCCGTCAGTCATCTTGCGGATCAGCCAGTCTAGCTGGGTGGTGCTGTCCGGGGCGATGGTGGCGGGCGGAGGCAGGGGGAGCCACTTCTGCGTGGACTGACTGCCTTGGGTGATACGGACCTCGCGGTAGAAGGTTCCGTCGGCCAGGAAGAACTGCAGGCCGTTGTCTGGGAAGTTGACCACCACCCACCCCCACAGCGGTATGCCCCCGGATTCAGACTCGGGCGCTGGTTCGGGGATGTCCCACGAGTCCGCCAGGCGCCAGTTCCCGGCGTCTGTGGCGGGCGGGATCATGAACTCGGCGTTGAGTCTCGCGGGCTGGTTGATCATGGGCGGCAGCTGGATGAACTCGTCGTGGTAGCTGGCCATGTCCTTGGGCGGGATTACCACGTTGGGCTGGTTTCCCGCCTTTGTCGGCGTGGTGGCGTAGTACTCGCCCAGGGCCAGGGGCGTCGGGGGCACGTCGTCGACCAAGGGATCCGTCGCGTGCGCCACCTGGCCGAACTTGTCCACGACGTTCAACTTGGTGAATCGCATTTGTCCGTGTGTGACGGGCTTGAAGCCGGGGAGGCCGTTGTTGGGCAGTGCCACCAATGCTCCGTACGGTGTCGGCGTGCTCTCCGTGTTGATCGTCTGGAGCATTTCATCCGTGATGCCGATCTTGCTCGCCGCCTCTCGGGCCTCGCGGAGCGGGACTGGCTTCTGACCCGGCACGCTGACAAGCGGCTTGACGTGGGTTCCATTGTATCGCGTGGCCAGGTGGTCGCTCAGCCCGGCCAAGGGCGAAGAGAGGAAGCCCAGCTTGTTCAGGCCGCATTTCAACTTGGCCTGCTCATCCGGCTTGAGCTTCTTCTCCAGTTCGTCCTTCGGGATAGTCTTGAACAGTCGCTCGAGACGCACGTCCAGGGAAAAGTTGGGCTGCGGCAGAATCAAGGTCCGCCCAGAGATTCGTCGTTTGTCGCCTGCGAATTCCCGCGTGACGTCCCCGACGAGGCCGTACGCGATACGATTGGCACTGGGCTGGGCCGGCGAAGGATGATCCTTAAGTCCCCACCGGTCAAAGCGTATGTGGTAGTAGTCCGCCTCCCACTCGATGAACAGCGGAAACCACGGTTGTCGGGATGACCACCGGTCGCGCCAATAGTTGTCGGGGCTCTCGACTTCCTCGGGATACAGGAGATCGTGGTACAGTGGCAGAAGCTTGTCGGCAGGCTGCTTCGCTCTTGGATCCAGCGCCAGAAATTCCTTGACCAGTCTGATGGCGGTGCGTCGAATCGACTCACATGGTATGACCTCGACAGGGAACCTTTTCTTGGTCTCATCGTCACTGGGGCTGTCAAATTGGATCTGCATCTCGAGTCGAACTTCGAGCTTCTCTTTAAAGTCCGTCGGCCAGCCGTTAATCAAGCCCGCCATGAGCAACGTGGGGTCATTCTGCTGATAGAAACTGCCTTGCACGGCTTTCTGGGGGGGCGTGACAAACTGCTTGCTCCGGGGACCTCCGGCATCGTCGATGATCTTCTTGATGCACCCGGCTTTTTTTTCCAGCCGTTGATATATCTTCATCAGTTTACTGGCTTGGTCCTTGTACGTGTCATTGTGGCCGCCGTTTTCATTGTCGATGTCGGAGATGTACTTCCACCACACGGCAAAGAGGCCCCATCGAAGCTGTTGGACTCGCCGCATCATGCTATCGTACCAGAGCTGCTGAGCATTCAGGTCTCTGAGGCGACCGAGCTCATCCTTCGTGGGCATTTTCGCGGGATTTTTCAGGTCTGTCTCGGAGAGGGTGTACCGATCTCCCCCGTCGAGGCGGGCGAAATGCAAGTTCTGAACTTCATCCGCTGCAATGACTTGGCCGGAGACAGTCTCATCTTCAGCTCTCAAGTAAGCGTCGAGTTTGGAGATGAAGCCCTCGAGGTCCGACCCTTGGTGGTGCTTGGAGACGTGGGCGAGGATGGTATCAATTGGCGTCGTGCCGACCGCGATATTCTTCCCTTGCACAAATTTCTGTGCAAACTCGTCGGCAGGGATTCTGGGCTTCTTCTTTTTCTCCAGATCCCATTTGTCAGCCCACTCGACATCGTAGAGCGCACCGTGGAAAACCGACCGGGTCGATACATGAGAATCCAGCCACTTCTTCACGTTGTCCCTATCGGGCACGGTCTCGGACTTTAACGCCATGGACAAGGCGTTGATCCTCTCCTGTCGACTCAATCCAGCAGCTAAGTTCAAGAGATCCTTCTCCTTGTCACTCTGCCACCCAATCACATAATAGCTTGCGCATGCAGCCTCGAGGTGGCGAACCTTGCCGTCGGCGTCTTTGTAGTCGAAGGTGTCCACCATGGAAAATACATTGCCGCAGTGGTATTGGTAGTCCATGAACAGCTGGTTGGACGTGCTCGCCGCCGTGATCTCGACTCGGGGATTGAGCGGGTCTGCGTCCTTTTCTTTCCAGCTCTGTGCATCTTCGCAAGACCCAATGAAGACTTCGGCTTGCTCGTCGACGCTGATATCCTTGGGGTCAGTGTGCTTGCGCACGAAGGTGGTCAAGAACGGTGACACGTCGACCTGCAAGTCGACCTCCTGGCCGAGGTCGTCAATCGAGCGAGTTCGGTCACTTTCAACCACCCACGCCCGGGTCTTCTCGATTTTGGTGCCTGGAGGGAGTGTGGTGGGAGCATCAGGATCCAGAGTCCGAACGATCAGCCAACGATTGGGGACCTGGAGAAATATTGGCGTGGTGAGGTCACCCTCATCATTTTCCTCGTTTGACGTCCTTTGGATCCCCATGGCCCTTTCCCTCTGATGCTGTTGGGGTCGGGCTGATTTGGTGTTGACGGTACTTCCACGAAAGGGCCGTGGCATCATCCAGTGCAGATAGACTCCGACCCGATTTTGTCGTACGATGTTCCGGCCTACGTCTGTGAAACGGGAATTGATGGTCGACGGAGCCGAATTGTGCAGATCAACTGGATCCAAGACATCATGCTGCACCATGTAGTTGGTCATGCGCAGAAATGTATAGTTGGGTTGTCCGATGGGTGCGATTTTGGCACTGGACGCGTCGGTGCCGTCACATACTGATTGATTGAAGACGAAAGCGTCAAGTTTGACGGGCACCGCCAGGCTCAGTTCGGACATGTTGTCCTCTGGTATTGATGTCCTCTATTGTTTGCTTCAGCGCTGAGAAAGCATTGACATGGCTATCAGAGGAATTGGGGTCCCGACAAGTGAGTAAGCAGGGCAGATGTTTGATGCAGAGGGGACTATTCCCACCAGGACTGCTAGAGTCTGGATCAGCAGTGCATCTGAGCGCTCGGGATATCAACACTGGACCCCTCTCTACGCAGTACTTTCACCATAGTCACAAGACCAGTATTAGGTGCTGGAAGCGACGAAACGACGAAACGAGCTGAGACGGGCCCTGCATGTGAGCACACCTCATGCAGATTATAGCGAGTCATCACACCAGCGTGTGAATCCCAAGTGCTGCTCTTGTGGCCAGTAGTGAAAGTGAACCTCCACTTCGGCTCTCTCGCGTGGACAGGTTGGTGGAGCCGAGGACAGTTTGTGGGAGTCTAGAACTCCAACTCCGACCAAATACAGATTCAGTATCCACACCAGCATTACCGAATATGGCATCTACATAGCGGTGAGACCCACTTGGTTTTGTCCAGCTCCACTACCCTAATCATAGCGCGCAAGCCACCGTCCGGCGTCCGGAAAGACGGAATCTTGACTCAGTTCCCCGTTTAGGCTCTCTGAACTAGTATTGGCCAAACTTGGACCTCGACTGTCCGACGACGCGGAGAAGCAGGGACATCATCAATTCATCTACTCTGTACCTCGTACTAAGCTGCGTTATGGTAGTCAAAAGGGTCGATGGCGAACGAGTATTCTTTTGCCACGCTCTTCTTCTGCACGTAGAATAACGAGATGCCCTTTTCACCTACGACTGCTGTCAGCCCGGTCTCCTTTGATGTAAGGTTGGCGTCCTTGTTGACACCCTTGACCTCTTCTGCCGCGTTCCATTTCCCCTTTCTGAAGACGCAGCGCTCGATGCGGATAGCGGTGCTCAAGAAGTATAGGTAGACTGAGTAATCGGGCATCTGACCGACTACCACTGCGGCCAGGGGGGTTCCCTTCAGGGCGGCATCGGTAGATGGGAGTTTCTCTGATAACCAGTTGTTAGCACACAGTCACGGAAAAGAATCATCACCAAGGAACCGACCAGTCGAGGTGTTGGCGTTAGAGATTTGCAGCAGGGCGTGAATGGGGTTGTTTTCATCGTCCACCTTTCTCTGGTAGAACACAATCCTTCCAGGGTTCCCATTTGGGTCGGGAATGAACGCTCCTGCCAGGCGAGACTTGGAGTAGGGCTCGATGTTCTTGTCCGGGAGCTTCACTTCTGGTGCATCATTTCCCGAGATGTAAGCTTCGGCAAGAGCCAAAGGATCGCCGGTCTTCCTGTCTCACCGCGCTCAGCGCTCGTCAGTGAAGTGATCTTGGCCAGCTGGTGCCCAGAATCACTTACGCCTGTTGGAAATAGTAGAGCCAAACTTGGTCAGCGCCGTCACTCACGGCTGCAAGGCTGAGGTTGTCGGTTGGCAGGCTGATTGACGCAATACCCTCCTTGTCTGCGATGGAATACAACTGCGGACTGAGCTGTGCAACGATGCTGCCCTTCTTCGGAGGCTGTGCGGTATCGTCCACGACGATCTCCACCGAGCCGTAGACGGTCGGCTGGGATCAGTTGGTCAGTTGTGGACTTCTATGAGATTTCCTCGAGCTCACTAAGTCGTTGACATAGACGGCCGAGATGGCTGAAGGGCGCTGAAGCGGACCCGGGTTGGGCCCAGGCCTGTTCTTGTACCTGAATATGGCCTGATTCTTGGAGTCGAACGAGAACCTGCTGATTCCGAATTGCTGCTGATCCGTTATTTGGTAAAGCAGAACATAGTCATGCTTCGGGCTGAGGAGGGAGGCAACAGGCAGAGACATGGTGAGGTTTGCTGTCCGCAGTATGGCTTGAAGATCGACAGCCTGGGCCGCTGCCGCAGTCTATGTAGTTCTCCAGAACGACCCAGGTTGCCATCCACCCCAGTCTGTTGGACCCTCAGCTGAACCCCACGAGGTGGCGTCGTGATACACGGCTGAGGGAGGTGCATGTGCAGTGACGGCTCACTAGGCAAGTAGGCTGAAGTTCTAGGCTTGACTAGGCCTGAGAAGAACCACTTTGTTCGAGTCAGGAATGCTCCTTCTTGCGTAAAGGCGGATGATCGTGACAAGCCACTCCAAGTCCAATCCGAGCTGAGACCCTGGTCAGGAGTCGCGCTAGTGGCTTCGTGTCTCAGCTGGTTGACGGGCTTGCAGAAGGTGTGCTAAACGCTACTCCGCAATTCGAAAAGGGTCAGAGGAGACCTCATAGAGGACCCTAGTGCGTACATCGGTGTACGTCTCCACGTAGAAATTCCTCATGGGCTTCAACCTAGACATATGTTGAGGCCTCCATCTACCTGGAGAAATACCTTCAATCAAACCAGCTGCCGCTGAGCTTGCCATGGACAATCCGTGGGAGGTTCGCACGATACAGATTAACGTGGGTGGTGGAGACTCAGCCTTCCATCTCTTGTTGAAAACTGAAAACGACAAACAGCACGTCGAGTCTTTGGTGCTGGCGGATGGAGGCACGGGTGACAATTGTGTTAGTATATCGAATCTCTTCACCAGATTGCAGAACACAGGCCACACTCGAGCAAACAATGCAGCCCTCGAAGGCTTTGATGTCTATTTCATCACGCATTGGGATTCAGACCACTATGGAGGGGTATACCGCCTTCTATACAATGGGGTTTGGCGGTCTGTAGACTCCTGGAAAGACAAACATCCTAAAGGGACCGGGGCAGATTTTGCGCAGGCCATTGCCAGCGGAGACATTCGATGTCCCAGCACTCGATATGAACCACATAAACATGGACAAAAGGAACCTCGTCCTATCACACGGTTTTACGGGCCTAATTCTTCGTACGAGAAGTTTGATATCCGTGAAGAGGCTTCCAAAGGAAAGTATGCTTGGTTAGTCGGAATCGAGGACGTGGTCTATTTTGCAATTGAAACCAAGTTGGGATCGAAAGTGCTGAGTGGTCATGTTCCGCTTGCTCTAGTGGGGGATCACGGAGCAGGTCTTCTCGGCATCGACCTGTTCTCTGGACACCGACCTCCCTGCCAAGGAGGCTCGTTAAGCCAGAAGAATGGCATGACTTCCCCGAGGGAGATATCTCAGATACTGTGGAAGCATTTCGACCAGCAACGGCCTGCAATGATCTGCATCGGAGCATACAATCAATTCTGCGACCCCAGCCATGAAGCAGATCGCTTCAGCATGGACTGGTATCATCAATCCGAGCTGCGGAAGATCGCATTGTTTTCTAAAGCCCCTACGGATTGGGATATAATTCCGTTTGTGGAATCATTGTATCACCCAATAACACCCAATGTAATCATGAACGACACGACCCAGGTCAACGAGGACTCGATAGCTTGCATGGTCATTTGGCCCGACCCAAACCAAGCACTCATATCCCATTTTGTGGGAGGGGATTTGGGATATAACCAGGAAGAACGCATTCTCCGATGGGCTGCCGTCCCGGACAACGAGAATGATCCGCTCTCGCGTCGTCTGTGCCCCCATGTTCAATACGTCAAGCTGTCACATCACGGCTCCAAAGCGTCGACTCCTCTTCTCATGTTGTTCGCGTGGAACCCGCGGACCGTCACCTGTTCGAACGGGACCAATCTGAAACACAACATCATAAGTAAGCAGCCGGCCTCATGGCTTCGAGAACCGAGCTGATCTGTACAGGCTGGGAGACCATGCTATACATCTGCATGTGGAGTCAGTGGCGGGTTAACACGCTCAAGGATCCAGAATCCAAGCGATTCTACTGCACCAATGTCCCGGGTTGGCTCTGTAGGCACCTCAAAAATGTCGAATTGAAGGGTCAACAGATGGCGATCTATGAGTATCCTTTGGATGTAGGCAACACGACGACAGCCTTGATGGAAGAAAAAGGAGCCCCTTTTCGTGCCCTGTCCTCGGTCCTTGACAACTTGAATCCTGGGAAACTTACGATACAGCTTCACCAGGCTACGAGCCAGCAAGTTGCGAATATCACTTGTGCTGATATCTGTCAATTCGTCTATGGTGAGTGGGACCATTTCGTCTCGACTCCGATAAAATATTTCGGCCTCAACATCCAAACTTTCCCATCTTTCAACATCGGACCGCAAGCTCTGAAGTTGATCTTCTTTCAAGCCAATAAGACAAAGTTGACATCTTGTTATTTCTTGGGCAATGAAATAAACCAATGGACGCCCAACTGCCAGTCATGTCGCGACTCGGAGCGGCCTGATGAATGGCAGCATGAGTCTTCTCTTCCAGTCAACACCGACAGGCAGCTGGTGTTTTCACAGCCCGCTGTCAATGACAAAACTACCACCTCCGTGCTTTCCTTGCATCGACGAATGAGGCCAACCGGTGGCTACTCATCTTTGAACGCAGTGTCGGTCATGATGATGGATGACGACTACCAGCTCAGTGACAGTCTTTCGTCGATCAAAATCGAGGAAGAAAAGGATCGGAATCAGTTGGAGCGTCGTTGTGGACGGCGGTCCCTAATATATCAGGAAGATTCTCCATTCTACTTTATGTCCACTGCAGCATCATTCACGAAGAAGGGCGACGCCAGCCAACTTCCCTTTCAGCAGCCGAGAAAATTCAGCAACCTGGACTTGTTCTTGGGCAGGATGGCCACGGGATCACTGGTCCTGATCTCAAAGCCGGAAGACTCGAAGCCGAGTATCGTGCACGAATCCGACGAGCTGCGTCAGTGGTTTGCAACGATCCTTGAAGGATCACCAACGGCGGATCTCGGTTTCACGGTGACGTTCAAAGACGCCCTGATACAGTGTGTCCAACTCACCACGAAACTGACTTCATGCTGGACACCTGTCCCGGACGCATCTTTTATCTTCAACACAGCCGACAATCGGAATGCCTTCTCCCCACCTATATCGTACTCAAGTTGGCCAGTAGTGGACCCCACATCGCCCGACATAGTCGGAAATGCACAGGTCCTCTGCCTGACCGTGAACCCATCGTCTTCGGCATACAAGTTCACATTCGACGGGACTCATATCCTCAGCCTCCTCGCTCACGAGCCCGTTCTATTCAGCAAATTGTTGGCCGGTGTGGCCAAGTTCCAGCTGGATACTTCGCCGGGCGCCAAAAATGCCCTCTGGTTCTCCCCGGGTTATACGTCGACTGCCACAGTGCGGCTTCGCTTTGTGCCGACTGACGGGACCAAGAACCTCGCTGATAACCTGAGAGAGATTCTGCAAACTTGGGCCTCAGATCCAAAGGTGACTATCACTCCATCCGACGCTTATCTTGTGGTCAAAAAGGTGTGGCCCAAAGCCGAGGAGCCAACTCCCCCGTGGACGGAATTCATCTCTCACTGCAAGCTGGACATCAAGACTGATGGCGGGGTGTTTTCAGTCGACACAGCAGTCAATTTCCGGACGGACGCCACTACTTGGATACTCTTCTTCAACCCAAATCCAGAACAAGACTTTTTCAGTGTCGTAGCGTCCATCGCCCAACTCTTTGGGCTTGAGAGTTCAATCGCCGACCAGATCAGGAACATCAAAGGAAAGATCCCGTCCTTGACAAGCATCATGATTCGGCGCATTGCGTTTACCAAGTACCTCGAGGGATGGAGCCTCCAGATAAGCATTCAGCTTGTACTGGGCCAGATGCCTTTCATATGCACGGCTACCATTCGCGACTCAGAACCCGTATTCGAATTTTACGGCCGTCTTTTTGGAGAGAACAGACCCAACAAGGAAGGCCTCGGCGAGTTTCATAGCTTTATTCCATACCTGCCGGCCAGCGAGGCATGGGATGCCGTCGACTTTGCGCCAGTATGTTCGGTGACCAAAGGGTCGGATGTCGGTGACCTGAACAGCCTCTACAATATCACAGACGACAAGCACCCAGCAACGCTGCCAGAATCGCCGTTTGATGTTCGACTCATTGAGATGGGTTTCCGCTATACCGGTGATATTCTGGGCTTCGACGCGACCATCATGGGTGCCGCGACGGCAACGCAATCGTCCGCCCCATCCGTGCGTCTTGCCGCTGCCAAAGTCGATTTGAAATACTCGACCACCAAGCAAGCTCTTGACCATTTCTCAATAGCGACAGCCATCTTGCTCCATGCACCGCGAAGCACGCAGATGGCCCGCTTATATGGTAAGGTTGAGTTTCAGAGAAGCGGTACAACATTTTATCGAAAATCTCTCCAGGGTGCCGACCATGTAGTCGATTCGGACTACATACTCGTGGACCAGGAAGATGACTACCGAGCCGTCGCGGATGGCACTTGGATCTTTCAGGGTTCCGTGAATACGCTGAGTGGTGCGTTTATATACTCACTGTGCAGCGACGACTGCAATGAGGAGATGATGCAGCTCCTCGAGCACGTTTCTTTGGACTTCGGCCTCACGTACACATACACCGGGAAGTCTGGGAAATCTCTCGTGTTGGACGGAACTCTGCATCTGGGGGACCTGCAACTGCACTGTGCCTACGAGAACAACGGCCCTGCTGATTGGAGATTCTCGGCAGATCTGATGCTTGAAAATCAAACAAGCAGTCTGTTGGGAGTGGTGGAGGCAATTTGCGGCAAGGATCTCTCCGCCGGTCTTCCGGACTGTATCAAGAACATTGTTGTCGCCCCAGCCGGAAGCAAAGACCTCACTTCGCTGACAATCGACAACAAAGATGGCTGGCTGGTGATGTACATTCGTATCCAGCTGACAGGCAACACCTCGGTACTACTTTACCAGGTTCAGAAGAAGCGCAACCCAGGCGAGACAGAAAAGCCCTGCCCACCAGCTAAGCGTGTCGTCTTCTTCAAACTGGATGCCTTGCCCAAAATCGACAATATACCGGTGGTAGGCAGCTTCTCATTGAACTTTACTGCCATCAAATTTGCTTTTGTCAGCAACGGAGATAAGAAGAGCGAAGAAGGCCTGACGGGAGACGAAGTCGATGCTCTGAACAAGAATCTGCCTCAGGGATTCGACAAGATTGTGTGTAAGGCTCCTGCGAAGAAAAATACCACCGGAGCAAAGGAAGAAGCGCCAAAGCCAGGTCTGCCGAAGGGATTTCATTTTATGATTTTCGACAACGACACAGTCCTTCTGGATTACTTATTTGGCCGCCCGGACAAGAATGGCAAAGTCGTCGTCATGGATGAAAACGTGCCCGCTCCCAGCCCGGGCCTGACTCCCTACAACAAGAAGGTCGGCCCCGTCACTATCACGGCGGTGGGACTCAAGTTCGATATGGGAGATCAGAAGTTGACCTTCCTGATCGACGGCAGTGTCCAATTGGGACCGCTCGAATTGAGCCTGTCGGGATTTGGATTGTCCTTTGGATTCAAAGGAATCACCCTGCAAGACATTGGAAAGGTCCAGCTCGGCTTTACGCTGACAGGATTGGGTTTGTCTTTCGTCAAGAGTCCCATCGCCCTTGCTGGATACCTTGAGCACTCGCAAACGGACCAGCTCGAACTGTTCCAGGGCGGAGCTGCGTTGGGATTCAACCCATGGCTGTTCCAAGCCGGCGGATACTATGCTCTGCAGCGCCAGGACAAGAAGCCGCCCCCACCGAGCTCTTACTCTGACATGTACAAATGCTTCATTGCGTATGCCAGGCTTTCTGGTCCCATTGCGACGATTGGATACGCCGAGATAAGAGAGGTAAGTGGCGGTCTCGGATACAATACGGCCATGAGGTTCCCTACCATGGAGAACATCATGAACTTCCCCTTCATTTCCGACCCTCCAAGTAATCCAGCAACGGCGATTCAAGCCCTGGCCGGCGCGGGGGGTTGGATCACGAACCAGGCAGACTCCAACTGGATCGCGGTGGGCATGACCGTGCTGGCCTTCCAAATGCTCACGGTCCGAACCGTGGTCGTGGTCGAATGGGATCGCAACATCAAGCTCGGTCTGTTCGGCATCGCCACGGCAGACATCCCAAAACAGCTGGACAAGAAGTTTGCACGTGTGCAGCTGGGCCTGGCGGCCACAATCGACTTCGACGCGGGCGTGCTGAAGATCGACGGGCAGCTCACACCGGCATCGTTCATTCTTGATCCCAACTGTCATCTCACGGGCGGCTTCGCCCTGTACAGTTGGTTCGGTGCCGGCAGCGGCGACAGCCAGGGCGATTGGGTCTTCACAATCGGTGGCTATCACGCCATCTACCAGGCCAAACCGCAGTATCCGCGCCCGCCACGACTCGGCATCAGCTGGTCGTTTGACGCCAACATCAACATCTCGGGCGAAGCTTACTTTGCCATCACTCCGGTAGTCTGCATGGCCGGTGGACGACTACACGTCTCGCTGCAACTGGGCGCGCTGTACGCATATTTCGATGCCTGGGCGGATCTGCTCATCAACTACAAGCCGTTCCACTACCAGGCGCAGGGGGGCGTGTCCGTGGGCGTGCGGTTCACGCTGGATTTGTGGCTGGTATCGCTTTCTATTGCCGTCGACCTGGGTGCGACGCTGTACCTCGAGGGCAGTCCCATGTCTGGAAAAGTACACGTCGACTTTTGGGTTTTTGGATTCGACGTCAACTTTGGTGTCCCTGCAGAGCTTCCGGGTCCTATCGGAAGCGATGCCTTCTGGAAGCTCGTACTCCAGGCTGACACTTCCAGCCAGGCGGGTAGGCTTCCCCAGATCTTCTCTCAGCAAGAGCCCGTGGAAGAGGCTGAGGATCTCAAGCCTCATATTTTTTCGGCCACCAGCGGTCTGCTACCGAAGAAGACCGACAACCCTCAGGTATGGACGGTCCAGGGCACCATTTTCGCGTTGACTATAACATTCAAGTTCCCCATCCTCGGGGGGAACATCATCACGAAAATCGACAAAGACACCCAGAAAACGGTGCCGATTGAAAACCCAAAAGCCGGCGACATGTATGCCAAACCGATGCAGTTGACGAAGAAAATCCAGAAGTCGAGCATGGACATCCAGATCGAGAGGATGGTCGCTCCGCACTTGCGCGACAACTGCGACGATGATCCCGGCAGCCTCGACCCGGTGTGGCGGCACCAGGAAGCGCGATACAGTGCCCTGCCCGTCGGGCTGTGGGGTCAATATGACAAAAACAGCGACCCGAACCAAGGGGCGGGGAATCAAGACTCGACGCTGCTCAACGGGGCCACGCAGGGCACGGTTCAGCTGATGACAGGAATCCAGCTGCGAGCCCCGACATGCCTGAGGTCGAAGGACTGTCTCCCCGCCTTCGATGCTGAGCTGGCCATGAGACAGCCCATCGACCCGCCTGGAGAATGCAGCAAGCCCATCGATCCGGTGAAAGCGTGGGAACCCGACGGGCAGAAGGATCCTCAGTACGATGCCGTCAAGGCGACGTGGAAGGGCAAGCAGCCCGCAGCCATCGAGCTGGTCGCGTTTTGGGAGCAGTTGGACTGTTTCAATTGGGTGCCAAAGGAAGCACCTCAGGCACCAAGTAGTCCGCCGCCAGTCAAGCAGCTGATACCACAGTATCCAAGCCGGTTGGTTGATGCGTTGGACCAATATCTAGTCGAGTCGCCCATGATGTCACAGGGCTAGGTAGCACGGTGTCGTGGATAAACAAGTTATGTTTCTTGGATCCAACATGGAGTGTAAGATTCAATCTTTTTTTCTTGGCTAGAAATAGAGTGTGCGGGTTTTACATATGTGAGGACAGGACTCGGGACGCTGTGTTGTGCACGAGGAAAAGTCGAGCGGGACTTGTGTACTTAAAGTACTCTGTATGTCCAGTAGAAGTCACCCCAGGCCTAGTGGGCCTTGAGGTAACCTTCCGGGGGCTAGTGGGGCTAGTACAGTACCCTTGGACTGAGAGCTAATGACAAGTTTGGGGGTACTCCCCGCGGCCCGACGAGCACCCAGAAAACACTCCTTACTGCGCACAGGTGCCCAGACTTTTATCTATACACACGCCTAACACAACAATGTACCAATCACTTTTCTCTTATGTGGGCTCTTTCAGCCACGGGCTACATACATGGCAACCTCAGCGACAACCGACAGAGGCTCATAGTTCTTGTTCAGAGATACTCCGCGTCGGCCGTCCGTTCAGCGTCCAGAACAGGTCAGACGGCTGAGCTGAATGCGCCCTTTTGATACTACAAAGGTAGCCTGATCATCTCCACGGCACGGCGACCTCTGCCTCAGCACCTCCTCCCCCGCCCAACCTTCCAAGCCACCCTGCCTGCTGATCGCCATGGTATACGGCCCCCACGAATCACCTTCAACCTATACGAGGGAACGGGTAAGCTCAATATACCAGGACGGACTGAAATGGAAGAACAGCAGCAACACTGTCGGCCGGCCCAGGCTCTTCGACGCTCAGGCCATACACCACCATGCGACGACCGAATTGCATTATGTTTTCTCGACGGCTCAGCAACGGGAACGGCTGAAAGAGTTGGGCCTTTCTTACTTCCATGCCCTTCAGGAACCCCGGAACCACGTGGCTCGGCTCGACCACAACATAGCGTCCCTGATTTCTTGCTGTTACGACGGAATCCTCGACGAGGACGACGTGGTCTCGAAGGCTTGCGCACTACTATCTCGCATGCCTGCTGCTCCTCCCTTTCCACAAGCCTTGGCGGCATTGTTTCGAGGCAGGACGTTCAACTGGCTCTACTTCGAAGGTATCCACCACAGCCATGTTTTGGGGAACGAAGACACCTGGAATAGGCTGCTCGTGACCAGATGGTGTGACACAAACACCATGAAAATCGCATTGACCATTGTCCAGATATATGAGGCGAAGAATAGCATCACGGTGGATCTTTTCGGACAGTACCTCAACACACTGGCCGAGATTTCGGAGACGACGTTTTCGATGCTCCGTCACTGTAACGACGCCTTGGAGCAACAGTCATGGTTACTGGCTTCAAGCTTTCTCTGGACATGCTGGTATCGTGGGCTCATGCTATATTTGCACAGTGCTTTACACTTTCACTTGCATCTTGGCTACGACGTCGAGGCTTTGTACAGACTGAACATGAGGCAGCCGTTGCCGCAAATGGGTGTACATTGGCCGCCTCTGAAACCGTCTGAATACCTGTGCCCCTGGGCATTCGAGTTGCTACGCTCAGATAGAGCTTCCGTGAGCCAGGATTTCCGCCGTTTCCATCAGCGGTTTTCGGCACTTCACGGTCAAAAGCCAGCTCGGTGTCTTGGTGGACCGTGCCGTCCTTGCAGTGGACAGGGCCCGACACACTGTCAGCGCTTCACAGGTCTAAAAATAGTGGACCAGTCTGCTCATGATGCATCTTGTAACCGGAAATGCCAGAGCTTGTTGTGGGACGAGACGAGCTATCGCAGTGTCACTGGTGCGAGAGCAGTATCTATTACTGACTCGGGCTGCGGCTCTATTCGTTACTGCCAGGCTACTTCCCGGACGATTGCTGTGTCGCACGTGTGGGCTCACGGTGCGGGTGGCAGGCCGCACACGGGCTTCAACGACTGTCTACACCAGCGTCTCGTCCGCATTGCTCAGGACAACAACTGCGACTCTTACTGGATGGACACACCTTGTATACCCGAGGACCATCAACTCCGCGCCGAAGCAATTGGATATATCAACGAAGTGTTCAACACAAGCAGCATCACCCTGGTGTGGGATCGTGATCTTATGTCGATCGACGTATCTGGTCCGTCAATTGAGACACAAGAAGCCATCCTGTGCACTTTACTGGTCTGTGACTGGGCCCTGAGGTCTTGGACTCTCCTAGAGTCGATGCGTGCACGACATAACATTCATCTGCTGTGCAAAGATAACAAGACGATCGCGCTGAGAGACTGCCTTCTAAACGTTCATCATGCTGGTGCAATCGACATCGCGACGCTGTTGCTCACAAGCCAACAGCTCCTGCCGACGATGAAGTACGACGGTGAATCACCGGATGAAGAGTTTCTCATGCAAATGGAAGGTTACATTCCCGTGGAGGAAGCCCTGCAGCTGCTGGGTCGTCGACATGCATCCCGACCAGGAGACAGTGTCGTGATCTTGAGCCTGCTCATTGACGACAAGCCAGTTTACACTGCAGAGGCATTCTGGAAGTCGAGGATAGGCCGTTCCTTGAACACGGGTGTGTTATTCTCATCCCAACCAAGGCTCCGGTCCAAGGGATTTCAATGGGCACCTTCTCAACCAGAGCTGCCGTTGGCGGATGTGTCGGACATGTTTTCCGCACACTCTCAAGAACACTTGTTCGACGGCTTCCGGACGTTGCCTGCACAAATTACCCCGGACGGCCTTGACGGCAGATTTGCCACTTTCGAAATTCCTGAAATCGAGCAAGAGCCTCCTGGCGCGGAGAACGCACTCACCGCTTTGATGAAGAGACTTCCTTGGCCGGGTCACCAGAGGCGCCTGACCAGCAGCCAGCCACGCATTCTGCGCGACCACTTCGCACTGGGAAAGTATCGACACTCGATGCTGCTCCTTCCCGTGCATTACAATTCCTCCCGAAGTGCTGTGTTCCACGCGTACCGTGGCCGGGCGAACGGCGTGCTATTCGGCGTGGTAGGCTCCAACGACGAGGACAGACGAACATGGCAATGGCTGGGAACTTTCGAGTGGCAATCAAATGATCCTCCCCTTCCTAAGGTCCGGAAGGAACAAGAGAGGATATTAATCGAGTGACCAAACAGCGTCTCTCTCGACCTGCGTGCGAACCAGAGCCAATTTCGGGAATGCAAACAAATATGCCCTGGGAAATTTCAGATGACGAGAGCTACAGAGATAACAGGAAATGAATGACAACTTCCTTCGCACAGCGACAAGTCGTTGGATCGTCGAGGAAAATTCACAGACAAGTCACCCAAAACTCTCAAAAAGCCATCTCGAGGCGAGCGACAATTCCGATTGGGCGGGTAGCTTAGCTTGCGAGGCTGAACACAGCCAGGGGGCAACGCGAATAAGCCAGTCCCATAAGCCACTACATAAGCCACGGGGCCTAATAGCCATTCTGGTCTATATAACATTCGTATATTCGGCGCCCTCGAAATGCTCCTGCTCGGACGCAGCAGACACTGCTTCGAAGAATAACGCAATTCAAGGTTGATACCTTAGGGACCTTGACACAACCCAAATCTACAAAGCCTCCTCCATCGAGTTACTTACCTACTTACCTACCTACCTACAACCAACCGTAACTTACCTGCAGCTTTACAGACCTTCACTCAACCCCAAAAACACCAAACATATACACACCCCATCATCCTATCCGACAGGAATCATGTCGACACTCACGCCCGTCCAAGCCGTCTTCGCCAAAGTGCACCACTCCACGCCCGGCCTGACGTTCCCGAAGACGGTCGCGGCGCTGCTCCAGCTGGGCGTGACGCGGTACCACGTGGACTACAGCGCACACACGACGACGACGTACGCGCCGAGAAAGTCGACTTCCGCCACCGCCACCGCTACCGATACCGATGCCGATACTCCGAGCATCGAGACAGAACAAATCGCCATTCCCGCTCCCTCCGCGGGACTATTCAAGCCCGACACGCCTTGGGACGCCGCGGCGCTGACGCGGGCCATCCGACGCGTCCAGCGCGGCGAAACCGTCTACGCCGAGTTCGCGCGCGAGTGCGTCGACGCCGGCGTCGCGGGGTACTTTGCCTTCTTGACCGGGAGGCGCGTCTTGTACTACGGCCGAGACGGGGACGTGCACGTCGAGTGGTTCCCCGGCGCGGGTCCCACGGTCCACCAGCAGTAGTTAGAAGGACGAGGACGAGCAGCATGGGAACGAAGGGCGGAAGAGGACAAGACAGGCAGGAGGGGAAAGGGGGGTTTGACTCTGGCTATTCAATTTTACGTAGCGGCTTTGGTGAGTAGTGGTAGATAGAGAGTTATAGTGAGATGTGCATGAGCTATCTATATAGGATGTTCGATAGTCGAATGACCTTACTCTATATCTAAGTCAGAGAGATCCAGGACAGTAATCTCGACTCTTATCGAAACACTACTTGTGCTCAGTTCATTTCTTGCTCAACTTATTCTTTTCGGCTCACATCTTATGTACGTGATCGTCTCTCCGCCCTCACTCCGAACGACAGCGACCAGAGTGACCCTCTCCCTTATATCTCCACCTCTCTGAACCAGACCCGTCCTCAAGAAGGGCTCGTTCGGCTCAGGCCAAGACACTCGGCCATGCCGTAGAAGATGTCGATGCTGTTAAAGACACCCGAGAACAGCTCCGTGCAGGGCCCGCGTGTGAAGACGGGCACGTCGGTGAGAGAGTGCACACCTTGATCAGCCTAGAGCCACCAAGTTTTGTCAGTCAACTGGTTTCCGAGGGGAGTTGTGTAGAAGGAAAGTGTGAAAATATCTAGGACTAAAAAGGAAAGGAGAGGCTCACCGAAACAGGAAGCGATCCGTTGATGATGAACCCGGTCACCGCATCGACGTAGTTGACAAAGAAATCCTCGTCAGAGAAGCCCGTGATGTTGATGGCCGGTACACGGGGTCCTTTCTTGTTAACCGTGTAGTCCTCCCGGTGGTCGGGAAAAGCAGCCAGCCCGGAATAGAGCGTGTATCGAGGGTCCCAGTTCGCGGGAAAGTTGACGCCAGGGCCATAGACGAGATTCTGGTCACTGCCGGCGGGGGCTGAGCGGTTGGCAAGGACGTACTGACTGAGCCCAGAATTCTGGTAGGTACCGATGGCGCCGCGCTTCTCACGGGGCCCTTTTTGGCTGTTGAGATAATGAGTGTCGACAGATCCCATAACATCGAAGCCGTGGCCGTGGTCGGCAGTCACGAGGATGAGTGTGTTTTCCAGCTCGCCCTTGTCTTGGAGCCAGGCGATCGTGGCTTTGATCGTGTCGTCCAGTTCTAGAAGTTCACCCAGAGCACGATCATAGTCGAGCACGTGCATCATCTTGTCAATACTGGCGGCCTCAGACATGATAAAGAAGCCTTTCTCGCCGTGGCGGGTTTGGAGAACTTCGAGAGCCTTGAGCGTCATTTCCTTGAGGCCGGGTTGATCAGTAGCAGCCCCCTTCGAGCCATCGGGAGCAGTGCTAGATTGGTTCAGATTCTGGGGGTAGACATTTCGGTCGAGCCACTTGGCCATGTTGCTGACCGAGAAAATTCCAAGATGCTTGCTCGAGTTATCTGACGCCTGAAGTGCGGTATTGTTCCACACGACAGTGTAGTTCTGATCAGCGAACTCCTGGTAGTAGTCTTTACCCTGGAAAGAGCCTTTGCCCGGATAGAATTGTTCGGCACCACCGCCGAAGAGCACGTCAGGACCCGTCCAGTTGGTCCAGGTATAATTTGTAATGCCTCGCAGGAAGGAGTCAATGACGGCGCCGTATTGACCTCGATCTCGTGTATGAGCGGTCAGTGCGGCCGGGGTCGCATCGGCTATGAAGGCGGTTGACACGATTCCAACACCGCCGCCTCGGAGCCGGTGAAAGAGTTCGGCAATACTTTCGATCTTGGGGTCGTCAAACTTGTTCGGTGAGCTGTCGGCATAGACGCCCAACGCATTGACAGTGGATTTGTGGCCAGAGTAGAGAGCGGTCGCGGAGTTGGCGCTGTCCGTGATGAAACTGTCAATCGAGTGTGTCATTTGATGACCCAGCATGGGGAACTGGTCCATGGCCATCTTCGTCTGATATTTGCCGTTGATGGATTGATGGCCAATTAGGCGAGCAGCTGCATCTCTAGTTCAGCATGACGTTTAAGCTATGAAGTCTTTGGGCGCTCACCAGTGATCATATTTGTGGTCATGCCGTCCCCGATGAACATCACGACGTTCTTGGCCCGCTGTCGAGGAGAAATATCCCGGACGGTCCAATTGGCGATCGTCGTTTGCGAGCCATTTCGATACTTTAGGGTGGCAATATACTGGCCTGGCTCATATAGAGCGACATTTCGCCATGCCTTTGATGCAACTTTGACCTGCGAAGGAGTCTTGGCGGCTTGAGCAAAAAGATCTTCGTACCAAGTAAAGTTCCAAGTCTCGAGTTTTGGTTCCGTGAGGTTGAAAAAGGCCGAGACCGGTTGAGCGACTCCGTCTTCCCGCTCGATGGTCAAGGTGAACTGCAAAGCTCTGTTATCCAGTGTCGACAACAAATCTCCCCCGGAAGAACTCACATTGGGATCGGGAGTGGTGTAGCCACGGATCGCTTCACTTCCGTTCAAAGGGGCATGAACCTCAGCTCTGATGTCGAATCGTTGGCCTGGGAGGAAGTCGGCTTGGTCGGGTGGAATAATACAGCCCAATGTTGGACATGTTCCAAGCCGCTGGAAGGTTTGAGCAGCGCAGTGCCCGCAGAAGGCGCCAATCGCCAAGAAACTCTCTAAACCAAGCTGGATTCTCATGTTTGATAGCTCTGAAGACGTTCGGGACCAGATATTTGAGGGGATCTCCCGAGAGAGATCAGAAATCTGACCCAGGTGTCGAACCTCGCAGCTTTTGTACCTTTCAGTCTAGCCTGAAGCTCTTCCTGTTTTCGAGAGACGGCAAGCTCGTTGCGTTCGTCACAAAGCCCGCAAGAACTTGGAGACTCCATTGCCGTGTAGAGCTTCTGTCTCGTGGTAGCCCTAAGCTTCTCGCTGGCCGCTTGGTACCGTGTAACCTGCATTGATATCAACTGCTTTGGGCAGGCGGAATCCAAGCCAAGACAATGGGAGGAATGCCAAGCCAAGGAGAGGAACAAGGGGAGGATATTAGCCACTGAGGCCACCCACGTGTTTGCGGGCACGGCGGGACAAGGAAACGCTTCGTTGCTGGTCAAGCTTGCACAGGAAGGGCGCCAAGCTCAAGCTCTCAAGGGCGTCCCCGCCCTATTCAATATATTTGTGAATGCGTGGTCCGAAGTACATCTGCCATTGGAGAACTCGCTGTTCAATCAGTAGAGCAAGTCCGCCGCCAAGAATGATCACGGAGAGCAGGTCTTTCGAAGCCGGATAGGACACCTAGAAACACAAGAAAACGAGGCTGGGGTCCCACCGTGCGGAGGAACAGATGACTTGTGATGAATGATTGATGTTGGTGGTTCCAGAAGGTAGAGCCGAGGTTTAGGATGTGGATCAATCGTGGCATCATCAGCATGTAGCTATAGCACGACGTCCGCAAACTGGAGATAGTCGAGGCTCACAAATCTCCGGCCTGTTACCTTGAAACCCAAGAACACCCGCTTGAAGAATCAACTGTACCAGCTTTTGAAATGCGTCAAACTCAAGACGGGCAACGCACCTCGTTCTTGATGCTCACCTTCGTTGAGAATCCCAATCGATCGTGCAAAGACTGAGGAAGGGCTCGAAGCTCTCTCTCTCTCAAACAAAAAGGAAATCCTCCTTGTCGGAAGGAGGCCTGTGCCACCAGCAACAGAGGCTGTACTTACATATGGTTTAGTGCAGCGTCGACAGAACGGTCGAATCGGTCACCCCGCAGGGTAAGCCGATCTTTCGCAGGATATCGGCCCCCAGGGACATCTGAGAGCGACCCACATTATGTATCCGGCTTGACAGGTTGCTCTGTATTCTGAGTTGGTGCTGGCATCATCTTGCGATAGAAGCACGTCACACAAGCGACACTTGGCTCCCGTACCTCATGATCAGCGACAAATGAAATCGTATATAAGTCTGCTCGATCTGCAAGGCTGGCGTTATCTGCTTCGAGAAGCAAGTCATCATTTTCTCCCGCTCAAAAGCTTGTCCCACGTTTGCGGGAAGGATCGTATCTCAACATCTGCAGCGATATGGCGACATGACCACTCAAGCAGCACACCCACTTACAAGAGGTTCTCATGGCAGAGAGTGCTGACGTGCTCCTCACATTATTCATCTGTCCACGCTCTGTCCAAGTTCTCCCGAATCCCTTTTTTTTTGGCTTTAGCTCTGAGGATTGAGCCACAAGTCAGGATTACTCATGAGAATTACAGAGGGCGTCGGTAAAACGTGAGCTGGATTTTTGATCTTTGATTTGGAAGTGGGGAAGCTTTTTTTCCTTCAGGACGCTAGCAATTGGACACAGAAAGTCCGTGGGTAGCATAGTCCGTTGGAATTGCCTAACAGCAAGTAGTGGTGATGGTCGCCCAAAAAAGTGAGCGAGATGCGGGATGGGAAAGTGCGGAGCTAATCACGAACACCTGATTAGATGCGTGATGGTTAAAGTGCGGGAGGATTTTGTCTCGTCGCGTGGTTCAGCTCACATCAGAATAAGGCGGGCCAGGGCCGTGGCGGCTGCGGACAAGATCAGATGGTCTAGTCAGATACGAGGAGGATCGACCAGAGGAGCATGGGCAGGAGTGGCCATTCAAGGAGGCACACAGAAGCGAGAAGAGTTTCAACAAGGTAAGAAAAAAAAAATAGCTGGCAATGGCTGCACCGACTGCCGTGTCTCAATTCTTCTTTCAACCACATGTCATCCTCTGTACAGTATGTGAGAGAGAGACACCTAAGAGAGACAAATGCTGCATGCACCTCGTCAAAGCTAGCCCCAAAGAGCAAGCAACATGATGCTGATCTTAGAACACGCTCGTCCACACAAGGTCATTGCCATCAGTCCTCCCCTTCGTCTGATGCTCATGCCCAAGGCCTGGACCCCCGGACAATCCAGCCGCAGGGGCCACTTGTTCCCTTCCGATTGTCCTGGCAATGGCATGCAGCATTCAAGATGCTAGTTGCTCATGTCTCTGAGCTTGTTTTGGCACGCTACGCTCCGTTTGTTTCAAACCTTCTGTGGTGGATGGCGACAGAGGCGGCTTCACCTGCGCCATGGCTCCAATCCCGACATAGCTGCGATGGCATGCTTTGCATTCTGAATGGCGCACATTCCTGGAGCTGACTTGAATAAAAACGCGCCACTGACCGGCAGCATGCATCCCCCTCCTTCGGCGCAACCTAGTCAGAAGTGACTGAACCACCCAGTCGCCAATGAGCCGAGAAACATGGCGGATCACAGCCCTGCTGAGCACAGCTCACTATTGTCCGGCCCTAGAAAGAACAAATGGCTCCAGCAACCCGACTTCTCTGCTCCTCGAGCTGTTCTTCCTGCCGTCCGTCGTCGTTACTTGGTTTTGTTCATAATGTTGCTCACGTCGTTCATTTTCTTTGCTTGCCTGGCGTGGTCTCTGGCCGCTCCACAGCACAAGCGTCAGGCAAGCGGTCCAGTCATTGGTACAAACTTTCAGGATCCCTCGGTGGTGCAGTTGGACGACGGGAGCTACATTGCCTATGCCGGGGTCAATGGAAATCCTGCCGGGATCAACGTCTTGATCGCTACTTCTCCAGACTTCTCGAGCTGGACCGTTCATTCAGGCTACGATGCCTTGCCAAATCTGCCCTCGTGGGCAGCCTCGCCTCCGCATGTATGGGCTCCAGACGTAACCCAACTGGTGAGTATTGAGCACGCTGGCAGCGGTGGTGGTAGATAATGGTCTGACGTCGTCACACAGGACAATGGCAACTATGTGCTATACTATTCGGTCACCATGGCAGAATCTCCGGCCAAGCACTGCGTAGCAGCAGCAACAGCCCCCAATCCAGAAGGACCATTCACACCGGTCCAGACGCCCATGTTCTGTGATCTGTCAGCCGGCGGGGCCATTGATGCAGACGGTTTCAACGACCCTGCCACTCACCGCCAGTATGTCATCTACAAGGTGGATGGCAACTCGATTGGCAACGGTGGCGCATGTTCAAATTCTGTCAACCCTATCGCACCCACCCCCTTGAATCTCCAAGAGGTCAGCCCAGACGACGGGTATACGTTCATTGGTGGCACCGTCACTGTTTTGTTGAACGACCCCAATGATGGGCCTAATATCGAAGCGCCTTCGTTGACCTACGATCCATCTTCTGGGCTGTACATTCTCCTGTACAGCTCCAAATGCTTCACGACTGCCCCGTACAACATCAGATACGCGACCAGCACCAGTATCTATGGCCCTTACACAAAGCAGGGAAATCCCTTCCTGTCCACCGGTGGCACCCCCGCGAACGTCTACATTCCCGGGGGCATTGACATCACCAAGGATGGTAAACTCGCCGTCTTCCACGGTGATGTGAACATGGGGTGGTTCGCAGGCGACGGAACCCCACGCGTGCGAGCGATGTACGCCGTCGAGCTTTCCATCGGAAACGGTCTGGTCAGTCCGGGTACGCTGTACTGAGTGGAGCACTTCGGTTCGTCCTTGACGACAGCTCCTGTGACCGGAGACAACGGATACGGAGGTTGCTACGCGACAAATTGAAACGACGTGAATGACGCAAAAAGGAGGAGAACGATCTGGCCGATGTGGTGCAACCTGTATAAAACACGTTCGCTTCGAGTTTGATTTTGAGCGGTTTCATTATAGACATATACTTTGATTCTGTTGAGTGGCGGTGGTGGCTGGGGAGGAAAGGGGGTGAGTTTGGGGGCCGACAACAACAAAAGGAGGTTCAGCCTGGTATCAAATGGATGTTTTGCGTTCACCTGTAATTACCTCGTCCACCTCGTAGTTTCCACTGAGTTTCGATGGATGGAAACACTTTTTTCTTTTTTCGAATTAGCGGACCTGAAATAGTTATTCACTTTGGTAACAATGATGAGATGTTTGATTTCCCACCCTCACCTTCTTGTTGTTCTTCTTCTTCACCACACCTTTGGATCTCGACGGGGTCTTTGATCAGTCAGTCCAGTCCAAGCCAAGCCGCTTGACGAGCTCATCCCAGCTCCTCCGCCCCCTCTGCGCCCAGTGTTCGGGCCCGTTCTCCTGGCGCTCCATGTCGCGGTGGAAGATCTCCATGCTCACCCAGCACCCAACAATACCGCCACCGCCACCGTCCTTGTTATCATTATTGTTAAGCTGCAGGAGCCACGCGCGTGCCACGTCCTCGACGGGCAGGTACGCGCCGCGGTCGCGCTCGAGCGGGAACAGGCGCCCGTACCGGCACCACGAGTGCACGCCGTCCTTGTGCGGGCTGTACGCCTCGTGGCCCGGCAGGATCGGCGGGCGAAGGCGCTCGGCGTCGCTGAGCTGGATGTAGATGAGGGGATGGGTCTGAGTCTGAGTCTGAGTCTGCGACGATGACGACGGCGGCACCGGATTCGCAAAGCGCTCGCGGAACGTGCCTAGGGACCTGCGCAGGGCGGCGTCGCCGCCGGGGCGCCGGCCGGAGGGGGAGCGCGGATCGGCCCACAGCCGGCCCAGGACGTGGTAGGAGTCGAGGCAGAGGCCGAAGTTGGGGCGGGCCACCAGGTCGACCACGCGCAGCGACTCCTCCCAGTCGGCGACGTGGGTGCCCCAGCCGAGGGCCTCGTAGGCGAACCGGACAGCAGGAAGGGAGGGGGAAGAGGATTCGTGGAGGCCTAGATCCGCCAGCGCCTGCAGCTCGGCCACGATGGTGTCCATGTCCCCCACGGCGTCCGGATCCTCGTTGCTGGGTACCTGGATCACGTCGGTGCCGAGGGCGCGCGCCATGGCGATCCACTCACGGGCGCTGTGCAGCCGCTCCTCGAGGCTGCGGCGTGGGTCACCCTCGAAGTTATTGAACGAGCCCAGGCAGACGATCCCGAGGTGGTGCTGGGCGCAGAGGCGTCTGATCTCTTCAGCCGCCTGTACCCGTGCGATCCCTGCACCAGCAGCATAGCTGTCGAGGTCAGTGATGTAGATCTCCACGCCTTGGAATCCGGCCTCGGCGGCGGCGGCCAGTTTCCTCCCCAGCGTGTGCGAGGCATGCCAGCCGAGGGAGACAGTCGAGATGGCGAGCTTGTGGTGGTTCATGTTGTCGGCGGGGTGAAATCTGACGAGTATGTATTGTGTTATTGGTAAGGCTTGTTTACGGCCCCCTTGCCGGGGAACAACAGGCGAACAAGCTCGTAAAGCTCGTAATGAATAGAACGCCACAAGTCCAAGAGGTCTCAAGGGGGGAATAATGGACTCACCAGACAAGACTGACAAGGTGGTATATATACTCCGTACATAGGGGATACAACTGAAGGGAATCCGGTTCGCTTACCTTGCTTGCTCTCCGAACGAGTCCCATGCATGCTGTGCTGTGCCCGGTATCTCGTATTCGATAGCGGGATCGGCATTGGAGACACCATCTGCATCATATAAGCGACTCCAATACCCGCGCCTGAAATGACCAGCCAGGTATCAGACTCCTATGGTCTTGGTGGGAGACCCCAAAAACGCAGATTGGTAAAAGGTATAACTTGTCACTGGCTTTTGCGAGCAGACCAAAGCAAAGCAGAGCATAGCAGCTTTGCCCGCCGCGTATCGTGAGTACTTTTCCCCATATACTGTACAAGCTATCCGCAGCTCACGGGCCCTGTCCCGTTCTTCTCCTAAGCTTCGCCTTGCTCCATCACCAGCTCACGAATAGCCCACCTCCAACCTCCCCTGCCATCGGGACCTTCTTCCTCTTCCACGTCGAGACCCTTTCGGAGCCACTTTTCCACTTTTCGTCGCCATCGCTCCTCTTCGCCTCTCTGTCTTCGCACAAACTCAGGTCCCACATCGAACTCTTCGCTAACTCCAATTCCCCATTCGTCACCGCTGCTGTGGCCAGCTTCTCCATCACCGAAGGAATCCCTCGATTGCTCGATGTTTGACATGTTTTGGAGCGTGCCGCTCCGACTGCGGGTCTCGTCCTCTTCTTTCAGGTCCTCCAGACCCGCGAAGACATCTTCTTCCTCTTCAATCTGGACACTACCCCCTCGAAGACTCGACACGCTTCCATCTGGATTCTCGGCAATCTTGAGCCATCGCATTTGTGATGGATCAAAGACCATGCCACCCACAACTTGGACGCCTGTAACACTGGAGCCCACATTGGAGATCAGTGCCACCTGCGCTTTCGTGCCTGGGCTTCCTCGACTTTGGATACCAGGGCTGCCGACCCGAGGGTAGAAGTCTGGGACGTCGAAAGGCGCCAGATCGTTTTCATTGCCTTCCCACCTAAACGAGAGCGGGTTGTAGTTCATGCCTTTCTCCGTCTTTGCTCGGTTCAAGTCGCTGCCCATGGGTTTGATGAGGTGTGGTTTCAATTGGACCTTGTCGTTTTTCTTTTTCCTCAAACTTCCTTGGTTGCTTGGACGTATAGCTGAGGTGTTCGACTTCCAATTCGTTGATATGGGTTGCAGTGGTTCACCTCGCATGTTCTGGAAAGTGTTTGAGATCTGTCGCTGTTCGCGAGCGTTGCGGGAGGCGGCAGTGTCGCGGGCAAAGCGAGGAACGTTGGTTGTATTGAGGGCTGTGGTTGGGAAATCGCTTCTGGGAGCCGGTGAGAGCGGCGTTGCTGGAACAGGGGTGTCGCTGCCCCGTCTCGTACTGGCAAGGGACGATGTCGAGGGGTTGAGGTGCGACAAACCAAGTTTGCTTCGAAGGCTTCGAGGTGCACCACGGCCCACAGGCGCCTTGGTGAACTTGGATTCGAGGGTGGCCGAGGTAGGCAAGTCGTCGAAGATCTCCAACTCCGTTCCATCGCCATAATTGCGACGCCGGGCAGGTTTTGTGATTGATTTCTTGGCTTGTGCGGCCAATTCGGCGGGTGTGAGATTGCTTCGCCCACGAGCACTGTCTATCCCACGACCAGGCGTCTCCGGTCTGCCGAGCCCAGCCAATCGAGACAAGGACCTTTGAGCAGCGGACATACTGTCACCAGAGCCATCGGATCCTTGCCCGCGGTAATGATTTTTGATACTAACGTGCTGAGACTGCCCAGCGGAAGCACCTGCTGGGAGGAAGGGGATTGCGCCTTTCCTGGGTTCCCCGATGCGAGATTCTGCGCGATCCGTGGGAGTTTTGGGACGTGAGGGGATATTCAACCGGCTTCCCGTCTCCTGTCTCGAAGGAGGTCTGACGTACGGCGAAGCTTTGGTCGGCGAGGTCAAGCCACGCATGACAGGCATGGATCTCTTTGCACGCAGGAGCTGCGCGTTTGTTGTGGTCGGCGGCTCGAAGCGCAGGTCGGGGCGAGATTCGGTGCCACGGAGGAGCCGTCGACTTGGGGTAGAGGGAGTAGAGGGAGCCTGAGGGGCGGGAATGGCTGAGACAGATGAATGACTTGCATGATTACCAAGTCGCGAATTGGCTCGTTGGTACGATGATATCGCGGCGCCGGTTTCCGAGACAGGTTCCAAATTGGACCGAGCACGCTCAAGCCGGTCGTGAGCAGGTTGAAATCTGGGGAGACGCGAGATAGTTCCTTGGCTTTTGGTGCTTGTAAAATTGAGGGTGGTTGTTGTCCTTTTGGGTGGACTGGTAGGCCGTGCACTCTTGTGCTTAACATTGCGATTCAGGGTCAATTTGGCAGCGTCGAAAACCTCTCCATCTCCAATTTCTAGACCCGAGAAAAAGTCGTCCTTCCCAGCCGTCATCCGGGAATCATCTTTGTGATCGGGAATACTTCGAGGTGGCTCAGGCGGGTGTTCATGTTGGCGTCGTTTGAGCTTGTCCTCAAATTGAATGGGGCCGTCAGGCAGGACAAGACCATCCAGGCCTTCATCTTCGCTCTCGGCGGTGAAAGCACTCGAAACACTGGGGCTCAAGGCTGAGGCAGACGAGCTACGTGCAGACCGACCTCCTCTTCTGGTGCCGGCGTTCCTTGTACCCAGGCTGCCCTCGGCCCATTCAAGGTCGAAATCGTCACTTTGTTGAGGAGTCGAAGGAGGGGGTTTCCTTGTGGACAGGCGCAGTTGTCCATCGGAAGGAAACTCGAGATCGTCTTCGATGTTTTCAGTTTCTGGCTTCCCGGGGGTGGGAGGTTGCCGGAAAAGCAGAGGCTTCTGAGGTGATCTATGTTTGGCGACCTTTATCGTCGGGACATCGCCAAAGCCCGCATCCTCATCTGTATCTCGAAAAGCATCCAAGGTGATAGGTACAGCTGCCGAGCGCGACTTTGGCGACCGGATGGTTTGATCAAACATGTCTTTCGCTTCTGGGGTTTTGGGTGACGTTCTGAAAGCCGCACTGATCTGTCGCAAACTCTCTGATAAATCGCGGTCATCGTGTTTGGCGAGCTTGAGAGGCATCTCGGTGCCAGGTAGATCCAAGTCTTCCGACCAGTCGTCCGCAATTGCCTTTTTGATCTCTTTGCCCTTCAACCGCCGTATGGTGCCACCCTCCAATGCCGAACGAGGTATGTTGGCAGGTAATGGTATTCCTTTGCTCTTCGCAAGGGCTACGGCATCCTTAATCGATGCTTGTTCATCAACCAGTACATCCCAATTTTCGTCTCCTTGGTTCGACTCGGACCGCATTGACAAGCGCGACGAGACGGAATCTCGGCGGTTCGTCTGGGGATGAGAGATGACAGAAGTTGCGGTTGACGCAGTACGGAAGTGGACGTCTTCCAGGTTCTCAAAGTCGTCATCGTCCCAGTTTTCCACCTCGGGGCTCTCGACCGGAGTGCGTTGCTTCAACGTAAGTGGTTCCATTGTTCTCGATGTGTTCTTAGGCGTAGAGGAAAACATTCAGGAGGAAGTATTAGGGTCGCAAAAATACACTGAGAAAATCTGGCGCCAGTAGAGGCATGAACAGGAGGATCGTGGAATTCGTGAGGAATCGTAACGTCGTGAAGAAAAAATATTCAATGGTATGATTGATCGAGCTCTAGAGCGTGTTTCTCGCTCCCCGTCGAGGAATACACCACCGATCGGGGGCAGTCGATGAACGAGCGACCTTGTATGGTCGAGGGAGTAGGAGGAGAAGCGAGGTATGCGAGAGTTCTTTTTCGAGTTTCGAGGTCGGCCTGAGGTCTTCCGTTAGGGGAGGCTGGAAGGTTGGTCGTCGGAGGTTTTGGGTTGCTCGCTGATGGGAAAAGGTGGAGTTCGGCGCGGACAAGCAGCAGGAGCCAGAAAAGCTGGGAAATGCGAAGGCAGGGACACGAAACCAGCCAATCATCTCGCCGCTTGACGCGTTCTGTGCTTTGCCCCACTCAGCTGGCGTTACGTGATTCCGTCCCGGACTGGTTGCTGCGTGGCCCTTGCTCGACACGAAGGGAAACTGGGCTATGCTACTTGGGTGCTAACTCTGGGGTCTGGATTCTGGAGCCTTGCATAGTTGATTGCTGACTGTCCAAGTGATGCTGCGCGGCTAACTTGCATGCGGTCATGGCGTCGACGTGGATCATTCGGCTGGTACAAGCCGACAAAACCAGCAGCCCAATATTGATCAAAGTGGCACAAAAGGAAGGCGGTCATGATCTCGACCTCGACCTTCTCGCGACTGATGGGGAAGTGGCCTATACAGGTAAAGGTAAGGTCACAGGCTGCGTCAATATTACTCTTGTGCTGAAATTCATGTAGTCAGGCAGCGTAGCCTCAAGAAACTGCGAGGTAGGAATTATGACGGAACTGACGAGGACTGGGCCAACACCCTCTCCTCCATTCTCGGGACGAAGACAGAGACCTCGACTGGCACACAACGGAAGACCAATCTCGAGGTGACGTGTTCACTATCAGGCAAGGATCCCAAAACCGTTTTATCCATCACCATCAACAATCGAGTCGAGGACATCACACAGCGCCTTGGGAGTATCGATCTGTCTCAAACAGAAGACACCGACGATGTTGACCTCTTCGGTTGGGCGTCGCAGGCTGTCGAGAAGCGGGATGAGCTACAGGCAGAAGTTACAAGTCTGGAAGAACAGGTCAAGACAAGAGATGAGGTGATGGCAAGCCTACAAAGACAGATTGATGAGCTGGTCGAAGCCAAGGCGGAGCATGAAAAGCAAATGCTATCTAAATTTGCTCTGCTCCTCAATGAAAAGAAGCTCAAAATCAGAAACATGCAGCGGATCTTGTCAACCGCGAAAACAGACCAGAAAAAGCTGAAGGAGCTGCAGGCCGTTATTGGGAATGAGGTAGCTGGTGTACCACGACGGAACAAGAGACCAGCGGACGATGCTGTGGAAAACGAAGACGATGACAGTGATGGCTTCGAAACCAGACGTGCGGAACCCGTCACTAATCCCGAGAGAGATCCTAGCTCTCCGACTTCTGGTAGCTCAACCCCAACGCCCTCGGAGCGTGACGAGGACACGGATGAGGACAACTTGGATGGCCCCCCTGCATATTCGAATCAACCACGAACACGATCAATGGTAACAGAACAGGATGAAGGACAGAACAAGGCGGAAGATGATAGACAGACTGAGGAAAAGGACCAAGCTGCAGCGCCGGCGGACGACAACGACGATGATGAAACGGCAAGCGAGGATGACGAACTATGAGCACAAGGATCAGGTGCGATCCTGTCTCAACTATTCACATAGCAGCATTGGATACCCAATTCTTTCTGAACAGGACAAGAGTTGTGGTAATTTCATTCACTTTCATTGAGTGGCTATGCACTCAGCAGACTCTCGCCCAATTGAGAGCTGAGAGCGCTTTGTATATGATCTCTCGAACCCTCTGTGACTGGTTCAACCATGATATGTGGTCACCGCAGCCTGGTTCGACCCTTGCCGTTGGGGTGAACACTTCAGTAGTTGAAGTTTGGCTGGTCACGTTGGTTCGGGTCATATTGATCCATGTCTCCATAGTGTTGGTCATACATGTGCTCAGCACTCCTCTTAGCATGTTCTCTGGCTCGGATCTTGTCATATTCGTCCAAGCCCTTGGTCTCGGCGAGCTTGTCGACTTCCGCTCCAACAAAGCCGGCGAGGACCTCTTTGGCAAAGCCATGGCTGACCGTCTTGCCTGTATAATATTAGCTCATGGCACTGCTGATATTTGGCAAGAGTGTTCTGCATACCCTCTCTGCGTTGACGATCCTCGTAGAGCTTCATGCCCTCGAAGGCAGCTGCGCCACCAACTAATTCATGGGAGAATTTGGCCTCATGTCTTTCGTCCCCGTTGTCTAACTTGCTGTTAGTATCATGCAGTGGCATCGTCCTCACCTTCACTGGTGCAGGCGTCCGAAGATACTTACAGACTTGCTGGTGAGCGTCACGGCTTTCGTCTGGGAAAGAGCAGTCAGCATGAGAGGGGTATGGAACAGATGACCAGGTCAGATCAACTCACCCCAACCAAACATCTTGAATCAAAGTATTGGATCTGTTGGAGTTTGTCTGGAGTTTTTTTTTAATCGGTCGAGAAGTGTCAGGTGAGTTTGAGAGTCTGAGTATGAAGAAAGAAAACAGGGGATCGGGAGGGAAATATATAGGTTTTCAGGGAGAATGTCAGTCACCGCCCGTGGCGCCGGGATCCTTGAGTGAAATCGTGCCAAACAAGCAGACACAAACTTGCCCCTCGATGCATCCCTCTCGCTGGCAGCTCGCCATTGGGAATGCACAGAGATGACCCCACTCCGGTCACAGCAGTGGCCAGTCATTCACCTTGACGTTGCTTCTGTTTCATCTGCTACGGGCATTGCGTCAACAAAGGTGACCAAAGCTCACCGGCTCAAGTTACTGCTCCTCACATGTTTTCTCACTACTGACCCGAGCCACTTCTGGGTCCTCAAAACAAGAATTCAGCTGGCCATCCGTGGCTGTGCATCACCGTGTCCCTTATTCCTTATCCCTCCTCATCACCCCTCCATCACTGATCGCGGCTTTATGTCAATGATGCTGGAGCCAATGCAGGTCCGCCACCCCACATCTTTTCAGCTCGCTTGTTCCCGCCTTTTCAGGGTCCCGGTCGCTTCTCTGGGCAATTCTTTCACCAGTATTTTCGGATCAAGATGTTCCTATTACATGGGATCTGTGCAGCTCGCATATTCACATGCATCTTACCCCTGATCTCCTGGAATATTGTGAGGGGTTGTGGAAGGATGTCGGATTGCTTCACATTTGCATCGAGGGGGGCCGACAAACGCCAAGGCCGAGAGGGGCTGCGCATGGTGCTTGACTGCTGGAGCCAAGTTGGAAGCTAAAGCTTGTCTCGGACCCTGGCGTGCCTGGGAAGCCCGCAGTCGTTTGGCCGCAGAACGTCATGCTCGACGCTTGCCGCCTCCTTGCTTGACTTTGGTTCCTGGCGAGCTGGATGCGAGGACCCAACCATCCATGTCGATTTGTCCGATATCAAACCCGCCCCTACTCTAGCAAAGATAGAAGGGTTGGAGGATCAACAGTGTCACACGTGTATACCCAGCAAGACGCCTTGTTTTCTGTCCCAGCCGCCCGTTGATCGCTGCGCCACAATGCCTCACCAGCCTGGTCCCTCTCCAACCGCCAGCGACTTTCCCCCGGCCCTCAAACCGATCCTCCACCTTCCACCCGACAACAAGGCCACGAATGCGGTCATCTTCCTTCCAGGCTTAGGTGACACATCAGCCAACTTCTCCTCCTTCTCTCGTGCGCTGAACCTCCCTGACGCTTTGGCCATTACAATCAATCCACCTTTCCCCTTACCATTCCCTCTGGGGCCGGGGGATCAGTGGTCCGAAGACCTTCATGTTGACACTACCACGGGTGAACTTGATTCCGACTCTCCATTGACCAAATCAGTGGAACTCGTTGCACAGGAAGTGATCTCGAGAGTCCTGGTCGATAAGTTCAGGTACCGACCTGACCACATCCATCTCTTTGGCTTCGGACAGGGTGGTTCGGTCGCCCTAACGGTCCCCTTGCATCCATCCATATCTTCTCTACCCTCTTTGGGAGGAGTCATATCAGTCGGGGGAGCTCTGCCGCTATCTGCACCTCTTACAAGCACGAAGTCTCAGAACAAAACACCGGTGCTACTCCTGTCAGGCTCAAAATCACCACTTGCAGCAGTCGGCTCCAGTCCACTTAACCGCATCAAGGCCACTTATGAATTCGTCACTTATCATCAATGGAAGAAAGCAGATGACTCGTTGCCTAAGAATCGAGACGAGGCCTTGCCGATGATGCAGTTCTGGGCACGACGGTTACGAAGCAGACGCGGTGTTCCGGATGATGCCATCGAGATAACTTGACCTTGAGTTCAGAGAACTTGTGATTATTGTCAAATTTATTGGGAGACTATCACCAGTCGAAACTCGATCAATCATTTCTGAAGTCGATCTAATTCCTCTCTGGCTCTTGTGACAGCATCCTCAGCCTGGCGTCGACTCTGCACTTCGACTTCATCCTCTACCACTTGACTGGCAGTGTCCACTAGTTCCTCCATCCTGCCCACGATTCGCTGAATGACAGTCCTGCCCTCATCGTACAAGCTGTGTTCCAGTGCCTTTGTAGCCTTAAACCAGTCTCCCTGCATCCGCCACAAGGCGTAAGCTGTACCTAACGCGGCTATTGTGCCAGCTTCATACATGCTGCCTGGTGTGATGGAAAGGTAGGTCAGAGCCGAGAGACCGCCAGACAGACCTGTGATCGAGAGGGTTTTGAGCACAATCTGCTGAGCCGTGCTGGTGAGATCTGCAATTGCACGTTGCATTTGCTCGGAACGAGTCCTAGATATCGATGAAGACAAAGGTATGGGTTGAGGGACAGGGGCCATCTCGACCTCAGCGGTCCCTGTGGGGTTGACCAGGACTGCCTCCAGAGGGGGGTCGGTCGCAATGGTGGCTTGCGCCTGCAGTACTGGCGTGGGCTCTGTAAGATGATCTTGTTTTTCCTTGGACATGGTCAGGCTTCCATGCTGTGGCAGTGAAGGCAAAGCATCCATCGGCGAGATGCCCGCCTGAGACAGCCGACCGGAAAGTTCATAGACTGCGCGCTCAGTACGAGGAAGCCATGCGTTTGTAACGAGGTCCGTAATGATAAGTCCAACATCATCCACACGCCAGAACAGCTTGTACCAAGCCAACTTGCGCCAATTGTGCGAGTTCCATGCTGATGCGAGCCCGGATTGGAGCTCTTGGTGGGCGCTTCGAGAGAATCCTTCGATTGCGTCCTCGAGATTGGCCCGCGTGGCATGGCTCAGGCTTCGAGCCGCATTCGATCGAGCTTCCAAGGACGCTTGAACTTGCAAATTGGTCATTGCAGTCGTCAGTAATGAGGAAATCAGGGCCTTCACAGTTGCTGGGATGGGTCCTTCAGATCTTGCAGCTGAGGCCAATGTGAGCCAGCCTGACAATATCGGCATACCCGAATCGACCCATTTGTGCTCGTATTCAGTTGCTTCCCCAATAGATCTTCGAATCGCTGCCAGCCCCTCCTCTGCTTTGGCGGCGTCTACGACCAAGACTTGTCCTTGGGTTTGGTCCTTGAACTCTCTCAGATCAACGGCCAAACTCACAGATTCCCGATCTTCCCGGGCTGTAAAATTGGTAGACGCCAATAGCTCTGCAGCTAGCATGAGCCCGTCCAGTCCTTTTGTGACAAGCAGACTGCTATGCACTGGTTGGCTGATGGTCGTTTGTCGTCCAGTTGCAGCGGTGGGCGTCCCAATCGACGGTGACAAGAATGCATCTGATGTGACTGTTTGCGCCCCTTGCAATAGCTCGCCATTTCGGGGCCCGCTGATACTCGATACTAGTATCTCCATATTGTTTCGCTCGAGAACGTTCGATGGGACGTGAAGTACCGGAATGATGGTCTTCGGCTGAGGAAGATTTGGATTCGGAGCGCGTCCATAACGTATCAAGACGCCTCGACTGAAGTCCACGCTCCCAGCACTTTTTACCAACTCCCGCTCCCAGCTCCCTTCGTCTTCCAACGCGTCTGCAAGCAGTAGCCGGACCACTCTGCTTGCTGTATCTTGAACATTCAATCCCAGAACAGCCACCCTGGTCACTGGGGTCTCGGACTCGAGCCCTTGCAGGGCAAGTTGGAGTCGACTGAGATTTACCTGCGCCGCCGCCTTCTTTCGCACGTCAAGAAGGGATTCGTAGAGAGGTTTATACCGCGGAGGGACGGGCTTTTGCGCGTTCACGGCGGTCGTGGAGATGAGCGTTGCGGTTGAAGTTGAAGTTGAGGCATGCCGCCGACTGCTGTTTCTGCTCCTGGAGCCGGAGCCGGTGGGAGCTGTCCTTCGTAGAGGTTTGCTCATGCGCCATGCTGTACAAGATGGGCAAAAGAAGAAGCTGTCAAGGAAGGCCTCGATTTGCTGGCCCGGATAGGGTCCACGGGAGCCCTTCATAGTGTGCTCAGACTCTTACGGACTGTTTCTCTCCGCGACATTGACGTGATGCAAGGACAATTGAATTGAGAAATGTATTGGTAGCTGCTCGCTGCATCTCCAAGCCTGCGACCAACAAGCCGAAGTTTTGCCGCAGATACAATCCACGAGACGCGCTCCGTTGTGTCCATCTTTGACCACTCCCTTGTCTCTCACAAAAGGGACAAAGTACTGTCTGGGTCATTCTCCGTCTCAAAACACGGTCAAGTATATGATGCCAATCGACCTGCATACGCCAAAGAAGCTAGTATGGCTTCTACGACCACCATAAACACCTGGCTGGAAGAGCTTTTGCTCTCTTTCGGTTCACCATCTGCAACAACCGACGTACCTAGAAACAAAGACAGTTTCATCCGCACCGTCAAGCACCACAGCTATGGCCGGACCAACCAGTTTGCCGTCGATGAAAAGCTTACCGGACTGGAAGAAAAACTCCAAGTCTACAACCTCGACGACGTGGCCGCGGAGCTTTTCTCGCGACGTGCGGAGCTAAAGAGAGACCACGATGACAAAAAGTGGTTGCCCGATGTTCTGGATTTTCTCCTTCATCTTTCTCATGACCCGGTACAACATAGCCGGATTGAGAATCTAGAGAAGTTGAAACCACGAACAGAGACCCCTCCCATCCTGACATGGGAGGAGATCGATGCGGACGATCCCATCGACCGCCAGGATGAGATATGGAGGCTTCCGAAGTATTCTGATTCCAGCTCTGACGAGGACGAATTTGTCACTATAACTACACCGCCCTCGCCAATCGCTGTGAAGCATCATCTTAGGAAGGAAAAGAACGTCGAGAGGCTGTTTGAAACGCCGGTGGCGCAAGAGTCAGCGATGCTAGAAGCAGTACAATTCTGGCATAGACCGGGACCTTTTGTTCCGGTCACAGAGACTCAAGCGATAAGGGAGGTACTGTTTATGCTCACAGGAATGCCAACCTCCATCTTCACCATTACCAACCATGGCGTCCGTCCCAATGCGCGATACTGCCTGGCCCATCTGGGGCGGACAACCTCGGGGTCCTTGCTGGAGGAGGCAGCTCGACTGGGTGCAAAGATTAATTTCGTTCGCCAGTGGTTGCGAATCCCCCAGAATCCGGCCGTCATGCAATTCATTCAAAGCGCAATCAGTGATATCATGACGAGTTTTGAAATGATCATATCCGAACAACACGCCACTATCTTACGCCGATCTTCGCCAACGGGTGTGGTCAGCCTGCTTCAAACACTGCAGATGATTGAGAGAGCAAGCAATTCATTAAAGGCTGTCAGCGCCATCGTGCCCGATTTCGTATCGAATGACCATATCTGCGCTCTGAACACCATCTACAGCCATTTGGACACAGCGTACAGTTGCTCGAACTCTGTCGAGGTGGAGACTTTCCTCCCGATTTTCCTCTCTGCCCTGACTCTATATTCGAAACCTATAGACGCATGGTTGGTCACCGGCAGGATCGAGTCCACGGAACCATTTTTTGTATTTGAGAACGACAGCAAGACACGAGTGGCGAGCACTTTGTGGCATGATTGGTTTACCCTGGCTGCCGCAAAAGACAACCTGATCCCAATATTCCTGGAGAAATTTGCCGAAAAGATCTTCACAATTGGCAAAACTGCTGCCTTTCTGCACCATCTTGGACAAGCCACCCCAGATAGCTGTAACAGGGATCTCGGAATCGCAGCCGCGGCTATGGAGACAGCCCATCTGATACTGAGCTCTCCATTACCCTTCTCCGCGACATTTGAAATGATCCTGAATCGACATCTCTCCGCTCTACTCGACACCTCCACGACTGCTCTTAGGCAGATTCTGGAGACCAGCTGCGGCCTGACAAGATTCCTCGACGCACTCGACTATCTCTATCTTGCCAAAGAGGGTGTCCTCCTTGATGGTATTGAAAGCAAGATGTTCGACCGGATAGATCGCTGCTTGGAGATGTGGAACGACCGTTTCCTGCTTTCTGATCTCCTAGCTGAAGCGTTCCAGGACTCTGAATGTGTGGATGTCGATGCAATCACCGTCCAAGCCCAGTACACCTCTTCTCGGAGCATGGAAAATCGACGCCGCTCCGTCAAGATCCTGGCTGCCGTATCCATCTCTTACCACGTCAGTTGGCCAATTGCAAATATCATCCTCCCCAACGCCATGACGTCCTATCAACGTGTTGCTCTAATACTGAATCAAGTCCGCCGGGCGAGGTCCTTGCTCGAGAGCCGAGCGTACTTCTTCGTTCAACATATGCCTTTACCCTTTGACAGCCTCGACGAACAAAGGCTTGCACGACTGATATATTGGCAGCTGTCCCATTTTGCGAACACCCTCTATAGCCATCTGACAAGCTGCACGGTCCAGACCTTTACAAGAAGTATGCGCGAACTGTTGCATAGCTCCTCAACCAGAAGCCTTGACGACATGATAGCAATTCATACCCACTACGTCGAAGCGTTGGAGCATGCATGTCTCAGCAGCAGACGAATCAAACCTTTACGCGATGCACTCGTTACAATTCTCGACCTATCCATTCGATTCACGGATCTCGTAACCTCGCCTTCAACTCATCTCGATGTGCGGCCGACATCCGCAGATGCGCATGGAGATTTCGAGGCGAGCAGTTTCATCTCGGCGCGCAGCCAGAGAAGACGCCGAGGTAGGAGACAAGGTGCCGATGATTCCTCTTCAGAGGACGATGACACGAGCATGGGAGAGGGATATTCCACATTCATCCTCGAGCAAGACACCTCGCTCATCCAGGAGATCATCAAAGTGAGAGACATCTTCCGGAAACACGCCAAGTTCTTGATCGCCGGTTTGAGAGCCGTGGCGAGAAGTTCAAGTTCAAGGTCAGCACAGGGACAGGTACAGGTACGGCAAGGATGGGAGGTGGGCGAGAATTTTGAGCTGTTGGCCGACTCTCTAGAAGGAGTCTTCCCTCTGAACAAAAGGGCTGCCTTTTGATTTTGGGTACCCAGTGAATCGAATCCGAGCCACTGGGCAAAGACGGTCGCGCTAGGGGTATTTCATCGACTCTACTATCCAAATCCGCTTTTCCATGTCCCATTTCCTTTTGTTTTGCTCCTGTTTTTTTACAATCCTTTCGTGGTCATCGTACGATGCCTTTCCTGTCTTTCATCGTCCCTGATGGATCGTGATGGTAGCAGTTTGAGAGAGACTAGGACGTCCTCCTCCACTTCGTCTCTTCCGCCTCTCCTACGCCAGCGGCATCCTCGTCTCCTCGTTCTGTATCCTGCCTTGGCCGAACAGTGCCAGCACCGGGGCCCAAGGGGTCGTCGCTTGCAGCTGCCGCTCCGTCGCCGTCGTCCTCATCTGGCTCGGCCTGGTCATCACCGCCAATCCAGTTCCCCTCCTCGTCGAAAAACTCGTGCATATTCTCCGCCGTGATCCAGCCGCCACTGCCCGGCATCGCAGGCGGGAGGCCGCCGTCCGAGCTGCCGGGGAAGGCCAGCCCCGCGCGAAACAAACGGCTCCCACCACCGTCTTCGCCGTCGTCGTCTTCCACGGGGTCGGGATGCAGATTGGAGCAGGCGGAAAGGGCGTTGAACATGGCCACCACGGGCGTCTGTTCGGGCTTGTCTTCCCCTTCAAGACCGTCGTGAGTGGTCCCAGAGACGACTTGCGGCGGGGCAGAGGCGGTTGGGATCACGGTGACAGATATCGAATCGGGGTCAGTGTCTTCGTCTTGCGCACCGCTCTCCGGCGAGGGAAATGAGATTATCTGCATGTATAGACCTTGTTGCTCGCCGGGCGAGGGTTGCGGGAGAGATTGGATCGCGTGGAGGGAGATGGAGGGGTACGGGATCGAGAGGCCTGCATTCGCATCGTTGGAGTAGAGGAAGAGTTTGCTGTTCCGGCGTCAGTTTCCCATTTGTCCCGAGATCTCGGTTGTCCAACTCACTCGGAAGTCACCCATACATCCACGTTGTCGACAACTTTTTGCTGTCCCCTCATCTCAAAATCTCCATTGGCTTCGGTGCCGTTCGCATGATGAGGCTGCTGAGGTTGCGCTTCGGAACTGGGATGTTCTAGCAATGGCGCAAATGCTGGCACGGAGCGGGCTTCATGTTCCAGGACGACCAGCTTGCTGCGGTCACTGTAGTAATGGAGGACTGGTGGGCCGGAATAGAACGAGGCGGGCGTCGCAGACTGATGCTCGATTAGAGGTACGAAGGACGAGGCCTTCGGCGGCTCACGGAGGATCTCCATGGTGCACAGTTGGTGCAGAGAGAGTTGTGGATGTCGTCGGTGCGGTCTGTACTCCCTCAAGGTACCAGCTGGGTTGGAAAGGCCTGTGGCCGGAAATTTTCGTGGTGGTGCCTGAATTGTGAAATGACATTGTGTCTGCGGAAATACCGGGGTAAACGCCTCGTCTCGCCTAGATGAGTGGATCCCGTGACCGCGTACACGAACATTTCAAAGATTCGATTTCAACGCTTTTGCTTCTTTATTTTCCCTTTTCATCCTATCTCACCATTTTCCTGGGCGTGACTATCTGGAGCATAGAAGAGTTCCTGTATCATGGCCGATGGCTAACAGTCGCCGTCCACTATGGCCGTCGCAAAGCCCGTGCGATTCCTAGGGGCACTGTCCGTGGTGTTGGTCTTCTTCGTCATTTATCAGTACTTGCGCCCGGTCCCAACGATCAACCCCCCCGGCACCGTGGTCGGCAATGGCGACAAGATCGAGACCTGGGAACAAGATCCTCTGCTAGAGCGTGTGTATGACCACCCCGGATCCATGCGACAAACGCTAACATGTACCTGCAGCGATTGGCGAGCCGCCCGAACCGTTATGGCGACACACTGACCACGACTATGCCCCCGAGAGCCCCAACTCGGCGCGCATTAATGCCACCCTCCTATCTCTCGTCCGCAATGAAGAACTTGCCGAACTCCTTCCGACCATGAGACAGCTCGAAGAGACGTGGAACTCCAAATTCAACTATCCCTGGACATTCTTCAACGATGTCCCATTCACTGAGGAATTCAAACAGGCCACACAGGCTGTCACAAAGGCCAAATGTGCCTACCATGTCATTCCGAAAGAGCATTGGGAAATGCCGTCCTGGGTGAGCCAGGAACTTTATGAAGAGTCGGCGAAGATCTTGAAAGAGAACGATGTTCAGTACGCCGGGATGATATCATATCACAAGATGTGTCGATGGAACAGCGGCATGTTCTACCGCCATCCGGCCCTCGAGCATACCCAATACTATTGGCGCGTGGAGCCCAAGGTCAAATTCTTCTGCCAGGTCGACTACGACGTGTTCCGGTACATGCAGGACCACAACAAGACCTATGGCTTCAACATCAATCTGTTTGACTCGCCAGAATCTATCCCATCCTTGTGGCCAGAGACTATCAAGTTTCTGGCTGCCCACCCCGAATATCTCCACAAGAACAACGCCATGGCATGGCTGGTGGACAATACCCGCAGACCGGAAAACAACATCAAGGCCCATGGGTACAGCACCTGTCACTTCTGGTCCAATTTTGAGATCGCCGACCTGTCATTCTGGAGGAGTCAGGTCTATGAGGACTATTTCACCCACCTGGACCGGACGGGTGGCTTCTTTTATGAGAGATGGGGTGATGCCCCTGTCCACAGCATTGCATTGGGGCTTTTTGAGGATGCCAGCAAAATTCACTGGTAAGGCAATCCCAACTTCTAGTGAGATATCGAAAACACAGACTGACAGGGGACAGGTTCAAGGATATCGGATACAACCATATCCCATTCTACAACTGCCCCAACTCACCCAAATGTAGTGGGTGTACGCCCGGACAGTTTTATGGCGGCGAACCGTGGTTGCAACGTGAAGATTGTCGACCGTTATGGTTCAAATATGTTGGAATGGGATGAACGACAGGAGCCTGATTATCTTGGATCACACACAATCAGATAAACGAGGCTTTCAGCACGTATTTGTATTTGGGACGCCACCCCTGCACAGACGTGGAGGTCTCGTGAGCTTGGACCTGCTTCTGCACCAGGCATGATGGATTTGGTGGTCTGCAAGATGCACTCTAGGCAGAACGTATTAGCTGGTCTAGATTCCCCAACCATGTTGACATGCACGTTGAGATCCTTCGTTCGGGATCCTGTTGCTGTATCGAGACGTTCGCCTGGGTGCCGAACGGAGGACACCTCCGTTACCGGCGGTATTCCCTTGACTCTTGATTAGCGTGACGGAAGCAGACATAGTTAAGGCGCGTGGCGTCGAGGCTTCGGGGGGGATCGCCTCAAGGGCCAAGGGCTAGGGAGGCCAAGGCTCACCTGGAACCCGGGGGCAGCTCGGCGACCCGATCGCCTATACGAGCCCCCCAAAGTATTGACTGACATCTGGCACACGGGCACATTCCGTGGGGAAGGCTCTCCCTCCCCCAATGCCAACCACCCACACTTCTCCCTTCCTCTACCCATCTCCTCCACCCTTTCCCCGGTGGGTGGCGTTCCAAGGAACAAAGAGAATACGGGGCATGATATGCAAGACCTCGAGATTGCCCTCTCTTCTCCAATACTTGCGCTACGGTCCCTGTTTCTGCCGACGGAAGTACCGCTACTCCGTCAAACCCCATGCACTGATCACCGCTCAATGTCCGGTTCGGCAGTCACATTTGGTGTTGCCCATCGAGAACCTAGTAAACACCACGTCGATCCCCTGTCCTTGACTCAGCGATAGCCCTTTCCTGGATTTGCTCTCCGAACGGACGGGGCGTGCGACGCTGCCCCCCAGGTCGGCTTCCTGTCCAGTAAGTCGACTGGAAAAAAGAACAGACATGTCGAAGGGTCCAATGCGACCTCGCTTCTGCGGGGCGAACAGGCTCGTGGGTTGCTCACGGCATGGCATGGGATCACTGCCGCAATGCATGAAGCGAAAGTTCGTCGGGCAGATCGACTACCACGCGCCTGGGTCAAGCAAGGTAAGCTCGACGCATCCAAATAAAAAGGTCAAGGGTTCCCCATATGTGAAGCTGCCGCTGCTGTTGCTGGACTTTTTCTTCCTCCTCAGCCCCCGTTCATCCTTGTTCCCCTCCTCCAGCTGCTTTGCTCAAGTTCCTTGGGGTTCCCTCTCCCCTCTTCAGCCTGGCGAGCATGGATTCCAAAGAGATCAGCGAGAAGCCTATCACGGGCGTCACCCCGCCGGACGCTGTGCGGTTGGCTTCGTCCAAAACGTCGACCAGCGACGAGAAGCCCACCGTCACCACAGCCGAAGAGATATCTTCGGAGAAACACAACGATATCAATGCCCATTACGACCCTGCTGCCGCCCCTCGGTATACCAAGGAAGAGGAAGATGCTGTCATCCGCAAGCTTGACTGGCACCTGATGCCTCTCATTTTTGTCCTGTACTCCCTGTCCGTCCTAGACCGCTCCAACCTGGGCAATGCCAGGATTTCCGGAATGGAGAAAGACATTGATCTCAGTGGAAATCGATATGACTGGCTGGGAACTGCGTTTTACATCAGCTGTAAGTTCTCCCGCTGCCTCTGGCATTTAGACGGCCGCACTGGCAACCCCACGAGTTCGTTCCACTGCTTCCGACGCCGTTCTCATGTATTGTTACACAGACATCCTCTCGCAATGGACCCAAATGGGCTGGAAAGCATTTCCTCCCCACGCCTGGGTTGCCTTTGTCGTTTTTGGCTGGGGGGTGGTTTCCACCCTGCAAGCAGCATGTACATCGTGGGCCGGCGTGATGGTCTGCCGAGTCATTCTCGCCATCTTTGAAGCGGCCTATGGTCCTGGTGTTCCACTGTACCTCTCATTCTTCTACCCGCGCGAGAAGCTAGGTCTGCGAACCGGGATCTTCCTGAGTGGCTCTGCCGCCGCCAACGCCTACGGAAGTGCCCTCGCGTACGGCATTGCACAAGCCAGAGGTAAACTTGCACCGTGGCGCATTCTCTTCATTGTTGAGGGTGCTCCGACCTGTGTGCTGGCTCTCGTGGCGTGGTTCTGGCTGCCGGACTCCCCCGCCCACTGCAAGTTCCTGACAGATAGAGACAAAGAAATCGCGGTGGATTTGTCCTTGAGACAGCCTGGAGACAGGACCGGGAAGAAAGGACTGCAGTGGAAACAGGTACTGGGCGGGTTGATGGATTATCGATGTGAGTTTTCTTCCTCTTCTCCTTTTCGTGCGCTTTCCCGTTGCTCACTGGTCCTATTTGGACCCGAGTCACCCACCCTTCGCTTCATTTTTGAGGACTGTTCAACTGGAAAGCCCCTGTTCAGGTCGTGAAGCCTGAAGGGTGACTCGGTCAAGCAAAAGGCAAATATCCCGTTGTTCTCATGGGATTCTGAAAGCCATGTGATCCCCGTTACCCACCCGTCATGACTCTGAAGAAGAGACGGAGGAAAAGTTTCCGAGACTGACAATTCATGTTCACAGCCTACCTTCCTCCTCTGATGTACTTCGGGTGCAACGTCTGCTTCGCCTCTCTCCCACTCTTCGTGCCCACCATCATCAGCGAGATGGGCGCCTTCTCGACCATCCAGTCCAACGGGCTCTCCGCACCGCCGTACGTGTTCTGCTTCCTCGCGATCTGCGGCACAGCCTATGTCTCGGACCGCGTGAACCTGCGCGGCATCTTCGTCACCGTGCCGGCGCTGATCGCGGCGGTCGGGTACATCATTTTGGGCACGACGTCCGGGGTCGGGCCGCGGTACTTCGGCTTGTTCCTGGCGGTGCTCATCTTCGTGTCGGTGGCCATGGTGCTGACGTGGGTCGGCAACACGCACGCCACAGACAGCAAGCGCGCCGTAGCGTTGGCCATCCTCGCCACGGGCGGCCAGTGCGGGCCCGTGCTGGGCACCAACATCTTCCCCAAGAGCGACGCCCCCTACTACCGCAAGGGCATGTGGATCTCGTGCGGCGCCTGCCTGATCGTCGTGGTCACCAGCCTCATGCAGACAGGCCTGCTGATCCAGGCGAACCGCAAGCGCGACAAGAAGTACGGCCGCGACCGCGAGACCGTGCACCTCGAGGAGCCCGGCCAGTTCGGCGACGACAAGCAGTTTAGATACATGGTTTAAGCCGAGGCAGCAGAGCACCTGCAGGTGGGGAGGTGGCGAAGAAGAGATCGACGTTGTGATGAATGTGCGGATGGACGGATGAAACTTGACGAGGAAGACCTCCTGTGTCGTCGTCACTGGACTGGTGTTGGGAGAGAGCACATAGACTAGTGACCCGGAGAGAGAGAGAGAGTTGGGAAAGCCATTTTTCTTACATTAAGTGGTCGAGCAAGCACCCATTTGGAGAGACCGGAGGATTTCCACAGCTGTAGTTACCCTACCTCTGAGAGAGAACCTTCTTGTCCACGAGGCTGAAAATGAAACCCTCTTCCACCCCCAAGCAGTCTATTTATGCATCTATCTCCACGTTGAGAAGAAAAGAGAGAGATAGAGACCCAAAGAATGCATGGAGAAAGAGAGAGAAGAAGAAAAAGGAACGTGACGTGCATACAGGCTCGAGTAAACCCCTGGGTATAAAGGGGAATGGGGGAACAATGCAATGCTCTGCCATCTATCTTTCCATGCCATGAATTGAGTAGAGTAAAGAAAAGGAAAGGAGAGGAAATCAATCAGTCAGTTCTGTCTCATGCTCATGTCTCTCTCTTTGACATTGGATTCTTTCCCCCCGCCCCCCTCCCAAGACATAAGCTGTGTGGTGTGTGCGTGTTAATATTTTGATATAGCACGTATAGCCATTGAAATTCTGGCCCCCTTCCCCTTCCCCCACCTCCCTACAACAAGTAGCGCAATTGGCTGGAAACCAATCAGCCTCGCCCAACATAGTTGTATATCTACAAGTAAGCACTTGTGGTATGTATGTATGTATGTATGTATGTCTGTATGTATGTAGGTAGGTAGGTATCTGTAGCGGTGGCGTACCAGAGATCTGTAACAACATTCCGGGCACGGACGTAAACACACATACACGCATACAGAGGGGGAAGGGAACATGCTTGCCAGTCGGTCATACTATGTAGCACGCCAGGAAGTCACCGCCTCACCACCGCTGGGGAAACCAGGGCTTTCCTTTTCCCTTTCCCTTCCCTTTTCCTTACCAAAAATCCGACCAGGACATACAGTACGTGACTCGGTTGGCATCTCCTGCTTTCCTTACAGACCGCAGGGGAAAAAATAATGGAAAACATGCCAGGATTGATGAGGTCCTTTTTTACAACCATACGTGAGGATGTCCCCTGTGAAGTATAACGTCCAATTATGTCACCACCCGATCGTGCTGATACACTCCCCGCCTCTCTCGCTCAGCACTAAATCCCACCAACTCCAGCCCGGGAAAAAAACACCCCCGGGACATGCTATATGGGGTATCATGAAAGCAGCCAAGTCAAATCATTTCAAATCAAGAAACATCCAACCCAACCCATGGCACGGACACACACTTCCGCCGGGATCCCAGTTCCGTCAGCTCCCAATATCCTGCAGGAAGTCGGGTACAACGTAGGCCAGGATGTCAACGCCAGAGACCGTCCCAAGGCGGTATCCAGTGGCACCATAACAGCCGGATGACCGGACGGATCATACCTTGTTGCAAGGCGGTAGGCGGAACAGGCGATGTGATAAACAACACATCCATCAAAAACCCTCCTGCCCCCAACACTCATGACGTTTCCAGCCTGCGAATCTCACTCTGCATCACCGCAACCAAGCTTTCAGCCGCCGCCTCAATCTTGCTCTTCTCCACATGGGTCAGTTGTCCGAGCACCCACGCACTCACATCATCTTTCTCTCTCGATAACGGACGCCCGATCCCGATGCCGATTTTGATGAACCTGTCGCCCATGGCCGGCAACAACCCGGCGGATTTCAAGGAAGACTGCACTGATTTGATCCCGTTATGGCCCTTGGGTGAAGACTCCCCCCTCCGCAACTTAATCGTGCCAGAGGACGATTCAAGCTCATCATGCAAGACGACCAGGGCTGTCACGGTGTCGTCAGATGCAGGGTACAGATTGTTAAATTGTTTCCACGCCTTTAACGTGCCCTGCCCAGAAACATTCATCATGCTTCCGCTTTGCCAGAGAGTGTATTCATCGCGACCGACGTCGGCGCCCGAGCTGACAAGACCGGAGCCAAGCAACTTTGATTTTGCGAGAGGCGGAAGACGTAAGTGTGAAGCAAGATGTTTCAAGAGGATGTGTCCCGCCGAATGCCGTGTTGAATGATACGGGGGAGGGTTGCCCAGAGAGGCAATAAGAAGGCGGACCGAGCGCATCGGCAGCTGCAGGGATGGAATCTTGGGCTTGCGAATGCGCAGCGGAGACGGGACAACAGGTGAGAGAGCAGCGGTCGGCGGAGGAGAATGGGGTGTTATGGGCTCGACGGGACGTCTCTTGATAACATTCTGTTTCAGAGGCGGATGTTGAGAGTGGAACTGCGGTTCTGGCTGCGACTGCTCGGAGTGGTCGACAGGCTCAGGCCAGAATAGATCTCCGGTCGGATCGTGGTAGTGATGGTATGAGGCGTGGGAGTTCGGAGGATCGTGCTCCGCCTGCGGCGTGCTCCTGTCAGCCATGACTTCCCCTTTCACTTCCATCGAGACTCAAGATCCTTCGTCACAAACAAGAGAGAGATACTGACCTCGTTGTAAATGAATGACGGGGAGTTGGCCCTTTTGTTTGACGGATGCTCCTTTGTGTGAGTCAATGGACAAAAAAGGCTCGAAGGTATGACAAAGACGTGGGTTTGGAAATCAAAGAGTGAGTCGAGCCCGTCTGCGTCATTTTTCAGCGCAAAGCTCGATTGGGTTTAGGCCCGCCAAGAAAAATGACTCGTGCTGTCTGTCCGTCCGTTTCGGGATCGTGGCACGTGCCCTACCCGGTATCGACGACGAGTCCATTGTGGCCGGTTTTGAGGGCCAGAGCTCTGAAGGTGAAAGCGACAGGCTTGTTCGTTGCACTAGGCTCTCTTGTCGTGCTCCATGAGATTGGTGGGGCGTCGACCTGAATTTCAGGCTTCCTGGACTGATAAGCCACGGATCCTTCGCCTATCGCGGGCCAGGGCGCGAGTGGCGAAATGCTCTGGAGTTGCTTTTGATGGTTCAACCCTCTCTGGGGTTCGCCTAGGATCGCCCATCACACCCCCTCATACCGCCGCTGCGTTACATTCGGGACCGTAATCTCTTCATCGTCCAAGGGGTACAGGCGATCCAAGGTCCAGTCCGTGTTGGCGGCTGGTGGTGGTCTGCGAATAGAGCCGGCACTACTGGTGCTGGTCGATGCCGTGTTGGCTTCCACAGTGACCTCCTTTTCTTTGGCCAAATCACCATGTGTCCAGGGGCTGGGCGTGTCCTCTTTTGTCCGGTGGAGTTTGAGGCGAGGCCATGAAGGCGTCCTCGCGTCTCCATCAGCGTGACTCGGTTGTCGCGATTGCGGTTGACTCTCGAGGGCGATTGCTCCCAGGCTGTATCCATGGAGTTCTCTAGGTTGTCCTGCCTGCATATGGCCAGTGGTCGAATCTCCAAAGAAGGATCGCAAATTAAACACCCTTCGAATCAGAGCCCAACTGTAAGGCATGTTGGAGACAATCATTGCCGTGCTGGCTTCTCGACAATACCAGTACACCCATTCAGAACTAAAGGGGTGGGTGAAACTGAGGCGCTTACTCAGAATCGCACAGAGCATCGTAAACAGTCCCAGGCTGAACGGGAACACCAGCAGAATCTTCTTCTTGAGTCCCAGATGGGCCTTGACAAAGAGGGGGAGAGGAATTGACAGGATGAGAACATCGCTGCTGAGGTTGAATACCAGGTTCATGATAAGATGGTGCAAGGCGGTGGTGCACTGCACATTGGTGGTCGGAGTCTGCCAATAGTCGTGGAACGGTCGACACCAGACGCCGAAATAGCATATCTCCATGACGATGTAGGTGACGGCGACATATGTGGCGGCGATTTTGACCACCAAGCCTTGCTTGAGATTCTGAGTGAGGCGCCAGTAGAGGAGAAGGAGGCAACACTTGGTTCCCCTGAAGACTTCTGTCAGGTTGCGCTGGCAAGGGGGGTCAAAGAGAGGGTGATTACCATTGCACAGCACACATGCACTGTTCAACGAGGAGGACAGTCTTGGATCCCCAGGTCCGGCGGGAGATTTCTTGAGGTGTCAAGACGACGGGGTAGGCCGGGTCGATGAGATTCGTCGAGACATTCAGGTCAATGTTGAGGAACACGATCAGAATAGTATATAGACACTGTAATGGTTGGATCCATTTAGTCCACATGGAAAAGGTCGTTGCGCGGCACCAGGCGACAGACTTACGGTCAGGAACATCATCAGGTAGTCCTCAATCTGGAGTCGTAGCAAAGATCTGAATAGTAGCAGGCGCGACACCCTGAACAGTGCATTGTTGTTAGCCGACGGCATGCCATTGTTGGCGGCAACGGCGTCTCACGTACATGCGCGAGAGAACCATACATATGGTCACGGAATACCATATCCATGATTCCACCACAAAGGCAGTCATCGTTGTTGGCTGTCTCTCTCGTGTGCCCTCGGCGCCCGAGACAAAGTTGCGATGACGAAATGGGGCGCAAATGGAAGTTTACCAAAAGGGCAGATCAAGTCGTGCGGTCGAGTCTTCTGGCCAAGTCGGCATCTTTGTAGAAGGTATGAGACTCGCAAGCAAATGCAGGCTCTTTCAAGTCGAGCGAGGACAAGGCGTTTGCCAGAGAGAAAAGGAGTGGTTTGACCAACATAAAGATATCATGCGGGCGAAGGGGATAGCAAAGTGATAAGAAAACGCCCTGGGGGACTTCGCTTCACTTGAGAGAAGAAAAGTCACGGGCTTTAGCGAGAGGCGAGGCGACCAGACTAGTGATAAGGTCGCCGGGGAGGTGGGTAGGTGAACTCGAGACCAGGAGCTGTAACCCGGATTTGACGAGAGAGGCAAAAGGAACGCCCATGCTTGCCTGAGCGTCATCGGGATCTCGTCCATCAACCTCAGCAAAGGGTTTCTTCAGGTTGGACTAACGGGGCGCCGGTCCAACCGGGAAAGCCACTTTCCTTGTTGGATGATGAAGCTGGGCAGTGATTTGCGTGGGATGGACACGAGAGGGGGGACCAACAGAGGGATCCCCGTCACCGCCGTCAAACCTTCAGGCGGATTTTCTGCAGAATGAACGGGCCTCGACTTTAAAATACGAGTTCTCAGTGTTGGAGTGGAGAGGCGGCACCACGGCACCACAGGAACAAGTGTCCCCCACGATAGCCAACGGGGTGTTCGAGTAACGAGTAATGGGTAACGAGTAGAGCAGACAAGGAAGGGCCTGGTGAGCCCTGGTTGAATTTTCTGCGGGGAACCGCGAGTTGAAGACATAGAAACAATCGGTGAATGGGTGACGGTGTACTGACTCGTAGACACAAGAATGCGAGCTCCCGGGGGCTTATGGGAGCTCGAGATAAGCATAGGCGTTTGAGCCCCTGTAAAATGCCCAGTGAGCCCTAGACTTCGAGTCAAGACTCTAAGTCACCCCCTTCCTCCGCCCCCCGAATTGGCGCCCGTTGGCACCCGTTGGACGCCTAGAACGATAGAAACCCTGCGAAACTCTGTTGCTGTAAGCCACGCGATAAAGACTTTACTGCCCCTTCCCCATATCGATATCAACAGGTGCAGTAACTCGCCGTCAAAGCCCACCTTCAACGCTCTCCGTCTAGCCCGCGTGTTGCCATTACCGTTGTCGTTCCAGAACGATAAAGCGGTTGACGCAATCAACTGCTTCGCTTCTGTCACACCGTTGACATCCATAAGCCTGCCACACCAGCGTGGTCAAAAGTATCAGCACCAAGTATATGCTGGCCCTCTCTTCGTATTTCGTGTCCGTCTTGGTCAAGAATCAATTTTCTATTATCAATATAAGCTTGATTAAGTGTTTCTTTGTCGTGTATGTCCAGCTCCGGGGTATCATCTCTATGTTCTCGTCATCTGCCGTTCAGGAAAAAAACTCCCATAGGCAATCCTGCTTTCAAAGGAGCGATATGCAACCCTCCCGTAATGAATGTGTGTTCCTTTCCTTCCGTTATGGCCCTGTTTTGCTTTTTTGTAAGACCTCCCGTTGAACTCCTGAACCCGTCCGAAAATGCCAAATGAATGGATGGAGCGTCGTGCTTTCCCTCAGCCACCCCCAGCTCCTAGATTCTTATTAGCCCCCGCCTGCATCTTGCGCATCGCTTCACGATGCAGCTCTTGCATATCTGGCCGTCTCATAACCTGATCCATCACCAACTGTTTCCGTTGTTGCACGTTTCGTTGATAATCCTCCATCAGTCTCCGATTCTCTTTCTCCGCCTTCATTTGAGCATGTCCTGCTTCCGCCATCGCTCCATTGATGCCCGTGCTCGCAGCCCGGTGTTGTTGTGATAGCCGCCATTCCGCCAGCAGAGACTCCCGTTTCTGTGCGTCGCTGCGGTGGTCCCGCTGAGTCGGTTGGTGCGAATTGTATGATTCAAGTCGAGTCCCGATGGAAATACCTGCCCTGTTACTGTTTTGGCTCAACGGCCGCACCATTTGAGGCAGGTCGTACATGCTGGCTGAGGGTGGGGTGGCACTTCCGTAGGCTGTATGCGGCCGTGTTCCACTGTCGCTCCGATGTGGCATCTGGTGTGGGGACGACATGCGCCGACTCGCTCTCTTGGGGTTTGTGAATTCCATTGGGGCATCTTCGTCGATTGGTGTCGAGACCAGTGAGTTTTGCAATGTCGGGTTAAGAGAGTTCCGGCCACCCCGGCTGTTGGAGTGTCTCAACGATTGTGTCGACGCCGACCGTGATGGCTGTCTGCCTGTGCTGCGACGGCGCTCTTGATCCGAGACAGAGCGCTGGGTGGACGGCGGCTTGGAGACAATGCCCACACCGGCCCCGCCCGCTTTCACCGTTGGTGGTAATGTGGCTGCTGGTGGCACTTCGACAGGAGGCTCTGCGGGAATCTTCTCCGGTGCTGCCGTAACAGCTGCCAACTGGGTTGGCAATTCGTCGTCAACGCCCTCAATGGTCTCCGGCTCGTCATAGATCGGTTCTTCAGCCAAGGTAATATGCTTTGCCCATTCGTTGGTCCGATATGATAACACAACGCTCGACAGCTGGCTAGGAACTTGAGCAAGAGCGGTCTTGGTCAGAGTATCTGCGCTGGAGTTGGTAGTGTCGGACGACTGCGAGGGAGACTTCTTCAGGTCCCCCGTCTCCGTCTTCGTCTCGCTGCCCTCGCGTTTCAGGCCGTCGTCCAAGCTAGGAGCACCTTTAGCAGAGAACCCATCCTGGTCAACGAGTAGGCGTTCGAGCTGCAAGTTCCCACCAACAATCGACCCTTGAGTACCTTGCACGTCGACGGAGGCATCCCCCAGGCCCTCTGATAGCTTTGGGGCCACGGGCGAGATGACGATTTCCGGCGCCAATGTCAGGTCTTGGTCGAGGTCAACGTCCAAAGCACTCACATCCAGCTCTTCGTTGTCCACATCCATGGTCGCCGCGGCTGAAGAAGCCCTACTCTGAGGTCTTTCGCCGTCGATCAGATGCTCTTGCGACTCAGAGCCACCGTTACCATAGTTCACGCTCAAGTGTTTCGACCGATGAGGAAGCGACGCCTGAGCACCTCGTTTAGGTTTGGAAGACCCACCGAGTGTGCCTGACTGATCAATGAAGGCATCTGCGTTGGGGTTTATATCTTTCGAAGCGCGGCGAGTGCTCCGAGTTGCAGAAGAACCGCCACTGTCTTTCCGCGCTGTCCCAGGCGGAGTCTGGGAATTTTCCAAGGCTTGAAGAGCTTTCTGGCGTTCCTTGCTAGCGACAGCATCCACATCCTCTTCCACCTCTTCAATAACGTCGACCGTCAACGTGCTTTGCCGCTTGTTTTTCGATCCGTATGTCGAAGAGACTCTCTTGGGCCCAAAAGCGTTCATTTCCACGCTCTCGGAAGAACTCGAATCGGGTGCCTGCTCTAGGGCGACAACCGACACGGTCGAATATCGTTTTTCCGGATGAGCATCCTGCCACAAGACAGTGTTGCGTTTGCTAGCAAGTCGATCACCATACTGCTTTTCCCATTCAGACTTTTCGCGCTCGTTCTGTCGCTGGAGATGGCGACCCAAAGCGGCTTCCACGGCCTCTCGCTGTCTGAAATCCTCTTCGTCAAGCTCGCCTTTCTCCCTCTGCTTAGACCTGACCACCTTCCAGAGCTTAAGCTGCGATAGAACTCCGATGATGGTGCAGATCACAATCACGGCTATTTCGACCCGTATCCCTTTTGTGAGTGGAAAGGTGGTGGTGTTCAAGGGGAACAGGTCGTCATTGAGGTCCCAGATATAAAACCAGAACTCCTTCAAGCCGGCTCTGGTGAAGCAATCGATGCCCAAAGTGAAAGCAGTCGCTCCACTAAATGAAATGGATCCAATGAGTGCGTAAGGGCGAGTATAGCTGGTCCAGGACAGTGCCCAGAAAAACACACAAAAAATCCCGATAAACGCCCCCTTTCCGCCTGCGCTGGTGATTACACCACCGGCTCGCAAGGTCAGCAACCACATGCTAAAGCAGAACCCGCCCAAGAGACAAGCAAAACCTTCGGTGACTTCTTTGAATACCAAAGCGCCACCTCCGAACACCGCGCCGGTCATGAAAATGGCCACGAAAAAGCCTCCTTGAACAGCATTTGTCACCGGCGGGTTCATCACATAGTCGACCAGTGCCGTTGTCGCTATACTCGCCAGGAATGCGCAGGACAAAAAGATCTGTACCCATCTGGTCTTGACACCAATCAAAGCATAAGTCGCCCCCAGAACGATCAGCATCACCCCAGCAATCCCGAATGCCGGGGTCAGTCGAGGGTGAATCGGCAGCGCATCGGATGCTTTCTCGGTCGAGCTTGTTGTTGAGTTACTGGAAGGAGTGATAGAGGCGGTGTGGACGGCCGTGCTCGCACTGGAGGGATGCTTCGTGGAGGACAAGGACGTACCCGAGGGCGAGCTCCTGGTCGAAGTCGTCGATACTGGACCAGACTGCTGGGCACCCTGCGTTGAAGTCGGTGCAGATGAGGTCGCCGTGCTGCTTACCGAGGCAGAAGCATCTGTTGAAGCACTGGGATCATTGCTCGTAATAGAGGGAAAGGCCGTGTCGGTGCCATCCTGTCGCTTCTGAATATCTGCTCCAGGTTGGCCGTAAACTCCTGAGACCAATGCCCATCCCAGTACCGTCCAGGGCAGAAGTTTGAAAAGACGCATATCGTTCTGCTGACTCGAAGGGAGGAACTGAGCTGCGCAATGCACTCTCGCCGGACACAGAGGATCTCAGCTCCTCAAGAATCTCTTTGTCGGTGTCCACTTCCACGTCAACCGGTGCGGCTCCTGGGGCGAAGATGCTGAGTTACCATTGACGTGGCGTTGGATCGGAGAATATCTGGGTTCAGCCAACGAGCTCGTTGTAGCAAACACAGCAGCAAGGAGAAAAAGTAAGACACTGCCAACGTTGAACACTCCTCCCCACCTGGCAACAGCGACACTTCTGTTAGGATAAAAGAAAAATTGGAAGAGCTTAGGCGGAGACTCAAAGGCCTTGAAGCTGGGGACAAGGCGGGCTAAGAGCAAAATTGCCCATGATCCAGCAAGCCACATGCTCGCATGAGCGAACATTTCGGGACGAGAGGGGCTCTTGACCGTCCAAATCGTCATCAAAGAAGCAAGCCAGAATGAGCAGAATGGAAACGTGCCAGCTAGCTCCTGTGGAGAGGAGCCGCTAAGGGGGCACATTGTCGCCTGGGGTGAGCGGCGACATGGATTCGAAGACCGGGAAATTATGCGTTAGAATCAGGGCTGGAGCTGCCTTACCAAGATCGGTGGGTTTTGACGTCCATTGCGGAGTACGGCCCAGAGCCACGTTACGTGTTCGCCGGAAACTTGAGCCTATCTCATGGACGACAGTGACTCGTCGACGACGACTTTGTCCACGAAGGATGAGGTCGACCTGCATGGTCCTGCGGTGAGGTTCCAGGCCGGTGTCTAGGATCCATGACGGACGACGTGACGCTTTGGAGCTTGAGAGGCCAATCCGGTAAACCGGATCGACAAAACAAGAAACAGCGGGAAAGGATGTAACCTAGCTGGGCGCCGGCAGGACTGGGGGTCGACCCAGGCCGAGATTGGGTGGAAAATGAGTGCCACAACTCGGACAATGGCCCCTCCCATCCTGGTTCATTGGTAGATGATTTTCCGGGGGGATTGGTGGACAGCTCTTTTAAATTGACGCCCCCTTCCAGCCTTTTTTCAGCTGGCTTTTTTGAGCTGCACGCCACGTCAAGGGAAACAAAAAGAGGCAGCCGGCATCATGCGCCCTCTCGTTTTCTCCGTCCATTCAACAGGGTTCGTTAAGGGTCTGAGGCGGCTGGCCAGGGGTCCGGGGCACAGGTTCCGGACGGACTTTGTCAAAAAAGGCTGTGCGGCATGTTAGCCATGTCTCAGTTGACTTTTTGCGTAAAGGGTCCCAGCTCTGCGTGCTGACTTGGTGTTCTCGAAGAAATCACGTCTGCCACCGCATCTCGCTTCCCACGAAACTATGCTGTGAATGCGTGATATTGTCGAGCTATCGATAAAAGAATGACAAAGATTGGAGCGTGACCATGATCTCGCGGGGGAAGGAAGCGAGGCAAACGAGATTTAAGGCGGGCGGGCGCTTTGAGTTGCGACGCTGAGCCGCCGCCCTTTTTCCTTGTTTCCAGCCTGCGGAAAGTTTGTACTCGGTACCTGTAAACGCAGACGGCGAGACGGTGAACGGGTAACGGAGTTGGGAAAACGTGATAACGGCCCCCAACCACGTGAGCGTCGGAACTCGGACACTTGGACGCCTTGATCCCCGGCTTGGCAAACCTCGCTGACACGTGATCCACCACAGTGGGGGCTGCTGTTAGCATTAAGGAGGCTGTCAGACACCCGAATGCTCGTGTCTCTGCCTTCTGAATACCTCGTATACACCTCATATTATGAAGGAAAATGTCAAAAGGGTGATCCTGAGTATTGCGTTTGAGCTCACAGTGTAAAATCCTTTACCTCACTACTACAAAAACCCCTTTCCCGTCAGTCATGCTGCTGACTTCGACGTCGGCTCGCCACGTAAAATGGCCGCCGACGAGGCTGGGAGCGAGAACGCCACGAAAAGAAAGACGACATGGAAAACTCCGAGACGGATGAAATTGTCTGGCCCAATATCACTCCGCATTATGTTACACAGTCACAGGGGACGAGCCCCGTTACTCCCCTGCTAGGACTACTCCGTTGCATCCTTGTTGTACATTGTCCTCCGTGAAATCGAACAGGTTCATCATACATGACGAACGGCTGATGGCTGGTTTGCCTGCCGTTGAATCAGCACCCTCCACTAACTACGAGGTACCTCGTACTTGAGACTTATCACCTCCGGCATGCCTACACTTCCTGTTGTGATATCAGTGATTTCCCACCCTGCTTTGCGAAACGCGGTGTGCTCATGGGATCTGTCGTTTGTGGGGTTCACAAACGTCGAAGTCGTCGGTGATCCTTATCCATATGATTGGCATCACGCTTGCGCGTTTTCTGGCGCTGCTGAGCATCGTTCGACCACCAATGCAGCAGCGACAGCCAGGCCAGCGAGGTGACCAGGTACCGCAGCCGGGTGGGCTCGTCTTGCGCGAGCTGGTCGATGTCCGTGTCCTCGGGCGGCATGTCCTCCGGCGCTGGAGGACGGGTGTGAAAAGAACTCGTCGGCGGTGCAAAGATCTTGAGGAGCCTCTTCGGCCCCCGGTAGTCTTGCTGCGTGGCGGACGGCTGCAGTTCCGTGGGGAGTGACGGCTCGTCGTCCGGATCGCGTGACTTTTCGAGCACCTTGTACGCCAGCCGCACGAAGCTGAAGCAGCCGATGATCAGTGGGATTAGCTGGAATGGGAAGAAGACCCGACCATCAGGGCCCAGAACTTCCTTCACATGGTTGTGGTTGAGGGTACACTCCACCAGGATCATCGACCACAGGATCGAGAGGAAGTTGCCGATTCGGAGAAAGTAGAAGATCCAGCGGAGTCTAGTGCCAAAGAAGAGTCAGCAAGGTAGCCCCGAGAGCTGGAAGGCTGGTTTTTGAGAGATTTACTCTCTCTGGCAGAGGCCTGTAGCGTAATGAAGTCGAGTGCTCGTTCTCCATTTCCCCTGCCCGGCTAGACCGACCGCATTTTCGATCCTCGCGTAGAGAGCCAGTGGAGAAGCGAGCTGCATGACGCCGAAGTATATGATGCGGCCGATGCAGACGATAATGTAGAAGATCCTCACTCCTCCGTCGGCACGGACTTTGGCGAACACGAAAGTATAGACGGTCTTGCATGGGCCGATATCCACATTGATGGCCGTAGTGTCCGCCTGGACACCGAAAAGGCAGAACCGCGGGCCATACACCGCCACCGCCAGCGAGAGCAGGAGTCTGAGGTGCGTGCCGCAGCCGCCAAAGTGTCCGATTCCCTTGGGGCTTCTCATATAATGACAAGTGCGGTATCCTCAAAGGCTCAGCACCGAAAAGACGGTTCCCCCCGGCAGGTGCATCAAGATCACGACGTCCAACTATCAACACTTTTGTGATCGTTGCACCAGCAGCAGCAGCAACCTAAAGCAAGTGAACCCGCTGTTTCTTGCACCCATGCTGGATATCAGAATATGTTATCGCAGAAATGACCAAGGCCTACCTGGTGAAGAAGGGGTGTTTAGACTTTTAATACATTGGCAAGCAACTCGCGGTGAATGCTTCGACGAGGCGCACAACAGCCAGGCCCAGAAGAGACAAGAAACACATGTGCTAGTAGACGATGTGTAAACCAAGCAGCAGAATGTGTTGGTTTGCTCAAAGTCAGACCTTGGCAAAGAAGAGCTTTGTTGCACAGATGGCATGTGCCGATTTGCTCTCCGCCCCGGGCTCGTTGACTCAGGCCGGTATCCTCAAAGTATAACGGAATGAATGTTGCACGAGGACGTCATGGCTCTAGCATCGAGCTGCCAACGAGGTCGATGATCTGCATGAGGCTGGTTGTTGCAAATTGGTCGAGGGCATAGCAACCTGGAAGCTGGTCCTACAGAGTCAGGCTTTCGTTCCCTAGCGTTTTCCCTTCGCGTCTTTACCACGTCGAGGGAACGTCCTGCATCAAGGCCCGAGCCTCCAGAACAGTGGTCTAATGACCGTGCTTCGCTTGTTCACGGAAGTGGGACAAGATTGACTGACTCGTTCCAGTCCAGCTCCGGCTCGCCGTTGCCAAAACTTCTTGATCATAGCAACTGTGAGGTATCGTAGAAAGATCGTCTTCCCCTGGCCATCAAGCTGATCAACATCCAGTAGTGGTAGAATAGTTTTCGTGCTATGCTCAGGCTCAACTGCGAGGGCGCGGAGACGTGTCAAGGCCTGATGCTTGAATCTCGATTGCCGGATGCTGCACATTCGCACGCCGATCGAGCATCAACAAGAGGCATCGGAGATCAAATACCGTTCCTCAGGCATCTGTCTCAGTCCCCTCAAGTAACACGTTTAGGAAGGGACAGAATACGGAGCACGAAATTTAATGCTGCAAAAGAGGAGTGAGGAAGGAAAATATGCGATAGTGTAGCAGTTGTACTCCATCCTTAAGCGACAAAGAAAAGCGCTACCAGGTAATGGGCAGCCGATGTGCCCAATAGAATCTATCTATGGTAGAGTTGCGAGAGAGTAAGTCACCTTCTTCCAATGTAAATACTTCTCTCCCGCCTACCACAGCTCCCTCTATCAAAATACTACGTTGCGAGTAGCCTCACTTTGTCGATAGAAGAATCCATTAACTAGACGCAATTCCATATATAATATCTCTACAAGGGTATAGGTAACTAGGACGTCCTCAGAAACCGGACGAAGTGCAGCCTAGGGTGAGTTCAAAGGCAATTTACATGATTACCATTAATCTCAGAATTCCAGATTTTGTGATTCGACCTACTACGCCTTCTCTGGTTGTATTTTATCACACTTCCCGCCTGGCGAGATGCCTGCTGTCGTTCAACCACCAACCTCTTCAACTCAGTTGGAGGAAGATGGGTGCTTTCGCACAACCGTGTGCTTGATAATATCACCTTCCCACATGTGCGGCTCCCATTCGCCAATGCCATACTTCTCAGGAGCTTTCCGTACACCTCGCCCACCTCCACCGATAATGAGGTTGCCTGGGCGATAACTCGGGTCGGCTTGCATACGCCTGATGACAGATATGTGGATTTGCGCATCATCTGGAATATCCCGCGTTTCCCCCATGGGCAGTGGCCTTTATTCATAGTCAGTGAACTTGCGAAAACTTTGCGAACATTGCAACGTACCAGCGAATAGCTTTCCACTTCCCATCTTGTAAATCCATTCTGCGAAACGGGAGATATTCCATCAGTTTCCAGAAAGAAACGGTGCCACGCGGCAAGCCGCCATTGAACTTCAGACAATCGTGGATAGTTGAATTGGTGTAGCAATGTTCTAGGTTCTGCTGGAAGGCTGTGCGTGTCGTGGTGTCCTCGACCCTCTCGCCAAATTCGTCGACTGCATGGGGCGAGCATCCTAATCGAGTCATTTTTCTGCAACAAATCAGCCTTTTGGTCGACAAAGGTATTGGAAAGATCGAGAGTGTACCCAGGGTCAAATTTCAGTCCCGCATTCTCGGCCTCATGCACCATCCACACCAACGGCGTGTGGCTGAGCATCCAGTGCTCTTTATCTCCCTTTTCCCAGCCTCCGCCAATATCCCCGTGACCACCTGCGAACCAGACCTCTTGCACATCTTGCGAACGTTTTGGCTGTGACCATCGACGCCTGGCTTGTTTTCGTGGCGACTTCGCCCTCTCTCGGAGATGCTCAGTAGATGGGGAATGCATAGGAGCCGCAAGGCTCTCGGCAGAGCTTTGTGATGCAAGCTGGGCTGCTGGTACTGAGAGTTGACCACCAGATGAGCCCGTCACAGTAATCTGCGGACCTTCTTGCAAGGCAGATTGACCTTCGTTTTCATCTGCATGGGCCTTCTCATTCATTTGTTGGAGATCCGACTCGTAGCGATGGATCTTGCGGTGCACCTGGTTCTCTGATTCAGTCTGTGCACCGCTGATCAGATCTTGACGGAACTTGGCCCGCCTTTCGTCAATGGACACGGCATGCCTTATCACCTTGGCCGACGAACGAGCAGTATAGGGGAATTTGCTCCGTTGCATCCAAGCCGACTCGAACCTTGGCACCGAGTTCACCGTGTCGAACAAGCCAAGGAACCGAATTCGACGAACTGGCCTGCTGCTGTCGCGGGTGTCAGACAGGTAAAGGGTCGTCCAGATGTGGTCGAAGACGACTTACAATGTTTCCCTGAATCCGCGCATGAATTCATACTGCTCCTCCTCTCTTTTTTTGGCCCGGTCACTGCCGTCATTCTTTCTGGCAGCCCATTTGGCGTAGGTTTTCCAAGCAAACCGGATGAGTTCTTCGTTGCCAGCCGCTAACAGACCAATATGGTCTAGCATTTCGGCAAGGAAACGGGCCGTGTAGGCTCCCCGACTGAAACCAAAAAAGTACAAGTCATCCTCGCAGCTGTAGTAGCGCATGAGGAACTTGTAACCACCCATTACGTGATCTGCAAAAGACGTGCCAACCGCCTCATCTTTGGTTTTCAGGTACCAAGATCGTATCCGGCCCAGTGAGGAGGTAGTTTGAATCTGGTTAGTGAGCATTTGCGCGCTTCCAAGAGAGACTTCGTTCCACGCACCGTGTGAGAACTGACGTATGTGCCAATGCCTGGCTGGTAAAAGGTGTACATGTTTACATCAGAGCGGTCGAGCATGCGGTAGAGTTTGAGGATGTTGCTGTCTGTGTCCTTCCCGCTGAACTTGTTGCCGGTGCCCTGAGAAATTGTCAACGAACGCCATCACGTTCTGGACCTCGGGAGACGAACATCAAAGCACAGGACGAAGACATTCTTCTGTCGTGCTTGGTTTGGATCTGGAACGGCCATCGAGCGCAATACCCCTAAGCACCTGTCTGCAAAGGATAATTAAAGATATTGGCTGAGTCGAAGACTGCAGCGATGAAGAATATGTAACTGGAGGCAAGTCTAAGTAGATGAAAGCGCAAATTAATGAGATCAGGATTATGGAGCGCTGCTGTCAACCTGGGTCCATGCACGTTGATTGCTCGCGTAGCACTTTCCACACATCAAAGTCGCACATAGCAGAAGTCCGGGCCTCTTCGTGATGGCAGGGACCATCTTCGATATTGATTCGGCACAGAAGCTTGACACTTCAACAAGTTTGCATCACACCGCTAGTATTCATGCAAATTCGGAAATGATGGTCAAAACTTCCAGTAACTCTGCCGGGTAATCACCGCAATGGGATGATGGACAGGGTGCTCAGACGGACGGAGAAAGGTCTGGTGAAATGCGCATGATGGTTTGAAGATTCGAGAGAGTTGAATGACGTTCAAGAGTCCCGAGCCCCATATGCAGAATGTTGGTGCATGAAGGGGGTTACACAAGTTTTCAAACATGTTGCCCTCCCTTGCTGCAGCGGAAGTGTCTCCGAGAATGATCGTTCGCTTGTGTCTCCTTGTCTCTAACGGTAGGGATCGTCACCCGATAGGCATTCGGCAATCCGAAATAGGCCTCAACTTGAGGACGCTGCTGTGTTGTTGAAGCGGACTAACCTGCAAGCGGAGGGCACGTTTGTACGGAATCAGCCAGCTGACCAACGATTAATTCCTCATGTGCCCGTCTCGGCCAGTGGATTGGTGGTCTAGGCCAGCGATCGACATTCGAATAACAAGCGAGAGAGATACTCGAAGTGGTTCTCGATGCAAGACGGCGCAGGAGGATGGAGGAGGTTGGCTTTACTTGTTCGGGGGGAGCCACCCGCATCCCGGTCCGGTCCGATCTAATTCGACCGGATCTTGAAGCTAATCAAAACGACTCCGCTCCGCCCAGACTCTTGGTTGGCTCCCTATCTCCTCCCCCCCTTTTTGTGAGTTCTTGTATGAACATTCTGACGGCTGTCAGCTCTCCCTTGCATCCACCGTCCTACCCAGGCCTTCATTCTTTGCTCGATGGTCGACCCACGAGCCACTGACAGCTCAGTGTTTGTGCGCCACGACTGGCATTTCACGTAATACAGGAACCCATTCCCGACCCCTTCCACAGCTTCCCCCGCCCGATTCTGCAGACAGAACTCCAGACTGTTTGTCCTATTAGCTGTGGATCACTTCAATGGGAATCACACCGACTTTGATCTCCTCGATCATGCCAGGAAAATCGAAGCATAAGGTTCAGTCTAACCGCTGGAAGACGTTGAGCCCAATCCGGTAGTCGCACACCGAGGAACAAGAGGTGGATGCTGTAAGCAGAGCATCACTCATACATTTGGGAGGTCAGAGGGCGCTGTTTCAGAACAGAGAACACCTTCGTGTATGAATGAGAGCAGCCCCTGATCTCATACTCAAGTCTTCCGAGCTTCTGGCGGAGAGGCAGGCTTGTCAGGGTATGTCAAACTTACCTCGGATGGGGTGTGGAAAGATGATCTTTCCATGATATCTCAAGAAGCTGTCAATCAAACTGGGCTTGGTGACCGGGTCAACACGATATGCCGGACTGAAACTGGAAGAGCCACCGTGACTCTGGACAGCTTGCCCCGCACGGGACGTGATGCGTGCGACCTGATTGACTGTGACCGACATCTTCGATGCATGAAAATATCATTGTACAGGAAAATGGCCCATGCGGGTTCCAGGGCATCCTAGCCAGCAGTTCTCCACCCTTCCGAAGATAAGTCACTCGCAGCTGGGCGCAGATCGCACCTGAACGGGCTCGAACTATGATGTTTTCGCCGATTCACCGTCGAGGATATGGAGGTCCGAACATCTTGGTCTACGTGTTTGAGGCTTTGGGGCTTTGAAGCTCCCTGAGAACCACCCCTTAAGACATTTTTTTCTTTTGCCTCCTTCCTCTTCGTCTGCTATCGGGTCTTTTTCTCTTCGCAATCAAACCCAAGACCAAGGATTCAGACAATGCCACTGCTAAGAAGGCTTTCTTCCAGCTTCAAGAAAAACAAGGGTGCGAAGACCAATGGCGTCAATGGTACTCTTGCTGCCGTGGACGAGACGAAGTCTCCGTCTCCTGCTGTGAATGGTGACCAGGTCAATGGCACAAGCTCCAATGGTGCCTCTATCGGGCAGAGCCTTGAAAAAACAAAGGATGTTCAACGGCCTTCACCGCCCACACTGGCGACCACTTCGAATCCTCCAGAGCCAGTGAAAGAGGACGGCAATAACCTAGCAACACGAAAGGATGTCGAAAATGTCTTCACGCAATTCGCAGCACTCATCCATGCTTCGCAGCGCCCGCTCCCGACCCAGTCGGGCGACGGTCAATATCTGGAGAAAGAGGAGCCGACCGGCCTCTGGAATGATCTCAAACACTTGGGATTCAAGGATGCGGAGACAGCTTTGCACCTGGTTCAGGACAAGCTTAGTGGCGGTCCCGTAGATGACCGAAAAATGCATATGGAGGAGGCTATGCAACTGGTCGCCGCCCTTCCTGATCGTTCTGCCAATCGAGTCAAAATCACCAGCTCGCTTGTGGACCTCCTCTGGAATTCACTGCAGCATCCTCCTCTTTCTTATCTTGGAGATGGCTACCAATACCGTTCAGCTGACGGCTCGAACAACTCCTACATCTTTCCGAAACTTGGTGCCGCGAATACCCCTTACGCACGTTCAGTGCAGCCAAAGACTCCCCAGCCAGGGGCCTTGCCCGATCCGGGACTATTGTTTGATTCGCTGTTGGCGAGAGAGAAGTTCATACCTCATCCCAACAACGTGTCGAGCATATTCTTCAACTGGGCCTCGCTCGTCATCCACGGTATGCTGTCTCGGACTATTTGGTCCTGATCCACCTGACTTGTTATAGATCTTTTCCAAACCGACCACAGTGATTACAGCAACAGCAAGACATCTAGCTACTTAGACCTGTCAATCTTGTACGGGGATACCCAAGACGACCAGGATATGATGAGGACTTTTGAGAACGGCAAGATCAAGCCAGACTGCTTTGCCGAGGAGAGACTTCTGGCGTTCCCACCATCTTGCGGCGTGATGCTCATCATGCTGAACCGCTTCCATAACTATGTTGTCGAACAGCTAGCTTTGATCAACGAGAACGGCAGGTTCACGCAGCCCTCTGCCAAGCTGTCGGGGGACGCGGCAAAGGCGGCTTGGAAGAAATACGACAACGACCTCTTCCAGACCGGCCGACTGGTTACTTGTGGATTGTATATAAACTGCATTCTGTCGGACTATCTGCGGACTATCGTCAATCTGAACAGGACAAACAGCACATGGACTTTAGATCCCCGCCTGGAGAAATCAACCACCTCGGGGAATGAGGGCACACCGCGCGGAGTTGGCAACCAAGTGAGCGCCGAGTTCAGTCTCTCATACCGCTGGCACTCTTGCATTGGACAAATGGACGAGGCATGGACGGAGAAGATCTACTATGAGCTCTTTGGGAAGAAACCCGATGACGTGTCGCTCCAGGAGCTGATGATCGGGCTGGGAAAGTACGACAAGGAGCTACCCAAGGACCCCCTCCAGCGGCCATTTGCCCACCTCAAACGAGACACACACGGCAAGTTGGATGACGGGGAACTCGCGAAAATATTCCAGGCTGGTGTGGAGGAGGTGGCCGGTGCATTTGGTGCCCGTAATATCCCCAAATCGCTTCGAGCCATCACGATCCTCGGTATCATGCAGTCTCGCGCTTGGAACCTGTGTACCCTCAACGAATACAGAAAGTTCTTCGGTCTGAAGACGTACGACACATTTGAGGAGGTCAATCGAGATCCGTACGTGGCCGACCAGCTCAGACACCTCTACGAACATCCTGACTTCATTGAGCTCTATCCAGGACTTGCGGTTGAAGAGTTTAAGGAGCCTATGGTGCCAGGGGTCGGTATCTGCCCTACACATACCATTTCACGGGTGGTGCTCTCCGACGCCGTGGCCTTGGTTCGTGGCGACAGGTTCTACACCATCGACTACACGCCAAAAAATTTCACGAACTGGGGGTTCAACGAGGCTGCCTCTGACCCCAGCATCAATCAAGGGTGTGTTTTTTACAAGCTCCTGTTGAGAGCCTTGCCCAATCATTTCAAGCCCAACAGCATCTATGCTCACTGTAAGTCTAGTCGCATGCCGCGATCACTACCAGCCAGTTGTACCCGGTGATCTAACATGTAGCCAGATCCTATGACGATTCCGAGCGAGAACGCCAAAATCATGAAGAATCTCGGCCGTTTTGAGGACTATGACTGGACTACCCCGGAGTATATTCCTCCTCGTGTCACCTTGACCTCCTACCAGAGCGCGAAGTATCTCCTGGAACGTCCCCAAGACTTCAAGGTCATGTGGAACGACGGCCTCGGGTTCGTCATGGGCAAGGGAGGCGAGCGGTTCTGTTTGGGAGGCGACACCGTCTTCCACCGCCGACAGCGCCAGACGATGCAGCAGCTCATCTACCGCGACAAGTGGCACGACCACATCAAGCATTTCTACGAGGACATCACGCTGCGGCTGCTGCACGAGAAGAGCTGCAAGATCGCCGGTATCAACCAGGTCGACATCACGCGCGACGTCGGCAACCTTGCGCACGTGCACTTCGCGGCCAACATGTTCGACCTGCCGCTCAAGACGGCGGCGAACCCGCGGGGGATTTTCTCGGAGCAGGAGCTGTGGATGGCCATGAGCGTCATCTTCACGGCCATCTTCTTCGACTTCGAGCCGACCAAGTCGTTCCCGCTGCGCATGGTGGCGCGGAAGTTGGCGACCCTGTTGGGCAAGCTGATCGAGGCCAACGTCAAGTCCGTGACGGCCACGTCGTTCGCGGCCCGGTTCTTCGACGGCTGGCGTGAGCATGAAAACGCTCTCGCCAGTTACGGCATCCATATGATCCGCCGCCTGAGCGAGACCGGCATGGGTACCTCCGACATGGCCTTCAGCCAGATCCTGCCGACCGCCTGCGCGATGGTGCCGAACCAGTCGCAGGTCTTCACGCAGATCATCGACTACTACCTCAGCGACGATGGCGCCAAGCATCTCCCGGACATCCAGCGCCTCGCCCGGATCGACAGCAAGGAATCCGACGAGCAGTTGATGCACTACGTCAACGAGGGGATCCGCCTCAACGGCACGTTCGGGAGTTATAGACGTAGCAACGTCACCCACACGTTCCACGACGGCGAGGACGGGAGACAAGTCACGGTCAAGCCCGGCGACAAGGTCTTTTGCGGGTTCGTCAAAGCCGCCCGCGACCCGGCCATCTTCCCCCACCCGGACGAGGTCCGCCTCGACCGCCCGCTGGACTCGTACATCCACTACGGCATCGGCGAGCACACGTGTCTCGGCAAGGACGCCAGCATGGTCGCCCTGACCGCCATGCTGCGGACGGTGGGGAAGCTTGAGAACCTGCGGCGGGCGCCGGGGCCGCAGGGGCAATTGAAGAAGGTGAGTTTGTCTGAACACCAAACAACCAAGGGTCAAATCCTGGTTGTCTATTTCTTCTTTTTCCCACCTTGTTCTTTTCTCTTTGCAAAGGTTACCTACGGACTGATTGACTAATCTACCTTTTTTTCCCCCACAGGTCCCTCGTGAGGGAGGCTTCTACGTCTACATGCGCGAAGACCACGGCTCTTACTTTGTGTTCCCCTGCACGTTCAAGGTGCACTACGACGGCACGCTGCCGGCCTTGTCGAAGGCGAAGGCGGAGTATTGAAAGAAAGGCAGGGGGAGGAGAGGGGTTGTAAATGGTGTACTCCAGGCGGTCGTCTTGAATAAGCCAAGGGTCGAGTAGTTGAAAGAGAGAAGGGGATGGGGAAGTAATCAAGTAAGCGATAATGATGAACAAGGGTCCGCTAGTGTCAATGGTGGTGGTCGTTGAGGTTGTTATTACATTGTTGTGTAGGTATGTAACTGACGCCCGCTCTAGCATGAATGACATACATAACAGAGCTCGAATCTACAGTAAGACCCTTTATTGTCTAAGATATCAGGATCTACTCGGTACAGTTCCACCTTTTCAGTCCAACGCCAGCAGGGCCATTGGGGTGGAGCAGGTGGCTTAAGACTAACCAGGGGCGATTCGAGGGGCGTATAAATCCACAAGTTGGCTCTCACCGACAAATTGGGACGAACAGATTGAGACTGTCGTGGTGATGAAGTTGTTGGTGAAAGCTGAGTTGGTAGTGGTGGTAGTTGGCGACGAGGTGGACATGATCAGGGTCGCTACCGACCATCGTTGTCATCATCGCCCTCCTCAGTGGTAGGATCATTTAGGTTGCAGACGTGGACGTCTCGCCCAGCTGACCGAAGTTATACATGCATGGCCTCCTGCCGTCTAAAGGGGGGTGTTTCGGGGACGACAACGAGTATGCCATGATGGCATAGGATAGAAAGGCTGCATAGGGATTATCTATTTGATGATACTCAGGAAGGCGCCAGATGTAGCGAATGGATCAGTCTTTACCTCCTGTTGATTGGACCTGCTGGTGCTCGTGGTGTATATATATCTCAGTCATTCCCTCCCTCCGTCCCTCCTACCGTGTAGGGAATCAAGTCGAGCCGGAGAAACCAGTGACTTAAGCGAGAGCACGCCGCAATCTCAGATCAGACTGAACCGCGCGCCTACCATTAGAGAAAGAAGCGCGTACTATCAGACAGGGCACCGCCCGCTACAGGGTGAGCTCGAAGACTAGTATATAGGAGAGAAGAAGAAGACAGAAGAAGAAGACAGAAGAAGAAGACAGAAGAAGAAGACAGAAGAAGAAGACAGAAGAAGAAGAAGACACCCCATAAAAGGGAGGAAGAGAGCTCTCTAGCTGGAGAGGTAGAACAAACTAATCAGAGCCCAACCTGAAGATTGGAGTGAGCGAGGCTAGCTACCTAGGTAGCTACAGTCAGCCTAGGAGTGCGTTGTGGCCATCACCACTATCCTACAGGGGGTCCGACAGGGAGTCATCGAATCGATAAGAGAGGTACGAGGTGCGCGTTGGAAACGAGGCGGGTTTCATATCTGACTATCCGGAGGAGAGAGAGTGGAAAACTATGATTGTTACATCTTCTATACACACAACGAGCACCCTGTCTTCAGTTCCATATAGACAGGTCTCATACGAACCGGCGGTCCCTCAAGCACTGCCGACCCATCTATCTATCCGCCACACAGCAGCTGGATTCTTCCTCTGCCCCCATCGGCCCCTCTCGACTTCTGCTGTTTTCTCCCTGATGTCTCGAAAGCTAGCAGGCAAGTAATCAAGTAAGCGAGTAGGTAAACAAGCTCGTCCGTTCGTCCGTCCAGCAACAAAGGCGTGAGGGAGTCGTCAAGGCAGGAGTGAGCTTCAAAGCCACCGAGCCTCATCCGACCCCAGCGGTTTCGGCATGATATCCCACCCCACGGGCACGCCGTTGATAGAGGCCGAGTGCTTGACGGCCCTGAGCGGACCGAAGCCGGACATGTGCTCCTCGAGGAATTGCTCGGGCACGTCCCCCTGCGTCGCGTAGTCCTTGCACTGCTGGAACCCCGACCCCCTCGCATACTGGCCGAGGCTACGCAGGTATTTCATCGTCCCTGCCAGGCTGACGTTCACCTCGTACGAGCCGCCCTCGTGGGCTTGACGGTACAGTGCCGCCAGAATCCCCGCGGCGAGAAAGTAGCCCGACGCGTGGTCGAGGGCTTGACACGGCGTGGGTTTTGCCGGGGTGTCATTCTCGTCGAGGAAGTGTTCGGCCTCGGACGCGTTCATACCCGCGCACGTCTGCACGAGCGAGTCGAACCCGCGTCGGGCGCGCCAGGGCCCGTCGGGTCCGTAGGCCGACAGATTAGCGCAGATGATTCCCCTCGCGTTCCCGTTCTCGCGCCGTCGCGCCGCGAGCGTCTCGCACGAGAGTCCCCGCGACGCAAGACTGCCCGGCCGGTAGCCCTGCAGGAAGACGTCGGCGTCGTCGAGCAGAGAGAGCAGGGTCTCCATGTCCGAGGCGTGGTTGAGGTCCAGACGCGCCGTGCGTTTGCCCCGGGCGGTGTCGCGGTCGAGACTCGGCTGGTCGGGGAGCGTCGGACTCGTTACCCAGAGAACCTCGGCGCCGTGCGCCGCGAGAGCTCTTCCCGCCACTGGGGCTGCGATGACACGACTCATCTCCAGCACTCGGAGACCGCAGAGGGCTTTGTCCGTGCCGTTACCGTGAGCCATCTTTTCTGGCCATCTGGTTACACCACCACCACCAGCACCAGCACCGGCACCATCAGCAATCTTCCTGATCTGGATGGGAAAGTCCTTGATCGCCTGCGCCTGAGGGAGGACGTCCCACTGCTCGTAGGTTCTCAGGGCGGCAATCACTACACCAGCGTCGACGGCGGCATTCTCCAGGTCGACGCACCGCCACTTCGCAATCTTCTCTGCCACGGCATCGCGGTCCGCGTCCTCGGGACACCCCAGCAGCCTCACCGCACCGGCACGGTGGTGCGGAAACGAGTCGTGCACGCGCACGTAGCCGTCCGAGGTCCTGTGCAGGCCACCAATGGGACCCCACGGGGACGGTAAGCGGTGGCCCGCGACGGTGAAGAACCGCTCGGACTTGAACTCGATCACCGCGTGTTGGAGGGGCACGGTGACCGTCGGCACCGCCTCGTCGGGTTTTCCCTGTCTCTCTGTGTAGATGAGTGCGGCTAGCAGCGCCGTCAGGGCGATGGATGTCTGGGCCAAGTGACCGATCTTGAAAGACGAGGGGAGTCCGACGGCGTCCACGTCGGGGAGGTGGAGGGCTGTGAGCGCTTGCACTGGAAGGTCCAAGGCCTCCCAGAGATAGCTGATGCTGTCGACGGTGCGAAAGTGAGATCTGTCCATGGGGAATGTGTGGTGGTTGATGGTAAAAGGAGGGAATGGCGAGGACGACAGTGGGACGCCGTGGATATCCGCACGTCTGGAATCTGTGTCCTTGTGATTGGTCCCGTGGGTGGTACATGCATGAATGAGGTATACATACAGACAGTATGGAGAAGAGAAGATGGCTGATGCCGATGCCGGTGTCGGTGCTGGTGCCGAACATCCATTCCGCCGAAAGGGCGTGCAGGCCTGCACTTGATGACACTGGAGACTAACACTGAAGTAGGGTGGTTGAAATGTCTCGAGGCTGACATGAATTGGGTAATCCAGTATGTTAAGTCTATTAAATCTGCGGCTTTGGGGTGATGTTGGCTCTGTAAATCCTACTTCGCTTCCGCTCAACAGGACAAATTCGATATTGATACAAGGCTCTCACGCGGACCTGTATAGACCAGACGCATCGTCTATCCCCATCTATCCCCATTGGTTCCCGAATGACCGTGTGCACACAGCAACATCGATCCCCTTCTCTTCCTTTCCCATGGTCCTTTCTTTCACAATTGGGTCGGATTGCCCACCAGCCCGTCGACCTTCCTTGCCAGGGAACTCTTCCCCATCTGCTGTGTCCCTCAGGGCCAAATCCTCCCATTTGGCCTCGAGAGAACTTCTTCTTTACGTCTCCCTCGAGGTCTTTGATATCCCCATTCCCAGGGACACTATAACCCTAGAAGTCATCACCTTTTCCCATGAGCACTTTCCCCTGGTAAGAATTATTATAGTGATTATGTACAGGTCAGGTTGGTCGGCCTTGTACTCTATTGCTTCGTCGATCACGTTCTCCGTGACCACCAAGTCGTTTCATTGCTCTTTCTCGGGCTCATACATTGCCTCCAGGGTGGAACGGTGAAACAGACACATCCCAGTGGCCTGGGTCCTAAGCTGTTTCCTCAATTTCCGAAGCTCGACATTCCTTTCCTGCTGACCGAGAATGTCTTCGATCCGTTGACGGATTGGTCGGAAGATGTTGGCTGCCGTGGCTTTCTCAGAGACTTCGCCGATGGGGTCAGCGTCATCCTCAAAATGTGGCACCAACTATTTGATACGCCTCGCTCAGGCCTTCTTGGCCTGATTTCTGGACGCCCTTTTCTCAATGTCCGCAGACTTGTTCAGGACGACAAATGCGATTTCTATGGGGTCGACACCGGGGTTCCTGACCGGCCTGACAGACTGCCGACAGCGCTCTGGGGTGGTTGCTGGGAAACCCTGCTCAAGATGTGCAAAGGCGGCAAAGCATCGATAGCTTTGACCTTCTGACTGTCTGAATGTCAGCCTGAATTTATAGGGCTAAGCTGACCCAAATGCTGACGTCGCGCTTCTCATGGATATGTCGGGCAGCGCGCAGAATCTCATCCTCAAAGTGTCCCCGGCTCGCCACAGAGAGCAGGCAGAGGTTTGTTACGATCCGGGCCAGCTCTGCCTTCCTCCTCAGAACTGGGTTACCATTGGCCTCATCTTGACCAATGGTGGGGAGGGGGGCTCCTGGGCGCGATAACCATTGTGCAGGCTCGGATATTTTGGTGGTATTGCTTTGAGCATCCGACTGTGTGCCTCAGCCGTGCCCCAGGCGATATAGAGCAGGGCATCACAGATCGGGCATCGCAGCAGTCTAGTGTTTTGATGCACCAGCTTTCTCCGAAGGCCCTTCTGTCGATCCTAATGGTCTATCCTCTCGTTGTCACCGGAATTCTCGTGCCCTTTTCAATCCCCTCCATGGGCCTGGAAGTCTGCTGTACCAATAGCCCAAAGTGCTGTCCTCACCCGAGCCTTACAGCTGTGAGGTGTCTTGCTCACGCCTACTTATCTCAGTTCATGAGATACTCGGTAATCGTGTGGTTGAAGAAGTAGTGCATACGGTAATAGGCAAGAGCAGAGAAAACGAATTTGATGTCGCCCTCCCTCAACAGCCTTATGAAGACTGAGTCGTCATAGAAGTTCCCTAGTCGAAGCAAATGGAACACCAGCCAGTTCCTCTCCTCCGTGGAGGAGTCTCACCCTTGAGACTTGAAGAACCAGATGTACCGGCTAGCCACTGATACCCTCTTTTGGCGAGATGCGTGAGCGTACCTCTTGAGAAGAGTCTCAAACCAGACTGCACCATCCGGTTCGATGATATCTGTGTAAAAGAACTGTTCAGCCATGGCACGCATATGTGGCCACGTCATGACACCCATCAAATTAGCCTGCAGAGCGAGAAGTGGACTAAACCAGAATTCATCAAGCAAATCTACCATCAGAATGTTGTCTCTCCTTCGGTGTTCACAGAGCGCTCCCACGTAGAGAATCCAGAGGTATGCGGGCGCGAAGTCCAGGCGTTCGTTAACCGAGCTGGATTGATATGCTCTCGTGAATGTCAATCTCAGTTGGCCCATCAGGAGAACTGAGCAATCCCGAATGTTGACTCCACCAATGGTCAAATCACCAAACATCTCTCGCGTGAGATAGTTGAGAGCGACTGACAGCGCTGCCTGGGTGTACCTTTCGGACCTGCTGATCCCAGCCATCCAGACCGCTTCGACGAGATTATGAAACATGTCGTTGAGCCGGCATAGGTTAACGAGGGCGGAGACCGTCACGTATATGTAAGCGGCGTTCTTGTTCTGGACGGCCGTGGCAGCTGTAGGACTCTCCGTTGGTGTAGTTTGCTTGCTAGCGTCTCCCAGGTACCAGCAGCGTGCAAAGAGCGTTCGTAACTCCGGTAGAGTGACGCTTGCATGAGACAGGTGATTCTCAGGAACTCCAAGTGGATGAGGTGGAATCTGCTCTTTCAGGAAAGCCTCAGACCTTGCGCTGATCCACTCGCCCACAGATGGCACGGTCCGCTGTCCACTGGTGGCTGCTGAATGGCATATAATATACAGCAACCGTTGGGCCATTGGTGCATCGAATGTGTTGCTCTCATTGATCAGCTTCTGCAAGGTTGTCCCATGGATGATCGCTGCCTGGGTGTTTCCACAGCAGCATTCGGCGTCAAATAGTGAGAAGATGTGGCGCTTCAAAGCGTTCTTCTCTTCAGAAGCGGACGAATCTGTGTGCCTCTCCAGCTTTTCACGCAAGAGCTGGAGGCTGCGCTTTCGCATCTGCAAGACCAACATCCTCAATTCCTTGGGGTTTTGCACACAGCTACTCAAGTATTGACTATATGTCGTCAAGCGAGCAAGAGCAGTGCCTTCATCCCGCAAACTTGCTGCAATATCGGCCCATCCGCCCAGAATATAAGGCTGCTCAAAAGTACCCGCTATCGTTCGCGATATCCTTCTGATGGCGAGAGGTGAGTAGTGGGCGCGCAAGGCAACGTCTCTGGTGAAGGTCAGAATGCGGTTCAGTGCCGGGGTTATTTCGATCGCAAAGCATCGGAACGGATCTGAGTTGCCTTCAAAAGCTGACACTGTCAAGAAATGCTCATCGTCGCTGTCTTCGGTCTGGAGATCAAGGTCTTGACTTTGTGGCGGCGAATGCTGGTGGCTGTCGCTCCGTCTCCGAGCATGGGAGACGCGGGCAGCATGGGCCCTTGCGCGTGCCGAGTCAAGCTGTTTCTGTCGTGGTTCTTGAGTATGAGTAGGATCATGTTGGATGAAGGTGATTGCCACCATGGCGACTATGTGTCACACAGGCCGTGCTTTGCCCGAGCAAGCATAGCATTTCGATGTGGCCGGTCCTGATATTGCATCAAAGTTAATCTCGACCTAATACCTTCACGATCGACCGGCAAGGTTAAGCCTTTAGGATGATTGACATCCCCTAGAATGCTACGCGTAGTTGACCTTATCACCCCGCCCTTGCCGTGACATTGCTTCCTGAGTGACTCCATTACGGCAGCAGGTGACCGTACCGGGTAACATATAGATTTGATCCGAGATGAGGACGAAACCTCACCTTATCTGCACGGCGCAAGAAGGAATCGTGGCGTCGGAGTCACTCGAAATGAGGCATAGCATCAGTCAGCAGCTATACGTCGTCCTTCATGCCACCAGAAAGCGAGCCAATGTAGTGGATCGGAAGTCTCGAGGCATTGCCGTACGCGGTAAAAGATCATGTTGCTTTGGTACCTGAGTCAGCGCATTTGTCCACAACACCACCGGTGGCGGGTCTAAGGCCAAGTTTCCGGGGCTTTAACCCGATGTAGGCCATGCCAGCAAGCGACGACAGGCACATGGCCAATAGATGTACGTCCGCCGATGATCAAGTTGTACGAGGCGGTGCGAGGCCCTGAAACATCGGAGGGTGGTATCACCTCACCAACGTCACCTTGTCGATACAGCCTGTTTTCCGGGGGAGGCAGGCTATTTTGCCTGTCCTGGACGACTCTGCAGAGATGGGCTTCTGGGATGGGAAGGCGATGAAGTTCTCGTCCCGATGCCGAGTGGAATCCTTTTCAGACTCCGAAACCGGCAGATAACAAGTCGCCGTGCACATTCAGGCGCCCGAGGGAGTATTTCCGCAGGGACATTGAGAATAAGGGGGAGGGGTCATTCTGTCATGTCGTAGAGCCATCTTGAAATATACCTTGACTGCTGGTGAAGATAAGAAGGTCGGGTTGCCTATTAAATACTGAATATTACCTTTGATCCGATAGTTTGAGTTGCGACTAAAGTTGTCTCCTTTTCTCACTTGGAGCTGTCTCCGATCAATATCAATATGAGAGGAAGACGGCATGGGCTAATGAGGCCTAGATCCGTGTCTAATCGTAGCTTACTGGAACCACATCTTCGGGTCAAGAGTTTGGATCAACGTTACTCGACCTTTTCGCGTTCAACAGGATTCCACTAATGCTCAAAGCTGCGGCTGGTACATAATAGAGTGGTTGAGGAGGATGTTCCTCGGCATCGAAGGAGGAGTTAAAGCTTTGTCCTGTTACATGCAAGACATGCCATGCACTTAGTATAGGCGTGAATGGGATGGCCTGTATCGGACTAGATTAGGACCTGGAAGGCGACGAATATCGAAATCTCAGTCGAAGGTTTCGCAATATCCATTTAGCATTCATCAGAGTGTTCAGTCTAACCCTAGGACACAGTGGCCTCCACATACATACCTCGTTCACAAAGTGAGCCATCTGTGACAAGGCAACTCCCTCATCGTGCTATCTGTTTCTGAAAGGAGCCTGGCGTCACTGCCCCTACTTGCACATCTGTCGATTTGGATCTGCTTCGGGAAATCGCCTTTGGGTGGGAATGACCGGAGTGATGGTGCTTGCCTCGAGGAAAGGCGAAAGAAGAGCAAGAGCCACTCACAGGCAAGAAGTGATGGAAAGAAACAAAAGTCGTCTCACGCCATGTGGTCATGGAGATTTCATGTTTCATGAGAGAAGACGGCTCGTGCCAGGATAATCTTCTCTGTGACGGGATTGTTGTGCGTGCGTTCGTACTACAAGGCCATACCTATACCAGCCCGGCATCAATGGCAAGCGTGCATCACATTGGCCCAGGGTTACCAAGACATACATCGGGGAGCAATGTCGCCCGATTCTGAATGCCACCCTTCACTGTCCTGCTCCATTTCCATCAGGATTGTCCACCTCGGCCTGGAGCGGTTGTGTGGTGACTTTCCTTCACAGGCAGAGGCCTCATCAGCAGAAGGAGGAGGAGGAGGGGGAGGACCGGAGCAAAGCCCAGCTCACATTGAAGCCGACCAAGTGGCGTCCCGGGACCGAAAAAGGTCCAAGCGTCGTTGTGTCCAGTGCTTGGGTACTTCCGCCGCCTTCATCACCATTGTGTTGGTCATTGTTCTACCAGTGTGAGTATTTCTGATCTCCAGACCGTTGAACCTGTTCTCATCTGACACTGTCGGCAGCATCTACGTCGCCTATCCCGCGCTGGCAAGAAACGACATTGAAAGTGCCCGACTCGTTGCAGCCTCTCTTGCACTCCTTTCACCCACCCCAGACAGCTTCTATATCGAACAGACTGCCATCTGGATCAGTAACAACACGGGATCAGCGACGCTGGGTGCCTGGACAGCTGACCTATGTGTCGAGCCGCAATGCGACTACCCTTTTGCACGGATCAGAGTCCCCGAGTGCAAAGCCTCCAATGGTACGGAGGTCCAGATCGATCAGTCAGTGCGGATCGCCAACATGACCGAGTTCACTAAGTACACCCAGATGTCCTTCCTTGCTGCAGAGTATCACGTCTTCTTGCACGGGTCTGGAGAGTTACACAGACAGGGACTTCCCTCTGTTACAATCATCTATGAGAAGGACATCACTCTAAAAGGTGGGGTTGTCTGCTGCAGACGGGATACTTCTCTTTCCAAATTGACTTGGTCGACTGATATGAGTATTCTAGGACTCGATGGCCTCGCAGGATTCAACGTGACTTCGTTTCAATTCATCAGCCCCTTTCTCCCCGGCCGATTCAATGCGCAAGGCACGGTCTCGATCCCCAACCTATCTTTCTCCACGTTCGATCTGGGCAGCGTCAATATGAACATGTCCGTCGCGAACATCCCCATCGGCACTTGTTCATTACAAAACGTCCTCTTGCGGCCCGGTAACAATACCTTCCCCATGGCGGCCGTCGTAAATCAGACCGCGATTGGGGCCCTTGTTAGGGGATCGTACACGACGGGAATGCTCCCGGTTGATGTAATGGGGACTCAGGTATTGTACAATGAAGAGGAGATTCCGTGGTATGAGCAGGTTCTGCAGGGGCTGACATACCGAGTTGATTTGAACGTATCGGACGTGTTGCAGGCTTTGGAGTCCGCAGAGACCACGCCTCCCCAACCTCTATCATTAAACGCAGATGGAGTTGAAGGCGTCGTCGCTCGCGGACTCGACGTTGAAGGGTAACGATCTAGGCTTTGCTGTGGATGTTGTCGAGAAAGGTGGCACGGCGAATGTTACTACACATGTCAGCGAAAAGGGGTCTTTTATGAGGCTGAATCACGTCGTAGAGCAATATAATAGTGTCCATTGCTCGGGTTTGAGTTCATCTGTTGAGGATAAGACTTTTCTCGCCCGACGCGCCAGGATCCAGCACCGTAGTGCTATTGATCCTCGTGCTCTTCAGCTGCCGACTCTAGCACAAGACTAACAGCAACTACTGCAGGAGAACCCTTCAAGCACGACGTCCATGCTCAAGCCGTGACCCGATTGGGCACTACCGGAACGGTCTTCTCCAGGACGGTCGCCTGGTCCTGCACCTCCCCTTTCGCCGTGAGACTCGCCTCCGCATTCTCATTCCACTCGATCATGTGCAAGCACAGGCCCTCTAGCGTGTCGTGGCCCGGGTTATACCCCAAGTCTCTTCGGGCACGCGAGTCGTCGTAGATGATGACCAATGTGGAATAATTGAACATGGCGCGCTGCAGCATCGTGAGGTCGAAGTTGGTGATCTCAGGGAGGAGACGGAGGTAGCGGCTTCGGACGAGCAGGTATCCCTCGACGAGATACGAGAGGAGCAGGAGCGGGAGAGGTGGGACCGTGGGCCACTTCATGGGCGTCCTCGGGTGGGCAAGCGTCGAGGCAAGCCGGTACAGATCACTGTAGCGGAACGGTGGGCCCGGATCGCACACCGCGTAGGCATTGCCGCCGATGTCGTGGCCCGACAGCAGGCGTGCTTCGTACAGGAGGTGGGCGAGCGAGACGTTCTGTGCTGAGACGTATTGCAGGATGAAATGGGTCAGCCACCTGTTGTTGACGCATTTCACACGATCAGCTTTCTCGACACTATGCGGGATAGGGGAAATTAATGGAATACGGCACGTACGTCTGGAGACCTCCACGGCGTAGGTAGTCATAGAAGACCGAGTTGCGGTTGGCATCCCCATGGCCGTAGATGGTGTGCCCGGGCCTGATGGCGCCAGTCCTGAACGAGTCTTTCCTGCTGTCCGCATCCCGCACCAATTTCTCGGCCAGGGCCTTCGTGTAGGCATAACATCCGGCAAAGTTCTCCAGCTTCAGGGGCGGGGGCTCGCCGTTGTCCGAGAACTGGACAAAGTTCCTCGGATGCTTCTCCCATGGGGCGATGAAGAAATCAACCGGCTTGATGGCCACGCTGCAGGAGGAGGTAGCGATGAAGACGTCACAGCCGGCCGCTTTCGCGGCTTTGAGCACGTTCTCCGTTCCCTCCACATTGACCTTCATGTACTTTTCGAGAAAGTCTGTCTTGCGATACCCGGCGTGGATGTAGGCGACAGTGTGGAAGACTGTTAGGGGCAGCTTTGCATGTTCTGCTGGCCAGGGAGTAGTGAAGACTTTGGACACAGAAGCCGGATCTGTGACATCGGCCTTCATATACGGCACCTGCTGCTTCACTGCCTGTTCTCGTCGAGGGGCTTGGAGATCTGCAATGCGGATGGCAGAAGGGCTTTCTCCTCGCATGATCAGGTGCTCGACGATCCAGCCGCCCACAAGACCTACAAGGACATGGGGTTAGAACCCTGGGCATAGAGCTGGAATGACCGGCCACTCGAGATATATACCTGAGCCTCCAAACACGACATATCGTCTGTTCTGCTTTGGCGGCAGATACTTCGTGAAGTCCGGCCTGTTTTTGCGGCACTTCTCGTACGCGGCTCGAGCCACTTCCTCCGTCCAAGGCTTGCCGGCCAGCTTCTCAACTTCTGCTGGAAGGGTTGAGATCGCTCTGTTCACGTGGTAGAGGTAGGCAAGCAGGAACAGGGCCAACACGGAGAGAAACAGGGTCCATGAGGGCTCCATGGCTCAAGAAGCCAGGGGCGAAGAGAACAAATGTCGTGAACAAGCCACGTGTGAACACGAGGGACATCAGTTGTGCGGTCTGATGCCTTTTGTACGATTACTGACACGGCCAAGCAATCGATCATGAAAACGGGGTGCCTGAAGGATGGGCGGCTCACCCGTATCACCCGTACATTTTGTGGTGCCATTTCAGGATAGGTTTACGATGTCCGGCGGAGTCGAGTTGAGTCATCGGTGTGTAGTGGCGGGGTTGTGCGTGTGGTGGTTAGACAAGAATCGTTGCAAATTCTGTACGACGTGGACGGGAGCAAGTGTGATAGGGGTGCTTGGGTGTCACCGGTGGAAGTGCGACCACCCGCCGTGCATTGCTCCTCCCCTATAAGCAGGAACTGCGTATGCCTAGCAGCCTAGCAGCCTAGCTGCCCTCCAGCCTAGTTAGTGCTTGGTGAGCCTCACTGGCCCCTCGTCCTCCGTATTTCCTCCGTCCAATGTTGCCTCTGTCCTCCCTCCGCACTGCGTATTCGGTCCATCGTGTTCGCCAAGTTTCCAACTGATCGTATCTTCCTCCACGGAACGCCTCCTCCCGGATCACGCCGCCAATCATCAAGTACACTCATGTCCATATCAGTCGAGTCAACATGAAACCCCAGCCCTTCGCTTACTCGAGACCCTGGCTACATGAGGGAGGCATTCATATCATCACAAAACCATTCCCTGCAATAGACTGGGGAGAGCGATAATGATGGGCACCGCGGGGCAACAAAAATCAACCTTCCCTTGGAAATGGTCGACTGGGCTGCTTCTTGTTGCCCTCTTGACAGGCCTGTACACTTGGGCAGATTCGGCCAAGGTATGCACGCAGCACATGAGAGAATTATGTCTTTCATTTATGGCGCATACTGATTTTATCACCGCATAGTCCGAATGGTACATCTTTGATCCTGCGGCACTACAGACGCTGGTCGACGAAAGCCTAGAACGCTACCCTGAATCCACTGCTGGCGTGGTGCACAACATAGTTACAGCTCTCCGGGAACAATATGGATCGACCCTCATTAGCGAAGATCCGTTCCCCCATGCTGCTCAGAACAGCACAGAGATCTCTCCCATCTCGCCCTATGCCTCGCAGTGGGTTTTCAACAATGCCGGCGGAGCCATGGGGAGCATGTACATCATCCATGCAAGCATCACTGAGTACCTGATCATCTTCGGCACAGCGCTGGGAACTGAAGGACACACCGGCCGCCACACAGCCGACGACTACTTTTTCATCCTCGAGGGCGAGCAGTGGGCGTATCCAGCGCATTCGTTAGCCCTCGAACGCTACCCGAAAGGGAGCATGCACCACCTCCGCAGGGGTGATGTCAAGCAGTACAAGATGCACCGCGGGTGTTTTGCCCTCGAACTTGCCCAAGGTTGGATTCCACCGATGATGCCGTTTGGCTTTGCAGATACGATGTTTTCCACGTTGGATTTTCCTACCTTTGCCAACACGGTGTGGTTGACAGCGCAAAAGATGGTTGGTTGTCTGCTGGCGGGCAAGATTTAGATGGAGAGTCACGAGAGCGAATGGTGGAGCTCCAGCCCAACGTTGAATATATTGTTTTCGAATTGTGTGTACCTATATCAGTTTGTATATACGGCCAAACATCGTGGAGGAATACTGATTCGTTGGTTCTTGGGCGGAATCTACATCTCCTCTTCTTGTGATTTCCATACCATGTCAACTCACGACACAGTGCGTGGCTTTTCGTCTCCCGGTCATATCAAAACCCTCCATCAACGATTGTATTGGTTGACAAGTCTGTGGAGCGGTAAATGCACTCTTTTCGCATGGGATTTACGAGACACCGGCGCAAAAGTCCCTTGTGCATATGCAGCGTCCGCCATCCAAAATGAAGGCACTATTCGGTACACGTGTGTGTTACAAAAGGAAAATACGTAGGGAAGTGCAGCTGCGAGATTGGACGCGGCCCGCACCATCGCAGCCGCAATCTCGCACCATCACCAGGAATCTCGTCTTCTCCACCAATCATTGCCATCTCAACCATCCATGTTCTTTCAGACGCATTTGCCTTCAGCTTCGCATCCGTCCTCTTGCCAATTTGGACACTTGCAGCAGGTACCCTGCGAACAGCTGGTTCGTGCAAAAGGAACGACAATGCGACATTGCGGTGTGCTGCCTCCCCGGGCGCTGTTCAGGAGCCCTGCTGATCCCAGACTCTCAAATAGAAAATGCTGCCCCCTCCAGCAAGACAGCATGTTGTTTGACCAGGCCTCTGCCCAGCATCTTGGCTCCGAGCCGTCCTCTCGTTATCGCCATTCGATTCGTCCCAGATGAAGCTTATTGATGCTCTTTTGCGCCTCGGCGCAGCCTCTCTTTCACTATCATTTGTATCGGCACAAACCATCGCCCAAATCAATGGCATCCGGTTCATCTCTCCGTACCGCAACCAGAATGTCTACAATGTCACAGGGCTAGTCACTGCCGTCGGCCCAGATGGGCTGTGGATTCGCTCTACCACCCCAGATGCGGACATTCGGACCTCAGAGTCGGTCTATGTTTTCGGCCGCATCTCCACGAATGCTACGTTGACTACAGGGGACATCATTGTGCTCGATGGGATTGTTTCTGAGTACCGGTCCAACTCAGCGTATCTTTACATGACGGAGATTTCTCGACCTAGCAATGTCAAGCTGCTATCCCGAGGGAACAAGGTGGACCCGGTTGTTCTGGGGAACCAATACACGAGCCCGCCTACGGAGCAGTTCACCTCACTCGACAACGGTGATGTCTTTGGCGTACCCAACAATGTCAGCCTGGTCTCTCTGGTCAATCCTGTGCTTCAGCCATGGTCCTATGGCCTTGACTTCTGGGAGAGCCTGATGGGTGAGCTGGTCACTGTCAAGTGCCCTACCGCCATCAATAAACCGAACTCGTACAATGAGACCTGGGTTGCTGGGGATTGGAGGAAGACTAGCGGAAATAGCAGAGGAGGCTTGACTCTGACCCCCGGAGACGGGAACCCTGAAAGCATTATCGTTGGAGCTCCTCTTGATGGTACCACCAACCCAGCCGACATCAAGCTGGGAGATAACCTTGAAGACATCACTGGGGTTGTGTACCAAGAATTTGGCGCTTACTACATCCTCCCATTAACAGCGCTCTCCGTCACCAACTCGAAGCGACCGGCATTGCCAAACCCGCTCAACTGGAACTCGAAAGGGAGCTGCAAGAAGATTACCGTGGGCCAGTATAATGTTGACAACTTTGCTTCCAACTCCACCACTCTGCCGGGCATCGCTTATGACATTGCATATTACCTCAACTCTCCGGACCTGGTATTCTTGCAAGAAATTCAAGACAACAGTGGTCCCACTGATGATGGCGTCGTCAGCGCGAATATCACGTTGGAGACACTTATAACGGCGATTGAAGACGCTGGTGGAGTCTCCTACAATTACGTCGATATAGACCCGATCAACGATGAGGACGGCGGCGAACCTGGTGGTAACATCCGCGTCGCATACCTTTACAATCCGGCCGTCCTGCACCTCAAAAATCCCAACCCAGGCTTTTCCCTTGATGCCAACGAAGTGCTCCCAGGGCCATCATTGAAGTACAATCCAGGCCGCATTGACCCGACAAATCCAGCTTGGCAGGACAGCCGCAAACCACTGGCCGCAGAGTGGGTGACCGTCAAAGACAAATCTACGCTTTTCACTGTGGTTGTGCACTTCACGTCCAAGGATGGCAGCTCCACGATCGAGGGTGACCCACGCCCACCCGTCAACCTTGGTGTAGATCAGCGCAATGCCCAAGCAAACGTGACGGGGACATTCGTCTCCCAGATCCTCGCCGAGGATCCCCACGCCGCGGTCATCGTTGCGGGAGACTTCAACGAATACACATTCGTGGAGCCCCTGGAGACATTCGCCGCGGTCTCGGGGCTCTTGAATATGGACGACGTGGCGGGCATCGCGCCCACCGAGCGGTACACTTATCTGTTCGACAACAGCTGTGAAGAGCTGGACCACATGTTCGTGAGCCCCAAGCTCGCAGGCAGTCCGGGAGCCAGGCCCGATATCCAGCATGTGCATGTGAACACCTGGGTGACGTACGCCGATCAGAAGTCGGATCACGATCCCAGTGTCGCGATGTTGAATATTTGCTAGACCGTTATTACACAGTATGTGGCTGCGGTGGACCGTGACCGTAACGACGAGAAATTGGAAGTGCTTTGCGATGTAATTCGACGGCTTTGTACGGTATGTAGCTCTGCGCAGCACTCGTGTGGCAGCGGCCTGGAAGTCATATAATATACTCTTGACTCGTATGATTTAATGGCCCAAAGCCTTGCAAGATGTATCAATCAATTCCTCAAATGGAATCTATTTGTGAGGTTTGCATAGCTTGTTTGCTGCCTTCATAAGCGCACGTGCCTTCGACTGACGCAGATGAAATCCTGTTAGAGCAACGATACAGCACGAGTCTCGTTGGAGCAGCAAAGACAATACACAACGCGTTGAGGCTAGAGCGCACACAGTTTCCATGAAACCATCACAGCTTTTGCTTTAAACAATCTGGCCAATCAAAAAGGTTGACTTCAGACTTCATCCAATCTGTTCTACAGCGCAGGACATCCTTTCAGACACAATGACACTCAATCTGCGGCGAGAACAAATTCACCCCCGTGTACCCGCAGTGTCGCAGGACCTTTCGTGACATCTGATACGTCATGCCGTTCGTCACCTCTACGGAGGGGTGAGAGAGATAGGGGATGCTTGCGATGCGCTTTGGCCTCGGGGAGTCGTTGGCCTTATTGAAGTAGACGGTGTAGGCGAGGTATATCTTGTTTTCACGGCTGGAGAATTCCGCCTCGTCCAGTGCGATTCTCTTTCGAGGGTTCTCGGTATTTTGGAGTGTCCCATCGCAGACCTGGAACTCTTCCTCCCCCTCCTGTTCTTCTCGGATCACGAATTGGCTGATCGCAGCCGCCATACAGCTTGTCCAGCCCCTCTCCCTCCGCAGCACTCCATGGAGCATTTGCAATGCTCGCTGCCGAACTTGGGGATGGCGACACTTGGTCGCCACCAAGAAAAGCGGGGGAATGACTCCCAAGGTAGGTGCAAAGGCAGACTGTTCTCCCCTTTTGGTTGTTGTTGCTGTGTCTCTCAAAGACGTCAAGATAAGCTGCATCTGTTCGACGATGGCCGCGAAAGTCGTCGTGAACACATCGTACATCCACTCGTCCTCCCGTCCCAATGTGTAGAACATGATGCGGGCGACTTGATGGTGGACCTGGAGAAGTTGATATTCCACGGGAAGCTCGCCCTCGGCGTGAAGCTGCCGCATTTTGTGGCCGATCGTGTCCATGGTCAAGGAGATCTGAGCCATCTCAGCAGGGGTGGCGACGATGTAAGGGCAGGTCGAGCGGAAGGCCGCTTTCAGGAGTGCTGCAACGCTGTGAAGGGCGTCCATGTAGGTTGTGATAGAGGTGGCCCGGTCGAGACCACTGGCCAGCTGGTAGTTGGACATGAGTCCAGAGGTCAGAGTGGGGAAGTTGTCGGTAGAGCTGCACGCATCGACGAGGAGTTCGTCAATCATCGGCTCGAATAGTTGATGGCACTCGTCTTTCGCTGTAGTGGCTACTCCTGTGATTTCTCTACGTCTCCCTTTCAGGAGACGGTATGCCAACATGGTCTGAGCGGCGGGTGACGTCGTGTTCTCCATCCACCGATCAAGCTCGGCGGAGACGAGACAGCATGCTATCGCCGCTTCTAGCGGTAGACCACCCAAGGCCGCTGACTTCAGCTGACACATTGCTGCTGTTGAATTCTTCGTAGCAGACTGCGATATGCAAAGAGTCCGGTAGTCCTGGGAGGAATGATATGCATGTAGAGGCCGTAAGAGAGCGCCCAGGGTGACCAGTCCATGCTTGATAATTGTATTGGTTTCGGCCAGTTGAAGGACGAGCCGTGACCAGAAGGGCTGAGACGTTGCTTGAGACAGTGCCACAACCTTTGATCCCGATTTACGAAAATAGTCGAAGTTGGCCGCATCCTCTTCGCACTCGAAGTCGTGCTGGCGTCTGAGCTCAAAGATACGGACCTGCAGGGGCCGATACCCAGGGCAGAGGACTCCCAGCTTTTGGCATCTGAGACAAGCTGGCTTTTCCGACCCGCACTTGACCCGCCTTTCTTTGCACTTGATGCAGCCGTTGAAGTCTTTGTGATGCCACCGCTTCTTTCTGCCGGGTCTGGATACGTCTGGCATTGTTCACGAGAAATGCTTTCCGATTTACGCCTTGAGTATATAAGTTTGAGGCCCTCAGATTTACATGAGGCATGAACTTGTGAGTGAAATATCGCACATTTGAGGGCCTCATAGAGATCATATCAATATACGAACGATAGAATAAGACGCCATACTTTCGACAGCCCAGATAATATACATAGCATTGTCCCCTCCGATGGTGTTGATCTGGGACGCCTGACAAGGCTGAACTACGTTACGTCATCCGCTCTGGTGCCGCAAGGCTGCGAGAATTGGAGGGTGAATTTGTTTGTGCCTGAGATGTGACAGTGTACACGCTTCACTCACTTGTCACTGCAGCGCCGTGCATCATTCTTTCCGCTTGTCGCTCACTCACAGATGAGCACCGTATCTAGTCAATGACCAAAATGAGCGGCGGGACGACAGATTTCAAGCTGAGCGCGGTCCTGAGCGGCCACAAGAGCGATGTAAGTGTCTCCGAACAGGTTCCCCGACAGCACAGACTGATATGTGATTACAGGTTCGTGCAGTTCTCCTCCCTGATCCCTCCTTCGCCGTAACAGCATCCCGCGACGGCTCGACCAGAGTCTGGAAACGTACCTCCACCTCTCCGCCAATCTACGACGATACAGAATCATCTCACGGCGCACAGTTCAAGACCTGTCTTGCCTACATTCCTCCTTCAAAAGAGTACGAGGATGGCTTGGTTCTCTCTTCTGGTCAAGATGCGCTCATTGAAGCTCGACAGCCATCGACTACAACAGACATGAATGCAGACGCTTTCATGGTGGGCCACAGCAACCAAGTCTGCTCGATAGATGTGTGCGCGCCAGCAAACTACTTCGTGAGTGGCAGTTGGGATGCTACTGCAAAAGTCTGGGAGATCGGTAGATGGGAAGTCGCCTACGACCTGGCGGGTCACACAGCCACGGTGTGGGCGGTGCTCGCGTTCAGTAGGGACATAATCGTCACCGGCTGTGCAGACCGTGCTATCCGAGTCTTTGATATCGGGGGCAAGATGGTGAATTCTTGGGACGGCCAGGATATTGTTCGTGCTCTGGCGAAACTGCCTGAAGGTCATTATACTGGGGCTGAGATTGCTGCCGCAACGAATGATGGCATCATCCGTCTCTGGACCCTGAAGGGCGAGCTCATAGCCTCTTTAGTCGGCCATGAATCCTTCATATACTCCCTGGCTGTTCTTCCTTCAGGCCACATCGTGAGTGCTGGAGAGGATCGATCCGTCCGCGTCTGGGAAGGGCAGAACTGCATCCAGGTCATCACGTTACCAGCCATCTCCATCTGGTCGGTGTCGGCTTCTCCCAACGGCGACATCATTGTCGGTTCAAGCGACAAGATCGCGCGGATATTCACTCGTGATCCGGACAGAGTGGCCGATGCGGAGACCCTTGCGGCTTTTGAAGAGTCAGTCCAAGCGTCTAGCATTCCCCAGCAGACCGTGGGGCAAATCAATATGACAGATCTCCCCGGGCCTGACTTCCTCAAGCGCAAGGTCGGCACGAAAGAGGGTCAGAATCAGATCATCAAAGAAGACGATGGGAGTGCTTGCCTGTACCAGTGGTCCATGTCTCAACAGCAATGGATCAAGATCGGACAGGTTGTGGATTCTGCCGCGTCGAGTGGGAAGAAAGCGTACAATGGTAAAGAGTACGACTACGTGTTCGATATTGACATTGAGGACGGCAAACCTCCACTCAAGCTGCCCTTCAATGTCACACAGAATCCTTATGATGCAGCTACGAAATTTCTTCAGGACCACGAACTCCCCATGTCGTATCTCGAAGAAACGGCAAATTTCATCATCAAGAACACTCAGGGCGCCACACTCGGACAGTCAACGCCCGTGGGGGCTGATCCTTGGGGTACGGAGAGTCGATACAGACCCGGTGATGCACCGACCTCGTCATATCAACCACCACCACCACCATCTGCGCCTGTCAAGCGGACCCTCCCTCAAAAGGAATACCTTGCTGTCGTGATCGGAAAGCCATCGGCAGCCATGGGCCAAATTACCAAGAAAAACACCGAATACGCTGGCAGCGAAATGAGCCTTCAGCCCGGAGAACTACAAGCACTGACAAACGTCGCCCAACAGCTTGAGCAGTACAACTTCTCAGCTCGTCCGTCATTACCTAGCTCTCCCTCTCTCAATTCCTCCATTCCACCCCTGTTGAAGATAGTCACGCAATGGCAGCCGCCTGCCAATCGACTCGCTGGTCTGGATCTTCTCCGATTCATCGCCGCAGCGGCCAAGGAATTCCCGATCGAGGATGTTGATGGCTTCGATGTAGTGGCGGGAATCCTCGGAAGCGGCATCTTTGACGACTCGTTTGTGCGCACAAACAACAAATTGGCCATGATCGCCATGCGCTTCTTTTCAAATTTGCTGTATGGATCACCCGCTGGAAGGGAACTTGTGAAAGACAATGTCGACAACATCATTGAAAGCCTCAAACCCCTCTCATCGTTCGCCTCTTCGGACGTGTCAGTGGCAATAGCACTGACAACTCTCTATGTCAACATTGCCGTGCTCATAACCAGCTCCACTACGCCCAGCGACGCCGATGACAATGCAAATCATGCACTGGACCTATTGGGAGAGCTCTCCAAACTCCTTTCTTCTTTTCCCACTGTGAACCACTCGGCCACCTCCAGCAACCCAGCTTCACAGTCTACGGAACCGGCATATCGCTGCCTCGTAGCACTGGGGACGATTTTGGTCGGACTTCCACGTGCAGAGGTTAAGTCTGCGGCAAAGGACGTTTTTGATGTCCCTCTCGCCCTGAGGAAGTTGAAGGAGGGCATGTATTTGGACGAACCGAGGTTCAAAAATGTTGTTGGCGAGATTGAGAGCGCGTTGAGATGATGTATGGTCGTCCGGCAGAGATATTATTGATGTGAAAGCATTGCATAGCGGTTTGGGCAAAGAAAAAGTACGATTCTAGACGGGATCTGATGGGACCAATGACTCCCTCAATGAAGAATGCGAAGCACGAATGGATGAAATAGCCTGTCTCTTCCCCTTGATGACCTATTTAATGCGGCTCTTCCCTTCACTTATCCGTCGACCATTGCAGTAAATAGCTGTAGCACCGTAGAAACTGAATGCCTCTGTCAACACCGTGACGCCGGATCGAACCTTGATAGGGCAATTTGTAGCACGCAGAATACTGTCCAGAATGAGAAGGTTAGCCGGATTACCATAGCCTGCTCTTCAGGATCGCTCCCATTTCGAGATACGCTCAATGTCATAAACCAGCCCATTGACTTCCCTCTACACAAGATCCGGCGAGCAGGATGAGGTGGTATGGAGCAGCCTCCATACTGTCGACTCTGTTCTGGCCGGCTTGTGCCATCTTTGCCGACGACGCCTTCCACATAGACTTCCACCATGCGCTTCTTGGAAGCCCGCAGCCTCATACGACGTTTTTCCACAAGCCCCATGCGAACACCAACGCCTCCCTTCTCTACACCGTCTCCGACAAAGCTGTCCTAGGTGCCGTCAATCCCAAGGACGGGTCGGCGCTGTGGCGGCAACCTCTGGCAGGACAACCTGTCGACAATGTGTCGAGTTCATATCTGGTTGCGGGGGAAAGAGACGGTCAATTAGTGAGCGGATATGACAGGACGGTGGCATGTTGGGACGCCCTCGATGGGAGACTCGTTTGGGACTACACTCTGCCACCGGGTACTGTAATAGGTGGACTACAGGCGATCCCGCTCCAAGGCTCCGTCACCGATGGGGTTACGCAAGACTTTGTGGTCCTGGCTATCCCAACGGACTCACACACACATATCTCAATCAGCCGAATTGCTGGCGACGGCAGCGGACACAGATGGCAACATGTAGATTCAAGCACCGCACATGGATCGTCCGCATCAATAGCAACCTCCTCGAAGCACGTCTATTATGTCTCAACGTCCCACGGTTTGTTGACGAGCAATAAGGCGAAAATTGTCACCCTCGATAGCGCAGCAGGGCACGAAGTCAGCCAAACGAGCGTTGCCGTCGATTCAGAGCCCTTGGCGGCTGGCGGTCAATACACAGCAGCCGCAAGCTCCAACTTTCCATTCCTGATCTCCGCCGAGAGACCGTTCAAATCGCTTAAGTTCGCCCTCCTCACCAATCCGAAAGTATCATCCCTTACTCTGGACGACAAAGGTGAAGAGATCGAGGACGTTATCGTCCATGCGGTTTGTGATCAAGGTGCAGCTCCTCACTTCCTTCTGCACATTAAGGGGAAGAAACGACAATGGGCCGAGGTTTATCATGTCAACACAAAATCGGGAGATGCTACTAAGGCCTTTTCGCTGCCTGCCACTGAAGAACAGAGCGTCTTTACTGCGAGCGGCTACGAGGGGACTGGCTTTTTTATTCGTTCCACGGAGTCAGAAGTCTTTCTATACTCTTCAGAATCTCACGGACAGCTAGGGAGATGGAAAAAGACCAACTTCAAGACCAGCCCCGGAAGCTTCCGTTCGCACGCCACCGCTGAGGTTGTCAGCAGAGGGAAGGCCAGCTACGCCGTTCGAGTCGCTGAATTTTCCACGAGTGGAGATTGGTCTCTGATCCGCAACGGAGAATTGCAATGGAGCAGGCCGGAGATGCTGGCCTATGCGAACATTGCCGCGTGGGATGAAAATGGTGCTCCAGACGCTCTGGCCGAGGAACTCGATCTTGAGTCTTCGGTGAACCCCTGGATGGCTTACATCCATCGTCTCAAGCGGCATCTCCATGATCTCGTATCATTTCCTGAGTACCTTCGCAGCCTTCCCGACACCATTTTGAAAGCTACCCCTGATGCTGATGCAATCACACGCCAGAATCTGGTGGGAACAAAAGTTGTGATCGTTGCCACCACTCGAAAAGAAGTCATTGCACTCGATGCCACCGCTCCAGGCGCTCTCAGGTGGCAATCAGATCTTTCCGCCTATATCCCCGAAGGTGTCGAAATCAAATCTGTGACAGTCAGTGGCGGAAGGGTGTCGGTTTATCTTTCCGAAGGATCACTGATCGTCGTGGACGCGAGCAATGGAAATCTCGTCGAAAACAACCCTGGAACCATTCCCATATCCCATCTCATCCACATCCCCGGCACGCCTGCTCCCGCAGTCATCAAAGTTGGATCTGACGGTGTACCTTACCCTGCCGAGGACTTTGCTTCTGGGATTGCCTCAGAAGGAAATGTGGTGGTAACAATAAGCCCTGAGGGAAAGGCAATAGGCTGGAGTGTTGGACGCAGTGTCCAGAAAACATGGACCCTAAAACCGCAAGAAGGGATGAACATCGTGCGTGCTGTCGCTCGAGCAGAACACGATCCAGTTGCCTCGATCGGCCGTGTACTTGGAGACAGATCTGTTCTGTACAAGTATATCTCGCCGAATATTGCCCTCCTGTTGGCCACTTCGAACTCTGGAGCATTGACGGTCTATTTGATCGACGCCGTGACGGGAGCGATTCTGCACACTGCCGCTCACTCTGGTGTGCTCTATCCAGATATCCCTGCCGTGATTTCCGAAAACTGGTACGCCTACACGTTCACCACTCGTGACCCTTTGACCTCAGGTCTTTCCAACCAGCTTGTCGTGTCCGAGCTCTACGAGTCCTCGGCACCAAACGACCGGGGTCTGTTGTCAGCGCGAACGAATTACTCCGTCTTTTCCGTCGACGGTGCTGCGGCGAAGCCCTATGTGATATCTCAATCTTACACCGTGGCTGAACCGATTTCTCATCTGGCTGTTTCGCAGACTGCGCAGGGAATAACCACACGCCTCCTGCTCGCGACACTACCCGACAGCAACGCAATCGTCGGTATTCCCCGCGAAATCCTTGACCCCCGTCGCCCTGTCGAGCGGGATCCCAATGCCACAGAGCGAGAGGAAGGCCTCACCCGCTACGTGCCGAACCTCGAGTTTGATCCAAGGTACTACCTCACGCACTCACGCGAGGTGTTGGGCATCAAAGAGGTCCTTTCTTCCCCGTCCCTACTGGAATCGACGTCGGTAGTCTTTGCCTTCGGGCATGATATTTTCGGCACGACAGTCACTCCAAGCATGGCATTCGATATGTTGGGAAAGGGATTCAACAGGGTGCAACTCGTCCTCACGGTCGTGGCGTTATTTGCCGGTGTGTTGGCCCTGAGACCACTGGTAAGGAAGAAGACGGTTGAGGGCCGGTGGAAGTAGGGGTAGGATCCGATCCGAGCAGTTGTCAGCTGCTCTCTCTTCTGCGGAAGAGATTGTGTGGACTGCTCTACTGTACTGTGCTTCTGATCCCGCTTCCAAGGAGAGATGCGACGACGTGCATGAAAGTGGTCAGAAAGATCTGATCTGACGAATTACATGCACCTGCCTCCGGCGATGAACCTGGTGCAGTCGTGACCGAGTGACCGCCGAGGCGAGCCCAAGAGATCGAGCGCAAAACAAAGAAAAAAAGGGCTGCTGCTCGGGTCTCTGCTAGAACGTTCCTGCAGCAGGACGTAATGCAAAAAGAATCGTGCGAAGTCCGTGCGGTGCGGAAGCGACGTGTGAGAGAGCTTGGAATAGTAATCGTCCTTCTTCATGTATGTAGGAGTTGTTGTTGCCTCTGTGAATAGAAAGAAAGGAAAGAAACGTCGGTAATCTACATACTTGCCTGACCCTGACCCTGACCCTGCTTTCTTCTCTTGCTGTCACAGTCACATTGCCTCTATTGGTGATGGTGAAAGGATTGAGAGTTCCGCATAATGAATGTCCGGCAACCCGCTGGAATCCATGAACATGGACATGGACATGGATGTATGACTTTTGCAGGGTCGAATCCGGTTTACACACGAGCTCCTACCCTCACGTCAGTCGTCTTTGAGTCCGTCACTGCCTACCTGCATGAGATCATCCTGTGCAGTGCCCACATACGGCGCGGTGCCCTAGCCATATCCGGATAGAACAGAGTTATGCTGCGGCCGTAATATGTACATAGCAAGATGCTGACCGGTCCGTCCATCCATCCATCAATGCATCCATCCATCTCTTTCCGCATCTTTCTTTCCACCTTTCCCCCTTTCCCCCTTGTCTCGCACTCTCCCTTCCGAACGCGGTAGGCTTGATTTCCCGAAGGACGGTGCCATCGTAGTAAAACTTTGAAGCTGCCCAGGGAGCTAGCGGGGACTAGCAGCGGCGCGCAGGGATCCGTCGACCTGAATCGGGACAATGGGCGGTCGAATGTAATCACTTGTAGAACACTCTTCCAAGACTTGATGTTTCCTGTTTGGGAGGAGCGCGTTTTCGATTCTGGTTCTCACTGCAGGAACACATCAAGCATGCGCAGTATGCTGTCGTCGTCGTCGTCGTCATCTTCTGGTCGAAAGGAGACGGTTTGCCTTGTTTTTGCCACCATCATTTTGTGTAAGTAGAATATTTCAAAGATCAAATCACTCAACCGGTCAGTAGCCGGTTCCTCATCCGAAGGGGCTTCGGCCGAAGGCCTGGCAAAAGCTGGGAAGTCACTCTCGCGTCGGGATATGTACTCGGGACCAGGAGCCTCACAGGCGGCTGAGAGCATCCAACACCGTGCCAGTTGGAGGCTGCCGTGCGTTGCGCAACTTCCGCAGCTCATTGTTTCAGAATTCGATCAGTTTCCTCAAACTGTCGTCCTGCAGCCGAGGGAAATAAAGATAATTCTCCCTCAGGAACGTTGTCACATCTTCAAAGCTGCCGAACTCTAGGTTCGCCGCGACCAAATAGCTGAACCGAGTGCTGAAAAATCGTCCCTGGGCCAGCACCGGATCCTCCTTTCTGGCCAGTTCCGGGCGCATAAAAACATCTTCGAGGTACGCACCGACGGAATAGATCCACAGCACATCGCCTGTATTCTCGCCGCGCACGAGAGAAAAGTCTTCGGCGGCCGGTCGCAGGGCTTCCATGACAGCAGTCATTTCCGCGTGGTAACGTTTGCTCTCACGGAAAACGCCACCGGGCTGATAGTGCTCTTCGAAGATACATCGATCAAAACAGCGCGTGGCAAGGCATAATGCCGCCTCGAAAGTAAATGCGACGGGCGACGGCGGACCGCCAGCTGCGTAGATTGTGGTCATGGGCTTACCATCTTTCTTCGCCGCTTCGATCAAGTCGCACCAGTAATGGAGAGAGCGAGCTCGAACTGCGATTTTACGAGCATGAGACCAACGGAACATCTCTGTCGTGCCTGAGGATTTCGAAGTCGCATATTTGAACTTCAGCTCTTCGATTGCCAATAGTTCCCTGATGTCGGCGAATATTTCTCTTAGGGTCGGGGAAATAGTGGTCGGGCAGGAAGATGGCGAGGGAACTCTCTCAGGGAAAGCAATCTTGACCTCTTCGAGCAAAGCAGGCGAATCTTTCAATTCGGTGATCCAGCTGTGTGAACGCCACGGCCCGGGGTCAAAATCGCCAATATCCATCACAGGGCGAGAGCGTAGGGCTGCCGCAAGGAGAACCACGGCACCAAGCAGGATTTCCTTCTCCATGCGCCCGACAACCGACCAACCGCCCAAGGAATCGACGATTTTCTTTGACGCGGTCAGATGAACAATTGCGGCGTGAATGTTGCCACTGAGCATCTCGGCTGCTCCAAGCCAACAGCAAGACGAAAATATTTTCCACAATCTTGTTGGATCTCCAGTCTGTTGCTGCGATTCAAGAAGCTCTTGCAGCGCTCTGAGGGCCTGGAATTTGTGTTTTTCTGCGGATGCAAATGTCTGCTCATACGGCTGGCCTCGATTCCTCTGCCTGCTGCCACTGCTGTAATAGGCGTGGGAGATGAGTGCATGGCTGGAAGCTTTGTCTGTGATGAAAGTTGGTAGTCTCTTCAAGGATTCGGCCGTCAGTGCACTATGGTTGTGACGCAAGGCTATCTCCGACGGCCAGGTGTTCAACATGGATTGTGCTCGAGCTTGTTGAAGTAACAGGTGCTCAAGTGCACTGACTGGTATGACTGTTGCGTTGAATGGATCAGTGTTTCCTTTGAAGATGGGAATGGAACCCTGTGCAACCACTTGCGGGTGATCTCCATCTGGCTTGCCTTGAATCTCCCTTCTCTTACGACCGACATTGGCGTCTCTGGTAGATTTGCCGCCGTTAAAACTCTGCGTAACAAGGCGATACTTGTGGAAGGGTTTGTTTTGCTGGTTGATTTTCTGCGGGAGTTTAGCACTTCCTGCGGGGGATTCCTCAGCAGATCGATCATCGAGGGTGCGTGTCGGCGGAAGGGGGTTCGCTTCTTCACTTGAGGATTGCTCTGAAGAACTAGGGAGAGTTGCAGCACTGGATTCTTCGTCCGGTTGCTCAGCAGCCTGCTTTCTGTATTTTGGGTGTGACACAGTTGCAGCATGAGACCGTGCTGCGGCCCGGATAAGTTCCTGTTCTCGCTTGCTGGAGGGGAAAGGATGAGAGTCGACGAAGCGAACTGCCGTTGCCTTCTTGGGCGCCATCCAATTCCACTGTCATCGAGTTGCCGTGTTTGATGAGTGAGCAGGCATGCCGAGAAGGAAGGTCAACGCTCTTAGACCCACGATCGCTCCCTATCCGGTGATACGGGGATGAAATCGGTAACCCGAAATCTGGGCAGAGACGGGTTTGTTGGTAAAGCTACGCCAAAGTATTATCGTAACCCAAGAAGAACAGGTAGGAGCGCTAGTATCACGGCACAGGACGAGTGAAAGCACAGGTTATAGAAGTCAAACCGACAGGTCGGATGGTCTTATAACGGGATCGGGCAAGGCGCCGATGTTGTGATCCCCGACCATCGGTGTTGTTGGTCAGAGACAGGCAGCAGCGTGACAATCAGAGATGGCATGGCTTCGCGGGCTGGAACAATGAATACCGAGGTGTGTCTTTCTCGCAGCAAAACTTCCTGCTTCAGACGCAGGTCAGCTGTTTCGGAAGGTCGTTCATTGGCGAATAACAAAACTCATTGCCAACTGAGAGTTCGAATCTGACATCGTCGAGGAGAAGTGCATTGAACGGACCGGGAGGAGCCTGGTATCCAGCAAGATTCGTTTCCACCTAACATCGACATCCACCTGTTATTTCTTGTTTCACTGCAAAGACTTCCCCGTGCCATCTGCAACGGTCGGGAATGGTGAAATGCAGTCAGACTCAATACAGCAGCCCAAAAGCTGGTGTGCGGTGTCCATTGGCGACGAGCACTGACTATATTCAGGTTAGTGCGGTCTCCTCTTTCCTCAGCCTCTGTGCATGCGTAAAGCCCGACGGAGAGAATCTGTTTCCCGAAACTCTGTACTGGGAGGCATGGCTAGGGCCCCCCGACATGTGGTGATTCGGAATCCCCTACATGAGCTGAAGGGCATTGAACTCGAATGTGAGGTAGTGATTGCGTGGTTTTGCTGATGAGACAGAAATCCAAGTGTCCAACGTCTTCCTTTATGGAAAACACATCCCAGTAATAGTCCGTGGATGCCATGTCAGGAAGGTTCCGACCCCCAAATACAGCATAGTCTTTGTGGGGAAATCCTCGTCATGTGCATGGTTTCTCTTGGGTATAACTGCGCGGTGAGCAGTCTGGGAGGTAGTGGTGACAGAACGTGAGGCAATAGGAGCGCCGTAATTGTTGCCATCTGTGAGAATGAAGCCGCCGACATCTGTAGAGACAGGTTAATTTTAATGAGCAGCGAGAAGGCACGACACACACGGCTGGCTGGTTGGCTGGCTGGCACGTGAAAGGATGTGATCTCTTCTCGTCACCTTTTAGCACGAGCATAACATGGCATTGTATACCAAGTCCTGGTAGTACCAGTGCGTGTATTCAAGACGATGGAATGGAAAGTGTTGTTACACCACGTGGAATTGATCATCACCAATTGCTGAATGAGAACCGAGACATGTGTGCAAAGTAGTTGGACATGACCACGACTTGTCCCGGTCGACAATTGACAAGCACTTCGCCGAGATGAACTTACATCTTGAGGTCGAAGAATCCAGTTCTCCATACAAGGAGTGACAAAGTTTCCTGGAAATGTTGTTGCCATTTATGAACAGTCAGTCTGTTGCAGGTACGGAGGATTTTCTTTGCTTAGTCGTGGATTACTCAAAACAAACAAGGCTTGCAGCCCCCAAATGGCATCTTTACCTGCAGCGTCCGTAGTTGTGCCAAGGGTGGCCCTACCTGTACTTTTGGGCGTTGGACGCCGCTTACAGGGGCTACTAATAGGGCCTAGGGGGTGGTTAGGGGTGCCCCGTCAGCCTTGTGCGGAGAGACTGTTGGGGTGTCCCCTTTAGCCTGCCAGCCTCGTAGCCTCGCTCTAATAGAAGCTTCTGGCACCTTCTGTGGTTGGATCCACGCACCGCGCCATGCGTCATTCGTCCAGCATCACCATTTCTGTCTCCAGCTAGTTGCCTTGTCTTTCTTTTCTCTTCTGCAGTACCTGTGCTCAGACCACGGAAAGATTGTCCTGAGGTCAGCCCATATCTCAATCCTACCCCTCCGTCTGCTGGTCCTGGAAAAGCTCTGTACCCCCATTTCTATTGGGTTCTGCTCGATCATTCCATTGACTCCACAGACACGCCAGCCCAAAATCCCGCAGCCGGAACCTGTGTGCCCTGCCAGCCTCGTCATTCCCTTCCTTTCGATTTTATTTCTTTCCCTCTCACCTGTCCTACCTTTTCTTTTTCAGAGAAGCAAACAACTTTCAAACACCATACACCCTAACATTCGACCAATCACACCCCCTACTTCACCATGGTAGCAGAGACAAAACTCTACGACGCCCTCTCCATCTCCCCTTCGGCGTCCCAGGATGAAATCAAAAAAGCATATCGAAAAGCAGCCTTAAAATGGCACCCCGACAAGAACAAAGACAACCCTAATGCTGCAGAAAAGTTCAAAGAGGTCTCTCAGGCATATGAGATTCTGTCGGACCCAGAGAAGAGAAAGGTCTATGATCAATATGGCTTGGAATTCCTTCTGAGAGGTGGTCAGGCTCCTCCACCGGGAGCAGAGATGCCAGATGGCATGCCTGGCGGTGGTTTCGGTGGTATGCCAGGAGGCTTCAGTTTTGGAGGCATGCCTGGCGGCGGAGGCGGTGGTGGTACACGGACATTCCACTTCTCCACGGGCGGTGGTCCAGGAGGCTTCAGCTTTTCGGATCCCAACGACATATTCTCCCAATTTGCCAGAAGTGGTGCTGGCGGCGGCGGCGGTGGTGAAGAAGCCGAAGACATTTTCAATCTGTTTAGTGGCTTAGGCGGCGGCGGCGGTGCGAGAGGGGCCGGAAGCAGACGAAGCACCGGAAATTTTGCCCGTCATGCCAGACCACAGACGCCTGAAGTTACCGTCATTGAACGGCCGTTGCCAGTCACCCTGGAAGAGCTTTACAAGGGAGCACACAAGAAGATGAAGATCAAGAGAAAGACATTCAACCCTCAAGGACAGCGGGTCACTGAGGACAAAATTTTGGAGATGGACATCAAGCCCGGTCTGAAAGCCGGTTCCAAGATCAAATTCTCCGGGGTTGGGGATCAGGAAGAGGGCGGTACGCAAGATATGCATTTTATCGTCACCGAAAAACCCCACACCACCCTTGTCCGCGAGGGAGACAACCTGATAACGACGATCGAGTTGGATTTGAAAGAGGCACTTACCGGTTGGAAGCGCACTGTCACCACGATTGATGGGAAGCAACTGAACGTCTCTGGCGCGGGTCCAACTCAACCTGGTCACGAAGAGAGGTTTCCAAATCTGGGCATGCCGATCAGCAAGAAACCTGGCGAGAGAGGCGACTTCGTTGTGAGGGTCAAGGTTAATTTCCCTAGGTCGTTAACTGCCGCTCAGAAAGCCAAGATCAAGGAGGCTCTTCCATGAGCGCCCGTCAATGGAAAGCAAGCTGGTACGACACATTGACATGATGTCGCTCAAATGTGAAGGGCTAGTGAGAAAAGAGTTCAACAGCGACAAAAAACATGGGTGGTACAATGCTTGTTGATGTCAAAAAAAAAGAGACGGACGATAGAAGAGTGCGGAGGTTATGCGGGTCCACGCCTCCGAAGGAGAAGGATACAGCAGCAATGATTGACTGCGGTGTCGGAGGGAGTCAGCCGCAAGAGCTGTCTCATGTGTGAGATATGGTAAGCCAGTCTCAAGAGAAGGTTTTCAGCATTACGCACAGAGGTCACACCCCGTCTACGGCCAACCTCCCAGAGACGAGAGACGTGGCACCAGGAATGAATAACGGGGGCGCTCCTGAATGAGAAGCGCGTTTATGAGAGACGAAATGGATTCAATCACGACTTGCATACAAACGGCTTGTCTCGCATTGCATCACGCATTCTATCTTCTCGTCTTTTTCCCTGGAGTATGGGATAGGCCCGTGATCGACGAAGAGCGGCGCCGGTCTGTAATTACGGCGTTAGAACGAGCGATGCAGATTGTTTGGCCCTCGTGTTTTTTGGAAGATAGGTTCAATTCTTGTGTTTGTTTCAATAAGATTAGACTCCTGGTCCACTTCTTCCAGACGTCTTTCATTGAGTTCGTGTTCCATTTTATGCAGTACTGTGTCTTCTGTCTAACTGCTTGCTTCTCTCATACTCAGCCCTCACTGCAGTCGAGGGACAAGTCAGCTGTTGGCCAACGACCTCAGTTCCCATAGGTCTCGGCTTTCTGCACTCTTGTTTCTTCCCACTTGTCCCTTCAGGCCCTTCATCCCACTTCCACCACTCGGTCCATGCCAGCGAAAATCAATCTCCGAGTCCACCTGAGGTCACAACTTCTCGACGGGGGCGTCCACGTCCACCTCTGCGATCTGATCGATACCTTGATAGTGCGGTACATCAAGGCCATACTTGGCGGCGACATCCTTGCTCAGGAAACGGCCGCCGATGAAGTGTTTCTTCCCTTTGAAGAACTTGACGCTCGGTTTCGCCGCCGTGAGACTGATCAGGTAGTCGGGCATGAAGTCGTGTCCGATCTGGCCCTGTTCCGGCGGACCGGACGCCACGTCCCACGACGAAGGGATGTCGACGCTCAAGACGGGCTTTTTCGACTCGATCATAGCCTGCAACACGGTGTCGAAGGGCGCGCGGACCGGCGGTTTGAACGAAAACCCGAACAGGGCGTCGATGACCAGGTCGGCCTTTTTCAGCGACGACTGGTACTCCTCGGTCGTGGTGAGGAAGGGGATGTGGAGATGGCGGAGCTGCTTTTGCAAGCCCGTGAAGATGGGCGCGTTGGTGGGTTTGGGGTAGTAGATTTCTGGGTTGTAGCCGTAGTGGTGCAGATGGCGTGCGCAGACCAGGCCGTCTCCTCCTGCGAGAGTTTGGTGAGTTTGGCTACCAGAAACTCAACTCGTAGAATGCCGGCTGGGAGGACACAGGACGTACCGTTGTTCCCAGGTCCACAGGCCACGAGAATATTCTTCCCCTTGGAGGGCGGGTGGACTTTGTACACTTTTGACCAGAAGACACACATGAGTTTCAGTCTCACACCCAGCCACAGTCTTCGGAAGGCAACACCGCCCGCTGTCTATACGTAGCTTACCTGCCTGTGAACAGCTCAACCCGGCGAGTTCCATCAACTGATCGATGGAGAAGCCTCCGTCCTCGCTCATGAGCTCCTTATCGAGCTCTGCCGCCTTCTCTGGGCCCAGAGTCTACCCACGGCGGCCAGTCAGCAGTTTCCAACCTAGCAGCTAGAGTCGTGGTCTCGAACGATCCAAGGGAAATAAATGCATATGATCTGCTGCACATTGTGTGTGGTTGCTCACCTTGAGCGTCATTTTGGAGAATCTCCGTGCAGTCAGAATTGGTCGAAGCGCCCTTTTTGGAAGACAGGTGCGGATCATAAGACGTATATCTCTCAGAGACAAGGACAATAAGCAAATGGATATTATAAACACTCAATAAGGTGAGGATCATACCATGTACAACATTCTCGACCATGTCGTCATAGTGTCGGCGTCACTCTCACGTTCCGCCAATCAGAAGCTCCGTATAGTTCCGCGCGAGGCTACGAGGCTGAACTGCACATCTCCCTAAAACTTTTTGATTGAATTTCTTTGTCACAGCAAGTGAGACATCTCGGTTCCCGCCAGCCAGCACACATCCACTCCTGCCGTTTCCGTATACCGTATCTCCGACGTCTAGCTTCAGATCGTCCTGTCGACAGCATTTCCCGTTCCCCTAAGGGCCCCCGGGAGGACAGAAAACTCGCCAGCTATGGTCCTGCGAATCCGCCTGGCCCGCTTCGGCACGAAAAGAAAACCGATCTACAACATCGTCCTCGCGCAGGCGAAATCCGGACGCGACAACAAGCCTATGGAGGTGCTGGGGACGTACAATCCCTTCCCGCAGGCGCCATTGGCGACTCCGGATACGCCAGAGCTCCTGGACAGTGGGGAGAAATACGTGCCCAAGAAAATGAAGGATATACAACTAGATACGACGCGGACGAGGTATTGGCTTGGTGTTGGAGCGCAGCCGACAGAACCAGTTGGCAGGTTGCTGAGATTGGTGAGTCATATTCTGCTTCTTGAGGGGGCACAACCGTCGTGGATGGGATAAGACGACATGGACGGATTGGACGAAAGAGTTGGAGAGCAAGATGGGCGAAGTGACGAGCAGGAGGTCCCAGTCTTTTGTCAGCCCACAAAGCAAACCAGACTAACACCTCACCCTCTCACACACAGATTGGCATGCTCGAAGAGAAACCTTCCAAGGTCAAGAGATTCCCGACGCAGCCATACAAGCCAGCAGCACAACCACCGCAAGACACCGAGTCCGCAAAGCAACAAAGTTGACAGCACCATTGAGAATGAACAGCTTTAATGGTGCTTTTGTACAATGATTCGACATACAGGACTGGGGAACGGGCGTCGAATTTACAAACCATGGGCGGTATCATAGCTATCGGCGTTTACGAAGAAAAGCTTTGTACAGAACATTGACCTTATTACAATATTCTATCCTTTGGGGGAGAGGAAGCTCACTCGATCAACTGTGGAAAGAATACCCAAGAGCACTTGACCGCCACGTCTTTCAAGCATACAAGAAACACTTGAGTCCTCACTCGAGCTCGGTGCTGTCTCCGCCCTGCAGCCCGCAAACGACAGGAAGATCTCAACCACGAAATTACTGCAAATGTCATCCTCTTCTATAAAGTCACGGTGAATGCAAGTTCTGCAGATCCAGAGCAAGGGCAAGTTCATAGCCCGTTTCTTTTGTGGTCTGTTGTCGCCAGCCTGCACATGGGCACATGAGGGTGGAGGGGATGAAGCCTTGGTAGACGTCTTGCGCTGTTCCGAGCGCTCTGCTCTTCAATCGAAAGCGCCATTTCCTCCTCCAACTGATTCGCCAAACCTATCACGCTGACAGGGGTAGCTTGGAAATCGTCTCTTTGCTCGGCATGTGCTGAGATCAACAGGTCAACGCACGGCAATGAGAGGCTTCGTTGCATGAATATTGTTGAAGTCGCATTCAATTTCTCCGTTCTCCCTTGGACGATTGTCCCTTTCCCCGTCCGCTCCATTCCCTGCCGTGTATGATGTGTCAAGGCTATGATAAACGTCCCGAAAGAGTCAAGCTGCCCATGCGATTCCTGCTCTCGCCCTGAAGCCTCCCAGCCGGCCCTGCCTTGTACTATTCCCTTGCCGTGAATGTCGAAGATCCGACACCTATGCTCGTCCATTCACTCGAATGACATTCAAACCCCCCCGCCCCGTCCTTTTTACAACTCCTCCCTTCTCAACTCTCCGTCCCGCGACCCCACCGCCACGATCCTCACCTTCCCCTCGGGCCCTTCCAAGAGCCTCAGGGTCCCTCGACCCACTTGGTGAACAGGGAGCTGCTGAAGGCCTCGGCGGCGTCCGGGCTGAGGTTGGGGAACGCGCCAAACTCCCACTCCAGCTCGCCGCCGTAGCGCCGGGGCAGGTTCTCGGCGCCCAGGTCGCGGCGCAGCACGTCGGCGCTCTCGTGGTGGCCGAGCACGAAGATCTTGCGCGTCGTCTCCTTCTCGAACCACATGGTGATGAATTTCCAGATCTGGGGGAAGAAGGCGGGCGCGCCGACGACCTGTCACCACCGCCAGCAGGAGATCGAGTCAGCCAGCTGGTAAATGAATGGTCTAAACCTCAACCACGAGGGGAAAGATGATGGATTTTTCCCCTAGGGGATTGGAACGCCTCTGGGATTGGACTGGGGCTAACGTACATATATTCTCTTCACGGTCTCGGGATAGTGTGCCGTAGCCATGGTGCTGGCCGCGTTGAGAAGCTTCCTCAATCTCCAAAAGGTCGCGATCCCAACGTGGGACAGGTCAATGATATTGCTGTCCAGTGTCAGAACAGGGCTCCTGGACAGGTGGTTGAGCCAGGAGAACACACTCACATCGACTTGGTCGTCCGGCGATTCTGGAGTTTCCCGCACAAGGGCTGCACAAACTGAGTCACGTACTCGGCAGCGAGGAAGACTTTGGACAATGACGGGTCCATCTTGTGCAAGGCCAGGATATCTTCGGGCTTCACCTCGGCGACGACGTAGACCATGATGGGGACGCCCGTGTCATCTCGCCGGCCCGTCCATTGGGGTTGCTAGTGTGAGGCAGCATTCGGTTTGGTGAGCAACAACAAGCTGTGTCTCTGGGGGCGGAGTGGATAGGTAGATGGAGGGAGGGAGGGAGTTGACTTCCTTACCAGTCTCCTGATGGTCTCGAATTGCGCGATATCGACATCGTCGTACGCCTTCTCTAACTGGATCTCGTGTCGCCACTTGGCCGACGCCGCGTACTGTTTGAACGCAGCGGGAACGTCGTATTTCCGCGCTCGCAAGTATCGCCTGTGTCGCAGGTACCGTTAGATATATGCGCATGCATTAGGTGCTCCTGGGTCTGATATGTCTTGGCCGACTCACAGGAGATTGGAGTCGTCGTTGCCGTCGTCCGCAGAATCGCCACCCACGAGTTCACTCTTGGGCCACGACACGTTGTTCTTGCGGCACAGCTCTCTGAGCTCCGCGAGCGCCTTGTGCTCCCGCTCAACCAGCGAGTCCGTGCGGGTGACCGATCTCTCCGAGAGGTCAGTGTGCCGCCTGGAGCCGTGGGTGATTGTTTTCCACATGGCTGTCCCAGTTTGAAAGTTGGGACTGTGTGTTATTGTGGGCCTTTGTGATGCCGGGGGGGGAAGCCTGAACACCACCACGATTTCACCCTCCCGGATTTATCACTTCGAGGATTGTCTGTTGACCGAAGGGTTAATTTGACTCGTCATCATCAATGCATAAATGCATAGTCGCGCTGAGTGGTTATGATTATAAGTGGTGGAAGTATTCCGAGCAAAGGGCTATTTATATATCTCCAGTAATAGCTTGATTAGCTCCACACCAAAAATTGCGAGACACAGCCTTGTCATATCAGGCTGGGCGCCAGCAAGGGGTCGTCGTTCTATACCACGGCCATTTGAGGCGATTGGAGAGTCCGTGAGAAACGAAATAATTTGCGAAAGATGAGAAAATACAACTGACACACTTACCTGCTGTATCCACCGTCGTCTGAGGCCAGGCGTCGAAACGAACAACCCCTACTTTTGAATTCAGCGGCCAAGGCAGATAGATCAGGAGAGACGAAGCTAGGTGATAGTCCAGGAAGAAGCAAACATAGCTAGCCCCGTACCTGTACGCCTTGCCATTGTTCTGGGAACCTGGTCTCGATGGCCTTCGTTGGCTTGAGTTGAGCCGTCTTTCGGAACAACAATCAGAAGCGTGGCACCGGCTCATTCGCAATCCCTCGAGCATCCAGGAAGTCAGGTGCAGCTCCAGATCGACCCTCCAACAAGCCTTGACCAGGATGGCGAAGACACTCATCGGCCTGATCCTGGCATCAACACCGATAATACCGTTGTCCGGCATTCTTCGCCTCTCAAGCACGCCGTCTCTCACATTGCAAACCACGCTCTACCATCAATCCAACATACCGGCAAACTTGGACCTCCCCCAATACTCTCATATCGCTCCCCATGTGTCAAACACTCAAGACCTGCTCCAGAACTGGACGATACGTCTCCAACTCTGGCACCTTCAAGCCAACCACCTTGGCTCCATCGTCCCATCTCCTCAAGTTTGCTTTCGCGTCCGCCCAGTTGCTCTCCTGCCATTGTCGTACTTCGTCGGGACTCATCGGGCCTCCCTGAAATCGCAAACTCTCCTTGCTCGCCTCGCTTAGAGTATTATAGTATCCATCTTCGGTGGCACAGAGGTAACGTTTCGCAGGGACGTGAGCCTCGACGAGTTCTGCTACCTTGGTCGGAAATCCCAATGCCAGCAGATATTGAGCTCCTAGTGTTTCATGGGAGACCCTACCTACGCTGTCTGAGCTTCCCGAGCCTGGGCCGATCCCGCTATTTTGACGCATGTTCTGTACCCGAGCTCCACCCAGGATATGCTCAGCGTCTCTCTCCGGGATGATTTGCCCGATATCATGGAGTAGAGCAGCTGCAATTGTCTGAGGGTCCGCTTTACTCTGAGAAGCAAGATGCGCGCACTGCAAGGAATGTTCGATCTGTGATATCGGTTCGCCGATGTAGTCGTTTTTGCCGTACTGATTGAGGATGTCGATAATGCGGGATGCAATCTGTGCAGCACTGGGTTTGGACTTCCACTCTGTTTCATCAAACTGCCAAGAACACAAGTCAACAAAAGTAGCAGATTGATAAACGTTTAGCAAGGGCAATCAGTTCGGTCCATACCTCGAGCTGCCTCCCTGCGCCCATGCTCAACATTGGACTTCCATATCCGTAGCGCAGGGCGCCTTCTTTATATTCCTCTCCCTCCTTTCGCAGTTGTGCAGGTGGCCATACCATTTTTCTGTGCGCATAATACTCGTCGTGGAGATCGCCCTCTCTCGCACAGTTGTATGTGGCGTAAAGTGCTTTGCGGTCCTGATTGCTATGGTTGGCGCCACTGCGGTGTGCCAGATACGAGCCGAAAACAAGTACCTGCCCTGAAACAAACACAGGTCAGCACCTGGAGAACACTGCAGACTCGGGGACTTTGTAGGCACACCACTTTACCTCTCTCTCTCTCGAGAGAGAGAAAGAGATGTAGTCCAACTCACCTGCTTTGAGCTCCACGGGGGTCCATGTCTGCTCCTTGACCCAGCCCGGCTCGATGCAATTATCCTCACCAATCGGCACATGCATTTCGTGGCTGCCATCCACGACCTCCAATCCGCCATTGGACATATCTGACGGGTCAACAGCTAGAAGAATGGCAAGGTGTTTGATATTTTTGATGTGGGTATATGCTGTCGAGTCAACATGGGCCGCAAATCCACCTGTACATTGGGTGAGCAAGAGGCCGAACATCGGCTTCGTGAGAAAAGGTCCTACCGCTTCCCGCGAGCTTGTAATTGATCTTCTCCTTGAACAGCAACATATCCTCCCCCGACAGTTGTTTGAGTAGATTTAACAGCTCCTGTCCACGAAGGAGACCGTTCAAGGCAGTATGGGAGTTTGCGTAATTCTCTGTTCGACACAGCACTGTTTCCCCCTGAGCGTTGATTTCCTGGCGATTTTCAGCAGATAATTTGCTTGTCTCTCAAACATGATATATACCTCGTACGGCATCCACGGACTATTCGCATCTGTTGGCCAGTCATGGACTTCCTGTGCCCATTGCTGAAGATTCTTCGTCTGTTCTTCGGAGAGAACGTCACGAAGAATCAGGTAGCCATTCTTGCGAAACAACTGGAGCTGCTGTTCAGACAACAACATTTTGCCCGTCCTTCGCAGCAATGGAATTTGCGACGTGTAGATGTTGTGGTTGTATGTCCTAACCGCTGCCTCCCTATCCGTCCCTACTCGGCAAGACCTAACTTCGACCACTTATATGCTTCCCTCGCCTCTCTCACCCAGTAGCCAATTAGAATAGCTCTCAATCGAACGTCTTTTTGGCGATCGAGACCAGCATGTGCTGTGATGCTAGCTCCATGGGTCAGACAGGCAGAAGGGTCCAAGGCGTCGAGGCGTGTATGCGGACAATAATCACTGCTCCGAGTAAGGATGTATTTCTTGTTGTCAGACACTGCAACATCGCACTTCGACCCGGGTGGCTGCAGAAGATGCAACGTTGACAATCTCCCGATGGCTCTCCTTTACATAGCGATCGCCATCCTCCCCAGGCCCGTGGATCCGAATCATCTTGTTTGACCTTGGCACGTGGGTTAAGCTCAGGCAAGCTTTTCTCAGAAAACCATGTCCGAAGGGAAGGCTCAACGGCTCTTGTTGCGTATATTGAGCAGCTTTCGGTGGTCAGGTATATGGCACGTTCCCACTCAACTGGCAGGCAATAATCATGCAGTAGTTCCTCCTCATTTTTTGATTTTGTTCTCCATCCCGATGGCGACAGAATGCGCCACCGTTCGACGGACTCACGGCGAGATGGCGCTTTCAGGTCGAAGGGGTCTATCAAAACGAGAAGTCTGAGGCGATAGCAGAAGGTCTTCGTGACAACATGTTTAAAAATGCATATATATAGACGCCCATTCCTGCTTTCGTAACCAATGTCTAAACTTTTCAGTCGAGACCTCCCCACCAGCAGAGATGGCAGCCGAGAAGTATCAGCCGTCTTACGATATCACGGGCAACGACTCTTATGGAAGTCAGCCCAATGAACAAGACGTCGAGGCCAGGGACAGAAGGCTCAGTCAAGTAGATGTCGCCAGGATCACAAAGGTCTCGTCGGTTATCACCGTTCTTGTTGCGGGCTTGGCCTTGTTCTCTGACGGATACAATGCACAAATCATTGGGTACATCCCCTGTCGCCGATGAAGCGGAAGAAACGCTCACACAACTCCTTCGCAGATACATGGAGCCGCTGTTCACAGACCTGTACAAAGATGGCATGTCCAGCATCATCAAGACCCGATTGTCCAATGCATACCTTATTGGCGAGATCTTTGGCATGCTCTTCTTTGGCTTTCTCATCGACAAGATAGGGCGTCGTACCGGCATCGTCTTCGCCACTTTCTTCCTCATTCTTGGAATCGTTTTGGCTACAGCTGCTCATGGTACCACTCAACTGGGCATGTTCTGGATGATGATCGTTGCTCGTGGTGTTGCTGGATTCGGTGCTGGAGGCGAGTACAATCTAAAATATCAGGTGTTGGTTGACATTCTGACCACCGGATTCAGGCGAATACCCAACTTGCGGAACTGGCAGTGCCGAGGCGTCAGACGAGAGTGAATATGTTCGCCGCAGACGAGGCTTCCTCGTCGCCGTCGCCACAGACTTCGCCATTGACTTGGGATTCGTAGTGGCAGGTGTCGTCGCGCTGATTGTCATCGAATGCTACAACGAGAAGATCTCAAGCGGAATCTGGCGCATCTGCTTCGGCTTGGGCTTCGTCCTCCCTCTGGCACTCTTCTTCTTCCGAATTCGCATGGTCGAGTCCAGTCAGTATCGCAAACATGCTATCAAACGAAATGTACCCTATTGGTTGATCATCAAGCGATATTGGAAGCCCATGGTGGGAACATCTCTGGCATGGTTCATGTACGATTTGTAAGTTGGAAAGCATACGGGAAACCCTTGGGCCTTGCTAACGGTTGGGAAGCGTCACCTATCCATTTGGAATCTTCAGCTCCACCATCATCGGTCAGCTCAATCCGAACAATACCTTGATCCAGAACATTGGATACGGTACTGTTGTAAATTGCTTTTACCTTCCTGGTTGCATTATTGGCGGATTGCTGATGGATAGGATCGGCCGCAAACAAACCATGACCCTCGGCTTTGGGTGCTGGGCAGTCTTAGGATTCATCCTGGGCGGCGCGCTGAACCCTATTCAATCTGTGTTTCCCTTGTTTGTAGTCCTCTATGGCATTTTCAATAGCCTTGGGGAAATGGGACCTGGAGTTTGCACTTTCCTCACGGCCGCAGAAAGCTTCCCGACTCCTTTACGCGGACACTTCATGGGGTTCGCCGCTGCTGTGGGCAAAGCTGGTGCAGCGATTGGGACCCAAGTTTTCACGCCTATCCAGGATTCGTTCGGCGATACGCAAAAAGGTACTCAGGCGGTCTTCCTAATCGGTGCTGGATTTGCTGCCGCTGGTGGCATCATCTCATGGATCTTCATTCCTAACCGAGATCGAGAGCTTGAGAGCGAAGACGCCAAGTTCAGAGAATACCTTGCAGCTCACGGGTATGAGGGGGAGTTCGGGGAGAGTTTGGTCGCGGAGGTGAGGACGACGGTTTTCAAGCCCGAATATGTCAAGACGTCTTGAAGGTCGTCCGAATAGTAGTGGCAATGAAGTGAACAGCCATGACTTGATTCGAGAGTATCAGAGATAGCACCCCAGCTCGTCGGAATGAAGAATCCCAAGTATGCATGGATGAGATAAGGAAATTTCAGAACAATTTCTAAAGCGGCGGCCCCAGATCTCCCAATTAGGCTGCACCAGAAGTTACCCAACAAGGCCAAGTAAATATCAAGTCGCAACATCCCCAGTCCCCAACTTTCAACCGGTTTGACCATCCCCTCCTTTATCGATATCGTTCTTTTCTCGCCCTCTCTTCTTGGTCCCCGACTCTTCATAGTCATCCGAAGCATGATATCTCCGGATCAATATGGACGGAGACGTCGCCGTGGAGCCTGAGGTTGACTCTTTCAGTCTGGTACTGCCGCTCCCTTACAGAGTCGCAATCATAGTTGTTCTTGGTATGCAGCCAGGCGGAAGTTTTTGGGCATGATCTAATGCAGTCCCCAGGTATTTGGGCATGGGGTCTCAATCTACACTATTTGTATCTCATCAAGATTGTCAGTTCCATTCGGAGTATGTTCACCAGTGCCCAGCTGACAAGCGCAGGATGTGCCAGCATTGATTCGGTATCCTCCTCGACAAGCACAGCATCATCACTACTCGACGTATCGCCTGGCTTCTTTCCTCACAATCCCACTGGTTGCCTCCCTTCTCCTCTTCTGGGCAGTCACTCGGGGCGACCAGCGCGCAGCTCTACGATGGCAGATCCTTCCACAATCCTACCTCTTACTTCTCGTTGTGTCCTTTTTCCTCCCACTCAAACGCATGTCACGGTCTGGTCGGCTACATTTTCTGAAGTCTCTGAAAAGAATCGGCGTGGGAGGTCTGGCGGAAGTCCAGGATGGGAAGTTTGGGGATATCTTACTGGCTGATGTTCTCACGAGTTACGCAAAAGTCCTGGGTGATCTGTTCGTTTCGACATGCATGCTCCTTGATACGAAGACAGCCAGTACAGCGAAGCCAAATCGCGGATGTGGAGGGGCATATCTCGTACCCCTGATTATCAGCATCCCGAGCATGATTCGATTGAGGCAGTGTCTGATCGAGTTCTCTCGAGTTCGGAGGCATCGGTCGAGTTCTTCAGGTTGGGGCGGCCAACACCTAGCCAATGCATTAAAATATTTCAGCGCATTTCCAGTCATCATCCTGAGTGCTTTACAACGAGGTTATGATCCTACCAAATTCCATATGAGCGAGGCCGGGCTGTTCAGGCTATGGTGAGGACCACTGATTGCTTACATGTTGCATCTCTCTGACGGTTAACAGGATGTTTTTCGTGTTTGTCAACTCATTCTATTCTTTCTACTGGGACGTGGCCAAAGACTGGGACCTTTCCCTGTTCTCCTCCAGCCGCGAAAGAAACAACCCGGAATACCCCTGGGGTTTGCGACGTCACCGGTACTTCCATGCAAAAGAGATGTATTATAGTGCGATTGTTCTAGATTTCCTCCTTCGGTGTACCTGGAGTTTCAAACTATCGCCACATTTGGATCACTTTAACGACCTGGAAGGTGGAATCTTTCTGATGGAGTTGTTGGAAGTGTTGAGGAGATGGATGTGGATCTTTCTCAGGGTTGAGACGGAATGGGTTAGGAACAATCGGGGCCCTGTAACTGACGATATACTCCTTGGAGAGTTTGCAGGCAAAATAGATGAAGATTGACAAGAAAATACATTTCAGTGGTGCCTGGCTGTAGCTGGGTAACAACTAAAGATTGGCGCATCTCCACTTTTCTGATATGCAGGTACACCGAAACCTCCGGCCCGCACATGCTCCTCGAAATGTTCACCGCATTGACCTTCTCTTCTTTCCCACGCCCTTCATACCAACAGCGGCCACTATGACCAGCAAACATCCAGAGTCCCCCGAGGACTTTGAATTCATTCGGACGCCTGCTGCCCCTCCTGAGCAACCTCCTTCGAACTGCGGTGTCCGCTCGACTTCGGTATGTTGTGCAGCACAATGAAGCTTGATATATTCCCCTGACTTACGATTACCTCCTTAGTATCCCGCAATCAAAAATGCCCCTCTCCCTGCCGACGCCGCAGGAAGTGACACTTTCAACAACTTCGTGCTCATTGGCCTCCTCATTGCAGTGCCGTTTTACATCGCACGGCAACTGCATGGCGGGCTCTACACCACCCTCTTCGTCGCCGCCTTCACCAGCATTCCTATCCTCATGCTTTTCTGGGCCGTCGCCTCTACCATGTCTCCTCGCATGAATGAGAAGGCCGCCTATCCTGGTCGTCCGATCGAGCACTACCTCGACTTCCACAATGAGGAGGATCGTGCAAAATACCATGGAAAAAACAAAATCCCAATCGAAACATTCCACGAGATGTACTTTGACCAAAAGGTCTCGTTCAAGGGCGACTGCTTGGAAACAATGGAATATCGCCACGATTGGGCAAGCTTCCGTTTCACGCTCTCGTTGTTCCGATACTTTTTCACCGGCATGATTCCTGAAGTTATCATGCACACCCGCTCCCAGGACGAAGAACAAGTGCGTGACCACTACGACCGTGGCGACGACTTCTACGCATGGTTTCTTGGTCCACGGATGATCTACACCTCAGGTATCATCTCAGACATCAACCGCGAGGAAACTTTGGAAGAACTGCAGGACAACAAGCTCGCCATCGTGTGCGAGAAGATCGGTCTTCAACAGGGTGACACGCTCCTCGATATTGGCTGTGGCTGGGGCACCCTGGCGAAATATGCTAGCGTCAACTATGGCGCGCACGCTACTGGTATCACTCTGGGCAGGAATCAGACAAAATGGGGCAACAACGGTCTGCAGAAGTTCAACATCCCGGATTCCCAATCCCGAATCCTGTGCATGGATTACCGTGACATTCCTCACTCTCCTCCCAACCGGCCTAACGAGAAATACAAGAAAATCACCTGTCTCGAAATGGCCGAGCATGTGGGAGTCAGACATCTCGGAAGCTTCCTCAGTCAAGTCAACGATCTATTGGACGACGATGGGGTCTTCTTCTTGCAAATCGCTGGGTTGAGGAAGTACTGGCAATATGAAGACCTCATTTGGGGGCTTTTCATGAACAAGTACATCTTTCCGGGCGCCGACGCGTCGACTCCTCTGGGCTTCGTGATCGATAAACTCGAAGGTGCCGGGTTTGAAGTCAAATCGGTGGACACAATCGGCGTTCACTACAGTGCAACACTCTGGAGATGGTACAGGAACTGGCTCGGCAATGCGGAAAAGGTCAAGGCGAAATATGGCGTGAGATGGTACAGAATCTGGGAATTTTTCTTGGCCTGGAGCACCATCATCGCCCGACAGGGCTCTGCGACTTGTTTCCAAATTGTGTTGGTCAAGAATATCAATTCGACACACCGCATTGAGGGTGTGAAGCAGCAGTTCGGCCTTTCAGGAGCGCTGCAAGCCGGCAAGGAGCACCTCAAAGCCAGCAGTAGCCTCAAGAAAGAGAACGGGGCAGCAGTGAATGGGCACGCCTTGCGCTGAACTGGGGATGCGGACGTTGGTAGCCCCAACTGATGAAGTGAGTCTCGAGCGAAGGTTCGAGACCTTGAAGAGGACACGGGAGTCTCCTCGGGAAAGAGGTCGCAGGTATGAAATGGAGGCTGTCTGGATCGAATTCCAGAATCATTTACGAAATATGGAAGCACAGGGGCCAGGATTGAACGGACCATGTCCAGTGATCAATAGATTTAGACCTGCGAATAACAGATCGATCCGCTCATGTCGACCCCGATCTGTGCCTGCAGGGCAGAAGTGGACTAATAGGATTGTACATAGCTGAGCGCAGCTGTACCATACTGGTCTGTTTCCATGCCCAGCACGTCTGCTCTCTACCAATCCCTATCAAAGACTGAACGCGAACCCGTGATGTAGACAGAACAGTGAAAGCTCGGTCCACGAACAAATCAAACAAGTATCCTTAACGACCATGACAAGCAAAGGGATTCCACAGGCCATATACGTCGACTTATCATCTCGAGCCACCCGGCTTTTGGTACGCTTAGCGGACGAGCAAGCATGTTCTTCTGGATAGTGTGGCACTTGACCAACCGCTGTCTACCCATCCTGATCTTACAGCTATTGACGGCTTTCTGTGTCTCTCCTCGCAGCTTTCGTCCTTTGGTATTTCCCAACGGGAGGCTTGATGCATCTCGACTCGTTCTCGCGGAAGTGTGACGGCACGGGACATGTGAGCAACAGGACTGCAAGGTCTTCTTGCGTCAGAACAGCCTGGAGAGATATCTTTGGTGGACGGTCGATGTTGGAAAATGGAAAGAGCGTGCTCAGAAGGCCGTTCTGACGGAGAGTATCTCAAACGTGTTTTGTATATGGACCCGTAAACGGAGCACAAACGATGGGACGCTCAGAGTGGTGTAGGCATATCCATTCCTGCCAAAGCCTTCGAAACAACAGTGTCATGAGGAGTGTCAGACCTGCTGGCACGATCAGCAGGAGCCTCTGGAGGTTGGTTCTGTTACCCATCACCCTTGTTCAAACGTTTGACACTCGGTATCTGCCCCTCGTGGCTCGTGCGCCTTGACATAACCATGTTCGAATAGATCCTTCAGACTGTGAGCCTGGCAGGCAGCCTAGAGTCAACCTCGCACCAAAATCAACATCAAACGACTGTGCATTTCACTTTTGACGGGGGAGCGTGGGCTTGCGGGCTCTATGGCGAGTCCTCAATGAGATTAAGCGATGGCTCTCTGGGGAATTGAGAAGAAATAATGGAGCGATTCAAAGTGAACAATGAAAAATATCCAGCGATTACTGAAGCATAGAGTGCACGACCTCAGGTTGGTGAACCTCAATCACGATGAGAGGTCTCGCAATCTGCCTTGCCGGGGCCCCCAAGACCTGTTGTTTCCAGATGCACCTTGCGCCCAGAACAGGAGGGTCAGCAGTCTCAAACATTGCGCCTCCACGGCAAGTACCCTTCCGGCAGTCTGGTGACCTCGGACGAAGAATCACCTCGTGGAAGAAGGAAATTCCAGACTAAGAGAATGAGAGGGCTTTCCTATGACTAAAGGCGAGTTGAGACAAGGCCGAGACCTTCGCTTTCTGTTCTAAATCAGGAAAGTCGAAGGAATGTTCTCTCCTGCTTCTCGTGCAGACGCTAGCAGGGGCTCGAACAGGGAAGCAGGATGCAGCTAACGGACAAGGGGGAATAGGGAAATGAGCCAGAGAGAAGGAACATCACCCAGAGAAAGGGGAGGTTACCATCGCGTCGAGGTTCATGCATCTGAGTGTCTCACACGAGGCCAGTGTTAGGCTATCTCTCTTTACGCCGTTCGAAGGACTACCCTTCGGCTCCCAGAAAAAGGCGTGCATGGTGATAAGGACTCAGCTGAGAGATATTACGCTGAGGCCGGCAAAGTCAAGAAAGGCAATTTGCAAAAGAAAACGTCAGGCGGAGGAACTCGTACAGACCACAGTCGGTATACATCTTGATGAGCGCCGCTTGGAGCTGACAGGGTAATATCGCTCCCATGGTGTCCCGCCTCGTCTGACGCATGCCCAGAATTTTCTGATGCGTGCCCAGAGACAATCGAATTGCTTCACTCAGCCCGGACGCTGATGACGATCGGGAAGTAGTTGACGCTTTGGGCACAATGCCGATAGCAAAGAAGCCGGATCGAGATATGATGGAGCTGGGGACTGTTGCTCTTGTGCAAATCCTTTCATCATCTGCGGAGGTACCTGTTGATTCTTGTCTCTGTGTATGGCTTTGTCGTAACGCCCACGATCTCCGAACCCGCATATAATTGCCGATCACAGGGGAGACTATCATCGTATGATGATAGTATGACTTCTGGTGCGATCTCGGCAGTCTCCAGACGGTGCCTCATAGCCGACCCGGGCTTTCATTTTCGGACGAGGTGGCCGCAATGGGAGGCGAGCAACACAACACGGTGTTTGCGGCACAGGATACTTGCAGGAAGCTCTTCTCCTTCCCTTTTCTTCGCTTCCATCCGCTGGATTTGAGTTTCCTCACGGAGGGAGTCAGACACTACTACTACTGCTGTAGTAGTGACTGTGGGTGCAGCCCGTCTGTCGACTTTGGTGTGCTTGGCTGCATAGGAGCCTCACAGTGGCAGCGTTGGGTGATGAAGTGGGATGCGGCCGCCGCCCGTGTCAGGAAGAAATCCGCAAAGAGAGCGATTCGGAAGCTTCAACTGTTACTCAAGCCTCGCCATGTCGAGATCAATGGACGACGGAGCCTTGGCAGGCAGTTGCGAGGACGTTGTGTGTTCGCCAATCACCAGGAAACGTGGTCAATTCCCCATCCCACTCCCACCCTTTTGGTTTTCGCCGATGAAATTTTCTGAAGACTGCGCCTAGACTCACCACATGGTCCCTGAGAAACCGTGCCTCCTCCTAGCTCCAGACCCTTTCAGGCTCGTTTCCCTCAGCCACTCGCCGTGCGCCGGGAGATGCTTCACCCCCTGCGAGTACATAGGTGTTGCCTGCATATGGGCCACGCTAACACCCCTGCAAGCTCTGGAACCAGCCATTATCCCGACGTGACGACGGACACCTCAAGGCACAATATCATGATCTGGTCAATTGATGCCAGTGAGGTTGCCACAGCCCTATCGGCTTTGCCTGCTCATCGTAATGACTCTGGATGGGTCTTGACTTTGCTAACGGGCTCTGGGACCAAACATGATCGGTAATCGTCAGAAGTCATCGTCTGCAGTTTGCCCGGGGAGATTGCTGATCGCTCAACTCAATACTGGTCTGCGTGTCCGTTGGATCTCAATGGCAGGCGTTTGAAATCAGAGCCAAGCTTCATGATATCAAACTTTGGGAATACCATGGCCACGTTCCAAGCGCTCACCGTTTGGTTTGCTCTTTCAGCGTAGGTTTGGGGCCTTCCCGAGGGAGATTGTTGCACTGGTCTACTTGGCGCCCAGAAGAGACTTTCAAGGCTTCTCGAACAAAGCGGCTATCTGAAGCGAGAGGGATCGTATTATACCTGGTATCCAATGGATCGTCGCATCATCGAAAGACGGTGCGAGAGCGAAAGCTAGGGCTCCCCGATCCCTTCTCACTGATATTATTGGTGGTGGAGCCAAATAGTAGCGGAGAAAGCCAGGTGCTCACCTGTGGCCACCACCCTCTCTGCCTCTCAAATCCCTGCCTTGTTCTTCTGCTGATCCCGGGATCCTCGATAGATTCATCTCGATGCGCCTGATCACTGAGAATCATAATTCTTTCTGCCCATGGCGTGTCCTAGCGGCCTTTATCTATTGGGTCTCACGACGCCATCTGGGACGCTGTCAAGGGGAACAGCCCAAGTGGGGAACCTGTCATCGTACACAGTACGACTTGACACTTGCATTTCGCCTTGTCGGCCCACTGGCACTCCACCCTTTCGAACTTTTCAGATTCAGTTCGCCCGCGGCCTTATGCGATGCCCAGAGCCTTGGTAAAGACGCGATGTGACCTATCTTGCGAAGGGTATATGTAGTACAGCTCCTGCCGGCTTGGACGTGAAGGCTCGGTTCTTGTCTTGTCTCTCGAGCAAGCCTTCTTCCACCGCTTGTCCAGTCTTGACTTCCTCTTAGGCTCTTGGAAGACGCCCATAGTCTATTCAAAGATCTTGCCCGCCATGGCGACGAAGACAGCCGGCGGAAACGCCGCCTTCCACAACTTCCACAACGACTTTGCACATATCCAGGACCCCAACGAGCGACGACGACTTGCCCTCGCTGAGATCGATAAGGCTCCCTTTGGCTGGTACCATGTCCGTGCCATTGTGGTCGCCGGTATCGGTTTCTTCACTGATGCATATGATATCTTCGCCATCAACTTGGTGACAGCCATGTTGGGTGTCGTCTACTGGCAGGACACCCCCGACCCAAAGAATGCAGGAAAGATTCCTTCCAACTCGGACACTGCCATCAAAGTTGCAACCTCTGGCGGTACTGTCATCGGCCAGGTCGGCTTTGGTTGGCTCGCCGATGTCGTCGGCCGCAAGCGGATGTATGGTCTCGAATTGATCCTCATCATCTTCGCAACTCTTGCCCAGGCACTTTCATCTGACTCTCCTGCCATCTCCATTGTTGGCATCATCATCTTCTGGAGAGTTATGATGGGTATCGGTATTGGAGGAGATTATCCGCTTTCTTCGATCATCACTTCTGAGTGAGTTGACCTGCTTTGTCTTGTGTATTGAAGGGAAGAAGCTGACTATCCCTAGGTTCGCCACCACCAAGTGGAGAGGCGCCATGATGGGCGCTGTCTTTGCGATGCAAGGTATCGGCCAATTCACCGCCGCCATCATTGCTTTGATTGTCGTGACTGGCTTCCATCAGTCTCTCAAGACGGCCGAAACTGTCGACCTTTGTGATGGTGTCTGCCAACTTGCAGTCGACAAGATGTGGCGTGTTATCATTGGGTTCGGCGCAGTCCCAGGGTGTGTCGCCTTGTACTTCCGTCTCACCATCCCCGAGACTCCTCGTTATACTTTCGATGTTGCCCGTGACTCTGAGAAGGCTGTCGAGGACGTCAAGGCTTACCGATCCGGACAACATGAGGGCAAGCCCGATGAAGTTAGCCGCGCCGCTGTCTTGCAAGACTCCCGCCTGCGCCTCGAGACTCCCAAGGCCAGCTGGAACGACTTCTGGCGACACTACACCCAATGGAAGCACGGAAAGGTCTTGCTTGGAACGGCGGGCTCGTGGTTCTTCCTTGATGTTGCTTTCTACGGTCTGGGTCTCAACAACTCCATCATTCTCCAAGCCATTGGCTATGCCAAGGGCGACAACGTCTACGAGATTTTCTACAACACGGCTGTTGGCAATCTGATCATTGTCTGCGCCGGTGCCATTCCAGGGTATTGGGTGACTGTTGCAACGGTTGATACCATCGGCCGCAAGACCATTCAGCTGATGGGCTTCATCCTCCTCACCATCATCTTCATCATCATCGGCTTCGCTTACAGCCATCTTCACGAAGGCGGTCTTCTCGCGCTGTACGTCCTCGCTCAGTTCTTCTTCAACTTCGGACCCAACGCCACCACTTTCATTGTCCCGGGCGAATGCTTCCCGACCCGCTACCGGTCTACCTCGCACGGTATCTCGGCCGCTTCCGGCAAAGTCGGGGCCATTGTCGCCCAAACTGTCTTTGGTCCCCTCCGAACCAAGGGACATCCTACGAAGTCCAACCCATCTCCTTGGCTCAACCATGTCATGGAAATCTTCGCACTCTTTATGCTTTGCGGCTGCTTCACTACCCTCCTTATCCCCGAGACTAAGCGTAAGACGCTCGAAGAGCTTGCCGGTGAAGTGCCCGGCACCAAGAACTACGACCCTGAAAGCGCCGGTCACCGCAAGGATTCATATGTCGCACAGCCCACCAGTGAGGGAGTCATCGAGAGTGACAAGACTGCTTGAGCCAGTTTCTTTCTTTGTTGCTAGGAGTCGTTGTCTCCATACACAAAACTTCCATTTCTAGTGGCAGTCACCGAGAATGAATAGTGGGGTCTGTGTAGACTAATACAATATATCACAAACTTGACCTGTACCCTCTACTTTCCTTTTTTCCAACACCCATTCTCTAACTAGTTGGAAGACCCGGCGTCCTCCCTCGACTGTTGTCTGTTGACGTTCATTTAGGATGTGGCTCTATTTTGTGCAGCTTGTCGATCATTTCCCCCATCAGCTAATGTCGTATGGACTATGAGACGTTAACACCTTAGACGATGCTGACTGGAATGATTAGTAGCTCGTCTTGCAGCTTGTCTCCTCTAATAACGATAGGATCCTCGGGCTTCCCCAGGTGAGGAAAAAGAAAACACAGCCCCGGATATGATCTCCGAGATACCCGTGCGTGCGTTTGGCGAAGCTTAGTTGTCCGCAAGATTTAGAAGAAAGCTTACGCAACCTTGAGTATATCATATCTGCTTGTGGCAGTTGCTGCCATGAGGCCGGGTTGAGAAATTGAGTGGCTGCTAATATTTCACCGGGAGGTCTGACAGCGGGCGGCCAATGTGCCCAATGGAAACTTTGACACTTGATCTTTCAATTTCTGAGTCGGTCTTACATTTTCTGTACACCAAGGCCATGCATGTCAAGCTATTCACCCGGGTCGATGTCGCTGCACGGTGCAGTAAACCCTCTGAGATGCATGAAGTGTACACAGGGCGTACTTTTCTTGTCCTTAAAGAGGCTGGTTGAATGGACCGATAAGTCGCCTTGCAGGACGAGGCGAACGTCGGTTAGCATGCTCAGCCTCATAAATGCGTGTCAGCCCCGCCATTGTGAGTCAACCTATGTTGACTCTTCGTGCTTGGTGTGTTCCTCAGGCAGATTGATTGACAGCAGACATCGTTGCTCGAGTTACTGTGGATAAGCTTGGTGGCCTGCCATGTATGATTTCTACTACACCAAACTCCTGAACGACCCTTCCAAGTTTGAGCCTCGGACAGGTAACAGATGGGTTGAGGTGTGGGAGCCCGATGTTAGCCACCGATTCAAGGTTGCCATCGGCCCATCAATTGACTTGTCACAGGCTGGCGACGAGCTGGTGCTACTTGATCGCGAAATCGCCGAGTCCGACATTGCAGACCAGACCCGCTACCAGGCCTCTTTACTAGCAGGTAGGCCGCTCGACAACAGCCTCACTAATGGCCGACTCCGACTTCGACTTTTGATTGGGAGCCCAGAGCAGCACAAAAGCGACGCACAGATCCTAGCTCTGCCAATATCTCGAAACACCTTCGAGACAATCAGAATCAACTGGTGTTTGCCCACGGAACTGCTGCGCATGATGCTGAGCACGCTACCGATAGCCACGGAATTTCGAACCAAGAACTCTGCAGGACAAGCAATTACAGGGCTTATGGTGCGGAGTGCAAGATCGAGAGACTGGAACTTTTGCCTTGGGCTCGTCTACAACGAGGAGACACAGGTCATCTCGGGTATCGTGAACGGCATGCAAGCCGGTGAGACCGCTTTGATGCTCAAATGTCTTCGAGAGTCTACAAAGTATCTGCAAGACCCGATGCTTCTACCAGTGTTCCTGCTAGAACTCAAGGTGCACTATTTCGCTGTGCTTCTTGAAAAGCGAGCCCAAGGGATCGAGGAGATTGAATACAGAACCGGCATGAGACACGGCTTTTCGACGGATCCAACCCGGAACGCGGCCAGAGATCAAGAACGGGAGAGGGTCCTGAAAGAGCTCAACTTCGACGAAATCACACAAAAGGTATTGTTTATTTGTCAGCATCGACCCAGGCTGACATAAATTCACAGTTGACAGGTGTCACTGGGACACTGTCGTTTTGCGACATGACTTTTGCCTCGAGTCTTAGAGCTTTGGACATCGTCTGCGCCATCCGGGGTCGACTTAACGGCCATCTGAAGGTGCAGCTGGAGGGTGTTGGCTTCGACGCCCAGGGCGGCCTTCAAATGAGGATTTTATACCTGCGAGAATTGATTGTGGGTGCCCAAGTTCATGGAGAGGTATTGTCAGCGCGGACACGGGCTCAAGTCCAGACGGTATGGGGTGCCTCGACGATCTCTCGTGCCTGCCTGCCAACTTGCTGATCTGTTTGTCCAGGTCTACAGTATGATCGGTCAAAAGGACAACAAGCTCAACATCGAGACCGCGGCAACTTCCCAGAGAATCGCAGAGATAGGTCTACTTCACAGCAACGCCATGAAGGATATGGCGGAAGATTCGAGGAACGTTGCCATACTCACCCGCAAGGATAGCACCGATATGCGCATCATCGCAGTGGTGACGCTCCTTTTTCTTCCAGGCACCTTTGTAAGTCATTATCCAAACAGCTTCTCGCGCTTTCCCTAGCCCTCGAGGGAGGCCGCATAGGACAGCCCGAGTCCCCTTATCTCACATCGATCTTGATCCAACCACTAATTCCCCGGGACCACAAGATGGCGACACTTTTCAGCTCCGGCTTCTTCAACTTTCTACCTGGAGAGTCCAACCAGGTCGTTTCAAAGTGGATATGGCTCTACTTCGCCTTGACTGGAGGATGCACCTTTGTGGTCTTTCTCGCTTGGTATCTGTCATCCAAGAGACAAAACAAGGAGATGATGACCGTGATGATTGGAGACAAACGCCCATCAATACCAGCAAACGTACCGGTTGAACCTGAGCACGGGGTCGCCACGATGATCACTACACCACCGGCTATTCCAACATTGTGGATCGAGCGCTCCAGGTCAACTGGTGACATTGACCCATTCATCTCTTTTGGCAGCGCGCCAGACCCTGTCAAATAACCTGGAGCGGATGAAGCTGGGCAACAGCTCCGACTCGTTTGAACCTAAGCTTCCTACCCATGCTTGTTTTGCCAATTACTGCCGAGGCTCTCGATCACTGATCTCGTTACGGTGTCTCAATTGGTTCCTCAGGATCAACTCAAGGGCCTGCCGGTCAACTTCCTTCAATTGATGGAAATCTTCGAATTTCCATCCAATGACGATCACAACTTCACAAGCATGATGAAGTCTTCACGCTTCATTGGACAGCTGAGACAGCCCAGGGCCAAGCTTCCAGTCCAGCTCCGAAGGGGCAGCTCTGACCGTCCCGCGAGATTCCTTCCTTGGCGGAATGCCACTCCGCCCCCGGCATGCCAAGGAACTACGGCAATGCAGCAGTGTTCGCTATAGGAGGAGATCGTCTTGTCATTGGCAGGCAGAGCTGCGAAGACCGTCGCATATATGCAGCCAAGGCTTCAGTCGTGGTCAGGACCGTTGATCGAACCACCTTCATCAGCGGGGTGCAAATCTCACTTCCCAATATCGCTTTTGAGCCTAGCAAACAACCTTCAGTCATCCACCTGCCATCAGGACCAGCCGGGCAATCCGTTGAGAGCCTGGCTGCAAGATGCAGGAACAACAGTCCACGTTGCTTGCTGAGGCTTGTTATTTGCTCGACACCACTGGGGACCGCAATGGTGGTGCGACTTGTGCAAGAGGCGGATTACTCTGTCCAGAGCTCACCAACACTCCTGTTCTGAGGACGTAAACGTCCCTCGAATCTCCCACGTGCAGTCATGACGCAGATAAAACTCGCAGCTGATGGAGAAGAAAGCTGTGAGCTTGCTGAATAGCTTCCCAGCCCAGGTACAAAAAGGTTGGTGCCTGCTGTGTTCTGCAACTCTTTCCCGACTCTCTTTTCTTTCTCAGGCAGCGGTGGGCAGATCTCAGAAGTCGCGGTACAGTCTTGATCTCACCTAGAAGATATGCGTGCAACAACGACTTGTCTGGCCCTGGTGGCCTTAGCAGCGGACCTTGCTGTCGCAGTCCCCGTCAAACAGCCTCGATGGCAGCACCCGGCGCAGGATGACTACTACGTCAACCTCGGGCCTCGCCCGTACTACCTGATCCAGAACATGACCGACGGCCCGCTCAAGCAGAAGCTCGAGTCGTGTTACAACGGCCCCTTTGAAGTCACCACCTGGAGCATTGGCCATCGCGGCGGCGGCACCCTGCAGTTTCCCGAGGAGTCGGTCGAATCCACCATGGCGGGTGCACGCATGGGCGCCGGGATCCTCGAGTGCGACGTGGCCTTCACGTCGGATCTGGGCTTGGTCTGCCGACACTCGATCTGCGACCTGCACACGACCACCGACATCCTGCTCCGGCCGGAGCTCGCGGCCAAGTGCACGGTGCCGTTCACGCCGGCCAACGACACGGCCGACGCCGACGCCCTGTGCTGCACCAGCGACATCACCATGGCCGAGTACACGACGCTGTGCAGCAAGATGGACGGGTTCAACGCGTCGGCCACCACGCCGGAAGACTACCAGCATGGCACGCCTTCGTTCCGGACCGACCTGTACAACACGTGCGCGCAGGTGATGACGCTGGAGAGCTACATCGACCTGGTGGACTCCCTGCCAGGTTACCGCAACTTCACGCCGGAGCTGAAGACGCCGCCAGAGCAGGTGCCCATGCCGTTCCAGGGCCACTACACGCAGGCGCAGTACGCGCGCGACATGATCGACACGTTCATCCACAAAGGGATCGCGCCGGCGCGCGTGTGGCCGCAGTCGTTCAACCCGGCCGACATCTACCTGTGGCTGAACGAGTACCCGGCGTGGGGGGCGCAGGCGGTGTTCCTGGACGAGGACGGCGACGTGGCGTCCAACTTCAGCACGGCCGTAGCCCGCCTCCCGGCCCTCAAGGCCAGCGGCGTAAACATAATATCCCCGCCCTATCCGTTCCTTCTTGCTATTGGCGGGCCTAACAACGACACCATCGTGCCGTCCATCTACGCCACCACCGCCATGGCCGCGGGGCTGGACATCATCGCCTGGTCGTTCGACCGCTCGGGCCCCCTGGACCAAGTCCGCGCCGACGACGACTACTACTGGTCGTCCATCGCGCCCATCATCTCCTACGATGGCCAGGCCTACGAGGCCCTCGACGTGCTGGCCCGCCAGATCGGCATCAAGGCCATCTTCTCCGACTGGTCCGCCACCGTCACCTACTACGCCAACTGCATGGGGTTGAAGGGGCCGGGCCATTGATTGATATTGTTTCCCTTGTTTTTTTTCCCCATTTCTTACCAACTTCACGATCTACATATGTAGATAGGTAGGTAGGCAAGTTCATGTGGCATGCATAACGACTGGACTACAGGAATCGACCGTGTCCCCATGGACGGAAGACGAAGGTGATGCATCGTGAAAAAATGAAAGGAAACTTGTACATAGCTAGATACGACAGCAGTTCATACATACATACTCACATACATACTCACATACTCTCCGGTCACATCTATTGTGTATATCTTGGATGATAATACCGAGGATATTTCCCCCCCCTCCCCCGGGGGAAGCAAGCTGATGTCCAGCCTTGTCTCCTGTTCGCCCCGCGACACACAATAAGATGGCGTCTCCGCGATAAATGTGCAAAGATAAAGCGACCGTGTGTCATGTGAGTAATTCTCATAACATAGATAGATATATAAGATATATCTACCGACGTATTATAAGTACAATATTTTTCGAGTGTCCAGCTGGCGACCCTTTTTTCTGTCCCCTCCCGTCTACTACTCCCTACATTCCATGCGTGGCATTCCACTCTCTCAACCATCCTAAAACGGCCTCGACCTCCTTAGCCTTCGCCCTCTTGACGGCCTCGGGCATCTGAATCTCTGCTGTCTCGTTCGCAAAGAGACCCGGGAAATCCCACTCGTGGAAGCCACCCTCAATGACAATCTCGGGTGCGTCACCAGCCGACAATGACGACGATCCTTCATCAGCGTTATCGTCATGACTGCCGCTGAGCAGCATCAGCCTGGGATTCGGCTCCCCGTTCTCCAGAAACTCGGCCAGCGGGCCCAGGCCGCGGTAGTAGTCCAGCTCTCCCGTGGAGAGAGCCAGGCGCGGGTACGACAGGTTGACGCCGCCGTAACGGTTGAGGCGGTCGAGGCGCGGTTCGTCGGGGGTGGTTGTGTTGTAGGTCCGCCTGCACCGCGCGAGGAAGTACGCGGGCGACAGTGTGCGGGAGACCAGGGGCAGGACGTGCGGGTGACCCGCGCTGCCTGGCGTGTAGCCCGTCGCGAAGCTGCCGCCCTCGGTGCACTGCAGCCAGCCGAAGGGGGACGGCCGGGTGAGCGAGAGACACTCGTGCACAGCGCGTCCGGCGCAGAAGGTATTCGTGTGTCGCACATGTGAGAAGAGGTTCAGCAAGGGATAGTACAGCGTCGTGGGGTCGGGGGTGGCGGTCCTGTTGGCGAAAGCGAGAAGCGAGTGCGCTATCGTGTGAAGCTTTTCGGGTGTATGGTATTGCGAAGAGTCGGACGTCAGCAGGCCACAGTAAGAGGCTGGACCTGTGTGGAAGAGAGAGAAGAGGTCAGCATGGTCTGTCGTTCTGTATCTTGGGAGGCGCTTGATTCATGCTGTAGGCGGTGGTGGGTACTGACCAGTGAAAGGGTAAGGCTTTCTATTCCACTGCTGATTCCATGCCGAGAACGGACTGGTCAGGAAGAACGCGAGGTCAGGGTATGTCGAAGACTGCGAGACGTTGAAGGCTGCATTGAGCTGGGCCAGGGCCGTCTCGTTGCCACTCTCGTAGACGTTGTCCATCAGGTTGGTCAACTGTTGCTGAGCCTCGACGCATTTCGGCGGCGCGTGGCGTCGTATCATGTCGAAAAACTGCCAGTGATCGAGCGTACCCGTCGTGACTCCCGAGGACGACAGGCCACCCCAAAAGAGGTCTGGATACTGGATGCGCGTGAATGCCGATATGACACCGCCGTACGAGCCTCCTAGGATGATCCACGGAGTACCTGGCGCCGTCAAGTCCCGGTCTTCCAGGCCCGAGAAGGTCGCCCGTTGAGCGAAGTAGGCGAGATCCGCCAGGGCCTGTTCGGTGCTGTGGAAGCGCAGGTTTTCTCGTGTCCATCGGTGGTCTGGGACGATGTCGTAGCCGCCGGGATAGTATCTGTACATAGAACATCAGAATCAAGTGATCTTGCTGAGAAGATGGAGGGAGCCTTGCACACCTTTGCCCCCAGAGAACGGCGACTCCACCGGTAGCATTGGCGATTTCATGGAGTATGCCCTTCTGGAGCCATTCGAGGTCGTAGTTGGCGTTGTCTTCACCCATGGCATGGATGATCACTGGGCCTCCGGGAACGTAATTGCTGGTGTCGACCCAGTAATGTTGTTGGAAAGTGGCATTCGTATGGGGCTCGTAGCGGGATATGTTGTGAAAATGGTCAATGGGCATGGTGAAGTTCTGCGTCCTGACCCTCGAGTCAGATGGGTGTATCCCAGCCTTGGAGCCCGGCGTATCTTCGCCATACCGCAGAGCAACGATGTCAGAAAAAGAGAAGCCTTTGGCGGAAACTCACGGATATCTGGCGAGAAGCTCGCTGGCGTGCGACGGGCGTCCTACGACGGACGGGGCATTGCTTGGAAACATCCTGCATAGAGCGTGAGATTTCATAGCTCGGTATTTTGGGGTCATCTTTCTCCAACATACCATCCTGATATAGCCCAGAGGAGGAGGATGAGGAACAACAAGGTTGCTGCCACTCTGCAGAATAACCCCTTGGATACTTTCGTAGTGGCCGTGACAGTCATCTTGGAATATTCTCTGCCAATCCAGAGCCAACGGCGACTTAAAATCACAGCTTTCGACTCTTCGTTGCCACTGCCGCACACAGAAGCCCGCAGCCTCTAAAATGCTGGACGGGGGTGTGGCTGCTGCTTCATCTCAAGCGGTCAAAGCTAGGTGGCTTCAATTCAGGAGTTGTGGTTGTCCCAGCTTAATCTCCAGTGAGGCTAGCAAGTGTCGGGACACAGGGCATTCCGGTAGTGACATTACAGGCCAAAGACATGAGTGCTCAACAAGAGCGAGAAGGGGTATGTTGGAAAGGAACACAGCCTCAGAGCAATTTCAATGCCCTTGACCGAGTGGATTATTTGCAGATCCACTGCGCATTACCGGCTTCATTTATGCCGATATTTAGGCATTGAACCGACTGCCTCGCGTGTTCGGTTGAGATGGCCACCAATCAGCCCAGAATGACGCGCGTCCGACACGTGAAGCGAAACACTAAAGACAGTCCCTTCTAACACAGCTCTTTCGGTGCAATATACGAGGTACACAGTTGAAAGTGGTCGGGTCTCGCACGTTGCCGTGCCTTTATGGACTTGAAGGGTGACAGCGTCTCACGGAGACTATCTCATCCCCCGACAGCATACCTCGCAGGCATGGTGCATCGAGCATCTGAGATACACCTGAGCTGGGGGAAAGCCCTCCGTGAGTTATTTTGCCAACGTCAGGGATACATCAGTCAGTGCATTCTGGCATCGACAATCGTCTGCTTGGTGTGATTGATCCGGCATGGACGAATCATCTATCCCGGTGGCCCTGGCTTCCGGCCATACACGTTGTAGCTGTGTTCAACACTGTCAGCCTTGCAAGCGTTCGTCGACTGGCGACATCTGGGACCAGGACTTACAAGTGCACGTAGGTGTGGATGTCTCGATTCAGGATCTCCTTCCGTGTGCGGGCGAGCATGACCTCGAGCTCTACCGGGTCCATTCCGAGCAGGGCCACTGCGCCTCTCTCAAACCCAGCCTGTGCGTATTGGAAGAAATTGTGCACCTCGAGCGCCCCGATGGTTTTCAATCTTTTGTCTTTTGGCCATCGATTCGTCGGGATCTTGAAGACAGTTTCCTGGACATCCTCAAAGCCACAGTCCAGCAACTGTTGCCTCCACGATTTGCAGGCGGAGCCGTCAATGCCCATGGCTTGCGCGATCTTGAAGAAGAGCTTGCCCATCTCAGTGTAGGTCGAATCAGGTGGGCAAGTGCCGTCGTCACAGCCGACTTCCGGCACCGTGACCGCGAGCTCGAAATACCCGCCCGGTCTAAGGTGTTCATATGCCTGTGAGATGAGGGCCGGCCAGTCTCTGATGGCGAACAGAAACTCCCTGGCATGGATCAAGTCGAAGGACTTCCTCGGAAACTCCCAGTCCGTCTCGACATCCAGAATCTCAAAGTGGCAGTTTGGCGCCACCCATTCGGTCTGGACTGCCGCAATGTCAACGCCAATGACTCGTGCCATGGGATACATGTCAGCAATCTCGATGGCCCAGATGCCGCTCCCAGTGCCCAAGTCCAGGATATTCTGAGGGTTAGGATCAATGGGGGCGAGATGGAGGCGACCCTCGTACAGGAGGAAGAACTTGTAATGTTGGAGGTCATTGCGGTTCTGTTCCTGATCGTCGATGGGAAGGCCGTAAAAATGTCTCCCGTATGCCGCCCATCGTCGGCCGTATTCTTCAATCCCCTCACGGATCTCGGTTGCTATGCTGGTCTCATGGTCAGGTCTCTCTTCCCCTCCTCAGTGTACAGGCGGATTCTCACCTCGTCACATAGCTGCTATTTCCGGAAGTGCTGGCATAGCCTTCATCGACAAAGTCGTCGTTCTCGTCGGGCTCCATATGAAAGGGTTGGGGTCAGACAGGATTGGTCGCGTGCCCGGAAGGTGTAGGCGAAAAATGAGAAGCTGTGGAGGCGGGGAGAGCTCATGGTGATGAAGGATGAAGGATGAGGGAGGGGGGTGTTGGCTTCTTTTTGAAGCACCGCCTGATGGGTACTTGGGACGCAGGAAGTAAGCTACATGGCTGATTGAGGGGATTGAATTCTCTGACTGGCTGGTTGAGCTGCGCGGGGAGCAAGGTGTGAGCAGATAATACCTAGAACATGGCCGCAGGGGTGAGCCCATGTACCTGTTCCGTACTCCGGACAGTGTGTAGCAGAGGCCACTAGGCCCCTCTTCCACGTGTTGTAGCTGCTGCCCTAGTGAGCCTACTAGCCTGAATTGCGTGCATGGAGTCGCCTAAAAACTCCCAGATAAGCAGCTGTGTGAACCCACCGTTCCACCCGTTCGTCCCCACCCTGCCATCAAACCTCCCGCAGTCGAACCATCATCCGTCGGCCACCAACATAAACGAATCTCTGCAACAATCCCAAGCGAGGAACCTAACTCCTTACGATGCGGGCGTTCCAACAGAAAAATGATCACCATGCCCCTCTCATGCCAGGCCAGAAACTTGCTTCAGCTGCGGAAATATGTTCCTGTCGGTCTAACAGTCTTCCACCCAGCCCACCTGTTTCCTCCCCAACCTTCGAGAAAACCCGTCCTTTTGACCGCTAAGGAAAGCTTCTTCTGTCTGTGTACATCCAGTATTGCAAGCCACACGGGAGGAGGTGACAATGGCGTCGTCCTCAGATCAAGATCAGGCTGCTCAGCTGCAGGGGCTGATCCAGCAGCTCACCACAGCCGCCCAAGCCTGCGACTTCGCGCCAGGCAGCACGGGCTACATTTCCAGAACCAATGTCGCCGCCATCGCCAAGGACATTGTCCGTCTCGTGATGGCACCGTCGGACATGTCGATGCACCACTCGGTCAATGTCCGTGACGCTTTTTTTGACACACTGTGGCTGCCAGAACTGACGTGAGTGCTAACCAATGGCAGATGCTGGAGGTTGTCTGTATTCGCACCCTGATGGGGCTGGGAGTGTTTGAAAAGATCCCGGTGGACGGTTCCATTTCTCTGGCTGAACTCTCGAAAGCCACAGGCGTCCAGGACTCGTTGCTAGGTATTGGTTATGCAATTCTTTCCTCCACGCAACTGACTGATCATTGTGTCTCTCTCACCAAACAAAAGAACGACAACTTCGATTACTCGTCGGCACCAAGTTCCTCGAGCAGACCTCCAACTATGACTACGTGCACACCAAGTTCTCCCGAGCGTACATCCAAGTGCCGGGCCCGGGGAACTTCTTCCAGTTCATCAACGACGAGTGCCTGTCCACCATGGTCCATTTCCACAGCTACGTGAAGGAACGAGCCGCCCAGGACGGCAAGCCCGTGCAGGAGCCCGACGACCCTCTTCGCAACCCCTATACCCACCGCCACGGCATGGACGGCCACCCGGTGTGGGAGATCATGGCACAGTTCCCGGACCGCCTGCGCGCGTTCCAACTGGGCTTCATGTCACAAGAGGATTCGGTCCCCATTATCGGCTTCTACGACTTCTCAACGCTCTATGACCCAGCGCACGACGGCGACCGCGCCACACTGGTCGACGTGGGCGGCGGCCAGGGCCAGTCCATCATCCAGGTCCTGCAGGCGTTCCCGACGCTCCGCCCGGACCACATGGTGCTGCAGGACCTGCCGCAGCCCATCGCCCAGGCGAAGGACTCCCCGATCCTTCCGGCGGGCGTCACCGCTATGGTGCACGACTTCTGGACGCCGCAGCCCGTGCGGGGCGCCAAGGCCTACTTCCTCCGCCGCGTCGTTCACGACTACTCGGACGACAACTGCGTCAAGATCCTGTCCCACCTCCGCGACGCCATGGCACCTGACAGCAAGGTCCTTATCGCCGACATGGTCATGCCCCGCCGCGTACACGAGGCTGACCTACCCGCGGCCGCCATGGACAACGTCGTGATGGTCATGGGTGGTAAAGAGCGCACCGCCGACGGCTTCAACAAGATCCTGGAGGCCGCCGGACTGAAGATGGTCAAGATCTGGCACAGTCGCGAGGGCGGTGCCACGGGCAACATCGTCGAGGCCATGTTACCTGCGGCGGCGGCTGCAACCTCTTCCTCCTAGGTGGTGGTTGCTGTTGTTGTTTCTTCTCCAAGTGCCATCGCCTTAAAAAGGATGTGATTGCGGTCGAATTACCCCCCGGCTCTGGGGAATCGCTCAAGCCCATATGGAGCAGGAGGCTAAGCTGGAATCGGGCGATCAGGTATGGTCAGTCATTGGACGTGGGGTGTACAGCGGAGGGGAGCGGACAACAGGAGGAGTTAGTAGATATGATGCGAAGAGTCTTGAAACGCTCCTGATGGATATACATATGTCCTGACCCAGCTACAACTCACCGTCTTTTGATTTGAGCAAGACGTTTATCTCACTTGAGACAAAAGATCACCAACAGCAGCAATTAGATATCAAACAGACGTACGTCTCATCTCTCACGAAGAAAAAAGCCAGTTTACAAGTTTACAAGTTTCATGCCTGGCATTGTCTCTATCAACCTGTCCGCCACAGAGGTGTGTGCGTGTGTGTGTGTGTGTGTGTGTGTGTGTGTGTGTGTGTGTGTGTGTGTGTGTGTGTGCACGTACGTCCCTGCCACCAGCCCAGCACCACTCCCCTTTCCTACGCCCGTCGAAAGAGAAAGAGAGAAAGAAACCAAGAAGCACAAGAAACCAACCCAACCCCCCAGGCCTCGCTATGCCACGGAAATTATTTGTACACATGTTATCTTTCCTTCTTGTTGGCCTTGCTCGGCCTCTTGCGAGCCGGTCCCTCTCCCGTAGCAGCAGCAGCAGCACCGGCGCCAGCGCTCGCCTTGAGCTTGAGCTTGATTTGCGGCTCCGAGCTCGCTGCTCTGGCCGCCGCCGCCGCCGCCGCCTTGGTGGGCGTCCCTTGGGCCGTGTCGCCGTTGGCCTCTTTTTTGGGGCTCTCGTCCGACTTGCCGTCGTCCACATTGTTGACTTCCTTCAACTTGCTCGGAGGAGCCTTCTTGTCCCCCCTCTTTCCGTCTCCGCCCGTCCTCTGCTTCTTGTTCTTGGTGCCAGGACCCGGGCCCTTCTCGTCGTCCTCGGCCTTTCTCTTGACGCCACCGTTGGCGGTAGGCTTGGGTGAATTGGCTCTGCTGTCACGCGGAGTACCACCAATCTTGGCATTGGCCTCGCGACCGGCCGCGCGGTCCTTCTTGAGGTAGCAGCTGCCATTGAGATGCGTGGCGAAGACGTTGACGGATTTCCAGTGGTCGCCGAGGTGAGAGTCGCGGTTTGGGCATTTGGCAGCTGGATAGTCGATCTCTTTGAATTCAAACGACTCAGTGGGCATGGACGAAGACGGAGTCAGTGGGTCAGAGTTCTCAGAGGCTGCCGGCGAGCTCGGCTCGTCCTTCTTCTTCTTGTTCTTGCCTTTGGCTTGACCCTTGACTTTGACGCCTTTCTTGCGCTGGCCATGCACGTCATGCTTGTCAAGAACAATCATCGGTTCAGTTTTGCAGTACTGTTCACTGGCATCGGGAACAGGACGAGCATTGTAGCCAACGCGAGGGTACAGCAGGCGGCGGAGACGACAATTCGGACATCTGATGTGTTTGACTGTCTTCATCGGGTTTCCTTTGAGCTGAACCTCGCCGGACTTGAGCATCGCAGCGTCAGTTTCGACGGCTTCATTTTCGATCTTAATGGTGGTTTCGCCATCTTGAGCGGTCTTCAGTTTCTCAGCTTTCTGTTCGACTTCAAGGACGGCAGTCTGCATCCGAGCGATCTTTTCCTCTTGGTGTATGTCGAGAAGAAGATCATGAAGGATGCTTTCGATTGAATGTTCCAGCAGGTACGTAATCTGGGTCCAGTCAGTGGAAGGAGCACGAAGCAAGCATTCCTGGCCCACTAACCGCCTGTTCTTGATCAGACGCACTCAAGCTGACATTGGACGACTTGGACAGTTTCGTGGAAGCCATGTCAGGAACGTCCTTGACTGGAGGTGGACAGTCAGCTGTGATTTCTTCATCTTCCATAAAGCGCCCCCACAAGTCGACATCGACATTGCTGTTGGGGAACAGGGAGACGTATGCTCTTCTAGGAGCCATATTGGACAAACAAACACGAGCAAGTATCAAAAGGCTGACCAGCAACGTTTCGCACAATGAGAGAACAGGGGTATGGGGAGAGAGGTGCGTTTGTCTTCGTCGTGTACACAGTGTTGGGAAGTGGTAGAGGAAGGGGCATATTTAAAAGAACATGCATCACAGCAGAAGCCTGATGCTCCATTGAGGACCACACAATAGCAGGGAATAACATAGTTCACCGTGATGCACCTTATTGTCCGGCAGTGTATTCACTTACTGGTATTGTGATCTGCGAGGAAGACTTCTGCGCCAGCACACTCGGCCTATTCAAACACCTTCACTCCCTGCCGCACCCAACAGCCCTCTGTTCATTCAATAGCACCCATGAATCTTTCTATTGTGCCACTCAATTTGTATTGTCTCGCACTGGAGAAGGTGGACGACCGGGCGTACAAGGAGCGCACGCACTCCGGGGAAGGGATCTAGGGCGCACTCGGGGATACTCTTGCTCGCTAGAGGGACACCTGGGTGTCCGGGAGTCTGAGGGGTAGATAGTGAAGACACACCCGAGGAGTGCTCCAACAACGACGAGGTACGGTTATACCAACAAGACACAAGATGTCGTTCGAGGGGGGTGGCAGCGGCTGTGAAGGGGAAGCACCGATGATGCGGAACGCAGAAATCAAAAATGACCGGGTTCTGGGGCTCTGCTTAGGGCTCGCTAAGACTGCCACCCGCGGCTCAATAAGCATCGATAACCTTCTTTTTAGCGCCGGTAGCTGCCGCCCCGAGTCCACCACTGCACGAGCATTATTTTTGGTCCCCTGACTGCCCATCGCGCACCACCGTCCATGACAGCAAGCTCCCAGCTCGAGTGTGGAGTGGTGTTCCATTGAAGAATGCTAGCACCGACATGCCCCAGGCTACTCTTCTTTCGTATTTCTCCAAACCGGTGACTCCGGCGCTCTCCATCCCGCCAACTGTTACAGAGGACCACGACGCGTGTCTGCACGTGTCCGCGAGCCGCGGGCTGGGGATCATCGAAGCAGCACGAATCCAAGCGTCTCAGAGGACGACCAGTCCACCTGTCCGCACTTTGAAAGCCGAAGAAGGCCAGGTCAACAGCAGAAGCTCTGCCACTGTCGCTCGAGAGCCAACACGGGTAATCCTGGAAGCCAAGGAGCCATCAAGTGACCACCTACAGCAATTCGATGTCATCACCATTCCCCGTCTTCCGGAAGCTCTTGTTGCACGTGTTTCAGAACAGCACCTTGCTGCAATTCAGCGTCTTACAGCCACGACCCTGCCTGTTCGGTACAGCGATGCATTCTTCACCACAACGGTGACAGATCCAATCGTCAATCAATTGTCTCGCACCATCCTATACGCGTCGCAGCCCGTTGGCTGGATTCGCTGCCGCTTAGAACCATGCTCGCCAAATAGCTCTCTCATCTCTCAGTTGCACCCTCCACCTTCTCAGATCTATATCCAAGCTCTCACTCTCCTCTCGCCATACCGTGGTCTCGGCCTCGCAACACTACTCTTGGACACTGTCTTGTCTTCGACTAGGGCTCAAGCTGCGGACACAGTATGCATATTCGCACACGTATGGGAGAAGAACGAGGAAGCCTTGGAGTGGTATGCCAAACGCGGCTTCAAGCGTGTCATGCTTGTCGACCAATATTACAGAAAGCTGCGACCGAGCGGTGCTTGGATTGTTAGGAAGGAGCTTGACAGACCCTGACTTCTACGTCTAAGCCAAAAGAGCCCTTGGCTCTTGGTGCACCGGGTCCTCCCGCCTGCTTAGAAATGCTCATGAATGTGCGAGCACAATACCTTCAAAGGGGGTGTATGTCAAAAGACCGCATCGTGAGCAGGCCGCGGAGGATACTTGGGGCCAAGGCTCAGCGAATGATGTTGGCCATTCAAGCTCCTGACGCTTCCGACAATCCAATACAGCACAACAGTCAACGGCGACTTGTGAGGGTGATGTGGCGTCCACCAATATTGAAGCAAGTGCCACGATCAAATTCGCAAACAACTACCAGGGCGGCATTCATTGCCGAAGTTCGAGCCAGAATTGAACTTCCCAAAGCTGACACGCTATTCGATGCGATAACAGCATTGGATATCTCGCATACACGAAGGTGGCGGTGCAGTCCGGTGAAACAATCAGATCTTCCGGGATATTTGTCCTCAATTTTTGATCAAGACTTGCGAAGTGTGTCCAAGCGACATGAAAGATATCGGTTCAGTGCACATTGAAGGCAAGGAGATCGAGCAGAGGTTCGAACATAAGCAATATCTTGCATACGAGCCATGGGATTCTCCAGAACCCTTTTTTTCCCATTCGCATGTGGTACCCTGCTTTTACCTATATACATTGGATCCAGAGTCTCGGGCGGAATGCAGACTCTCCGACGTAGACATAGCTTTACAGTACAGACGAGACATAGTTCTCCTCCATCTTCCGTACTTCCCGCTTGAAGATCTCCACTTCCTTCCAGCAGTCGAGCGGCTTCCGGTCGTTTATCCGCAGGCAGGAGATGACATCTTGTCTCCTGATTGCCCAGTGTTAGCATGGACGTAACCTGAAGCCGAAAACTCGACTTACGCGTTCTCGACCTCCTTCGGCACCTCTCTTAACGTTTTCCGTTGTCCCAGGGTCTGCTTCAACTTTTCGATTTCCTGTTGCACTTTCTGGCTTGACGGAGCTTTCTTGTCCTCATCACCGACAGAACCCGGAAGGAGGTCTTTCGGTGATATCTGCAGGAGGGACGAGTCTGAATCTGTCTCCCCGCTGGTCGCAATCTTCTTCCGTGCCTCCTCAAGGACCGAGGCTTCGTGGTTGCGGATCTTTTCTAGCTCGGCAGCGACGCGCTGTGCGATGTGCAGCTCGAGGGTCTTTGCGCGGGTCGAGTTTGTCTATATCAAGAACGTGTTGTGAGCATAGCCTCCCCTGCGGATTGGAGTGGAAACCCGTGTCCCGGGTCGCGAGGAGAGCAGACATACTTCGGAAGATGCTTGGAGGGAATCTATCAGCCTGGGAGGAGCGTCAGCAGTGCTTTCTATAGGATAGGCGCAGACCGCGCGATCATGGCCTCAAGATCTTACTCTTGGGAAAATTGAATAGGTGTATCGCTGGTGAAAACATGCTTGGTTGACTCGTCGGGTTTTGATTGACCTGCACCCATGGTGGCGGCTGGGGTGGAAATGTGGACAGTTGGTTAGCTCTCTTATGGCCTTAATGTGACATACCCTGGATTCACTGTACTCTGCTCACAGGGTAGAGGTCGTGACGGATTGGACCTTGCTGTCGCTGCCGTCAAGTTGGAGCTCCAATCACTAAGAACTGCGCCGGCTGCGGAAATAAAATTCTTGGCGGCTCCAGTGCCGCCGAAACTTTCTCCGAGACGCAGTAGACGCCCGTGTCACCACTGCCGCTTTAAGGCCTAGTTGACCCCAGTTCTATCAACCACTCTCGCTCCGCGTCCATATCTCGTTCCTTTTAGCTCTACCCTGTCGAATGTCCCGCTCACGATGCAGCTATCAACGGGCCGTCGGGGCCCTAGTCAACAGCTGGCGGACTCGTTTACGGGAAAGGCCGAAATGAGATGCACCCGAGGAGACTCCAAGCTAGCAGTTCCACTCTTGATACGTGGACAACGCTCCCTCGTCAGCTTGCTGCACACACCCTGAAGCAGTCGATGCTCGGTACATCTCATCATGGAAGCGGGGGAAATCATGCAGGCGAAGCCGAGTTCTCCCAATCTCCTGGGATTTGAAAACCTACCCCCTGCTGTGTAACCCTACCAGTCCTCGACCTTCAGGCATTTGTTTTCCACTGACTGAACAGAGCTGAAAATGCGTGTTGCCATCATTGGAGCCGGACCAGGAGGCCTGGTCACGCTGAAGTACCTCCTCCAAGCTAATCAGAACTTCAACATCGAACCCGTCGAGGCCAGACTCTTCGAAGCCAAAGATGGCATTGGAGGTACCTTCCGCTACCGCGCCTATCCAGAAGGCGAGGTAAAATCTAGACCTTTCTCCCACACTCGAGCTGTGGCAGGGCTGATCCGAAGTAGATGGTGTCTTCCAAGTTCTTGACCACTTTCTCGGATTATAGGATACCACCAGAGCGAACTGATTGTGGTGACTTTCTCACTCTCGGTCAATACGTCGAGTACCTGGAAGGCTATTGCGATCATTTCAACTTGCGACCACATATCGAGCTCAATACCCCAGTGACGAATGTACGACGCGCCAAAGGTGGCAAAGGTCATATTGTGACCTATTCATCCCCAGATGGGACCAGTGCGGAATGGGCTTGCGATGCCGTTGCAGTGTGTTCAGGGCTACACGTGGATGCTGTGGCGCCCAGCATTCCTGGCATCGAGAAGGTACCCACTGTCATCCACTCCTCCCAATATAAAGGGCGGGAGATATTCACCGAGGGCAGCAATGTCGTGATCCTTGGTGTAGGAGAAACGGCGATGGACATGGCATATTTTGCTGTGACTTCTCCCACAAATTCGGTAACACTTTGTCATCGAAATGGGTTCGTCCTGGCACCCAAGGTAAGATACATCTGGCATGGGCAAGATCTCTCCATATGCTAACTTGTGACCCACCCAGCATGTGGAGCGCTTCGTCGTCATGGGCAAAAGGGAAGACGAGTACAATCCGTCGCCAATTGACACCAACTGGAATTGCCTTTTTGACACTGCCTATGCGCACCCGAAACTGAGGAACTCCCGGTGGCAATGGGTATTCTATGACTGGTGGACGAAAGGCGCATGGATTCTGCTGAACAATACCCGATATGGGTACGGCCAGCATGCGGGAATCATTAAGGGCTACCACATGTCCGAGGGTGAGTTTCTTAAATCCGCAGAGCGCTCGCTCCAGCATAACAGTTTCCATTAGTCCTCTTTGTGAAGTCGACCAAAGTCCAGCCGTATTTCGACAGACGCTACATCAAAGACAGCAGGCTCAGGCGATTCATGGAACGCATCATTGACCTGCCGCGGGTCGACACGAAGGGTCACACCATCGATTTTGCGCCATTTCCGGAGTATATTGACGACGAGGGTGTGATCCATTTCCACAAGAATGATACGCAGGAGTCGAAGTACATTGAGACCAGGAAGATCAAGCCGGACGTTGTCATCTATGCGACCGGCTATCGTCATTTGACATTCCCATTCTTGAGTGAAGGATATCCTCACTCTAACGAAGCCGATGTTCGTGCTCTGTGGAAGGACGGCGACGAGACCGTTGGCTTCATTGGCTTCGTCCGGCCACAGCTCGGTAAGGCCCTGTCGTGCTCTGATGTGTCCATCCGTCGGCCTTCTGTGTGTGTGCACAGGCTGTGGTTTCGTCTATCCCTTGATGCTAATACCGAATAATCCTTAGGAGCAATTCCGCCCCTCGCCGAGTTTCAGGCTCAGCTCTGGACCCTTCGAATCCTCAACCTTCTTCCGGAGGCAAACTTACGATCCTTGTCTCCAGAACTGAATCCTGACGTGGAGGAGTGGTACAAATTGAAGACAAAGCCTGAAGCGCGTGTCCAACATGGAGTGGATCATGAATCCTATGCCTACCAACTGGCTCTCGATATGGGCTCTGCACCATCCGCTACCCAGGTGCTGAAGCGTGGATGGAAAGTGTTCATTGTGTGGGCATGCGGTGCGAATATGAACACCAAGTTCCGACTGGTTGGCCCGTGGCGGTGGGAAGGAGCAGAACCAATGATGAAGGGAGAGATGTGGGAATTGATTAAGAGGCGACCAGTTGTCTGGGGTGAGTCCTCTCCTGAAATCTGACTATCACGAGGACGTCTTTTCAAGGTGTCTTTGCTGGTTCAATGTAACCTCAATGTCCTTGGATGTACAGCCCCACTGACTGAACGGCTTTTTACAGGACATGTTTTGCTCAACGCTCTCCCCATGTCCATTTTCGGACCACTGAGTCTGTGCTATTGGATCTACTATACGTTCTTCAACCCTGTCCTGGGCAGGCTGGGTCTCTCAAGGTGGCGGAGAAATGCCCGCCGCAAGGGTTACAGCGAGCTGCCCTAGGACTGAGCTCTCGAGGAACGAAGAGGATGGCTAATGACACGATCGAACCAGGAGTTATGATTGATGAGGTAAACTCCTATAGTACAGCATCTCGCAACTTGTCCATAATTCTGCCCGTGGCGCACGGTGGCTTGATCGGTTACAATCGTGATTTTCATTGAACAGCATACCATTGTTCCGTTCTCGTTATCGGTCTCTCTTTTCGTCCCATGTATCTTTGTTGGGGAGATTGGACTGAGCATGACACCGTGGAGCACCGACTTTCTCGTCGTGGTACTTCACCGTAGCACTGACTCTCAAAAGGGAGCTTCACGGCGCATCGTCTTCTTGATTACCTGCACATTATACCAGCATCTCCATGGTCTGGACGAGCTCCGGATGTGGATTGTCCCAAAGACTGACACCGAGTTCATCGAACATGCACGATCGAACAGACAAAGAGGTAAGCAAGCAAGTGGTGTGCAACGACGCCGCCGAGACTTCTGCCCACGCTGCGAAATAAAAGTCACACAGGCGCTGACGCTTCACAGGAACGAACCCCTGTCCACACGATGGGTCTGCATCAAGTACAAAAAGAATGGATCAAGGGGCGGCCGGCCTAGTCAGCTGTCTCAAAGAAAGATCTTCATGCCTACTTACAGCCCATGAAGGCCGTGAAACAGGTCTGCAGAACGGTCGACAATTATCATCATCCTAGGCCGGCGTCATTCGCAAATGACACGATACAGCAACACATTCCAAACATTGTGTGAATGTCAAAACTATATGTTTGTGCAAATTTGCAGATTGTGTCTGATATATCACCGCACGCTGTTCCTTTGGAGCGGTTGGTAGGGGAGAGCGCAGCGTCTCGTGCAGAATGGTAGAGGCGAGCGCAAGACCTTGCACGGCACAACTTGAACGCGCACTTGGCCAGGGCTATACCGGCACCCTCGAATTCACCGACAAATGATTCTCATCTCCGGAACAACGAGCAGTGGTCATTGTTCATCTATATTGATTATGTCCAATCAGCCTTCGAACCAGTCCGTCTGTGAGTTTTTCGGAAAGACACGGGCTCGCAATGGACTGACGAAGAGTTTGGATGATGATGATCAGCCGGGCAGACCATCATCAACACTCGAAGATATGGCATGAATACCCTCTATGCTGTTACGTTACGGTCAAAATCTCCGGCGAGCAGCATGTGGTCATTGAGCATGTCTCCATGTTGAGAGAAGCTACTTGTCCACAAAGCCATCGGCACCTGGAAGCACACTGAACCCTTGCCACAATTGAAACCTTTACGACCAACATCTTCAGTCCACAACTGCGTCAAGTACATAATCCAACTTCCAAGTTGAAGGGGGATCACATACTATACATATCCTGGTAATGCTCCCATGAGCCAGTCCCGGCAGCGATCGATTCTTCGCCCGACCCGCTCCGTTTCAATCCGTAGGCTGAGCACATCAAGCCATGCGGCCTTGGGCCAATCAAACCTTGCCTTGACACATGGGGCAGTGAATCTACCCCCTTTACAAAGGAGATATATATATATATATATGTTGTCCCCGAACTGTCGTCGCCCGCGACTCTCTGGCAGACTCGTCACGAAGTCCGCAATCCATTGGACGATCTGCACCTGGCTCACCTCCTCGGCTTCTGGTGCGCAGCTTGTGCTGACAGATTCAAGACGAGGCATAGGCCATGCAATGGGATCATGGAAGATTGAGCGTTGTATCTACGATCTGAAAACGAACCGCTGGGCTCGATGAGCTGTGCCATACCGACTGGGACATGCTTGAACTTTGAGGGCGTTAATCCCTCAACCTCGATGGGGAAGACAATCTGTAACACAACTGCAAGACTGCTGGATTCTGCGGAAGCCCGGGGAGCGGATTACGGCCGCTAAGGCTGTGTTAGCCACCGAAGCGTCACCACATCGATGGGAATGTTGGAGCTGGACATTGAGGCCAGTCGTATACTCACACAAGGACAGCGGCTTGTCCTGGGTGTCGGTCTCCGCATGCTCGTCCTGTTGAACACAGAAAGCGCACAGTGGACATCTGGAGAGCTTTGAAGATCGGGCGGAGAAAAGCAACGTGTCAACGAGGCAGAAAAACACTCCAGAAGAGCAAGTTAGTACACCAAAGGCCGGGCGCAAGCGGCAACTCTCCACAATCCGGAGGTCAAGCCTTAGGCTACACTATCTTCAACGCTCTCCGCTGCCACCCAAGCGCATTGTACGATTCCTCGAGGCCCATAGGCGTCATAAACTGTCCATTTACATAGCCGGCCTCTCGCCCTAAGTAATAAGTCACCAGCCCAACCCGACGGAAGGTGTCCTTGCTCTCCGTCTCTCTGAGGAGAAGCGCGCAGAGTTCAAGTCGATTTTCGGGATGAAAGTTCCTGGTCGTCCACAGCAGCTGCATCAAAACGATATCTTCGGGGCCATCTCCAAAGACCGGTTTTCCATTCAGCAGCCAGCCATATCCTCTTCCATCGAACATGATTTCGCAATTGGAACCTAGCCTACGGGCATCCATGCAGTTCCCCTCGAGGACGATATAAGAGCCTTCCTCCACGCTCATATAAGGGCCCGACTCGCCGGCATGAACCATATGATGATCCAATAGGCGAGGATTATGCCGACTCGGCCAGGGCGAAGATTCAATAGCAGTATGCAACACGTGCTCCGCTTCTTCCCAGGCGTATTGTATCCTGCCGCCCACTGAAGCCCAGCTCCATGACGGCGCATGGCAGTCAGCGACCCCGCTAACCTCCGGACTCCGCTGCTTTTGCCAAGCGAGACATCGAGCTAGATGTCCGCTCCATAGGCCGGCCAGATAGGCTCCAGCCCTTTCCAGGCCATAATCGAACACGACAGCTAGGCCGGCAACGGCGGGAAGCTTGTCGGATGAACACGTCAGCTGTCGGGGTGAGAACTCCTGTACGCAGTCAAACCACGCGCGTAGGGTGGCATTCGGGTTCGATATGGCCTCATGTATTCGCGCCCCTGGTCCTAGCTGGGCGCGCTGCCACTGAACCACTAGCTTATGCATTTCAGCTTTCCTCAAAAAGGGGTCCGGCGTATAATAAGCGGGCGCGGAGACTTCGTCAATCACCGGCCGCGTCGACTCAAAAAGACAGTGTTTGGGGCACTCCCAGATCATCTCAAAAGTTGTGTAATGCAGGAGGCGAGCGGCCATGATGCGCTCCTGAGCCGCCCAGCCCCGAGAGTTCAGTACCGACCGACCGACAATGCTGAGAGCGGGCAGCCTTAACCACTCGTACTCTCCCACGACGTCCGTCTTGGCGACAAGGTATTTGGAACGCGATGGACCGAGGAGCGGCGAGCACAGAGATCGACGAGGACGCAGGAAGCCCTCGTCACTAGTGGCGGCCGACGCGGCCGACACGACCAGCGCCGCCGTACCATAGATGGACGCCATCTGGGGTGACTGTTCGACCCAGTCGGCGGCGGAGTCTTGCACGATGCACAGGGCGTCTATCCAGAGGTAACGGAACCCGAGGCGACGCGTGACGACCATCGCATCTCGAAAGTTCTGCGACAGCGCGGACACGTCGATACCGTGCTGCCACGCGGCTTCGTTCTCGGTCAGGAGCTTCGTCATGTTTGTCGTCTTGCCCCAGCAGTGGCTCAAGGCCACGAAGCGGCCGGTCGTTCCCGGCGGCGGCAGGAAGAGCCGGGGCGGAACCCTCTCGTCCTCGGCCACCGCGATGATGCGCTTCGGAAGCGGCACATCAGCGATGGCTGAACATCCGTGCTGAATGCACTCGTCCAGCCATCTCCGCACCGTTCTCCAGCAGCGATAGTCATTTGGATTCTCCGGTACCACAAAGTCGGACTCGAATGTCTCAGCACCGCAGGGAGCGACTATGACTTCGCCGGATCGAAGGCTTGGGCAAGACAATAGGTACCAGGAGCGGCGCCATGCTTGACTGATGAAAACTGGAGCTTCAGAATCGGCCGGCTTGGTACTATCTTTGGGCTCTATGCGTAATGTGTCCCGGAGGAAGCGGCAGCCTTCGCAGCCTTGGGCAGCATTCTTTTCGAGCTGGCCGTACGAAGGAAGTGAGACGCTTGCACCAAGGGTCGGATGTATTTCATAGCCATCACAGAAGTTGCAGAGAGTCATCGCGAATGAGGAACGGCGTTGACTCAGGGCGAGGTCGGGTATTGCTACGAGTGACTTGCCCCTCTTCACCTTGGTCTGTCTGGTTACTTGTTCCGTGACCAATTGGAATCGCTGAGAGCATGAAACAGCGAAGCAAGAGCACGAAGGTAGTTAGCAGAAATGCAGACTCACGTTAGCACCCACTGCTTTTGCCGGCCTCCGCCGACTTGAGTCACCTGCAACAAAGACATCAGCGGCGGTCCAAAGAGTAGTCATGTCGTCAGGTTCTGCTCCAACAAGACTTTGATATTGGCCGGAAGACGCACAGTCACAAGCAAAACTAGTGAGTAATTACACATGTAATGCGCTATTATAATTTAACTATAATAAGATCTATATCATCAGACCGTGACCAGCCATGTAGCTAAATGGTGAATGCCATACTCGAGATCAATAGTAATAGACAAACAATCGATGGACACCAATATTGTCGCTTAAAGAGAGCTTCAAGGCCAACCGATGAGCAGCGCCCTACCATATATATACGATAGCCCCCCTTTCTTACTAACTCTCTCGCCTTGCTCAAAGCGTAGAGCTGAGAGCTCGACTGGAAGAGCTCACATCAGAGCCCCCTCCCCAGCGATACTGGAGTGGGTGGGTGGAACAAGATCCCTGCTGTTACAATTCGAGGATCCCCAGGTGCCGTAGTTGACGAAAGGCCCTCGAATCCCCCATTTCCATCTCCCTCCATCTCTCTTGCCCGGGCTCCCAGCAGCAGGGAAAAAAAGCATACTCCTACTAACAGGCAATCAATCCCCCAGGAACAGGCATTCATCAACCTCACCCCGAACGGTCCCTGCGCAGGCCCCTGGTTCGCCGAGTCCATGCACAAGACGTACACGGACTGCTATTGTGCCACCGCGGGCTTCGTGGGCGGCAACTGGCCGTGGTACGTCAGGTTCGAGAAACATTCACGGTCAAAGCAGTCGTAGACTTGAGAAATTGAGATGGCACATTCGCTTTCCATTGTTGGTTAGGCGTTCCATTAGCATTAGCATTAGAATATCCTTGCAGAAGCTCCTGAGTACCATGCATATGCCTTTTGTTTCGGTTCCAAAACAACCATATGTATCCTAACCGGCAGAGACTCTTCTTCCTTTGACCTCCAACAATCCAAGTGTCTTTGCAAAAAAGAATGTACACGGGGCTGAAAACACACAGGCAATGCTTTCCAAGCCCTCCAGTGATGTTTAGGTTCCAGAATTGCTAGTGAATCCAACTTGATTTGGTCGTTTCACAAACCCGCTTCCTTAAGACTTCGTTCAATGGCCTTCTTGCGCTGCACATCGTGCACTAACAAATGCCGCTCCTTCAAGAGCGCTTCCAGGGTATCAACAACTTTGTAAAAACTGCTCGCTGCACCCTTCTCCTGTGTAAATTTCATAATGCTCAAATGGGTTTTGCGACCCTGTTCGAGGACCGAATACAAATAGGCATGGAAATGGACGGGCTTGAGTTGGAGGTCTGTTTCACAGACAGATCAGCGTGCGTGATACCGGAAAAACAAAGGGGAAAACTTACAATTCGACGCATCAACGCGCCCTCGCACCACGTCACAGCCTGCCCGGCGTTCTGTAAGCACGTCTCTCAATCCGTACTTGCGCCAATCTTTCAAAATCTTGACAAGCTCTCGCCTCGCTTTGCCCTTGCTGATTTGAAGGCAAATGACCCGAGTCGCGGGTTTGATATGAAAGAACTTGGCGAACCAATTCTGATTGATTTCAATGGGACCGACTGCAGCAGCTGCTATGGCGGCATCGACGCTTGTTGCTGGAGGGTAAGCCTTCCGGACTCTGACCCTATCGTCTGCGTTGATCTCGTGGTTCGCTTCGTTGGAGTCCGTGCCATCCGACAACTCTCTCACAATGCGAGGTCCAATTGGGATTACCGGGGGGTCGTCCTTAGGCTTGGCTGGTCTCCCGAACATCTTCTGGAACCATTTTCTCTTCTTCTCCATATGCAGCTCAATGTCACCCGATTGTTGTTCACTCGCTCTTATCGTCGAATGGGTAGAAGAGGTTCCCGACTCGCTCGCCTGGGCCATTTGGGAGGTGTTGGAAAAGGCATCCTGCGCAATATCCTCTGAAGACTTATTAGAATCGATGGAATCCTGAGGGCCAGACCCCCGTTTTCCAAGCCAGGACCATTTTCGTGCCGCGTTGGATGAAGGTGGGAAAGCCTTCTTCTTTGGCGACCCGGGATTCTCGTGGATCGTGTCAAGTTCTTGTTTGCTGTGTAGCCGCGCATCGTACCCAATGCGATCGTAGGACTCGACCGGGCCGCCTCTCAGCGAATTTATGGGCGTGGCCTTGTTCTTGTGGACTAGAAGGGGCTCAATTTGAGCAAAAGGCGAATTTGGATCTGGAGTTACGACCCGAATGGTGGTGTCTTTTGGCGCCTGAGGGGTCTTCAACTTGACGGGGTCTGACGCTGCTCTAGAGCTATCTTCACGGTTTCGCCTCAAGTTTTCCATGGTGTCGACTGGAGACAGAGAACGGCGATACCTGCTTGGCCCAGCTCCATGTGTTGGATCAGAAGCCGCTCGCTTCTCAAATTGTCTCGCGTTGCCCAACTCGGCATCGATGCGCTTGTCAACAGCAGCTAGCATGTCAGCGAGAACATTCGGGTCAGCATCACCCCATGTTTCAATGATCTTCTGGCGACGCTCCGTCAACTCTTGAAGAATCGGAGTTGCAGGAAGGGGTCGGTCACGAATGCTTTCCGGAACTTTGTAGGCATGTGCTGCGATCGACGTGGCTGATGAGTCCAACGGGGGAGCTGGGCTGACTTCGCTGACTGTAGAGACCGAAGATCGATTGAACGCCTCTTCACAGATCTTGCCGAGCTCAGCACTGACCTTGCGGGTTTCGTCTTTCCAGTAATAGCTGGCCACCCGCGGCTTCTTCACGTCGATGTCTGAGCTGGATTTGCGCGGACGATAGGCTTGCGGGGGAGTTGGCAGACTCGGGTTGCTCTGTGTCTCAGATCTTCCGTTCATAGTCCCACGAGTGCCAGGGCGATCTGCAGCACGAGTGTTTGTCGTACCTGAGGAATTCTGGCGACGGTGTTGGAAGCTGACCTGTCGCTTGTAGCTCATCGACTTTCGGATACCAGGAAGGCGTCTTGTACTTGACAGGGAACTTTTGGATGTCGCTGTGGAATAAGAGGCGCGCTTCTTCTGGATGAGTCTCTCTAGCTCTTCAGATGTGAAACTAGGGATAGCGGGAACATCAGGTCTCAATCTATTCACGGCCTTGTGTCTCACGCTGCCAGCCGAGCTCACAGACCGGCCTCCCGGTGTGGTTGGCCGGTGACGAACAACGACCGTGGGTGGCTCAAGGGCATCTCCCGCAATCGGCGTCCTTGATGCTCGATAAGGATCATAGCTGCTCTGTGTGGCTTTGCTTGCCGCAGTGCCAGGATTCTTGTAGTATCCGTCTCGCCTATTATTGTCGTCACTGACAATCGAGAACTGTGAAGCTCGTCGATGGTGTCCACGGCCATTGTTTGCACGCTTGGGTTTCGGTTTCGGTTTGCTAACATGGTGATAGTCACTGGCTGAGTAGTGGAGGGGGTCGCCCGGGTAGTTCTCAAGCTGATCGTCTCGAAACTTGACCAATGCCCAATAGAAGAGTTTCTCATGGTTTGGCTCATCGCTCATCAACTGTTTTATCAGCTCATCTGGCTTCTTACCATGCCATAGAGTCGACAGGTTCCTCAGGATCTCCATATCAACATCGGAACGTTTGATGACTCGTCGACCTTGCGTCTCGATAGTTAAAGGTGGGGCTGCACCAATGAGCGGTTCGGGCGCCACCATGCTGGCATGATACTTCTCGTATTTCTTGAGAAGTGGGTGTGCCCATATCTCTTCCATTGTGATTCTCTTCTCTGGTCGCTTTTGCAAGATACGCTGGATGAGATCCGAGGCTTCGACACTCAAATTGGGAGGGAGAAAGTACTCTCCTTTCTTGACCAAGCGTAGAGTGTTAGCCAAGGTCCCGCCATCGAACGGCAGGAAGCCGTTGAGCATTGCGTACAGGATGATTCCCGTGCTCCAGATGTCGGCCCGGTCGCCACGGTACTGGTTGCCTTGGATGATCTCAGGCGCGGCATAGTGCGGGCTGCCACATGAGGTGTTCAGCCACGTGCCGTCAGGTTGCAAAGCTGCCATGCCAAAGTCGGCCAACTTGATGTTTCGGTTGCCATCCAGGAGGATGTTCTCCGGTTTGAGGTCGCGGTGACAGATGTTGAAGCGATGACAATATGAAAGACCCGCGATGATCTGGCGGAAAAGTCTGACTGCTTCATCTTCAGGTAGAGCTCCATTGCCCGACACGTAGTCGAACAGCTCACCACCTTCAACATACTCCAGGACCAAGTAAAGTTCGCCACGGTTTTCCCAAATGTCGTAGAGATTGATGATGTTAGGGTGTTCAATCAACTTCATGATGACAACTTCGCGTTCGATACCGAATGGCATTGTCCGAGGGCCTGCTGCGATCATCGAAAGCGTGTCTTCGTCGTCCATACGAGCCATGCTTGCACTTTGCACAAGCGCGGCAGACTTCTTGGACACAATCTTAACCGCTGCAGTTTGGCCAGTCCCTGCGTGCTTTGCCAGACGCACCCGCCCGGTGGCTCCCTTTCCGAGGGTCTTCCCCAGCTGCCATGGTCCGACATGAGTCTTTCTTTTTCCCTTGGCAGTAGCAGAGACGGCTGAGGTTGTTGAGACCTGCGAGTCTCTCTTGCTCTCTGTGGCAATATCGTCTGCTACAGTGGAGAGACGCTTGTTGTCGATGGCGATGACAGGACGTTTGCCTGCGGCCTTCTCGCGAACGGACAAGTTCCCTTCAGGTTTGAGTGACTCGTGATGTGGTAGTCGCGGTGACGAGCCTGCGGGGCCGTGGGCCCGACTGTAGGGTGAGAGGGGTGCAGGTGTCGCTCGAGGTTGGATTTCAGCCAGAGGATTTCTCTTTGTAGATGGTCTCTCTGTCTTAGACTGAAGTGTCGCGGGTCCCCCGGGTCGCGCTGAAGTCTTGAGGGAGGACGACATCATGGGCACGCCCGTTTGATAAACAACCTCAAGCCTGCAACGATGATGTCTCCATCCAACGTGCCTAATCAAGAATTAGTAATAAGAAGAAAGTCGCTTCAGTTGGTGGACGAACGTATGTATCTGATCGCGTTGTTATCGTGAGTATGAGGTGAGTAAAAACTAATGTGATGTAATGAACTGCGAAATCACATGCAAGGTGTTGATGTCAACAAAGCGTTGTATTGGGCCCGTGCCTGAATTCTGCCAGTCCTCTGATGTGAAGTCCGCGTCTTGGTGAACTGTGTGGTTCGCACGACCTCAACCACACTCTCTCCCTGTTCCCTTCTCTTTGTGTCCGTGATTGTGCTTGTCTTCCACCCAGCTCGATGTGATATAATGTTTTGTTTTGGCCAGAGCCGGGAGACTGTTGATGCCAGGCTTGAGATATGATTGGGTCAGGCTGAGGAATGCTGGCGCAGTGGGCGCATTGGGCAATGAGAAATGTTCTAGGTGAGTCCAAAAACCAAGAACCAAGAACCAAGAACCAAAATGGGAGGCGAAGCATCCAAAAAAGAACGACCTGATGGAGCCAACGGAATCTCAATGAAGGAGGATTTGCCTGCACTCGCTACAGAGAACGAAAGGAGGCATTCTGCAAGAGAAGTCGTCAACCGTGGTACAATGGGAGGTGCACCACATTCCTCTGGATAGCAGCTGCCAACCACATCTCTTGAAGATGCTCTGCCGATATGCAGCTCGACATTCTTTTTCATTTTGATACCAAGAGCAACCCGCGCACCGCGCCGCGGACATGGACCTTTGACATGGCAATCGGCAGGGACTGTCTCGCTGACAGCGCGTCAGGGAACCACTGCTTTCCACCATTCAGCTGGACGGCGGCAGTTTATCAAACCTTGTTGAAGCTCGAGGTGCTTTCCACTGGTTTGTTTCACGCACGATGAGCATTGTTGTGATGATCTTGTCGGATGTTGATGGCAGATCACATCCTCACGCAGTGCTACGATGGAAATTCAGGGACAGAGTACCGTGTACTTGGGACACAGCAAAGTGTTTATTGAACCCTATTGCCATTTGGCTATTTCGGGTACCTCCCTGCCTCGGAACGGAGCTGGCCATTCGCCGACCAGGAGCTTAGGGGTGCGTGGCACGTCGTCACCCCATGCCATTGCCTAGCGGCAACAAGAGTGGGGTGACCACAGGGAGCTGTCTCGGGCCCGAACAAAGAGTTATTTTGGTGGGGAGACACCCAGTAGGGGCCCACGGGCCCCAAGGAGCTTACCCTGGCAGCTGTGTGCTTCCCTGTCACCGCCCGGAAATGGCTCAATAGGGCCCAGAGATCGAATCCCAACCAGTCATATCGAGCATAACCTCTCGTAGTGCATGTCTTACGTCGTCTTCCTCAGAAGCTCCCTCACCCCCGCGCATCACCATCTGCTTTGTGCATGTCATAGACTTTGGCCCATCCCCGAATAGCAGGATACGAGTGTGGTTGGTACAACGTCTTTTCGCTTCTGCCTGTTTGAATGATCTCAACCTTATACAACTTCTCTCACCTCCCCTTTCGATTTCCTCTGTTCAACGCTCGGCATCATCGCATTCGACTTGTCCCTACCTGACCCCACCATGAGGTGTGTCTCTCTCGTCTCGGCGGCAGCCGTTGCTGCGGCTTTCGTCATTCCAGATCAGGCTACTTTCGAGTCCCTGTCTATTGAGAACCAGGAGACCGACTATCCTTGCGAACATCCTTTTTGGAACAAAGAGCACCAGGCCGAGTCTTTCTGGGAAGATCTTGAAGAGGAGTTTACAAAGGCTGCTGACTCGGCCAAACACGCATTTGCAGAGCTCGTCGATTTGACACACGACACAGCTGTCAGCTATGGCGAAGATTTCCAGGACGCCTTTGCTGGCGAGGCCTGGTTAGACTCCGCAGAATATGATTTGGATCTGTTTGATGAGCCTCCCCATCACGGTCCGCCGCACCATCCGCCGCACCATGGCCCTCCGGGCAAGAAGCCTCGCCGCCCCCATCACCCCCACCATCGCTCGAATCAGACTATCTGGGAACTGATCTCGAAGAGTAAATATACGACCAAACTAAGCGCTGCCGTCAAGGAGTTTCCAGACCTCGTCGAGCTGCTGAATAGCACTAAAACCAACCACACCATCTTTGCTCCGACAGATCGAGCGTTCGACAAGATCCCCAAGCATGCGCCAAAGCCACCCAAAGAGTTTTTGGAGAAGCTCTTGACATACCACGTCTCGCCTGAATTCTATCCTGCTCCCCGTATCCTGGTCAGCCGGACCATCCCAACTGCTCTCGAAGCCAGGTTCATCGGAAAAGTGCCCCAGCGGCTCTCCACTCAAGTCTCCTTGAGAGGCTTAACTGTCAACTTCTACTCTCGCATCGTCGCCATCGATATCTTTGCAACAAACGGAGTCATCCATGGCATCGACAGCATCCTGCTTCCTCCGCCGAAGGCTGTCGATATCATCTCAGCTCTCCCGGGGGAGTTCAGCACCCTGGACCTTGCTCTGGAGAAGACTGGTCTCTATGCTGCTTTCAACGACACATCAAGCCACTCGGGAGGTACCTTGTTCGCACCCTCCAACTTTGCTTTCAAACGTCTTGGCCCAAAAATCAATGCCTTCCTTTTCAGCAGGTTTGGCCTGAAATATCTGAAAGCCCTGATCTTGTACCATGCTGGTGACAACATCACGCTCTACTCCGACGCCATTTACAAACTCGACGCGGATACCAGCTCAGCACCTCATCACAAGGTGCCCAAGGGATTCATTCATGTGGATCTTCCGACGGGCCTCGAAGGCAAGAGTTTGAGCATTGACATTGCTCGTTTCGGTCGGCTCATAACTATGAAGATCAATGGTTTCAGTCGGGTTGCCGTCCTAGATGGCATTGCCGCTGATGGTGTGATCCATGTTGTTCCCAACGTCCTCATACCACCGAAGACACCTGGTGGAATCGCGGTCGCCGAGGATAACATGGACCTGGATGAATTCAAAGAAAGGCTTGCACCGTTTGTAGAGCCAGACGAGAGCGAGTGGGTCGAGGAAGACCCTGAATTGTAGAGGTGAGAGCTGTTGCGTGTGAGAGAAACAAAAGGCTCACTGAGAACATGCCAAAACCTATATGTACAGGAGTTCAGGGCCAACAATCCAGCTTGGCCGGGGTTGAGCTATCCTCGATGGTTGACGATCGTTATTAGGGCCTATCTATAACAAGTATGAAATCATAAAAGTACCCGCAAGCCGAAGTCTGTCGTTTTCCGCTTCCTTATTGCCATCCTGCCTGTCGACGTTTGAGGTCGATTTTAAAAGTGAGCACCAGTCAACTGCGCCGTGACACTGTCATCGTCGACGTCTACCCCGTCGACAAACCAGCGGCCCTGGATCCCCTCTTCTGGCACCGCAACGCCATCCCCGTTCTTTCCCAGCAGTATATCATTGCCGCTCATATGTCTCTTTCTCATCTTTCCGGTTTCCCGATCGAAGGTCCAATCCTCCAGACCGTAACACCTCTTCCACTTCATTCCATCGTATTTATCCTGATACTCGTACCAGAACTGCACAGCAATCTTATCATCCGTGAAGGCAAACAACTCCTTTCGGAGGCGGTAAGACTGTTCCTTGTCCCACTTCTTGGTGAGCAAGTCGATGATCTCGGCGGTGCCGCGGATGAAGGACGAGCGGTTGCGCCAAATGCAGTCACTCGTGTACCCGTTGGAGACTTTAGCTGGGTCACACGTATTCCACATGTTTTGGGCGAATTTGACCTTTTCTTGCGCGGTCTGTAATGTGTATGGAGGGCGAAGGGCGGCCATTGTGCTTGACAGAGAAGGGGTTGTTGATGGATTCTGGAAAAGAGCTGCACCAAGTATTATAAGCGGCTCTGCTTCTAGAGGATGTTTGTGCGAGATGCGTGCGAGATGCCGGAAAAGACCCTGGATTCCAAGAGCAACAATGGACGAAAGGGAGCTCTAATATACCTCCCAATGATCCACCAAAGGACCAACGAAGGACAGCATCCGCTCAAACATTTGAGTCCCGCCCAGAGCCTGTACATAGTTCAACCCACCTATTACTAAGTACAAGCTCCCGTTGTCGTTAGGTGATCGACCCCCTCTACCTTCAGCCTTATCGAGTTCATCCAACCAGGAACGCATAAGGTCCGTAGGAGTCCAATAATGCCATGACAAACGGTGCAGCTGGCATCAAGTGTCACACCAATCCGTCCCACCCATGCTGGAGGCGGCGATTGAGACCTTCCCAGAGCAGCAAGGGCTGCGCGTCCTCGATCCATCCAGACCGTTCGCAATACAAAGAGTCCCTCCACCGACGGGAGTCGACGGCAGATACTCGAGCCAGTGGCGGCTGAGAAAGTCTGTCAGATCCATTAAGCGGCGCGACGCGCGAGAAACAGCAAGACTGGTATACCTTCTCAGGTTTAGCCTCCTGTAGGCCACACAGGGCCCTGCTTGTCGGCTCTGAGGTCTGGGGTTGGGGGGAAAAGCAGCAGGATGGCATCTAATCCAGCGGCAAGATCCCTTCGTCATCCACGCCTCTGCTAGTGCATAATTTGAAGTCTTAGGGGGGCCACCAGGGGGATTGCCGAGAAACTTGCGGAATTATGTTTCGCCGTGCGTGTGTTTCTTCCGACTGGCTGCGGATGGCGCGGGGCGACGAACATGGGTTAGTGAGGGCTGGTTTACCGCGGTTGATTTGTCAAACGAGGGGCTGCCGCCGCAGTCTGTATTCAATGCAAGGAGCCGTTCAGCACAAACCAGCTCCGTCTCGACGTTGAGCCTATTCTTCCAGACTCTTGGTAATAGGACACCGTGCTCGTCGCGAGATATTTGAACCCGCAGATCACCATCCACCATGTCTGGACTCAAGGCAGGGGACGACTTTCCCCCAGACGTTGTCTTCTCGTGAGTCGTTGTTGCGCCCCTCCAGTTCCTCTGTGAAAAGCTCTGGATCAGATAGTATGCTTACACATTTGTCGCTATACACAGCTACATCCCATATACCCCCGAAAGTGCCGCCATCACCAGCTGTGGCATCCCACAAAACTACAATGCCTCGAAAGAATGGGCAGACAAGAAGGTCGTCTTGTTCGCCGTGCCCGGCGCCTTTACTCCCGGGTGCAGCGTGAGGCACCTGCCCGGTTATATCGATGCCCTCCAAGATATCAAAGGGAAAAAGGTGGACATCGTGGCCGTTTTGGCATACAACGACGCTTTTGTTATGAGCGCCTGGGGCAAGGCAAACGGTATCAAGGATGAGATTGTGAGTCCAACCTCCTGTCCACATACTCTTCCGCTCGGAGAAGGCCGGGACCGAGTCCGTGCTCGAGTCCACGACAAGATGTGATGACTGCTTGCTATATCCGAAGATGACCTTCACTAACTATATTTGCGCGCAAGTTGTTCCTCTCCGACCCCGAAACCAAGTTCTCGAAATCCATCGGCTGGAATCTGGGCGAGCGAACCGCGCGGTATGCAATGATCATCGACCACGGTAAGATCGTTTATGCAGAGAAGGAACCTGGACGAGACGTAACAGTGAGCCCCCCCTCCCAGTCCTTTACTCATGTATTTGCTGCAGTTTGCGATTGGATCCTTCTCCCCAGATCCATGGAGCCGGTAACTTTCCGGTGTGCATAGCTTCACTAGTTCATATGTCTTGTCATGTCTCACTGCGCCGCGGAGATGGCAAGGATGCCCTTTGTCTCATTGTGCAGTTCTCCGAGCTAATACATGCATCTCCTTTCTTCCTTTCTAGGTTTCCAGCGCCGCAGCTGTGCTTGCCAAACTATGACCGACCATGCAGAGCACAATATCTACACCTATCGGCGCACTAGGTGCCCTCAGTCCTATACTTCAAGGGATCGGAAGAGGATGCCCGGACTCGTATCCTGTACCTCAGACAAAGACAGAGAACCTGGGTTTCTCCTCAAGTCTTCTTCAAAGTCTGCACTAGACTGCGGCTGAGAAAAGAAGTAGATCAAGATAGATATAGATACAAGTCGCTGTTGTCCCCTGCGGTTCGACGTTCGATGCCTATACTGATTTGATTGAAGCCTGGAATCTGAGGGAGTCGACGCTTTGGGACTCGAAAGACCTCGGTAGAAAAATTGCTGATACTCGTGACGACGCCAAAACCCGTCACGGCATGCGTAGTAGATCCTCAAAGTCGGGTAACCTTCGTTTCGTCTTCGTCGACTGCCCTGCGTTTTGGGCATCGATTGCGTTGACAATTGTTCCGTCAGGGCCTAGCTCGTAGCCGTCGTAGAGCACAGGGTCCAGATTGGCGGCGTTGGGGAATGCGTCGAATTTGTCGGGCATCACATTGGGGCCGTGCCATTTGTGACGGTGATGATGGATCGGCGACGCCGGAGGTTCCGTCATGGCCGCGGTGAACCTCAGCGCCTCCAGGTCGGCTTGCAGCTGGGCGATTTTGCGGTTCAGTCGGACGATGCTGTCGCTCTGCTTGTTGTACGAGCACAGCAGGTCCTGGTGCTTTTCGTTGAGGGTCTCGAGCTGGCATTCCAGGGCCTTGACGTGTTTCTCTTTCCGCTCGCGGAAGGCCCGTTGCGAGGCGCGGTTCTGTGCTCTCCGACGCTGGCGCTGCTCGTTAGCGAATCATGCGGGGGGACCCTTGCCGGCGAGGAATGGGGTTTCCCTCACCAGTTTTGACGGCGGGACCACCGTCTGTTCGGAGTCTGTAGACGGTTGGGCACTGGCGTCTCTGGCGGTCTGCGGTTTAAAGTCGGTGAGAGTGTCGATGGTGTCGAGATCAGCGGGCTCCCACACGGGGTGGGTGGGGAACATCCCGGGCTCGATGCTGCCATATCGAAACACGTCTCCCATATTCTGTGTTGAGCAAAAATGATCAATACAACATTCATTTCCCGCGGTGGTGTCGCCAGCAGGCTGATAGAGGGGCCCGCTGCGACTTGGAGACCTACATCTGGAGAACTTGAGCTGGATGAGTCGGCCTCCACGAGGGCTTCAAAGTACGAGCCGCGGTGGGCAGCCGGAGGGGCAAAGTAGTCCATGACTGATTGAAGCTTGTCTTTCGTTTGGACGATGAGTGAGTTCGTGCTCTGGAGGTCGGTCTCTGGGAGTCTTGATATTTAGAGTCGGCTGAGTCAATGGCAGTAGGAAATGAGGGTCGACCTCCACTTTATGTTTGCACAATGCCACCGCAGCACCAAGCGTGATTGTTAGGGTTACCCTACGATATGGATTGCCGACTGCGGGCAGATAAACCAGATAAGCCAATCCGGGAACGCCAGGAAGGGGTCTCTGGTTTACATAACGCCGGCATCAGTGTCTGATTGGTGCCTGGTCACCGAAAGGGTGGATAAATCGCAGTGGAAATACCTTTTCGTCGTGGTTTTTTCCCTCGATCGTGAGATTGCCCAATGGATCAATCCTCGTGCGCTGCTGAAAGGGGCTAGGGCCGTGCGCAAGATGTCTCCCTCTAGACCACGTTCGCGCGGCCTGGTGCTGCGAAAAAGGACACTGAGGAGCTGGGGTCTCCGTCGCGCGAGGCAAGTCCAGACAGCGTTCTGAGCGATTCAGGGCTGTTTTGCCGATTCCAAGGCGCCTCAACGGCTGAACTAACAACCTGCACGCTGTCTTTGTAAGAAGCTTGGCAGATTCAAAGGCGGGGATGCCGACACTGACAAAGACTCCCGTGTGTCCAGTCATTGGGACAGACCAACACGCCCACTGATCATGTAAGCGTCGGGGGGCGGCGGTGGGTGACCTGTGACGAACGGTCAGTTGCCGTGGGCTGCAGACTGATCGTGCGTCTGCGGCCGCATCGAGGAGTGCCAGTGGTTGAGGGCTTACAAGGCTTAACAGAGGGGAGGAGCCTCGACGAAGGATCACAGTATTTGGGGCCCAGAACACCAAGCGAGGGGTGTCACTAATTGACTCGCCGCCACACAAACCGCCTACGGAGGCAAATCCCTCCCCGAAATCGCCCAGATGCTCTGAAAAGTGGAACTGTACCTCGTACATGTACTCTGTAATATCGTGACCTACTGTAGGCGTCGGTCAACCGGAATCGACTGTGTGTCTATAGACCCCAAAGTTGTGTTTCCTGCTGATGCTCTCGTTAAACGACCCGCGCATGTTCTCTGAAGGATTTTCTTTGGGATAACGAACACGAGCTTCCAGATATGACGCCGACCCCCGGGCGTGATGTGGGTGGTCAGGGTCGAATGCAGTTTCAGATCGACGAGAGAGATATTCACCGTCCCAACATGTCTATAGAGAGGAAGGGCGGTTGGGGTTATAGCTGAAAGAGGAAGTCTATTGATAACTGGGAAGGCTGAGAGACGCCCTTTGGGGATGTGCAACCCTCTGAAGCACGTCCACATGGGACTGAGTCTCCTGCTATTCGCAGGGAGCACATGTCTAGGGGTCGTGACGGTCTGTTTGGCCCCTGTTTTGGTAGCCGAAGCGTATCCCAGGGGAGTCTCGGACAGCAAATCTGATATACTGGCACAAACCAATAGGTGCTTGTCGGCACAGGGGCTATTCCTTCCGCAGCTTTTGAAGCTTTCACCATCGAGATCCAGGAACCCATTTTGTAACAGCAACTTCTTAGCGAATTGCCCCCACGTTCACCTCCCCGTTTTAGTGACCTTCGCGCCCCACTTTTAGAGTCTTAGTGAGCTTGATGCGGCACTAATCCCAAAAAGGCTATCACCAGGTCCAATCTTCTTGGCTCGTGAAACTCCATCAGATGTGCTGATGCACACTTCTCACTCCCTCTCCCACTTCACCTGGCCTGAGCATCCCGAGATCCTTCCTGACGCTCCCATCCGCTGCTCGTCAGTCATTTCCTTCGCAGCTCACTTTCAGCAAAAGGAGTATCGCCTTGCGAGCCCGTTGGCGCCGCAGCATATTGGTAGTTTCTCCCCCATTCGCGCCACCACCGGTACCTGTATGCACAACATTGAAGGCACCACGGCAAGAATAGCAATCCTTAATTCCGGCGTCATTCGGCGTGAGACGACGAAAGATTTAGCGTTCGGCCTCTGCGTGGCCTCTCAGCCATGCTAATTGATCCGTGGCACTAGCATCTCGTCATCTCTGCCGCCACAATATTGCTACGGCCATCGGGCAAGCGGTGTTCGACCTCACAAAACGACATCCATGAATGGTGGCTTCTTAGCCCCCACCAGCACCACTATATCGCAGTATTAGTCTATAACCCGATGACCGCATCGGTACCTTATCACTCTCCAGCATGATACGCTGGGCATCATTATGCCTGCTGCCAAACACCAGGTTTCCAATGCATTCACCTTCCTAAATTACGACAATCCCGACCATAGCGCCTCCCACCGAAGGTTGGTCAAGTCGCATATCTCAAGCAAATACCGGGCTTCCATCCGCCAGCAGACTCAGCCTCGCTACGCATTACCATGTCAAGCCAGGAACGCCCAGGACCAGGACTCACTGCCCAAGTCCAGGCGCAAGAAGCCACAGACCTCACCCCAGTCTGACGGATCCTCAAGTTGCCGATGGTCTCGCGCGCCTTCTCCGCTCGAAGTCGGTTTCGGCGGTATACGGATGGACCCATTTAGATCCTTGCCAGGTCAAGCAACACCTTGCGTCTCCCAGGCCCTCGACTACTACACTCAGAAGATTTCGCCCCTCATGCAGCCATTGTTTCAGACGATCAAGATGGCCAACCCACTGATGATCTGGATGTTTCCGTTGATCCTGTCTCACGAAAGTGCGTACCATGGAGCTGTGGCATTGTCCCAGGCGTATCTGGAAAAGTGCCGAGCACCGACGCGCGAGGCATCTGCGGAAGTCAAATTCCATCGAAGAAAAGCCGTGTCAATTCTGTGTGACCAACTGGCCGATCTTCGCGGCCCTCCCGACGACGGTGTGCTCATGACCGTGCTAGCTCTGGCGTGCTTTGATGTTTTGTATGGCGAAGACAGAATCGCCAATCGCAAAGGACTGGCACTCATCGTTGCGCTGAAGGGAGGACTTGACAACTTGGGGCTGCGCGGCCTCGTGAAAGCTTTTCTGGTGCAATCTGACTACTTCTGGATGCTCGAGACCGGTGCAGAGACCATCTTTCCCTTCACAAAACGCAAGAACAGGAGAATATACCCTCAACGACCATTCAAAGATGATCTTCTGCTGCTCCTCCGAACACTACCCCCGGGCCTTGCCGCAATCGGTCGCCAGGGCACCTTAGGCTTGGATACCATCCGGATTCTTTCAAGGGTCAACATGTTTCTCCGATCCAAGCTCGCTGAGATCCCACCTCCGGTAGAAGAAGATCTTGTGTCAGAGGGCAAGGATTATCTGGACCTTCTTGAAGTATGCGCCTGTCTCCAATCATCCACTGACACCGAGCATAGCTTAGAGAAGAACTTGATGCTCGCGGTGATCATGTTCGGTTTCGACATGCATGATCCCAACGGGTCATTTTCCCGAGTCGCGGCGTATCGAGGCTCCAGGCAAGAGTTGACTCGGTCGCTTCCCTTCACGCAGACGCGGAGCCCGGAGGAGAGAGCCTGCTTGATTTGGATCACGATGATTGTCATGAGATCTTGGGGCTTGGAGACTCCACTTGCTGCTCAAGCGATAGCCCTTGGCCGAAGCTTCTTTGCACAGTTCACGGAAGCGAGATCCTGGGACGCTGTTGAGTCTGCAATGCGTTGCTTCTTCTGGTACGAGCCACTTGCAGACGGCTTGATAAGCAGCTGGCTACAAGCCTTGACCACACATGAGAAAGAATTGGCCGTGACAGACTCCATGGGCGTCACAGGCAAACGGCAACCGGGTCTCGCCTGCTCACTCCGCCCAGTCGAGGACGGGGACTACCTACAGGAGCCCGTAGATGAGAATGCTGTCGTCCATCTGCCACCCATGTTGACATTAGATAAGTACCTGATAGAGGTTCAGTTACGGTAAAGAAGATGTATATGCGTCGGGCATCCACGTGGGGAACCATAGTCATAAAGCGTATGCGTTGCCGCTTTAACCCGCAAAATAAATTCTCCTCGGTTTCCCCAAATTCGACTTCAACGCGCACCGCGCTCTGGTGAACCTCTGTCCACGTTTCAATGGCTCCGCCAACACAGAAAGCCGGGCAAAAGCGCAAGGTCGCCTTTGACCAGCCTGGCCAGTCCTCGGCGGCGCGCAAACGGCAAAAAAATCATGATGCTCGAGCGATTCCCGTGCAGCGCCCGGAGGCGGTCGTGTCGGCGAGCGGGGAACTCAATGTGGCTTCCTTCATCAAGGCTCGGGAGTTCGAGATCGGTGCTTTGGAGAAGAGCATGCGCAAGGCAAAGAAGCAATTGTCTACACGAGCGTTTCAACAGGTCCCCAGGCATATGAGACGGAGGACGGCCAGTCACAATGCCAAAAAGGTGCCGCGACGGCTGCGGAGGAGGGCCGAACGTGAGGTTGGCGGTGCCCTTATCTTCGACTCGTGCACCAGATGCCGGCGTACTGACAGGCGCTGACCAGGAGGACTATAGATGAAAGACGACAACACTCCTACCGTCACGAAGCGGACGCGGACTCCCTCGCGAAGGCTGAGGCTGCGGTTAGAAACGGCCAAATCCCTCAAAATGCTCACCCAGAAGCACAAGACGGTGCGTCAGAGGAAAAAAGAGGCCAAGGCCAACGCTCAGCAGCCCGATCCTGCAAACCACGTCCTGACGGCGCGTGTGCCACGATTGAAGAAGAACAGGTTGGCTCAGCCGCCCACAGCGACGACGAAATACAAGAGGAGGCAGGTCGACAAGACATGGCTGCCAACGCACCTGTGGCATACCAAACGCGCGCATATGACTCGGCCTACGGAGCCGCTGTGGAGAATGTCCATCCCGCTGAGCCCTACGGAGAAGAGTTATAGACCGAGTCATCGAGCTGCTGGCACCCAGGGATGTATAGCCTGGGACACCAGCTATATGTCTACAGTTGCCTGTCTGGGAACAGAGACGGCACTCGACAACATGCTGAAGGCACTTTCATTCGCCCCACAAGGGCTCTCACCGGCTATGCACAAGAAGTGGAAGGCTGGAACCCGGTTTGCTCACGGATGGATTTCAGAACGGGACAACGGAAAGCGCCCTATTTCGCCGGTAACGGTGATCTGGTTCGAACACCAGCGGAACGATGCAACGAGCCCGAAGGATGGTCAGAGCGAAGATAAGATGGAAATTGAGCTCGTCGATCAGTCCCACGTTACCACTAACCAGGAGCAAATGAAGGTCGACAAGGGCGACATAGAGCAGTCTGCAATTCCAAAGACCAAGAAGAAGGCGGCAAAACGGAAGACGAAACTTAGCCACCAAATCCTCATCCGAATCCATCCATCTGCATTCTATCAGTGCTGGCAGGAGCTGATGAAGGTCGCCAAAATGCAGAAGCCGCAGGTTCTGATTGAAGATCTGCGATTTGAGATCGGAAGTATTGAGGTCCAAGGTCCCGGCTCAACCGAGGCCTTACTGGGTGTGATTCGTGCTTTTCCCGCACATACTGAAGCTGCCGAGGCGACTTCGTCGTTGTGGGCGTCCCTCGCTGGACTCAACAACCCCAGTATCCTGCCGCAGAACGCGCTGCTCGCATTCGATACGGTCGATCCCAGGCTCAATCATCCGCCCAAGCCGATCAAGATTCCCAGCGCCTCGGAACAAACTCTACTGGATGAGATCCTCGTTTCCTGGCCGCCCGACAAGCGGCCGAAGTATTCCGCGTTACTATCGCACAAGGCGCGCTGGCGGATCCGCAACACCCTGCCGTCCCAAAAAGCGATCAATCGACGGAGAGCACTCGCACCACCGGGCCATGCACCATCGGCCACGGCCAAGGATCCTCGAATCCCGGTCATCGTTCTCGCGTCCAGAGCGGAGGGTAGTGCTGCCAAAAACTCCCAAGGGACGTGGACTGTTCTCCTCCCCTGGACGTGCGTCGACCCAGTGTGGCGCTCATTGATGTTCTACCCTTTGTCGACCGGTGGCACTCCACGCTTCGGGGGTCTACGTCAGAAACAGCAGCTGTTGTTTGAGCATAAAATACCGTGGTTCCCAGGAGATTTGCCCGGCACCGAGGCGGGCAAAGCTTGGGAGCGCTCTGAAAGTGAAAAGAGGTTTGATTCGTGGATCAGGCGACCTCCGAAGCATAGAGTTGCCTGGGATACTTTGGACCTGGGTTTGGGAAGGCGCGGTGAGCTCGGAAGAGGTTGGTCTTGTGATTGGGAGTATTTGTTTGAGACCACCAAAGATCCAGCGCTAATAAAAACCACGCCTCATTCGGAGTTAGCCAAAAGCGTCTCTGCTCAGACGACGGCGGCGCCATTGCTTACACAGCGACAGCGAAAAGCGGCCAAATCTCAAGCAGCAAAAGAAGCCGACGAGAAAGATTCAAGTCGTCGACGAAATACATCGAGTCCGGAAAGTGAAGGGGAGCCGGATATTGTACCGGAACTTGTAGAAGAGGTCCAATTTACCCAACTGTTGCCGGGACAGAGTGTATCCCTGTTGAAACAGCCCACGCACATCACATTCCCACCATGTCCTGTACTGGTTACAGTTCGGATCACCTTGCTCGATAAAGGGACACCGTCTCCAGCTGCGCGAATCTATCGCCTTCCATCATTGCCAAAACCAGGATCAACAGCTTGTTCTACTGAATCAGTGGCACTTGAGGCGGACAGATCTCAGCAGACCCAGCCACAGAGCTGGAGCTCTGACGGGCCACCGCCCGGGCAACGTCCTCCCACAATAAGTCAGACGGAAACGCCAACATCGTCAGTCACCGCTGCTCGCGACCTTCGCTCCCGCTGGCTTGCTCTCGACAACCATTTCGACGCACACGCACGAAGCGGTCATTCTCGAATCTCCAAGATCAAGACCAACAAATTCTCCATCCCCCGTCACCACGCCAGCTACCCACATGAATCACTCGCCAAAATCAATGTGCTGCCCAAGAATGCTGCTGAAGAGATTGTGAAGAATTTCGGACCGGACAGTGCTTTTGGGAGAGGGGACGGGGAGATACCCAAGGAGGAGCCACCGCCTCCCAAGGAGAAGCACAAAGGCAAAGGAAGAGGCAAGGAGAAGAAGGCAGTCTCTACGTTAGAGGATGGCGAAGTACTGGCAAACCCTCTTGACCACGCTACTGAGAACATGGAAGACCTGGCGCCCCTCATGATCGACCCATTCAATGAACCGACAGAATGGGATAAACACGTGCCCTGTCCCGACCCGCGCGACCTCATTGGTTTCATCACGAGTGGTGGGTACAATCTGGCTGAAGGTCGGGGCACGGCTGTGGGGAGCATTTGGGGCCAACGGGTGATTGAGGGATGGCAAGAAGAGTCTAAGCCGGATGACGGCCTGAGCGAAAAGCAAAAGGACCGGCAAAGGAGGCTCTGTATTGTGCGTAACGTCGGCGAGAGTATCGGACGACTGGGTGTTTGGGAGCTTTGTGGCTGAATGGCATGGCAATCCACCGGTCACTTTGCGTCTGGGGAGGATCTGTTCCTGAGGAAGCAGGACTCGGCTCACGCTATCAATGCATGATCTGGCAACACGACCTAGATAGATCGCCAGCATCGGGCGATCGACCGCCTCTGCCATTTCAGCCTCGTCCCTGCTCTGCACGAGTGCCAGATCATTGTATCCTTTCAGCCTTACGTATTATGTACTCCGTACCTCGTACACAAGGGTTTACCTAATCTTTGTGTAACACACTGCATCGTTAGTCTCTACGAGAGGAGAGAGACACACCCACACCCACACAGAATGACGAGCTGGACAGGCTAAGCGCAACTTTTAGTGCGGATATCCAATCCATCCCTGGGTACCGAGTACGGTAACCTAGGTAAGTAGTGGGTACAGGACCATCTGCAATGCACTTTTAGTCTCTCCCGGCCCTCAAGTGATGCACCTGGCTGCACTGCACTTTTAGTCTCTCCGAGTTCAACGAGGGGAAGGACAAGTTAAGGGGCATGCCACATACAACACTGTACTTTTAGTCTTCATCACTCCTTGTGGGAAAGTACGCCTAGCCGCTCTTCCCCGGGTGTGGCTGTGGGCTAGTGGGCTGAGACTGAGAGCTCACTAGGCGTCGTCGTTGTCTAATAGATACTCGCTCATATGGAATAAAAGTGCAGTGCTGGTCAGTCGAGGTAAGGCTGACACTGTTCGATCCTGTTCTCCGAGTAATTGTGGGTGGCATGACACTGCAGTTTTGGTCTCTCCCGGTGATTGACGCAGGACGAAAAGTCGACAGGTTCTAGTCCCGAACCGCCTGGCGGCTCTCAGACTCCATGACTCCTTGTGGGAAAATACCACTAGCGTACCTAGTTTCGGGCGTGGTGGAGGCTGAGTGCTCCGGCCATGTACTGCAATTTTAGTCTTTCCGAACGCCTGACGGAGCCAGAGAGGGGGAAAGAGGAAGGTTCTCGGAATTTTTGCTGCGATTTTTAGTCCCCACAGACAGACAAAGAGAGAGAGGGGAGGGAAGAGGGGGAGAGAGAGAGAGAGAGAGAGAGAGTGTGTGTGTGTGTGTGTGTGTATGAGGGTGTGTGTGGTGGGAAAGAAGTCAATCAATCCATTGACTAGCTAGTTTCATGCTCCTTCTCCTGCTCCAGACTGGAGCACATATGGTTGCACCTACAGTATATGTAATATGTGTCCTCGGCGCACCCGGATTCCCATGGAAAGAACATGATTCCTCGACTTTCCTCTACGGAGTCCACACACGTAGCTAGCTGACGAGTTGCAGGCTACCCAATAAATACCCTATGACAGCGCCAGTGCCAGCGTGCTGCCAACTTTACATACTCCCCAAACCACGATGGCAACACATGGCAACACAAGTCCCAGTCTTGGGCATGGGTCGGTCAGAGGACTTCAGTCGTACGAACATGGAGAACTTCTGCGATCGAACTCGAGTGGTAGGCAGCCTTATCAGTCGAGATGGGACTCGGCTCTCATTCATGCCATGCCATGGCAAGCATGCTTCTTGTTTCTAGTCATCATGGTTCTCTGACTCTATTTTGTACAAAAGAGCTAAATAGGGACTGCCAGGACAAACAAGAGGGTATCGTAACTCCTTCCCGGCCTAACAGCTCGGAAACCCAGACCGCTATCCACAAGGGCTCCATATCAGAAACTGTCGCCATGACATATGTCAAGAGAACCCAACTTGTTCTCTTCCTTCATTTAGGTCATGAGATCTCGGGTCTTATAAACCCCTTCCACGCTGGTGTGGTGTATGGTATATGCTCCGCTTCCTTCCATGCTTGGGGCAGAAGCTGGCCCCTTCGATATTAAACCGCAGTATCATGTCCACGTCAACTCCCTCCGCCGGTGGGGCACATTCACACACAGAGATTTAGATCGCATAATTCTCCGCATGCAAGAATAGTTCATCCTTACCCGAGTCTTTCCATATCTCACTCTGTAACCGCGCCACAGTGTTCGCCACGTCGGTCCTCATCTCCGGGGGTCCGCAGACATAGACGCACGTCCGGCGTCCAAATTCCTTGCTCAATCCCTTGAGCATGTACGGAATGTCGGGTCTTCCGTACTCGGTCCGCCAGCCATCTCGTCGCTGAGATGTGACGTTTGTAGGGAGAAAGGCGAATCGCATGAGGTTCTTTTGGAACTTCGTCGGCGTTTGAGGGAAACCGAAGTCGAAGGACCGTGTAGCTTCGATCTGTGCTTGGGAGATGGTTGATACGCGTTTGTCAACCGGGGGCGGTGGAAAGTATGGTTGTGCCTGTTCACTGTCAGGTGGCGCCAGGTGACGAGGAGCAGCGACATAGGCTTGTGGGAGTGCGGTGATGATATCTTCAAATTCGCGCTTGAGGTCCGGTTCTTGATCCATCATCACCAGGGCCGAGTTGCGCTTGGACCCTCCCGTGGCCTTGTCGAGGACGTCAGCGACCTTGTCCCTGATACCACTCAGGCGGTGTTCCTTGACCTCTGGCAAGGGTTCGTATCGTTTGGCTGCCGTAATGAAGAAATGGCATTGCACCGAACCCGGCGGAGCGCATTCTCGGCATATCCGAAGCTCTTCCTTGAACCACTCCATAATGTCGGGCCGCTTCATGGCCCAGACGACGTGCACTTTGGACGTGGTGGCCTTGCCGTCGCGCATGCGTTTGATCAGGTCGAGTAACTGGCTCGCAATGGCAGTGATGCCGCTTCCGCCGGCGAAGAAGATGACCTGGTCGAACGAGGCCATTTGCCGCTGCATGCCGCCGTAGGGCCCTTCGACGAAAGCCCGATAAGTCTTGTAAGGCCCCTTCTTGATTGAAGTGTCCAGGACTTTGCGGGTAAAGCCCGAGAACGGTCGAAAGACCAAAGTCATGTCTCGGTACTGCTCGCCGTATTCAGAGGGGAAGTCTTCACTGCAAAGTGATGCGATGGTGAAGGGGTGATTCTCCAAGAGAGCAATGCCAGGCATCCTCAAGTAGGCGTACTGGCCCGGACGCCACCGCTTCTGCGTGGGGATGGTGACCTTGATGGCATTCTCAGGCAGAATGGTGACGGCCGACTCCTCTCCGATGAGCCATGATGATCGGAACGGGTTCATCCAGTTCAAGAAGAAGACCCGGGTGAGCAGCGATACGAGCATCAGCGCCACAGTCGAGTAGAGATACGCCCATGATGTCAAGTAGTTGTGGCAGTGCCAGAACATGAGGCCAATGAAGGCCCAGGCCACTGGAATATGCAAGAGGACGAAGAGCTCGTATGCTTTGTGTCGCAGAATGGGAATGGAGTGGAGCGTGAGGAAGATCAGGGGAGCGATAGCTGCGATACCCGTCGTGTAGACCCAGTATTGCGGGCTGAAATAGAGTTTGAACGTTGCAAAGCCAGCGGGATCCGTGACCGATTGGTACCAGTAGGGGACAGCATGGATGACGGCAAAGATGACACATAGATACGCTGTCCAGCGGTGGAGTACAATAAGTCGTTCCGCTCCAATCCCAGTCATGAAAGCCACGGGGTTCGCCTTGTTGGCCAGCATGACCACCCATGGGAGCAACGAGACAGACATCATCCCGGCCCGGACTGCCAGCGGAGGAGATCCGTATGACATGGACGCGTAAAAGAGTGGACTGGGGAGGAAACAGTAGAGCAAGGACGACACCAGGCATATAGCCATGACCACGACAACTCCCAGGGAAGGGAACGTGAATGTCCACTTGCCCAGCCTGATAGCTGGGATGGGTCTGTAGAAGACCCATCGAAATAGGGCGATCGTGATGTTGAGGGGTGCAATGGCTGAGACGGCTGCTTGTTGCTGTGCCTTCTCGGCCACCAGCGGTCCCGAGGACGGGAAGAAATGTCTCGTCGACCCATCTGTCCCGGCACTTATGGCGCTGGGCAGTTCGTAATCGCCAAACCCTTGGTTCGGCGACACACCCAACGGGCTGACCGTCGAGGCAGAGTTGATGACTTCTTCTTTGTACAGAGCGGTTCGGATCTTGTCGCCCCAGTAGTAGTACAGCCGCTTGATCGTTGTGGACACCACCAGGATGATCCCGATGTAAACGAAAATGAGGCCATACTTGCCGGCTTGGTTGAAGGGATCATGTTGGATAGCAGCAATAAGGTCGGGAGGCGTTGTGCTGTTTATCGGGATGTTGACTCTCTTGACCAATTCCTTCACACTCTGCTCAATCCCTTTTCCTGCCAACTGCGCCAATGCTTCGGACGACACTGACGGCATCTTTGCTTTGCGCGAAATACCTCTTCCACACCTGACAGCTGGTCCAGCAGTGTAAGGGAAGGGGGGAATAGTGGTGAGAAGCGGTCTCGTCAAGAGACACTCGCTGGGATGACCGTGTACGGGGGCGGAGGGAAGAGAGGCCTGCGGTCAGACCGTCGAATCTATTGGATGTCTGTTCGTCTTCGCACAGTGGTCATGGATTTCGAGACCGCTCAGTGGACCCGCCTTCTGAGATATGCAGTTTTTCTTTTCGCGCAAAAAGGTTGGTAAGAAGAGAAAGCCTGCTCTCTCAAGAAGAAGGGAACGACTGGGAGCGAGTGTAAGGAATGGAAGAACAGAGGAACCCGAAGCCTCTGGGACGTTGGGGAGGGAGGGACGGGGAGGAGGGGGCGAAAGCTGCGATATAGAACTCTGGGATCATGCGGGAGAAGACATCGTCCAGCGTGAAAGAACCGACTTGGGTGGTGGTGGTGGTGATGAGAAGCAACGGCCGCGCGTGCGAGAGCGATTTGCGCACCCCGCTACTCACTCTCCTCACAGTGATATCGACCCAAAAGAGTAACCACAGTAGCAGCTTCGGGTTGAGAGCAGCAATAGTTGCATTGGGAGAGCAGAGCTATCGAGCTCTGGAGGCCGCGAAGAGTCTTGCATCTCGTGGACGCTGGTGCATCTCAGCGGTACGGAGGGAGAGTCAGCGCTTCGACGAGAGCTTGCATTGGTTGTGCGGTGAGACCAGAAGTGGCCTACATGGTGGCGTCCCAGTAGACCAAGTGGAGATCTGGAGCGGACCGAGACCCCTCTTCTGAAGCAGTCACACAGCACGGTAGACGAATAAGAGACGCAGATGGAGGGAAAAGCACGACGAAATGCATCGCAGGAGAGGCAGTGATTGGAGAAGAAAGGTGATAAGCCAGGAACAGCTGCAGTTGAGGATGCAGGGAAGATCAGCTTTGGGTGGTCCGGAAGGACTGTTACCTGGTCTAGGCGGCCTCTAGGCGCACTAGGCCCTCCTCGGTAGGCCAGGCTAAGCGAATGGGAGGCCTTAGAGCGTTGCCGCCCAGGTGTGACGACCTGTGGCTGGACCCGGGAAGTGCTTGCAGCCCGCCAATCGCCCGACTAGCTTGCGATACTGCAGGAACCCCGTCACCCAACCACCGCACAGCATCCAACTCCCATCAACTCATTGCCCACCTTGGCTGACTTTGTCTCCCCACACACCCACTTGTCGAAGGGAAACAATTGCACTCTGCAGAGTGATACGGAAACATCGGCACGGTACGATTGCAAAACGTCGACGGACCCTTCCTCTACCAAGTGCAAGCAAGCACGTTACGAATACTCGGAGGGTTATACACGTTGTGCTGAAAGAGATTGGATTGCCATCGCCAAGTGATTGATATTTTCCGAACTCTCTGTTGGATTACTCGTACCCGAGGCGAGGTGATGGACCCTGGCCCCTCAGCCGTCGATCTTTCGTAAGGTCGTTCCCATGCTCAGAGTCACTTCTGACCAATGAAATCGCGCTTATGGTTACCTTCGAGATGACAGCTGGATACCGACAAGGTCGCGGCAAGAGCGGCAATCGAGTTGCAACTGTCGGACTATGGTCTGCCTTTTCGAGTCAAGAAGTATACAAAACTACTTGTTCCAGAGTCTTCAGAAGAGAAGGATGGGCGTGCTCCACGACTGCGCCAGTGTTCGGGACATCGTGTCCATACATTGTGCCGTCACCGTTCACCAACATGGTCAAGTTGTTATCTGGTTGTTCACATGCTAAGCCTAGGGCCACCCTTCGTTCGCGTCGTGGGATATAAGCCGCCACCCAAAAGTTCGATGCAGAGGGAAACAAACTTTCAGAGCTGGCGCAACCCGTTTGCCGGCTTATGTGTGACAGTGACACGTTGCAATCATCTCCTGATCCCCCATTTGCAGACATCGGTCTCTCAGAAGACAGAATTTTCAGCTGAGGCGTCCCTCCATGTGCTCGCAGCTGCAAAAAGGACTGGATTGCCCAGTCGCTCTTTCGTCTGGGAAGAGCCGTGCTGGACGCCCTGAGATAGCCCGTTATGTTGCCAGAAGCACGAACACTGTAACGATGCGAATCTTGAGAACTGAAGACGCTTGGTCACCGAGGCTGACGTCGTCCTTCAGCGTAAGATAGATCGGAGAAGTGTCTAGTCTTCGACCCCTGGTGACACTTGATCCGCACTTAGCTAATAAAGTATCCGAAAATTCCAAGTCCCGGAGATCTGATCCCGGGGTCCAAATTGGATGCATTTCAACATGTCTCCAGACTGTGGAAGGCTGCAGAACCTACGAGTACTCGTAGACGCTGGAGCTAGGCTGGAAAAGGGCTCCCCGTAATATCAAAATATCAACAACCAACGCAAGGCTGGCGTGCCGCAATATTAGGGGCTAAAAGCTGCAAAGCCTTTTCTTTAAGCGCCCATCTCACCAACCCTGTTGTTGCTTAAAAAAGAATCCAATTTGAACTAGACTTTGCATTGGTTGACGACCAGTAGGCCCCTGGTATTCTTAATTCTCCACGTTTGCGTGGTCCACCAGATGGGCGTCGGAGACGATGCAAGGAGGAGCAGCCAGCTTCTGGATAGGAGACAAATCCAAGTGCGAGGTGAAGCGCTTCTCCCAAGCCACAGTGCAGATCTTGCCCTACACTGAGGGGCACGATAGGGGCGGGAATAGATTTATATGCATCGGATCTCCACAAAAGCCGTTCCCCTGATGCCGGTGATTTTGAGGCATTTGATCAAGCCGCCGTGCAGACCAGGCCATACGAGAGACATGGATCAATTTTGCCTCAACCTCAAAAGCGCTGGTGGCTTGTCCAAAGCTCTCAAATCCCTCTAGAGATGATCTCGTCGAGAATGTTGCTCATAGATAGGACAAAAGCCATCATAGCGTGCTGCATCTCAATAGACCCTAGGCCTGAACGGAGTGAGCATGTCCATTCTTGCCATGCCATCAGCAAGCTGGGCAATTCCACCAGCTCGGGTCGCTCTTGAATATTGAATCCGGGCGACAACAGATTACATCGTGGCGCGAGTGTGAGTCTCGGTGACTCGGTCGACTGTCATCCCGCTTCAGTGCCCTCGACCACTTTCGCCCTGATGATCTTGACCTCCTCCAGGGGTCTGTCTTCGGTGTTGGTTTTGACGAGCCCCATGCGCTGCACGACCTTCATTCCGCTCTTGACTCTTCCGAAAATTGTGTGTTTCCCGTCCAGCCACGGGGTCGGCGCCAGGGTGATGAAGAATTGACTCCCGTTCGTGTCTTTCCCGCTGTTAGCCATGCTAAGCACACCGGCACCGGTATGCTTCAAGGATGGGCTGATCTCGTCGGCGAACTTTTCACCGTAGATGCTCGAGCCGCCCCGGCCAGTCCCTGTAGGATCGCCCGTTTGGATCATGAAGTTGGGGATGATGCGATGGAAGATGACATTGTTATAGTATCCCCGTTGGGCCAAGGTGGAGAAGTTCTTGCAGGTTCTGGGTGCATGGTCGTTGTAGAGCTCGACGGTGATTGCGCCCTGAATCTGGTTAGTCCTCGAGATGCAGCAGGTTACCGGGCGAAAGTCCTACCATTGTCGTTTCAAGGACCACGTCGGTCGCCATGCTCGACTGTTTTGGGTATTGAGAACTTGCGACTGGGGGGGAGGTCTAGTCGTGTTCCATGTCACGCATCAATCGTCGACGTATAAGGAGGAGGTGCTTGGGGCACTGGAATGCCCAAAAAACTCCAGGGCTTCAATATCGGGATTTCCCAAATGGGCGCTCCGGCTTGGCGGCTTGGCGTCATGTGTCAGTGGGGGCGCCTCTTCTCGTCAACCCCGCTTTATGCATTTCTATCTCAGAATCTACCACTCTTTACCTAGGTAAAGGTCGGCAGATAGCGACATTGACAACTGCAGCCGTAGCACTCACTGTCTCCCAGGCACTTCACGCCTTGAATTCTTTGGCTGCAACGTGAACCATGGCCAAATTCTTCAGATCCTTTGCCCCCCTGAGGAGAGGAACATTCTCCTTAAAGGACTGGGTCTCCCTGTACTTCATGTGCGAATCGACGCTCTCCCACCCAATGAGTTCAACATAAACCTTGGCCTTCTCTGAGGTCTTGGGGTCTTCGAGCTCTTCTGCGACCCAACCGCCGGCTGTTCCTCGGCATCCTTCCCAATCGCGATTGACGTTACTGCCGAACTTCTTCATGCCTTCGTGAAAAGTCTTCTGGTCCTCAGCCGAGTAGTCGGCAGGAAAGTAAATCATGATGAACTCGGTGACCTCTGAGAAGGCCGGAGTGGGCGGGAATGGCTCGAAATGGACATGATAAAGATTGGGGGGTTCGGCACACTGGGTCACAGCGTCGTCTAGGAAGGCTTTATATCCGCTGTCTCGTCGTCAGTAGAGGTGCAATCTGGCCAAGCCCGACGATCTTACTCCCACTGGATAAACTTTTCATGATGGCCAATACTGGTCCAGTCGATGAACAAGTTGTGAACATTAGGGTGTTCGACCTGGGCGCCTGAATAGATGCGCAATGGTTGACCATGCTTCTGGATGGTTTCAATCGTGGCCTTCAACTTCTGCGGATCGCTCCCTTCTTTGAGGGGCAAGAAGACAACTTCTGTCGCATGGGCCATATCGTCGAGCAAGATATTGGTTTGCTGGCTCGTCAGAAAAGACAAGTCTCTCGAATCAACTTATCTGGAGAACAGCAATTCGTCACCGGGTCACGATGCTTTAAGGTATCCGGTATTTATAGGTGGAGGAGATGACTAATCCACTCCTATAAACTCCACCACGATGGCCGTACCTAGACTAATTACTCGAGAACGAAAAACCTAATTGCCATTCACGGTTTGATCCTAGAGGGTGAGCGAAGCCCGCTTTAACCCGAGGTTTAACTGAGCTGTCAGTTAAACAACTCTAAGCGCTCTCTGAGTGGTCCCTAAGCAGGGCAAATAGAGATTGCACATAGCAATGTGTCATACTCTGGTGAATTCTCCTACAAACCGTGGGTGCGCATGCTACCGAAGATGGCGGGCGTTTTTCCACTCCTTAAAACCCGAGCTGCGGCGGTGCAATCCTGAGCTCGGCTTAGGCGGCTCTGAGGAAGCCTTTGAGCGGCCTAAGCGCAGCCCGGGGCCCGGGTAGAAGTGCTCAGGGAATGATTCCACAGCTAAGTTTCGGCTCACTAGGCCAAGCCTGATGCCTGTCCGAGGCAAGTGGGAGATGAACGCTGATTCTTCAACCCGACGAAAGAGATAAAGAACGACTGTCTCTGTAATGCAATGCGCTGCTTTCCCACCGGCCACGAGATTCTTCAAAAAAGGCTGTGTAAGTAGCCTTAGATCTTTGGTTACGATGAGAATCTATAACCATCGTCATCACCTCGCCCCTTGTCAAAAGCAAATTATTGATGTAAGGTATGGGAATCAGAAATCAAATCGGCTCGAAACCGCGTGTTTTTACACTGCTCTTATGTCCACTAAGCTAAACGGCAGTGGCCGGGTACAGGTCTGGGCTCACCATTGTTTGAGCACACAATTCACTATAGTCCCTATGGTGAGCAGGGTATTACCTGACAACTCAACTATAACTTTTGCTTGGAGAGGGGAATGGGTTGAGGAGGGATAAGACTTCTTGCATAAATAGTTGCAAAGCTCCTGAAGGGCGTCCCCGCCAACAGGCTTCCCCGCATTACGCCCCTGGCTGAACGCTAGGCCAGCAGTTCAGCGTTAAATAGTTTGCGGGGGCACAACTCTCACTAGGGATGGTAAAATCCGAACCAGTGTGTTTCCTTTCGGTCTCGGACGTCGATCACTATGCGGTGTAGCTATACACCTTGATCTTTATGATCTGTCTTTTGAACCTAGCTAGGTGGATTCTCCGCAAGATTGACGCGAGAAGAAGAGAAGAGGAGAGAAGACGGCATGAAGAGCACTGTTTGTATTGTGTTTTCTTTGTGTGGGAACTGTCCGTTGCTTTGTGCAAGCTCTTGAGACATGTCACAGTTGTGCAGGTACTCCGAGTGTCCGACAGCAGGTATGCTCTACCACCAGCTTTACAACTCGGGCCAACTGCAGGAATTTTATCTCCGTCAAGTCAATCCTAGAGGCCGGATAGGGAAACACTCAGCTTCAAGAATCCCAGAAAATTAGATGACGGACTGGTGATGAAACAGGTCCCCACTCTGGTCAATAAAGCGATTCTCCCAAAACCTATCGCGGACAGCATGGAGATCACATACTATCTCTTTGCGTTGTACCTAAGCCTGTGACCTCCACAACACGCCGCCACGATCAGGAAATTGATCCAAGAGCTGCATGAGATCAGTTTCCTGGATCTGGCGTTCTTCAAACCGCGACATCAGGCCGGGATAAAGAACATCACTTCATATATCGATGAGAGGCCGGCCCGCGCCGATATCTTAGTGATATACCGAAATGCTTGGAATGGAAACGCCACTAGTCAGTCCAGGATCCCTTTGTGTTGAATGGCGTGTGTGCCATTTCCACACCGAGCCCATGGCTGACCTTTTTCTCAAAACGATACATCCCAACAGCAGCCTCAGGTTGATGACGAGCCCTGCCACCAAACGAACGAGGACTCGAGGAAGTACCTTAAAAAGGTCGATGCAGTTCACGTTCAGCATGGGACTGGAGGAAGTCCGTGGCTTCTTGGCGGAGAGCATCCCGCAGCTCTCGACGCGCACGTGGCGGTATTCATTGCTCGTTTGCAGGAGACGGAGCATGAGGACATGATCCCCTTAGGCATGTATCAATGGGCCAAGCCAGTCATGACTTTGCAGAAGTGGAAAACGTTATTGGCGGGAAAACGACCCACTGAGGCGTGTACAACTGGAGATTTTGAGCAACAGGAAGCCTCGAATGTGTTCGCACCGGGCCTCATCCTGTTCGTCCTGGAGCACGTCACCTAAATCTGGTTGAAAGAGTTGTTTTGACCGACGGTACTCGCAGAATGCCCAGTACGGATGAAATTAATGTACGGAGAGACAGACTCTCGATAAATCAAAGTCGCTGCAGTCGCTTCAGGTTATTGTGGCGTTTATGGTGACGGCTTCCAACCGTGACGATGACCCATCCCCGCCTTTTGTCATCCAGATACTTGCCCCGAAGGTCAGCTCATGCAATAGAACTATAGAACTAAGACAAATAGAGTCGTAACAAGCCGTAGTACGGTCTGAGATCACCAAGTCAAGTCCTTCACCCTAGGCAGGGTAAGCAAGCGAGTAAGTCCAAAGAGACTTTGGCGTGTGGTGCTGTGCGTCCCACTTTTTCGGGCCTGGCCGGGCGGATCGCCGAGCGTCGTACATAGCGCACATTGGAGCATGGTACCGAGCACATACCTAGAGGTAGACCATACCATCGGAGAGTGCTGCCTCAGGTGCTCCATTCGGTCCGACCTCCGAACATTCAGTTTTTCTAGGAGAATCGACTCTGAAGCTCTCGCCGAAGACAATTCTCTGCCAGCTGTCTAAGTGAAAGTACGACGTGGCACCGTAGCTAGCTCGTCAGCTGGTGTCTCGTCAAAGATGAGAACAATAATAAGTCATCGGTCCCCAGAGAAAAGATTTGTCTGCAATTCTCTGGGATAGACATATTAGCAGTCTTGCAGTTCTCTCAGGCTTTGTTACAATATTACACCTACAATGTCTACAAACCAAACTATACCCAACAATCTTCCCGTCAGTAAGAGGCTGATAACCTCTCATAATGACGCGGGCCAGGCAATGTTCCAGACCGTCGACCAACGCCATCTCTGGCCCGTCCTAGGAGGTGTTGCTCGGTACAACACCGTCTACAGTACGGGAAAGACACCAATAGACCTCGAGAACGATGAGGACATCTGTGTGAATGAAGCAAACCAAGACGTGAGTACTTCACACTACACGACAGTCACAGGTGATTGGCTCGGAGATCTGTAACATAGCTGCCCCTCCCGATCCGTGGTGGTTCGGTGTGCAGAATCATCGATATGGGACCCGGGGACCGGGGCCCCATGCACTGCACCGAGTCTGTCGACTACGGTATCGTCATATTCGGAGAAGCGGAACTGATTCTGGATTCTGGAGAGACGCAGTTGATGCGCCCTGGAGATGTGGTGGTTCAACGAGCCACTAAACACAGTTGGTACAATCGGAGCAAGGAAAACTGGGTTAGGGTGGCCTTCGTTCTCCTCGGAGCATTACCGGTCCGGATCCAAGGCCAGATTCTGGGTAAGGAATGGCCGGGGCTGTCTTGAGATCATCCCAGCACGGCGAGCTTCACGAGGGACTAGAAGATTTTGATACTACAAAAGCTTCCAGCTAAAATTGGCGAAATCCGATGATGCCGTCGGATGTCCAAGATCCTCACTCTCCAAAATCTTCCACCGTTTGCCAACGATGCCGTCGCCAGAAGGTATGTCAGCCTCAATTCCTGGAGCGAGTTCACGTCCACCTTCGCATGGCCCCAGCCGTCTTAAAGCTGACTCCTTGATGTGTTTTCATCATCTAGCTGCGCTGCTCCCGTCAAAAGCCATGCTGTACCCGTTGCAAAAAGCAAGGTGCAAGATGCTACTACCCTCTACCTCTCGATCGACGATTTCTCGCCTCATTTCGAGCACTGGGGGCTGACAACGGTTATGGTTCTCGTGATTCCAATCATGACGCGACTCCAGAAGGAGACTATCCAAATGATGGTGCAGCAAGTCAGGCTTCGCCTTCCTTCGTGCGGCAGGAGCAGAAGGATATCAAGGCATGCTCTCTACCAATTTTTGGTGCTGTCCCATGATGGCAGGTTCATGCACTATTTCACCACTGACCCCGGTGAGATAGTCCACCCCAAGCAAACGCGTGGGTTTTTCCAACTCCCATAGGAGGCGTGACTATCTAGCGTCGCCTCTTCGACACATTCCGCAAGAGCTTGGTTTGCTCTTGTTCGAAGTCTATTTCTCGCGCATCCATAATGCCGTATTGTTTTTTGAGCAGGAAACTTTGACTGCCAGATATCAAGCAGGCGAACTTGCAATCTCAGCATTTTTGCTCTTTCTTCTGTGTACGAGATGGGGCTTCGTCCGCCTCCTTTCTAGCTCGTCCAGGTACTGACAAATGAACAGGTTTTTCAAGGAACCCGCCGATGATGAGATAACCAGGGACTCTGGCTTACCGGCATTCTTCTCTCTCCATTTCACTGGGAGAACTTGGGCAGACCGAGCCGGTATCATGGTTTTGCAGATATCCGATCGGCCATGCTTAGGCGTCATCCAAACTTGCGAAACCTATCTTTGTATTGGCTTGCTATGGGAGACCAAAAAAGCAGTGGCGTCCATTCCAGTTGAGCATTCCCGTGCTCAAAGAGTACCAAACCGTGGCTGGGCCGGTGTACTAACACTCAATGTCAACAGCGCTGTCTTACACAACCTGTCAACTCCTGGGTCTTAATCGACCCTCCAAACATATCTCCAACCAGGAAAAAAACAGAAAATCAGAATTTCTTCGCAGATGCTGCTGGGCCTGCTGGATCACGCAATGCATTCGGGATTTGCCACTTCACCCACGCGACAATATTCGTTCGATCTGTGATCTTTGCCTCCCCCTAAATGGTCAGGATCTGATAAAGACTGCGACAGACAGTCATGTTATCCCTAGAAACTTGGCTACTGAGAGGCTGTCAGAATCTTTGCCCGAAGAGGGCTGTCGGAGCAACAAGATGTCGTTAGTAATCCGCGCCCTTACGCAATGGTGAGTCTATAACCTATTCCCGCAACCTCGATCTCTTTCAAAAGATTGATAATACATTATCTTTCGCTACCTGCCCAGGTCTGAAATCAACGAAATGATTAAGGATCAACCCAGAGTCGAATCTCCACTCTATCTGTGCAGCCTATTGACAATGGACGGTAGGATTTGCCCATTACAAGAGCGCATAACAACATATATGAACACCATGGCCGAGGAGACAGACTCTTCTCCCGACGAATGCGATCTTTCGTACTGGTTTCTCTATCTGCAGGCTGTATATTATCAGTGCCTCATATTCCTCTACGCATCTCTCATTCCGATTTTCTCATGCCACCAGCAAGGAGAAGAGAATGTCGATGCTGTTCCTCCATCTATGCTCGAAAGGTCCATACGATAGTTCCTCACGGCAGCGACCCAGTTCACATTCATGCTGCTGGATTTTCTCGCCATCAAAGCGGATGTAACAAGGATACCAATCTTCATTGGCAACTGCGGCTTGGTCGCGGGCTTGGTCCATTCTACTCCCAATTCCCTGTCTCCGAGTCTGCCAGGTGCCGACGCACATAGTCAGCATATGCAAATAACACTGTTGCTCCTGGACGAGCTCATAATCTATTGACCTATACTGACATCTTTGGTAAGTTCTCCTTGATTTCCGCACCCAATTGCGGTCTTCTAGCCGGAGTTTGCCGACATGTTTCCGTCTCACTCGTAGCATGAACGCATAGTAAGAGGCTCGAACTCTATGACCGAATCCTCACGTCGCTGCAGAGCCTTTTCGATCGGCTGCCAGCAGAGCTACCGGATCAGACGTCCAGCATCGAAGGTATCTGCAAAGCCGGCTTGATGGCCCTCATGACTGGGCCCTGTCGTCACACCATTCGGCGCCATACCAGGTCGAGGGCAATTGAATGCGTCTCAACTTCTCCTCCTGCAGAACAAGGCCGCCCAAGACTTCCCGCCGCCAGTCCAAACATTGACCTTTCGATATCTGCTCACTTGCAACCCGGGCTAGGACCAGTCCTTCACCCGTCAGATCAATCCCAAGACATCGAGTCCGAACAGTCTCACATGAATTGGTTTAGCGTGCCGAGAGCTGAACATCTCTCTGTGCCCGAGCTCAACGAGCACTACAGAGGGATGGCTAGGGGGCATGGATTCGGCGACTTGTGGCAGTAGCACGTTTGATTTGTTTAGCAGTGCGAGCTGAGTCGGGATTCAGAGGCCCCATGCGCTTGAATTTCGTAAAGACTAATAGCACCACGGATTTGAGCTTCACCAAGATTTTTTGCCCCAAGACAGCCATTTGTCTTTACTCATCTGTCGCTCAGTGCAGCTAAAGGGACCCTTCACCGCTCCTAGCACGACTAGATAGAGCTGTACGACCAACGCGGCAGAATCATACCCAACCGACCTACAAGCATCTGCCGATCAAGTCCTGGCCTGTACCACTGGCGACATAGGACTAAAACAGAAGAACAATTCCATTCGACCTGAAGGCAAGCCATTGTGATCTCAGGCCCCGTGAGCGACATTCTCGAGCTCCTCGACGGCGACATTAATGAGCGCCGCGTCTAACGATACCAATAAGTAAATCACTGACTGGAGTCGATGCAATCTGATATCCCACACAATAGGGTTTGGCAAGGTTCGGGACATTTTTAAACTTCTTTCCAACCTTGTCGGCTTCGGAAAATAATATCCAGCCGTAAATCATCCAATTTCTCGGTAGTATGCCAAATATCTCACATCTTCCTCTCGCCTTAGTTCTCACCTTGGAACCTCTATTACCAAGCAGTCCCGAACCACTCACAGCAGGCTTTTTTTGCGACGAGTTTACATGAGATCGCTTGGGGGATTCTGCGTTGGAGTCTGCAACATTTTCCTACTGCATACTATCTGACAAGTCCCTTCAACTCCCGGTAGAGGTTGATGCCGACAAACAAGCTGTACCTCACAAGGACGTAGGCCAGGTGGCGCAAAACGGATGCTTGGATGATGTGCAAGTTCCAAATGTGAAAGAGGGTCACCATCGCGAGCAAGACGACTCGTACAAACAGCTCCACCACGATGTCGGCAAATAACTCCTGGCTTCTCGACTTCCATCAGCCGTACACACCAGGTTCTGCTATTGTCGACCATAAATCTTCCGCGATCTTCCTGAAGGTCTGTTTAAGCCGGCTTAGTATCTTGTCGGTGGTGGTGGAGATCTCCTGTCATGACTTGATAGCCATTGTGGTATGTGGCTATGAACCTGTAACAAAGCGCTGAGTGGTCGTGAGGTCCAAGGCCTGACAAAACAAGAGAGGCTTGCGACGTGAGACTTTACAGCCCACCTCCTTCGAGTACATCTTTCGCAAACCAAAGCATCGACCTGCAGCAGCATAACTCCCTTCAGGTTTGGACCGAAGCAACTTGATGGAACTCAAAAGCCCTGGTCATGGACCCACTGGCTGCCACTGGATCTACGGAACTCGAGCCAAATTGAAAAGGCGAGCACATGAGTGACTCGAGCTGCACGATGCTTACGCGTCCGTGCCGCGTTGACGATGACGAGTGGGCTTTTCCCACCTACAATCATTTGTCAGGCTCTAGGCAGCTACTACGGTCCTATTTCTGCTAGATGGAGAAAAACAGAGTCACTGTGCTGATGCCCCTGTACCGGAGCCTCACCTTCCAGTCTCGGCCTTCACAGAGCTCCACTATGCCTTTTCTTCGAACGCGGGGGAGTCTGAAGCGAGCATTCTTAGCTGGCCTGTCCCAATACTGACCTGGTTAGTTCCTGCACATGCTGCGATGACTTAGTCACTCTCAATTGTGGGGACGTCCGAGAGAACACCGGAGTGTTATTGGAGACGGATCTCTCCGTACACAAAGGAGCGAGATCATTGCGTTGGACCTTTAGTGGCTGCCTTCTCGCATGCGGTTGCCTACTATTGAGGAACTTGAGCCCTGTGGACAGCCGGACTCTTGAGATCACACGGCAAACCTTTGCTGATCCCAAACAACCCTGTCTCCGAGGAGAAGCCATTGCCAGACGAAGAAGTCAGAGGGATGGCCCAAAACTTTTGCGAGAAAATTTGAGACGTCAGCGCCAATGTTTGAGATAGTCATTTGCTCTCACCAAGACCCTGCGATAGCTGCACACGCCTCGCCACAATGCCCCCTCTACGGCGAACTCAAATTTTTCTGTCATGGGTTCTGTCGGCCCTTGTATTGCACACACTAACACCCAGCGGCCTCCTGGTGAAAAGTTCTGGAGGCGGCTCTGCATGGTCATAAAAAGGAGCCGTGTCCTCGCAGACTGCGCTGCGATTGCTCCTGGGAAATTCTTGGAGATTCACGCTTGATCGAAACAACACCACATCCACAATAGAACACAGCTTCGACCTTTGCACCGATGCCTCCCGAGCGAACAAACAGTCAGGGGCTGCCCTCAGTCCACATACTTGTCATGGGTCTTACTGGTTCCGGGAAAAGCACTTTTATCCAGAAAGCTACTCGCGATCCCTCAATCAAAATAGGGGACGATCTTCAATCTGGTCATCATGCGTATTGCCTAGGAATATGCACACTAAGAGCTGACACTATATACAGTCATAACCGAAGTCCAACATTACCCGATGGTGCATAACGGCTATGAAGTTTTTCTGATCGATACCCCCGGATTCGACGACGGTGTCCTGGGCGACGACGACGTGTTGAAGAAGATTGCTGAGTTCGTCAATACTGTCTGCAGCGTCGAATGGACCTTCGGTGGCATCATTTATATCCACGACATCACTCGCGTCAGAATGGGCAATGTTGGGACTTTGAACGTCAGGGTGTTGGAAAAATTTGCCGGAAGAGAGAATTACAAAAACATCTCGCTCGTGACGAACAAATGGGGAGAGTTGACCAGACCAGAAGTTGGACTCCAGCGCGAGAAGCAGCTGCAAGAACATCCAAGCTATTGGGCCGAGATGCGCCAGACTGGCTGTCAAGCGCGGATGTGTCGCTTCGACAACACTGAAGCGTCGGCAAAGGAGATCATCGACTGGCATCTGGAACAGAGCTGTGTGCCGCGACTCACCCGGCAGATGGTGAACGACAGATCGACACTGGGCGGAACCGACGCCGGGCAGGTGATTCGGCAGAGGTACGAGGCCATTTTCTCCCGAGACGGGCGGCCGGATCAGCTCGCCCGCATGAACGAGAGGATGGAATCCACCTTCCAGGGCGAGGACGCCCGCATGGCTGTGGACAGGCTCTTGAGAGATCTGCACACACTCGAGAAGATGCGAATGCTGCAGCGCGTCGGTGCGTGGGTGGTCAGGCTGGGGACTTACGGTGGTGCAGTGCTCGCCACGGTCCTGACCGAAAATCCAGCTGCGTTTCGAGCTGCCGTTGCAGCAGCGGGACCTCTGGAGATGTCCTTTCGTAACATGAAGACCAAGACGCAAGGAAGGCTGGAAGATCTCAGACAGGAGATCCGAACGACGGCGCTGTACGGCTCACTCAATCACGGTGGGGGACCACAAGTGACTGAAGCTTTTGACGAGTGATGGCGATGGTGATGGCTATGGGCGGTGGCTGCGTCCGGGGGGATGTCTGGGGGTATGTCTAGGGGTATGTCTGGGGTCCCGCATTTGGAAGTCTCGATAAGGTGGGGAGCACTATTATTAGGCCCCACTATGGGGCATCTGGCGCCTTGGCACAAACACGCTACCAGGAGTGGTTGGTAATGGCTAATAATATCTTTTCTTTCACATGCTGTATTTGGACCTCGTTTGTCTATGTACAAGCAGGCTTCCCAGATGTACCCCTCCACACTACCACGTGCACTAGAACCACTCTAATGCCACCACCTCCTCTTCCTGATTGCCTACTGAATCGGGCGCTGCGGCTTCTAGCGTGACTGCCCATACAGACCTCAGGCCACTCCACCCTCAACTCATCTAGTGGAATTCCAGTTCCAGGACTAACTCAAAACCAATGTCCCCCTGCGCAGCTGGGCTTCCAGAAACTCATGGTGAGTGCCGTTCGCCCGGTCCGAGGCCAGCTTCATTCACGTGCAGCCATGGCTGGACTGGTCGAGGGAATCGTGCCCACAAAGGACTTTAGGCCCTGAGGATCCAGCTTTTGCCCCAGCCATCGTCTTCAGCCAATGCCGTTGTTCTGGTTTTCGGCAATTCCACCATGTCGACCTCGACGCGTACAGAATCGAAATGCCTCGTCGGCAAGCCTGTCATTGGATATCTCTGTACTACTGGCCGATCTACGATGGATCAGGTGCATGACCATCTATGCGGAACAGCCTCTCATCTCAAGCGAGTGGTGCAGTACGCCTGATCTCGAACCTCCCACCCTATTGTCCTCGAATCGTCATCTAGCACCGGGATGGTAAAGACCAAGCTGTCCAAGCGTAATGTGCATAAGAAGCTACCGTTGCCTAAAGGACAAACGGCCCTAGAGCGGTTGGGCCCACATCAAGGGTCGTGGCTGGCTGTGCCAGAGCCTCAAATTCCGCGTTCGCCGCAAAGTTAACCGGTCTCCAAGACATCCTTCGCTCGTGCAGTTGAAAAGGCGCCACCAATTGAGGCCAGTGGATCCGGAGTGCGCCAGCTACAGCCACGCCATACTCCTGAGGTGGAGCTCCTGACTCCCAGGAGGCCAGAAGACTTAGAACTAGAAGCAGTTGATGTCAGCTTGGTTGCCTTTCCCGACAAATCAGGGAGTCTGGACCTCCGTCGCAGGGCATCATTCGGTTCAATGAAGAAAGGCAACCACTGATGGGACCCAAACGGCAATTGAATGACGAGGCCTTCAGCGGGGCAGGGTTCCGGAGGGCTGGCGATTGAGCAGGTGCGCGATCCTGGTAAACACCCACAGAAAACCGCCAGCGCATCAGGTTCCTAGACTGCGCAGCTGCAGGCAGAAGTGCCAGAGTTCTCGTATGAGCGGGGATGTCCAGCTTGGTAAGTACCACCGACCTGGGGAAAGCACGTCTCCTGCAAGGCAACTGGGTACATAAGCATCTCGAGCCAGGTGACCTCCGACAATGCTTCATATCAAACTCGCCAATCCAAATTATCCTCCCTACTACCCAACACATTTGTGTCCTTTAGATTACGTGTGGAAAACTGACCCCTGCGTGATCAATCTCCGACTATTCATATAACAGCTGTGTCAGTTAGGAGACCGAGTCGTTACTCTCCATTTCCGCACGAGAGTACCTCCGTCGTCTGGCTGCAGCTACCATGTCTTCTCAAGCAGCGGCCCGTGCTGCACACGCTCGGCGACAAGGACGGGATAGACCTTTCCTGGTCGAAAATCTTCCACCAATGCCATCCGAATCAACGCCGATCAGAGTGCCTTGGTTGGGCGCTGATCCCAATCCGGGCAATGGCAGCTTCTTCGATATACCAGCAAACCGGGGCTTCAATCTCGATTCCCTTTTGCGTGGAGACTTTAGCGGCCATGGAGCCAGACAAGGCCTGGCTTTCCTGCAGACCTGGCTCTTCTTCGGCCTGTTGAAGGAAGCACTGGGACCTCGGCAACGCATCATGCCGGAACACTGGGTGTCCGACTATGGCAACGACCAGGTGACGCGGAAATACATGATCAGCCCGCACTTGAGCGCTTACCTTCTCATGATTGAACGTAGGTTGAAGAGTGGCCCGGGTCCCCGACCGCCCTGGGGATACTGGGAAGAAGTGTTTGGCCTCACCATAGCTGTGACAGAGGCTTTTGACGAGGTCTTTGCCGGGCGTTGCACGGCTACAGACGTGGTGCTCCATGTGCCTCTCCAGATTACATGGTCGATCCTCACATTTGGACAGATTTTGGCCAACACGATCATGAAATGCTACCAAGTCGAAGCCTCCGACTTTCAACACTGGCCCGATGGCACAATACTCCATCTCCGCATGAAACAGCAATGGGAATGTCCACATCGATGCAACAAACTCACGGCTCTCTTTGCAATGGACGTAATCTATGCCTTGACTCTGCTGCCATTCCAGGGTTCGACGAGTGAGCATGCTGCACTTCCACAAGACATGACCGAGGCCCTTTTTGCATCTCTCTCTTTGCGCGACGAAGATCCGACAATTGGCAGAGGTCGACACCGCGATTGCACAATCCAGCGATGCCTGGGCGAGAAAATCGATCCCCTCTCTTATCGGACTGCCCACACGAGTAGCGGTTGCAGGTGCCCCTTCCTTGGTCCCCATGTCGGCAAAGTGATCAAAATTCTGGATGAGGGAGATATTCCCGTGTTCGTGGTGAGAGAATATACCTCCCCGCGAGGTGCTGTCAATTTGTTCATAGACGCGGTCCGGGCGAAGGACACTTCGGGCTATGTGGCCATATCACATGTGTGGGCTGACGGCCTTGGGAACCGTGCCGATAACCAGCTTCCAAGGTGCCAAATTGTTCGATTGGCAGGTTTGGTGAGCACCCTCACTGGAAAAGAGGCCCAGCCATTCTGGATTGACACGTTTGGAGTTCCGCGCGATTTGGAGCAACGGAAAAAAGCCCTGGCCGTCATGGAGCCGACATACCGGCTTGCAGAAAAGGTGCTTGTCCTCGACGGAGGTCTTCAACAGCAACTAATGTATCGGACGATGGTGAATGAGCTTGTCACCGTCGACTATGTGGAAGCTCAAGAAACGCGTGCTGGGGTCGCCCTCGAACTACTCCTGCGAATTATTTGCTGCTCGTGGACCTCACGGCTTTGGACACTTCCGGAAGGCATGTTGGGCCCCGAACTACACTTCCAGTTTTCGGACGGCACTGTCGAGCTTGGAGATTTGGTCGCTCAGCTCAGACCTTGGCGAATTCTGGGCAGCAACATTTTCAAAGACATTATGGCGTCCCTCATCCGTCTTCGCCCAAAGATCAGAACCCAGAGACGGCGCGGCATTGCTCCTCCCGACCCGTTAATGCTGAACTGGCCCCGAGGTGATGCTTACGGCCAATTCATCACAATGTTCCAAGCGCTCGAATTTCGTGATACGAGTTGGAAAGAAGACGAGGCGACGTGTCTGGGTATCCATCTCAACCTGGACCTGCAGGCGATTCTCTCACGAGATTATCCAGAGAGGCTGGAAGCGTTGTTCGCGCAGCTGGACCAGATTCCAGCGGATCTCATGTTCACACATGGCGAGCGCCAGCCGCGCCACCCATATCGGTGGGCTCCACTCCACCTGCTTGAATACAAGGACAACTACTTGTGCATCCCGTGCGCGACCCCAGAAAGGCCCGTGGGTGTTCGCACTGATCGTGGATTACTGGTCCAGCTCAACTGTGTCAAGCTTGAGACGACAAACGAGCGTGTGCCGAACACCACTCAGATCCTCTTCACCATCCAAGCAACGTCCGAGCAGGGTATAGAGCATCCAGTCAGCTACAGCATGCAGATTGCTACTCTGGATCCCCGAACCGCGCCAAGTTGGAGGCGGAGCGCGACTGACCGAGTCCTCGCCGAGGGAGGCGAAGCAGCCGAATGCTTATATCTCATACAAGGCCCTCGTGGGGTTCCGGGACCATCGCCAGTCTCAGAGCCTGGCTACGTGGGACTGATTGTGCAGCGAGTGGAGGAGGAAGACGGCTGCATTTATGGTGTGCCCTTGGACACTGTCGTGGTTTTCAAGTTGGACAACAACGATTGTTTTGTGCAGTGGCACGCAGAGGAGCTGCTCGAAGAGTGCTTTTGCATTGGATAGATGGCTAGGATCATCTTTCTTTGGATCTTTTCAGTGCTGATGACATCCATCCCCTGTCTCCCATATGCCCTTTTCATTACCAGAGGCAGGATCTTGATACTCTTGTGGTTGTGGTTTATGTCAAGGCAGATGGTGGTAATGTGTGGGGTGTATTGAGTAGTGAGATGTCAGCATATGAGCTCCGACCTCGTGTCTGGGACACATTATGCCCAACGGACCATTCGTGTATTGCTTCAACGATGCTGATGCTGATGCTGGGGAAACACAAACTGCTATTCGAGTAGAAAATACTTGGCCGTACCCAGATCTCGGTTATTGACGGCAACGCCAAGATGAACGCGGCTCGGATCTCCAACTGCGGGCACATTGAAAGACACCCTTCCTACACCATCCTCTTCAACTCTCTCTCTCTCTCTCTCTCTCTCTCTCTCTCTCTCTCTGTGTGCTCACAGTTCTCCCCTGTGCGGTGTGGCAGACAAATCCATCATGGCGCCCAAGTACGTGCCCACGAATTCCCTCTTGCGGAGCCTCAATCACGCTCTGCGAGAACAACGTAAATGCTCCTCCTCCTCCACGTCCCACTTTGCCCCGAGAACAACCAGGTCCGCGGCCACGTTCACCCACCGACGGCATGCTCAAGCCATCTCCGTCCTCCCGACCGCGGTGGACAAGTCCAGTCCCGACTTTAAAGACAATGCCGCCCAGTTGGGCGAGGCCATGAACAAATACGCAACCCTGCACCAGAAGATCTCCCAAGGGGGCCCCGACAAGGCACGGCAAAAGCATATCCAAAGGGGTAAAATGCTGGCAAGAGATCGCATAACAGCTCTCATCGACCCCGGTAGCCCATTCATGGAACTCTCGCCTCTGGCCGCCCACGAGGTCTACGAGGACGAAGTCCCCGCCGCGGGCGTCATCGCCGGCATCGGCACTGTCGAGGGCGTGACGTGCATGATCGTGGCCAACGATGCCACGGTCAAGGGCGGGACGTACTATCCCTTGACTGTCAAGAAACACCTGAGAGCGCAAGAAATCGCCCAGCAGAACAAGTTGCCGTGCATATACCTCGTCGATTCCGGGGGCGCAAATTTACCGAACCAAGCCAACGTCTTCCCGGATCGGGATCACTTTGGACGCATCTTCTTCAACCAAGCGAGGATGAGCAGCATGGGCATCCCCCAGATTGCTGTGGTGATGGGCCCTTGCACCGCTGGCGGCGCATACGTCCCAGCCATGTGCGACGAATCCATCATCGTTGAGAAACAAGGCACTATTTTCCTGGCGGGTCCGCCACTGGTGAAAGCGGCCACCGGAGAAGTCGTCTCCGCTGAAGACCTGGGCGGCGGCTCCTTGCACAGCTCCGTTTCTGGCGTCACCGATTATCTCGCTGTGGACGACGCTCACGCAATAGTTCTTGCCCGCCGCTCCATCTCCAACCTCAATTACCCCCAAGAACAGCCTCCCGTGAACCCCGGGGAGATTCGCGAACCCCTGTACGACCCGTCCGAGCTTGCCGGAATCGTCGGCACGAACCTGCGCAAACAGATTCCCATGCACGAAATCATCGCCCGCATCGTCGACGGGAGCGAATTCGCTGAGTTCAAGAAGGACTACGGCACCACTCTGCTGACAGGGTTCGCGAGAATTCACGGGTACCAGGTGGGCATCATCGCCAACAACGGCATCTTGTTCTCCGAGTCCAGCCTGAAGGGCGCCCACTTCATCGAACTGTGCTGCCAGCGCAACATCCCGCTGGTGTTCCTCCAGAATATCTCCGGGTTCATGGTCGGCGCGGACGCCGAGCGGGGCGGCATCGCAAAGAACGGGGCCAAGCTGGTCACCGCGGTGGCGTGCGCCGACGTGCCCAAGTTCACCGTGGTCGTGGGCTCGTCCGCCGGCGCCGGCAACTACGGCATGTGTGGCCGCGCCTACTCGCCGCGGTTCCTGTGGATGTGGCCCAACGCGAAGATCGGCGTCATGGGGCCCGACCAGCTGACCGCCGTCATGGAGACCGTGGGCAAGAGCGTCGACGTCGGCCTGCGCGACCGCATCGAGCGCGAAAGCGACGCGTGCTTCTCCAGCGCGCGCCTGTGGGACGACGGCGTCATCCATCCCGCCCAGACCAGGAGCATGTTGGCCATGGGGTTGAAGGTGGCGCTGGGCGGCAAGGTTGACGACGACAAGCCCACGAAATTCGGCGTCTTCAGGATGTAGATGGTCTAAGATTAAGAGAGAGATATATATATATATATACACGTTTCGGGGTTCAGTTGCAAAGGTCCCAGTCCATGCTCTAATCCGATCTACTCCGTCATCCGGCCCTAAGGAAGAGCACTCGTGGGAAATTACAAACAGAGCTCACGCTTCTTAAATCAAAAGGGTCTCAGAGAGAGAGGAACTCTACAGATCAAGTCTCGACGACAGGCAAGACGTGGATGGAAAGAACGCGAGGGGGAAAAGACTAGACAGAATACAGTTGTGGTTGTCGTTCGAAGCGACACATTTCGACCTGAGTCGGGGTAAGTAAAGTCTAGAGCTCAAAACTCGTCTCGTCTCTCTGGGTCCTTTCCCTCGTGCTTTTTGGTTGGACCAGCCCTCCATCCCTTTTTGTCTAGCTTGTTGTCGAAAAGAAAAAGAAAGGGAGAAAACGCCAGTGGTGGTGATGGTGGTCTGGTGCTCTCTTTGAAAATGAGCGTCACATCACCCTTCCGTTCCATTCCATGCATATATGTACTCTCTGGGTTGCTTTCTGTTGTACCTGGTGCTGATTCTTTGGAAAATTCGACAGGGTCTGAGGATCAAAGTCTTTTTCACAAAATCACGCACTTGTCCCGGTTCCGCTGCCGTCGGCCTCTGCGATCATGCCGGTTCGGCCGGTCTCTCCTCCTCGCGGCGGCTTGCTGCTCGACCAAGAGGTTTCGTGCTCCTTCCTTCTGGATGATCTGCGCGCACAGATTCAGAAACACCTCGTCGACGTTCGTCCTCCGCCTTGCGCTTGTCTCGTAGTACGGCTTTTGACCCCACGACTGAGCGAGTTGGAAGGCTCGTGCACGGGGCACGACGCGGTCGTCTTCCATGTCGGACTTGTTGCCCACCACGACGAGAGGGATGTCCTCGTCGTCTTTGATGCGGACGATCTGATCGCGCAGTTCGGCGAGTTCGTAGAACGAGTTCATGTTGCAGATGGAGAAGACGAGGAGGAAGCCTTGGCCTTGTTTCATGTATAGTTCGCGCATTGCTGTAAATTGTTCGGTGCCGGCAGTGTCGAGGCTGGAGAAACGGTTCGAGAGCAGATTAGCATGAGAATTATAGAGATATCAAAGGGGATCTTGGATTGTTTTCAAAGCGTCTTTGCTCTTGTCGTAGGCCGTGGATCCATGGAATGAAAGGATCGATAAAACAGACCGGGTTCCTTACATTTCCAGTATAATCTGTCGACCGTCGACGTTGACTTGCTTTCGGTAAGAGTCCTCAATGGTTGGATCATAACTTTCAATCCAGACATTTTGCACAAATTGGGCCGTAAGACAGCTTTTACCCACTCCTCCTGTTTTGAGCACGAGCCCATATCGTTAGTCTGAGGGTTTGACAACCCACGAGCTGACCGGAGACTTGTGTGATAAACGGATTGAACATACCGGCACCAAGCACAACAATGTGATACTCTCGCCTGTAGCCAACGCGGAGATTCAGTTAGGCCCATTGACTCTTCTAGGTGAAAACGAGGGGCCACTCAAGACTCAACCTTGAGATCATGTAGGAGACGAATTGAAAACGTACCTGGGCTGCAGACTCATTCTTACTTATGCCGCGACCTGCCGCCGCTCACACAGAAGTCCGAGCTTTGAAAATTGCGTTTTGGTTTGAAGAGTGCCTCGACTACATTTCAAACCATAAAATCTTTGCGTCTTCCCACACCAGGTTGGTGGAGGCTCTGGACGGGTGTGCGAGCCCTTGAAGCGAAAGAATAGCAGAGGAAGCTCCAAAGTCCACTCGTCGGCGCGAGTTTTACAAGAGGTCAGCCAGCAGAGTGAGCCGTGAAGAAGGAAAAATTGATACGGGTGGTTTTGATAGTTTGTGCGGGATCTGGTACTTGAAGGGGGAAAGCGGTTCGCTACGTGATCTAGTTCCAGATCCGGCCGGTTTGTTACTAGAAAATCGTGTGTTGCGTGCCGATGGTGATCCCCTAACGTGCTGCCTCGTGCCAATCCTCCGGCCGGCAACACAACCCTGAGTGAGATATCTGGTGAGGGTGATGGAAAAGTGAATGGGGCGTTCACAGTGGGCAACTAGCTCGGGCCATAGGCGAGTGACGGACTCGTTCGGGTCTGGTTGGCAGGAGGGAGGGGTGATGGGAGGCAAGTGGTCTGCCTGGCTGATTCCAGGAAGCAACGTCGATGTAGTGACAATGGTGGCAATGACGTTGGTTGGGTGTTTGTAGAGGTGACGGTGCTTTTGTTTGTTTGAACGAACACCGAGGAGTGGACCGCTTTGCCATTTACATAATCGGCTCTCGCGCGCCCATCACCCTAGGACAGGGGAGGGGGATGAGAGGGTCAGGTACAAACAAGTTGGGTCTTTGTTGCAATGAGAACTGAGGGTCTCGCAATTTTTAGCCTGGGTCTGGTCCCGCAGACGAGGTCAAGATCAGCATCAATAAGGTCGAGACGCTGACTGGTGACTGGGGCGGACAAGAGCTCGACTGCTGGGTCGGAAACCGCACTGTCTCTTTCTTGTTCGTGGTCCATGTGCTTGGCCAGCTCATTTCTCTCAGTGAGTGAAGGGGTGGGAGTTGAGTATGGACAGGATGTCCTATCAAAATAATCCACTGAGGACCATTGTTGTGGGTTGTAGAGAGACGAGGTACCGAGTTGTTGACCGTCTTTTTCCGGGCACCTGCACATGCCTGCACTTGCCTGCACCTGCCCATCAATGTTGCCCAGCCACGAGGCCGCCAGGGGCTGGTGGGCGGTGGGCATCCTTGACTCCGGAACGCTGGTTGGCGCTCCCTAGGCGGCGTGGGCTACTCAATGTTTGGGTCCAAGGGTCGGTTCCGGGTGGCTGCACTGACTTCATGGTGCCGGGGAACTGCAATATGGATCATTCCGGTAAGCCCGGGCCAAACCACCCTTTTTTTTTTTTTTTTCTTTTTTTTGATGACGGCTATCTTATCAATTGATGGTTAGATGCAAAGCCAGGAGAAGGACAGTGATTTCCCGATTACGTTCTCCCACCCGAGAGCTCGAGAGCTCGAGACCACGACGATCCTTCCTCATCAATTCATTGAATTAAAGAAGCTTGCGCATACCAAGCCCAACGGCTGCGACTTCTTATGGCACTTGATTATTACCCAGCCGTCTCTTCCCTTCTACCTGACGAGATTATCCCGTTTGGCCGCTCACTGCTTTGGTCCATTATCCTCCCCTGTCCGATCCCTTCTCTCCTGGCCTATGCAGGGATTTACATCTCCTTTCGAGCTCGAGACGAACCAACCCTTCCTTTCACAGGCCACCGACCAAGTACTTGAGAGAACAGTCGCTCCTGATGATCTCCTCCAGCTCCTTCCTTATACGGCTACGATCATCGCAACCTTGATGGAGACATGAATGATGACGGCTGAGTACCTTGAAGCCCACGATCGGCAGGGGGACGCTTTTCCAAATGGATTCAAGGGCCTGCATGCGCCTCAGTCGGCCGAACTTTGGGAACCCCTCCTGTGTGGAAAGTACCCGCCAATCTCGCGGGGTTCTTGTCTTCAGCAAAGAGGAAACCGAAGTACTCTGCATTGGTTAGAATTGCCATCATCCAGCTCCACTCTCGATCAGACGAATGTTCTCGAACTTTACTTATTCCAGTGACGATGAAGCAATTGTGTCCCTGAGATCATGTTGCATGTCATAGCCAAGCAAGATCCGTACACGGCACTCAAGACGGACAGACAATGGACATTGTTCGACTTAGGAGCCCACCTGCAGCTCCCGAGGGTCAATGAGTTACGGTTTCCCACGGTGAACCAACCGGCAGACTGGGCGAGATGGTCGAGAAGCTCTCTTCCGCCAATCCTCACCCAAAAGATTGTGCGCAATCCGTCTCAGCATGAGGTGTCTGGCAGTTTCAAGCATGGCGAGTCTTCGGCTGCATTAGCGCGCTCCCTGCCACTCGCAGCGCCGGCTCCAGATTGGTTCTTTACAAACTTCACCGCCGAAAGACAACATTTGCACACCACTGCTCTTTTTGAGTGGGCAGCGTGGTATGCGGAGATGCCTCTTTCGCATGGCATCCTCAGGCGAGAGACGTGGAGACTACGACCGACGTCTCGCGGTACGAGTACACCGGTTTCTGAAAGATACGAGCTGCGGTGGCCGCGATTCGTCCACGGAAATAGGACCCTAGACCAGTCACAACGCCGTTGGAGATTGAGCAGCAGCTACGAGTACTTCTCCCCACTCGCCACATGTTGGGAAGCGAGACAGCCTGTCCCTGACCGTTTCGAGCCCGTAAGCACTGCACCTCCCGCATTTGGTTTGTTTCGTTGGATAGACGGATCGCGTGCACACTGGACCACGTGAAGAAACAGCGAGCTTGTCACATTCCAACTCGCAAGGTCTGAAGGCTCAGCTGCTGGGCATTCACTCCTTTTCTCGTATTTGCCAAAGTGTGTCCTGTATTCGGGGTATGGCGAGCTGCTGTCCATGGCTCGAGGAAGATAATGTCGAACACTCCTCCACATGCTTCTGGGGAGCTCCACCATGCTCTTGGCCACAAACATGTCAAAGAAGGCCTCTCTGGCCTTCTAAGCTCAAGCCTCGGGACAGGTCGCTCCGCCTTCTTGCATGCTAACCAGTGGCATCGATCACACTCGTAGATGCACAAGGCCGACCAGGAAGGAGAAACCCACCATGGTGGAGATGAGGACGTCAACGACAAAGCCCTCGGCTCTCCACCCTTGGGGCTTTGCCTTGGTCGGTACGGGTACCAGGTCCTTGTACACAATACTGAGTACAGCAAGAACAACAACCCCCTCCCATAATGAGGTTCAGCCCAGCAAGCCACGGCCCTCACAAACAATGGCTGTCGCCGTCGATTTCGCTGACTCGGGCATCTCCAAAGTTGATCTCCTCCGTTTCGTCATCAGAGTCATCCTCGCCACGCATGGCCCACCACCACCGACTCCCTCTCCAGATGCCGTCAAGATCACCTCTCGCTTCCTCCTCCTCCTCTGTGCCGACCAACCAGGCCCACTTTTTCAGAAACCATCTTTTAGCTTCCCAACTTCTCGTGTTCCAGGCCACACTGTCCCTCATGTCTCTTTTTCCGTTCTTCACCGATTTTCCGTGCTTGTTCGTAAGCCCGGACAAGCCGCCCCAGCATACCAAACCACCGTGCATCAGGTCCATAAACAGCTCTGCATGATCGAGGATTCCGTCCACAGATGCCTGAACTGCATGATCGCGGAAATGAGGGAATACAATGCAGTCGAGGTAACTTGGATGTGGATTCAGAAGCTGCGTAGGGGTTGGACGCATGGGCGGCTTCACTGACTCGAGGTGGTCTCGCAACTCAGGCGTGACGTCCATAAAGGAATGTGCGAATTTGTAGGTTACTGTCACGGGGGACGATGAGTTCCCCGAGGAGCTCAGGTTAGGTTTATTCAGCGCGACGAAGCAGGTGGGGAAGTGTGATGGGTGGTCGTTCAGATACTGACTGCGCGTGATGCCGATCGAGAGGGCCACAGCAAGTGTAGCTTCGACATTGCCTTCAGTGACGAGGTGCAGGTGATTGATGTACGGATCTGCCACGGTGGGTGTCGGGATGAAGAATTGCCGTTCGCTGGGAGTCCACTGAGGAGTCAAAGGCACCAGAGTCGTGGAACTGCGCAGGGAGTCGGGACGACTTCGCTGTGACTGCTCGGAGCCAGGTCGGTTGTGCGGGCTGGCCCAGATCTGCCGCAGATCGATGTCACCATAGTCATCATGCGTATGACTGTTGCTCTCATCGATGTTTGTTACTGTCGCCGGTGTCTCGGGGCCTACTTGAAACTGGATACCGGGGAGTGAACCCTGTCCGAACGGTAAGTCCCCAGCAGCGACAAACGCATCTGCCAGATTTATCACGCGTGAGACAGCGGTTGTGTCTGCTACCTTGGGCGGAGATGGCAATGTGCGAGACCCAGCATCGATATTGATATTACAATCGCTGTCCTCTTCGTCTTCATCGCGAGTCTCTGGGCCTGAGTTTGCGATGAGGTCGATGCTGGATGTTCTCGGGGCTTGGTGGTGTGGGCTGGGGTGGGACAGAGTGGAAGCGGCCTGCTCTTCCAGCACCTCAAGTTTTTTCTTCAGCCTCTCCCTGTAAGCCTTTTGTGCGCGCCGGTTCTGCTCCCGTCGCTTATCAGTGACTAGTCGGACGTACGGCTTTCGCGATCCCTGAGTCTTGCTGCTCTCATTATGGTTGCGATTGTGATTGGAGGTTGGCTCTTGGGTGACGGTGCGCTGTGGGCGATGTGGATTGTGGCGATGTTCCAAATCGTGGTCGCCCATCATTCCTCTGCGCTCTTTGGCCCCAATGGTACCGACGAAAAGCTTTCGTGTCGGTACTCCGGACTCCTCAACCTGCTTTCCCGGCCTCGCCCAGACCCGATCAATTAGATCAGTCGGCAGAGACCTGGGCTGATTCGTCGGCGATATGCTCGTTTGCAGTGACGCCGGCTCTGAGGAAGCGCTTGGCTAACGTTAAGTGAGGCCCGGACTGCGCAGATGACTATGGATTAGGGAAGCCAGTAGAGGGGATTGATGGCTGATGGCCGCCGATAGAGAGTGCCGCACAGCCGCTTTTTGCTCGTTCTTTTCGTGGCTTCCTTGTGGATAGAGAATGCGCAATCGAGTACCTAGCTAGGTCAGTGATTGAATGAGGGGGCTCCTGCTGCACGATAGCTCCGAGACGAAGTCGATATCGAAGTTAGCTTCGAGTTAGGTAGGTTTGCAGTATGGAAAAGGGCACAGACAGAGATGCGGGTAGGTGAGTAAGTGCGTAAGTGAGTGAGCAGTTGAGTTGAGTATATGGCTGATTCCCGATTCCCCATTCGGCCGAAGAAATACGCATAATGATACCTATAGTAAGCCAACAAGTCCGTAAGCCAACCACGGTGGAGTCCAAGGGGTGCCTTGAGGCTGAATAATCCAACCCTCCAGCGCCCAATTGGGTGCCATTGGCGTACGCCTTTTGAGTTACCAGACACGTGATGCGAGCTCTAGAAAGAAGCAGCTGGGACCCAAACAAAACATGCCAAGGCTGCCGACCGGGTACCAAATACTCCGGTGGGGTGTTAATTATTATACGAGGGTATCATGTGGGAAAACGACGTCATTGCGGCAACGCCCAATGCCTTCTGCCAAGGCTTATTTTCTACGTTCGCTCACATGCTGGCCATTGATTCATTGACTGATATGCAGCACTGATAATCGAAAGAAGAAAAAGGAGGAAAAACAACATTTCTTCCCTTTTTCCCCCCCTTCTCTCAACATTACAAACTGACATCGATCAAAGCGTCAAGCGTCAGAGATGCTATCTGAGGATCCTGCAACAACAACAATAACAAAACTCCAAAGCATGCCACTTTTCCCTTGGTCATCCAAAAAATAAAAATAAAAACTCATGCTCGGTATTGCGACCACCATCTCAGACCCGTACCCAGATGCAGGCTCTCAGGACGACGGTCATTTCCCACGCCATCAGATGCCCAGCAGTCGCGCAAGACGGTCAACATAACACCACCAAAAAACTCATTCGTCATCGTCATCATGCCTCGAATTGCCCCAATATGGCCTATCCTTTTCCTTTTCCTTGCTCTTGGTCTGAGCACTCTTGTCATTATCACCGCGAATATACCCCATAGACACTCTGCCATTGGACCAATTCTCTTGTCAACGTCTCCATCATGTCTACACTTCCCATGGTCGCAAACTCTCTCTCATCCATCATCGAAACCACATGCTCGTCGTCTTTCTCTCTCACCTCTTTGAGCCCAGCCTCGACAGCACGCACCAGACTCGCTGTCGGCAACGTGCTCCCGGTGGTGCTCGACGTACTCGAAGTCTTGCTGACGCCGTTTGGCGTGGTGGAGCCCTTGCTGCTCCCTCCGCTGCCGCCGGTCACCTGCATCGCCGCTTGAACCTGTGTCGTTCGTTCTGTCTGCATGCGTCCAACAAATTCCAGAATCGCCGCCACTCGTCTCTTCATCTCGTTGAGACTGGTCCTCGCAGGGTGTGTTTTGGCCTTCGAACTGCGTCCGCTCTCGCCGTTGATGCAATGTGCGGCACCGGGCCCCCCACTGCCCTTCCTATCGGCTCCAGAAGGTGAGCCTCCATTTTTGTTGTCGTGACCGTTAATATCGTGGGATCCGTCTCGGAGAGGTGTATTGTCCCCATCTTCTCCGTTTGTTTGGTCACGCGTATATTGGTTTCTACCTAGTCTTCCTCGCCTTGCAGTGGGTCTTGTGCCGGGCTTGCGGCTGTTATTAGGATTCAGTCGCCCAGACGGGGGAGTGTCCGCTTTTGGTTTGCCATTGGTTTGTCCATTCTTTGAAGGGGAGAGGCTCGGGGTGGGAGGAGGCGAGTCTGCCTCGACGGTCAGAATCTTCAATCTTGAAAGAGGGTGCAACTTACCATCTGCCCTCCTTCGTTCTGACCGAGCATTACGCTTGCTTGCCGCCTCTGCACGCTGAGCGGCTTGCTGCTCCTTAGCTTTGTCTCGAAGCTCCTTCTCGCGATTGTTTCGAGCGGCCGCGCCTCTCAGTTTTTGTGATGCATTCCGGCCGTTGGTGGATGATCGCCCAGCTAGGTCGTCACCTGCTAGTTCAGGTGATTCGCTACGCTTGGAAACTGTCCCTGAGGAGTTGGATCCCGTGCGTTGTCGCTTGGAAGCACCCTTGAGACTGTCACACGAGTTAGTATCTTGGATCGCTCGATATCAAAGAGGGTCCTACTCTTCTGATTCATCTCTTGTGCGTTTCCCGAGAGTGCCCATCTCTCTGCTCTCCTCGATAGCCCTCCTCAACATTTCATCCTCGTCATATGCACCCCGACTGTTGAAGGTGGCCCTTCTCTTGGTGCTTTCGGACTGCTTGTTCTTGTTCTCTTTCTTGCGGCCCGTTTCAGGGTTGGAGGATAAGGGAGAGGATCGACTGGAGCCCGCCTCCAGCACAGGGAGGTAGCGGGAAGATTTTGTCCTGTTAGGTGGAACATGTCAGTGCAGGTCCTCAACAGACATAGCAAACAAGGTGATAGCAGATATTCGGCACAAAGAAGAAATGCGAAGACTGTAAGATCCTTTCAGCCATAGTGATTGTGTACGGGTTGAAGCATCAGAGTTCAAGAGGGACAAGCTCACCCATTTGCTGACTTTGTGATCTTGTGGAATTCTGGTTTGCACTGTTCACAGTAGTATTCATCCGGAAGCATCGACTCGTCCAGAAGACCCATACAGCCACCGTGTTGCCAGACGCTGCAGTTGTCGCACTGGACGAAAAAATTGCCCGTGTCGTCGGTCACGGCGTCGGGGATTGTTTGTTGTTGGCGCAGGAGCGGAGAGGGACCAGGATACTCGGCCTGCCCACAGATACAGCGAGTGACTTCCTCATCAGCAGGGTCCAGGCCATTTTCCTCTTCCTCGGCCTGTTGTTTGACTATTGGTTCTTTCTCGTCACCATTTCGGCGGCTGCGACGCGGTGCGATCTGCTCGGTCCGAGACGACGAGTCGGCGCCATCAGCCGATTCGGATCGTTGGGTGGAGGGTCTTCGAGGAGACGGTGCACGATTGTTCGTCCGAGTATCTCGCTCCGGTTTGGAGTTGATTGAAGAGGTAGAGTTGGTGTGGTTGGGAGCAGGAGGGGGCTGCTGTGACGAGCGAGCACGGGATGAGCGTCTAGGGCTCATGATGAGGGGGTTGAGGCCGTGATAACTTTTCTGTTGACCAGTGTAAGTGTCGTTGTAACTCAGAGAATGCAGGAGATGTCGTACGAGGGTTAAGGAGAGGTGTGATGGTGGAAAGGCAGAGTTCGCGCCCGCTGGATGGGTGGTTACAAATTCGTCGTGTTTCTCACAGAGGAGAAGCGGGAGCTGGGACGGCCAGAGCAGGTCACAGAGACAGACAACAACCGCAGCAGAGTGCCAGCATGGGAAACGGCATATTCACATTGCTGGGGGAGGAGATTGAGGAGCCGAAGAGAAAGAGAAGTAAGGGATGTTGTGCTCTGTAAGAAGTTGAGGGCACAAGCAAGCAGTTTAACTGCGACCCTCTTCGCTCTGGGGTGCTGGCGAGACTTGCGGCGGTGACTGCACACACACACACACTGCGCTTTTCTTCGCTTGCACCGAATGGCCGACCAACGGATCCCTTTCAGTGGCAAAGCCATCTGAGTGGCCGACCGCCGAGGGAAAAGCGGGCCGCACAGGTTCACGCACCGGGTCCAGTGCTCTGTTTCCCCCCTCCAAAGCCGCTTTTCTCCAATTGACTGCGAACGATCCCAGCCCAACTTTCTCCAACATCGAGCCCTGCATGGCGCCCTGGGAGAGATCTTGCGAGGGCTGACTTAGTTTGAGATACGAGATGGCAGGTACTTAAACGTCTGTATCCGTGCTCTTTCTCGTGTTCTGGCACAATGGGCGCTGCGCGGGTTGAACGTTTTAGTGCGGCGAGATCCAGGCTTTTGAACCGCAGTTTGCGATCAGCCGAGCTCTCCAACCTCCGCGATCACGTGCAACGCGCGGAGTAAAAACGGCCTGTGGTCCAGCCAATTGACGCGTCACTCAGGTCCCCGCCTCAAACGCGTCTGTCGCAATTAGGCCATAAATGTCCGAAATTCGACCATGCTCGCCCCTCGTAATTCCTCGTCGTCTGAGGCACCTCTTTTCAAGCCTTTTCACCTCATCCTTCAGCGCCCATCAGGCCTTCTTTGCGACTCCAGCTATCCGTGACCTTGTTCTCAGGTATCATGTCTAGTCTGCAGAAGACAGGAGAAGGACTCCTGATTTCGTTTTCTTGTTGCCAGTTGAGTTCAAGCCCTGCACGCCACCGACGATATGAACGACAGTGAAGGTTTGATGCAGGATTGAGGATTGAGTTCATGTGGCGGTGTGCGGTCTGCAGCATGAGGTAGTCATTACGCCCCTCGTGGTGATGCATAGAACCTGGACTTTCGCACCTGCACATAAGTCTCTTCCAAATCTCCGCGAAAAATCAATGCTACACCAGCTACCCCTCCCCACCCCAGGCTTCGTCCGCCATATTCTTTTGTTATGATGACTGGATCTCGAATGTGGCCACCACGAGACTACTCATCGGAGCACGTACATCTTCCCCATGTCAGTACGTTAAGAAGGAGGCTGTACACCAGTTCAAGCGTTTACACGCCTCAAAGTCGTGGCTTACGGCCTCCGCCCTGCCATTTACAGAACTACCAAAGAATATCCAGGTACATCGGACGCTGCAGCAAGATCCTTTCTCCTCGGTGACAGACAGTCGCCTGGCGTGTTGAGCCAAGCATTCCCTGTTGTCGGTTACCCGGCACTCGCATATTGACGACGGCTGCCGACAAAGGATTGGTGAGCTTCCAGAGCTATTGCAAGTTGCCCTTGGTCTTTGCACAAGTGCCAAACCTATATTCTTCCTGATGGTGTTATCCACGATAGTATCGTGGAGGAAATTGTGAGTATAGAAGAAGATCGGCGGATACTGAAGAAGCTGTGTAGGTCGTGGACGAGAAAGAAACACACGAAATGCCTTATGACCGCCTCGGTGGCGGAAAGGAAAGGCTGGGAAACTGATCCCAAGGGTGATTGGTCCAGCTGAGACTTGCCACAAGAGGAAATGGTGCTCGATCTACCATGCTGGGCAGTCTCGAAGGTGAGATGGACAGGCACGAGCAAGGGAAGGTCGCGTCCAGCGGATGACGCCGGCAGGAAACGCATCTCAAAAGACAAGTTCGAACAATGTGATGATGCTCGCCGACTCTCCCCAGACCGTCCCGCAGAAATCAGATGGACGGAGATAGCGGATTGCCCGAGAGTCATCATTTAGCGGCATTGTACATCCCGAATCTGCAAGAGCCAAGTATTGATTTCATTCCGAATTGGGCAACCCGGTGCCAGTATAGTTCAAAATGCTGGGTGGCTGTTAACTTGCGCGCTTGCTTGGTCAACGCCATGGCCAGATCTATTCCAGAAACCGCCCGGCCGACTCCGCAAACTCCCAAAATGCATGCCGCGTATATAAGCTGTCCTTAGGAAATATTCTTGTCAACCCATCGTTTTGTTGATACACATTTTATTCGGCCGTTTCGTCGTAGTGTCATGTCGTGATACACACGGACTCGTGTCTGCCTCCGAAAGAAAGGAGATTGTCCATGGGTCCAATCAAAAGGCTGGCTCAAAACAAAGGCTCAGGACTTGAGGGCGACCGGTATCCAGGGTCTTCAATTTCGCTTATTCGATGCTGCTTGGGTACCTGGATGCCGCCGCTCTTCGTCACGCCGTCACGTCGAGCCATTCTTAGAAGTTGTGCTCCAGTGAGCTGGACATTCCCCTTCCCCTTCACCTTCTCCATTTCCATCACCCTCTCGATTTCCATTTCCATCTCTTTCTCTTTCTCCTCCTCCTTCTCCTTCTTCTCCTTCTCATTGTCCCCCTCCTTTTCTTTCCCCTTCGCTTTCTCCTTGGAGTCCTGCGGTTCTGTCGCAGGGCCAATGTCGGAGCTTCCTGTTTCATTTCTTCTGATCTGAATCAAAAGACTCAGCTGGCTCTTGGTGCGTGGGAGTTGCATGTTCTCCGAAGAGGATTCGGAGTCATCGGCATCATCGGAGACTGCTTGACTGGACATACTCGTCCGCAACCGTGAAGATCCAGGATTTTCATCTTGCACCGGGAACATGGCTTCCTTCTCCCTTTCCTTTCCCTTCCGCAATCCCTGGGGTACTTCATCTGCAAATCGGACGACACTACCTGTCTTTTTGATTCGATTTAGTCCAGCAAGATTTGTCGAACTAACCAATTTCCTCTGTGTCTCGACAAATTTGTTTCGGAAATCTGGGTCGACCAACTCTCCCGAAGAAGTAGGCACATGGGGAGCAGTGGTCGCTAAGGGAGGGTCAGAAGCCGAATCTACGCTCTGCCATGAAGAGGCGGACGGAAGAGCGAAAGGCGGTCCACTGGTGCTTGCTGCCATTCGAGTCAACTGCCTGCCAGCTCAAAAGATACGAATAATACTTACAAGGCACAATTGGCAAGCCAGGGGGGGGACCTCTGGCGGCGAGATGGCTGACAACTTCAGCCGTGTCTTGATTTGTGACATCAGCCGCAGCAGGCCCTGGCTGTGCCCGTGGAGACTTTGGCGCACTTTGACCCCCCGGAGATTTCTGTGAACTGGATTTCCGTCGAGGAATCTGAGGCCTCGCCCTCGACTTTCCGGCCGTGGCCAGAACCGGCAATCTCGGTCGTCCACCACTAGTGGTTCTGCTCAAAGTCGGCCGCGCAGAGGATTCGGAAGTGGCGTGGGATGTAGACCCTGATGTATCTTCAGAGTGTTTTCGGCCATGTTCTCGTGGAGGCATAAAAGAGAGATGAGAACCGTCGTCACCTCTGTTGGCCGCCGCGGATGGAAATCTGAAATCTTGCAGCGAGGGTACAGTATGTGGTCTAGCTCGTGGAGTGGAAACCGTTGTCTGATGGAGCTCAGAGGTAGGAGACAACGGAGAGGGTGTATTTGGAGTCTGGCGCGAGGTAGAGGGACCCTAAACAGTTCAAATCAGAGGAAATATCCAGGGGTCGTGCAAAGGTGTATATGTACCTGGGTTATAACTCGGTGAGGCAGCTTGCCACCATGGTCAACCGGGGTCAAGTCGAAATCTTGAGTGCATTGATTCCACAAACGCATCAGTCGCGCAGATGTCATGGACTGGGTGAGGGGTGGACTGCTCCATACTCTCCAGAACAAGTTTCGCAACCTCACAGAGGTATCGTCCCGGGTAGCATCACTTTGAATGGCGTACACTAACAAAACAGTCAGCCACGGCTGGTCCTCCCACTCCATAGAGGCCACCGACCTTTCCAAAACTTGCTAAGCACTTCTCCGTTGGTGATTTCGACGCTCGAGTCATCGAGAGCATACTGTTGGACATCGGGATTTGCGTTAATCAGTCCTTGGGGCAGGACGGCCGTCATGACAAGCGGTTGTCAAGGTTCGTCTCTGTCGGGGGCAGCTCGACGAAGCCGAACGATCAAACTCCAACCTGGCCCAACCATATCCCTTTATTCCAGCAAAGTGACATACAATGTAAAGTCGAGCAGGTGAAGACGAAAAGAAGCGGTAGACAAGGTCAGGGAAATTGGCAGGCGGCAAGGGCAGGAGGAGCCCACCAACCCGGGCGTCTCGCGGCGGGGGGAAAGGCCCAAGGATCGGTGAGTGTAAGAACAGATGAAAGCACAACCGGGAAAAGTAGATTTTTTGCCTTCGTGTTCCTTTTTCTTCAGTCCGTACCGCGCACGCCCAATGTGCGTGTAACCGCAAGTAGTCAGGACGGGCGGAAGTCTGCTCGAGGTTGGCCTAGATCACCGCTAGAGCTGGAAACAGGAAAGGTTCACTGGCGATGTCGATCGAGGAGGCTCACTACAGTACTTTGGGGGGGAGGGGAGTAGGAGAAAGGAACTGTCAGGTCCTGGATCCCGGGTCCTGGGGCATGCGAGTCCTTGGGTCGGTGGTGAGAAATCGAAAGTCTGGGACCCGCTGCCGAAAGCCTAAAATAACGGGGGAAGCGAGTGACAGCCAGTAGAGAAGCGGCGCGGAAGGGATCCGTTGGGTAAAACCGGAGCTGGGAGGGTTTGAGTTGAGCAACTAAACACGAGATGGGCTCATTTCAGCTGAGAGACTCTCCCGGACACGGTTGATTGAATGCCCTGAGTTGGGCCGGAACGGGGGGAAGACGAATTGACGGTACCAACGTGGGTGACAGTCGTGACCGGCACGCCAGCTGCGGTGAAGGGGAGCGGGTGACGGAGCTAGCGCGGGAATGGCGGTGGATGGCAATGGCGAAGTAGTGGCCTGGAGGGAGAAGGTGGCGGATCAGTTGAACAACAGGAGAGGCAGGCAGAAGGAGCGATACGTCGAGAGAGGGAGAGAGGGAGAGAGAGAGCATCTTTCTGATGAGTGGTGAGTGGGTAGCGAGGGGGGGACAAGGTCCTCCTCGTAGAGAAATCGCAGTCAGCCGACCCCACGACCACAGGTCCCAAGAGCACAACTGAAACAGGGCTCAAGGGTCCCCGTAGGGACTGATGTTGACGCAGGAACCAGGCCCAGATGGCAAAATATCCGCTCGGATGTGGGTTGGTGGTTGGTGGTCGGTGGTCGAGCTTTGGGACCAGGGGGAATGAGCTCATGTGCGAACGGGCGGATGGAGAGGGGTTACGAAAGCCATCGGCTCGGGAGGCCTGGGCGGGATCCAGGAATCGGGACATGGGCACAGTCCAGATCATGGGAACCGGAAATGGTAGACAAGGGGGTCGAAAACATGTCTGATTGAGTTTCGACAGCTTCATGGTGGGCAAGACAGCAAGAGGGTGGAGGGAGGAGACAATTGGGCACAAATTCAGTCAATCTGGACGGAGTGGGAAGGTGGAAGATGCCAATGGGTAAGGGGTACTGCGTCCGTGGCCCGTATCCAAGGCGGTATCCAGTATGCTGGGACGGTCTGTACATACTGTAGAGAACTTGTGACTGAGGGAGGGAGGAAGAGTGGACGGTACGAAATACCACATCCGTCGTAGTCAGCCACACCATCCGATGAAACGAGGTAAAAAAGGGCGAAAAGAGGAGAAAAAGCGGAGGGCAACAAACCAGAGGTCGATTCCACCAGTGCACGAGCACAAGAAGCTGGTTGCGGCCCCAGTCGGTGAGGCTTAAAATACACGGTACGAGCAGAGCCACTAGCCGCCTGCCAGTAACTGTCCCGGTTACCAGGACACAGAGGCGACAAGCACCAATGTGATCGACATGGTCGATGCCACAAATTCCCAGATGGCCACAAATTCCCAGATGGCCACAATGGAGCCACCGACGTGGAAGCGGGTGCGACACTAGAAAAATCGAGAACAAGGGCTAACTACCTAGGTACAGTAGTACTTGCGCTCAACCGGAGCACACAATGGCACAGAGACCAAGGGCACGCCAGACGGTTAAACGGCAAGACGATGGAAAGCCCAGGCAGGGCCAATCACGATACCTACTTCATCCGCCTCGGCAAGACACTGGTTTGTACGTGAAAGAAAGGGACATGAGAAGAAGCTCTGACTCTAAATGACAAAAGAAGAAGTTTAGACCAAACATATTGCATCATGGGCTTGGATTGTCATTGGTCCGTCCTCTTCGTCGTCGCTGTCGCCGTCGTCGCCCTCCTCCTCCCTGTCCCTCGTACTCCGTACACCGCAGCTTTCTCGCCACGGCTAGTTCCAAACTCCTTTGCTTCCATATCTACCTAGCTACATAGCTTCAGGTACCTATCTCACCAAGGTTGCATCCACGGGTACGTACCTGCACCCTCTGGTGGCCCACAGTCCTTTTTTGCCTCCCGGCAAGCTTGCGACCGAGTTACTTTGGGAACTAATGCCCTCGAAGCGCTCCAACTGCGCTCCACCGAGTTCTGAGTTACGAGTCCCCCCAAGCCCTCAGCCTGGCCCCTGGTCGACACTACTGTCACCAGCTACTGTCCATATGTCCGAGAGCACCAAGAAAGCCAACTTCCATCTCAAGACTCTCCACTTTTCCTGTCATCCTTCGAGCCTGATTTAGCCCTGCAGCTATTACTCCCAAGCACTATCGCCAAATCCACAACTACATCCACATCCACGTTGCTGGGCCGCCCCTTTCTTCCGTCCCGGATATGCAACCACGCACAAAAAGACGAGTGCAGGTATTGTATTGGGGGCCTACCGATGGCACACACAGTCACAGCTGCATCCTCTCGTTGGTCGCCGATCTCCTACGTACCAGACCTTGCAAGATACGAGCAAACCTTCCCCACGCCGCGTCCCCTCCCTCTGCGCTACTTCGTCTGACATTTGATCAACGCCTTGCATTGCTTCCTTATTTCATCTTATCGGAAACACCACAAATGACTGTTTTGAATCGATCATGGGTATCGCACATGCGCCCCTCGGAGACCATTTCTTAGCTGCAGCCAGCCATCTAGACAAGTCCATCGCTACATGTCTCGCTACCACGCTACCACTTGAGCACGGATATAGCGGTATAGCACGCCCTCTTGCTTGTTGTTTCATCAAGAGCAAGCGGTCTGGATCACCTTGGCTCTTGGGGCTGTGTCGCTTCTAATCCTTGCTCCAACGATATTGGGGGTGATGTTGATGCCCAATCCTCCTGGAATTTCGGCTCGGTGCTGGCGGCAGGGTCTTGAGCAACAATAGTCACTTTGGCCTTTGGGGCGATGTGGACGTCCGAGCTGTCGGCTTCGACCCCCTTTTCCTGACGCCACTTTTCGAGTGACCATCGTGCCAATGTCGATCATGTCAAAGCGCCTGAGGCCTTGAACTTTGCCAGAATGGATGGAAAACGCCATCGAACGATGCCGTGAAACGTGGGGTGGATATCATGCACAACTACCTGCTTGGTATCCTAACCACCGGGTTTTCGCCAGGCTTTCCAAGTCCTACCTCGACTTCATTGCCAGGTATCGCGGTTACAGTCGGCTAGAGGGGGAGGCACACCGGATCTTCCCCCGATCTACGTTCGAGAAAGCAAGCAGAGCTACGCACATGACCTGGAAATGCTGCTGCGATTTGTGCCTCTCCTTCATACCAGCATTGAGCAACGGCAAACGCATTGACCAGCTCGTGCGGACTAGCTGCAAAGGCAAGATCCCCTAGCGGTCTTTTCCTTGCCATCCCCACTTGACATTGGAGATCAGCGCCTTTATGTGCAGGTGTATCTATAGTCACCAAGTCAGCGAGCCCTGCCGCCAAAAGAAGCAACAACTGGAATGATCCGCAAGGGATACGTTGGAACCAGGGGGGTCGGGAAAGGACTTACCCTCCGTCCACTCGCAAGTCTGCACCCGTGACATAGCGACTGGCGTCGCTCAGGAGGTATACCACCGCTCCCTGGAGATCCTCAGGAGAACCCATCTTGCCGACGGGGATCAAGGATGTCCAAGTTTTGTTGAGCTCTGGGTTGTCGTCCAGGATTTTGCGGGTCCTACAAAACTCGTCAGGCCGCCGCGGGCAAACACATCGGGGCAATAACGGGGGCAATTTGACACTTACAAAGCCGTCAACATGTAACCAGGGCTGATGCAATTCACTCGGATATGAGCGTGTGCCCATTCCACGGCCAAACTGGCGGCAAGATGTCTAACCGCCGCCTTCGCCGCATTGTACGGCGCCTGGGGTTGAGGTACATTGACAATTGCACCAGACATGCTGCCAATCATGACAATACTCCCGTGGGTGATGTTGCGTTCCATCAGATGCCTTCCCACGGCAGTGCTAAACAGATATGTCCCGTCGACATTGACGCCCCAGAGTTTCTTCATGCGCTCATACGGGTAGGTCTCAGCAGAAAAGTTCTCCGTGAAGCCGGCCGAGGTCACCAAGTGGTCGATTTTGCCGTGCTCTTTGAGAATTTCGGCGATGCATGCATTAACGGATTCTGGGTCGGAGACATCGGCATAGTGTGCTGTCACCTTGGGGACGTAGTCCTCGGAGCCACTGTCCGTGTTTTCCTTGGTCATCATCGACATGAGTTCTGCGGCCTGCTTTTCAGCTTCCTCCTCTATTTGGAATGAGATTGTTAGCATGCCGGTTCGTTCGTGGTGGTTCGTCGGCAAACTCAGCCAACGGATTCACGCAATCGCCTGCCGAAATACCGCCAAGCAGCAGCGAGAGTATCGGAGCAAGTGCAAAATGGGGGTTATTCCTTAGGAAGCTTACTGTTCAGATCGACAATCGCCAGATCTGCTCCAGATTGAACCAAGCCTTGGCCCATGACCAATCCGAGCCCTCGTGCACCCCCAGTCACCACCGCCGTCCTGCCTTCGAGACTGAAGGTCGGCAACGTCCTCACATATTGGATCCCTCCTCTTCCGCGCAACGGTCTGTCCCGAGGAAATTCCTCTTCTGGGGGGTATTCCACCACAATGTCTCGATCGGTCCGGGCAGCTGAGCCTTCATGGGGGCCAGCCGATGTACCGGTGGCCTCCGTGGAGACTTTATGATACGGATCATCTTTGTCAAATTGGCGAGGAGTGACCTTGATGCAGCGGGAGGAGGTTGAGGACAAAGGTCGGACGAGGGACGGATATGGGGTGATGCTCGAGGGAGCGGCACGCAAGCTGTTGAGGCGAGGCACTTGCCGCAGCAGACGAAGCGAGCTGGACGTGTTCATCTTAGATTTCCCCTTTTACTGTTCCACTGTCCTCTGAGCGTTTGGATTCTCGAACGGTATGTTGAAGGGACGACAGCGATACTTTTCCTTCGTGCCAGTCAAGGCGTCTGCTGGTTTGCAATGCTGGTAGCGTAGTGGAAGGTAAGTTTGTCTTCGTTTCTCGGTGATCGTCTTATTCGTTCGAAGAACTGCTTGACTGAATTGTCTGAAGCGACGAGGGACGACTTCAATCAATAGAAACCTAAAGTTCTGTGACTTTCACTTTTGGAGCATTACTTCGTGACCAGTGAGAAAATATCCAGGCCGAAGAGGTTGCCAGGGAAAGCGAAATAGAGGTGTCGTCTACTCAGAGAGTAGCCAGAAGAATTAGAAGATATTGTACCAGGTAGGTGTGTGTGTACCATGTGTGTATGGATGTTGAGTTAGCTTCCCCAAAGAATTTTTATGGTGGTGTGGTGGGAGTCGCGTCCGCAAAGGTGTGCAAAGAGGGGGGTATGTCATAGGTGTCATTGAGGGTCTCCTCCTGGTGCCCCCCAGCTCCCAAGCTCCTCTGATGAGCTCCATCCAGCTCAGACATTGGGCGAGACATGTGCAAGGTGCCGGGTGTGGAGCAGGTCACAAACTCATTTGTTATTCGGACTTGTTCCTGGTAGGCACAAGGCACCTCCCCCAACGACCAAGCAACACAGCAGATTGGCCAGATCTGGCCGGTTGCTTTTGCAGATTGGTACCGTGTAGATCGCGCCGGAGAGGACCCCGGGATTCCGTAGAGTGACGACACCAATGAACAACATTGTCCCAGCTGGTGCTGTTCTGGTGCTTGGTCCCTCTCATATTTATGAAGGCACTAAGAGGACTTGTACGGTAAGCACGAGTACCAGTACAGAGCAATCGAGTACGAAGAGATAATACTCGGTAACGGGTGCCTATCTACGAATGGGTCATGCAGTATTTTGGTGGATATACTGTAGGAACACCGACGTGTTGGGAAAACGGGCCGGGGGGGTGGGTTGTGTGCATGCATACCTGGGTGCAGTAAGTAATCCCCCGAAGGCACGATCCAGGCCAGCCTAGTGAGCCCCCAGAGTCCAATCCAGGTCAAATCCACTCACTAAAAATATTAATTAACACATACAGTAGGCCTTTGTTAGACATGCCTACTCGCTACCTATCGTCGGCTATCGCTTCCTCGAGCATTTCCGTTCATCGCTTCAGATTTCGCATATCTTGTATCTTCCTCTCCATGTTCCTGGTCATCTTCGATTCAGTTGCTCGCGATCATCATCATCACTCTCAATGACTAGTGTTGCGAGAGCAGGCGAGAACCGGAGAGACATGCACAAAATTGTCAACGGAAGAACGGTTTCGAACGAGCCAAGATAAAAACGCACCGGGGGGACTCCGTCGCCTATGTGGCTCGATACGGTAACATTCCCATGAAACCCCCCCAAAGACAAGGATCGAGAAGAAAAAGTTGAATGGGAAAAAAAACCAAAGAAACCAAAGTCAAAATTCTGGGGTATTCTTGATCTGACTTTTCTTGGGCTATCTGGTCGGGAGGTGGAGAACACACACCATGAGGTCTTTGATTCAAAGGGAAAAAAAAAGGACGGTGAGGTCAACTTTAGTTGGTCGTTCATCTTGATGGGTCGTCCATGCCCAGACCGAGACCATATCGAACTTCTTCTTCGCAAATGAAGCACCCGCCGTGTCAAGAATATCCTCTTTTGAGTTCTGTTGGCAAAGTCGCAGATGTTAAAGAGTCTCGAGCCGACTTGACTGACCGGCCATTTAGCGTTTCGCAAGTTACTCTCCACTCTCCCCCATCTCCTTTCTCCGGGTCACCTTCTTGCTCAACACTTAGGCCTTGGTGCCACGTCCGCGTCTCACCTCCCGTCTCTCGAGCCAAAACCACCAGGTGCCAAAGGTGGCCGTCGCGATCCACAAGACCATCCCAATCAGGTCGAAGACGACGGCCACTTTCATGCGGTGGATGCCGCTCTCGTACTCGACGCGCTCGCCAATGTACATGGAGCCGAAGATACCGGAGAGCGTCGCGAACAGGATGGTGAGCACCCAGTCCCAGGCGAATAGCAGCGCGACGGTGCGGTACTGTAGGAAGATGCTGGCCAGCGAGAAGACGACCGACGTCACGGCAGCCAGCGAGCCCACCGTGACAGCGAAGACCTTGAGCGCGATTAGTACCCTGACCAACTCGGGCGGGAGCGAGGTGAGTGCATTGTCCTTGAGATTCGTTGTACGTACCCATTTCGCGTCCGCGTACTTGTCCTGCTTGTTGGCGTTGTTGAGGTCCACCGCGTACATGCCAATCACGACCAGGGCGTCGATGAGTTGCAGCGAGCGGAACACCAGGTTGAACAGGTTGGATTTGCGGAAGTTGGAGAAGACCGAGAAGAAACCCATGGTTGGTGGATGTGGTTCGTTTTGGATGATGATGTTTTTCGTTCAATTTGTTGTTTCTGCTGTGGGGGTGATCTTGGTAGAATTGACAAGTGTTGCCGATGTGAGTGGTGGCGTCTGTAATGTTCAGCAGGAGGAGGAAGGCTATGTAAAGTCTGTCTCTGTCAGAAGCTGCAGATTCGTCAGGAGGTCAGGCGGTTTAGTCGATTGTTCAGGCAAATACCTTGGGCAGTCAAACAAAGCAACGCAGCCGTCTTTCTGATCGCTTCAATGATGGGTTTGTCACCAGGTGAACTCAAACGGGAGTGACTCAAAGCAGCTCTGTCCGCTCTTTGTTGTGGCTTTATGCAATCGAGAATACCTCGTTACCTCGCCTTTGTATCGCCGGTCAACAGTAGTTTGTTCACCAAAGTGATGAATCCTAAGTAAATTTGGGCCAGAGAACAAGGAGGACCCTTCGTCGGGCATTGTGTTGTTGGGCGAGCAACGAGCAATGTCAAAAGCGAAATAGAAGGTAGGAAACATGGATCACAGGAAAAGATTACCTTGATAAGTGAGAGACAACTGAATCTGGAAATGGAACTGGAGCTGCCACCAATGCCCGTGGTGGCAAGTGCGTCATCGGACAAGCAAGGATGTGTGAACATGAACGTTCCTTGGAATTGCGGGGGATTGTGGCTTGACCATGGCGCCTGTTGGGTGGCAGTGGCGGAGTGGCTGGCTGTCCAAGGACCAAAGAGACGGGAGTTGGGGCCAGCACGAGGGTAACTTGGGGACGTCTAGCCTACCTATGTAGGCTTAAAGAAGCCATAGCATTGGGCGTCCGGGGCGACCCCCCGGCTAAACCCCTCGGATCTACCCTGCTCTTCAAGCCATGATCCCTGTCGACTCTGCCGCGTGCCTTATTCCACGTCAACGCACACGCAATCCATCGTGTCCAACTTTCTCGTCTTGAGCAAACAAGGTCCAATAGCCAGGGGTTCTTCCCCCCGTCACCATGCCGGATCAATAGGAATCGATACTAGTTTTATCTTTTTGGAAGGAGAGGAGTATGTGCAGGCTACCTAGGGAGTCCCCAGGAGTGCCAAGAGTAGTGGGATAAAGGGCAACGTGTAGATACAGAGAAGATTTCAAAATGCCAGGCGAAACGAAACCGACGCCAACAAAACGAGAGTCCAGATCAAAGTCCAATGCGACGCGAAAGAGAAATCGAAGCAAGACGAACAGCAGAACAAAAGGACAGTTAAGAGACACAGACCGAGCTGTCGAGAGCCCAACTGTCATCGTGTCCCTCCACCTCCATTTGTTCCCCCAGCCTTGTCTGTTGTCGCGTCTGATGGCGCCGGAGCAGCCTTGCTCGGGGCACTGGCTGTTGGTGGCGGCATGGGGACCGGGTCATCGTAGCCGTAATCCAAATCGTCGTCGCCAAGCTGGTCCAGTGGCTGGTTATCATATGCCTGCGGAGGATGAAGCGGGCCATGGTAGTTGGCGGAGGCTTTGGACGTGGCCTTTTGTTTTTTTCCCTTCCTGCCTTTGAGCTTGGCTTTCTCTAGTAACCGCCTCTTCTCGGCTAGCCGGCGCCGTTCCTTGCGATCCTTGATCTCGTATTGACGAATCAATGCATGCGGAGGTTCACCAAAAATGCTCTCGTACTCGCAGAATTCGCAGATCCAGATGTCCTCGGGGGCCGGCGGATGTTGCAGATTGTTGTATTCTTGCTGCAGCTTTCTCTGTTTGGCGGCCAAAGCATACACGTCTGCTCGCCTTCGGCGAGGCTTCTTGCCTTGGGCATTTGCATTGGCGGCAGTGGGAGCCGCGGGTGCTGGTTGCGTGTTTGGCGGAACCACGCCCGGACTGGTCTGGGTCGCTTGAGTTGATACCTTTTGGTGTGTTGCGCCCGGAGCTGGCGGAGCCAGATTGTTCCGTTGGGCGTAACCCGGCGAGTATAAGCTTTGCTCGGGGAAGGTCACTCCTTTGGCCTCGCTCTCGCATGTAAAGGTAAACTGCGAACTGGTATGGGCCTGCTTGACTTGTTGGTCTAGGACGCCCACATTCTCTTGGCCTTTACCGAGTGGCTTGCGAAGCAGAGCCGTGGCATTGGCAATGGCGGCAGATATGATGCCTTGATCTTTAGATTCTTCGGCTTCAAAACACATTAGTCAGACCCACACCCTCATCTTCGATGCTTGAGCCTTACCTTTGGCGTTGGCAGACATGTTCTGGTCATACTTGGAAGTATTACCTCGAGCGTTCGAGCCATTAACCGAGATACCAAGGGGGTTTCGACCCGGATGCTTTCTTGCGCTGCGACCTCTCCCGGCTCCTTGGACGCCGAGGCCAGTAGGAGGGCTTCCGGCGTTAGCGATTGTTGAATAAGAATCGTCTGCAGAGCCTTCTCTCGATCCGCTGATTCCCATGTGCGCCAACTGGTCCGTCACGGATGAATGATGCAGGCTCAAACTGCCAGATGTGGGAATCTTTCGCTTTTTCTTGTTATTGGTGTTCTCAAACGCTTCATATCCGTCCGGCCCAGCGATGGTGCCCTTAGAAGAGTATCTATGACGCCCAGTGCGGGGAGATCGCGGAGGAGACACAAAGTAGCGACGGACAGGAACCATGCGCTCGTCTTGAGAGTCGAGGTCATCTTCGTATTCATCGTGGTGGCAATGGTGGTGGTGGTGAGGACATTCGTGATCGTCTTCGTGGTCGTGGTCATGATCTTGATCATACCCGTCACTGTGTTGGTGCACTAAAACTTTGCTGTCATTCGGATATTCGCCATTTTCACCATAGTGGGCATATGACAGCAAGCTGGTTGAGGGCAGCGTAGGAGGATACGTGATTGCTTCAGCGGCCTCTTGAGACAACCTGGACTTGATGGACCGTTTGGGGAGTGGCCGAATCAGTCGCTCGGGGAAAACGGTAGAGGGAGTGTCAGGGGACGAGAGGTAAGATGTGTCTGTATTCCCATGGTTATTTATTGCTCGGAGTGGCTCGCAGTGGATGCCTGAGGCCACCTATGAGAGACATACTGTATGCCATCTTCGACAGTCTTTCCTCCTTTTATTGAGCCCGAGCCAACAAAGATTTTCTCTGCCCCATCCAATGGTACTTTGCAGAGTCGACGCCGAATCCTGATGATGGTCACAAGGTTAGCCAACGTTCAACCAAAATAGAACGCCTTGACGTGAGGGTTGGGTGTCGGTTGATTGCCTCGATACTGTTCATATAGGAGTAGGTGGGCGTACCAGCGAAACCGAATTATTCAGCCAAATGTGATGAGTCGTCGAGTGCTCTCATGGAGCAGAGACTCGTCTCTGGCAAAGTAGATATCCAAGCGGAATATTGTGTAAAGGTGTTGGAGGATGTGGACTCCAGCTGAATGGACTCAACGGGTAAGTGAAAATTCTAGTAGTTGTCAAGACTGTTCAACGATAGCTTGCACGAGCAGAAGCAGACGCAGATGGAGGTGCACTTCGACTCCGTTCGATATCGGCTGCCAAGCCCCTGGGTAGCCGAGTGGGAGCCTCGTCTCATCTCATCCCACCCTCGCTTCAAACACCTGTCTCACAAATGTTTTTACAGATGTTACAATAGGGGGTTTCTAGGCTAAAGACCACCTTGCAATTCGTTTGCCACCTTGGACTATGTTTTCTGCTTGTGGTCGTTACTTTCATGAAATTATATCATAATGGCACTAGGGCGTTCTTCAATTTCAGGTCCGAGAGCCAGTAATCCTCTAACATCCCGAGCTTGAGTGTTTGCTTGTCGTTGAGTGGATGGCGTAATCGTTGCAATTTATCCTCGCTATCCCCGAAAGAATCAATTTCTCTTGCTGTTAATGAGCAGAGCGTGTGGTGGTGGCAACGTCTTGAGGATTTCGTGCGGCCTTTGAAGCTACCCTCTTTGCTCGGCCGGCCGTTGATTTGGCATGGTCAACCTCATCAAGCTCCTCCGTTGCCTTTCTTTTGTTCTCCTTTCGAGAGCCCGATTCGTGAATGTCTGTCAATTGGACTCGCGAGATCCTCATTCCATTGACCACAGGTGTGCTGTTGTGACGTGTGGCGGCTTTAGTGGTGTCTTCAGGTTCGTCCGCGTCGGCAACCACAGTTTTACTGGAATCTGGTGGGGATGGGAGATCTGCCTTGACTCGGCGACGTTTCCGGGGTACCTCATCCTCACTCAACACTTCCAACTGTGACACCATGCCTCCCGACCTGAGACTATCCTGGCTGAGCTGAGAGCATTCTCCGCCCCCTTCGTCGTCTTCTTTGCCAACAACAGCATGGCCGGGGTTGGTAGAATTTGGTCCGTGCCTTTCCTTCGAAATCATTGTCTCTTCATTCAGTTCTTCGTTGGGGTCTCCTCCTGCAACGCTTTCTGCATATTCATCGTCCTCTTCAACTTCAGCTTCAGCATCTTGAGTTTTGTGATCGGATGAGGGCTGCCGATGGACATGTTTGAGACCCATATCTGCTAGACTCATGTCATTTGCCCAACTCTCGTCCGCCTCAGCTTGCGTGTGGGATTGGGCCCAGCCATTGTCCTTGATGGCGAAGATCTCCTTCCAATTCTTCATGAGAGCCACCTTCTCCTCCTGGCCATCTTTGTACGCTGGCGTCTGTCGCCCAGTCGAGTGGGCCCAAATCGTACCCTTGATGCCAATAGTCAACAGCTTGGCCTCGTCCAATCCTGAAGGAGGGATGCTAGTTGTCTCGATCAACTTTCTCTTCTTTCCCCTTCTGGAGTCCTGGGCAGCGATGAGGTTGTGTTTTGTAGGGGCGCCACCTTGGGGATTTTTTCTCAGCAACGTGGGATCATCGTCCATATAGTCATCCGAGTAGTATTCCCAGTCGCTGTAATATTCACTCGTCTCGTTCTTGACTGCATCCTCCTCTTGGTACACAGGACTGTGTACAGCATGCTCGGCGAGGTCGTCGGCCAACTCTGGAGTTGGGTCTGCGTCCCAGAGGATGTCCTCGAGATCGTCGTAGGGAGAGTAAGCGTAGTCTTCAATATCAGACATTTTGAAGGAGCGAATCTTCTCATCACATCCAACTGCGTTTCAAGACGACAGAGCAGGTTTCATCAGCAGGAAGTGGAGGCAAGAGTGACGGGATGGTGAGAGCGATTGAAGAGGAAACGGTTATAGGTTCATCATCCGAATCAAGGTGGACTATTTGCTCCTCCTTTGACTCGAAAGACTTCCTGAACGCCGTCTGAGCAATAATACAACCAAGAACGGCGTGGTGCAGGACGGGGGACAAATGGAATCCAGTGTGACGATGCTCGGGCAGGCATCTTTTGGAGAAGCCTCGCGTGTTTCGATCCCCGCCTATTTGCCCGCAGGAATGAGACGCTGCGCTCTGCCATTCCCGACGCCATGCGATGACAGCCGAGATCTGGGGAGGGCTTTACATTCCCATTTCTCTCTTCATGCCACATAAATTGCCATACACTCAGTCTCTGTGCGTGTCAACAATGTGATTAGTCTATCTACCTTGCTTCAACATGTCCCACTACCCTTTCTCCCGAGCTGCAGTAGCTTTGCGCAGTAAGAGCGCCATTCGCTCTTACTCCACGAAGCGTATCGACTCAATCCTCATTGCAAATAGAGGAGAGATTGCCCTCAGAGTCAATCGCACTGCTTCCCAGCACGGCATTCGCACAACAACTCTGTACACGACTCCAGATGCTCTCTCGCAGCATGCTCTGTCCTCGCCCTTCTCCTTCAACCTCGGCGCAACAGCCGCTTATTTGGATCAAGAGAAAATCCTCCGAGTAGCGAAACAAGAGGGTTGTCAAGCTATCCACCCGGGGTATGGCTTCCTATCCGAGAATGCAGAGTTCGCAAAGAGGTGTGCCGAAGAGGGTGTCACTTTCATCGGCCCTCCTGCCAGCGCCATTGAGGATATGGGTGACAAGGCTAGGAGCAAAGAGATTATGAACGCGGCCGGTGTGCCTTGTGTACCGGGCTACCATGGATCTGACCAGGCACCCGAGATACTTGCACAAGAAGCGGACAAGATCGGCTATCCTGTCCTGATCAAAGCTGTCCGAGGCGGCGGAGGCAAGGGGATGCGGATCGCAAAAACTGCCCAAGACTTTGCAGAGATGCTTGAAAGTGCAAAGAGTGAGGCCAGAAATTCCTTTGGAAACGATGAAGTCCTCGTCGAAAAATACATCACTACACCACGTCACATTGAGGTTCAGGTATTTGCCGACAAGCACGGAAACTGTGTTGCTCTGGGTGAGCGAGATTGTTCCATTCAACGCCGCCATCAGAAGATTCTTGAAGAATCTCCAGCTCCCAACTTGGATGACACGATTCGAAAAGATCTGTGGGATAAGGCGCGAGCAGCTGCACTTGCTGTCAAGTACGAAGGAGCTGGTACAGTTGAATTCATTTTTGACAATGACACGGGTGCCTTCTACTTCATGGAAATGAATACCAGACTCCAGGTGGAGCATCCTGTCACCGAGATGGTGACTGGTCTTGATCTTGTGCATTGGCAGATCTTGGTCGCGGAAGGCAAACCACTGCCGCTTACCCAGGATCAAGTCGAAGAACAGATTTCCCAACGTGGACATGCCATCGAAGCCCGAATCTACGCCGAGAATCCAGACAAGGGATTCATACCCGACTCTGGCAAACTTTTGCACGTTCGGCTCCCTAGGGAGACCGCGGACGTGCGGATAGATAGCGGATTTGTGCAAGGCGACGAGGTTTCAAGCCATTATGACCCCATGATCGCCAAACTGATTGTCAGGGGCGAAACTCGAGAAGACGCTCTACGCAAAATGGTTGCAGCATTACAAGACTACGAGGTGGCTGGACCAGTAACAAACATTGACTTCCTCAAGAGAATATGCAAATCCCCGGATTTTGTGAATGGTGATGTCGAGACAGGGTATATTGGAAAACACCATGAGGAACTCTTCCCACAAATCAATGTCACTTCTGAAGTCCTTGCGCAGGCAGCGATTGCTTCGTTCCTCCGCCATTCAAATGCTTACAATTCGGTTGCAAAGGCTTCATCCTGGCAGGTCCCTCCGCCTTCGTGGCTTAACACATCGTCCGACTTCCAGCCACGAACCTTTCAATTCACCACCGCAAGTTTCGAACCCGAACCTGGAAAACAACCCGAAATCCTCACCGTGGAACTTCGACAAATAAGTCCAGGTACATTCTCTGTGTCAACTCTGAATTCTGACTCGATGTCCGTTTCATCGTCTTTCGACCCTGAATCAAATACCTTGACGACGTACTTTCCCCATACACGACATACCTCACACATCATATTCTCTCCCCCCTCAACCTCATCAGGCTCAGCATCAAACCCAGAAACATTACATCTCTTCACCCCGCATGGCTCCTTCATTCTCTACTCGCCTTCACCTTCATGGCTCCAGAAAGCCCTCGGTGTGACCGAGAAACCCAACTCGCTGTTGTCCCCCATGCCTGCTAAGATCCTCCGTGTGCTCGTCTCACCAGGGGATGTGGTGAAGAAGGAGCAAGCTTTGATTGTTATCGAGAGTATGAAGATGGAGACTGTTATAAGAAGCCCGATGGAGGGAGCCAAGGTGCAGAGAATAGTGCACCAAGAGGGCGAGGTGGTCGCGAGTGGTGTTGCCCTTGTGGAGTTTGAAGAAGATGGAACACACGAAGGAAAGTGAATATTGATATGATATGTCGAGAACTGGAAGTGCGAAGGCGTATGTTCCAGTTTTTATACGAAGGGAATCCGAAAGGGTCATGATATCGGAGCGAGGTGGCTGGCTGGTATCGATAATTTTTAGCCTTCAGGGGTGAAAAGCATCTGCTATACACTATGGGTAGAGGAGCACAGACAGCAGAGCAATCAAATAACAAAAAAGTTAGCACATGCTATGCCTTTGAAATTCTAATCTTATCATTTATGTGGCCAAACCCTTGACCCATACTCCATGACCCTCGCAAGTGCTCTGCAGCAGTGACAAGAATTACAAGAAAACGTCGCTTTTTCCAAAATTGTGTATTGTCCAATTGCTTATCTCAGAAGCTGACTGACTCGACTTCCACAGTCGGTCTCCGGACGTTGTGCGTCCCGTTTTCCCTTTTCCCCTGAGTAACGAATGTGACGCCTGTAAATCCAGCAGTATTAGGAGGGATCCCAAAGTCCGTGTCCAAAACAAAACAAAGTCCTCGCCTCCCAGCTCTCATTCGTGTGCAGAGCGCAATTCCAAATCCTCCACTTCTCCCTCTTCCCTGGTTACCCACCGCTTTTGCCAGTGGTCTTCTGGAGGCTCGAGTTGCCTGGACCCCATTCCCCCTTCCCCCCTCATTCAACAGGTTTGGGGCCGACGCTCAGGAGGTGGCCTCGTCTGAAAGTCCTGAAGAGCGCTCTCCGAAGCAGTTTCTCGAAAACCGAAACGATCAGGCCGGCTGGCTGGGTCATCATAGCTGAGATCCATGCCGCCTCCTTCGCCGTCGTCTTCGGAACTGTCATCCGTGTCGACCCAGTCCTCGTCGTCGTCCTGCAGCTCGTCACCGCCGTCGTACTTGTCGCCGCCGTATATGTCAGAGGTCTCGCTTGATCCCTCATCCGCACCGGGGTCGAATACTTGCTCGGCCACTTCGTGGTGGACCACGGTTCCCGTGCTCCCGCCAGAGTCCCCCTGGGTGGAAGAGGTCTGGGGGGTCATAGAACCGCTTCGGTTCCAGGACGTCAGTGGGGGAGTAAGGCGAAGTACCGGGGGAGGAGAACGGACAGCGTTGCCAGACGGACCATTCTGCGGAGACTGGTGTGGACGTTGAACAAGTTGCAAAGCCTGGTTTGCAATGTCGACCGCCGCACGCAATTGCTCAAGCTCCGCATCCCGGTCTCTGACAGCTGCCCGTACGATCTTCAGTTCATGCTCCAGAGCTTGATTTCTGTCCACCAGGAATCTCACATTCTGCTGGTGCATCTGGTTCTCACGATCGAGTTGACGGAGAGCCTCATCCACTTTCCAGAAAGCTTGATGCATAGCTTCCATGCGAATCTGGACTTCGCGAACCGCGGCTCCCGGTTGGAAAGGAACAGGCTGGGCCGCCCCGACGTTTACCCCGTAGGCATAGGCATTCCCGGCAGCCACAGGCGTGGCTGAATCTGGCACTCTGGCCCTTGCTGCTGCGACTTGATCCCGCCAGCGAAGCTTGAGGACTCTGACATCCTCAGGATCCTGGCGTGGACCGGGGGTGTTAAGGCGGTATTCGCGAGGCTGAAGTGAAAATTCGCCGGGAGCAGTCTGCTCCACTTTGCGTTGTTTGCCGTCGGACGAGAATTTGTCGTACTCTTCTGCCCAGTTGAACGGAGCGTCATTGTCAAGGTCTTGCGGAGTCGTTGCGGCGGGTTGTTCAGGTTCAGGCTGAGGTTCAGGTGCTGGCTGGTCGTCCAAAAATGGGTCAGACTCGCCAGTAGATGCAAGCCCATGGTTTGGTCGACGATTTCTCCAGCATGCAAAAGTATCTGTGCTGGAATTTCCGGATGAGAGATGTCGAGATGATGGCGCGGCACTTGAAAGGGATCCGGTTCGGCCTTCGAGCCAGTCCGTGAGAGAACGACAATGCCTATGGCGGAGGGTGCGGCCCTCAGGCAGATTCCCGCCCAAGATGTCGCCCTCTTCGCCGCTCATTTCAGGGGCTTCCGGGAAGTTCGCCAAAGTATTTGCCGCGTCGGAACTGGTCGCGGACTCATCTGAGTCCGGATTGTCAGGGAGCTTAGTAGTTGTCACTTCGGAGTCGATTCGGCGCAAGGCTATGTTGTCATCAGCGCGTCTATGCCCCTCTTCAGACATTTGTTCAGCGGAGTCTGCAATGGAGTCGTAATCAGCATCGCTTGAACCATCCATGTAGTGTGTGTTCACGTACTTCAGCGTCGATTGAGGTTCAGCAGAGATCAGGGTGTTATCGGGAAGAACAGGCGGTGCAGGAGCAGCGTGGTCATCTTGCTGTATCAGCTGCTCGGTGTCAGAGTCGTCAGAACTAGCTTCTGGCCCATGGTGCACAGAATATAGGTTGTCAGATCCCTGGTGTTGAAACAGGTGTCGACGCTTGAACACCTGGAAAGTCCTTGTCAGCTTTTCTTTAGCACCTGTGAAGAATGATTTGGCTTTTCCCATCTTGACAGCAGAGGGCAAACTTACTGGGTGTGAGCTTGGTGTGGTTGAGGATTTGTCTTAGTGAAGTCGGTTGCTGGAGTTGCTGTTTGTGTTTGTGTTTGCTTTTTGCGTTGTGTTGAAGCACTTTCCAGTGTCGTCGTGCTGTCCTGAGGGAAGTCAAAACGAACAGGCGAAGAAGGATATATTTATATTAGGAGAGGTCCGAACGGTGTCATTGTCAGGGTGAAGCGTCCATTCGGCAACGCAGGAGACAGGACGGTTCAGGCGTCGCGACACAAGTACAATTGCCTGACTTAGAGACCTGAAGAACAAAGCAACATCCTGAATTTAATTGTCCATATGAGGCAGTTCACGATTCACAAATATAAAGGAATAACCCAGGGACGCCTGGGCCTCAGCTGAGGCAGTGAAGCCCTCAAGGGCAACCCTTTTGTTCAGCTCAGACAATGCAGGTGCTTCAGATATAACATAGCTGTTTAAGACAGAGATCAATGCCAAGGAGGATTGTGTGAAAGAAAGCAATGCAAAGAGCAGACAAAGAAAACTGGACCGCTTCCTGGTATCAACAAAGGAATTAGTGCGCTGCCGTTGCTAAGCCATTGAGACTCGGATGGGCACAGGGCTGATGCATGGCTGTGCTCTCTGAGCAGATGAAGGTGGGCCAGCCAGGAAATGTCCGAAAAATAACCTGGCTGGCCACAGCTTAGCTTGTAGATGAGGATAAGTGCAGCCAACTGGCAAGATGCCTATACGAAAGGGAACAAACGGGGAGGTGAAGGAGCAAGGCTACAGGAGAAAGTCGATATGGATTATCGGAATGACGCTATCTCAAACAAGGAATAGCGGCACCAGCGGCTTCGGCATCACCAAAACGGAAGGAAGAACGATATACCGAGCCACTTGGGCTAGACACTCATCCATGATCCAAGCCATGTGTCTTTCATCTGCATTCATGTGCCAATAACCAAGTATTCCAAGACCTATCTTGTTATCATTTTTCCGTGTTCTTTCACTTCTCTTACCTGTAATTTTTGTACCTCAGTGACATTGGCTCCACCTGGTGAAAAGTTGGAAGTCCTGCAGTCGACTGCAAAGTCACAAGTGGCCACATTTTTCAAACACGCCTTCTTGGGGCTTTGTCCTTCTTTCAGACCCTGTTGGCTGCCGATCTTCCTCCAGGACACCATCAAGAACTCGGAATAAGATCTTGATTTGGTAGCCGCCGTCACTCTCCATCTCTCCGTTAAAATTCACCCGCCCGACACCCCGCCAACCGTTGTACATTCATTAGTCGTAACATTATTGCCCTGTCTGCAGGTATGCCAAAGACGTCTGTCCGAAAGCCTTCGGTACAGAATAGTCTAACATCTATGCAGATACGCCGCGCATTGTTCCCCTGACTTGTCATGGCCACTCTCGGCCGATCACACATTTGAGCTTTTCCTCCATTGTGGATGATGATCAATACTACCTGATATCGGCCTGCAAAGGTGAGATCCTATCCGCCTAAGCTCAAGCTATTTCTAATTTTGGTCATCAGACAATAACCCCATGCTGAGAGATGGCATGACAGGAGATTGGTACGGTTATTTTAAGGCTAGATGAGTTCTTGAGCTGACTTTGGCACAGGATTGGGACATTCATTGGACACAAAGGCGCCGTTTGGTCGTCAAGACTGTCTTCCGATGCTAGAATTGCCGCAACTGGATCCGCAGATTTCTCCGCGTGAGATTGGAAGAGCACACAGTTTGGTTATTTCGTGCTGACATCACACAGGAGAATCTGGGATCCCCAGACTGGGGAGTGTTTGTACGTCTTGACACACAACCACATCGTTCGTGCCGTCGCATTTCCAATACAGACTAATCCACAATGTGTGGCTACCGGCGCGCAAGACAAGTCCCTCAAGATCTTTGATCTCAGTCGAGGTGGCAGTGCTGCTTCACCCGACCAGGTCAATGGCGCCTCTCCTGTCACCGCGACTACCACCTCCGAAGGGCATGAGATTGGAGCGGGCCAACATGGAGGCAGCATTAAATCAATTGTGTGGAATGTTGACTACAATATTCTCACTACTGCTTGCGAGGACAAGACTCTTCGGTGGTGGGACTTGAGGGTCCAACGCATGATCGCCAGCGTCAAGACCGAGCGTGACATTACATCCTGCGAGCTCTCCACAAACAAAGCGGAAGACAGCAATCCTGGAATTCTTAGTGTGGCGGCTGGACATTCCTGTCTCTTTTATGACGCTGGGAGACCTGGCGAGCTTATCAAGCAAGTTAATTTCGACCACGAAGTCGCCAGTGTGGCCATCAATCCTGCAACTGGACGCTTTGTGACTGGTGGCAGGAAGGACACATGGGTCCGGGTATGGGATTTTGGGCAGGAAAAAGAGCTTGGTGAGCTTCAGCTGTCTCCATATCTTGCGCTTTCCTGCTAACTCTTCACAGAGGTTCTCAAAGGCCATCATGGGCCTATCTGGTCAACCGCATTCTCTCCTGACGGCAAGATCTATGCGACCGGAAGTGAAGATGGCACAATCAAGTTGTGGAAGGCTTGTAAGGAGCCGTACGGTCTCTGGCGCTGAGTTAAATACAAAGATACGACTGGAAGTCGGCTGCGGTGCAAACCACGTTTTTTCGAGAGTCCGTCTGAAATTCTCAGCCATACAACTGCCAAGCTCGCACGGCATTCAACAAAACGCACATGTTCTGGTGGTCAATACTCCACCGGAAAGAGATGTGGAACACGATGTCCATATTGTTGAGCTGTCCAGGATATTGACTTGGGACAATCTAAAAACCCCGGGGCTTCGGAATGACATAACCAGGCGGCTTGTCCGCGGATGATGTTCAGGCACCAAGAAGAATTGGTGGTCCGGAAGTACGTGCTATTGGGTAGTCGGGGAAGTTCTTTGGGTGTCTCCAAAGCCCGGAACGATCTCAGCGAGGAATGAGCTTCCACCTTATGAGCCGTGTGGCTGCAGGAACCAAGGACCTGGGCCAGGGGGGGACATAAAGCTTGAACGCAGCTCAGGCATAGGTAGATTAGATGACCAGAAATGGCTCCGGCACCGTGGACAGTGCTACGTTCTTCGTACCTCGTACTCTCTGGCATTCTACTCCGTACTCGAAGCTCTTACACTTGATGAAGCAGTGTCTGGGCAATAAGGGGAAAGGACGCTGCAGCTCTGGGGGTGAGGTGGGGTCCCAGCTGCCAATCAGCTGGGGGAAGCCGAAGCCTAGTAGCCGACATCTCACACCGACACCGCCAATTCCTCTAGGTACCCTGTGGGTGCCCTGCTGACTCCGTAGCGGCCAGCAGCCACCGAGGGCCCCTTGAATCCATGAACCGGGGCAGGGACAAGCACCGCCCACAGAAAAAAAAAGAGAGGCTCCGAGAGCTGGCGGTAAATAGCTGTCGCCCACCCAATCCCCACCATCCAATGCCCTGCACCACATATCCCATATCACTCCACCATTTCCCTTCTGGTCTTTTTTCCTCGCACTGTCTGGTTTCCTGTCCTAATGCGTCCCGATCGTTCGTCTGGCATTCGGGCCTAGCGAGGAAAGTTGGACGGACCGGTGTGCCATCAGCCAGACCTGTCATTCGCTTGATTACACCCCTCGGTCCTCCCTCCTCCGTTGTCGACACCCACCACACATTGGCTGCGCTGGTCGCCCACCATTAGCACTCGCCGCGTATTTGTCTCTCCGATTGATATACCCCCGCGCTGTCATCCATATCGAACAGTCTCTCTCTCCCCTGAACAGGAGACCACGGTCTCGAGCTCAGTTTCCTCTCCGAACGTTGGCCGGCTCCCTCTCGTCCACACCGCCGGCTCACAAGAAGATGGATCGGACGGATCTACTGGATCAAGAGAAACTCGAACAATCAAGCCACTCGACCATGGAGCACCGCCAACATAGTCAGGCGCCGTCGCAGAAGACAGCCTGGCCCAGGTGGGAACGCAAGGGCAAAGAGAAAAGCACCATTGCCCGCGCATGCTCATGGGTCGTGGATCATCAGATCAGTAAGAACGTCCTTACCCAGAGCTTGCCATGATATGTGCCATACTGATTTCTCTTTCTCACAGGCATCTCCGTCAACCTCATATCTATGCTCTTCTTTATACACTTTGTCTTCCCCTCGGCAAGGCACCACACCCAAAAGTTCTTCCAAATTTCCTACTACAACCCCGCGACCGGCAACTTCGCCCTGGGCTGGGACGATATCTTCTTTGTCTTCTACTGGACCATCGTCTTCACCGGCCTGCGTTGTGCTACCATGGACTATCTCCTTGGTCCGCTTGCCGCTTTTTTGGGCATTCGAAAACGAAAGCCAAAGGTGCGATTTGCGGAACAGGCCTGGATCCTCTGCTACTACACTGTCTCCTGGTGTACAGGCATGTATATCATGTACAACTCCGACTATTGGCTCGATCTCCGCGCTCTATGGAGGACGTGGCCAGACCGCGAAATGGAAGGAATGGCCAAATGGTACTACCTGGTCCAATTCGGGTTCTGGCTGCAACAGATAGTTGTGGTGAACATTGAGGAGCGCCGGAAGGACCACTGGCAGATGTTCACGCACCATATTGTGACTTGTTCACTCATTTTCACATCCTACGGCTATCATCAATACCGCGTCGGGACGCTGATTCTCTGTCTAATGGACTTCGCCGACATCATCCTGCCCTTCGCCAAGATCCTCAAGTACCTCCATTTCGAGTTTGCATGCGACGTTGCATTTGGTGTTTTCATGGTGTCCTGGCTGATTGCCAGGCATGTTCTATACATGACTGTCTGGTACAGCATCTACGCCCATATCCCAGAGGAAATCAAGTACGGATGTTATAAAGGCAGCGTACAGAATCTGGAAGGTCCATTCCCGACGCCCAACGACTGGGACCATCTTATCCAACCATTCAAGAACCCTGTCGGACTAGTCTGCTGGAATAACAACATCAAATGGGCCTTCTTGATCATGCTCCTTGCTCTCCAGGTGATGTTGATTCTCTGGTTCGGCATGATCGCACGGGTTGCCTGGAAAGTGCTCTCTGGCAATGGGGCAGAAGATGTGCGCTCGGACGACGAGGACGACGAAGAAGAAGAAGAAGTACCGGAAGGGAAGTCGTCGAGAGATTATGTCGACAAAGTGAACCTCTGCGTCGACCCCCAGGAAGAGTACCTAGAAACGGAAATCCTCAGCACGGATCCGAACTTTTCTCTTTCGAAGTCTTCCAAATCGCGCACAAAATCAAGGTCCAAGTCCAAGTCCGCATCGCCATCCTCCTCGGTGGCAGGTAGGCAATCAACACCAGAGTCATCTATCGCCGGCTCCAGCAGTGGTGGGAGGAGGAAACAGAAGCACGAATCTGCACATTCCTCCGGCGTCAACCTGCTTGGGGGTAGCAGTGATCGCAAGGAACTGCTTGGCCGCATCGGTTGCGATAAAGGCTCTTCGTCCGACTGAGCAATATTGATGGGGAAGAGGGACGACAGATACATGCTCTCGCTGAGCATGCACACAAGGTAGTTCCATGGCCGGGTGCCGGTCATTTCTGGGTTCGTCCTCTATGTTTCAGGGACTTTGTTGTCTTTTTGGTGTCTGGTAACCTCCGGATTATGCGCCAGAGCCTAGAAAGTCGTGTTAAAACAGCGATCCATCAGGGTCTCCCCGCAGACTGCAAAGAGGGCGCGAGCGGCATGCAATTGACGTGGGGCTGGAGAGGCGACAACCGAGCGAAACCAGCATCGATACCACACAGGCTAGAGAGAAACCCAGCGGGCACGTATTGTACTTCCCACGCATGACGAGGTATGTCCATAGTACAACAGCCCTGTGGGTCATGCATATGAATATGGCGTGGGAGGTGTCGAGGCACCATACAGACGATAGACAGGCGGCTGCCGCAGACTAGGCAGTTACATACACCTAGATAGCCCCATAGATGGACGATTCAACGAAGCCGCGCCAGAGTCGAGACGGGATCTTGCTTCCCGTTCACCTCAGACGTCGAGGAGAGGCTGTCAACCGCGATCGAATCACTTGAAGCGATATTGGTTCATGGAGAGAGAACCCGGTTTGGGCTTGCTCGTCGAAGTACTAATGGGCAAAGATTGTCGCTGCTGCTCTTCTATCCCAGAAACGATCCCGGATTTGTCTCTATTTGCCACGTGACGATCCTGGAGGTACAGGTTTCTTCTCTCTCTCGCCTTCTGCTTTCACCCACGGGTCTCCTGCAGTCAACTCTCTACTTCCTCGACTAAGCAAGTCCACCAACTCGCGCCGGATGCTGTAGTGTTACAAATATAGACCCTCTGGCTCTCCCTCGTTCTTCGTCTTCATCACACTGTCCCTCGCACTCCTGAAATCCGCCATGTTGACTCTCATTCTCCTCTCTCTCAACGCCCGCAGCCCAGCTTCGGAACAGATTGCCTTGATATCCGCCCCACTGAGGTCATCTTTCTGGGCAATGAACTCGTCGAGGTCGACGTCTTCGGCAAGTGACATTTTGCTGGTGTGAAGTGTGAAGATCTTTTTCTTGGTGGCGGTGTCGGGGTTCTCAAAGAGAATTTTTCGGTCAATACGTCCGGGACGGATCAAGGCCGGGTCCAATGTTTCAATCTTGTTGGTCGCCATGATCACCTTCACGTCGCCGCGATCGTCAAACCCATCGAGTTGATTCAGCAACTCCAACATTGTGCGCTGGATTTCTCGTTCACCTCCGGATGTTGATTCATAGCGTTTCGTGCCGATGGCATCGATTTCGTCAATGAAGACAATCGAGGGGGCGTTTTCGGCAGCGACTTGGAACAATTGGCGCACCAGACGGGGACCATCACCGAGGTATTTTTGAATCAACTCAGAGCCGACGATGCGAAGGAAGGTGGCAGATGTTTGGTTGGCCACGGCTTTGGCCAGGAGTGTCTTGCCTGTTCCAGGAGCTCCGTAGAGAATGACACCTTTAGGAGGTTTTATACCCATCTCTTCATACAATTCCGGATGTAGTAAGGGGAGCTCGACAGCTTCCCGCACCTCTTGTATTTGGGATTCCAATCCACCAATATCAGCGTAAGATTCTGTGGGTGCTTTGTCCAGTTTCATCACGGACACCAAGGGATCGGCATCGTCTGTAAGCACACCAACGACGGAAACCGATTTGTGATGAAGCAGGATGGAAGCGCCGGGCTCAAGAAGATCCTTGTCAACGAAGGACATGATGGAGACGTAATACTCGGGACCGGTGGCGGAGGAAACAATGGCGTGATCGTCGTCAATCAGTTCTTCCAGATTACCGACTCCCATCGGGCTACCTCGCATATCGTCGACCTTACTTCTCTCATCAGAGTTGCGATCTAGGGGCTCGCCCTCTGTCGCAGCAGCGGGAGCTTGTGTCTGCGCAGCTTTCGTTTTCCGGATCTGTTCCTGGTTTTCGACATACTCTTCTTCCAGCAAAAGGTGATCGTGGACCCTTTGCATTCGGAGATATCGTAGTTTGCAGCGGGCTGTTGGGTAAATGGTGGGCAATTTTGCGGCAGCACTCGGGCCTGCTTGCTTGCGTTTCTTGCGGCCGATTCTGGTAGTGGGTTGTGGAGGAGGTTCATACTTGGGCTTATCCTTCTGAAGAGAACGTCAGTTTGGAGTTTTCTCGAGTTTCATAGCCTGCACGACCTTCTTATCCTTGTCGTCCTTCCCTCCTTGACCAGGACCGCCTCCCTGCTGTGATGATTGCTGGTTCCCCTGCGGAAGGTGTTAGTATTGCGGCAAGCATAACGATTGAGGTGTTATCTCTCACCATGGCGAAAAAGACGAAAACGAGACTCTGAAAGAACCGAAGTAGAAGCTGGAGAGATTTTGTGAAGAGGGTTGAGATGGAAAATGGCGAGATTGTATGGAGTAAGTTTGTAGTGGTTGATTACAGCAACTGGTGAGAGATGCGTGACGCCGCCTCGTCGCGCCTGCTCCGGTGCCAAGGTGTGGCTAGTGCAAATAGTGGCTGGAGACAACCGTGGCTTGTTTCGCCGATTCGCCGATGAGGAGACTCGTCATGGACCTTCGATGTTCGATCCCCATCCACCAGATGCCTCATGCTTATGAAAAGTGAGGCTGCGTTCCAACTATTTGGAAGCCACACACCAGGCAACACGTCCACGGCGTCTGTGTGACACACCACCCAGCTCTAGTCGTTGTATTGATAACTGTCATCTCAGTGTCTCGATTCGTTGGCCGAGACTTTGCAGAGTTCGCATCGTCGTTCCACTTCAAACCGCGTCCCCTCCCGTCCATCCTCGCATCATCTCTTCGACGTGATTCTAGCTCACAGCCTCGCTCGTTCGTTCTTGCGCCCTGTCTCTCCGGTCAACTACCTCTTCTTCGAAACTCGTTCAAACCTCGGCCAGAGTCTATCAGCCTTGCCTTGCACCTCTTCATCTGCTCCAGCATCGTCCCAGAGAGCACGACCCTCGGTCATCATTCTTTGAACGACAACAACAACCTGCCGCTTCTCTTTTAGCTTTCATGCTTCAAACAGACACAAATGGCAGGTCACAAGGCAAGAAGGATTGCCAAGGATTTGGCAGATATCCATGCGGACTCGGCCACTCAAATCTCTGCCCAACCTATTGGGGATAGCATCACAGATTTGAGAGGATCTTTCAAAGGCCCGGCGGGAACACCGTACGAGGGCGGTACATACGAGGTCTCGATCAAGATACCAAATGAATACCCTTTCAAGCCACCGGTCATGAAGTTTATCACACGGATTTGGCATCCGAATATTTCCAGCCAGACTGTATGTTCGTCCACAGATCTGACTGCTTCTGAACGAGGAGACTGACAGCATCTATAGGGCGCCATTTGTCTAGACACTCTAAGCACAGGCTGGTCCCCCGTTCTGACGATCAAATCTGCGATGATCTCGCTGCAGTCGTTGCTTAGCTCACCTGAGCCGAAAGATCCTCAAGACGCGGTTGTTGCGAACCAGCTCATCAAAAACCCCAAAGAATTCGAGAGGCAGGCACGGGAGTGGGCGGTGAAATATGCCGGGGCACCCAGATCTTTGATCGGTGAAAGCAGTGGTGGAGCTACTGACCAGGACATCGAGGCTGCCGAGAAGGAGAGTCGGGAACGAGAAGCTAAAGCCAACATTGCAGTATACGATGGGTACAACCAGAACCTAATTGACCGATTTGTCATGATGGGATTTGATGTGGAACGTGTGGTAGAGGCGTTCAATTACGTCGGCATCGATCGAAATGGTGGTCAGGACTATGAACTGGAAGAGGCGTACATGGGCGACATCACGGCCAGGCTGTTGGGCGAGCCTTAGGAGCGCAGATGTATCTCGCTGCTCGACGGGTGATTCAATGCATAAAAGCGCTGGTGTTGACATGGTAGGGTTCGGCGGTTGCCCCTATGGTGGCTTCGGCACGGTGTATATCACGAGAATCACGATCCTTATGCTGCTCTGATGAGAGGCCTTGGCTTGAACGATCATGCAGACTTTGATGCTGGTTCCCTCAAGCAACTCCTCGTAGTTTTATCGAATACTCCATGCTTTCGATGGCAAGGTAGAGACAGTACTGCCCAAAATTTGACAACTTATACAAAGAATGATTCGGGACATCACTCGTCATTTTTATTGGGAGGAATTTTCGGAGTAGTCAAACAGGCGGAGAGACCTTTGTTTCCCCACCTCACACTCACTCACGCACTACCATTCAGCCTGCTACCGCTTCACTAGCCATCCACAACTATCAGGCAGCCGTCGAGCCAGAAAGATTCTACAAATTCGACTGGTGATTGCAGAAGATGTCAACTTGTCGTGGGCCACCATGATCGAAGACGACATCTACAGAGCCTCGTCACAGTTCCGGTACTGGTCGTACACCAAAGAATCCTTGGCTCGAATACGACAAGAGACTAACAAACTCGCCTCCCAGCGGGTGAAGGCCGCGTTTCGACGCGTTCATGATGCCACCAGATTGTCACAGAATGGAGACAGCCACAATGATGGCGCCGGCATCAGCGACGGAACCGCTGCCGACTACGTTGAGATCGAGACATTGACGGTAAACGAGGAGTTGAAGATTGTGGAATGGGGATGTTCTAAGATTATGGACATGGGTGAAGCCATGAACCCAAGGATACCCTCGCATGTGGTGGTACGTTGTTATTCCTTGTGGTCACATCTTTCTTTGTTCTCTACCCGATGTGTTTTGACAAGGCTCTCTACAAACCGACTGCTTGCCTCGGGGCGCTGCAAGTCAAGCCTGAATAATTCTTTCGTCCCTCCTACATTCATACACTTCCACGGCTTCAATATGGGACCCTTGTCTCTGACAGCGGTGTGTCTAGGCCACAGCAATCCAGTACCTCCGCCGGTTCTACCTCACGAACTCTCCAATGACCTACCATCCAAAACAAATCATGATGTGTGCATTATATCTCGCCACCAAAGCCGACCACTTCTACATCTCGCTGTCACGCTTTATCGCTGAACTTAACAATGTCAGTGAAGACGATGTGAAAGCTCCCGAGTTTTTACTGCTGCAAGGCCTGAGGTTTACGCTGGATGTCCGGCATCCCATGAAGGGTCTTCAGGGAGGGCACGTGGAAATGAATGTCTTAGCCGAGGAAGGCAGGTCGGGCAGCAGCATCACCAAGGCCAGTGGGAGCGAGAAAAGAATCGGCGTCGCCGCGGATAAAGCGAAGAAGCTCCTCGCCACAGCCGCACAAATGACAGACGCGTATTTCCTCTACACACCGAGCCAGATCTGGCTCGGTGCGGTCATGGTCGCTGATCGAGAGCTTGCGGAAGCGTACATCAGTGCCAAACTCGAGGCTCTGCCATTTAGCGCCGATGACTTGGACACTGCGGCTGACCATTTTAAACAAAAGTTAATGGCGACAATCGCTTCTTGCGCGACCCTGCTCGAGTCTTATCGAAGTCCCGAAGACGACGCCGCGCAACGCAAGGAAATGAGACGCATCGGCAAGAAATTAACGGTGTGCCAGAACCCGGAGAAAATGGACATCGTGGCGGTCGCGAGGGCGAAGGCGGCGGCGAAGAGGGAGGGCGGCGAGGGAACAGATGCAGAAAAAGCGCTCAAGAAGCGCAAATTGGAGAGGGAAAGGCTGGAAAGGGATGGAGATGTATTTGGACCTGAATTGAGGGACGTCAAAGGTTGATAGTTTGGGAAGTGATGCTGATATTGACGGTGCACCCCTTCACCCGCCACGGCTATACAAACCATGTATGTGAATCTTCAACCCTGCGAGGGAATATATAGCTGTGTCCTTGACGCCATCATGTGTTCGTTCGTCTGCTGTGCCAAGTTGACGAGTCAGTCACTCAGATGTTGCAATATTTCCTCTTCGGATGTGTTTGGCAATTCCCGGTCGCTGTTGTGATTCCACCAAAACGGCAATTCTCCTCACCGGCTTTGATCAGACTTTTCAGCACTCGCCTGTCCCACTATGGAGTAATTTCTGGCGTTACATTGGTGACATGATCAGAGGGTGATCTGTCACGGCGTGCGGGTAGGTTTCCCTTTCAGTATTTTGCCATGTGCAGGTTTTCAAACAATTTTCGTATACATCATAAAACGAGTCGTCGATGGTCGTGGACGGAGTCCAGCATCTATCATTACTCTGACAGCGATCGAAGTATTGGCGACGGGAAAACTTGCGGGGACAGCTTCACAAAATGGCGGCAGGCAAATACAACGTTGGTGTCATTGGATATGGCTTGAGTGCTAAGACCTTCCACATCCCCTTCGTGAATGCGGTCTCGGATTTCAATCTTTATGCAATCGTGCAGAGAAGCCCCAAGCCAGACGACGATGCCAGCAAGGATTGGCCCAACACCAAGTCCTATCGATCTACGGAGGAGATGATGAAAGACGATCAGGTTCACGTTGTGATTGTTACAACGGCGCCGGTGTCGCATCTTGAGCTGGCAAAGGCGGCGCTGTTGGCGAACAAGCATGGTATGATCTCCCTGTGCCTCCTCTCTCATTAGGACTCAAGGACTAACTGAGCATCCAAAGTCGTTGTGGAAAAGCCCTTTACACCCACATCGGCCGAGGCACAGGAGCTCGTTGACCTGGCGAAATCTCAAAACAGGATTCTCACCGTCTACCAGAATCGACGGTGGGATTCGGACTTCTTGACATTGAAGAAGTATATCAAGGATGGTACGTTGGGCCGCATAGTCGAATTTGAGACTCACTTCGATCGGCATCGACCGGAGCCACCAGCGGATAACTGGAAGGCATACTCTGCCCCTGGTACTGGTGCGGTGTATGACCTAGGGACTCACCTCATGGATCAAGTTGTCAGTCTGTTCGGTATGCCGGAGAAAGTCACCGGATTTGTGGGATCACAGCGGGAAGTCAACACCACGGGGCTGGAGGACTCCTGCACAGTGCTGTTACATTATGCCAGCCCGAAGATGTTGGTCACGGTCAAGGCGGGAGTTGTCAGCCCAGAGGTGAATCAACTGAGGTACTGGGTCCGCGGAGACAAAGGCTCTTTCAAGAAGTTTCACCTTGATCCACAGGAGGACCAGCTTCGGAAGCAAGGGTTGAAACCGGGGGACAGAGGCTACGGGATCGAGAGCGAGGACAAGTACGGGACGTTGAATATTTACAGAGACGGGAAGATTTTCAGTGAGGTTGCTCCGACCGTCGAGCCGGCAACTTACACCGAATACTACCGTCGTCTTGCTGCTGCTCTGGACGGAGACGTCTCTCAGGTCCCAGTGGCTCCCGAGCAGGCTGTGGGTGTCATAAGGCTGGTGGAACTCGCTCGCGAAAGCTCACAGCAGGGACGGACTTTGTCATTGTGAACGTAGTCACGGGTATATTGGAAGCAATGAGGCAACAATGCCAGAAGATACACTCTCGTGGCCTATGATGGTATTCTCGAGATATTGGCGGTGCCACAGTGAAACACGGCCCCGCGTTTTCCCATTCCGCGGCAAAATCTCAATGGAGAAGGTTCATCGAGCGCATTTATTAATATGATTCCACGACGTCCTTGCTGGACGCTGAATGACACTACGATCAAGACCACGGCCCTCGTTCTTTTTTGTCATATAGCGACCGGTGGCCATTTGCGTCCTCGATTTCCATGTCCCATGGATGCAACCGACTCCTTCACGGCGCGGTTGGCTCCGGCTTGGTCTCCCCAGCCCTGATCTTGCGCACGAGTTGTTGCCAAAACGAGCTCTCTATCAGCCATATCGTACGCCTCGAGAGGTATCGAGTAGCAGACACAAAATGCTCTTGCAAACGAGAAGCTGATTATGCACCTGGAGCCTTCTCTTCTCCCGATGCGCTCGAGAATCTCGTGAAGAATGTGCACAATGCTTCCTGCAAAGTCCCACCCAACGATTGGGTTCCAGGAGTACATCGAGTCACAGGCCGTGGCCCTCGACGCGACTTGACTGTCCGAACGCATTCTTTCCATACCCGCTCAGGGTCGTCGCTCAAGAATTCTACCAGAGGATGCGGACCGACTCCAAGTCTTCCCAAGAAGCCAGTGCACCCTCCACACTCTGCCACTCTTCTCCCGCCACAGTCCAGCCTCCCAAAGCGAACAAACTTGCCATATCCTCCCTATGTTAGTGTTAGTCAGCTCTCCGCGGACAAACCACGAGCCGGCAATGGTGCAGGTCCAGAGATATCACTACCCAACAGCCCAGTCCTAGAACGGGAGCTCGAGAAAGAGGGTCAGAGGAGGGAGGCAGCAAGACAGCTGGAACTTACACAACAAAAAGAGGAGAGGACCCGCATGGATCAGATCCTGATAAAGACTAAAGCAGAGGAACGACGGGTTCAAAAACAGGCAGCCCAAAGAGCAAGAGAGGAAAACATCGCTCGCAAACGCGAAGAATGGATGCACAGGTCCCGTAAAGCTCAAGACCTCGCCGAAGAGATTGAGACGCTTCCGTGGGATGACAAGGCCAGCATCGACCGTTACCTGCACCACCAACGGTTACTGGAAAGAGCAAAGCACCTAGAGTCTCAACTTACGAAGTGGTACAGTGAAGGAGGTCTCAATAAGCAGACTAGAGACATTGGCAACTCGATATATTTTGATGCTCGGGATGCACTTAGCGATGAAAGTCTCGCACCGATTCTGAGGGGCTTGAATGACACCGAGCGTTATTGGACCTACTTGCGAAACCCAGACAACACCAAAGACGAGAAGCCTGGCACGTCCCTGCCGACACGGGTTAGACTCCGATTGTACAAGATTTTGTGGCTACGCTATCAAGTGATTGACACTGCCTGGGTGATTTCAATGACATTACATGATCTCCGACAAATACGGAGGCTCAAGGCTCAAGTATTGTGCTCTGCGGAAATCTACAGCTACCACAAACTCACCTACCCGCTCCAGCTAATGGTAAACGCTACAAGTCTGAATGCAGAGCGGATCATGGAGGACTACTTCCATCTCAGACGCATGTCGGGACTTTTCTACAAGCCTTCATCGCGGCGATTGACCAAGCTGTTTTACGAAAGCGCATTTCTCTTCCACGGCGCAAAGCTGCGCTGGCTGAGCAGAATTGTGGTCCGTGACGTGCGACATAAGCTCGAAGAACTTGCGGACACCGCCGCCCAAAGGGAGCTGTTTGCGAAGCTTCAACCTCTGATTGCACACAACCGAGATTTCGTGGGCCTTCAAAGCTCTTGCGCTGGTCTCCTTAGCCTCCTGAAGATCCCCTCGCGGTCCCCGCCGGCCCGGCTGAAGATGAAGATTGAAGAAGCGTATAGCCATCTCTCTGATATTCAACGAGATGTTCTGCTTCTGACTGAGTTTGTTATGCTTTGGTCTGGTGTACGCAAAATATGCCTGAATACTCCGAGCCGCCAAGGAGAAGATCACGCGCCAACGCAGAGCATTGATTCCACTCCGGCAGGTTCGTTCATGCCTCTCTACAGCGCCACGAAGCTTGGGGCTGCCGATAGGAACGTTATGCCATGGGAGACGCCTACATCCCTTTATCCCCTCGGTCCGGCAATTCCGATTCACTACGTCCTGACATATTCGGGGCTCCGAATGGTGCTGCCACGGTTCAGTAGTTGCAAGGTCCTCGGTTTCGACACGATACCGACGGCCAAAACCCAGGGGACTCGTTTGGTCGAGTTTCTGATTCTTGCAAGTGATCACGAGGTGGCTATAATCCACGTTGCTCTAATGAACCAGTTATCCCTGATTTCTAAGGAGCCCTTCGTTGATATCATGCAAAACGCTTCGATCTTGAAGGTTGGTGTTGATGTCGAATTCCAGAGACAACTATTGGCAGACGGTCCTTCCATTGAATTAGAGGGCGCTGTCGAACTCTGCGATCGTTTCCGCCCCAGGGTATCTCCTGGTGCAGTATCTTCGAAGGATCGGGCTGGGAGTATTATATCCTCAATGACTGCCCAAGTTTTCGGTTCTCCTTTACCAGCGATTGACCTTCCACAAGCACTCCGAGACTTGCTTCTAGGAACAGAGTTTCGTGCCATTAGGAGGGTTGGATCAATTGAGCCTCTTCATCTTCTTACCCGTGGGTTGTAAATTTCCTCGCAATGGATGCCACTGACAACGATAACTAGATCTAGCCTCGCGCGCCTATGCCGCATTGCGACTGTACAGAGTGGCTGCTAACGAGGAATCCAAACCGATATCCAGCTCGCGGGCCCGATCTGACATTGACGAACTTTCATTAGGTCCTGTCCTGGTTTATAGACAATCAGGGGTCAATGACGATGGCTTACCCAGACAACGGTGGCTGCCTCGCCAACGACTTCTTCATCTGGCCGGTATTGCGGAACACTGGGCTACGACAGTTTTCTGGGCAAGAATACATACAAACGACTTCAAAAAGCTTTCTAGGCGAGAACAGAAGGTCAAACGAGAAAAGGCCATTAGAAAGCTGACAGCATATTGCTTGTTCACGACATTCAATGAAAGGCTCGACACAATCCAGCGATATCTGGGAATGCGCTTGGTCGCTACTGAAATCCTAGCCATTTCGAATGAGGCCAATCTTCCCCTGCGCCCAAGAGACGTTGAGTTACTCGACTTTTGGCGCAGGTGGAAGCGGGAGGAGAATTTCCCTCAGGAGGAGATACATGAGGATGTTGAGAAGAATGTGGCACCTGCAGCGCACGCTCATGGCCATGAATCTAATGCTGCTTCGCCGACCTGGAAGTCCCGGGCGCAAGCGCTCGGCTCAACTCAGCATCTTCATGACCGTACCATCAGATCTGTCGGCGCATATACAGCTGTTGCAAAACAAGGCACACCTTCCACGGCTCGAACCCTGACTCAAGCAAGCCAAAGTGTACACGGATCACCATACGACTTTGGGACACGCCTTTCACAAAAGAAAATTCGGACCTCTTCGACGGTGGCAAAGAGGCCCCGCCCTGGCACGAGGAAGGCAGATCAGTCCACGCCGTATTTCAAGCCAATTGAGAGTGCTGTTGCTCCACAACCGCCACCTCTACTCAGTGTAGATCTGTCTTACCCGCTAGACTCGCATATGTCGAACGTTGATCGAGGGCTGCCAACTGGGAGACGAAAGAAACAATCGTCAACATGGGAGCCGAAGAAAAGGAACGACCGATCTTGAAAGCGGAGGGCACCACGACCAGAGGCGACGCGACGGCAAGATCAAGGGAAGCCAGAAGGAGAGACAAGTTCGACAAAAGGATCCCAAGGGTACCCAATCCGTCGTCAAAGACCAGGCTAATTTGATGAATGCAACACGAGCGAAGGAAATGGAACAGGCCAGAAAGAGGGGAGCGCGAGGCAAGTCATCTGCCATGGCACCACCGAACGAGCACCGGCTGGCAGAGCGCAAAGGAAGGAGTGAATTCGAGGCGAGAGGGGTGAGAACCAGTTGAGGCCATTGCCACGGCTGCCGCGAGGGTAAAGCTGGAGAGGATGAAAAGATGGAGAGTGGCAACAGTGAGGGCATTGCTGTTTGCCAGCCATCATCCATGCGACTCGGATCCCCCGTCACCCAACTTCGCCCAACTTCGCCCGTCAAGCTCGACTGACGGTGAGAGTGCCTTTCTATTTTCGCCGAGAATTTACCCGCGACGATCCTGTTCAAACCTCACCGGCATCTCTGAGCTTCCTTGTGGAGAACGGAGCAGTATTCGTAATTCGGTGGAGATCAGTAAATTGCTTGAGCGCCGGCAGTCCTCCTTCTTGCACTTTTGTCCGGTCAGATATCTGACCAAGGTCCCCGCCATTTTCTATTCTGGTATGTGAAAAATCCCTGACGCTAGATCCTGGATCCTAGGTCGACCCAGAAGCCATACCGTACACCGAAAGTTGAAGGTGAACGCCGAGACCTTCGACTAGCATGGACGGAGGATGGATGGCATGTTTGGTATCAACATGCGCCATAACTCACTCCACCACCTGGGCGCTTTTTCGCAGGCCCTTTCAACGAATTGGTCGAAGTTTCCAGATCTGTGCAGCTTCAAGAGGGTTTCGTATTTGCATCTTCGTTTGTCTCTTTGTGAAAAAAGATCAGGGAATGTTCGCGAAACGAGGCATAATTTTCTCTCTCTCTCTGTCTCCGTGATGATTGAGGGGAAAATGGTATGAGATATCATGGGACAACGAGCAATGGACATGGGAAATGTAGATGAAGAGTGGGGAAGGCCGTCCTGAGTTAATTGTCAGTCTCGGCGTCTCAGGCTCGATCAGGCAACAAGCCAGATGCGGAAGACAGGCCAGAACCAGATCAACTAAACACCCTTGTTGCGAGTTAATTAGCTAGCAATACGCTCGACCCTAGGTAGCTCCCTCCGTTCCATCCCTCGTGCTCGGCACTTGCCGCCCTTGGGTCCCTCTGTCGTCACTCTGGAAGGTTTGGGGCTACGATCGACGTCAGTGTACCTATCTATCATACTGAGGTGATGTAGTTAGGTTTGGTTATTAGTAATCCCCTCTGGCGTAACACGAGCCGAAGCCCAGCGGGGCAGGTATGGCCGGATGCGGCTCTAGCGTCCCAGGAGCCGCGCTAGTCCCGAAATAGGCAATGTGCTCCAAATAGGCATTGGCCCTGTATTTGGGGCAGGAATGGGACCGAGGGGGGTTGCAAGCAGCGGTGATCATCGTTACCTGAAGGAAGAAAGGAGAAGAAGGAGAGGAAGAAAAGGAAAAACCGCTCACTCACGTTACCATCGCGCGGAAACCAACACGAGCGACAAACAAAGCGTGGACAGAATCGCGTTAGATCGCCTTCCTTTCTCAGATTACCCAGCTAGCGGCTGCCTATACACGGGCTCTTGTACCGAGAACACTGGGCTTAGGGGATGCAGTGTGCCCCGTAATAATAGTTCCATACCGATGTACCGAGTACATCTGCGTACATGCTTGCGTGAGAAGTCGATATCCACTTCTCGACAGGGGCCGTACTCCCAACAGCGCTAGTCTATTACTACTACTGCACGAGGTAGTGTAAAAAAGTGACTGGATGGAAGTATGTAATACCTAAAACAAGACAAAAGAAAATCCTCCGTGAATTCCGGATCAGCCTCGCGTACTGCATGCATGTAGGATGGGGGGGGGGAGGGGGAGGGGGGGTGGTATGGTCCGGAATCCTGTGCTTTGTCCTCCCTCGCTTCTTCTTTCTTCCGGTTCTTTTGCGTACAGAGTACAGAATTAGCCGTGGTGGGAGATGGTAGTGGTCACTACGGGCAACCAGTTCCAACCTCGTCCCCCCCCTCCCCCCCCTTCCCCCCACCCTACCCACTTGCTAGATCGGATTACATATCATGTCGCCGCACTCCTACGTGCTCACGAGTCGTCGACCTGCTCCTGGGCCTTCGTACATACACACGTAAAAAAGTCTCGTATCAGATCATATCATAAGTGCTCGTTAGGGTCTAGTTATCGACCAGGGCACATGCACCCGTAACTGGTTAGCAGCCCCTAGCGCGTTGACAAGGGTTCGTATGCCCGTAATGAGCATGGTCGTGAAGGTTCCGATTTCTCTCCGGGAACAGTCGTTAATTATGCTTCTCACTAGAATGTTCGTGGCCTGTTCCTAAAGAAGCCATGTGGCGATCAGAATGGGAATGTGAGCTCCTTTCGGGTCCCTCAAACAAGGTTTTGTAGAACAGACATGCGATAACCCGTTTCATCCGGTTGATAATGCTGCTCTAACTATCCAATCGCTTTCAGAGGCCTGCAGCCTTGGGGCCCAATACTATACAGTTGCAAGAACCTCTTGCTTCCAACCACGCTGTAAAATCTGTTACCAAACCAAAAGGCAATCTCAATCTTGCCTGATCTTTCCCAGCAAGAAATCACGACCGACCCCATCTCCGCCAGAACCGTCCTTCCCTCTTGCCCATGCCCCGGTGCCCCTGTCTCCCAGACTCCTCTCGCCTCGCAATCCGCCAATAATACACCGGCAAACCGCTGACCACAAATACAATGACGATTACCGTCTGCACAGGCTGCGCCACCACCGCTCGACTGACCAGGAACAAAGAGACGCAGCAGAAAATGATGGGAGTAGTGATGAAGGTGCGGTAGGGTCTTTCCAGTCTGGGCTCGCGTATCCGCAGAACAATAAGTCCCAGGACAGTTAGGAAGTAGAATGCATATCCAGCGACGCCGTAGAATGTAAGGAGTGTTTTGAACTCGCCCAGGATAATATATATCATACATAGGAGCATGTTGAGCAGCATTGCGTTCACAGGTGTATATCCCAAACCGATGGATTCATCTCCGAATACGCGAGCGAGGGTTTTGGATAACCATGATCTTTGGCGAGTTTTGGTCAACGACACAGGCGTTTCCGGACCAGAGGAGGTGCCAAACCCAATCTTCCCGAACACGGAGGGTAAATAGCCCTCTCGCCCAGCCACGTAGACCAAGCGGCCAGAGGTGAAAGTCGTGGCATTCAATGCGCCAAAGCAAGATGCGCTCACGATCAGCGCCAGGATGAGCCCTCCAATAGGGCCGAAGACCTTACTTCCAAACTGAACGGCAACAGTGTTGGACTTGTTGATCGTCTCTAATGGCAGGACGAAGATGTATGCGATATTGGCGAGGAGATAGCATACAATAACAGCAGGCATGGCTGTATGGAGGACTCTTGGAAGGTCGCGTGCGGGATTTTTAAACTCGCCGGTCACGTAGTTGGTGTTATCCCATCCGTCGAATGCCCAGAGCCCGGCGTAGAGCGCAACGGCCCAACTGGAAATGTCGGTCGACGTGTTTTCGAACCAGTTGTGGTCTCGCCAGTCCTTGTTGGCAGGGCCGTTGAAGGAGAGGCCGGTCACGGCTACAACGATGCCGATGATGGTCACGGCCACGAGGGCAACGAATTTGAAGAACATGAACAGATCCCCCAGCCGCGCAGCGAAGCGTGTCGAGACGCAGTTGAAGAGTGTGACCAGCGCGAGCGCTCCCAAGGCGGGGATTTTGTTGATCCATGGATTGACATCTTCGACCTCGGCCCCAATTGCTGCCCGGACAACATATTCGCCAAATATGATGGCGATGATGGCTGCTCCGCCGGGTTTGAGGACAAGGATAGCCGACCAAGTGAACAGGAATCCCACCACCTCGCCAAAGATCTTGGCTAGATAAACCTGAGCACCTCCATTGAGTGGTATCGCGCCCCCCAATTCGGCGTACGAGGCCGCGCCTGTCCAAGCAAGAAGGCCGGAAATTGTCCACACCAACAGTGCTGCGCCCGGGGATCCCACATGCGAATTCACCTGTGCTGGTGAAGAAAAAATCCCAGAACCTATGATCAACCCGACCACTAGCGAGAGCCCATTGAGGTATGTCAAGGTTTTGTTCTTTTCCAGATTTTGCAACGCCCCGCGTCTTTCGAGAGATAGCGACACCGCCGACGGATTGCCGAGCGCCGTATATCCTCCTCCGGCAGTCGAAGACAGCGGGAACAGCGCAGGGGTGAAGTCAAAGGCGGACGAGACGGAGTAGGAGCGCCCATGAGCATTGCCACGAGTTGAGGCAGGGTTCGCACTGTCTAGGGGATCTTCATTCTCGAGGGAGAGTCGTCGGGAGGAGGAAATGCCGGAACGTGAGGATTCCTCGGACGTGGGCAGTTCATCGTGCTCGGAGTCGGCCAGAGAGGCAAGTTCCAGAGAATCTCTACCCTGGAAACGAAGCGGCTTCTGGAGTTCGGAGAAGCCAGGGGATGGTGGTGACATGGTTTCAAGGGAAGCCTTCGAGGCAAGCTCGGTGGGTTTGCAAGTGGAGGTGACTAGCTGACCGGACTCATCGTGTCAAACTGCTGTTCCTGTGCAAAGTTCCTCTTTCAGTGGACTTGCCAGTCAGGGATATTCTTTCGCAGGTGCTGATCGCAAGACTGACTGGTGACTGGGGGGATGGCTTGGAGAATGGCCAGACTGGACGTTGGACGCCGCCAAGGCGCTAACGCCGAAGGGGGCCGTGATTGGTGGAGACTGTGTCGCCGCTTTTATTAGTGTATCGGCTGCGCCCCAGCGTCAGATTCGCTTGCTGCGTAGTTTGATGAAGCTAAGCAATCCCGGTTCTCCATTATCTCAGCAAGCCACTGGCGCGGTGAGTTTCGGGCGGACGCGATCGAATGAATGACGAGGGAAACCACTACTTGCCGAAGTTTGCACGCCCTCGCCTGGTCCCCGACCTCAAACCGCCTTGTCGGAAACCTCAACGATGATGAACTTGCGCAAGTCGCCTCCCGTGGAGAAACTTCGACGCCTCCACGTCGTGCGCCCTGCTCTTGATCGAGGTAGCTGTCAGACTCAGTCCGCCGCGATTGGTGTATGGACCTCGTTTTTGCTCATGTATCCGACGTCAGGCCAAGGCGTGCCCGGCGGTGCGAAGGTTGTCCTTGCGTTGACGGGCCAGAGTCGGCGCAATAGGTTGGCTGTGGCGCACTTTCTCCCTCCCGACGACGCTTGCTGGCTCGCAAACGGTCCTGGATAGCTCGTACATGGCTCAGACTCACCAGCCTAAAAGAGGAGCCCGACTGCTCTTGCCACCCCAAAGTTGCAACAGAGATCTAGTCAGAGAGTGCAGTTGCACTTAGGAGTTGAAAGAATAGAAAACACGGTGGAGAGTCGAGACTTCTTATGGCCGTCTGAAGCATAAGACGGAATGATCTTTCTGCCGCCCGCATGCATTCCTCCCCAGGCAGCATAACGCCATCCCACGCCGCAGAGTTTGGACAAGTTCTCCAATCGGAAACGCATAACGGGGCCCCTACGCTCGTACCACCATCAGTCCTGCACGCCGGTGGACTAGCTACAGGGCATTAGCCACACGCGAGATGCCATAATCGAGTTCGTCTGCTGAAGATCGAACATTACCAAAGCGACGGGTCCAGGCTGCACCACAGGCAGGTTTCCTTAGTCATATTTATGGGGGATATCAAGGCATTCGTGGTCTTCACATTGGAGGAAATTGGCCGCGACGAGTGGACTTTTGGCCTCCTAGACGCTTTACGCTTCGGTACTTTGCTAACGGATCTTTAGGAGTCTTCTCGGTACTATCCTTATCATATGCCTGCGAGTCTATTCCCTTATATCTACCTCATTGAGATAATTCATTATTTGCCTCTGCCGCAGACGAAGCATCACACCAAGCCTCACACCCGTCCACCAAACCCGTGACATGTCGCAACCAATCCATTTTGTGCATGAGACAAAGCCAGGATCTTCATTGGATTCAAGTCAAGTACGTGCTCTCCGATCACACGTTCGGAAAGTCAACCTTGAAAGATCGAACCAGAAGAGCACTCGGCGACTGGAGAATTTTCGTTCCTTGACGATCACCGATTTCTCAGAGGGAGGCAAAGTGAAAAGCGGCAAGCGAAAACAGCCCCCCAACGTGGATGCCTGTCACAGTCTTGAACCGGAAATTGAAAACCTTCCACCGCGAGAAGGTCCCTCACCACAGTGCCCCCTGAATCTCGGTGGTGCTGATACTCCCACAACTGCCTTTCAGTTCCTTTCGTCAACGGCTGGTGATGGTCCTCCAAGACAGTGTACCTGTGCCAGCATTCGCGCGAAGCCACTCAATCCAAAATTGCCGAGCCCGGGTCATCTCCCGGCTGCTAGGGCATCGCCCTCCAATGATGAATGCCATCCATACGCCTCGCAAATTTCCAAAGCTATCGATCTTGACGAAACACGAATCGACTATCTTCTCAGGAGCTGTACGTGTCTGGTGCTTTGCATGGGAAAGCTATTGTTGACCCCGTCTAGGTGCCTTTCAAGTGGCGGCTGAGCCACTGCTCGTTTCAGGTCCCGTTAACGGAGACTTGACGGCGCTCTCCCTATTTCCAGAGTGCTTGACTAACTCAGCGTTTCTCTACGCCCTTCTCTACTCCATCCTTCATATTCACAATTCCTGCAACACAACAAACGAGTCACTCCTGCTCAAGACAAAGGCCATCGAATGCTTGAGAGAAGACTTGCAGAAGGACGATCCCAATATTCGAGCCCTGTCGATTGGAACGATACTGCTTCTTTCCTGTGTCGCGGTACGCCGAGGTCTAACGTCTGCGCGATCAGGGCTAATCAGACAATAGCATCATTGCGGTGACCTGGCTGAATCTTCAGCACACTCCGAGGGTCTCTACAAGCTTCTCGAACATTGCCATGCAGATGGCACGCAGCTACGGTCTGAGGTGTTGCACGCAGTCTTCTGGTTCGTCACTGCAAGAAAATCCCAGTTGGAGGGGGCTTATTGACCCCTTTGTCACAGGCAGCACCTTCTAGGCACCGCGCTCGTGTGCAATCAACATCACTTCCAGCAACCAGACTTTCGAGGTCTTCTCGGCCGGTCTGAAGAGTTCCCTACCGGCTCACTACCTGCCCTGCCACTTGGATTCGTTCTACATGAAGAAGTCATCAGCGGCGTTGTCCAACTATGTATTCGCAACCTCCTTTACCTCCAAGAGCTCATCGCGGCGGGTACTGCCGATCACCAGAAAATTGAAGGCCTACAAATATCTATCCAATCTCGACTTGTCTTCCACGAGGAAGGTTGCAAGAAAGTTGGCCTGATAGCAGAATGCTGCCGGTTGGCAGTATACATTGTCTGTTACATGACAAACACCCCGACGTGGACTAGCGCCTTTGTCCCTCTGAGACTGGCAGAGAAGCTCCTCTCACACCTTGACAAGAGTTTGGGTACAGAATTGTGGCGCTACCGACGCGATTTATTTCTGTGGCTGCTACTGGTCGGCATGTCTGTGAGCAAAGGTCGAAACTGTTTTGCGACCGAGCTTGCCTCTCGCTATCAAGAATTCATTGACAAAGCAATCGAAGACGTCCAAAGATGGGATGAATTCAAGGACGGGCCCAAAGCCCTACACAATGTTGTCAAACAGTTCATCTACGTCCAAGACTGGGTTGCAAAACGACACCTGATCTCCCGTTGGACGGATCTTGAGATGGGCGTGTTTCTGTGTGGCTCCGACGATGTTGACATTGAGATGGGAAACGAAGAGACCACTGCACTTTTGCAAGAACTGGTCCCAGATACTAACCTTTTCGAGTGACTCTTAGCAAAGGATGACAAACCTTGCATGGCCAACATTCAGCCTTACTGAGCAACCTGTCGCAAATGGGATCTTTGCGATTGGTCACTCTGAATGTCTACTCACGCTGGCGTTCACCAGTGTCTACTGTCTGGAAGCAGTTCAGAACGTTGATCATGCGGCATGGGCTGTCCACTGCGCGATACTTGTGCCTATACAATGGAACCACGTCGCGTCGGCGTTTCCTTTGCATGATAGTCACACCAGTATAGCCTTAAAGCAGTTATCCACTGTTCTCTTCCACCATAAAAGACGATGCCTCATTTCGATTTCCCATGATTAACCTGTCAGCCTGGCTCGTCCTATTTACCGGTATGAACACACCACAGAGATGGGCCTAGACTTTGAGAGACAGGCAGACGGACACACCAGAATTAATGCGCTTCCTTTAAACTGCCGGCCTTGTGCTTGCTGGGGCGCTTGAGCTTTCTCCAAACCAGTGGTCCTCATCAAGTTCCACCTGCCCACGCAAACCATCAACCTCATATCATATATCCAACAACAATTCCACGAAAGCTAGGGGGTGATCCAGGTTCATACCTGTCACCAATTCACAGTCGGGCACCAAATTTCCACGATCGAGGCCAGCCAGTTCTCTTAGAATCAGACCATATGCCGTATAGCTGAGGGGTGGTCAAAGGATGTCATCCCCAAAACTGTCGGCTTCCCTGGATAGGAAGAGTTGAAGTTGCGAGTCATGGCTTTTTAGTTCGCCTAACATCCCTGTTTGAGCATGCTCGTGCCCTAACTTTAACAGATTCGAGGCTGACCATGGGATTGGATTCACTGCCTTAGAGCGACACAGTCCGGCCTGCCCTCGTGCACGTCGCCTCGTTCTTGGACATCAACGACAGCGTACGAGGATGGTGTGAGAGAGCCAAGGCCATATTCTCAAAGAAGCTCGGATCTACTTCAGTTAGACTTTGGTTAGTCCCAAAGCCTCCTTGTTATACACAAGAGCACTCAAACACCGGGGTTTCAAATCGCCGCAAACAGCGGTGCAGAGTTATCTTCTTCTGCCGTGTAAGCGAGCTTTGAAGAGCCTGGGCTCACAAGGGCGCACACGTCTACAGTATCCTCGCGTCCCATCGGGCAGCACTGCACCCAGAGACCAAAACAGTCAGTGTGGTCTCCGGATTGGTGGTCCCAGACCACATTAGCTCAGACAAAGTATCTCCGCTTTCCTGTTCCTTTTGTATCGACGACTGGGCCCCTGGGGACTTTGGAGCTAATTAATAATTCGCCCCTGCCTATGCATCGCTCTCTAGGGCGCACGGAGAACCGGGGCCCCTTTTCCTTTTGTTCGTCGTTCTTTGTTGTTTCGCTGGGACCGCTTTCTGGTTTCGGGAATGACATACATTCCGGATCGGGAAGGGTCTCCAGTGTGTGGGTCCAGCTCCCCGAGTGGCCTCTCCTCCCAATCAGCGGCTACCCAGAACCCACTGTGGCGCCTCTCCATACCACGGACGAATACCCACCCAGTCAATGGTGGTGGAGCTCGGGGGTTAAGTATTCTGTCGTCCCTGGCGCTTTTTCTTATGTGATGTGCAAACGTACCTAGTCATCTCGTACACACCCACCGGTCTCAGATCCACGGTGCGTCAAGGGAAAGTTGGCTGGTGGGGAGGAACGCAGTTCATTCATGCATACACACACACACACCACTCTCCCTCTCTCTACACCTAGTCCCCACCCCCCACTGTACCACAGACTCGATCCTCCGCCCCGTCAGACCGCCATTTGAGTCTGGCTCGAGCGAGCACAAACACACACACACACACACACACACACACACACACACCCACACACACACACACACACACACACACCACATCACATAATACGACGTGCCCACGCAAAGGCTAGCAGTGGACACGGGATTATCACCATTCGTGCCAGTCCTCGTCCAGCTTAGATAATGAAAGGGCCCGGTGGGCTGACCAAGCCTGCATGCCTGGATACCTGCATCCTTGGTACAAGTGTACATACTGGCGATCTATCTGGTGATCTATCTGGTGCATGGTGACTGAGCCCTCCGGGAGACCACACCACGCTTGGATGAGACAGCTGGAACGTCCTGCACGGAGCAGACCACGCCGCAGTAGTGACCGCATCTCCATCGTCTGAGGATCTCGCCAAACACTGAAGGAAGTCTATGGACCTGCCCAACCTCCGCGCATCGATACAGAGCTTCTATCCTGGAATTCCCCCGTATTGGTTGGACTTCTTGCCTGTGCTTTCGGCTAGCAGACTCGCCTCGCCGTCACCCCACATGCCGAGTACTGCAGACCACTGAACAAAAGAACCATTCGTAGGATTGTCCAAACAGAAAGAGGTCAACATCATCCTGCTACGAACCACCCTTAATACCAGTATCCCGCCCACCTCCGCATAGACGCCTCCATTCCTCGGTTCATGTGGTGTTTGCCCCTCCGCAAACAGCTCCTGGCATCTGCTCTCCATCACATCTTCGAGCCCTGGACTTCCTCGAACAATAAGTCACCAAGAATTCGCTGCTTCCAGCCGTCCGCAGTGATCGTCGCCGCTCGGGCTCTTCTGTGGCCTTCTCCTGACTTTGAAGAGGCAGTGAGCCCAGCAGGCCCAAGCCGGGTCTGGTCCGTCGGTTGAGGCTGACTTGCACAACTTTTGCTTCGTTTTTGTTTTTGATGTCAAAGATTGCAGCGCCCATGCTATGGGGCGTACACTTCTTGCAGCTGGGAAGCGTGTTTCTGGATGTCAACTTGTTGACATGCCAGCATGTCTTTGCCGGTGTCTCTGTGGACGTTGTCAAAGTTTCCAGTATGAGGCACCGTCAAGATCAACCACGTCAGCAACCCCCGCATACAAAGTTCTACGGAGTATTCGAATTCCAGGAAGAGCGTGCCGTCATCCGATTGTAGCTGAAAGCCGTATTGTTCCAAACTCTGGAGCTCAACCTGGATCGTGCCTTCTAGCTTAGGGGGGGACCGGGAGAATGCTCTGTCTGACGCGATTACAACTTTGAGTGTGACTGGGAAAACTGGATTGTTCGCGCGGAGCGCACATGTCTTGCGAAACTGTTTGTTCGGGTTTCCCAAATCTTCGTTCTGGTAGATTAGTAGCTGTATTGGGTCATAGCCATCGATGACGAAGAAGAGATTCTCTTGGTGAAGTGTAGCAGTGCAGAAGGAAGCGCGGGCAATTTTTCTCCTGACGATCTTTTGAGTCGTGAGAGCTAAGAAGTTGCCTTGGCAGACTCCAGGCACCTTCTCCAAGTCTTTGACCATCTGAACATCAAATCCCCATGGGCCCCAATGATGCTGAAAAGCTTGGAAGACATAGCAGGGAAGAGCTCCCCAACCATTCAGAACAATGACCGGCAGTCTCCCACTGCTGTTCTCTCCACTTTGTGATATTACCCTGTTCACAAGCTCAAATATTTCTGTTTCAAATATTTCTGTTAGCCAAGTATCGTAGACATACTGCATTTGTTGGGAGCTGAGTTTGCAAGTCTTCGGTGCTTCCACGAAGCGAGGTGGCAGAGGTTCTTGGATCAGTTCAGGGATGTTCAGATCAGGATCGATGAGATAATGGGGCGGGAGCTGGGGGACTGTTCGTTTCACAATTTCGAATCTCGCTGCATAACTTTCGGCAATTTGTGCCTCGTTGCACCCAAGACGAGCATCAATCGAACGCAAAAACTGTGGCAATTCGGCCTGCAAACGGCGTTTGAAGATCTCGTTGAGCTTTAGCGACCCATTAGGAGTGCTACTGCCGACACAATCCCCAAACACAATACTCTCTTCGTCGATTTCGGTAGGAGTTATGGCGCAAATGTCAGTGGTGCCACCGCCGATGTCAACCATGACAATGGTAGCCTGCTTGTGTAGATTTCCGAGGATCTTTTCTTCTTGGTCTTCTCCCTCATTTGCTTGTGCCAACTTGGTAGCGATGTGATACAACGCCGCCGACTTAGCTTCAGAGAGCACCCAGGTACTCTTTGGGTACCCAGCGGCATCCAATAGTCGATGATATACATCCATGATTGGGTCGTCTTGTGTAAGTACTGGGCAGGAAATTGCGATACCGACACGGTCTTGGAAGAAAGGTATCACGAATTCCACGGTTTCTCCTAGAATTGTGGCGAAGTGGCGCATTGTGAGACGCCAAAGGAAGACCAAGAACAATCTGATCAAGTCCTCCATCGTGTCCACAGTGGATAGGATCATCTCCCCCGTTAAGGGATCTTGTGAATAAAGCTTCTGACCCGAGGCGTGGGCCTTGATCCTGCGTAGGCCGTCATCATGCGTTTCCTTCAGTGACTGCAGCGATTGCTTCGTGATAGGATCCTCGGATGCCTGATTATATACTGGTAACAATGCCATCTTTATCAGTTGAAACTGAGCGACGATGCGACCAGTATGCTCACGACCGGGGTGCTCCCCGAACTTGAGTACCATTCTTCTGCTGTTGTCGTTGTCGATGGCCGTGAAGACAAAAGCCACTGAAGGAATTCTATGGCATCCTGGGTTTTGCGGTTGATCGACGAGAACTTTCGCGAGTTCCTGATCTTGCAGTGGGCTCAATTTGGTGATCACGTCATAGCAGACGGAAGAAGTGGTCGTGCCAAAATCAATCCCAACCTGGAGTCTATGGTGCTCGGACAGCACAGACGAGCTCTGTTGACTCTGGGTAGGAAGGCTGTTTTCGGTTCGAGAGATCAAGCGTGAGTTCGAAGAGGAAGCCATGGCACCACTGGAGAATCCTGGCAAGGCAGGGGGCCAAAGGAGAGGTGTAAGAGTATCTGGTTAGATACGAAGAAAAGAGAGTGAGAGTTTCGATAGAGCAAAAAGGTACGAATGCGTTGGCCCACAAGAGCAGCACAGTGATGGTCACGATGATAAAAAGTGTTACGTTCCATCCTCAGAAGATGTGGCTATTTATGAAGCCCAGGAGTCCATGAGCTGAAGCAGCAAACATGATATCGCAATTGTGACCAGATCTGGCCACTTGCAATCAAACTCTTCTTTCAGACAAAGAAATCCATCTCAAATTAGGTCATGGAGCACCTGTCTCCAGCTACGCTATAGCCATAGCCGGCATTCCAGACAAAGGAGCTGACGACAACGACGTCGGATGCGGAGCCTCGCCCAGTCCCAACACCAAGACACAATCTCATAAGTAAGCAGCAGCTGGCCTCCTGACCACTTTTCTTTTCCCACTTCACTGTCGTTCTCATTTCTCCTCTTGGCCCATAGCCCTTCGGATCACCACGCCTCCTTTCAGAATCTATCACTATTCCCCAGTCCACGGCTCGTCCCTGCCTTTCCCAAGGTGATGGCCGATTTCGATCTCTTCGCCTCGTTTTCTCCCACGCCAGAGAAGACAAAGACAGACAATCACTTCCAATGGACCCCTGCCACCGAACAACTCCTTCTGGGGTGGCTGGAGAAGAATAAAGGCCCGGACGGGCTACTACAACAGAATCTCACACTGGCCATTGCTGAACTGGTGGCCCAGCTCCAGACCCATTCCAACTTTGGACCCGGGGGACGGTCTCGCATGCTTGGGGCCGTCACCAACAAATTGAGACTGCTATGGAGTGATTACAGACTGGCCAAGTATCAATACACACCATATGACGCCCCCACGTTCTTCGAAGAGGGTATTGGAGCTCTGGATGAAGAAAAGCTACGGCTCAGGCTTGGAGAGCTTCCCCCTACCAAAGGATCAGCTTGAAGACCATGTCGCAACAGTGGACGACAACTCTAATCCATCCCATCAATCGGGGATAAAGCGCAAGAATGAGGATGACCCGGGTTCGAGTCTCGATCAAGGTGACTGCTCGTCACGGAAACTTGCAAAATCAACGGAGCGTGACCGGAGCGCCATACCAACGTTTCCCGATGACGACGCCCTACAAATCAAACGTGTTGGCGAGCTGAAACGTGTGATGCAGACACATGCCGCGGCCCCGTCGAAGCAGGAGGCCAGCCAGGCACTGAATAATGCTGATAAGCTCGGGCCACCGATTGCAGCAGGCCACTCAGCTTCGGCTCAGGGAATACTTTTGGGGCAAGCTGACGTTGAAGGGTTTTGCAAAACCCACCGTGGAAAACTATCGGCTCTCTTGCAGAACTTGGTCAAAGTTCCCGATCCAAACATGTTTCAAACGACCATGGAGGAGATCAATTATCTCTGTAGGGCGAGTGTCAAGGCATATTTGCTCTCGGCGGGAGTGGCGAGCAACGAACCCGTCATCCTGGATCTGAACATGTACCCACCACGCCTTGAGAGACTTCTGGAATTGCTCGTTCCACGCCGCTCTCGCCAGTCCTTTGAGGCAAGGCAATCAAGAACAGGTACAGGCCTGCTTACAGCCTTTGTCCAAGCGCTCATCACGCGGGCCGTCACTGATTGGTGCTTTGACCCGGTTCCAAACGTGGACGACTTCTTCGGCATCTCATTGCATGGCATATTCCAAGAAGTCCACCAAGCACGTGAGTGTCTTATCAACTCCCCTGCCATGTGATTGAGTGGTACTGACTTCTGCAGAGTTTGGGAGTCTCATGACGGCTAATTTGAAAGCAAAGCTTTGGGCGACCTACATTGACAAACAATTGCTCCCTCGCATTCACGATCGAGCTGTACAAATGGCTTCTCAGGCGGTCTTGTACGTCGATTTGCTGTTGCCCTTCCCGCCTTCCTACCAACCTGTTCGATGTGCTACGGGTGTGCAGTGGTGTCAATCGATTGATCAATTGCCACCCGCTGATGCGGCCGCCGAGTCCGATCCCTTCCAAGAGCCTGCCGGGCGAGCTCTCTTCCGAGTCCAACTGATCACTATTTTTGAGAGGGCTCTCAAGTGGAGAATGGAACAGCACAAGAACCTCGATATGTGTCTGGGGTTCCGATTCCCAGCGTTTGGAGATGCCTTTTCGTCTGGTCGGATGAGCAGTCAGCCTGGAGGTAGCGAGATCGACGGGCGTGTCTTGCTGGGTATGGGCCCAATCGTTGAGCAGAACGTGCGGCAGGTTATATTGGGCAATTTTCTCCCTTCGAGGGTGGTTGCAACTGCAAGTGTGCTGACAATGCCACCAGAGGTTGAACAGCCATGAAGACTTGGCGAGGACAACATCAATCTCTGGCACCTAAGGCTCGTCTTTTGAGTTCCAGGAGCGCTTGCCGTTTAATTCATTGCAAGACATGGGGAGGGGGAGGGTAGGTGGCTGTACGGAGCAATATTTAGATTCGCCATATACAATATAATCCCCCTTAATCTCGGAGCCTTGTCATCTCGCCACTCTGGGTGTCCAGGATGTCCCTTTCTCTCCTCTAAATGCCGACTACTGTATATTTACGCCGTCGATTACGCGGCCCATTCGCCATGTAGACCACCGACGTCTTGAGTCAGCAACTCTGCGGGATATATATCCTTTACCACTCATAGCTGGTGCGACAACTACCACGAATGCCGTGAACATCTCCTCCCCCTTCTTCGCATTACCGTGGCGATTGACTATCGCTGTCGAAAGTGTCTTTGCCCTGACCGAAAGAGCGGCTTCCGGCCCCAGAGTGCCCAAGGGTTCAACAAGAGACCCTTCCCGCCACACCTCCCCTCTCTCTTTTCCCATGGCTTTCAGGATTTGGCAAACAAGAAGTCCGGCCCGTCGAGATATAGAATCTTGTTGGTTGGTTTCCCGATCGGGAAATCCGATACCTGCGGTTTTGGGAATCGCCGAGCACCATCGCCTCTCCAACCCCCCCAGCGCAGGACCCCGAATCCCTCTCGCGTCGGTTGGAGTGAGGGTGGGAGGGGGAGCGCCCACGATGAGTGTTCTAGAAGCTAGTGATTGACCACTATTAACTCAAGGGTGTCCCCAACGCATCCAATTGTGGTTGATGATCCACGATCTACTCAAAGCGCTGTGTCTTGATGCATGCTGACAAAGCTGGGACGTGGTCATGAACTCGGACCAGTCGAAGATGCTTCACACTACTGTACATCAGACTTCTTCCTCTGTAGGAACCAATAGAGGGGCCTCGTCGGTTGAAGGGGGGACCTCAGGTCAGATTAATACAGCGGCTACCGGAAGCGAATTTGAACGTCAAGAGACCTCAAGTGGGACAGGTTAGTAATGGCCGGCCTACATGGCATGCTCAACGTGAGTTCTGGGCTATCCGCATTGCTGACGCCTCAGTCAGGTTAATAGTCATAAAGCTAGGAATCTTGTCCGCTGGAACAAAAACTTGAGCCTCGAGTTACTTCTTGAGAACTTCTTCCCTCGCATTAAACTCAACGCCCGAAGACTCAGCCTCGGCGATCTGCAACAATGACTCCTCGTAACGTCAACCTCCACCCAGACAATCACCTCCCTGGTGCTTTGGAATCCGCCACATTTGATGTGGTCGTTATTGGTTCTGGTCCCGTGGGCCGTCAGGTGGCAACCAAGACCGCCGAAGCCGGCCTCTCCGCCGTCATAATCGAGGAGGAGCTCTGGGGCGGTGAATGCCCCTTTTGGGCCTGCATGCCTTCAAAGGCAATTCTGCGCCCGGGCGAAGCACTTGCGGCCGCTCGTCAAGTCGGAGGGGCTCGACAGCTAATCGCGGCTGACCGGCTGGTCGACGTCCCGGGTGTTTTCGAGCGACGTGACAAAGTCACGCACAAATGGGACGATGACTTCTTCGTCGACTTGTCGCTGAAGCAGAAATGCTCCGTTGTTCGTGGGAGAGGGTCGATAATTGCTGAGAGGAAGGTGCTGGTGAAGAACGTTAACGGCCAGGAGAAGACACTAGTCGCCAACCAGGCGGTTGTCATTGCCACAGGCTCGGACCCGGCCATCCCTGGAGAGATCCAAGGAATCGATCACATCGACTATTGGACTCCAAGAGAAGCCACCGCAGCAGACACCGTGCCTGAGCATCTCATCATCGTGGGATCAGGTGTCGTGGGCTGCGAGATGGCGACGGCGTTTTCGACTTTCGGCAGCAAGGTCACCATGATCAGCGCTACATCTGAAGTGCTGGGCCGTTACGAACCCGAAGCTGGGAAGCGCGTTCGGGAAGCATTGATGGCTCGTAATGTTGACTTTCATTTGTCGTCGAGGGTGGCCGAGGCTTGGAAGGAAGGCGACAGTAAGATCTCAGTGAAGCTGGGCTCCGGACAGGTCGTCACTGGCTCGACCCTACTCATAGCCACAGGCAGAAAACCTCGCACGCAGAACATCGGCTTAGAAAACATCGGCTTGAGTAGCTCTCTGGTCGTTGATCAGAGTATGTGTGTCTCTTCCGCGGGCAGCAGCTGGATATATGCAATCGGCGACGCAAATGGCCGCGCTCCTCTAACGCACATGGGCGAATATCAGGGGCGAATTGCAGCGGCGGCTATTATCGCTCGAGCTGCAGGAGTTGATGTACAAGAGTCCGAGCCGTGGAGCGAGTTCGCTGCCACATCAGATCAGGTCGCCGTCTCGCAGGTCGTCGTGACGGATCCGAACGTTGCTACGGTTGGTCTGACTTTGGCAGAAGCATTGAAAAGTGGTATCAAGGCCGTGGAAGTGGCCGTACCATTTAATTTCCCGGGTGCTTGGGTATATGCTGAATTCGACTATGAAGGCTGGGCCCAATGGGTTGTAGATGCCGAGAGGAATGTGCTCGTCGGAGCGACGTTCGTCGGACGGGAAGTGGGTGATCTCCTTCACGGCAGCACCGTCGCAATTGTTGGCCAGGTTCCTCTTGATCGATTGAGGCATGCTGTTCCCAGCTTTCCCACCAGGAGTGAAATATACGGAATGCTGCTGGAGAAGTGGCTCCAGATGCGAAAGTAGAGCTCAAAGCTGTTGAATGACCTCGATCGCATCTCTCCTGATTAAAGAACCACGACACACGATTCTCCACATCCCACCAATGCCTCCGGAAACAAGAAGTGACAGATAGAGACCCAACACTTGAACATAATTAGGTAAGTCATTCGGCACTCTCGTGAGCAATTTGGGAGTATACAACCAAGGTGTGGTCGGTTACTTACTACCTAGTGCAGCATCGGAAGCCCTTGGCTTCAACGTAGGATAGCTTGTTTAACCAGACCCTATCTCCAAGTCACGAAAGATCAAGTCTCAGGCCGTGTCACCCACCTATCGTCGACGTAATTGAACTGGAAATAGCACAAAGGTAGGTGAACAAAACAGCCGCAGTTGCCGCCGCAAACGGCAATACGGGATCTGCCGCACTGGGCAAGTGAACGGGGATCTACAATCACTTAAACATCACCCTTGACGCAGTTAGCCCATCTGAGGGAGGCAAAGTTTGACCCCGCGAAGAAGTCTTTCCCTGCAACTCTTGGCCACTAGAAGCAGCACTTGTGAAGCAAATCTTCCAGATGGTTGCAAAAGGCTTTCCCAACCAGGAGCTGGATAGCGACAATGTGGCTGAAGTGGCCATCAAAAGCCTCGACGGCTCAAGACCTGCAGGAACGGGGTGATTTCTTCCCCGTCGTTCCCCTGGCCGTAGTCAATGGAAGGGGGTGGACCCAGCAAAGTAGACATGGGATTTTTCCATGCAAGGTAGCTGAGATGGTTACATATGTCACCACTCAGGTTGCCAACATATACGGCTGATCAGCCCAGTCGCAATACTGGGCTTTAAAATTCGGGAGGTCGTTTGGACCAGCGTGAAGTGGTGAGTAAGGGAGAACAGGTAACCGGAGAGGAATGAGGCGAAGATATGCGGCTGTGGAGAGATTCCTTAGGGTTTCTGGAAATGCCCAACCGCCGCATGGTTTTCCGAACCGGCCATGCGATAGGGGCTCATCATGAACCTCAAAAACTGACGGTCGTGGAGGCCTTATTGTGGAGTTGTTACAAGTAAGTAGTAGACAGGCAAAGATGACAGAGGGGGGGGGGGGGGGGTGGGGGTGTAACTCACTCAATAGCGGCATGGTCGTGTCTCCATATATGGCTTAGCCTCACTCACGCCCAAAAAAGCAGCGTGACACCGAATTGCATCTGCAATCTGCGTGTTCGATTATCCTGCGATTGTCCCATCCGAGCAACACTTCCAATGCTGGCACGATGCTGGAGAGGGGCACCGAGCAAGTTCACGAGAGCTTCGAGGTCGCGATGGCTTGGGCCATGGAGGCGGCACAGCTCGTCGGCTCCCGCGAATCAACCAAAGTCTCCTAATATCCAACAGCATCCTCCGAATCGAGCCTATCGACGCGTCGCGATAGGAGTCGCTGTGGGAACTGGTCTATATGCTCTCTGGCAGGCTTACGTATACTCGCTGAAACGCGACTCGTTTGTCGCGTACACGCTCATTGCGAAGGAACCCGTCTCCTCAACCGCAAGCATATTTCACCTGGCACTAAAGCAACCAGACCACAATTATGAGATTTATAAAGATGCTTGGAGGAGAGGGATCTGGAATGTTCATTTCAAGCAGCCGCAGCTCCAGATTGTCAGAGCATACACACCATTACCGCCGATTGATGAAAAGACCGCAGAAGAGAAGGGTGAAATGAGGTTCTTGATACGAAAGGATCCACATGGCGAGGTCTCCAGTTATCTTCACAAGCTGCGCATTGGTGCCGACATCGAAATGCGAGGACCTAATCTAGAGTATGAATTGACTCCAGAGGTACGGCAAGTGGTTTTCTTCGCCGGAGGAACTGGTATTGCGCCTGCTTTGCAGGTGGCACACGCTTTATTTGAAGGCAGGAGACCAGCAGAGAGTGACGCGGTGAACAGTGACCGGAAGCTACATATCTTATGGGCAAACAGAATGCGCGAAGATTGCCTGGGCGGCGTCAGCGATGATCCCCCTGCCGAATCATTGCCTCCCAAGCCCAGCTGGACGGGCTTCTTCACCAACCCAAAACGGAAGCCATCGCCGCCAATTTCTGAGAAGAAAGTTGTTATCGTGCAGGATTTAGAGGCTTTGAAGCAAAGGTATCCGGGCCAGATCACGGTGGAATATTTTGTCAATGCCGAGGACTCATGGATCGATGAAGACGCCGTTTTTCGAGCACTGTCCAGGTTCGACGACAAGGACTTTTCCACAGGATACGCGACGTCCCGAGAACAGAGGCAAATTCTCATTTCTGGGCCACCTGGTTTTATCGCCTACCTTGCTGGCCCCAAAGAATGGAAGAATGGAAAGGAAGAACAGGGCGCCGTCAGTAAGCTCGTCGCTCATGCCATCTCCAAAAACCCACACAATGTCAAGGTGTGGAAGATATAATATATGGGAAACGGAGCACTGCCACCCATGACCATCAGCCTGCGCCGGTGTCCATCGTCACAAGCCCGTCGAATATCTCGGTCCAGCCGGAGCACATCTTAATACAGAGAACGAATGTGATGCTGTCATTTTGGCCGCCGCCGCTGTTGTTTGTTCGACGCGAGGCATCCCCAATCCCGTGGCCGCGTCTTTGGCAACGAGATAGATCAGGTGGTCAACCCATTGTTGTATGTCAGGGTGCTTCTTCTGTCACGGCGTTGCACTTTGAGAGTTCCAGCCTCGATCAAAATTTTCAGTTGCTTTCCCATCTATGAGATCCGCCCGTGGGAGGACCTGGCTTGAGGTCTACTTTTCTCTATAAACCTAGTCAGCACGTCCTCTTTTCAACGCAACCACCGCCCTTCCAAGTTTTAGCAGAGATCTACTCTCCATATACTGTATAATAACCAAATGGCTCTCCATTTCTATGCCCATCCCACTCCCATCCCACCTCACAACTCCTCCTAAACCGGCTCCTCGTCTTCCTCAGATCTTGGCCTGCTCGTTTCCCCTCTCCCGCTTAGCAAGCTCCCTCAGATCTTTCCGAAGGATCTTCCCGCTGGGACTCTTGGGGATCGCCTCCAGATAGACCACGCCGCCGCGGAGCTGCTTGTGCTGGGCCAGGTTGCGTTTCACAAAATCCTTGATCTCCTGCTCCGATACCTGGGTCTTATCCGCGACCACGTAGGCACGCGGGATCTCGTTCCCAAACCCTGACGGCTCGGGGATGCCGATGACCGCGGCGTCTTGGATCAGCGGATGCGAGAGCAGGAGGGCCTCGAGCTCGGCCGGGGCGATTTGGAGGCCCTTGTATTTAATCAGTTCCTGCCACAGGCGGTTGGTGGTCAGTAACAAATCGACGTGGTAAGAAAAATCGCACGAGTACCGAAAACAAACATACCTTTTTCCGATCCACCACGTAAAACATGCCGTTCCTACACACGCCGATGTCTCCCGTCTTGAACCACACGCCGTCCTTCGTGAAACTGTCCCTCGTCGCAGCCTCATTCTCCCAATAACCCGTACTGACCATGGGCCCTTGCAGGATGAACTCTCCCTCCAATCCCTCCTCCACGTCCTTCTCCTCATCGTCCACGATCCTCATCCTCACGTTCGGCAACAGCGGGCTGACCGACCCCGTCTTGTCGTCCTGGTCCCACGGCATGGCCGTTACGGAGCCGGTCGTCTCACTCAGGCCCCACGTCTGGCTGATCTGGCAGCCCAGCTTCTTCTCCGCCATGGCCTGCAGCTCTGCGCCCATGGGCGCGGCGCCGCCAACCGCATGCACCAGGGTCCGAAATTGATCCGTCACCAGTGGACTCTTCGCGATGAGCAGGTAGATAGGCGGCACGGTGAAGAAGTGGGTGATTCGGAACTTCTTGTTGTATTCGAGAAATTTCGCAAAGTCGAATTTCGGCATCCAGTACACGGGGCCGCCGGCGATCGACGGATTCACGTAGTAGCCCTGGCAGCCGGCGATGTGCGCGGCCGGCAGGTGGGCCAGGGTCCGATATTCGAACTTGAAGGAAGGGTTGAGCCGGCGTTGGCGGGCCAAGTGTTCCCGGATCATGTACTGGGGGATGAGCCCTTCAGAGACAAGGTTGGTGTGCGAGATATTGACCCCTGAGCGTTGCGAGAGTAGCAGAGGTTAGCAAAAACCCTCTCCGAGGACGCTGCAAGGCCTCCGTCCGAGAGATGCAGACCATGCCCTTACCTTTGGGGACCCCTGTCGTTCCACTGCTGTACAGCAGACAGACGGCCCTCTCCTCCAATATCTTCTTGTCCGTAATTCTTTCCCATTCGAGCACCTCCTCCTTCTGCCAGCCTTCTTGGATCAGATTCCTGCTCTTCCGCTCGACATCCTGCAACACTCTCTTCCCACCCATCGACTCGAGCACCAACACCCTCTCCAGCGGTACATGGCACTCCTTCGCCGCCCGGATGGCGACCTCCACACAGTCGGGACCGCAGACGATCAGATTACTCTTCCCCTGTTTGACTTGCCGTGCTAACTCTAGGGACGTGAACGCAGAGCTCGCGGCGCTGAACACTCCGCCGGCGGCAATGACCCCGTAGAAGACGTTGGAGAGCAGAATCTGGCCGGAGGAAATGCACACCACGACGTCCTTGCCGGGCCCACTCGCACCGATGCCGAAGTGGTGGCGGAAGACGTAGGCGAGTCGCTTCGTGTAAGCTCTTGCCTGGGCCTTGGTGACGCAGTTTAAGGGCAGAGCGGCTTCGGCGTGGAGAACCGTGGACTCGGTGGTCCATGCCTCGGGCGATTCTGGACAGCAATGTGTTAGCAGACGGCTGAGGAGGCGCGCGAAGTCCAGACAACAAGGACACACCGTATATCAAGGTCAATATATCGAGATCGGGAAGCTCATAGTCCTTGGAAGGCAGGTAGATCGTCTTGCGGGGTGCCATTGTCAGTGCTATGTCCCAGGTATCTGAGTTTCCTTTCAGGGTGGCCGCGTGCGAGAGATCGGGCTGCTCTTGGAGCTCTGCCCTGAGGTATTTGCAGACTGTTCTAATAGAGACATCTTGGAAGACGAGGCAGCTCGCCACTATGCACTGACTCGACAAAAAAAAGAGTTCCGGTTCAGGGAGGAGAAGTGGGAGACATGGACCGAAGTCACGTCCAAGCTGCCGAGGCGGAATACGGATAAACTTCGATGCTCTGCCATTGGTGGAGACGATGGACACACTCGCCGCCGCCTCGGCACCGTGATCACAGAAGAATTGCTGTAGGTGAAATTATGTTTGTATGTATTCGGCGGCGGCTATCTTCAGTCCCGGCTGCTTCTCTGGGCTAACGCACCCTATTCTCCGGCTCATAATAGTTGAAAAACGTCATGGATCGCTCAAACTGATTCTATCCAAACCTCCTCCAACACCGACGAGACAATCCAGAAAAGAACGATATCCGAAAGTCAGAGAAGTAAGGACGCTAAAGGGGTGGTTTCTACCGCCTCGGGGTGGTGGGTGTCGTGACACCATTCAATCGGCTGTCTCGACCACCGTCGCTCTGCCCTGCATCGTGATGTCCATCCCCGATCATGCCCTGCATGAAAGTGATATAATCGTACTTGGGCACGTCTCGATCGGCTTCCATGTCGGGGCCTGTGTGTTCGGGCATACTTTGCAGCAGATCTTCAATGAGCTCGTCCGGAATCAAGGAGTGCCGGAGATCCATTTCCGTGACATAAGGTTTCCGTCTGCCACTTCGCGGAAGGACTGGAAGACCTGTTCGGCGCTGTTTTGATCTTCGGTCACGGCGACCATGAACCGGATGAATTGCTCGAAGCCTACTCCACGAGACTCCCTTTGCCGTCGAGAGATGGGCGACATGGTCGGGTCGATACCGGTGTGACACACCTCCAGGAACTTCTCGTGCATCTCTTGTTCGTCGTATACCAGTCCAAGGCTTGCCAACGCGGCGCTGAACTCCAACTCCGTCAGGGTGTTTGTGCCGTCTCGGTCAAAATGTCGAAATACAGACTCAAATTCCTCAAGCTGGATGGGCGTCAAATTTGTCATGTTCCGCGCGACCATTTGGTTTTCGAGGAAGGTCAGCTTTTTCTGCACACTTGTCCGTACCAGGCTGAGCTCATACAACAACTCGTCGTAAGTATAAGTCGTGAAGTCGTTTTCATCAATATTGGCCTCTTGGCACTTCTCGTCAAGGAGAGCTATTCCTTCCAGATACTGCTCGAGCGGTCCCAAGTTTGCCGACAGTCGCTGTGCGTGGTCTAGTTGATCTTCAACATCACCCTCCAGTCCAGAGATGGCCAGAGACAGTGTGTTCAGAGTCAGGGCAAAGTCGTTGGCCTTGTCCGCAAAGCTCCTTCTCAAAGCGTTCTTGATGTCTCGGATGGTCTCGTTGATCAGTTTGCTCCGGGCGTGCTCATCGGTGCTCAGCGCCGCCCATTCATGGTCAAGCACTTCCAAACGCAGCTCTGCTGGAGGCTCGTATGGTCGCAGGCGATATGTGGACAGTTTCGTCTTGATATTCCCGAGAAGGGCTGCCAGATCAGACTTTTCTGCCACCCACCTTCGCTTCTGGTTTCGTTTGTAGCTGGCGAGTTCATTGGCTTGAGCTTTGGCGTCGGAGTATGTCCCCTCAAACCGGGAATCACGCCAGGTCTGTCGCTGGTGTCGGATTTGTTGCAAAAGAGCACGCATTCTCTTTTCATACGCCGACTCCATTTCCCAAGCGCCCTGCATATTGCTCACAAACTTTTCGACCCTCCGGCCTGCGTTCTCCACCCGTTCCATTGCACTAAATGCGTGAAACCAGTAGGCGATATATGTCATGAGCGATCGCTCGTCAGGTTTGGGGACGTCCGCAACATCTTCTACGTCGAGCAGATCGGGAATACCAATCTCCTTCGAAGCGATATCGAAAGCCATTTTCATGTTCCCCTTGTGGTCCGACTTATCCAACGTGTCGAAATCAATGAGGTCGGGTCGGTGGATGTCGAGGAGGGCACAGAAAGCAAGCCCGTCATTCCACGAAGACGAGAAGTCTCGCACCTCGACTCCTTCGTAACATGCGGTCTTTCGCTGGCACCAGAGGAGTAGGCCTTCCTTGGCCGTCAAGCCCTCCTCGTTGATGTCGGAGATGGTAAATCGCAGAATGAGGGTCCATATTAAACCCAGGATGATCTTTCTGTTACCGTCAACGACATCTTCGGCGCCGATGTTTGTCATCTGGATCCCGCGGCTCTTGATGAATTCCAGCGATTTGTTGACATTTTCAAATTTCTGGACCCGCAATCTCGGGTTCGAAGCATATCGGCCGAGGGACTCATTACTCAGGACTTCTAGCAGGTGAATAAGGATGATACCGTCGGACAGGTCGGTCACCAGGCTTTTGACGGCGACCTCGCGTGGGACGATCTTGTTATTCAGCCTAAAGATATCAGTCCATGTTCATTGAGTAGTAGGTGCCAATGACCTACCATTTTGTGAACGTCTTCTCTTGCACGTTCACCCATTGCTTCTCCAGCAATACCATGGCTGCATGTCAGACACACGCCGGCCCAGACACGTGCTTTTTGCTTCTGGCTTTACGCTGCAAGAACGGCGAGAGGATACAAGGCTTTTGACAATGGCTAGGCTGTGACGGATGAGGAAGAGTTGGTATCCAAGATCTTTTTCCAAGAGACGTGAAAGTGAGCTGAGATCCAAGTGTCAGCCTAACATAATCATGAGACAGAGAATGAACTGGAGAGATCGTTATACACACAGTGACAGCTGAGGACGGCAGCTGAAAGGGTGCGTCCCTGGTTGGGCGAGGGGTCCAGCTTCGGCCGACCTTCCCGTTGGTGGATGAGAGTGACACGAGTGTCAACAAAGGCGATGCCGGATCGGTCGGCGGAGAAACCGGGCCTGACTCATGCTTCCACCAATCACGTTCGTTCTCCCCCTTCGGGTATTCTGATTCGAGCCCAGGCACCTAGCCTCCCAATTTCAGGAGGTTTCTCTTCCTTTAGCAGGCGAGATTGCAATGTACTCGGTAATACGTGGGACTTCTCCTTATAAGCCTCGACCTTTCAAGCACCTGATGTTTGTCTGATGTGTGTAAAAACCCGAATTCGATGCTACGCATGCTGCCAGCCAGATGTCACTACTTGCTCTCAGTTGACCATGAGAAGGCTTCAAGGTTCGATGACGACATGACTCTGGAATGGTCATTGCCGCTGGCCAGTGAGCACGAGGCAGAGATGGCGTACAAAAAGCTTCAGGGATAGGGTAAGCCATCACAGCCATGTGTCCTTTTTTCCAACTCATAAAACGCCATTGGATTGGACGTCCCTCGCAATATGGGATCTCTAACGGCGCCTCCTGAGAAGTCGTGTTGGGTGACTTTGGTGACAAAGCCTTCGTATCTTCCAGGGGTCATTGTTCTGGCTCATACACTCGATCGGCACAAATCGAATTATCCTCTGTTGGTGCAGTACACTGACTCGTTGGGACACAACGCGCTCGGAGCCCTCCAGGAGGAGGCCGAGAACCACGACCGGATACAGCTAGACAGAGTCCCCCTTTTACTGCCCAGGAAGGATCAGGTCAATACTGGCAGTGTTGCTGAACGCTTCAAAGATACATTCACCAAACTCCGAGCCTTCGAAATCTACAAGCTAGGTTTCACGAGAGCCGTTTTTCTGGATGCCGATATGGCCATCTTCCAGAACCCCGACGAGATTTTCGAATGCAAATTACCGGGTCGAGATTGGATCGGTGCTAACCACGCCTGTGTGTGTAACTTGGATCGTGATCCATGGGCTCCACCCGAATGGCACAAGGGAAACTGCGCGTATACACCCTTAAACCACCCCGATGAGGTGGCTTCAGAAGTCAACTCAAAAAGTCGACCCACATATCACCTCTTGAACAGCGGCATGTTCCTTTTCCATCCGTCAGAACAGCTGTGGGACAGGATGCTTCGTTTCTTCAACGCCAGCGATCAGCTGAAGAACTATCAGTTCCCGGATCAGGACTTCCTCGCCGCATTTTTCCGTGAGAAATGGCATCCTCTATCCTGGAAATACAATGCCCTGAAAACCATGAGATATTGGCATCCTCGGATTTGGTCCGATGACAAGCTAGTGATCCTCCACTACATCGTCGACAAGCCTTGGGAGCGTCAAGTCAGTCACGACGGTATTGGCGGTCATCTTGGTAGAGACGGAGAGACGCATCAATGGTGGTGGAAAATATACCGTGAGTGGAGGACCCAGAGACAAGACGAGCAGCAGAGGGGTACGGGGATTGCAACGGTGGACGAGCTGGTTGATACCGAGGAACCATTCACAGAGAAGATTCCACTACCTCAGGACGTCGGCAAGCCCGAGGACGTCCTGCCATATCCTTGATTCATTAATACGGAATTCAACTGGCTTCGGGCGGTCAGTGTTGATATTTCAGCCAGGTGACTTCGTCATCTTACTGCCTTGGTACCGTGGCTCTCTCCTTTCCATTCCAGCATGCAGTAACTTCAAGAGAGTTACCGTTGACCTCCGACTCCGGCAAGAAGATATTCCGATCCGCACGCTAGCCCTTTTGTTGATGGATCTCCTTCACAAAGGGTGGACGGGTGTCTACCGGCTTGGTCGCGATGTACTGCCCGCGGCCCTTGTCTTGCTTGCCAAACTGCCTATACAATCGATTGCTTGAATCTTGTTCTTTCGGTCACTCTATGTGCAGGTTTTTTCTCTGTCTGTCACTCTCTTCCATCCTTCATTCATACCACTTGCCTTGTACAGGCTCCCAAGTAGTCTGACAGGAGGTATACTACTCGTTGCTCCCAAAGAAACAATCATGACGGCAAGTCCAGATCCATTGTCTTCATTGCACCCTTGTCCTGACTTTGCGTGAACTAGACTGACACCGTGCTTACAGATCAAATTCCTTCTGTTCGATTGTGACAACACCCTTGTGCTCTCCGAGGACATTGCTTTCGACGTCTGCAGTGGAATCGTCAACCAGATCATGGAGCAGAAAGGCATCGCCGCTCGCTATTCTTCTGAAGACCTGATCTCTCAGTTCGTTGGGCTCAATTTCCGCAGCATCATGGCCGTTCTGCAGCAACAACTCGGCTTCACCCTGGACCACGATGAGCTGCGTGGCTACATCAAGCTCGAAGAGGATCGTGTGATTGAAAACATTGAGGCAAAAGCTGTGGCATGCCCTGGTTCAATTGAAACGCTCCAAAAGCTCCATCAGCAAGGAAGATACAAGCTGGCCGTTGTCTCCTCCTCGTCCGTTCGCCGCATCAAAGCCTGCCTCACCAAAGCGGGCCACGACAGATTCTTCCATCCGAACGACATCTTCTCGGCGGCCGACTCCTTGCCATTTCCAACCAGCAAACCAAGCCCTGCCATCTACATCCACGCCCTTCAGCAACTCGGAGCCAGTGCAAATGAGTGCTTGACTACTGAAGACAGCAAGTCTGGGGTTCTGGCGGCCCTGGGTGGCAAAATACCATGTCTGGGATATGTGGGCTCCACGCACACAAGAGGGCAGAAACACGAGATGGCCGACCACCTTCTTGTGACCGGCTGCACGCGCATCATGTGGGATTGGAGTGAGTACGAGAAGCTGTTGGCCGAAATCAACGCTAACGAGTGATCTGATCCAACCTCCCAATCTGTGGAAGATGCTGTTGGCGGATCTGCAATTTACTCAAGTCTCTCGCCTGACTATAGAATAGGAGTGCACAAGCATACAAGGAATATAACCAACAATTGAGTTGGGATCCTGTGGTATACAGACTCCCTTAAAACGGTTGAAGTGGACCAGGGATGTTCCCACTGAGGACTACAAGAAGCACCTCCTGCACAGCATGCAGTAGCTTGCCAGTATGAACCCGCTCCGTTGATTGACCAATACAAACATTAGACCCAGCAAACAAGTTCACCTTCGTCTGTGCATATCCGTCTTTGCCTTTATCGTGGGGGGTCTTTTTTTGGGCTCCAGCAGAGTCTCAAAGCCAGGAGATTTGTGGTCTACATGTGTATGTCCGCGATTGAAACTGGCTGCGTTGGCTGCGTTGTGTGAGTGTGTCGTGAGTCCAGCGCAGCTTCCAGGCCGCGAAACCACCACCTACCTCATCAATTCAGACTACCTTCATTCTACACTGCGAGAAAATAAAATAAAAGATCTGTCGCCGTCACCATCTGTGAAGGCACTAGCACACCATCTCCTTTGATCACATTGAAACACTGCGTGGGAGAGGTTCCATTCCATCCCTTGCACTGTCTCAAGTCTGACTTGTCGCTTTCTCAACCCTCCTTGCGTACACCCAACCAGATCGACGCAGCGGACGCATCTCTCCACCCACCGCCTCTGCCAGTCCAAGAAAAACTGGGAATTCTAAAATCTTGAAAGAAGGGGTATCTGAGGATTCTTGAGGGACTATTCAAAACCATGAATGGTTCTCCTCGCGGCGACCAGCGGTCTTACTCATCCCTCACTGGGCGAAATACACAAGAGCATCTATCGGCCCCTGCGACCAAATCCAGTCCCCTCCCACAGGGCTATGAATCCCCTTTCAGCATGAAAATTCCCATGCCTCTACATCACCCCACGGCCGGGCTGCTGAGAACGCAGTCTCCCTTGATTGGCCAGCATATGTTGTCGTTCCCTGCTCATCTCCCACAGATGTCGACTCCACTGGCTCGCACTCTCGATGCACAACTCCCTCATTCTTACGGCTCGCTGGTGACGCTTGACCCAGCCTCTCTGTCTCCGGTCCCAGATCCTGTCGCGGTGGCAGAGGTCAAACGCCTTGTTCCCCATGTTTTCCAGCCGAATGAATACAACGACGCCGGCGAAGTGGTCGACGCGTTGACGGCAGACAGCTCCAGCACGATTTCAGCTTCAGATCATCTCAAAGAACCATTGCCGGCATCGAACCAGATTGTCGATGGACTCTCCGACGACTACACGGCAGAGATGGCTGGGGCAGAGTTTGACGTCTTCTTGAGCCAGATGGAGGTTCAGAAGCTCCTGGATCTTCCTGCAGCAGACAAGGGTGTGAATTCAGAGACGCAGTAAACGACCATGATATACGTCAAAATTCCCGAACATGAAGGGGCTGAGCGTTGTCGTATGTGACAACTTTCGAAAAAGGGATCTTAACCATCAGATTGATGAGCATTGCCAGTCAAGGTATCTTTGAGATAGGAGCTTTGCTGAAGGAATGAATGAACGAATGAATGAATGACATGAAATTTCAAATAGGAAGGGCCAACAGCCGATCCAGCACCTCCTGTCGACTTCATGGTGAACTTTGTGATGGTTTGATGGTTTTTTTTTTTTTTTTTTTCTTTTGTTGGCTTGTGGGCTCCTCTGTCTTCCTCCAATCCTCAAGTGGTTTCTGCAAGTGTTTCTCAAACCACACGGCACAGGTCGTGCTGGATTTCTTCCTTCCAATGTCACGCCTCGTGTAAACTGACCACGAATCCTGCTTTTGACATAGACCCCGGTGCAACGGAAGTCACAAATAACGACATCTCTTGTCCGTTGTCCATCCTCTTGCGCTTCAGACTCAGCTTTTTCATAGAAAGGGCTTGCCGGAACTTGTAGATATGACCTCAAGCTATAGATTCGCCTGTCTCTCTCTTCACAGCATCGTGTCAGGCTGTAAAGTGACGTTAATGCTCATGTCTGGGCAAAGTGTGGGCGTTTCACGGTATAGGCAGTGGTCTTGAACATTTGTCCTTACCTTGTCTTTCTCTCTGACACGAAGTGACTGGTGTATCGACACTGCCTTAACCACAAGCGCCCTTGGATCGGTGTAGGCCCTGGATGAGCTTCTTTCGTGTTTCTCCATCCTGTGCGCAGAGCCGGCCAGGATGATCGAGGAGAGGGCAGGAGGCCAGCTCAAAGAGCACAACGACGTGGGAATGGACCATCGTGAAGAGTGCAGAGCAGTGCACAGACAGCGATATAGACCACTGGAACGCAGTCGTGGCCCAAGTGCACCACCGAATCTTTATACCGGACCGCTCATCGCTAGCGCCATCTTTCACTCAAAGCCTCAGGGCAGTTCACACGATGAAACCCTCGACTTAAATTTTCAGTCTTCCTCACCTCACCTTCCATCAACAACACCCTCATCCTGTCGGACATTTCTTGTAACATCATCGTTCTTTTGTCGCGCCGCTTATTGCAATCATCAACACCATCTGTCCAGCGCGTATCCACCTTTGCACGAGGCTGGACCTCCTAAACGCCGAATATGACGGCGCCGAGACGTCTTTTGCCGGCTCTGGCGAATGAAAATCAGTCCATGGCCCCAGGCGTCGTCGGCAGCGCTGCGCCAGAGTCAGCGAGCTGCCAGGCCCCTGTCCTCACGGACTCCGGTCCCGGTGCTGCTGTCGATTTCGGCGAGGAGTTTGCGCCGTTGATTGTGCTGCTCGAAGCGGAAATGGTAAGCGATGAAACTCCCAGGCCGGTTTCCTGAACACTGTCGCTGACGGTTGGATAGAATGGTGACATTCCGGCAGGCTTTTCCTTCTCTGGATTGCTTGAGAACAACACTGACACCATCGGCCTTGGTTTTGATGATCCTAGTCTCATGACCGAGGACCTCGCTGCCACGGACACCAACAACCTTGGGCTTGCTGCCCCCGGTCACATGAACCAGAGTCTCAATGCCCCATTTGGCGCCAACGACCTTGGCTTCACTGCTCCTGGTCACATGATCCACGGTCTTGCTCCCACTAACAGCTTGTCCCCATGCCTTACCAGCACTGAGTTCAACGACACATTCCCTGGAATTGACGCTTTTTTCGACTTGGATAGTGCCAGCCAGCCAATGTGCACAGGAGCTACCGACAACGTGGCCTTGAAAGGTGTTGGTTCCCAGTTCGAAAGCTTCGACAGCATGGTGCCCCAATATCTCAACGAAAAGACCTGGGAGAATGGTGAGTACATACCTGACTGATGTATGGGAGTCAGCTAACCATCGACTGAACCAGATCCATCGATCTTTCCACCTGGGTTTGAGTCAGCATCGAATGTGGCGGCCAGTACCCCAATCCGCTTCGACCCTTACCAGGTGGAGGGGCTCGAAGGAGAACTGCCAGACCTCGACGCGTTGACCCGTGAATTTGGTTTGAGCGCAGGCGTTGACCTTCCAGACCTTGGCGCAGACAATTCAGACACAAAAACAACTGAAAACAACTCTCTGCCATCATCTCTTCCAGCATCTCTGCCAGAACAACCCGAAATCGTCAACCTTCCTTCCAAAATGGCAGGCTTCAAGTTCATCGTCCAAATGTCCTCCGACTTCGAAGCTCCTCAGGCCAACATTAAGGGCGAGGACACCAGCGACCATGTTTCCTCCGGTCTTCATGCTCCAACCGACACTGCAGTTTCCGAGGGAGCCAAATTCGGCGCTGAATCGGGCGCGAACGTTGTGAGCGATGTCGCTGCCAACGATGGCGGTTTTGCTCCTGCTGCCGTGAACGCTTCTGCCCCTGATGTCGTGAACGCTTCTGTCCCTGCTGCCGCCAAAGCTTCTGCTCCTCCTGTGAGTTCTCTCTTCCCTAAAATGTGTCCTCTTCAGTGGCAGTCATTGTCAAGTCACTCGTTCAATCCCAGTATACGCTAATGAATGAATGCAGGTTGATCTTCCCAACACCATCGATGCTAGTTCCGCCGATGCTGCCGCGAATGATGCCAAAGACAAGGCCGAGACCACCGGTGCTAGAAAGCGCAAGGCGGATGATGCGAACAACACGAGCACTGACCCGGGCAACAGCGACAAGGAGGCTGCCGTTCCACTCAAGAAGACCAAGTATAGCGGCGTCTATGCTCCACGAGTCGACACGAGCCAGCCTGGTACGGTCAGCGTCACTGAGCCATTCATCACTCGAAGCGGTAATCGCACTCAAGACCGAGGTGTTGTGCAGCAAAACAACGAGGACCCCAACGCTCCGAAGTGGACTCGCCGCATGCCATCTCTTCTCGACTGCACCGATCCCTTCTTGTGTCCCGGTTTCAACTTGGACTGTTTTCACGCTTTCCAGAATACATCTGGCTACTTCAACCACGTCGAGAATGTCCACGGAATTTCGAAGAAGAAGATCAACAAGCCCGAGTTCAAGGACATGAAAGCACTCTTTGAGCCACACACGGAGTCTTGGTGGGTTGCCAGAGGACAGGACACTACGTACCAGGGAACCGACCGCAAGCAGATCAATGCCCGTCGCCGCATGAAGGCTGGAATGCGCAGCAACGACCCGAACTACCTGGAGGAGGTGTATGTCCGAACTCCCTCTGTGCGTGTATCAGCAAACAAGAAGACTACTGAGAATTAGTTGTGCCGATATCTTGGATTGACATCTTGGATTCTTGAGTGCACTGCTGAGAGATTGGTCTTGTGTGCCGCATGTGCGAAACCCCTCTTGTGAAGGGAGGATGAAAGTGAAGTGAAGTGAAGAGAGTTTGTGGAAGCTTCACAATCGTGACAGTGAAATGTTTTCAGAGAGCTTGGCGCCAAGCCAGCATTAGTCATGAATGATTCAGTGAAAACAGATAGCCACAGACAGCCAATGAGCATTAAGCATGATTCATGCATATCAACTTGCCTCGTGCCTCTCTCCTGCTTGCCTTGATCTATCAATTGCAGTCATGGTGCACAGTTCACGATCGACGGCGCCCTTTAAAGGCTTCAACTGTGACAGGAAGAATACACAAGAGAGTGCTGACGCAGTTACGGCCAGCAACAGCAACGTCCTTTGTCTCTTTTAACTCCTTGTCCTGTTCCTATCCTGGAGGAACTTAATGAACCACCAGGCAGTCATGTCGAGCCTGAAGGCTGGTCTCTGGACTGTGTCTCCTTCTCAGCGCTTCCTGGGCCTCATTTTCACTCCTCAATCCTCTTGCCTTGTTCGTCAAACTTCACCACTTTGCCCGTCAGCAAACTCTCCTGCAATGCGCGGCCGATCTTCATGACCATGAACCCGGACTCCAGAGGCACGGGCACCTCTTTGTTCTCGAGGACGGAGGCGACAAACTCCTGGGCCTCGGTGGCGAAGGCGTCTTCGAACCGTTGCCAGTACTCCGGCTGGACCTCGTGCCGCATGCCCGTGCGGTCCGCGACGACCACGTTGTTGGCCTTGGGGATGACGTTGACCATGATCTTGCCCTGTATGCCACTGATCTCGGTGCAGACGTCGTGGCCGTGGGCCTGGGTGCGCGAGGCGTGAAAGTAGGCGATCTTGCCGCCGTGGAACTCGACCACGCCAACCCCGTTGTCCACGTCCTGGCTCTCGGCCAGCTCCGGGTGATGCTTCAGCGTGCCCACAGCGAAGCAGGACTTGGGGGCGGGCCCGTCCATGAACCACAGCGCGAGGTCGATGTCGTGGATCGTGCAGTCGACGAAGATGCCGCCGTTGCGCTTCGCGTACGCGACGAAGAACCCCGTCTCGTCTAGCAGGTCGCACGTGTTGCTGCGGACCAGGTATGCCTCGCCAATGGCGTTGGATTTGACCTTTTGGTATGCGTCACGGTAGGACGCATCGAAGCGCCGCGAGAAGCCGGCCATCACTTTCAGCTCGGGGTGGGATTTGGCGGCAGCTATCGCGGCCGACACCTGTACTGGGTCAGGGAGGAGTCAGTAGGGCTCAGGCGCGAGATTGACAGACGAGGGAGAGCCGGAGCGTACTTCATCTAAATCCGTGCTCAGTGGTTTCTCGCATAGGACATGAAGTCCCTTTTCCACGGCCTTGATAGTCTGGGTGGCGTGCACGTCCGTGCTCGTTGAGATCCAGACCGCTTGCAAGGCCGGATGGTTTAACATGTCTTCATAGCTGTCGTAGACCTTGATGCCGAAGTCGACGTAGTCCTCGTTACCGCGGGCCCACTCTGTCTCGTGGGGAGCTGCGCTGCAGACAGCGACCACTCGGGCCCGAGGGACGCGGTTGAGGAGGGTTGCAACGTGGCGTTTGCCCTGTTGAAACAGAGCACGATTAGCATGTCGACCAACACTGTAACATCTTGGAGATGGCAGAAGCGCCCGCGCAAGCGAGCGGCGAAGGCAAGCTGATAGATAGAGTCGAGAACATAGTGGTTTTTGAGGTGCTCCTGAGGAGAAATCTATATGAGAGGCTTACCATCCGCCCCAGGCCGGCCACTGCGATGTTGAGAATCTTGCCGTTGGATTCCACATACGACCCCATAGCTGGCACAAGCTGCAGTCTCGGGATGGGATCTCTGTCGAGAGTTGTAGCCAAGAGTCAAATTGGATGCAAACCTGCAAGCTGTCTGTTTCCGATTCCAGGTTCTAGCCGTGGAGTGAGTGGTTGCAATTGTTGGGAGAATGCAGAACGTGCCACTTGTTCGTCCTGCACTACAATGGGATGAGGGTTGTCTTGGGGAGTTGAAGGTGCTTTAAGTATGATCCAGATGCAGGGACAGATGAATGCAACCTGCTCAGTCACTCCTGCACAGTCTCGATGAGCACCAGTTGACGTGGTGTGGTTACGCAGAGTAATAGCCTGCGAGACCCGCTTTGTTTGAGAGATGGGGAGAGCCAAGGACGCACAGTTAGACATTCAGAAGACGTGTTGGTCCTTGTCTTATTGGCCGTACATCTCTGTCTAGCGATGTTCGCTTCGGCGCAGGGTTCGGCAGGGCACGGCAGGGCAACAATATTCGCGTCGGTTGGCCTTCCTCTTTGTTCAGCATAGCCGACCACCCCTGGCGTCAGGCTTAGTTTTTGCCTGGCAATGGTCTTGCCATGCGTTTACCTCGCTCGGTGTGACATCGCCGGAGAACTATGTACTGCTTTCCGGGGAGGCAGAAAGAGGCAATGTTCTCCGAGTCGGGGCGGGCTGCTTTCCGTGCAGTAAACCTTCATAGACTAGAGAACATGAAGTGAGTGATATCTCTGTATTGAACTCATGGTGAGAAAATTGTGTGTCTGGTGATTTTATTATGGTCGATGAGGAATGAATTTTGTCGGTGCCAGCTGGAAGAATCACACACAACTGGCATCCCTATCTATCCATGTCATCGCCTGAAGGTCCAAGAACACTCTATAGCGATGGAACTCTGACCCTTTTCCGCCCTTGATCTTAGAATGCTCGCTTGCTATGCCACCGACCACGTGCAGAATTGGGAGTCTATGTGGACCGTAGAAACCTTTCCGCCAACCGAGCTCTTACGATTTGTCAGGGAAGCCGAAGTCGACGCCGAACGCAGGATAGACGAAGCGGGTGACGCCGTTCCTGGAGATTTCAGCCAGCGAGGCAAGGTCACCTTCCGATAGTGAGACGATTTTCTTGTTCTCGTCAATGCGTGAAGGTGTGACCGACTTGGCAAGCACCGAACTGCCTCTGGCAAGATGGTAGCTCAGGAGAATACAGCCTGGTGTGACCCCTTTCTCCTCGGCCAGCTTGACCACGTAAGGGTCTTTCATCAGGGGACTTCCCGTACTCCCTAGAGGGCTGTAGGCAGTGATGAGGATGCCTTTCTCCTTGCAGTAATCCACAATTTCTTGCTGGGGGAGCAGCGGGTGGTTCTCGATTTGATTCGTCGCCGGAACCACCTCGACGTGGGGTAGCAGCTCCTCGAGGTATCGCTTTGAGTAGTTGGCCACGCCAATAGCTTTTGTCTTTCCGGTCTTTAGCAACTTCTCCATATCCTTGTACGTGTCGATGTGGGTTCGGTCTCGAATCAGGTCCCTCGACCCGTCAGGCAGTTTAGGGAATTTCTCATCGTTGCCGTTAGGGTTCATGGCGATGGGCCAATGTATGAGGTAGAGATCCACATAGTCGAGACCCAACAGCTTCAAGCTAATGTCCAAGTTCTGCTCCACCCTCGTATGATATGTGCACCACAGCTTGGTCGTGATGAACAGATCGCTCCTCGGTATGCCCGTGGCAGCGAGCCCTTCCTTGATCCCCTCGCCAACTTCTTTCTCGTTTCCGTAGACATAGGCACAGTCGATATGTCGGTAGCCTGACTTGATAGCGTAGGCGACAGCGGCGCGGACTTGGCCTTCAGGGCTCTGCCATGTGCCTGTAGGTGCGGATTAGCCACTGTACTTCACGGGATAATGGTGGGCCAGGTGGACGCAACATACCGAGACCCAGAGCGGGAATGGTGGCTCCGGTGTTCAGCCTGAGTGGTACGTCAACCATCGTATCAGATGGGATGTTGTGGGATATGCTATCGTTGTCTTTGAGCAACTTGCATATGGGAATTTATTACAAGAGACGGCAAGGTCTTTTGAGGTCGAGATGTCGTGTATTGGGAAGCGTGCAGGGCAAAATTATGTGGCCGGCGAAATATTTCTAATCCCGGACGGGGATTTACCCCACAATCTCGGGGTAGTCCGCGGCCGAACATAATCCGAACCCGAACTGCCAGGGCCATGTCCAAATAGAGCATCAATTCTCCGTCGCACGTGAACTTGCACCGTATATTGGACATGTCGCGGTAAATTGCCTGATTGACATTCATGGTAATTTGGGCCGAATGACCAAGATGTTATTCAACACCATGCGAGTCATGTACGCGGAGTGCTGGACACCAACTGCTGAGTAGTACTCGGTATTTAGATATGACGCACGATGGATAGTGGTGGATACTATTGCTCCACCCCTGTCCCCACCGTCCCCTTCCTTCAGCCTCGCACGCTTTCCTCCTGAGATTCTATAAGGAAACTCTGCCCGGACCCACTTGCCTGATTCTCTGCTTGCAATATTCCTTCTTGAACTTCTCCTCTTCGTTTTCCTGAGTGTTGTGTTGCGAGGGGGGGAAGAAAACAAAGTATGTTTCACTGGGGCTCCATGTGAACCTGGTGTGGAGATCAACCGGGTCAGCTGTGTTTTCGAAATGACCCTGGTTCCCACGTCCGCATACGAGTGTCGAGGGTTCATGGTCTGTCGCACAGCATGAGCGCTACGGTCAACCCTCCATCCCCGGGGTTGTCGATAGCCCCCTGCCACCTGCACTCCTTTCTCATGCTGTGTAACTCTGCCTCTCGACATATTTGACTTTGTGATATATCATATTTCTTTGACTTCCTGTTTTCTCTCACCGACTTTACCAACTTCGCCATGTCCGCCCGGCACAAGGTGGCAAACCAGGCACGAAACGCAAGCTTGAAGGGCTGGGTCACGACAGCGAGGAAACAATAGCAATTGCTCGTAAACCACAGACCAACCTGGCCAGGATATCACCCGCCCGAAAAGCTCACCACGCAAGCATCTTTAACACTCTCATGATCGAAGGAATCAAGTGCTTCGGCCCGCTGTCGATGATCAGGCTAGCGTCTTCTCTAAGCCCCGTCAGTGTGTGGCAACTGCAACTCCAGCGTCCAGATCCGGTAACTTTCAACCCTCAGCAGGGCCACCATGTCGCCTTCGCCTCGCCTTTGGCTTATCACGACCAGCGCGTATGTCATGCCTTTCGTGTGGGGTCAGGGTCCTCTCAAATTTTATCGGAATGTAGGAACTGGTTGCAGGATCACTGAAAGCCGAATCAGGTGTATCCTTGAAAATCCATTGGGGGTTGACCCATCACTAAAAAGATTTGAAATTCTACAGGATGGCGTATATTAACCTCTCGCGTGATATCTGATTGTTTGTTTTCACCCTACAAGGATATTGTTTGCGCGAGTTGTTTGAGTGACGAACACAATACTTTCACTAGAGACCCTGCCGTCGACTATATAACCCAAAAGCCAACACCAGAACTATTTCCAAATTTTCATCTTGCTCATAGACGATCGTTCTCAGCCAAAGTCGAGCTCCGATCATATTTCTACTTATACACAATAACTCGTGCTCCACGTTACAATGTCGGCTGTTCTTCTTGACCAGGCTTCTCACCCTTCCTCCTTCCGCAACGATCGAGACGGCCTCGCCTTCGAGGCCCTTTGTGACGAGATTGAATACGCCGACATTGCGGCGGACCAAGCTCTCAAGAAACAACGGCATCAAGAAGAAGAAGAGGAGAGGGGTTCCAAATTTGACGCCGAAAAAGACAAGACCCAGTTCCGCCAGTATGAAACTGCCTGTGATCGGGTCAAGAACTTTTACCTTGAGCAACACACCAAGCAGACTGTAGCCTACAACCTCAAGGCTCGACATAACTTCCACTCCAAGACCCGCGCCGAGATGTCCATCTGGGAAGCTATGGAGCGTCTCAACACTCTCATCGACGAGTCTGACCCCGACACTGAACTGGGCCAGATCGAACATCTCCTCCAGTCTGCCGAAGCTATGCGCCGTGATGGGCGGCCCCGCTGGATGCAACTCACCGGTCTGATCCACGACCTGGGTAAGCTCTTGTTCTTCTTTGATGCTCAAGGTCAATGGGACGTTGTTGGTGATACCTTCCCGGTCGGCTGTGCGTTTGATGACCGCATCATCTATGGCACCAAGTCCTTCAGCGCCAACCCAGACTTCGACAATCCAATCTACAGCTCGAAAGAAGGCATCTACTCACCCGGCTGCGGCCTTGACAACGTCATGCTTTCTTGGGGCCACGACGAATACCTCTATCATGTCGTTAAGGATCAATCAACACTGCCCGATGAGGCTTTGGCAATGATCCGATATCACAGCTTCTATCCATGGCACCAACAAGGCGCTTACAGAGAGTTCATGAGCGAGAAGGACCACGAGATGCTCAAGGCAGTCAAAGTGTTCAACCCCTACGATCTCTACAGCAAGAGTGACGAACGACCCAATGTTGAGAAGTTGAAGGTATGTCATACCCCTTTGTCCTGTTATTCCAAGTCCTGACGCGGCGTCTTAGCCTTACTACTTGGAGTTGATCGACGAATTTTTCCCAAAGAAGGTCATTAAGTGGTGATTCATTCAACATCATCGAATCTCTCCGACGTGAATCAGGACGCGGAAGTCATTTTCACTTCCGCGAAGTCTGGCACGTAGCGAAATTGCATTGGTGGATTCTTTCTTGTTTCCTTTTTCCTTTTGAGTTCTATATGAGATTCAGCCCTAGACAAAGTCACTTGAGCGTTGCTTGAGGCAGAGACTCGTGGCCTATCTTTATTCACGCGGAACGGGTTACTCGAAGCTTGGTGGGGATTGAGCCAGCGATAGCCACATGGACATAGAGAGTTCACCTTACGGGAACTGGGCTGAAGCCAATTTTGGTCGCAAACCATTGACGCCACGTCTGATCTATTTCGCAAATCTCTTCAAATTTTCCATTTCGAGCTTCAATGAGCCCCTTTCTGAAGTGTTGACCGCGTTCCAAACAGCTCTGACCACAAGAAAACGTAACAGACAGACTTCACCGACTATTTCGAAGACAGAGGCAGCTTCTAATTGGCAACAACCAATCATGGCTAAGATAGAAGGTGGAGGCACTAAGGGAAAAGACCTTGCAGATGGAAGACCCTGCATCTGCAGCACCTCTTGAACCTTGTATTAATATGAGCATTGTTACAGGGTATTTGAGGGCATGACCTCATCCTCTTATCTACCACGCGATGAGCTGTATTTCATCCATTTCCCCTATAGACCTGATCAAGCGCCCGGTAGACGACGGGGGCACAGCCAACGTCAACGCCACATCACCAAGCAGTTAGTCCTTGTTACACAGCATACGTAGTAGACCCACACACCAGCCGTGCACTGGTTTCACGCGACGTTGCACCGCTTTATAACGCACATTCGCCAGTAGTTTTGGGCCACTCGTACGCTTCCCCTTCAGTTTCACAACAGCGCATGCGAGTCTCGACGCACATCAGGCTCCGTGTCCCCGATCTGCCCCGGCTCATTGTCGCACTGCAGCTGGCTGTACAGGGGGCAGAGGTGCCATCGAACGGCCAAGACGATGGGGGTCTTGAACGACACTCCGCACCACGAAACCTTTTTGCGTGAATCCAAGACGCAGCAGCAACGCCCCGGTGTCAGTGCTCGGATTTTCCTTCCTGGCAGGCCTTCCCCCGAGTGACTGATCGCGATCCTTTTCAGGCATCTGAATTCCGAGGGAGCCTTCAGGGCGATCTAGAAAGGGCAATTTTTCTCCGATTGGTTTTCTTTTCTGAAGAGGGCTTGCGTGTTGGAAAATGATGATGCCGGGGGTTCACGGTTGCAGATGAATGTGAGACTCGAGGATCCGCAACTTCTGGCGGTGAGAAGGAGTCGGAAGGCTGTGTTTCATTCTCGCAGTCACGCCACGTGGTTCTGGGGAGGGGAGGCTTGCACGCCTTGCCGTTCACCTGCGGGGAGCTTACCTTCATGCTTTGAATCGTGTTGAGGAAGATCGCCGTGGCGTAGGAGGCACTTCTTCAGCGTCCTTTGTCTGGCATGGATATGTGTACCCTTCCAGCTTGAACCAGGGATACTCTGACGACCTTACTAACAGACAAGTGGCCCTCGAGAAGCCTCACCGTTATGGAATTTAACGAGAAGTTCTTGGCCTGCAGTGCCATGTTCAGCACGGCGTTAATTCTTGACACTGAATTCGCTTTCTTCTTGAAATGACTTGATTTGCTTCAGAAGTCCCATATCAACTGCGATTACACTGTATGGTGACGAATCTGGCCGAGATCTCTCTCACTCGTCCTCTTCGCAATCTTCGGCAGCAGCAACAGGACTTGGAAGAGACGATTACCTTGCCACCATTGGGCAGCAGGGGAGAGAACTCTCAGCCACTATCGAATTCCTTCCTAGTGTTATCGTTTGTGGAAACATCTCCATTTCGCGTGCCCCAGGAGTGTTCGGCGTAGCCAGTGTATGAGCAGAGCCGCGCGGGTCAAGCCTGCCTAGATCGACGCAGAGAGAAGGGCTGCTACTCCAACGGACGAACGCTCGGAGGTCAACATCGGAACTTTGCTGATGGATGGTTCAATCACCACTCGGCACGACGGTGGATATGGAGGATGGGTCCCAAATACGCATCTAGCGGCATGGTTGGGTCAACGTCATGACATTCGCTGACGCTGGTAAACGGCACCTTTGCTGGATCTCCATCCTCTCCCACCATGGACTTGCACGCTATCAGGCTGCGGTCATAATTACCCTAGTATGACCAAGTCCGGATGCTCTTGTGTGCGGCAAAGAAGAAAATGGAAGGACTTTGACATCGTAGATCCTTGTTTCATTCAGCTAGCTTTGAGTAGGATTTGAGTTTCCACAGTCCACGTGTTGGCGCTCAATCTTGCATGTACGTTTTCCCTGTCCTCTCGAGATTGGTGGAGGTACTAACCATGTTTTCCTCTCGGAGCCTGCAACGTTCGAGGTCTCCTGGAGGGATGCTCCTGCGTGATTCAGCGGCGTAGAGCCCGCGGGTACTGGACAGATCATCAAGATAATGATACCAAGAACTTCATGAGAAATCCCCAAGATGAGCTACATGCCCCAATAATTTGAAACGAGGACGAGCCCCGGATGTCAACCGAGAGCCAACTCATTCAAAGTGGAAACAGAGCTAGACGCCAAACAGGGCTACCTCACTACCTACTTGGGCAATGGAAGCGCCATCTAGGCCTCTTTGGTCCAATGAAGGCTCCATTCAATTTATGTCTCTGCTGAGCTGTAGATACTCTTATGAGGAAGAATGTTTTCAGGGGCGTATTTGTTATCGAACGTAATGAACCTATTGTAAATGGCTCCTCAAGCTTCCTCTTCTGGAAGGATGAGGGACTCCCGAGAATGCTTTGGCACAGCCCCATATGCTTCCCCGTTTTGCTATGGCTGTAATAGCATCGAAGCTCGGAGAAAACACCTCCGCATACCCAGTGCAACTTGTGACTGCCGGTTTCGAAAAGAAATAGAATCTGGTAAGTAGATACCCGGCTGAGAATTTTCGATGTCACGAAGGAGCGCGATGATCTGAAAGCTTTAGAAGCAATCGGTCTCTTTTTGTCAGCTTGAGAGCCCAATGAGCATGAATTGCAGTCCGGTTCTTCTCCGGTACCCACAGACGCCAATGTTTGGTCGTTTCTCGTATGTTGTAAGGAAGGTTTTCTAGCCTCTGAAACCGCTATTATTGGACCTATCGATTCCACACTTATAGAACGCGAGCAATCAATTCGATACGACCATAGTAGGGCAGCCTCTTGTAAGAACATTGTAAGCAACGTCTTGTAGTCGCAGCAAGATAACCAGATTGCAATATTTTCTGCTCCTCCAGCAGAACCAGGTTCGCCAAAATGGAGTCTCTCGCACCTGATGCTGCATGTTCAATGAACTATGGCAATCACAAGTTCGTGGACAGTCTGACATTTGTGTGTCGCTGCTTATGGAAAGCCTCCTCACGGATATGATGGGTTCGAGCGTCTCATTTGCCCTGGCATTGACTCCCAAGTATTCATCTACTCTACCAAGATCAGCCCAGAGTTCCTGGCTCCGCTGATCCGATATTTCCACGACCAACATCACGGACGGGACGATACGTTGTATTCGACCATGTTAGGCACTGTCTGTCTGATCGCAGGACCTGTGAAGGCAAATGCTCCCTTGCAGTAGGTTGCCAAATCATTAGATATGAAGATCGACGAGCTTTGCAGGCGGCTTATGATTTCGAATGAAGAAAACTTTTACCTCTTCACATATCGTACCATTTCTTTATTCTTTGGACTGCGATGCAAAGGTGGAAGTAAACCAGACGCACAGCAAGACTGTTCACACTGGCCGGAGAGTTTAGAGGCCAGAATAGACGTGAAGATCGACAATAGGAACCGGGGTAGAGCCCACGTCTGCCCGCTTGTGGTTAGCCGGCTTGAGATGTTTGCCGTGTTTGGTGTGTTTGTCCGCCACGATTGTGGCTGCGCGAACACCGTCGCGAGATGACAACAAGTGTCCCGAACTGGTGAGGACAACAAACCGCTGCTGGTTACTCTGTTTTTTTCAAACTTCCCCAGAGTGCTTTGTTGAGCAGCAAAGTCTTGAAAATGGTCAAATCGACGCAAATAGCCAGGCTGGACGGTTCGTGGTGTTTGAAACCGTTCTTTCAGACGCGGGAGAAAAGTAGCTAACTTGTCCGCGTTCTCTACAGGCCTCATGCTCGCGGCCTCGGTCGACGACGAGCAGGTATGCGTGCTTCCACTGCTTCTGAAACACTTAGTCACAACATTTACTGACCTCCCGGCGTACAGGTCGAGACAGAGCTCGCCGAGGTCAAGTCGCAGGCGAAGATGATATTCCGACGGTTGAATCGCAACTCAGAACAACAAGCAAGCATAGAATCGGGGCAATATTCATTGCAGTAAGCCTGCGAGTATCCCGCCTGGGGTTGTCGGTCTAGGGAACTTGCTCACCCTGCGACTCAGCTACATCATCAAAGACTCCGTCTGCTTCCTCTGCATTTGCGACCGGTCATACCCACGGAAACTCGCCTTCACTTACCTCTCCGACCTAGCACAAGAGTTTACCACCATCTACCCCTCCCAGCAATACCTCTCTGCGACGCTGCGGCCCTACGCGTTTGTCGAGTTTGACACGTTCATCCAGAGAACCAAAAAGACATACCAGGACAGCCGAGCCAGCGCCAACCTGGACAAGCTGAACGACGAGCTCAAGGACGTGACGAAGGTCATGACCAAAAACATCGAGGATCTGCTATATCGGGGTGACAGCCTGGAGAGGATGGGCGAGATGTCCGGGCGACTACGAGAAGACAGCAAGAAATATAGGAAAGCCGCCGTGAGGATTAATTGGGAGTTGATGCTGAAACAGGTACGTTGTAATGGTCCCTACTGAAATATTATCGGCCCTGACGTTCATAAATAGTACGGGCCCTTTGCTGCTCTCGCCGTGATCATCCTCATTTTTATCTTCTGGAGATTCTCGTGATGGAGGCCTCCTGCCCGATTTTGAGTGGTTTGTATGGATTAATGAGCGTACGATATCCTTTTTTGGGTCTGCTCGTTTCAAAGGCAGCTGCACGCCTGCTTAGATCTCATCCTCTTCCTCGTCAAAATCATCCTCTACACCCATGTCATACAAGATGCGTCCGCCCTCACCTGCTCCGCCTCCGACTTTCTGAGCGTCGAAATACGGAAGTACAACCCCTTCTCGTTCGAGGCGTTGGCGCTCCGTCAAGCCCAACTCGAAGGTCATGCCCGAGAGTTCCTCCACAGCCTCTTCCTCGTCTGGTTTGCGGAACAATGGGTGGTCATCCAGTAGCGTGACGATCTCCCGAAATGGCTGGCCATCGCTCTTCTTTGTCGCGGTCCGAGACGTAGGCAAGAAGAACCACTCTCTGACCCCTCGGCCACTTCTCCTGCGATGCTCCAGTTCCAGCACAATACCGCGCTCCTCCTGGTTCAACTTTGTCAAAGATTTTGACTTCAAACCTACGATCACGCCCTCCATTTCTTCTGGGAGGCCAAAGGACGGCGCAGCGAGGGATCTTGAACGGGCAGACTTTTCGGCGAGCAGGATTGGGAGTGAATGTACCGTGATGACGGTTGTGGCGAGGTATGATAGGAGTGAGAGTGGTGAAGGAGAGTACGCATTTGATAGCGCCGCAAATGGTAGGGCCAAGGGAGACAGAGACGGTAACGGGACATCGGTGTGGTAAACCGCGACTAATGAGATCTGTGGGCCCTCGCCCTGCTCTGCACCTTTTGTCTGGAGTGCCGGTGGCTGGAGTAGGGAGGAAAGGAACGCGGTCAGGTTGAGATTCGATGTCTGCTGTAGGGAGAGAGCCGCCAGTGTCGTCAGGGAATCAATCATGATCAAGAACCCTACGTATTCGCCCCGAACTCAGTATGTTCGACACAATATAATAGTCGACAAGAAACCACGAGAAAGCCAAGAGAGATTAAACCAGCAAAAGGGGGGACGTACTCTTTCCTCCACTCCGTTGAAGCACATCACCCACCTCCCTCGCGATCTTGTCTCCCACTGCTTCCCTCGCTCCCCGTCCTTGTCCCGGGCCCTGGCCCTGGCCCCCATCCTCACAATACTGGTAACAAGGCACAAAGTAATCCGCACCCGCGGGCCTCGCGAACGTCTCGAACCCCAAAAACACCACCACCACAGCACTGCCGCCGCCGCCGGTGTTTCCCACCCGTCCCCCCGGGGACAGCCGCGCCGCCCGCCGCAGATACTCGCTGGTCAGCGGCCGCGCAGGCTGCTCGAGCGAGTCGAGCACCAGCGTGAAGGGCGAGGTCTGCGCGTGGTGCTGCGACAGCAGCTTGGAGATCAGGAGGAGGTTGTGCGTGCGGCGGTGGTGGTGGTGGGGGGAGAGGAGGGGTTTGCCTTGGGACATTGCGTCGCCCTTTCTTTTTTCGCTTGATTCCCAGTTTCCTCTCTTTTTCAGTTGTGAAAGGCGAAAAAGTGAGAAAGTGGAAGGGTGAGGATGAGGGAGGAGGGGAAGAGTCAATGGAGGAATGATGGAAGGTAGGAAGAGTGGATGAGCGGTATTATGTCAAACCCAGGAGAAATTCAACATGAAGAGATGGTGAATAAATAAGTGCAGCTAGATGTACGAGTGAGTGAGAGAGGAATGGATAGATGAATCCTCGAGGGGGTTTTCATCCCTGGTATCGAATCCTGCTTGAACCTGATGGCTATGCTCCCGCCACGGTTCTTCGCGATTTTTGTTTATTTTTTTCGTTTTGTTTTCTTCTCAGAGTGTGATGTAATACCCAGATAGTTAACAACCTCTTCCTTACCAACAAATAGGACAAAAGTACAAAAGTACAAAGTAACAGTTAACTAGATGTAGTCCCCTAAATTTTTCAATATGGGCCGTTTACCGCTTATCTAATTCTTGGCGAGAATTCCGTGTGTATATGGGTCAGGGGGGTGTCCAGCCTCGCCGGCAAGGACCCCGGAAAGCTTATGTCCATGCATTCCAATCGCCATGATGGATATTGTCGATGTGATGATGCAGGTCACAAAGTCTTGTGAGGATATCAAACAGGAGTGTGGAAAGAGAATTCGAGATATCGGCATATAGGACTGGTCCCAGCAACGCCATCCACTTCGCCAGGTGGGTTTGCACAAGTGAAAAGTTGAGGGAGACGAAGTCGGACCTCAGGTGATTAGTACCTCCACACTTTCACCTTATGAGATACATTTTGCATCCGACCGTTGTCGTTGGGGGAGGCTCCAGCAGCTTTGGTCGTCATATGGACTGACGTGTGTCAGGTTCTCGACATCAAGAAGCTCGTGAAGGCAATTTCCTCGTTGAAAAAAGGGGGGTGTTGTTCCATATGTGCTAAAATTTCGTAACACTATTTCCATAAATTTTGCAATTCATCTCTTTCGTTTCGGAGCATGCAAGTATGGCAGAAACAATCACAACAACGACACTGCGAGGGGGTCTTCATAGTCAATTCATACTGACTTAAGTCGGGGTCTTGGGTGTTTTCGTCTCTTCTCTCTTTCTTGAAGGTGTCAAGCCAATAAATAGACGCAAAACGACTGGGCATTATGAGAGAGGCTGCAATGGTGGTGGCCAGGCGGGTTGGGGGGGTGTAATGTATGCCGCTGTGTTAAACGTGCAAGGCTTGGTCTCCTATACAGGTTCTTCAACGCATTTGATTGCGAACCAGTTAAACATGGACAGCTCTTCTGCGCTGAGGTTGTTGACTTTGACTGGTTCTAGTCGACCTTCTGATGCTGGCCCAGAAAAGACTCTACGTCTCGTACAAGAGTATCATTGACGGCAAGAACATGCCTGTGATACACCTCTACTGAGGTGGCTGGTCCAGTCTCCAGAGCTGCGCTCTTCACGCCGTAGAGTGAGAGATCTTGCTGCGTCATGCCTGGGCTGACGGAAGTGTTGCCGTGGCTAAAATATACGGCACTGCCGTTCTGAGTCGTCATCAAGCGGCTGCCATCGAATCTTGGGTAATCACCACGTCCCCCGGTATCTTCTGGATACAGCTGGTCGAACGACTCCAAGCCTGTTGGGAATACTGAACGGCCGCTAATTTCAATCGTCTGACCCCTCCTCAGATCCGCGGAGATGGAGAGGGTGTCGGCGCCTTTGTCCTGCACGAATGTGCTGTTGACGAAGAGCGGATAGTCGAAGGTACGAGAAAAACCTTCTGATGATATGGCCTTGCCAAATGTGTTCTGCAAGGTAACCTGGACATCTCCGAAGTCTGAGATATTACCCTCATTCGAATATGCGAGATATTGCTGCCAGACCGCAGCTTTGCTACCGTGGGACGTCTGGATTTCCGACGAGATATAAAGTTGGCGATCGACATTGACCGCATAAGAAAGGGTACAATTTGTTCCATTCGAAGTGGTTCCAACTGTGGACGACAAAGAAATGGAGTAAACGGAGGCATCTATCGTATGACGATCTCCGGTCGTTATGGAACCTTTAGCGTCCAGCCAGATAAATATTTTCCCTGTCAGAACCTGGAAGAGGTTGAGCAAAGAGTACCGCAGTCGGAGGACCGTGCTTACCCAATAGTTGCCCACGGCTTCAGACAGAAAACCACTCCCGTTACCATCGTCATCAATCCCAACGACCTGAAGCTCGAAAGAGTGGCCTTCGCCGTCGCAGAGCAGCGGGAGCCACGGGGTTATATCAATCTCATCTTCACGAATGTCGAATGCATCGATACCCACGACCGGCCTCCAAAAGCCGCGGACGATGCCGCCAGTGAAGATAATGGGGAAAGGCCACACAACCCCAGCCAAATTTCCGTCGATGAACAATTGTATCTCTCGAAAAGGGGAATAGCCCAAAAGTGAATTGGCTCCGAAGGTATCCACATTCGAGGAGAGCACATTGGAGTACCAGAATTCTGCACGGCGATCGTCAACAGGGCCCCTTTCTTCCACGAGCCAACCCACCTTCATTCATCTGACCGGTCGCAGAGACGGTGATGACGGCCCGTTCGATGTTTTGCGGCAGTACCAACATGTTCGATGTTTTACCGAGATGAGAATTCCAGACATTGAACTCGCTGCTGGGGCTCCTTCCAGCTGGTATCGGAAGGATCAGATCTGCCCGCTTCTCCGTGTCGGCAGTGGTGAAGAAGGTCGCCTGCAAGGTCACATTGAATGGAGAAGTGTAATTTTCGTTGATCAGGTTTCCGAGGTCAAAGGTGAGCGTCTGGGAGTGGGTGAAGAGTGCCAAGAGATGGGACACGTCTTTGATATAGGTCCAGCTGGAGGCGGTTAGAAGAGTGCAACCATAGAGCGAAGTGAATGGCTTACATGATGCCATTGGGAGTCGGCTCCGCCGTGCTCGTTCGCCAGATCTCAACATCGCCAAAGTAAGCTATTGCCAGGCGGTCAAACTGCTTGCCGGCAGCGGTGACCGTGAGATTGAGTGCCACCCGATTGAAAGAGCAATCCGGAGGTATGTAGGGGCCAACGTATGGCTTGCCATAGCTGTTTGCGAAGGAGTGGATCATAAGAGTCTGAGTGACGACGCATTCTGGTGCTTGAGACACGAATGGTCTTGCGGAATCCCCGTCGCCTTTAAGCAGTGTCCTTTGTGGCATGGTGTCTGGTGTCAGGACGGGCGGGTAAACCTGAAACACCCTTAGGACCGAAGACACGACGGCAATAATTGACTGCGCAGACGTCTTCATTCTGAAGGACGTGACCGTGGGACAATGGCCGTGATGTTGGTTTTAGCCAGGTTCAACAACTTTCTGGCGTTGGAAGCGTGGTTGGCCAATTGCCGGGAAATGTCAACAACTCCAGGCGGTTCCAGAGAGCTGGCTCACCACAAACAGCGTCAATCTCAGATCGTCCGCAGCTTCGAGCCTCGCAATTGGCGTATTCTCCGGCTCATCAACCGAACGTGTAAATAGATCGTGGCATTGTGGTGAGGTGGGAAATAAGAGAGAAAGAGCTTTAACGGTGAAATATTAATTCCAGGTTTTAGGATTGTTTGGATTGCTGCTTGAGGGGAATTGTGCTCGAAGGATCCCACGGACCAGCCCAGAGAAAGCTGTATTTCAGCACCTCGCATCTCCCAAGGCCATTGGCATGAGCTAGTACGTCTCACAAAATTCGTAATTTCACCAAGAAGCGATGCTTATTGTCCCCAGTAATAGCTAGCTGCCGCCTTCGGGAGCTTCTACAGGGCCTAAGGTGTGAGCCTACATCGAGCTCGACGAAGAGGACAGTTGATCTACCCACAGATCACAACATGTTTCTTTCCGAGGCACTCTTACATACACTTTTTACAACCACCAGTGTTGGAACAAATATGTACAACAAGTGCATGCTAGTGATGCTGATGAAGTGCTGTCGGTTCATAGTCTGTCTAATGCTCCGCCGGAATTTTCCTGCACCTCATCAACACCAGTTTCTGACCATCGCATCTTGCACCGTCCGTAGACAAATGTGATCCCCTCAAAGCTGCGCCAAATGGCGCCGATGCCTGCACTGGAACATCTTTCCAACCCGCTGGCCACTTCGGCACAGCTGCTCAAGCTCAAAAACACCGACGACGACGAAGACACGACCACATGGTTCCCCCAATTCATGTTGACCTCCGGGGCTGGCATCCTCCTCCGCCTCTCGCAGGAAGTCATAGCTCATGCCATAGTTCTGCTTCAGCGGTTTCTGGTTTCTTCGACCTCTAACGAGCGTCGGAAGTTCAATGCGAAGAATTATTCTGCCGCTGCCATCTACCTTGCTGCGAAAATATCCGCAACGCCTGTCTCACCGCGATCGGTCATCAACGTCTATGCCTACCTCACCTCCGAAGCCTCTCCGCTGAGATTCATCAACCTGGCTGGTCCCCCCACAGATGTCAAACCCCAAAGTTATTTCGTGTCCGAAGGGGGTTACGAAAGAGAGAGACAGCGGTTGTTCGTGTGCGAAAGCATGATACTGGTTGGGCTCGGGTTCGACACACGGGTCGCATTACCTTACAATCTGGCCTTTACCTACATGCAAGCCCTGGGCGTGGCCAACACCAAGCTGTCCCAGAGAGTGTTGGAGCATTTGAACGCAGGCCTCCTCTCGCCTCAGCTTCTCCACCTCACTCATCAACCCAATGCGCTGGCGGTGGGAGCAATCTACCTGGCGGCCCGAGAGACTGGGGTTAAGCTGGTCGAACGAAATTGGTGGGAAGTTTTTGATGTGGACAGGGAGGACCTGGGCTTCCTGGTACTATCTTATGGAAGTATGGCGAATTTCGCCCAAGCGGAAATGGACAAGTGGAAGGACGGGCCTTTGCCATTCGACTGAGCTCACCACGGGGACTCGGTCCTGGTACTCTAATAAGCGCTCCCAATGCTCCTCTGGTCACCAATAGCAACACCACCACCACCTACGGGCGCCCAGCAATGCATGTCTTCCTGTGATGTGCCCATGCTGAGTTCTTCGGTATTGGTTTGGTCCTCTGACCACCGATGACTATTTCCCACCAATGACTATTTGTCCTGAATCCTTGTCAGCACGGTGCCAACCCACAACCATCCACCCACATTCTCTTCCTGGGACTGCGATACTGTATAACTCCGCCTAGTCGAAAATGCCCTCGACGACATGTTTAAATACCGTCGCAAGATCCGCGAGTCTCTTTTGCTGCGTCCGCGTGTTCATGCACTGTCTCCACCAAACTGGGCCTGCGCGGCGGAACTTTTCCAGCTCATTCGTGAGGGATTCCTGCAAGCGCCTTGTGCAGCATAGCCGGATTTGGCGATCATATTCGTCGTGCAGTTCGTCGAGGCTGTTGAACTTCTTCTCAAGGAGTCCGTCGATGATCATTGAACCGGCATTGATCACCTGGTCTGCCTCCCGCCGCTCGTGCTTGCGGAAGGATAGCATGTGGCGTTGGACCAGCCGCTCCCCGTATTTGCGGAGGATGGCCGAGATGTGACGCGCAGGTAGGCCCTGGACTTTGGATGATTTTGTGTTCCTCTGGCTCTGAACCTCCTTGTTGCTTGTCGATTTCTCCACGCGCTTAACTCCCGGAGTCGAAGTCTTTTCCAGCACAGACTCACTTCCAGGACTGCGTGCTCTCTTATGAGGAGAGCTTGTGGGAAGGTGGCCGAGACCATCATCTTGTCGCCAGTCATTAAGAGGTGGTTTGGACGAGGTAGTTTGAGAGCCCGGTGAATATATCAGCAAACGACTGGCCTTTGTCAACAGGGCACTTGGATGCGTCATGTCTGGTGGGGAGCCTGATGTGGTTACACGATCATGACTGGCCGTTCCTCCGCCGTGGTGCTCTCTTGACGAGCGACTGGCAGCCTCAAGGATCAGATACTGCGGAAGGGAGACTTCTTGCGTGACACCATGGTCGTCGGTGGTCGAGGGTCCTCCCGCCTCATCTCGTCCTGGGCTTGAAAGTTGCTTGTTGCATGCCTTCACCGGCTCGATTTCTGTGATGTCCTGAACCGACTCTTCTTTCAGCTGAGCCTGATCGTGTTCTGGAGCGGCTTCAACTAGTTTGTTCAGCATCGCGCGCTGCAGCCGGAGCTGGAGTCGCTTCCGGTCCAGGTCCAACTGGCGCTGATCGAGCTCCAGCTCCTCCTCCTCGATGTTGATGAACGCTTTGTCGTGCATCGTCTTGAATACCTGTGGCGAAAAGGTGATTGGTCCCTCGCGCACTATGACCAGGTGGAGTGAGGTGATGTGGAATAGAGGGCAAGACACGGCTGATCAAGAGTGGACTGCCACGCCTTGAGTGTTGTATGAGATGAAAGTGAGGCGAGGTTCAGTGTGAAGGAGAGAAAGAAGATTCGATCCAAGTCAAATTGGTCGACGTCAAGGAATTTGTTCCGCCGAGAACAGGCTCGAATCATGTCATTCTGCTACATACAGTGTGTGGCCTCTGGAACAGCCTGCCTGTTCCTCTCATAGCTCATCATAGAAAGAAACATCTGATTTGAGCGATTCCCTATTATCATTTCTCTTGACAGAGGGCAGTCTTCGACACAAAAACGCTGCGAAGGAGGGCTGGCTTCTCACTATCGCGCTCTCTGTTCCCCTCTCTGATCGGGTCAAACCATTTGCACAAGTTTCACGCTTCCCACCTGCTAGCAGCACAGAAATCATGAACATCTGTCCCCCTTGCGGCGGATCAAAGCGGATTGATCCCTCTCCCGATCTACCAGCGTGATCGATTCTTCGCGCCAGTAAATCGACCATCCCTTGCGTTCTTTGTTCGCGCACATACTCACTTATTGTCATTACTCCGATGTGCATCCTTTGATTCCTATTCCTTGAACTTATCATCCGCAATAGCTTGGAAAACCTTGGTAACGAAAGATATCCTCTCTTGCTGGGTATTCAGCGCTTGACACTCTGGCCACCAATGAGGTTGAGCATCTTGAAATTTATTCAACTTCCCCACCAAAGTCTGACGAAGATAGATACTTTTTGCATGTGCGTGGATAGTCATCTCAAATTCTTGGTGAAGAAGGGAGAGTGTATGATGTATCGTTCCGTTGGTGGTTCTTCGCATCTTTGACACGACTGTCGGTTTCTGCAACCACTGTGACGGAACCGAAGATTCGACTGCCGTCATATGCTTCAGGAGAAGGTGGGTGTAAAGTTCAATGATATCATACTTCTGAGACTCAGTCATGGGCCTAGAGACTTCAACATGCTTCTTTTCGTCTTCCTGGGACGTCCGTCTTCGCTTGAACCTATTGCCTTGTCGGCCAGCAGCATCGCTTGTTTCGGAATCGGTGCCAGATTCTGAGCTCACGGCTAGGTGATCGGAATGCCCAGCTTGCTTTCGTTGAAGCGGTACGTTGGTTGAACGAGCAGGCGGTCGACCGCTGAACTCTGCTAGCAAATCTTCGGCCGTTCCCCTAGACTTCTCCGGAACAGCTGCTTGCATTTCTGGTGGGGAGGACAGAGACCGGCGCCTCTTCATCCGATAGTGTGAGCTCGCTTCTTCACCCTTATTCGAACCGATTGCTGTGCCTGCAAGAACGTCCGCCTTGGAAGTCTGGCGCCGCGGGTGCGTTACATTCTGCATACGATGCGCTCCTGTTCCAGCCTCTTGTTTTTCAGGATCCACCTTTTCTTGGTGCTCCTTGATGGCGACAGTGCGGTCTGGGCTTACAGCAGGAGTACTTTGCATGTTGAGTGAGGCCGCTGTCAAGTCTGCCTGCACCTCGGCAGAAGGCCGATTTTGCGCCGTCACTCCAGTCTTGTCGGTCGCGTCAGGCACATCCTCAGTTTTGACCACGGCAGTATCTTCGATCGAGTTGACTGTATTCTGGGTCAAGTTGACAGAGGGTTTGAGCTGTTCCAGTCGTCGTTTGATGGAAAGCTCCCGACGCTCCAGCAATAACTGCCTCTTGTCGAATGCAACCTCAGCAAGTTCGTATTTCAGTTGCGCCTCATCATCCATGATGACCTGTTCGCTTCGATGTTGGATCAAGTCGGGGAGCCTGGAGAGTTAGGATGAAGCTGGATGAGAATTAAGGAATGCTTGAAGTTCACCTATGCTTGTTGCTTGTTGCGGCTGAAGGCAATGAGGGATGCAAGACGCGTGTAAAGATGAAAGACACGAAAACCAAGCCTTGTGGTATTTAGGGAATCTGAGACCAAGGAGAAATGAAACTGCAACAACGAACACGGGTCCGGCAGCATCCATCTAGACATCTTGGGGTCTTTGAACTCGCCTCGCTTTGGCTCGCCACCGCTGACGAACTCTCCATCAAGAACGCTTGTGTCGACGGCGTCGACATGCGATAGGAATAGATCCGATCATCTTCATGGTTCTGGATTTTACGCAATAGATAGTGGACAGAAAGTGCTGCAAGGCTGAGAGCCTGTCTCTCGATATATGCGGAGCAGGCGCCACCACCGTCGGGCTTCTCGGCGGGTCACACAGACACAAAATATGTATGGCATACCTAAAAATTGTCACAAATCAGTCTTTGTGGTCTGGTCGGTTATGACGTCGGTCTCATAGGCTCGCTCTATGATCTTGTACCCCAATCGCGCATCCGAATGGTGGTGTAAGTACACCGTATCAAGCGAGTGAGCACTAAGTCCGCGAAACACCATACACTGAGTGGATTGCGCAACTAGTTTCCATAATTTCAATCTCTCAAACTCCTGTCCAGACGATCCTACTCTCTCGAATACGGGAGTCTTATAGACTGCTAACGCTCGACCAAGTCTCGAATCTGATCACTATCGACTCACTAACTACAAACATCAACTTCAGCCCACCCTCAGCCACGCCAGTTGCCAGCACAATGTCTACCCCCGCCAACGAATTCATCGCCGAGACGCTCGGGCTATACACTCGCCGTGCAGCGAACTATGACCTCTCCAACGGTGGTTGGCACGTGGAGCTGGGTCGAGATTTCGTCACCTGGGTACCTCCTCCCAAAGGCGGAGCCGTTCTTGACCTTGCTTGCGGCACCGGGCTGGTCACACTGCCTCAAGCTGAGGCAGTCGGACCTGGTGGGATCGTTGTCGGCGTCGACATCACCGAGGCAATGCTCAACGAAGCGAAACGCAAACCACTCCCGAAGGAAAGCGGAGACGTGCGGTTGGTGTTGGGAGACATCACCAGCCTCTCCTCGGTGGAGGAAGTGCAAAAGGTTGCGAAGGAAAGGGGAGGGTTTGATGTCATTTCATGCTGTTCGGCATTTGTATTGCTTGAGAATCCAGCAAAGGCACTCAAGCACTGGGTCACCTTTTTGAAGGCAGGCACCGGGAGGCTGATCGTCGACGTTCCCACCGAGGATCGTAACTTGCAGTACCTCCTCAACTACTCGCTCCGGCGCGCGATGGGGGACCCCATGGTTTTCGACTTCGACTGGATACACGGTATTCACACTCTACAGAAGCTGTTTGAAGATGCCGGGCTGAAAATAGAACAATCTTTCCGCACGAGGAGCTACATCCCCGAGAAATGGTACGGCGCGGATCAGGCGATGGATGCTCTTGAAGAAAAGACGAGTCGGAGCGGGCTGTGGAAGACTATCTTTGACGGCCTCGAGTCCGAGGGAGGGCCAGAAGCCGTCGACAAAGCCAAGCAGATATGGGCGCGAATTTGGAAAGACCACTTGAACGAAGACGGCAAGTTGTGGGATGGACACGCTTTGTATGTTGCAATAGGATGGAGGAGGGAGTGAAGGATGCCTACATTTCCGCACGACGTTGTACAGGGATTCCCTTCCCACGCCCGACTCATCGTCCCACAAATACCACGCCCGCATCTTCAGGTCGACGCATCTTCGGCGTGATAACGTTCATCGAATCGTCTAGCACCTCCAACAATGCCGAGCTAGCCTGCTCTTCAGTCGTCGTTTTTCCTTCTATGATCAGTGGCTTCAGGCGGTATTCTCGCAGCAGCGTCGAGATGACGGCCACAAACTCGACTTGGCTGAACTTCTTCCCTGGACAGACCCGGGGTCCAACACTCCACGGCACAAATACCGTGCCCGACGGAGGATGAGCGATCGACTCCTTTCCTGTCGCTGGGTCGGCTATTACCCAGCGTCGTGGGTTCCAGGTGAGGGAGTCGTCGCCCCACCAGCGTGGGTCGGAGTGGACAGCGTAAAGATTTATGGACACATATGTCTCGACTGGTACCATGATCTCTTGGCCCTTGATTCGAAGAGAGTTTGGTTGACCGACACACCAACGCTCCGTGCTGGGCACCGGCCCCCAGAGACGAAGGGTTTCATACTAAGATTTGTAAGCTCCCAAACATGGGGTGCGAGCAGCTTCAACATACCATCAGCGCCAGGCACCTTACGAGTTGTGGAAATGCCTCTTCATAGTCAAGGTGTTCAGGAGCTCTGCCCTTGAGCACAGTGTCCACTTCTTCGCCTACCCAGTCCTGGATCTCACGATTGGCGGCCAAGAACGGGATCGTATAGGTCAGCGCGTTGGCGGTCGTTTCAAAGCCTGCCAGGTTGAAAATATACAAATTACCTAATAATTCTGAGTCGCTGAGGTACATCTGTTTCGCTCCAGTGCCGTGTACGGCCGCCTTTTGTTCTTGTTTCGCCGCCTCGTCGGCCTCTACCAGTGCGCTCACGATATCGGCGTTGCCGCTACTGCCCCCACCTTGCGTGACGGCTCGATTGTACGCGATTGCTTCCTTCATATATTGAGTGAACTCGGCCGTCATGGCGAGAATCTTGCGATAAAAAGCGGGCATGAGCCAGCGGAGCACCGGGATATTCTTGAACAGCACACAGAAAAGGATGTTCTGAAGGAGGAACTTCAATGACTCGGCGAGACTGGTCTGGTGTCCCTGTGGGATCTCGCGGAAGCCTCCGTCGAAATCGTGAATGTGTCCAAACCCAGCGGCGGAGAGGACGTGCATTGCAATCAGCACACAGTCGTTGCGGATGTCGAGCATCGTGCGGCGGGCATCCGATCGACTGGTCACGGCCTCCATCATCTGTCTCGCCTGCCTCAGCGACTCCCTCCAGACGACCTTATTGTTCTGTTCACGGAAAGCGGGGTTAACAATTCTGCGGTGACGCTGCCAGTCTTCTCCGTTGATGCTGATGACGTTTGGCCCGAAAGATTCAAAGATCTCGTACAGGGGCTGAGGCTTGATCCACGATTTGTACTGGGTTTGCAGCTCGACGGCCAGGCCGGGGTCGTTGACCACGATCTCGTTCTTTCTAGGGGATACGATCACGAACACATCGCCGTAAGTCTGGTGTGGGCGGTATCGCTCATCCTGGGCCCAGGAATGATAGCTGAACACGAAAATATACCCTACTCCAGGCACATGGCGGAGGAATCTGAAGAAGGGGTAGAGAAAAATCCACCAGTCGTCCTGCCATGAAAAGGGAATGACGACGATGGGAATCCCCAGTTTTCGTGCCTGTTGGTAGTTGACCAGCAGTCCGTAAGTGCGGGCCACCAGCAGCGCAAAGAGCGGGATGCAAATGAACGACACAGCGATGGAATTCAACGCCATTACGCAGTATGGCCGTTTTATCGCGGGTTTCTCCCTGGAACGATAGGGAGGATGAGGAGGATGAGGAGATGGGTGACCTCAAAAATTATAGAGGCGACCTGCCCATCGATTGCTGGATGCCTGACCTGGCACGCCTGGTTGAGCACGGTTGCAAAGTTACTCGTATATCGTATCCATGGGCACGGAAATGTCGGCCCCGTTCCACTCGGCAGTCTGATTGGAAGATTTGTATACGAACAGACTGGGAACAGCCGGTCAAGAATAGTCCGGCAGCGGAAGACTGGGATGATCTGCCAATCAGCCATACAACTCGGAGCTCGCCAGAGCCGAGTCATCCTTCTTGCAGCGAGAAGCGACCCTACCTGTTTGGGGGCCTGCTGTTCTTGAGATATCGCGCTGTTCCGCTCAAAACAGAGACTGGTGCAACGGCGTGGAATCTTGAAATAGATTGCGGCTTCTCGCAGCATACAGCATACTCCTGACCAGCCTCAGCCTTCCTTCTCACTCATTACATGTGCCCAACACAGTCCGCAACATCGAATCACCTTGGTGTAGCGGGTGAAGGGGCCTTTTTCTTTGCTCCAGCCAAGTAGGCCGCCTGTCGCCGACAAAGTCAAGTGGGAAATGTGTATATCGGGAGTGGGTCCCCAACGCTCAGAAATATCACATTTGAAGAAGCAACTGGTGAATTTTGAGAAGCACCGGCGAGATTTCGAACAGTTACCGTTTCACACAAAAATGCAGAACGTCCCTTGAAGCCTTGTCCAAGCGCATCAGGCCATGAGACCCTCCACCACTGCCTCCACCAGACCAGGATATCACCATCCACTTACTCCCCCGTCGCCGAAACAAATCTCGCAGATGCTGAGAATTTGTCGAGATGCGCCGTCCAATCACAACGATCCTACACTGTTGGATCGGTGGCACTGACGAAACAGGTGGCTTTGTCGACCGCATCCACCCAAGAAGCGTCGAGGACATTAGATGCCGCGCCAAACTTCATGGTGGTCGAACCGCAGATCACCGTCTTGCCGTCTACGGCGCCTCGATGTCCGCACGTATACCCGCAGGTGACATAGCTTGCGTCGGATGTCGTCGAGATCATCTGTATAGCTCGTGGATGGCTCAGCGCTTCTCGTTCAAAGAGGTCAGCACGTGCATGGGGTACCAACGTGGGAATGATCGAAAACGAACGATTAAGAGACTCGAGTGTCTGATCTCCGTCCACCTCGATAGCGACAGTGGTGTCAACAAAGGTGTTGCTTCCCGTGGCAAACTTCCGAATCACGACGTTGCCTCCAAGAGCGCGAATTGACGGGGGATGTCCATGCACCCACCCTATGTTGATGGCGAGAAGGGCAGCAATACCTATGATCCTCATCGTGTTTGGGTCGACAGCACTGACTCAGAGGATACTAAAACGAGTCGAACGAAATGAAATGAAATGAAATGCGTCTGCGGTGTGTTACAGCAAGGAGGAAACGTACTCTCAGCGGTCATACTGCAGGCCAATCCCCAACTTATATACGCATTACGAGAGCAGCAGCATCCCGCTCGAAGAAATCAGACACATCTGTATACTATCAAGATTCCACTAACTGTGAGAACGCACTCTCGAGACCTTTCAGATCGAAGGCCAAGGTTGGTTGGTTGGTGGCTGACCGAAAGCACCGTGATCAGGTGTTGTGGCTCGTATTTCAATTTTTTTAGTCCCCCTTCGGCGCTTTACATACTGTATGTACTGTAATGTGCCGCTCTGATTGATCCATTATTGGAGGGCATTTTGGAGCGACTGCCCGATATAGCAAGTGTTCGCACCGCATAGAGCAACCGATCTCCCCCGGGGATATTTGCGGGATATTATCTCTGCATGACCTCTCTCATCGATGGAGAGCGTAGCTAGAATAAGATGCTGACGGGCTGTCAAGACTCGGGCACACTGACTGAATAATTGGCTCGACGAGGCTGAGGTAAGGTGAGAGGTCAGGAAGGATGCCGCGGATGAAGCACTGACTGAGGCTGGCCCATTGTCTATGCTAAGACTCGATGTATGAATATGCACTTGTTAATTACATATTATTCTCAACCCCAGTTTCATCATTACCCTCCTCTAACTCTGTCTCATCTTCCTGGCATCAAGTGAACACCCTGGCCACAGCGTCAAGGCGCACTGCACTGTACCTGCTCCACCTGGTAGCCACACTGAATGATAGTGACGATCTTTGCACATTTCCATGAGAGTCGACACTCCAGGGTTATCCTGTCGGTTGCCCTTGCTGGGCAGAACGCCACTGTCATTGATCGCTCTTCGACACAGATGAGAGTGAAGAGAATACCACTCGTGTTCTGACCGGAAGAAGGCACATGAGATGCAGTCGTAGAAGCGTATCATGAGAACCATTCAACGGGTGTCTTCCGCATGGATCCCACGGTAGACCTATCTGGAAGCCGGTTGTCCGACCCCGAGCTCGTGCCTGTGATTTCAGAAGGCATTTCCACCACGCAAGTATTTCTTTTACCCGTTCTCACGACCTCGTCTTTGAAGGCGTCCCGTTCGCGGAGGCAAACAGATCTTGCCAGACCGAGAATGCTTTCTTACCTCGAGACTCATCATAGGACACCTGAAACAGCAATTACGGATCCTAGGCACGTTCGGCACGCTGAGCCAGCCGATGCAGATGGTGGCTTCCTCTCGGCGTGGAGCAGCACTTGCGGCTGAACGACCTCCAAGGCGATGACCAACAGGGTTCGGTGTTCTGCTCCTCCGTCCGGTTCTAGTCTCCGAAGCTATTGCTTGTGCTTGAGCAGATGGAAGACCTCCTGGCGAGCATGCAGGTTCTCTATGCGTGGTTTGTTGTGGCTGTGCTCTTCATGGGTCTGTAGCAGGGCAGCATCAGAGGTTGCGGAGCACTTGCCCGCCAGCTGATAAGCGATGGTGGACACGGTCACAGAGGCCAAATAATGAAGCATGAATAGGAAGATGATAGCACTCATTGAGTCTGTTGCAGTCCGGTCGAGTTCTGGAAGATCTTCCTCCCCAAGTCGCATCTGCCCCGTGATCTGATAATACACGCAAGAAGCCAGTCCTCGCAGATCGCCCTGGAATCCATCGATCCGCGAGTCTATGACCTCGATGGGCTCAAAGGTCTGTTGAAACCACCCACACGGTTCATGTACTGCCTGTAGGTCGTCTTCTTCTCCTTCCTCACGCCGTAGATCTGGTTACCAGGCACCTTCGTGTTCTGCGTCGACTTGAACGTGGTAAACCCCATCATCTTCCTCAGGAGAGCGTCTTCGTCGTCTTCGTCAACAGCCATGGCGTCACCGTTAGTCAGAGGCTTTTCGGTTTGGGCGGCTCGCTGTTCATCCTTGGGCTTTGGTGCCCGTGGCTCTTCATCGTCGGGCTTGTTCCGGTCTCGAGGCCGGGTCCGATCGTGGTCGCTTCGTCGAAGAGGAGAGCGTGTGCGCACGCCGTCACGACCGCCGGTCCTGGCCGGTGAGCGTGATCTCGAGCGTCGGTATGAGCGTTCGGCTCTGTGATCTATGGTCGCATGAGCACGACAACATGAACAGTTCCAGAGTATGGTGATTAGTTACCTTTCGAGTCTCGTTTCCTGTCACGGCTCTTGCTCCTCTCGCGCCGACCGTGACCATTGACGTCCCGGCCCCGTCCACCTCCACCTCTGTCTCGATCACGATCTCGCTCTTTGTCCCTATTCCGGTCGCGGTGCGCCGGCCTCTCCTTGGACCTGCTCCGCTCCCTCCGTCCGTCGGGTGTGTCTCGCGATCTCGACCTTCTTCTGCGCTCGTCGTCTCGTCGAGGTCCACGGCGGTCCTCGTCCCGGATGTCGCGCGGCTTGGGCTTGTGGTCTCGTCCGCTCGAACCAGGCCGCGAGTCCGTCTTCTCGTCTTCGTCCCACATGGCGGCACTGGTCGTGCGCTTCGTGCGCTTCGCCGGACGTTCGTCCATGTTTGCAAGGACAGGAAGGCTTGGAAATGCGGCAGATCGTGGAATGGAGTCTTCAAATGGGCATCACTGCAGAGATGGAGGGAAATTTCACTGCATGTACCAAGTGCTGTCAAACTGCGCGTAGGGTTGTGTCCAGAGACGTAGGATACGGCGGATCGTGTAATCACAATGACGCAACGGGGATCCGAAATGCATATGCTCAAGTGTCGCAGCACTACTCTCTCCTGTAATTAGCGAAACTACTATTATTCAATAGTCTGCTCTAGACGAAATCATTGCGTCTCTTACCTACTCGGCCAACCATTTCTTCCGTGCTGCAGAGACGCGAGGAGAAGGCGAGGCTGAAGTGGCCAAGACCCGAAGCGCAAATGTAACAAACTCGCCAAACAAAGCAAACTCTCGTCATCCCCATTCCCCTCGACCATCAAGGCGGCGAGGTCACGGTCATCCTCTTCGAGTGCAGCCTGCTTGTAAACGTCTTTCCACTCGCTAGACACTCTTCCTTAGTTTGTATCACTCAAACCCAATCCTTATTCGTGTGTTCATCAAACAAAGAGGTTATTATAAGCCGTCGACGTGCCCGACCGTCCTCAACAATTCATCTGCTCACTCACTCAAACAACCCCGCCCCGGGCTAGAACACCAACGTCCTCTCGAGTCCAACGATGCAGTACCTCCGCTCCGGTCTCGATCAACTTCGTGACCGTTACGCCCCTATCCGGCACACTTCTACATTTCGCAGTACGGGCCAAATCACGCCCGAAGAATTCCTCCTGGCGGGAGATTACCTCGTCTACAAATTCCCCTCCTGGTCCTGGTCGGACGCCTCCAGTCCTGCACGGCGGGTGAGCTATCTGCCCGCCAACAAGCAATTCCTCGTCACAAGAGGTGTCCCGTGTCACAGACGGTTGGATGAGAACTTTGCTGGTGGACACGGCGCCGCAGATGATCTTGTTAGAGATGGGTTTCTCGGCGGACCCGACGAAGAGACCGGTGGTGGTCAAGACGATGGCTGGTTGAGGACCGGGGGAACTACGGAAAAAGAACAAGAAGGGTTGAGGGCGGAAGTGAGGACGATGAGCGAGAGCGGACAACTCGGCCAAAAGGCCACCGAGGAAGACGAGGACGAGGAAATCCCGGACATGGAGGATGAGGACGATGACAATGAGGCTATCATAAGAGATAAGGGTGACGGGACATCTGTGTAGGTATACTCAGACCCTGTTCAAGAAGGCTTTAAACACTGACTCAAGTTCCAGACCTCTTCGAACATATACCCTCTACATCACCTATACGCCCTACTACCGGACCCCACGTATGTACCTCTCCGGGTACCTCTCCCCCAGCGAGCCTCTCCCACCACACCTCATGATGGAAGACATCGTCGGCGATTACAAAGACAAAACAGTCACGCTGGAGGACTTCCCGTTCTTCGACAACAGCGTGAAGATGGCGAGCATTCATCCTTGCAAGCATGCCAGCGTGATGAAAATCCTCCTTGACCGTGCGGACGTGGCCTTGAAGCTTCGACTGGAAAAACAGAAAGCCACCGGCGCCGCCGCCAATGTCTCGGGAATGGAGGGTTTGATTGATGATACTGCAAATCTCAAAATCTCTGAGCAGAAGCGCGGTCACGAAGCAGGTGTAAAGGCAGCCAATGGCGGTGCCGGAGACGAATGGGAGGTGTTGGACGAGCAAGACAGTAAGGAAGAGGAGAGCGAGAAGGTGGCAATCCGGGTGGACCAGTATTTGGTCGTGTTTTTGAAGTTCATGGCGAGCGTGACGCCAGGAATCGAACATGATTTTACCATGGGTGTTTGACGAAGACATAGGAGGACAGGGAACCCTTGACGATGACGACGAGTATGGTATGAACGCAATGGGCTTGGGACAACGGGCTTCACGGAGTTTACACAGAGGCAGAGATTGTTTCTTGGGTTGATCATATGAATGGCGAGCAGGAACCTTTCATTCTTACGAGTGCAGAGGATCATTCAATTGGGCATGGTTAGTTTTATCTTCTAACATGCTTCGGGTACTGTGATCCCTCGTGTTGAGGCTCCATCAACATCAGACCATCGGTATTTGCTGTCCACGTCGATCCTCGTATTGTACCAATGCTGATGCTGCATTGCATGTCACTTATCCCTGCCTGTGTTGCTCGCCGCTTCGTCTGTTGGGTAGCTACTGTAGACTCTCCACATCTGACATCGAGCAGGGGTTCATCCCAAACATCATGCAGAAATCTCTCGCCGCCCTGTGGATGACACGCGACATGCTGCCTCCACATCTGCCAGAGAAATCCATCTTTACGAGGACACCTGAGCAAACTCCGCCGAATGAGAAAGATCAATGGCCCAGGCGTCCACAAGCATTGGAGTGCGTCGTGCTGCGGAGTTTCAGCGATATGCAATCTGTCAGACAAGGCGTCGTCTGACTCCCCTGTGTGTCGCGTATCCTGAGAGATATTTGTGCGTATTTCCAACTGCTGGCCTGAAGAGGGACACGATCTTGCTGCACGTCGATGGCATAATGTCTCCTCTCCTCGTTCCTGCTCGTCCCAGCGGCCGCGAGGGTCTCCATGGAAGCTTTCTCACTATCTCCACAGAACATGTCACTGGGCCCCAAAGTGGGACGCGGCATCTTCAATGCTTCCGGCAGCCGAGAAGGATGCTCATGAGGCTGTCTACGGACGACTTCGAGCGACTGAGACAAGAGAGCATTTGACGAGGAGCTTGGATGTCTCTGTCTCATTCAACGAACATTCGCCGAATCACGGCACAAGGCTATCAGGAGGTCCACCATTCCCACGTCAGAGATTCACGATCACCTGTTCTGAATCGATTTGCTACAACTCGCCGGCGACGGGTTGAGTGCCGCTCTCATATCCGACGCGAATGCCATCTGGCTCCTCTCCGTCGCTGAGGTTTACTTGATCGAGCATAGCGAACGAGAAATGGCATTAGCAAGACTTCAATTAGTCAAGAACGCTTCACATGTGTTCCACCGGATGACACAACGAAGATGAGCCACTCTTGGAAGTCCCCTGCACAACTCAGTGAACAGAATGCACGCTTCCCTCGCTCCCCCCTACTCTGCCGAGGGTAGTCTACAAGGATTAGCAATCTGGAATTCCCAATTCGTCGACCAAAGCTCAGGTGCTTTGCCCCAGGGCTCCTGAGAGGAGGCGATTGCACAACAAAGCCCTGGTACCACGCGCATAAGGCGGAACATCCATTTCAGCCTCACTGCCGACCAATTGCTCCATTAACAGACATTTCTAGGTAGGTCGCCATCACAATCGTGGTCCTCGTCTCCGAGATTTTGCAGAGTTGGCCGAGGCGTGCTGACAGAAGGTGGTATTTCTCTTGCGCTACCTGATTGTCGTTGCGGGGCCTCTCGCATTGTGCATCGTGGCGCGGCAGCCTGGTTTACGTTTTCGAGGCGACGAATGCCCGCAGGAGACGGGGTGTTCTGACATATTCGTATATAAACCACTATGGCGGAGGCAGTGGCTTTGATGGAATTTCGATGTGAGTCCAAGCAGTTACTCCCGAGATCACGTCGTGCAACCCCTTCCTTCTCATCATGCGCTCTCCGCTCCGTAACCTCCTTACTGTGCCGGCCATGGCTGGTGTCACGGTTGCATTCATCTGCCTGGCTCAGGGGACTTTGGCTGCTTGCCCCTATATGCAAGGTGGACAAGGTTTCCAGGAGCAGTCATCTGCGCATGAGGCAGAGGCCCACGTGAAACGACAGAGTTCCGGTGACAACAGCACGGCCCCGGTCGACACTTTTCTTGATCAGTTCACGCTCAATGATACCGACGTGTACTTGACTTCGGACGTTGGAGGGCCAATTCAGGACCAAGAAAGCCTGAAGGCCGGAATCCGGGGACCAACCCTTCTGGAGGATTTTATGTTCAGACAGAAGATCCAGCACTTTGATCATGAACGGGTGAGTTATACCGAAGGGAATTTGGCATGTAGATGTGGACGTGCTGAGAAATCATCTATGTCTGTATCTAGGTTCCGGAGAGAGCAGTCCATGCGCGAGGTGCCGGTACGTTGCGGTCCTCAGCTGAAGGTTTTGGACTTTACAGGTTGCTGACTCGCGCACCAGGAGCTCATGGTGTCTTCACGAGCTATGCCGACTGGTCAAACATCACAGCCGCCTCATTTCTCTCTGCAGCAGGGAAACAGACGCCCATGTTTGCTCGATTTTCTACCGTTGCAGGTAGTCGAGGCAGCCCAGACGCAGTCCGAGACGTCCATGGCTTTGCCACTCGTTTCTATACTGATGCCGGAAATTTTGGTAGGCCCCAAGCAGAATATTGCCCGTATATACATTCAAATGGTAATTTGTGTCAGACATTGTCGGGAACAACATCGCCCCCTTTTTCATCCAGGACGCGATCCAGTTCCCAGATCTGATCCATGCCGTAAAGCCGGAGCCTGACAGGGAAATTCCACAGGGCGGTACCGCCCACACCACGGCATGGGATTACTTCAGTCAACAGCCCTCTGCCTTGCATACTCTGTTCTGGGCGATGGCCGGCTATGGTATCCCCCGATCTTTCCGGCACATGGACGGGTTTGGAGTTCACACGTTCCGTTTTGTGACTGACGACGGCAGTACCAAGTTGATCAAGTGGCACTGGAAAACCCTACAAGGCAAGGCAAGCCTGGTGTGGGAAGAAGCACAGGTATTGTCTGGGAAGAACATCGACTCGAACAGGCAGGATCTGTGGGACGCCATCGAGGCCGGCCAGTATCCAGAGTGGGAACTCGGAGTCCAGATCATGGACGAGTCGGACCAGCTCAGCTTTGGGTTTGACCTGCTCGACCCGACCAAATTCGTGCCAGAGGAGATCGTGCCAGTCACCATTCTGGGCAAGATGACTCTGAACCAGAACCCTCGCAACTACTTTGCCGAGACGGAACAGATCATGGTAATTGCTATTACCAGTTGATCGCATTCCGAGAAGAGCCAAAGCTTACTCCAGCGATAGTTTCAACCGGGCCACATCGTCCGTGGGATCGACTTCACCGAAGATCCTCTACTGCAGGTACGTCAAGATGCTGCGGTTCTAAGCAGCCAACTGACCTCCTTGCCCACTAGGGACGCATCTACTCGTACCTCGACACGCAACTGAACCGCCACGGGGGCCCCAACTTCGAACAGCTGCCCATCAACCGGCCCCGGGTGCCGATCCATAACAACAACCGGGACGGGGCGGCGCAGAACTACATCCCGCTCAACGTCGACGCCTACACGCCCAACACGGGCAACAACGGCTCCCCGATGCAGGCCAACCAGACGGTCGGCAGCGGGTTCTTCACGACGCCCGGCCGCACGGTGGGCGGCAACCTGGTGCGCGAGAAGTCCCCCACGTTCGCCGACGCCTGGTCGCAGCCACGGCTGTTCTACAACTCGCTCACGCCCGCCGAGCAGCAGTTCCTGGTTAACGCCATGCGCTTCGAGGCGTCGCACGTCACGTCGCCCATTGTCAAGCAGAACGTCATCACCCAGCTGAATCGTGTCGACAACGACCTGGCCGTGCGGCTGGCGCTCGTCCTCGACGTGCCCGCCCCTGCCCCCGACCCGACCTACTACAACGACAACCGCACCGCCTTCGTGTCCATCTTTAACTACTCGCTACCGACCATCGCGGCGCTCAACGTCGGCATCCTGGCGAGCGTGTCGTCCCCGGCGTCCCTGGCCCAGGCCACGTCGCTGGCGCAGTCGTTCGCCCAGGTCGGCGCCTTCCCTGTCATCGTGGGCGAGGTGCTCTCCGACTTGGTCAATCAGACCTACTCGGCCGCCGACGCGAGTGGCTTCGACGGCGTCATCGTCGCCAGCGGCACTGACGCGCTCTTCACCACCACCAACGCCTCCTCTTCCGCCCTCTACCCAGCCGCCCGCCCCCTGCAGATCGTCCTCGACGCCTACCGCTGGGGGAAACCCGTGGCCTCCCTTGGTGGCGGCGGCGGCGCCACCGTCTTCGGCCCTTCCGTCGCCAACATCCCCCCCGGTCCCGGCGTCTACACCCTCAACTCGACGGACCTCGGCCCCTTCGTGACCGCATTTGAGGCCGGACTGAAGACGTTCCGCTTCGTCAACCGCTTCCCGCTGGATCCGTCTTGATGATGACGTCTGAAGGGCCGGTGGCAGCACGCGTGTGCGTCGATACATGTCCACAGAATACCTTGGATCCTTTTGTTTGGGAGGGGGGTTGGATCTGTGACTGTATTTCCTAAAGACACACCTCTTCTGCCCTCCATCATCTCCTTTGTCCATCCGCTTCCGAGCTGAGATGATATCCCTCATCCTCGCCCGCATCAATGCACCTATACACTTACTGTACCTACACCTACCTATATATTAGAGTATACGAGTATACAAGCGTTTGGATCGGTGATGGCCGCCGTGCGTTAGGAACCTGGACGGGTAAAATAAGACACAGTCGGTCGCTAATGAAGATCAGGATATTAAATGATATGGGCCGTGGACAGGGATTTTCCTCTTTCACCCTCTCTGACTTTCTCTCTCCCCCCCTCTCTCTATAGAGACGTATGCTCATAGACATGTCTTCCTGCATTGAATGACTATAGTAAACACCTCCCATCTCGTCTTGTCCTATGGCCGCAGTAGACATCAAAAACAACAACAGAACGAGTCAAAGACCCCGATATCAATCAATGTGAATGAATGAACGATATTGATATAGTTCAAGAACAGAAAGAGCTTTTCTTCCCTTCCCCCCTTCTTTCTTGTCGTTTTGTCTTTTTTTTTTAAAAAAAAAAATCTTTTCATCATCCTGGCGGCTCGCTCGCGTGAAAACCCTTTTATCTGTATCAAACCCCCGCCCGTTTCAGTCAATCGCTTGGCTGAGGCATGTTGTTGACAATGCCCTGCACTACACTACATTACACTAGACTCCATGAACACCTCGCTGTGAACGCTACGCGACACAACGCAATCGAATCCCGCCCTGATCCCAACCTCAAACTCCAAAACGGAATTTTCGCCCTGACCACGTCGGGTGCAGAGGTGTCAGCTGTGGAGGCGGAAACTGCCTCTTTGTCGAATGAGACCCGGCCGGCCTTGGGCTTTGGTGGCCATGGTAGCGAGCACCCTTTCCCTCTCCTTTTTCGCCGTCTCGGACGGAATGTAAACAGTGATTCTTCTCGCGGGGGAATATGTATTCCCCTGTGTACCCCTAGATACGGTATATTCTCGGGTAACCGGGCAGACAAGGCATATAGATAGGTAGACAGGCCGTGATCGAGACGAATGAATCGCGGGTCAGATCATCGACCAAGTAGCCTTGACCTTACCACATGGTATATCTTGCCACCAAAGTCTCGAATCGCCTGTAACCCCATAAGCGGGAAATTTCGCCTCCATACCAGACTATCGCGCCGAGGTGTTGTTTCTGCTCATTGCCCTTCAACTGGCTCCGCCATCGCATTCGCCACGGCGATGGGTAGCGGAATCGGGGCGGGAGTCGGGCTCGGGGCCGGAGCAGGAGCTCCCTGGGGCATTCCCTGCTGCTGCATGCCCTGCTGCTGCATGCCCTGTTGCTGCATTCCCCCATCTCCCTGCGGCATTCTCGGGCCGGGGCTCACCGAGGGGGGTCTGCTCCCCACCGGTTTCCTCTGGGGAGGGGAATTCGGCATGTTCATGCCGTTTGCTGGGCCGTTACCAGGGTTGAGGTTGCTGTTGTTCATGTTAGGGACACCATTCGGAGGAGGACCGTTGTTGGGGTTGTTGACACCGTTGACGACGCCGTTAACGTTGCCGGTGTTGTTCACCGGTGCTGCTCCATTTGGCTGTTGCTGTTGCTGAGGTTGTTGTTGCTGTTGCTGCGGCGGTGGTCCATTGTTCGGAGGCGGCCTCTGCTGTCCCATATTTGGATTCTGGTTCGGGTTCATGTTCGGGTTTGGGCCCGGATTTGGTCTTGGACCGCCCTGTGGAGCTCCATTGGCTGCCTGAGGATTGGGAGGGCCGTTCGGTCTGGGTTGGCCACCGGCTGGGTTTCCTTGACCATTCGGAGGGCCGGTCGGTCTCGGGGGACCGTTGGGACCTGGACCATTGTTTGGACCGGTCGGCCGAGGCGGTCCACCAGCGGGATTGCCACTAGGACCCTGCGGATTGTTCGGAGCGGGAGGCCTAGACGGCGCATTGGCGGGAGGACCGTTGACGTTTTGCGTATTTCCAGGACCACTCGATCGTACGGGCACGGGGACGGGCACGGCGGCTGGCGCTGGGGAACCGGTTTGAGCGCCTGAAGCGTCCTTGTCATTGATCCATTGGAAGACAAAATACAAGCCGATGCCGCAAAGCCAGACGAACGCACCCACTCCGGTAGTAAAGAACAAAGTCGGCAAGAGGATGATCAGGGAAAATCCCGCCGCGGCCGTCACGAACAACAACGCCCCCAGCAGCACCACCAGGACACCGGCCAGCAGGGCGAAGATAAAGACCGTCACCGTCATCAGCCCGAAGAGCACGAGCGGGAGGCCGCTGATGGCGGTCTGGCTGAGCAAGAAACTCGCTAGGTAGGGCCGTTCAGTGGCGAACTTCAACAGCGTGGCCTTCCACTGCTGGCGCTGCCGAGGCGGAAAGAAGCGGTCGAGATAGCTACTGGACAGCGTCGTGAGGTTGTTGACGCCGCCTTGCACCATGCTGGCTGCCGCAGCCATATTGGGGCCTACCATGGGGCCACCGCCGCTGGCAGCCATGGGTTTTGGTGGAGGACCAGACATAGAGCCCGAGATGCTTGATCAGTGTGGAGAGGGATCGAGGAAGGAAGGGTTGGTCTTGGAATGCCTGCCTCGGAGATCTAGGGAGAGTAATCACCGGCGTTGTTATTGTGATCGCGTCAAAGGTGTCACGCGTCGCTTCTTCAGGAAGCCATATCTTTGAGGAGAGAATGAGAACGAGGGATCCTGCCGGGAGTTTTGTACTGTGCTATATGGGTACATAGAAGCGACCGATGAGGAATAGTGATGAGACAGAAGTGGCGGGTTGCTGCAAATCGACGAGAAGGGGCTAGTGAGGCTGAATCTCACGATAGCGACGCTGCGGCGAGCGCCAAGTGGATTCACCGCGATGAGATCAGACGCCAATTTTCTAAGTTTATATCCCACGCTCACCAGTGGAATCCTGCGCCCTGAATCCCTTGAAGGCCGTAATTGGGTTCAAAGATAGTATCTGACCACATAGGCAGTGTCTTCTGCAGCCCCGAACTCGCCATGGTGGGAAGGGGGAAGTGCATGGCGGGGGCGTCGACATCATGTACCAGTAAGCACCATTGTGAACACGCTGCGCATTGATTGGATCAAGGACTCCGAACTAGTATACACAGATTATCCGATTACAGTACATTGCCGCCTGAATGGCGTCCACTTACCAAAATCCTTCCTCTCTTGCCACAGATATTGCTGTCCCCATTATCTGCTAGTCACAGTACCAAACGACATAGCCTTCCTCATACTGGCCACATCGTTATCGACGTTCGTATCAAACATGTCGCCGGCACCAGATCGATGGCGATAGAGATGATCGTGTTCCTCAAAACGGCTCCGTCAGCACCTGCATCGCGCCGGCGTGGGCCAGAATCGTGCGACAGGCGTCCATCATGGCTGGAACACCACACAGGTAGAAGTCGGTCGTGGCGGGCTCGAATTGGAGGTTGGCCAGGATATCCGTTACCCGCCCATGGAACACGCCCTCTGCAGATGGATCGCCGTCAACGCAGACTGTGGTTCGTGGCAGAGGCTTGAAGTGGCGCGTAATGTCATCTTCCTGGTGATAGCAGCCGAAAAGCAGCTCGGCCGATTCCAGGTCACCGGAAGCCGCCAACGATACAAACATGGGCAGTAATGGTGCGATGCCAGTGCCAGTGGCCACGAAAACCCGACGGTGGGCATTACGTCGCAGCTGAAAAGCGCCGAATGGCAGTTCCACTTCTGTTTCCTTGCCGGGCTCGACATGGCTGGTGAAGATTGAGCCGTCACCGCCAGTGCGTGTGCTGATAAGCAGTGTCAAACGTTTCTTCTCGGCCTGTGCGATCGAATAGCTCCGCCACTCAAAGGGTGCAACCTGCAGTTGGGCGTACTGCCCAGGTGCCGAGAAGATGGGTTCGTCGAGTTCGAAGTCAAGTCGCCAGATGAATGGCGTCAGGGCTGCTTTGCTCACAAGGACGGCGCGCTTCTTCTCCGGCGAGTGTGTCTCCGCCGTCAATGGCAGGTCAATCGCGGGAGCGACGCGACGGGACGCCCGCATGATGCGCACAAAGCCGAAAGGCCCCAACACTCGGCTGGCAGCCACCACACCACCCATCAGCGCCCCGGCCACGCCAAGGCTCGATGCATCGGTTCCACTGATCTGCAGGCCTGCGATGGGCGATGCTCGAGATAGGACTGATGAGGCGTAGATCTGTGGGGTCCCTTTAAACCCGTAGATGGCGCCAGTAGAGTGGGAGGTGTAGTCCTCCACCGACAGCGGCGTTGACAATTCGGAGTAGCTCACCATTTCTTTAAGCCCCGGAGCAGCACTATCTCCCAAGTTCAAGAGACCCTGTGAGATCCGATTCTTGAGCTCCATATACTCCTTTCCCCTGGCCCCGCGGCTTGTCCCACGCCAGGCAGAAAAGGCGTCCGCTTTGACCAGGGCCAGGATCTCGGCGGTGTGAAAACGGTCGTCCCCAGACTTGGCTGACGGAAATGACATGAATGCATGCTGAGCCTGACCTGCGAGGATTGCCTCTGTTTGGGCATCAACGTTGTCGTGATTGAACGTCGCATTGATCCAGTAGTTCTCCCCCTTAATGCCCAGGGCTGAGACAGGATCAGTGAGTCGAAGATAGAGAGTCACGGCAGAGAGTCCGCCCTCGAGCTGGTCCAAGTGCTTGCGGGTTTCTGCCGTTTTTTTGCCAATCACGCCGTCGGTGGGCAGGAGGTGATTATAAGTCACTCCCGCACCGACATCCGAAACCACAATGGGTGCCAGATAGATGACTTCGGTTGGTTCGGGTCCCTGGCCATCAATGGCTTTGACACCCACGACGTGCGTGTCTCGGGTGAGTATCGCCGTGACGTTCTGGCATACTTTGACGGCGCCACCAGCGGCTTCAATTCCCACCTCAAATGTTCGGGCGATACGGCTCGCTCCACCCTTCGGGAACCAAGCTCCTCGAAAATAGCTCCTGGCGACCAACGCGTGCAAGGCGAAGGCACTCTCACCCGGGGGAACGCCGTAGTCAGCCCATTGGCTGGCAAGCAAAGCCTTGAGCTCTGTTGACTTGAAGTGCTGATTGAGATAGTCACCCGTTGTCTGCAGTGCCTTCTGCGAAGTAAGCCAACGCCGCCACTGCCCCAACAGAAAGTTGAACGGCCAGGGTAATATAGATTGGATAGTTCCCTGCGTATGCCAATCGGCCGCTGTGTTGACGTCGACAAAGTACTGCCGAATCGCAGAGGCTTCCTCGGGGAAGCGTTCGACCAGTCGCTCCTCGTATCGATGCTTGTCCGAAGGTACGGAAAAGTCCAACCCTGGGTACACGAACCGTTCGAAATCATCGGGCATAGGGTTCCAGTCAAGAGCTTTGCCTGACATGAAGTCAAAGAGCCCGCGGATCGTTGAACCAGGCTCCATGCCGCCAATATAGTGGACCCCAACATCCCAACTCGCCCCGTCACGGCGGAAGATGTGCGTCAAACCTCCGCGTTCAGAATGTTTCTCGAGCACCAACACCCTCATTCCACCGACCTTTGCCAGCAGCGCAGCTGCCGACATCCCACCGATCCCCGAGCCGATGACGATCGCATCCCATTCTTGAGGCATGGCTCTTATTGACACTCAAACAGAGATTTGAGTAGCGGAGAAGTTACCAGATCAAAAGTTCAGACACAGAGATTTGCTTCGACGCTGAATCGTGTAATGCACTTGGTGTGGGAACTCCAGGTCAAAGTTGAATCGTGTCGCAATGGGACACGAGTGGTAATTGTCCAGACAGATGTAGATAATGATGATTTAAAAAAAATCCGACGCCCGCAGTTGCCATGGATATATACCTCCCATATTCTACGCGCCATCTTGCTCGGACGTAGCACATACCCACCTACGGACGTTTGTGAGAATATGTGGGCATGTCTGGAGCTCCCAAGCAACCAAGATTCGGGTCTCTCATGACAACAGCATCAGCATAGCCAACGGCAGACAGCCAAGAAAGTCGCCCAGGACGCTGGGAGCCAACGAGGGCCCAAAAGCGCCTGAGAAGCGGACGAACATGATTCCCGCCATCTCAGTAACGGCCGAAGGCGATCAAGCACATCGTATGGGAAACGTGGTAGTTCCCTGGAATGGCTGAATTCATTTCCTGTCACCAGTCACTCCACGTTAGTTTTTCTCACGCCACATATGCATGAAGCAGCCAGATCTCCACAAGACTCCAAGAGGAAGGCAACATTAGATTGGAGGGCAAAAGCAGTGGTATTATCAGATGTCAGTACCGAGGGAGGCATACAATGAAAGAGTAGAACAGGAGTTCAGATTGTCGTTCATCGGTGGCACGTGCTTTCGCGACGGTGTCTAGACCTTGGCGCGTTTCTTGGGGCCTCGAAGACGCGACGCGTCTTCATCCACGTCAGATTCTATTACCACTTCATCCCTTTGGGCGGCTTCTCCTTCTTTGCTGGGGCAAGCCATTTCCTCATCTGCGAGCATCCGAGATCGAATCGCCCGCCATGTACGGGCCTTTCAGAACCACGGCTGGCTCTGACGGTTGAAGAAACAGCTCCTTCTTGCCTACTGGAAAACTCGCAACAACCGCCGGTCCTGACACCCAGCTTGAAGGGTGCAATTTGGAGAGCTTGTCGACCTCGAGTCAATGCACCCACCCAGAACAACCTGATCAGGTCACTGGATGCTGAATCTCTTCCCCTCTCCGATGTCGAGCCCGATCCCAGTTAGCCACTTTCAGGGCAACAGAACCCGCAGGGGGCACTGGCCAACTGCTCTCCGACGTCCCATCCACAGCACTTCCTGATCCAACATCGGCTGTCGATGACCCGATCATGACCGTATGCAAAATGGATGGTCGTTCTTAAACACATTCCGTCCATGCGGGATGTTGGTACTGATTGAGATCTATACACCGATCTCGTGGAACCAAAGACGGCAGCGTATTCGAGGATATGGATGATCTGAGTGACGTTGAGTAAGAAGACAGTGGAAAAGAGTCGAATCCAGCTTTGTACCCCCTCCACTACGGTCTCGTGTTTGACATCACGGTCACAATGTCACCAATTTCATGCCGGAATTTTCAACTTTTCCCTTGCACAGTTGAACGTGGGTGTGTGATCATTAAAATGCCCCAAGGCAAACGAATTAGGTGGTAGTCCGTCTGAGCACACACGAGAATCCATACACAGGAGGACGCTTGAGTAGGTGCTCGGAGCGCCAACCGACTGTGGACGCCTTCAAATCAGATACTATGACAGAAGACAGTGGCTTGCCTCTATCTCCCAATTGCGTCAAATTTACATTGGGAAGACGCCGCCAAGGCCTGGCTCCGACTCGGCGAACCCGGCCCAGAACATCTCGTTAAACGGGTCCATACCAAACGCGGTGTCCACATAGGGAGTGCTGATATGTTGGTGTTGATGTTGTTGTTGATGTTGTTGTTGTTGTTGAGGAGGAGGAGGAGGTAGTTGTGTTGACAGTTGGGCATTGTTCGTTGCGGTCGAGGATGAGAGGCTTCTCTGGAGACAACTTTGATGGTACGTCTTCATGTTGGCCCATTCATTCGAAATTTTCTGAAAATAGCTGCAACTATCATTCTTGAGACGGTGTAGTTCTTGAGCCCGTTCACACAGCATGTCAAGGACCTTGCCCAGCCACGCAGCCCGCTGGGACGCCTCGGTGCTCACGTACGCCGAGTCGAGAACTATCGACGACTTGGTGGAGAGCATGATTAAAAAGTTCATGGCGCGCCAGTCTAGCGCGGTCCAGTCGGCCATCTCGTCGAGTGGACAGTCGACAACCGTCGAAAGGTATTTCATGGTGCAGTGGAAGCAGTCGTAGATGATGGATACGCGGGTCGCCGACGGTACCTGTCCCTGGAGCAGGCCATACAGACCAACCTCGCGCATATATGCTTTGCTACTATAGTAGAAGCGTTGAAGACGACCTGGAATGACCGATATAGAATGAGCGAGGAGCCCAGTTTCTAGACGGACCGGCAGTGGCTTACCAATGCTAAATGCACCCGGCGGCAGGGCGGCTTTCCAGTCCTCGATCTGTTTCGACAATGCCCGGACCAGAAGCGCGATCTTCTCATCATTGAGCTCCCCGACTTTCTCCTTGGAGCCGTGATCAAATGTGTAAGTGATTTCCTCGGCGACACGGAGAGTGCGAATCATATGGATGAGGGTGGTATCCGACGGATATTGTGGGTCAGCGGCCAAAGACGCGGCACAGTCTTCGAGATATTGCGTGTAAGTCAAGATGCAAGGCTTTCGGAACATGATACAACCACTAAACGCGAGTTGTTAGCAGGTCTCCCACACGAGGCAACAAGGGGTCAACTACTACAAAGTCGAGATGGTGTACGCTCCCATATAAGCCCTTCGAGCCTCGTAGCTCCAGAACTTCGACGACACGGCTTCGCTGCACTGTGTGAGGGTAATATTCGAGCCGACAATCATGTCGTGCTGGGTGACGTTCATCGGTTTCTGGTCGATGCCTAGTTCTGCAGCCAAAGCTACCACGAGAGAGGCAAGCCTGTAGACTTGGGTGGCAACCGGGTAAGCATGCCATTGGCACCTGGACGAGAGTCAGTGGTGATTGAGCCCGGCGAAGAAGGTCTGCACGTACCAGCCAAAATATACAATCAGTGCTTGCAGGAGATCCAGCGACCGCTCTGACTTGATGAAGTACCTGTCTCCGAGGTCCCTGAGGAACTTGTCCTTCAATGCAGACTGCCGAGCGGGGTTCCGCCATGTGGTGCTGACGAGGATGGCCTGGTAAAGCATCGGTCTCTCCTCCATCAGCGAGGCAACCGGGCACGGCTCTGGGATGAGGACGTAGGGGAAGTGGTGAGACGACATGCGCCGGAAGTCGCTCATCAGCTTCTCACACTCGTCTGAGGGAATGTCGAGCAGAAAGTTGTTGGTAGCATCAGACTGGCCTGAGTGGAATCCGGAAGGCGACACTAGGCTGGCGTTCTGAGACAGCTGGGAGTCTGTATAGGATGGCGTCGAGTTGGACATGGCCGCCATGCCGTTGGTGTCACCGGCAGTCTTCTCGCTTCTCAGCAACGACAGGATCTCTGAGTAGCTGCTCTCCAGCTGTTCCACTCGACCACGCACTGCCACGACTATTAGCAACCGATACTCCGGAGAAGTCGGGGCAGAGATATGCCATACACCGGGCTTTCCGCTTGCGCTGCTTGACTTCAGGCACTTGGCATTGCTTTCCTAATCGTGAACACCTTGTGGCCAAGCACCAATCATCACTAAAACAGCCACCGAAAGAAAAGGGAACCTGAACGAGTACCCGGTCTGAGGCTGCTCACCTATTGCACGCATCGCCGCCGTCGTCGCTGGGCACACAGCGCAGCTTCTTCTCGCGGCACTCCTTACAGGCGGCGTGCTTTCTTTCCTCGGTCATTTTCGTCTTGGTTTCAGGGAGCACACGCAAGCAAACAATGCTCGACAGTTTTCAACACCGGAGCCGGTGCATAAGAAGTCATTTAAGGCCCCTGTGGACCTGTCTTAATAATTGACAAGTCGACTCATCTTCGCCTTGGGAGCGGGACCAGCTGGGAGGGTCCCTTCGGACACGGGTACAAAAACTCAACCGAACGAGCCGAATATCCGGGCCAAGGTGGTCGAATAGTGCGTCTCGAGCCGTGATGCTAACCGACTCTGTTTTAACCTCGTTTCCTCTTCCTGCACGCTGGAGAAAGGGTCTCTATACACTGGACGCCAGACTCGGGCCCTACAAGGGTTTCTGTCTGCGAGCCCGAAGGCTTGCTGTCGGCACATTATGCAATCTGGCGGACGAATGCCAGGTTTGTGGAGATGCCTGCTGTCCTGTTGCTCTGCTGCTTCTCGAATAAAGGACGCAGCACTTCCCTCCTCCCGCTTTTCGCGGTGAATGGCCTGGTAAATGCGTTGCCAGCCTTTTTAGCTCGAGGTCTGACAATCGCCGCGACATGGTTTTCCCCCCCGCGAGTCCCCGGGTTGAGCCCGCTCCAGCCATATCCGTCCCAGTCGACGAAAAGCCCCTCGGTGTGGACATCAAAGAGAGCAGCAGCAGTACCATCGACCGAGAGAGCCATACGCCCTCTCCCACCTCCATCGAGCAAGATGCGACGACGACGACGGACTGGTCCCAGTACACCCTGCGGAGGCGACCATGGCGGAGACGAGTGACCGACTTTGCCGACATCGTCGCGGCCAGATATAGCGGCGGCGGAACCTCCGATGACCCTTACATTGTGCAGTGGTTGGATCATGACCCCGAGAACCCCATGACCTTTGGCATCTGGTTCAAATGTTGGATGACCATCCTGCTTGCCTTCATGACCCTCTGCGTGTCGCTGGCCTCGTCGGCGTACACAGGTGCCGCCGAGCTCATCATCCGGGAGTTCCATTGCAGTACTGAGGTCTTCCTGCTCGGGCTGAGCTTCATGGTGATGGGCTTCGCGATCGGGCCCCTACTGTGGGCGCCGCTCGCCGAGGCCATCTCGCGACGGGACATCCTGCTGGTGGCTCTTGCCTTCTACATTGTCTGGACCGCCGTGTGTGCCACGGCACAAAATATTGCGACCCTGATCGTGTTCCGCCTGCTCTGCGGCACCTTTGGGTCGGCCGTCTTCGTCATCCCGGCCGGCCAGCTGTCCGATATGTGGGACGCGCGAGAGCGCGGCGTCGCCCAGGCCGTGTATGCGGCGGCGCCCTTTCTGGGTCCAACCTTGGGTCCCGCTGTCGGAGGGTTCCTCAGCCCGGCGGCGGGGTGGCGCTGGCTCTTTGGCTTTCTCGCCCTGTACGCCGGCATCCTGACCTTCCTGGGTCTGGTGTTTGTGCCCGAGACATACGCCCCGATCCTCCTGCGGCGGAGGGCGCAGCTACTGTCCAAGGTGACAGGCAAGACGTACATGACTAAAATCGACATCGTGCAGCCGCTGGTCTTCAAGGACCTGGTCAAGCGGTCGCTCAGCCGGCCATGGGCACTTTTATTCCGAGAGCCGATTGTGCTGGCTCTTACGGTATGTATCTTTGGTATCTCTCAGGAAACCCAGACACCATACCTCGTATAACCTGGCCCCAAAGCTCACAGTTGTGCAACAAACCTAGACCTACATGTCCGTCGTCTACGGCACACTATATCTGTGCTTCGCCGCCTTCCCCATCATCTTTCAACAGGGCTACGGCTGGAACGCCGGCGAGGAAGGGCTGGCGTTTCTCGGCATCATGCTGGGCATTCTGTCCGGCGTCGGCCTGATCATCCTGGACAACAAACGCTACGCCCGCATCCACGCTGCCCACGGTGGCTTTGCGCCTCCCGAGGCCCGGCTCCCGCCCGTCATTGTCGGCGGCGTCGTCACCGTCGTCGGCCTCGCCTGGTTCGCCGCTACGGCCGACCCCAGCATCCACTTCATCGTGCCCATCCTGGCGGGGGTGCCGTTCGGCATCGGCTTTATTCTGATTTTCATGTCCTGTGTCAATTATCTGTAAGTAACCCTTTCACCTCCACTTCTACTCCTCTTCCATCTACGATTACTACGGGTACTATGCGAACGCAAGCCTCACTCCCTCGATACAGAATCGACTCATACGTCATCTACTCCGCCTCGGTGATGGCGGGCAACTCGATCATGCGGTCGACGTTCGGCGCCGTCTTCCCGCTGTTCGCCACCTACATGTACAACAACCTGGGCCTGCACTGGGCTTCGGCGGTGCCGGGCTTCATCGCCCTCGCCTGCCTCCCGTTCCCCATCCTGTTCTACCGCTACGGCGCCGCCATCCGCCGCCGCTGCAAGTATTCCGCCCAGGCCGCCCGCTTCCTCGACTCGCTCAAGAGTGACCTCGAGAGGCAGCGCAGTCGGGCCGACCACGACGGCAAGGCCGACGAGGAGGAGGGGGGAGCGGCCAGGTTCGGGAAAGAGATGAGAGGAGAAGGCGGTGTGCGTGACGGCGGGGAGGAGGAGCAGGAAGAAGGAGAACGGGAGACGGAAGAGGTCAGACATGGCAGAATTGCCGTTATTGCCGAGTGAATGTTGTCGAACGTTCATTTATTCACGGCCACCACCACGGGGCGAGTATCTGCATTTCCCTGGCGTCTGTGGAGAAGGGTTTTGATACTATCGTCGGCGCGTTTGGTCCAGGCATAGCGCGTTTACATTGATTTCACCTGGCAGCCTACGTAGGAACTTCAGGACACACACTATTTTTATAGGGGGTGGAACAACTTATAGATGGACTGGAGGGATTGGATGGATGGGGTCCAAACAAAGTCTTCTCGGGGAGCAGATATTTTTCTCTTTCTTTCTGTATTCGTGGACAAGTTCGGTCACCAGTCTGCACTTGACTGTCGGTGGCCTATGTTGACCAAAAATCCCCCTCAGTACAGCGATTCCTGTGCTTGTTAGTCTCTGGCAAACATTCCCGCAATCCATTCGATCGCATTTTCTTGCATCCCAGTCCGGCATCGCCCAGAACCTTGCTCCAACTCATCCATTCTCTGCCGGTCCTCCGGTCCTTGCTCACGGACATGGACGCGCTCCTCCGCAAAGCTCTTCTCCCGCCCCAGGAAACAAGCACGCCGCATCAGTTCGGCCATCTCGAGGCCCTGGCCCCGCATGAGCGCGGCGTGGCCACGAGTAAGATCCTGCGCCTCCGAGCTCGGAAGGAAGATGTCGTGATGGGTGGGAGATTCCAGGAAGATCCTGACGTATGGTAGTGTGACGGACTCGGGAAGCCCGACAGTGGGCCAGCGCCTGAGGACTTTTCGGCGGCGCGGTCGGGACGTGGGTGTTGATATCGGGTTGCTACCATTTTCATCACTTGGAGGTTGGCCTGTATCGTGCGGGGAGTCTGGGGAGCCTGTCTGTGTTGAATACCTCCGTTGCCGCGAGCCACCGTCGACGGAGCCAAGGGAGTCGTAGTCCCCGTCGCTGTCTAGCTGGTCCAGTGCAGTGTGATCAATCGACTGGCTTGCTACCGTGGTTGACAGGGGCGTGTCTTTGCCTGAGGCACGGAGGAACAGCATCGGACTCGCAAACGGGTCGAAGTAAGCGGACGGCGTCTCGAACAGTCTCGACCGTAACCTGATCAGCTGCTCTGCGGCAGCAATAACCGACTGAGTATCTACACCATAGCGGCTCGCGACCTTCTGTTTCTGCCTCTTCTGCGAAGGAGAGGATGTGTCGACAACGCGTAGCTGCTCGACAACATCGTCCAACCCCGTCCAATCCACCATGGGTTCAATCACCGCAAGAGCATGAATTTCATTCGGCTTTGTCAGGGCCAGCATGGTCGCGAGCGCACCTCCAATATTTCTTCCCAGGAGACATATCTTCGGTGGCCCCTCGAAACCCACGTTGAATGGAGAGGTTGGAGATGTGAGGTAGTCGAAAGCCGTAGAGACGTCGTGGACGGGGACCGGAAAGCACGTCGATTCTTTCGGCGGGACTGCTGGGTCTATGCTATTCCCCAGCCTGTAGCTGATGGAGACGAGCGAGGTCGACGGTGGGAAGCTGTGCTGCAGCTGAGCAAGGTCTTCGCTCGACGGGGTGTCATGTGTCCCTATGGAAGGACCAGGAGGGAAGTGAACGAGCAGATCTCGGGGTCCATGCTTATCTACTGCATGTTGATCAGGAGAAAAGACACTATGGCAGTCAGTAACTGGTCAACTTGTCGAAAGATTTCATGTACTCGAGTTTGACAGCGCCACTCACGCCAACCGGCAGGTCAATGCTATGGTGGTTCCATGCTTTCGAGGTCAAGGCCGAAGCAAAAAGCCTCTTTGGACGAAAGTCGCTTCCAGGAACGCGTTTTTGCGTAGTCCGAGCAAAGGTGTCGACACCTCGACGGCAAAAACATAGACGCATCACATATTAACAGATGCTGTGCATGAGTTCTGGGATGAAGAAAATCAGGTGACCTGCATTCAGCTAGTGACGTTGGTGGTGTTATTAGGCTATGGGTAATCACGAGCCTCCTACACTACCACCATATGTATCTCCCACTGCCAGAAACCATTACCTTTACCTCTACCTCCCACACAGCGCCTATTAATTACAGCACGATACCAGGATACCAGTTACAGTCATACAGTAGGCCACTAGGTTAGTGGGCTAGTGAGGTTTGGGGTGATGCCGGCCAGTGACCTCAGTCTCGCCTACAATACCTATCGTGAGAGCCACAACAACCTCCCGCCTTGACAGCTTGGGAACTCGAACTTGGATGATCCCACAACCCTGTCACAATCAGCTACACCTCCGTCGTGCTTTACTTGCTTCGGAGTTCGGCATGTCGAACCGGGTTATCAAGTTTCCAGTTCACCGCAGCTCACTGCCAACGCCGCGGATACCTCGATTAGCGTCTCCCTTATATTACCTGCAGACAAAGCTGATCGCCCTGCTGTGTCATAGTCGGCTTCAATCAAATCCGGCTGCCAAAGGAAGGGGAAAACTACTTTCTACTTTCCAAATTCCCATCAGCTGCTCCCTCCCCCTGTTCTCCTCCCTCCTCCTGTTCTCTTCCCTCCTCCTGTGAGCCATCATCACTGTCCTCTTCAGCCCTCATGAGACGCGTCTCAGCCACCTCAAACGCACGCCAATAGTTGTCTCCTGGATCAGCGTCGTCAGGGATCTCTTCAATTTCTTCAAGTCTCGTCCCTACACGAGCCGCATCCGCCATGCTGATATCTTCCTCAAGCTCCACCGTCCTCGTTTCCTCAATGACGGGAGGTTCATTCATCAGCGCTCCTCGAGGATGTGTGCAATCCTCATACAGCATGATCGTTGACGGCAGTGTGGTCGTGGCGGCTGTCGCCATCTGGATATATTCCACCTTGAGCTGGTGGAATCGTGCGGCCCAGATGGATTTCTCCTCCAGGACGACATTCGCCTTCAATGACCTCCCATCCTTGAGCGGACCGATATTTCCTCCAATGGGCACTCCAGTCGCAGCCCCTATCACTGCAGAGCTGACACCAAGCGTCGCCGAATGTGTATGGCTGTAGTCCGTTCTGGCCATGACCTCTTCCAGCTCATAAAAGCCTGTGACGCAAAACACCTTCGGTTTCTGGAAGGTTGCTGCATAGAATATCCACTGACTTTTCGCAACAGAAAGCCACCGGGTAAGCCGCTTGAGGATGGTGTCGTCCTGAATGACCTTCTCAAAAAAGTTGTCTACACTGTCATTGCTATTCCTGTGAACGCGTACACGGAGTATCTCTGTCAGTCGCCACTTACTTTCCCAGAATCACTCGACGGCCAGATTTGGCAACCACCAGCTTCTTGCATTTGCTCGCATACTCATATCCAACCGTTGCCAGATCCAGTGCCTCAATGCCCAGGCCAAATTTGGTGTCTTTTGTCGCCACAAAGCAGCCGCTGATTGATTGTGAGATGATCTGGTTTCGTTTCTCCAATTCAGCGAAATCCGATTCACTATCTGCTCGGTCACTTCTTGACAGCGAAGGTAGCACGAAGCCTACCTCAATTTCGGAAATGAAACCGACCGAAGTTCTGGGTCGGCATAATTTTTGTACACCAGAGTGCCCAGAGTGAGCAAATTGGGGGAGATCCCGTGATTGTAAAGGTAGAATGAAGGTCGACTCATGCTGGCAGATGACAACTGTCTTCGATCTTGGAAGCAGGAGAGGTCGACCGAGCAGTGGATATAAGCCCCCAAGATGAGGACGAGGGGTCCTCGTATTCAAGGACTTGCGCTTTTGCAACAAACCAATGACCACCCTACCAAGTCCCTGGGCATCCTGGGCAGCAAAACCCCCCTACCTCTCCAGTTGCCTTGAACCTCAGCCCTTTTCTCCTTTACGGCGGTTTGCTTCTCAAATACGAGTTTAAAGAGTTCTTATCTGCGCGATTGGATCAAAAATCCCTCATTCCGTGTTGCCTTGCTCACATCACCGCTGGATCCCAGTCCTCTTCGCATGATTTAGACTCCAGGTCTGCCTTCTGTCCCTAAATTCTCTCAGCCTTATAGTGCTGTCAGATACATACAACACGTATGAGACAGTCTCAGAGTCTCTGACCAAGTACTGGAATGCCCCAATGGATTTCAAGGAGCTGTCTGATTCCTTTGGCGGGACAATATTTCCTGATGAATACCGAGTTGACTTACAGGACTGCGATCAGAGGATCACTGGCCTTGAAACAGCAACTCTGCGGTCGCCTAGTGTCAGAGACGAGGCTTCGATCATTCTTCTGCGATTGATTCACTCTGCGATGAGTGGAGATCTTGCCCGGGCAGATGATTGCCTCAATCGACTATCACAGCTTCCAGATCGCGAACTAGGACCGTCATGGCCCTTTCGACGTGATGCGTATGGCTTCTATATCACTTCTCTCAAAAGGATGCCACCAATTCTGCGATTCTGGACAGGCAGGACCAACCAAATTGGCGTGCTCAGAGACTATGAGCTTGCTATCCAACAATCCCGGAGACGTCAGATCCATCAGAAAGCACGCCTCAAGCATGAAATTCAGAATCAACTTGATAAGGTAGAATTCTACGTCATTTATGATATTTCGGATTTCCATTCCTACCTCTGGATGCAAGCATTCGAACATCATCCGCAGTATCCAGACCACTTTCTGGCTGTCCTGTTCGATGCATGCGAGCCTTGTTCCCTGGAAACAATCCACCATACAGACGACTTGGGACTCACAAAGACTGCGGCATACTTGAAAAGACTCACCTTACAATACCTTTTGGCTGGCGCTTCGGGAAATGCAGCTGCCGCTGTTCAGGAACTGAATGCTCTTTACATCCAACAAGAAGATCTCGTGGGTGAAGCGAATGTCAAATTGGTTCAAGGAGACAACTATTTCTCATTGCCTTTCACAAGCCCGATAGCTCTAAATTTGATGCCACACGGGCGAGACCTAGGCTGGGATAACGCTGCAATGGATTCGATTGAAACGCCTCTCGCTCCCCGAGACATTGATTCAGCCAGATCGTGCTATGTCGAAGCATATCATTTATTTGAAGCCGCTGGATCTCGCGCTGGAATGGGAGCAGTAAGCCTCCGGTATGCATGCTTAGACCACATCCAGGCTATTGAGTCAATGAAAAAAGCAGGCGACGAGCCCCCTGCTCAATTGCTTGAGAATGCCCACGAACACTTGGAGAATGCCGTTGAATTGTTCTCGGGAGACAACACGCATTCGCTCATAGTGTCCGGCCACATCTTGATGCTTAACATTACCAGCGACAGGCATCAAGATATTTTGAATCAGGCTTACGAGCTTGGTGATCGTTGCCGGGTCATGGACAATGTCAGCGTTTCCCAGTTTGTCGGGATGCTTCTACTCCGGCTTGGTCGCAAGTTTTCCCTCCTGGCATCCGGCATGCAGAAAGCGGTGCTGTGTTGCTATTGCGCAGAAGTCTGCTGCCACGCCTTCAGAGACCCTTACCTGCAATTGAGCGCGGCGTACTCTCTTGCTGCATTTCAGTTCGAGAAAGGGAACGTTCCGACGGCCATTACGCATATTGAACGTGGCCGAATCCTCCTGCATCAGGTTGCGGTTCACATTGATCGTCTTTCAGAATTCGCGGACCATGAAGACCACCGACAGATTCTGAGAACGGTTCGCGCCAACTGCATCAGTCGTTTCAATAACCTAGCTGGATCTGTCTCTGGCTCTCACGCGAGGACCAGTCCGAATGTGCAAAGCTCGTCCGACGCCGTGCAAGACGGATCATCTCTAGAGGTTATATTGAGTAGCTTGACAATGAATCCATCCTTGAAGGCGTTGGCAGATGAGCTCCTCAACACAGAAAGATTGATTGCACCACTGCGAACAATATTCCAAGAGGCCGTGGAGCAGCGTCGGACAATTCTACGCTTGGATGCAGACATAGACGCAGCAAAGGATTGCCTGAAGCAAGCACTCCTACGGATCGAGGCTGTCAAGCTCCCCTGCCGCTCTTCCGAAGTTGATGTATACCAGATAATCTTATTGCAGCAGATGGGTGAGTTTGAAAGAGCACGCCAACTTCTTCCGTTGACCATGCCTGCGTGGCTGGGAGGAAAAGGTGGAAATGCCTCCGTCGATAGAAGTTCAAGTCCCGAAATTGCCGGACTGACTTCTCAAAGACGCAGACAAGACGCACAGAAGTATATATCCCTGTGTTTCGTTACTAAATCTTGGGGTTTGGGATCGGAGCTCCTTGAGCGCGTGGAGCAGACGGTTCCGGAATACCTGGACGAAATCAAGAGCGCTGTTGGCCCGCATGACTGGATGGACATGTTTTGGATTGGATGCATACATGAGCGTTCAGGCAAGCTCACGTCTGCATTGACGTGGTATATCGACGCATTCCAGACCGTGGAAACAAACTACAAGAGGTTGGCAGACATCAATGAACGCCGCAATCTCTACGACAGGATCCATTCAAGCGAGCTATTTTTTGGACTCGCCCGCATTGCATGGCTGTTCTCTCAGTCACAAGATCAAGATGAACCTGTCATCGATCTTGATCGATGGCAACTGACACCGGCGCAATGGAAGGAGCAGATTCTTCGATTCCTGGACATGGGTCACTCGCGAGCGCTGCTCGATCTTCTCATCGCGGAGCAGGCCACAGACCGCGAACAACTACACAACTGGTCGGAATATTCATATCGATTGAGGGAGCACGAACTCGGAGCTTTTAACACTCGTCCCCAACAACGCAACGATGCCGAGTCTTCCACCGCGGCTGCCACTGAGACGAAACACGAATATCTAGATAAGACACTGGCCAGATTGGAAGCAGAGCTTGACCCTGTCAGCCTGACTAGACTCGTGCCAGACGTTGAGGTAACCGCCAGTCTCAATGAGATGATCTACAGCTCCATTGCCACAGATGCTGTAGTTGTGCATATCAATATCTCGCGGGATGGACTGCTCATCTTGTGCATCGGCTCACACGGCATCGAGCACATTTACTTCGACGAGATCATCGATATGGAGGTGGAGAAGCACACTCTTCGTTGTCTGAAACTTTTTCGCGATGGAAAGGATGGAAGAATTCCAGATCTCTTGAGTTGTCAGGAGGCATTGCTCAATGTCTCCAACATCATCATCAAGCCCATCTCACCATACCTGAAGACACGAGACCACGTCATATTTGTTCCCTCGCGCTCTCTGAACAAGTTTCCATTCTCCGCGTTGACTTTGGACGGAGAACCACTCTTTCTCACCAAGGACGTCTCGATGTGCCCGAGCCTAGCTGCGCTTGGTCGCCTGACAAAAAAGCAGAGAGACATCGAGGGATCGGTCGGGATAGTGTACAATGACGCTAAAGGTCCCAGGCCCCTGCACTTATCAGCTGCCGCGTCTATCCAGATCGCGAGAACTTTCAACACAGTCCCTCTTCCCACAACCGTGGCGTCGCACAAAGACTTCAGCAGGCTCTACGAACATTCCGATGTCATGTTCATCGCAACGCACGGAACCCAGCACGAGCAATCCGCGTGGGAGTCTACTTTGGCGCTGAATCCACCCTTCCGCGTGCTTGATCTTTCTCGGATGCGCAGCAGCGCGGCCCTGGTCATCTTCGAGGCCTGTGTTAGCGGCTTGGGCGAGGAGACTGTTGGCAACGACATGCTGGGCTTCTCACATATCGTTCTCTCATCCGGTGCCTCTGCGTTCCTGGGCGCCTTGTGGTCAGTCAGCGATGAGGCGTCTGCGTTGTTGATGGTATACTTCTTCCATGTGCTCAAGGAGGCCACCGAGCGCAAAGCAAAGGAAGGTGTCGAGTCGGTATCGATCGCCCGGTGTTGGCGCAGGGCGCAGCTTCAGTTGTACAAGACGACCGCAAGCAGCGCCATTTCGACGTTCCAGGAAATGGCAGAGCAGTGTCAAGAGGCAAGGAAGGCGCAGAAACACCCAGACGGGACCCAAAAGCCTGCACTCATCTTCCCTTCTCAGTCCAGGAGGTTCCAAAACGCGGTGCAGAGCATGATTGAGACCATCGAGATGCAGGGTGCAGACTACAAACATCCGTTCTACTGGGCACCGTACGTTCTCGTGGGGCACGGGGGGTTGCTTGTCTAGGCACACTGGATCGTTAGAGTCTTTACTAGGAGGCAGCCTTTGTGGTGGAAATTACTAGGCATTTCATGACTCTTCTCCTGGGCTTAATTCAGAAGTGTTTGAGAAATGAGGCGGACTGGATGATCAATGGTGCAATCACGCCGCATTTTGTCCACGGCTTCCTTGATCGAATTGACTTTGAGGGTCGAGGCCTGCTCTTTCCATTGCTCTGACGATGGACGTTCAACCGAGCCTCGATGGAGAAAACTTCGGATGCCACAGAATGGTTGGGATTCCAGCCAGAGAGGTCTCTCGTTGCTTGCCATTTTTCATGCAATATGTGCCAGCCTTACATCATTCCAGCTCGGCAAGATGATGCACAGGACTCAATTTCTTTGGTTCTGCCACTGAGACAACGCGATCAGAAACTCCATCTCTTTCGGCACTCGATCTCCATTTACCAAAGACAGGAGGGCTGAAGGGAGAGCAATGCTGATCTCACCGCGGATGAAGCGCTAACCGCTTGTATCAGCGAGTCCCAGCTCTGCAGGATCAGCCATGTCTTTGCCCAATTCACGGAAGCCGGTTCTCTCCAGGGTTACCGTACATGTTGGCCATCGACTTGATCGTCAGCTCGGGTCCAGGTCTCCAATCAAATCGGATCGGATGTAATGAACGTCGCCAGGTCGACCCAGCCAAGTATTTGGGAGGTGCCTCGCTTACCTATCAAACATCTATTGGTCTGCCGTCCTCTGCCCGAGGCAACTCCCTTTAAGGTCTACCATGGAAAGGGTTTCGACAAAGTTTAAGTACGAAGATACGACGCGGTCTTTTTGCGGAAAGATTCACTTTCCATCCCCTTATCACTATGATAGTGGAGTCTATAAGAGAGTGAAGCCCCAATCAGCACCACTCAGACCCCGGCTTTCATTCTCCGCTCTGAATACTTCCCTCAATCTGGGGGAGGGGCTAGTGAGGCCCTTCCGGAGACCCAGGGGCATTCACAATCACCCTGATTAGTTACCCACAAGCCTTTCCATTCTCTTTCCATTTCTCCAGATCATATGATGAGGGCCCACGCAGATTGTGTGATGCTTAACTCTCCTCGCCCCCTCCGCTTTCCCCCTTCCCCTCCCCCCTCTTCATGCACCAAGCCATTCTGGGCAGCCACCCAGTTGTCGGCCTCAGCTTCGTTTGTTTACATCAAGGAACCGGTCGTAGCACGGGGAATGGATCCCACTTACGGACATCGAGAACCGAGGGAACGGTCTGGTGTCTACAAGTCTCCTTCAGTGGTAAGGATATTTTTTTCGTAATTTGCCCACAGCCGCCGCTCGGGATCAGAGCTACTAGACTTTATATCTCTGGGGCATTCAATCCGAATACCTCTAGGAGTCATCATACCACGACAACGACTTCCAAACACATTGTGTGGTGATACATTACCCTCTGTCAACTGAGTGCCCATCATGCTCGTAAGCAGCGTGCTTCCGCACGACATCTCACCTTTGTTCATTGCCCTTTTGCTGGGGTCGGTGGGTGCCGTGCTCCTCAGCATCCGCCTTCTCTATAACCTCTACTGGCATCCTCTCTCGAAATATCCCGGACCATGGTACGCAGCTGCGACTTCTCTGTCGGTGGCGGTTATATCGGTGTTGAAGGCTGAGCCACAATGGCTGATGAGTGTGGTAAGAAAATACGGGAGTGCGTGGCATTTACCTTCTCCCTCCCCTGTTTCTGGAACTGCTTGATTAATTCGCTTCCACTTTTTTTCCCGCTTTATAGCTGAGTCACCGATCCGGATCTCACCCAACGTGTTGCTGTTCCCCAAGCCGTCCTCCCTCAAGGAGATATACTGGGACCCCAAATGTAACACCAAGATGTCTCTCTATGGGACCGGGGCGTTGGGACCTCCTCACCTTTTCACGACACTCGATGGCGAAGAACACAAGAACCTGAGAAAGGCTCTTGGCGGTCAACAGGTATTCATTCCATGCCCATCTGTCTCTGCCTTTTTCTTCAGTGCAGCAGCTTACCAGCGTGTGACCGGTGTAGTGGACCATCGGGTCTCTGAAGAACAACTGGGAGCCTCGCATCGACGATTTGGTCCGTCTCTTCATCCGCAAGATGACGGAGAAGGCTCAAACCCAGGAGACAGTCTTGCTTTCGGAGAGAGTAGCGCAAGTGTTTTCCAGTGCGCAGTGCCTGACCCGGTAACTGACCGTATATCAGCGAATTCGCCGCGGATATCATGACCATGATCTCCTTCACCGAGCCTTGGGGCTTTGTCAAAAACAGCCGTGACGAACGCGGGATCCTCAGCAGCTGGCGCAAAGGACTCCCCTTGTTTGGATTTGCTGGACGATCCGTCTCCTTTCGAAAACTTCTGGCCATTCCTGGCATTGGCGAGCAGCTCCTCCCCAAGGCCACCGACAAGGACGGATTCGGGTATCTGATGAACTGGGCCGACAAGGAAGTGTCGCGCCGCGAGGAGAAGTTGGGGGACGGCCTGACTTCGACGCAACCAGATTTTCTGCAACAGTGAGTTTCAAAGCGCGGAAACACGACACGGCGCAAGAGCTAAATTCTTTGACAGCTGTCTAGACGCGCGAATGGACGGAAAGCCGCTGAGCCCGGTCCAAAAGCGAGCCCACGTAACACTTCTGATTCAGGCAGGAGCAGACACCACTGGGACTGCGCTCGGCGCCACGTTACGATTCTTGTCATTGAACCCCGACAAGATGAAGCGTGCGTGGGAGGAAGTTGACGCCGCCGACCGTGCAGGTAAATTGTCGGACCCAGTCCAATACGAAGAAACGCGCGAGCATCTGCCGTTCTTCTGTGCGTGCATCAAAGAGGCCATCCGGTTATGTCCCCCTGCCGACAATCTCTTCGGGCGTGTGGTTGGAAAGTCCGGCAAAGTGATCGAGGGCCACTTCCTTCCTCCCGGGACGGAGATCACGAGCAACGCGTATGTCGTTCAGCGAGATCCGGTTCTGTACGGCCCTGACCCCGAGGCCTTCCGGCCCGAACGGTGGCTCGAAAGCAAAGAAAAGGCCGCGGAACTGGAGCTTCACAGCTTTGTGTTTGGCATTGGGCCCCGTATCTGTCTGGGCAAGGACGTCGCCATTATCGAGCTGCACAAGCTTCTCCCCGAGGTAGGTCGATCGATCTCTCTCCGCCGTCAAGGGCGGTAAAAGCTGACCTCATTCTCTCTCTCTCAGATTATTCGTCGCTTCGATATCGAGCTGGTCACCCCAGGACGATTTGTGGTGGCCGGAGGAGTCGCCTATTTCAACGACTTTAACGTGAAGTTGATCGCGAGAGAGGAAGTAGCTTGATAGACAGGAGTCCACCAGTGAGCGAGCGAGCGATCAAATGGACCAGCGTGTATTTGTTGAGAAGAGACGCCTGATGATGAGTTGGCTTCATCCAGGGCTGTTTCTGGCGCCCTATGTAAGGCTTCGGGAGGCAGTAGTCCAAGACAGCAGTAATGCCGTATCAGCGAGAATAACGATGATATTGTTGGGCATGCATCGATTCGGCACTGGTTGGACGAAGAGGATGTGGACGATATGGACAGTGTGGGCAGTGTGGACAAAATGGACAATATATATACACCTCCTCTGATGGCCATATACCTCACCGTATTCCGCTACTCCTCCACCAGTTCAAGCCACAGACTCGGCCATCGCCGGGACATTTATCGACGCCGTGGAGCAACCAAGCACCCAGCCGATGATGACCCTCGGCAACTGACTCGATGCTGGCGGTGGCATCCATACTATTCCCTCTGGCAGGGGGCCCATGGAATCCGTCGCTCACCTGATCAATGAACAAATAAACAGGCATTCACTCTGACTCCGAAGCAATTCCAAACCCTTGATTTGCTGGTTGGTTAGCCTGATTCTTCACGATCCGCTCCGTCAGGTCAGTCAAGTCACTCACTCACTCATTGACTTTCGAGAAGCGAGAAGCGGGTTCCCAAGTGATGGAGAAACCCAAGAAATTCTACACCAAAGACTACATGTCCCGACCGGGCATGTCGTTCGCGATTGAGATTGCCGATCCGGTGCAGAGGATCGAGGAGTTCATGAACCGATATAAACGGGAGCCCGTTGCAGAAGTAAGCTTCTCTCTCCTCTCCCCTGCCCTCTCCCTGCCCTCCCTTCGTTGTTGGAGGAAACGAACAATGTACATACTCGCCGTGCGGTAAGACCGACTCTGACCGCTAACCTTTCAGGGTTTCGAAGAATCGCTGATGACGCGAGACCTGCGGGTCGTGAGCGCGACGGGCCCGTCAAACAACACAGCCAACACCGCCACGGCCGTCTTCGAGATGGACATCATCCCCATGTATGGAACGCGGATGGGCAATGCGTCGGGCGCAGCCATCACGCTCGTCCACGACATGTGCACGACTATGGCCATGGCGCCACTGGCCACCAGGGACTTCTGGCACTTTGGCGGCGTGTCCCGTGTCCTCAGCGTCACGTACCTGCGCCCGACCAAGACGGGCTCCACGGTGGTGATTGAGTGCGAGGTGTTGCAGGTGGGGGCGCGATTTGGTAGGTACCATGACCCCACCAGCAGCGGCGATGTGTATATGCATATATATACATATATCACGCTGGTTGTTGGAAGCAGAAGTAGCTAACCGATCTCCAACAACCCGTCAGCAACGATCCGCGGCGTCATGAAGGACAAAGCCACCGGTGACCTCCTCTCCGTCTGCGAGCACAACAAGGCCAGTATCATCTTTCGCGACAAACCCAAGATTTGAAAGGTGTGGCTTGTATTCATGCCACGGATCAAGTTTCCGTTGTGCCGGAGACTTCCAGAGATCTGCATCTCGACCGATTATCAGCATCGACAGCCGGGTCATGCCCTCCAAGTGCCAGCCGATGCAGGTTGTGCAGCCGTCTGTCATTGTCTGGCTCGGACAGTCCCATCCGCGCATGTATTTGACAAAAGTGTAAGGTGTGGCACCATCACACCCTCCCACGGATCTTATCCCGCCTGCCCAGAGAGTTCCGCCACTCTTCAGCCACTGACATACTACGGACATGGGCGATACGAGCCCGCCCAGAACCAGTTGACATCCTCCGAAAGCACCATTGGTCGAAACACCACCACGACTGGCAGGGGGACAACAGAAATGATCTCATAATACTTGAAATCCCAACATTGTAACACCGGATTTCTGTTCCCTCAAAAGGTTGGCCTGGGCGTAATTTGATGTCATTCTTTATAGAGACTTGCTTTTTCCTCGTTCAGTGGCGTATCCTTTTGTGTCTCTCCCTCTCATTCACTTTTTGTTTCTCCTGCCACATTATAGAGTACACGATAACATTTGTTAGAATTTTTGCTTTGCTTTGCTTGCCGACATGGGCCCCACACCCGAGAATCACTGCATGTTGCAGGGTTTCGAATGGAACGTCCCTGCCGATCAGAAACATTGGATTCGGTTGCAAAATGCCCTGCAAGACCTGAAGAACATTGGAATAGACAACGTCTGGCTCCCACCGGCGTGCAAAGGTCAAGGTGGTGACCAGGCCAACGGTTATGACATTTATGACTTGTATGATGTTGGCGAATTTGAGCAAAAAGGCGCCAAATCGACCAAATGGGGCCCCAGAGAGGATCTGGATCAGTTGAGCAAACAAGCCAAGGAGCTGGGGATTGGGCTGTACTTCGACGCGGTGCTGAATCACAAGGCTGGTGCAGACAGGAAGGAGAAGTGCCGGGTCGTCGAGGTGGATCAGAGTGGTAAGACAGTTCACCGTGCAACATGCTCGCAAGAGTGCTTCTCGGGACTAACCCAACTCTCAGACCGAAACAAAGAGATCGGAGAGCCGTTCGAGATCGAGGCGTGGCTGGGCTTCGACTTTCCTGGACGTGGCGACAAATACTCGGCGCAAAAGTACCACTGGGAGCATTTCTCTGGGACCGACTACGACGCCGCCACCGAAAGAACCGGCATCTTCCGCATCCTCGGCGACAACAAGCATTGGTCCCGTTCTGTAGGCGACGAGGCCGGCAACGCCGACTTCCTCATGTTTGCCGACCTCGACTACAGCCATCCCGAGGTGGCCAAGGACGTGATCCAGTGGAGCGAGTGGGTCGTGAACGAGTTCCAGCTGAAGGGATTCCGCTTCGATGCCTGCCAACATTTCTCGGAGCGTTTCACCAATGATCTCGTCAAAAATTTGGAGGACAAGTTCGGCAAGGACTCGTTGTTCTTGGTTGGCGAATACTGGAGCGGCGACCGACAGGAAATGCTCGAGTGGCTCGACAACATGTACCATCATGTGTCGTTGTATGACTCGCCCCTGGTGTATTCCTTCTCCCAAATCTCCAAGACGGAGAAGGCGGACCTCCGCAAAGTGTTCGACAAGAGCCTCGTGCAGGCCAAGCCGGAGTCTGCGGTCACGGTGGTGATGAACCACGACACGCAGCCGGGCCAGACGGTCGAGACCCCCATCGAGGGCTTCTTCAAGCCCATCGCCTACGCGCTGATCCTGTTGCGGCGCGAGGGCTACCCGTGCGTCTTCTACGGCGACCTGTACGGCATGAAGGGCAAGCACGCCGAGCCTCCGGCGTGCGGCGGGAAACTGCCTCAGCTCGTGCTCGCGAGGAAGCTCTTCGCGTACGGCGACCAGGACGACTACTTCGACGAGGACCCGAACTGTCTCGGGTTCGTGCGCCGGGGCACCGACGACCGCACATCCGGCCTGGCCTGCGTCATGTCGAACGCCGAGCCCGGCACCAAGAGGATGTTCGTGGGCAAGGAGCACGCCGGGGAAGTCTGGACGGACGTGCTGGGGTGGCAGACGGAGGAGGTCACGATCGGAGAGGATGGATTTGGCGAGTTCATGTGTCCCGGCACGAGCGTGAGTGTGTGGGTGAGCAAGGACGCCGAGGGAAGGGAGCGGATGGATCAGTTGAGCTTTGATAGCGACATCTACGCCAAAGCATAAGCATAAGCAGCACGCAGGCAGGCAGGACTGGGGCCCGGAAGGGATTGGGGATATAAGGATATGATAAAAGGGAAAGGATGTTAGACGGGATGGATTGTTAGGCTGACAGAGCGGCAGGGCAGGGCAGGGCAGGGCACGACAAGGTTAGGACTGGTTCGGGATATAGGCTCGCCCGCTGGAAAAAGAAGCATCAATCATCATCTGAGATCTTAATAGATCTTAGAGAGCAATAGTTATACATATACAGAACAGGGAGACTGAATCTAGACTGTTTTGGGAAATAGGAAGATCACCTAAGAGAGGCGGCGGCGTCGTTGTTGTCGTCATCGTCGAACCTGCAGACAGACTCACGGATATTGGGTATCGTTGTCAGACTCAGAGTCGGAGATGGGGACGGGGTGATAGAGCAATGCACTGGAGCAAATATGTGCCTGAAGTCTAGACCTGTGAGGCTGCACTGGACTGAACTTCTATTGAACACATTCGACCTCTCGCTCGTAGATAGATAGATAGATACTTGTTGTTTACATACAGACAGACAGTTATCGAAGATCTCCTAATTCCCCTCTGCTCTACAGCATGTCTACTATTCTCCTCTCCGCCAAGTACATCAAACAACACAACACCATCAGGCCTTCCAAGATCGACCAGCCCTAAGGAACGAGTTCACAGCGCCACGCAAACGGCATGAATAGGATTCCCCAGAAGAAAAATGCCGATCACCACTTACTTCTTCCGACAATCCTCTGGATGCTGATGACGAACGACTCGGGCATTCATAGGCAGGCTGGGTGCTCTCCTCCTGGCTAGTGGGCTCGTATCGTACTTACCTCCTTGCCTGGGGCGGCCGATCGCCTTTGCGCCATGTCAGACTTGCATGCGAGGGGACGCAGGGAGCCTGACGAGCAGAGTTGACCAACCACAGTGCCCGCACCGCGTGCTCTGGGGTAATTCGGCGGTGATACGAGGACAGGGGTTGGCAAGTCCTCTAAAGTATATGTGTATGGTCAAGAGAGTATATAAGTACGGGTTGTGCTCTCTAAACCAAGTACCGACTGACTGATTGTTTGTTTGCATGCTTGCTCGCTCCCAAGGACAAAATCATGGCTATCTCCACTATAATGGATACCCGTCTTTTCGTCGCATTGGTGGCCGTATGCTTTCTGCTGGTCCGACTGCTGTCGATTGGCACTCGAAGTCGGAGGATGCCTCCAGGTACATAGGACTCATTCCTGTTGAATTCCTCCTGGACATTCGCTCACAAGGAGCACAAAAGGCCCGCCGACGCTGCCCATCATTGGCAATCTGCACCAGATCCCCACGAAGGACATACACCTGCAGCACCAGAAATGGGCTCAAGAATGTAAGTGTTACGACCTCCTAGTGGGAGGGGGGGATGTCATGCTTCGAGAACAGATCGTTAATGGACTTGTTCGATACGAATGTTTGTCACCAACCAGACGGCCCCATCTTCTCGCTCAAGCTGGGCACCCAGGACGTCGTCGTGCTCGCCAGCGGCGACATGATCAAGCGACTGGTCGACAAGCGGAGCGGCAACTACGCGGACCGCCCGGCACTCTTCATGCAGGACATCTTCGAGCACTCGCGCATCATCATGCGCGGCTACGACGACCTGTGGAAGGTCGAACGCAAGCTGTACCACCAGTTCCTCAACAGCACCAAGGCCGCACGCTACGTGCCCTACCAGGACCTGGAGACCAAGCAGCTGTGCGTCGACCTGCTGGGTCGGCCTGAGGACTTCGAGGCCCTGATCACCCGCACCACGCTGAGCGCCGCCGCCAGCATGGCCTATGGCTTCCGCGTCACCGACCCCAAAGACCCCGTCATGCAGGAGCTGCTGCACAACGCCCACGGCTTCTTCACCATGGTCCATAAGAGCCAGTTGTTGGATTGGTACCCGCAGCTGCGGTGGGTGGTGCGCTGGCTTCCCCCGTTCCTGTACCCCATGTACCGCGACGCGAAGGAGATATATCGGCGCGAGAAGGCCCAGTTTCACCAGCTGCTGCGCGACACGCGGAAGAAAATAGCCCGCGGGAACGACAGCGAGAACTCGATCCCAAGTAAGTCGTATCCAACGAACGAAGTGTGTTTTGCTGTGCCAGACCAGGCAAGGGTTGTTGTTGGCAGAATGATCACAGGGCACGGTGGCTGATTGTTTCTGTCTCCCTGTGACACACAGGTTTCGCGGCCGATATCGTTCGAGCTCAGGAGTCGTGGAAGGGAAAGCAGGAAGGCACCATCCTGACCGACCATGCTGCCGCATACATCGCGGGGGTGGCCATGGAGGGGGCGACAGATACCCAGAGCAACCAGCTGGCTGCATTCGTCAAGGTAAACAGAGAGACAGAGGATCACTTACTCTAACAATCAATACTGACCCTCTCACAAAAGGCCATGATGTTGTACCCCGATACTCAGAAGCAGGCCCATGCCCAACTGGACGAGGTCGTCGGGGGAGATCGGCTCCCTGAGCCCAGCGACCTTGAGAACCTGCCGTATATCCGACAAATCATGAAAGAAGTCGTCCGGTGTACGCCAGCACGCCCCCTACATCCACTCATTCCATATCACTTCACCGAGAAAAGGCTAACTCTGTGCTGACACACAGGGATGCCCACCGGACTGACCGGCGCGATCCCGCACGCGGCCCGCGCCCAGGACGAGATCGACGGCTACATTATTCCGCAGGGGGCGACCGTCGTGCTGGCCGTGTGGGCGGCGAACAACGACCCGACACTCTTCCCCCACCCGCGCGTGTTCGACCCGGCGCGCCAGAACCCGGCCTTCTCCATGGGCGAGGCCGCGCTGGCCAGCGACATCCGCGACCGCGACCACTGGACCTTTGGCGCCGGCCGCCGCATCTGCCCCGGCATCCACGTCGCCGAGGGCACCATGCTGCTCGCCATGGCGCGGATCTTGTGGGCATTTGACATTGCCAAAGCGAGGGATGCGCTGGGGCGTGAGATCGACGTCGACCAGGACGAGATGACGCAGTCGATTGCCGCGAGGCCGTTGCCTTTCAAGTGAGGATCTACCCTTACCTTGTTGTTCCTCCTCTCGCTCTGTTTTCTCCCCTTCGTCTCCTTTCTCTTGTCTCTGGCAAGCCAGTCCACGAAGAGAGAGTCACTAACGTACCGTGTGTGGGCGAGATAGATGCTCCATCAAAGTCCGAAGCGACAAGCACGCCGAAGTGGTCCGGAAAGCCTGGCAAGAGGCGCAGCACGTGTTGGATGAGACGGGGAATTACAAATTGAACGTGCTGTGAGTGAAATGGGCCAGATGAGTGTAATTCGTTAGAGAGATAGGCACCGTCCTGGAAGGTGTAGGTCGACGCTTCAGATATCAGATATCAGACATCCAACATACTTATACTCTAATCGACGTACACAACCCCCGGCACCAGGACACTAAAGGGAGCCCATATGTCGGTCGGGGTCATGGTTCCATCCCCGCATCCCAAACGTGACATATCGGTGTCGATCCAAGGAACAGAATGAAGCAATTGCACCAACTTCCCCGCAAAACTGAGTAGCAAAGCAGCAGTGGACACCGCATTACGACAAATGGATGGTGGTCAGTTGCATAGTTGGAGACTTGATCGTTGCGAGCCCCATCTGTCCATTCGCCAGAAAGAATCGAGGGTCTTGATAGGGCCACGTCGACGTCAACGGCGCTCCTCTGCTTTGGAGCGACAGGGGTTTGTGGGAAGCTGTGTGTGGGCGAACAGGCGAGGAGAGGGGATGAATGGATGAAGGGATGAAGGGATGGATCGCGGGCAAAGGCAGTACCTACTCTGATCTCTGATGCTCTGCTGTGTTGGCCCCGCTCCCCCAAATTGTATCCATGCATGGTGGAAGACACATGACGCGTAACCGATCCCTCTCGCTCGATGGATGGGCGGGGGCAGAGGAGGGTCGATTGTGACATGGATAATATGTATATATATACAGTATATAGCCTGTGTGTTAGCGAGCCAGCCGTCCCGTTTGCGAGATTACTTCGAACCAGTCAGTCCATCAGGCAAAAGAATAGTAGGAAACGAACTGAACCAGATATCTTAGCTTAGCTGTCCGAAGGACAAACAATCTGCTCTGAATACGCAACCCTTCGCACCGAGTGTCACAGCCAACGTCTCTCGCAGGGGACAAGGCTGACCGGGAAAGGGGCTCCCTGCCACCAACCCACACAGGGTCGAGGAACCACCTCCCTTTGCATTTTCTCTCAGCATTTCTTGAAAAGAACAAGAATCCCTCCATCCATTAAACAAAAGACTCACCTTATACTGTTCCTCCCCACGTCAACCGCCAGGATGAAAGTCGTGCGCGTGGTCGGCTACCACCAGAACCTGGAATTGTCCTCGGCGCCCGACCCCGAAATCACGTCGCCGCTGGACGTCATCGTGAAGATCGGGGCGGCGGGCGTGTGCCGCACAGACATCCACATTCTGGAGGGTCAGTGGGCGGCCAAGTCGGGCGTGAAGCTGCCGTACACGATCGGGCACGAGAACGCGGGTTGGGTGCACGCCAAGGGCGAGGCCGTCACGGGCCTCGACGTCGGCGACAAAGTCATCCTCCACCCCCTGGTCACCTGCGGCCTGTGCCGTGCCTGCCGCTCCGGCGACGACGTGCACTGCGAGAACTCCTTGTTTCCCGGCATCGACGCCGACGGCGGATACGCCGAGTTCCTCAAGACCGGCGCGCGCAGCGTCATCAAGCTCGACCCCAAGCTCGAGCCGACCGACGTGGCGGCCCTGGCGGACGCGGGGCTGACCGCCTACCATGCCTGTGCGAAGGCCGCAAAGGTGCTGAAGCCGGGGAACGTCGTCGTCCTGATCGGCGCGGGTGGGCTCGGCCACATCGGCATCCAGGTCATGAAGGCCATCAGCGCCGCCACGGTGGTGGTGGTCGACCGGAACGCGGACGCCTTGGACCTGGCGAAGAAGTTGGGCGCCGACCACGTCGTGCAGTCGGGAGACAAGGACGACGACGGGTTCGTTCAGGAGGTGCTGGCTCTGACCGCCGGCGGGAAAGGTGCAGAGGCAGTGATTGATTTCGTCGCCGAAGGGGGTTCCACCGCTACGGGTGTGCGGATGCTGCGTCGCGCCGGGAACTATTGTAAGTATTCTCCTATTGCATTTCTCTTCTCTCCATCCATCATCCTCCATCACAGCGATGAGATGCTGAAAGACAAAAACACAAAAACAAGACATCGTCGGGTACGGCGAGAACATCAACGTCCCCACCATCGACATCATCTCGACGGAGATCAACTTCATCGGCAACCTGGTCGGCTCGTACAACGACCTGGCCGAGCTGATGGTGTTGGCCGCCCAGGGCAAAGTCGTCCTACACACGTCCATCTACAAGCTGGAGGACTTCCAGAAGGCCATTGACGATCTGTCCGCGGGGAAGGTAAGGGGACGGGCGATTCTGGTGCCTTGAAAGCAGGAAGAATATGCCGGCTGAGTGTCAACAGAGTGGGAGATGTGATGGCAGAGGATGGTCAAAGGTTACCAAGTGGATTCTGTTCTTGACAGAGGGAAAAGGATAGCAAGCTCGAGGTTGCAAGAAAGGAAAGGAGCATTTGGATGTAATAATCTCTTCGTATCTTGATCACTCGACGCCGTAAAGTATCTCGACTTATGCTGCTCTCATGGAATTCATGGCTTGACCAGTGCCGTCTGCCGGTCCGCGCTCGTAAAGAACTCATGCACCACCTGCGTCCAGGTCTTCGCCTTGACCTCGTGCCGGAATTTCGCGCCACTGTTGGCGATGTCTTGTTCTTTCAGCTCGAAGCCTCCGAACCCGACACTACGTCGGAAACTCTGTTGGATGTCACTGCCCAGTGGGGCTTTCTGCTGCTCCTCATTTCTGTACGACGACGACGACGCATACAGAGTGTCCTCGTATGTCACGTCGATCGGATGGCGGAGGACGTAGGAAATGGCGTCGAAGAGGGACAGGCTGGGTAGTGTTGAGGCAGCAAAGCACAGGTACCTCCGGAGATTGAGTTCGGACAGGTGGTGTGGGAGTAGACTCGCGACAATGAGTTTGGCGACGCTGTGCAGCACAAGTTAGACTCCTGATCGACTCTGCAGTGGAACAGAGGAAGCTCACTCGTCGCTGTGTGTTACCGATACTCGAGCATCAGGATTCCCCAAGTAGACGACCGATCTTTGATCTTCGCTCAGCCCCAGGATGTTGGATTCGAGGAGGAAGTCCGAAAGGGCCCCGGTCATGAGGCATGTGAACCCCAGAGAGGCATCAGCCTGCATACGTTCCTCAATGTATTTCCGCACGGCGATCTTGCCGGCAAAGTACAGCTCGTCTTTGACAGCAGGATGGTTGAGGTCGGGGCCGTCTTGATCTCAGGTCAGAAACACATCTGGAGCACTGGGAAAGCAACTCTTACACTCGGCAGAATACAAGTGTTTCACGCCGCCAGCGAATGCTGCCTCTGCATACTCCGTCTGTTTTGTGCAAACGTCATCTTCGACAGTTGAGACGACAATCTGAAAGCCTTTATATGAGTCGAGGTCGGATGGGTTTCCAAAAACACGCTCCACTATCGTCGGGCCGTTCTCGATTTGCTTCTCGGAAGCAGTGTCAGGAGGAGAAAGGAGAAAAGCGACTCGGGAGAAGTGTCGTCTGTGTTGAGCCAATTCTTCCAGCGTCTTGCGGCCGACCCTGCTCGTGGCACCGAGCAAAAGAACTGAATAGGCCATCCTGATAGACAATCTTCCTAAGGGGATGAGCTAAGCGTGACCTAGAGATGGAATGCACACAGAGGAAACAGCGTTGTATATCCAAGCATACAGACCTTCAGTCTGGGGAACCAGGCTGGAAACGCCCGCAGCATATCGACCTCACGCCATTCTCGGGGTCCCGTGGGATCCGGAGACATGATCAGCGACGCCACCTCCACGCCGTACATGCAAGAGGAACTCCCCCGGTGAGCATGAAAAGGGATTGAGATCGTGTGCGATCTTAAGATCTGCGTTCTTTAAGTGGTATTCTGGGCGCAGTCTTGTCCGGAATCTTGGTTTCCACGCCAGCAACTACCGCTTTGGGAGGAGAGCCAGTGCACCGAGCCAGGCTTGCCCATTGCCGGCCATGCTCCCAGTACATGTGCGAGGTCGAAGGCCTCGCTGCAGGGCTGCAAATTAGTAATATAGTAGAGGTATAAGCTGTCCAGCAATGTGAATACCAGGTGTCATGTCTGGCCTCGTGTTGACTTGCCTGGAGGCGCTCTAACAGGGGTTCACGGAATTGCTGTATATGGGCATAGGTGCCAACCCCTTTACCCCGGAGAGGGCAGCTTCCGCCATTGACCAAGTCGAGGAGGTGGACATGGCTCACCTAGCTTTTACGAGTGCTTATGAAGAAATAACCTGATCAGGAAAGAGTAGAGTTTCTGGAGGGAGGTAGATCGACCACGGTGACGAGGCTGCATAGGTCACATAGCATGTCTTGCCTTACTAGCAGTCCAAACAGAACGTTCACGACGTAAGTATTCATGGTTACCATGCTGAAGGGAGTCAGGCTAGATTCTGAATCCAGCAGCCTCAGCCAGGGGCCTTTGTCAAGGACAAGTTCGTTGCGGTAGGTGTTCCAATGTCTTAGACCTGAACTATCTGGAACAAAGCTTCGAAATTAAATGGAGGGATTCCATTGACATCTGTCCTCAGACGCAGAGAGTGTTTAAATCGATTCTGAGAGGTAAACTATGCACCACGACAGTGGAAGAAACCGAGGATGGATGTCATAAGTGCTTGTCATATGTGTCAGAAACTCCCAGCAAAAATGCAAGAAGCCAGAGAGTTTAAAGCGGCATTGACTAGACATCACTAGCGTACTCGATCGCCGCCCTAGACGCACAGGGCGGCACGACCGTCGACCTATTTACAGCGGGTTTTCCTAACTGCGCGTCGCGCGTAGCATGACGCCCACTACAGCAAATGTATATACACCCGATATTCCAGCCCAGAATAAAGCCTTCTCGTGTTCCGCTCTACACACATCTGCTTCCAGGAATTAGTTACTCACTCTCGACACGAACTTAAAGGCAAGGAAAATGGACCGGACCACCTCCCTCGCACCCGCAAAACAATCCCTCCCCCGCCCGTCATCCGTTGCCTCCACCACCACCACATCCACCAACAAAACCCGGCAGTACGCCCACCTGCACGCCCAGCTGGCGCAGCTGAACGCGCACCTCGCCGACACGGAGAACCTGCTGCGGATGACGGCCGTGCAAGCCCAGGACATGCGGTTCCTGGGCGGCTACGTTGGCGCGCTGTTCATGGGCAGCGCCAAAGTCCTGGGTGAGGAGAGCGTGCAGGGCGCCAGTAGGGGAGGGGGAAAACAGGGGGAGGAGCCCAAGGAGTCGTGAAGACTGCTGTATGTTTTGCCTGTCGATATGGCCGGGGAAAAGGGGGCCATATCAAGCCTCAGCGTTCTTCTCAGAATGGACTTGTCTCTCATAACGGAAAACGACGAAGACGAGTTACGGAACTCACATCGAATGTGAGCGACTCCTACTTTCTTATCAGCCTTCTCCTTGCAGTCAACTGTGGGTGACAAGGGAATTCCAACTCTTGCAAAATCACTATTCGAAATTACGGCACACGTCGTCCGGCATTTGCTCAATTAAAGCTCGGCAGCAGCCCAGCTCGGCGACTATTTGCTCGTAAGGACAGGCAGTCATCACCGACTTATGGCTTTCCTCCTAGCCTTTGTTGAAACGATTTGCAAGGGGCTGTCGTTGCCTTTGCTCCGACAAGCAGCAGAAGAGGGCTGTACAATGCATCAGAAAGGCGTGGTTCTGCTGTCTGAGCTTCTCACTCTCGAAGCACCCCACATACAAATCACCAGAACTAATCACTTTTGCGGCTCATTTCGAGCTGTGCAAGCCCATATCCATTGGCCGGTCTCCACCAAGTCGTCTCTCTCGGAAACACGCACTCTTCGATCTGCGTTTGGTGGACATGAGGCGACATCACGCCGTCAACCTGTTTGAATGTGCACAAAACATCCAAAGCACGCAGACGTTGCTCTTCTACTCAATTTTGAGTAAGCGAGACAGCAAAAGGAGGGAGGTGGCACCAGGGCTTTCACGGCCCTTTCCTCATCATCCTTCAACTTCCGCTCGGGCCTCCTCCGGGGATCAACTTTCCAGAAGCACGCTTCGCCAACGAAGCATCTGGAAAAATTTACCCTGGAGCCACGATCAGCCTCCGACCGACCCTTGTCAGAGATCGAACATGCTGCCATCTCCAAGTCATGCTCTTATCAACAGCAGGAATACATCACTCTGTCACGTTATCGTCATGCAGACTCCCGAGTACAAGATTCGGGTCAGCGTCCAACATGGCTGACAATCTCTCGGCACGTCTCCTTCCAGCCACCCACCCCATAAACTCTGAATAACTTTGCGGCAAAACACTCACATCTGCCGGGGAAAAGAAGGTATAAAAGAATGTTCCAGTAGACTTCCTTTCTTGATCCTGATGTTCAACAGGCCGGACGTGCGTCCGCACCATGACTTGAATGCGAGTGCCGCCACTGGGGTGAGGCTCCGTAAACGAAACACCCGCCGAGACGTAGAGCACCGAACCAACAGGTACAGGTTCTTCAAATGTACTAGGATCGAGGTTCAAAAACCGCGGACGAGTATGCGAGAAAGAGGCCGCACACGTGAAAGCCAGTTCGAATGTCTGTTTGAGCAAGAAACCCCCGAAGATCATGAAATGATGCCGGTTCCTGTACTGCGGCATCATGATTTGAGTACTGTGGATAGTGGTCTTAGACATGGCTAGGACATTGGAGGGCTGCTTCTTCGGGTTCTTGCTGTCAGCATACGCCAGGGAGTCGGTCCACATTTTGTGAATTAGAGCCGACTCATCTGCATCAGGTGGCTTGGTCAAAATGTGTGTGGACCTCATGGCCTTTTTGTGTCGGTAATTCTCTTCGCCTTTGGCGAACAGCGCCTTCTCTGCGGGAGTACTGACTTCCAGGGGGGCGATATTGACGGGTTTCTTGGTGATGGGATCCAACGCCACCATGGTGAAAGCGCAGGTCATAAAGACATCCTCTGGTGCAACTTGTCGACCAGGGGCTGGAGCTTTCGCGATCTGCAGAGTCACTTCCAAACTGCTCCTTCCGGTAGCGTACGTCACTTGTCCACTGAGCTCCAAATCACAAATCTCTCGGATTGGGTTCTTGATTGTAATCCTGTCCACAGCAGCGGTCACATTGCTTACTCCCTCACCAGTATGTCTGTAGGCGACCACACCGGCCAGCGCGTCCAGGTCCATGAGCAACGTACCGATACGGATCTGGCCCGTATAGTTTGCGTACGTGTCGAGCAACCAGGGATCTTGCTGCAAGATCGCACGTCAACCGTTGGCAAGTGAAGATAACGTCACATGCATTATAAGAGACTCACAGAGAGAGGCAGAATAAGGCTGACATAGCTGTCCGACATTTTCTTGGGCGTCAGGACAGGCTTAGGGCTTTCCACCGCCGCTGTTTGGGGGTTCTCCTCCGCCTCTTTTCTTTCCCGAAGTGCTTGAATCCAGGGTGTTCGAACTCGCATCTCTGTAAGAGCTTTGTAGACGCCATCTGTACGGGCTGCGAGGGTAGAGTGAAAGGGTCGGATCAAGGCACGTTTCGCAGGAGCCACCCTTTGAGCAGCTTGTTGAGCAAGCCGTGCTCGTGAGAGCCAGAGCAGCATATGTCGAGCCATGGACGAGAGGGAGCTGGCGATGTGACAAGTTGCTGCTCGAATACTTATAACCGATGAGCTATTTTCGCGGCGACATAGTGCCAATTGCTTTATGAGGCTTAAGAAGGTGGGCGGTCACCCACTCCAGCATTGAATGTTCATGTTATTCTCGTCACAGCAGCGTTGAGACTGAGAATGACATGGCCGATCCTAAACGTCCCGAGCCTGGGTCCCAATGCGCAGTCGGAGAAAACAAAGACCGATGCCGACAAGATACAACTGCCTCAACCTTCCCAACTTCATCTTCTCTCTTCAATATCAGGGAGAATTCTCAAGCGCATCGACTGGTCCTCCAGGATGTATGAGGCGGTCTTTGAGCTGGGAAGCAGTCTCTTCGAGCACCGAAAATCCCATGTCCATCTGGTAACTACGACAACGACGCAGGTAACTGGCGAGGACGCTGCTCAAATCACTCCTTTGATTTCTGAGAAACAAGTTCATCCCGCTCATCTCTGGCTTCCTAGAGCAAGATGTTTTTTCCTAACCCTTCAATGTTCCTTTGCTGATGATCTGGATCTTGGCTTGATTATCCCGCAAGATGTTACCGCAAGCATTGCTGATCTCATTGAAAGCGCTGAGGTAAGCCTCATCTCAAACGATCATCGATCTCGCTGCGGTGTGCTCATTATCAACCAAGTTGTGGACGCAGCTCGGATACGAGGCGTCTCTAACGCGGTCCACGTACGGCGGTACCACTGACCCTGAGGCTCATCTGGAATTGGACTTCCAACTTTGTGTATGGCACGATCAACCTGCTGCACCAACGCTAATCGGCTTCCCAGAGTCGGAGTGATATCGATTGCCATTCGACCTTTCCTAGTGGAATTTTCCCGACAGAGTTGAAGTCGGTACAATTACATCTACGTTTTACAGGCGAGAATCCGCTGAGTGGACAGAAACAGACAATGTCCGCTCCGGAAGAAAGGAACGGTCTAGATATCCTCCATCACGATCGCTTTTTGAGTAGCCAGCATACCGCCTGGAAAATACCCAGCACCCCTGATCTAGCTAATGTACAGCTACGTCCTACGTCAACCATGCATTGCACAGACAAGATCTCCCCCTCAAATGAAAAGGCCTCACTAAGCAAGGCGGGTGAGCAGCGACCATCATTGGACGCAGACATTCTCTTTGCACTACTTGACGCGGGCGTACGTGGCAGCATTTGCTCCAAACCCATTTGCTTATCTAGAGGCATCAAGTGCCTAACTGATCACAACGCCTTCCGGCTGTGTGATCTCGCCCCAAACATCTTCACACCAAATTATTGCCCAAGGTTTGAAGAGCAGGCCAGATTCATTCCGACAATTTCCATATGCTTGGAGACTTTCCTCGGCGTTCTGGATCCTGTAGCTCCACAGCAGTTCGAAGGATCCGTTGGCACGGAGTCTGGAAGTTGTGAACAGGGGGAAAATGCTGCAGGAACCCTGCAGAAGGATCTCTGGTTCGCTATCATGAATGGCCTGCGATGTTACGAGTCGGCTCGCAGGCTCCGACCTCTGCGATTTCCCAACAACAAACCACCTGATCCCATCCTAGACTTGTTCCATGATGTGAACACAGGGGTTGACGATAGGAAGGCAAGCGAACTCGATTCTGACCCAGACTCGGATGATCAAGCCATCAACCAAAACGTTGATTCCGATATCTGGGTCAAATTGGATGGTCAGGCTAATATATGTGGGAGCTACGCCGACCCGGTGACAACACAAGGTATCAATGGCGGTCACAGTGGTGCAACTCTTCCGTTGCATGATGTGGAACTCACAGGCGGTGGGCATAGGCTAGACGAACCCTACGACTGCCCGATTGAAACCACTACGGGCGCCCGTTGGCCTCTTAACGAAAACAGAAAGTACTCGAATAGCGGGTCATGGAGAAGTGATGAATCAATGCTTCTGGGCTGCGAGGAACCTATGAGTGAAAGACGCATAATCAGGCATCCGGGTGCCATTGGTGGGCCGAGCTGGCTTACTCAGAATGTCATCCGCATGCATCCGCTGAGGCAGCAACGCCATGGGATTCAGCAAGTGGACCAACAAAACAGCCCATGGGAAAGGGACAGCTTATATGAAAGGACCGGCCTCGGCTGGTGGTCAGACACAAGTGATGCAAGCGAGTTGCTCCTCGAAGACTGTCGTGACCACTATACAAAGGCTCAACTTGCCGACTTCTGCTCGTCTCCTCTTTCCTCCAGTGAGGATTGCCGGGTGCGAGACTGCCTGGACTTACCATACGACTCCAGCCAGGGAGATCTTTTCGCTGGCAGGACGATACCCATGTCAACAAGCCAATCCGAGGCACAATCGAACGGCTCTTTGGCGGAGGTACTTGGAAACGACCATTTGTTGTGGCATATGTGGAAAAGACGTGCAAGCGTGGCGCCTCGGGGGGAGGAAGACATCACCGAAATGAAGACATTGTATGCCACAGATCCAGACATGAAGCTGTTCAGTTCAAGATGGGACCTCGATCCAAGCGACATCAGCTCTGGGAGCAACGAAGACCCCATGCTGCAAGACCCGATGGAAAGCCGACCATCCCCACGAGACAAAGCCCATTCACCGATGACACCAACTTCAGAAAGACGGTCGTACTTCACTCCAACGCGGTCTTCATCATCCTCGACCTATGTTGGACGATCAAGCGCCGACCCCAAGCGACGGTCAAGTCTCATCAAACGATTCACTTGGGGAGGGCGGCACAATACCGCGGAAGCAACTTCACTGGATGTTGGCAAGCTCGAACAAAGGACAATGGAAGTCAAGAGAAGGAAGACGATGGACGATTATGACATGATGGACAGAGAGGCTAGCAACGATGACTCCAGCGATATGCTATTTTGAAGGCGGAATTTCAGCGTTTCATGCACTTTTTAGGCGCTTAGGACAAGGGAAAAGCCAACACCAACTCACACAAAAGAGACTTGGAAGGGTTTTTCGGCGTTTTTCATATTGGGGAGTGGGATCTGAAGGGCAGATTTTCGCATCATGAATGCAGGGGGGACAAAAATGCACCTCGAGAAGGCAGGCATCAAAAGGCGACGCTTCTGGGAAAGGCACTCGGTGTGCGGATGTACTAACAATAATGACCAACAGAAAATGTTCTTGAACCTGTACATAGTTTATACCATAATGTATGACAACCATTATCAGGTGTGACATGATCACATACTGCATCCCCTACTTGATTCTGTGTGGATGAACCTCCAAGGGCTTTGCAACCCTAGGGCACCTAGCGAGCGAGCCACCAACCTGTGCCCGAGTCTTTTGCAGTAACAGGGCGTCACTGCGCCTATCAACGGACCATTGGGAGCTGCCGGGGGGCCCCACCCCTAAATTCCCATGCTCCCAAGATTGGCAAAGGACCCCCCGGCTGGCTGGAGGGCCCGTTGGTGCCCGCTAAAATTTTCCACACGACATCATCGGCCGTCATAGCCTCCTCGCGCCCAGCAGCTTTCCATCCCATCCCAACGACAGCCTTTGGGAATGAACCACACCACGGTCTGCATATGCTACGCTACGTTACCTGGCTTACCTCCTCACCTCAAAGCCTCCTAACTGGCTCTGCCCCTCGCTGAGACTTGGAAGCTTTTGGCGCGCAGTTGCTCCGTGCCCCTCACCTACCTGACTTCGTTCCTGGCATTTATGCCACCAGCAAAGCTGGCTCCTCCTCAACCTGCTCAGGACGAAACCGCGCAGCCGACCTTATGGCAGAGGAGTCTTAGTTGGATTCCTGGCACTCAACAATTCAGAACGCGAGCCAAGCTCCTGTCCAATTCACGCGTCCCTTTGCTTTATTCTGTCTCCGGCCTGGTCCTCCTCGTCGTTCTGCTCGTTCAGTTCCTCACGTCCAGAGACGTCCAGCCGCGCCTTTGGGCACCTACTTCCTCTCCCGCGTCCGCACCTGATAGTCCTCCACAGCCAACGCCGAACCCGTTGAGCCCGTTTGGTGACAGTGTCTACCGCCAAGAGGCATACTTTGATTTACTGGAACCGGGCACTCAGTGCAGACCCAAGTCTCCGTTCACTTCAGATCTGCCAGTTACACACGCGTTGACCAACATGGCGCTGGAGGCAGAGGCCAAGCGCATGGTTGCACAATTTGAGTACACGGCCGAAGATGTGAACAAGGGTGTAAAAGAGTTCATTCGGGAGATGGAAGAAGGCCTGGAAAAGCAGGGGACCTCCATCAGTCAGATCCCAACCTACGTCACATCCGTCCCCAATGGCACTGAAAAGGTAGGGAGAGAAACCACGCTGCGATTCGGCTAACAGCAGTAGGGCGTCTATCTGGCCGTGGACCTAGGCGGTACCAACTTCCGCGTATGCTCGATAACGCTGCATGGCAATCAGTCCTTCTCGCTGCAGCAATCCAAAGTCGCTGTCCCGCGGGCATTGATGGAAGCAAAGACCGCACACGAGCTCTTCTCCTTCCTCGCCAAACAAATCGAGGCTTTCCTCAAAGCACATCACGCCGACCATTTTGAGACATACCAGAACAAATCTGGCGAGGTCGAATTTTTCGATCTGGGTTTCACTTTCAGCTTCCCTGTCAATCAGGTGGGCATCAACAAGGGGAAATTAATGCGATGGACCAAGGGCTTCAACATCGATGAAGCTATAGGGCAAGACGTCTGTGGTCTGCTGCAGAAGGAGATTGACGCATTGAATCTCCCCGTGAGAGTAGCAGCTCTCGTGAACGACACCGTCGGCACTCTCATGGCGAGATCATACACTTCTCCGGGCAAGACCAGTACGTTGATCGGCGCCATCTTCGGCACAGGCACGAATGGCGCCTATGTCGAAAAGCTGAGTAGAGTGAAGAAGATGAAGGCCATAGACGAGGCAGAGGGTGGTGTTGCTAATTACGACTCGTCTACCGGGCTGATGGTCATCAACACAGAATGGGGTAGTTTCGACAACGCCCTGTCAGTCCTGCCTAACACTCAGTACGATGTGGACTTGGACCGAGAATCTGTGAATCCAGGCATCCAAATGTTTGAGAAACGCGTGTCGGGGATGTTCTTGGGCGAAATTCTGCGGCGTGCGCTACTCAGTCTCTACCAGCACCCCGACGCGGGTGTCGCCTTGTTCAAAGACGTAACGTCACACGACAACGATATTAGGAGTACGACAACCGTGGCTGACGACAGTCCCCTATTTAAGATATGGGGTATTGATACCTCGTTTCTCTCCATTGTCGAGGAAGATCATTCGGACCACTTGCGTATCACCAAGCAGACACTGGAAAAAGAGTTGAAGATAGAAGCCGCCTCAACCGAGGACTGTGTTGCGGTCAAGATGCTTGTGCACGCGATTGGGAAACGCGCGGCGAGACTGAGCGCCGTCGCCCTTGCTGGCGTCATCATCTCCACGAACAAACTACATGAAGACGAGATAGTCGACGTGGGCGTGGATGGGAGCTTGGTGGAGTATTATCCGGGTTTCGAGGAGTACATCCGCGAGGCATTCAGGGAGATTGAAGGCATCGGCGAAGATGAGAAGCGGATAAGAATCGGGCTTGCAAAGGACGGCAGCGGTTTGGGAGCAGCGTTGATTGCACTCGTGGCTCATAACGCAGACCAATCCTTGTAGAAGCATCCAGCAGGCAGACCGAGAGGAGGGCACCTGTATAATTGGGCTTTGCATCGTCCTGGTAGCATTGACAAAAAAGAACCTTTAGGTAACGACGGTGCTTTGAATCGGATTTGACTTTGATTATTGTAATCTGTGCTGGCAGTCTCGGAGTGAGGCCATCTGTTCGGTGGCTAAAAGCTGCGAAGCCTCGAAATATGGATAGCCTCTACTCCGTAAGTTTTTAATTGTGACATCGTGACTCAACCGCCGCCCTTATTCACCAGCAATTCTGTACCAAAGACCACCACCACTTTTTCAAAGATTTTAGACCAATGTTTCCCGCATGAGTTAGATAGCGAGTCTAACTCAAGAGCGCCGCACATTACCCCTTGCTGATATTGAAACAGCATGAGTGGCGACTTGCAGTCATGGGCGCTACCACGCCTGGGCCGTTTGTTGCCTCTGGACGACGACTCCCTCCGGGAAGTGCTCACCTACTCGGCGACGCTGTCCAAGGACTCGGCCGCCGAGCACCTGAAAAACCTGCTGGGTGACTCGCCGCAGGCGCTGGAGTTTATCTCATCGTTCAACGCACGACGGGGCACCATCGCACCGTCCTCAGGTGGCGGCGCGGCAGAGGCACTGGGCGTGCCCAAACCACAGAAGAAAGGACTCAAAAAAGTCAAGCCTCCGCTCCATGCTGCAGGCCCCGTACGTCGTCCCGAAGGATATGGAGACGTCGCAGGCGGTTATACAAAGCACTACGACAGCGACCCAGATTTCGGCGTGGCTCACAGTCGACCAGTGTCGAGAGACGGAAATGCTCCCCCTCCCAAGCCCTCGATGCCGGATGCTCTTCAAGTGCCCCGAACTACGGCGGGTGGGCGGAGTCCCGGTTCCTCTGCTGCCTCGCGAGACACCTCGCCAGGGAGAAACCCTCAGAAGCTTCCTCCATCGGCATCAGGGAATTTGATATCGGACTTTGGGTTTGCCAATGTTCGGTCGAAACAATCCAAGAAGCCCGCACACGCCAGTCACTCCCAACCCCAGTCTGGCATTTCTACTCCGCAGAGGGGTGGTAATACGACAACCACCTCGAGCGTTGCGGACCTCACTGCCGCAATTGCGGCACTGGAGCTGTCTACAAATCCAACCTTGTCAACGCAGAGGAGAAAATGTCCTTGTAATGCCTCGATACACCCACTTTTCACGACAGCACCCAACTGTCTGAATTGTGGCAAGATCATCTGCGCCCTCGAGGGACTTCAGCCTTGCTCGTTCTGTGACTCGCCGATATTAACAAAAGAGCAGGTTAATGCTATGATCAAGGCACTGAAAGAAGAACGAGGCATTGAGAAGATGGCTGTCCACAATGCCGGACAGTCCCTGTCAGGCCGAGGCACGCCCATTTTTGGCGCATCAACTCCGGAGAGTGGCTCAGGCGACGAAGCCTCCTCTGCCGCAGCACGCGCACGAGCGCACAGAGATAAATTACTGGCATTCCAGCGAGAGAATGCCCAACGGACACGTGTCCATGACGAGGCTGCTGATTACGATGCGACTCTCGCCCCGGGGACCACACAATGGATGACCCCCGTGCAGCGAGCTGCCGCGCTGAAAAAGCAGCAGAAGTACCTTCGAGAACTCGAGGAAGCAAACCGACCAGAGTGGGAGAAGCAAAGGACAGTCATGAGCATGAGTATCAAGAACGGGAAACTGGTGAAGACGTTTGAGCGGGAAAAAGCGCCTGCTCTTGCACACGAGAAAGAGAAAGAGAACCGTGCTGGGGCCGAGATGGAGGATGGCGGAGCTGAAGACCAACACCTGTCTTTGGGCGAGACTGGCCGGAAAGGAGCTTTCAGCAACAACCCTCTCCTTGCAAGTGGAAAACTCATCCGGCCAGTCTGGAAGGCCCCAGATGGCAGCACCACGGACAAAGGGAAGGGACGTGAGACAGCAAGGAAGAGTGTCTGGAGGAGAGTACAGGACGACAATGAGGACAACGAGCAATGGATCTTGGACGGAGGACTGCACGGCTACGGGACTGAGACTAGGTCGATGGAGGATCATCAAGAGGGCGGCGGCTGAGCCCGAGTGCAGTTACATACATAGCTGTACGAGGTAATACTCCGTAGACGCAAAGTTACCCCTAGTGCACACTCCCGGCATGCAAGAATAATTTTCCGAAGATGCTCCGGGCACGTGCCAGGTTACTAGCGCTAGCATGCAAGGCACAAAGAAACTTTTGGTGGTTTATGTCACTAACGGTCAAGGAGGCCAAAGCCAAACCAGAGGCGCGCGCCATTTGCATGCAACCCCCATCCACTGTGATCAACCTACGGCCATTGAAACAAGTTTCCTGCAGCATCCCCAAGGTCGCTGTCCGCGTCCTCTATACACCAAGATCGAGTATATCAACCTCTTGCCTCATTTCCAGTCGTCGGGCTGCGCCAGAGATCGACAGTGCCTCCAACTGACACGCGAACCCCTCCCTCGTTACCGTCCCCCGTTTTGTCCTACAAGTCACCCTCGCCCATCCCTGGGATAATGCAGATCATCCAAAGAACCCTCCGATAGCTTCGTACCCAAGCGACCTTTGTTCTATATCTACGTCCGTCTGAGCTTCTGAGAAAAGGGGACTCTTCCCGTCGCTTTTGCGATCAGGCCACTGCGACAGTTGGGCGAGAGTGAAACAACGTCTCGCCCTGTATCCTGAAGACCACCTATCGAACTATGCTGCGGATGGGTAGGTCATTCCGCAGCATAGACCATCGCCTCAATGCTGGCCATTGACACCATTCCCGTGCTGGGGTTCAGAGACATCAATCTTTCTAATATCATGGATCCGGAACTGCCCCCAGCCACTAATACCCGGACTATGCTCCGCCCCGAGGATGCCTCTCGATTGGGACGCCCTTTTCGCCTTGACGACTCCGACAGAACCCGAGCTGCGAGTGAGAATACCAGGATGAATGTTGAAAGAGAAGGAGGGAGTGCCCTGGGTGCGGAGGATTCTTCTCCACAGCGGGAGGAAAGAACGGTGGCACAAAATAATATCGGCCGCGAGCCAACCCTACTGTCTCTTGAAGATACGACTGAACTGTTCCGGAGAAAGGTTGCGGATGCAAGACAAGACACCGAACATGCGCTGGCGGGGAGTGAAGCCGTCAGCGACGCCGTCAAGCCGAAGCTCACATTGGACTTGGGGCACTCGAACATCGCAAGATTACCAGAAAGTGTCGTGGACCTGATCAAGGCCGAGGTCGAAAGGTTATCTCTATCCCACAACCAGATCTGGCACATCCCGCTTCGGTTTTCGGAATGCTCACATTTACGATATCTCAATATTCGGTCCAATGTGTTCCGGGAGATCCCACGGGGGGTGTACAAGCTGGGCCAACTGGAAATCTTGGATATCAGTCGAAACAAGGTCCGGAAGATCTCGAGTGACATCAAAAACTTGAAGTCTCTCCGTGTCTTCTCGGTGGTGCACAATCGAGTGGAAGATTTGCCAGTGGAGCTGTGTGAGATGACCAAACTGCAGATATTGAAGATCGCGGAGAATCCATTGCGGTTCAAGTTGAAGAAAATCGTGGAGGCCAAGGAATCCGAAGTCTCCTTTTCAGAAATGACAGATCACGAAAGAGAGACAGCAATCACCCTGGAGATCAAGCGATATCTGAGAGAGATACATCCCGTCATCACTCCCATTGATGTCGAAGCGTCCCTTCAAGTCGACGAGAGCCCGATGGAGATGACACCAAAACCACTGAAGCGATCGCTGAGCAGCAGGTTTCCCGTCATCCCCAGCACCAATAGTACTGACTCCGGGTCCGAGGCCAATAAATCATCACCGATCCAAAATCTCGCAAATCCACCCGCGGTGCCGACTCGCTCACACTATCGAATGGCCTCTAATACACAACCGATTGCGCTTCGACGGCCAGGTATTGCCCCCTTGATTAGCCAGAATAATGAGAGGAACCGGAGCAACAGCGAAAGTGTCCTCCAAGCGTCCGCCGCGGCTCGGCAAAAAAGGATGGGCATGCTGCGGAAAGAAAAGCCTGACTTGGACAGCATTGACGAGCTCAAAGTGAACCGGAACAGCCATCTCCGAGGATTTAGCCACGGCTCGGTTCTGAAACGTAATGGTGCGCTGTCGTCCCCTGGCGGGAATAGCTCTTCGAGTCCCAGCAGTCCACGCGACCCCAGACGGCACAGACTCGCGTTTGTGAAACGATTGTCGAGCCTGCCGGAACACAAGGTCGAGACCGAATGGGACAACCCCGTCATCGAAGGGGCCAAAGGGATTTTATATGCCCTGTATCAGATCCATCCTCAAATATCCGGTCTGATCGCGGCGATCAGAGGAAAGGACGTGCGGAGGAGCACACTAGAGTTTACCCTTTTCAATGCCTCCACCCATGTCGACCGGCTCAATTTAGCACTGGAAGAAGCTGATGCTGTCGATCCCGGAGACACGGACGCGGTTGAGAAAGTCGAGGATAACGTTCGCACGGACTGTGCCACCTGCATTATGGCCTATACACACGTAACTTCACAGCTGCAGGATAGCGTCAAGAAAATTGTCGCGGGGTCTGATGCCCGTTATGTGCGGACACTGATGCTGCTCCTCTACGGAAGTATGATGGAAGTCAGAAATGCAATTCAAAGCTTTGGGGCAGATGTGAGAGTCACACAGGGTCTGGGTCATAGAAGACAGATGTCCAGTGGAAACGCGCATCCTATTCAGACTATCCCTGAGGAGTTCAGCACTCCTTTGCAGCCGGTCCGAGCAATCACACCCACCCGAGACAGAAATCTTGCTTCCAGACAAGCTGGGAGATTGCGCAGTGACACGGCCATTCAGCACCCAGTTGCCGATAACATCCCAGCATATCAATCGAATCCTGTACCACCTGCAGGTTCGGCTGCCCTCCCGACTCCGATTCACTTGACCGGTACCACTTTGAATGGTGGCACTCTCACTGGCACATCCTCTACCTTTTCAAATAGTGGCACTCTCACCTCTGTTTCCAGTTCTGGGTTCAGATCACGGTCCGGGTCACGCACGGCGATGACGATGAATGGCTTCACCTCGTCGTCGGTAGCGAGTACGCCGCGGTCAGGCGAAGCCTTCAGCCTCCCGCCCTCGAATTCTTTCGCCGCTCGAGTCAACCCCATCACGGGTCTCACTGATGCCCAAGAGGAAGTCGTGTTCGAGCAGATTTTCATCGCCCTAACAAATGCGCACGATGCTGCTTTACGCACCATCCCGTTCGTCAAGGTACAATTTCTGCGATGTCTAGAGGCGGCAGAAGAGAACCGACAGCCGAAGGCGATGCACGATCTCTGGTCGACCCTGGTCTATCGCTGCAAGTTATGCATCGAGATCAGCGAAGCCCTCCGAATTCGACTCACCAACATGCGGCTGCAAGACCCGAGCATTCATATCGTCGTCGCAGGTAGCGGGCGAAATGACCCTTCACTGTGGCTCCTTTGCAAGAACTTTTTGATGAGTTTCATTGAGCTTCTGACGGAGATGCGGATCGCCAAAACCCAAAGGTTGCTGTCCCAGGAGATCATCACGATGTTGAGGCCCGTCCAGAAAGCGAGCCGTGAAGCAGGGAGGTTGATCGAGACGAGTCCCTGGCGGTACTTGACCGATAGTGCTGCAGCCGCGATGCCACCGCCGAGCGTCTTCGGTGCCAACTCAAGCCAAGCGCCCAGCGCTGTGGTCAACGGCAACGGATATCCCAGTAGCATTCACGCAACACTCACTACCGGCAGCAATCCCTCACCGTATCCACCGAGCGCGGGCTCCTCTCAAATCTCGAATTATCCATTGCAAAGTCCATTCCCTCCTCCCCTCGTTCCCGTCCCGCCGATCCCTGGTCTCGCTTCGGCGAACGCGCCAAATACAGCAACAAGACAAATGGTCAACGGCAGCATCCTTTCGATATCCTCCCTGTCCCTCGGCTCTGTGGGATCTGCGAATGCTGCCGCCACAAATGGCATCAGCCCGGTCTCGGTCCCGCTCCCGGCGACACCGCTCTCGGCCGCCCTCGGACCTGCAGCCCAGGCAACGGTGCCGACGAACGTTCCGAGTGCAAATGCAAGCTCGAATCCTCTTGCAACACCAACAACTTCGTCGGCACTACCGACGCCTGTGGCGGCCATCCCGAGCACGCCGGCGAGCGCGTACGGAGATTCTTTTTTCCGCGGCGATGTATTTCAGAGGGCGGACAGCCTCTTGAGTATGCCGCAGATCGGGGGCGTGAACTTTCTGAACAGGCGGTGAAAGGTCAACTAAGCAATGAGGCACATGGGCTCCGTCACGTCGCAGGCCGCGATCGCCGATGAAATAATGGGAAATGAAGATGAAAGGGCCGTCAGTTTGAAAGGATTCATTGATGCGGAGGATGGAGAAAAGTTATGAATAAGCTCTCTTGTGCCACTGTCGAGCTGCATGTGAACAGGGCGCGCGCCGACATGCCTACCTGTAACCCCTGTCGGCCAGAATCGGGAATGGCCGTGAGTACGCTTTGCTCGCTTGCTTGCTTAAGGTGGGACACCTGCGCGAGAACGCCACAGGGTAACATCACATGGGTATAACCTGTATCTCTAACTGAATGAACTGTATATACTCTTTGCTACCACTACGGGGCCCCCTCTGCATCGCTGGCCGAATGAACGGGTGGGTTGATGGATTGACGGATTGATGGATGGATATGTAACCAAAAGAAACTCTGAAAGATTACCTCACCTCCCTTGTCCGTCTTCTCATTTTTGGACAATGCGTGTGCGGTGGATGATGAGATGGGGCAGAAGGAGAAGCCAGGGAGGGAGGGTCCCGGCCGGGGTGCGGGCGTGGCCAGGGGTCTTCAAGGCAAGGCAATGCCCTGGTGGTGGAACCATCCATAGGCAAACCAGACAGACAGAAAAGGAAGGCAAAAAGCGAGAAGGCATAGGACCAGGTTACCGAGGGGGTAATAGAGCGCGAAAGAGAGATTGGCAGATGGGAAATATACACGAGGTATGCCTATTGGTTCTAACCTGGACGGACCTACAGTATGCTACAGCATGTGGTCCTCTTTCCATGACCCTCCCTCCCTCACTCCCTCCCCTTCCCCACATTCTATTCTGGTCTTTTCCTTGCTTGCTGGACGATAAGCTGAACACGGGAGTATGTAATTGGATTGGATGGATGGATGGCTTTCATTGACCACCAACGCCACCTACCAGCTACCAACGCCACCGCCACCGACACTGGCTGGTTGCCTGGTCGGTCGGGAGGCAGGTCGGTGCAGTAGGTAGGTTGGTATGTAGGCATGTAGGGCTGGCTGGTGGTAGCCCAGGAAGGCAGACAGGCAGACAGGCAGGTGCTGTACCCGAGATAGGTAACTAAAGTTACTGAAGTGAGGCGAAGGGGTTTTGTCGGCCTCGGGTCCAACGAGCCCTCTCTCTCTCTCTCTCTGTCTCCCTCTCTCGCACGCACCGCGCCCTCTCCGCTCGCGCGAAAGCATACGGAAGAAGACGGGGGACGGGATGTGGTGTCAATGCGATTAGATTATAGCAGCATAGCGCGGGTATGGGTATGCATATAGTACCAATCGGGGAGGGATGTGGGATACTACATACAGGACGGGGAGCCGTGTAGCTCACGAGGAGTTGATTATTTTTTTCCCAATCGCCACTGCTACTGTTACAATCACTATCATTACAGGATTATTGATTAACTGACTGACTGACTGACTGCAGCAATCGTAAACCATCCATTATTCCCCTGTCCATGCATTCATCACCTTCAAGCCAAGTGACCGGAAGAAGGTGGCGACCGCAATCCATCCATCCCTCCCTCATTCTCTCTATTTCTTAGTAAGCTCTCTTTTTCTTTGGACTGGACAGGCCTGGAGAAGAAGAAGAAGTCCCCCCCACCACCCGAAAAGAGGTCCTCCCACTCAATACTTGTGGGCCAGCTAGCTGTTTGGTTTGCGATCTCGCATTCGGCGTCTGCTGGCATCCTCGGAAAAGGAGGAGGAGGCGAATGGCTCCGGGTTTGTTCGCAGACTTCCCAAGGCCAGCTCGTGCGAACGAACTCTTTGGCTGTTCGTGCATGGCCATATAACGAGAGAGACACGGGAGGCCATTTGTCGTCCTTCGCCCGACGGAGTCTCTCGCGCATTTGCTTGCTGTTCTGTGACGAGCGTGGTGCTAGTGGCAGTGGTGTACCACCTCCCCTCCAACGAACTCGGATCTTGCTTTTCCCTTAACGACTGCAGTCCAACCCCAAGTCTCTTCGTCCAGCATGGCCAGCCCATTAGCTCATGTCGCCCAAGATAATGTATATATGGTGTAACACATAACTGTCTCGAGGAGACCCACCCTCTTCCTGGCCGCGATGCAATTTGGCCAACCGGCGGCGTAAGTGTCGTACTGTAAAAATGGTGGCGCTGCCTGCTCAGCGGCTGGCTGACGTGGGACTTCTTCTTCTTCTTCTTCTTCTAGATCAGGTCGTAGGTAGCAATCGATGTTCCGGGGGCCGCCGCTGATGGAGAGTGAGTGAGTGACGGATTGACTGACTGATTGGTGGCAGACATGGCCTTTCCTTCTGTCTAGGCAGGACCGTAGCTTGCTTCCGACACCGCTGTCCGTCGTCACCTGCCAATGTCTTGTAGAATGGCTGGTAGTAGAACAAACGCCCGCCCCCAAACATCGCCCACCCACTCAGATATAGACAACAGTACAACAGGGTGCGTCAGGGGTCCAGTTTTCCAGCCCAGCAATGCGTGTGCCGATATGGATATTTTGTATTTCCAGCTGAAATGATACTCGATATTGGCGAGTGAAGAACCCCTCTTGCCTGACTGCCCGCATGCCCATCTCTTGCGGGCGCTGCTGCTGAGCTGCCTGCGACGAGTAACCATCCAGCGAGCCCATGATGTGTTCCCTGACAGCACGAACTTATGCATGTATGCCAGCCAGCCTCCTGCCTGCCTGACTGTCTGCATCAGGGCACTCCCAACTTGGTGGACAACATCTCATTCATTCCTAGATCTAGAGCATGCTCGGCTTCTTGCTCGCACAGCAGAAACTCGTTCACCACGAGCGGGTCGTTGTTGCAAATGGACAGGAAGGAGTCGGCGCTCGCCTGTGGCGTGGGGGAGGTGGTGGGAGTCTGTCGGGCGGAGAGCATTTGGATCAAGGACTGGTGTTCCCGCTCGACCCGCTTGTACTTTTCGTCCAGGTGGTTGTAGTTGGCTTGAAGGGTGAAAAATCGCTTCTCGAGCTGGGCGACGTAACGTTTCTGTCGTTCCCGGTGCGCTCGTTGTGCAGCACGATTTTGGGCACGTCGACGCTGTGAGAAGGAATCAGCGGTCATCCTGACTTGACGTGACAAACGCTTGATGTGATCTCAGGTTGACGTACCTCCCCCGGAATGTCAATGACCACTTCAGTTATGGGCGAATTTCCATCTGACGCGTTCTTGGTCCGCTTCTCATTTGCCGGTGGTGACGATCCCTCGGCTTCGAGCAGCCCACAGAATGACACGGAACTTGCGCTGTGGCTTCTCGAGGTGTCGGATTCAGTCTTTAAGAAAGAGATGTCTTAGCAGAGATGTCCCTGGTTGGAAGAGGGCTAGGGGCACACAATACCACGTCAAAGAGAAGCCTATCCATGACTTCGGTGTCAAACAAGTCGTAGTCCTCGTCCAATGATGCCCTCACTGGCAGACGCTTAGCGTGACCAGAGTCAGAACCCCGTTGCCTCGGCAGGTGGTCGGCCGTGGTATGGTTCCAGTCATACGGGAGGCCTGCCCATGTATCAAGAGTGACGGGTTCAAAAAGACCTTGCGATTCCATTTTCTCCCAGTTGGCTCTCTCAGAGTTGGAGGATTGTGTAGACAGAGAGGAGATAGGATCTTCGACGCTATATCCTGTGTTTTGCTGATGGTGCAATAGAGGGCCGGCGAATCAATATACTCTGATCTTGGGAAACAAGCGGCTAATTGCAGCCGAAGTGGGCGAGTGCCAATCCAATGGTAAATCAATGCCACTGGCTTCGCTCTCAAAACTCTTTTGACACATGGTCCCTCCAGTTCCTGTAGTGGGGCAAGTTATCGTATACCCGGGTTGGGGAGGGGACGGGGGGACGTTGAGTGGTAGTGCTGACAGATGAATGTTGTAAGGATCTCCCCCAGGCAAGAAGAGCCTGCAAATGCCATCGATTCCGAGCGAGCTCCGGTACGATGACGACACTGGAGGGCCTTGATAGAGTCCATATCGGTCCAGGCAGGTATGATCTCAGAGTCGCGAGTCAGTAAAAAGCGGCAATCAACCCAGTAAGAGGCACGCTGTTTGAATCCAGGGCTGGTGGGTATTGAGGAATGGGCCTCCCGAAATCCACATATCGGCTGCTTGGGTTTTCCGACTAACTGCACCGCGTAGCTCCTTAGTAATACGAGTAGTCATCCCTGCAGGGCAAGGCACCAGTGGTTAACAATCCTCGCTTGCGGCATTGGGTGCTGCAGACCTACCCAAAAGGAACGAGGCTGCAGACCCGATTCGAGGAGTTGAATAAAGCTCGGATCCACGGGACACGCCTTACCTCAACCGGAAGGTGAGCCTTTCCTATTGCGATATGCAAAAGGCTTCCAGAACCTTTCTCGACCCGGCAGACGCGGTCGACTTCACCCCAACGGTGTGGGCTTCAGTCTCGATTTGTCCGTCGGCAAGCCATTTATGCCACAGGACACACAGCTCTTCGGCGTCAGACCCCGCATACCTCCTTCGGTCCAATCGCTGCTGTTTCCGTGTTGCCCTGGCGCAGGGCAGCAGCTACAAGGAATTCATGCACAGACAGCTATTGCCTAAAGAAGGAGGCGCCATCCATGCAATGAAACCGTTGCCTGCTTCCGTCAGCTTGGGGATTGGAGGAATGGTGGCCAACTGGGCCCAGTTGTGTACCCCCGTTGCTCAGCTTCCGACGAATAGCGAACATATGCTTGATAACAGCATTTGACCCTGTCCCTCAAGCCCGTTTAGATCTCAGAAGCACTCCAGGTTTGAAATCATATGCACAGTTTGACGAGCTCCCTTGGTGGTAGAGGGCTCATGCTCAAAATTCGCTCGACGATTCCGAAATAGGTATCCAGAACGACAATGAAGGTGCCGTTAGCCGGACGAATCAATAAAAGAAATTGAGGCGCACCAAAATATGCTTGGCCGACTCTAAACAGATCTTAGCAGCAGCCCTAACGCAAGACCAAGAAAACAAGGAGGAGGGAAGAGTCCCGTACACTCTCTGAAGGCTCATCTGAAGTCGCAAACGAGTGGATTTGAGCTAATGACATAATCGTACTCAAGTCGTACAGGGGCACAGGTTACCCAGCGCCTTATCGATTTCTGCTTGGAGTGTTGTTGCCACTATCGCCAGAAAAGCTAGACCACAAGCCGGCGTTGAGCAGGATTCGCAAGGCTTTGTTGTGTGAGGGTAGGTCCCTCAGAGTCGGTCCATTTGATGGGCCCCTCAGGCAGAGTCCAACTCGGTTCACCGTCACATCAGCAGTGTGCATGATGCAAACAGACGACTCCGGCAACAAATTGCGCGTGCTTCTGTATCAGCTTCACTTCGTGTCGGCTATCCCTTAAATACCTCATCCAACCGTCCCACAAACGGTGTCGCCCCGAGAGAGCCGCAGTCCAGAGCGACCGCCGCGGTTCCCGGCTGGGCACCATCTCAATGGCTGAAATGAGATCGGGAGATGGGAGAAGTTAGGATTGAATGAGTTCTGCGCCTGCCTCAGCTGGGTTGGTGGTAACTGCACCATATCACCGCGAATTGATTGTTTGCATGTAGAAGTTCAGAAGTCGGCTAGGGAGAGAGGCTTGCCTCGTTCCGGTATCGTTTTCGAAGCAAGGATGGCGATATGTACTTCTGTACCGAGTACTCCACGGCAAATGTCACACAAGAGGTACCCGATCGCCGAATACCTCGCCGATATTTGTGACGTAGGGTTGGGGCCGCCAAGCACGGAAGACTTTGCCGTGGACGAATGTGTAACATCGCCATATTGGGATTAGTGATGACACTATTAGTAAGCATGCCACGCGTGGACCCAAACAGGCTAGACCAGTATCGTCATTTCCCCATTCAGCCGTGTCCCTACTGTAATTACATGTGGGCTTTGGAACATCACAGCCAAAGGAGAACATCGAATCAAGCACAGCTGACTGTTGCAGGTTGATATACATGTGCCGACGCGGCCCGGCTCCTCCTGCTGTACTTTCGTTCCCAGACCGATTTTTGCTTGCATTCGATTATTACTCTCTTCACCATGCCTGCCATAACCGGTACCACCATATCATGTTTCCCTGACCCTCCTCCTCCACTGTTTACCATGCAGAGATCTAGCATAATGTGATTATTTCATTCTCGGTCCCATCGTGTTCGTGCCTGAAAGCTGTACCTTCCCAATTTATGCAATACAAAAAATCCTCTCCAATCCATTTGAACCGGAGGGACAAACAAGAAACCTCGGTCTGCCCTCCGACACCTTGTCTTCGAGAATGTGCATTTGCCGTCGGGGAAACAATGTGCAGAAAAGTAAAAGAAAAAGGGTGGCGCTGACTCCTCTTTGCAATGCTGTATGTACTCGAAAAGGGCACAAGAAGTCGAATGTTTCAACATCTCCATTCAACCGTGTGTCGTCCACCAAACTCATCTCAATGCTTTTTTGCTGAGGACGGGCCATTGCAGACCCATCATGTCATAATGTTCGCGGACGCCGATCATTAAAGGTATATGCGAAACAGAGTAACAATCAACGATATATGTGAGCGGTGTGGCCAAGTTGAGTCCTCATCATGGAGGTCGCCCAAGTGCCAAAAACCGTCAACCCAGGCTCAATTGCTCAGACTGTGCTGACACATCTTCTCAACGGATGCTCAACATCTGCTGCCGAGGTGCGAAGCTGCTGGTGCTGCTATGGGCTGACGGTTCCGAATCAATATTTGCACTTCCGCTATCCCCGCTTCCAGCGCTAGCACTGGCACTCCCAGTCAGACTTTTCACAGGAGCTTTTGGTGGTGGGAATGGTTTGCTCACCCCGGCCTGTTCCATCTGGTGTGGAGGAATGATGCCGCCCTGGCCCGGTGGATATCTCGGTACGGGCGCAGGTATTCCTCCTGGGGGGGACGGACGGCCGTTGCGCTGTCCCGGTTGTATATAAGGATCGAGGGGAGGTGATGGTCGATTAGGCCCCCGGCCATTTGAACTGAATGGGTTCCCTGGAGAGCGACTAGTCCGTCTACTAGGTGGACCAGGATAGGGTCCTCCATTCGCACCCAGCTCTTGAAGCCGGTTCGCCGTCAAGGAATTTGCACGAGATTCGTTCGCCATTTCCTTCCGGTCTACCGATCCGTACCGGTTAGATGAGAAGCCCATCATGGGGTTATCCAGGATATTTTCTCCGAGCATAGGCATGTCGGATAAGAGCTGCGTGCTGGTCCGATGTCTGTTCAGGTTAGGCCGGCCAAACGATCCAGGACGCATGTTGTTTCCATTTGCAAAGGCATCTTTCCGCAATTGGTTCTGACTGGTCGTCCGTTTGGTCCGCCTGGAAGTAACACTCATCATGTCGAAATTGTCCGGGTCGATCGGAGGAACTGGAGGGCCGCGCTGCTGCATCGGGTCGAAGTAATCGTCGTCGTCATCATCGTCGTCAAACTCTTGATGGCGGTTGTGGGAAGTTCTTCGACCGGGGCGGTTTCTGGCCGCCATCTCGTGGTGCTTCAAGTGTATCTCTCTTTCCCGTGGCATCATTCCCTGTTCGCGGAATCCTCCTGGAGCCGGACCACCGTGGGGAGGGAAATTCGTGGCCACCTCACCGTCCGGCAACTCATCATATAGCACAACGTGGCTAAACTCGTCCAGATTCGTTTCGTCGTAAGACGGTCGACGCTGCATCTGACTCGGTCCCCGGGGTGGGAAACTGTTTGGCGGACCACGGAAGCCGTTGACGGGAGGAGGACCGCGTCTCCCAGGTGGGCCCATAGGGGGTCCCATGCTGGGACCGCGCATTGGCCTGGGGCCACCATTAACCGGCGGGTTTAATTGTCGAGGAGGAGGCGGATTCGCAAGAGACATCGTACGGGGAGGCGGCTGCATGACAGATGGTGACTGCGGCATAGTAGCCGAAGGTGCAGGACGGTCTTTGTTCACGTTGTTCACGTGGCGTAGCATCGTATACAAGGTCTCAATCCGGGGCACCTTGATATTTGCTTTTTTGGCCAGTTCCACGGGAGTACCTAGGTATGTTTCGACCTCCATAGGACGGCGGGCCAAGAAATCCTGGTACATGGTACTGTTATCTTGACTTGATTCGAGCATGGACCGTATTGTGGCTTCCTTAAAGTTGGCCGGGAATTTGCAATCTTGTGCGAGGGCGATCTGTATCAACTCTTCAATAACATCAGATATCAGATCATGGACCCCAGGTAACGAGATCAGGTCCGAGAGGATCGGCTTTTCGAAAAGGACACTTGTAGGATGGAATGCAATGGGCCTATATATAAAAGGTTAGCAGGTGGGACTCTTGCACCTCAAGTTATGACAGTACTGACCCCGTCATCCTTTCGAATTGCTGTTGCTTAATATTTGCTGAAACTTTGCAGTCGACCCGAGCAGTTGTCAACGTCATGGCCAGAGCCTCTGACATGTCCCTCTGGATTGACTCGGGAATCGTGGCGTTCTTGCTTGCCGGGCCAACCCAGACTTCCGTTGATCCGGTGTGTTCAAACTCGCTGGACCCAAGCTGTGTCAAATCGGCGCCAGAAACAAGCGACAAGACAACATTCGTAGGATACCGCTCTTGGAGTTGTTGTTCGACCCCCAACGTGTTTGATGTGTTAACGAGGATGCAGGTATGTTGAGGGGTCACGACGCTCTCTATTATATCGGCCAGGTTGTAAACATCGGGAAGGGCTTTGACGCAGAGAAGCACATAGTCGAAGGCTGCCTGCTGGCTCGCTGCCTCTTCAGGGGTATGGACGACTTTGACCGAGTGAGCTTTCATCTCCGGGGAGGACTTCTGCTTCCACTTACCGTATCTTGGCTTAAATCGTTCGTTGCCGTACAGAGAAGATCTGGGAGCGTCAGTCGCGCGGTAACAGGGTCGGCGAGATCCAGTTTGCTCACTTGAACGAGACACCGTATTGAGCAACAGCCTCATAATTGTTTTTCCATACCAAGGTTACGTCGCAGGCATTTGTCGCCTGCAATCGCCAGGACAGGAAAGCAGACACTGAATTGCCGCCGACTATACACCAATGTCTTAGTTCAGTTTTCATTATTAAAGAGGGAGGGTGACAGGGAATAAAGCACGAGGAAAAAGACAAAGGCCAAAATTCCAACGAAGAGTCGAGCGGACCTGCGCGAGGCAGGGCAGGGTAGATCAGGGAAAAGTCATGCTCACCTGAAAGGATTCGCAGTCGAGGCGGAGAAGGTGCCATTGCGCGTCAGGTTACTGAGTCGGACGGGTTATGTATTAGGTAGAGCGGCCTAAGAAGGCACCTCCCGATAATGTGCGAAGCGGTGATTGCGACTGAAGGTGTCCAAAATTACGTTGTTCCACTTCCCACACCGAGTCCTTGTCTGTTCTGTATGCCTGAGCCAAACACGCCAACAGGATTTTCTTTGGTGAGTCGAGAGTGAGCCTCGAGAGAAATTAGGCGATGCGGAGGGAGCGAGCGGAAGAAGGGAAACGGAAGGCAGTTAATAGATGGTTGGCGACATTGAATTGAAACGAGAGACTTTTGTGGTAGATTTGTCGGAAGATTGATTCGAGGGTGATGAGGAGGGACGTTTCAACACGCAAGCTTCGTTTCTTGGTCGCGAGAGTGAATGAGAACAAGACAAAAGTCAATGCTGCGGCTGGACCGATGCCATGTGAAAGCAGCACGAAGGCTGTGATGCTCGAGCTGAGGTAACGAACGTCGTCGAGGAAGAAGTGAGAGGGTTGAGAATTAGGGAGAGGGAGTTGGTACAACAAAGGTGATGGCGTAGATTTGTCGCGGTGCAGTGATTGAAAGGGAGGGTTCGGACTTGCGCCTGAATTTGGGGGGAAGGTCGTGGAGTGCAGCACAGCACTGGCCAGTGACAGAATAGGGTGCGTAGGCTGCGTTAGGCGCAACAATTGTGATGCGCAATTCGAAACGAGACGAGGGATAGGCCAGGAACCGCTGGGAAAATAATTCAAACTGCCCCGGCACCGCCATTCGTTAGCGGCCTGCCCCCGGCTCCCCTCAACCACTGGTGCAAGGGCGTTCGGTCACTGTACCGCTTTACTCGCCCGACAAATTTCTGGTCCAGCGCAGCACGCAGCGACCCAACCTCGCCTGCGCCATGCCCTCACAGCGCGCGGACTCAACGAGGAATCGGACACTACTAGGCCTATGCTGGCTAAAGCGCTGGCATGATCTAACTAACAAACCAAGGCATTGTCGCTCAGCTCATGGTGCAATGGATCCCCCATTGTTTTCGTCTTGCCCGTCATCGGATTCCACATCCGCTAACATGGCCTCCGTGATTGCCCTTCCCTCTGCGGCCATGTACACAAAGCAACTCCGTCTTACAGTGCCTGCTATGGAAAGAGGGTACAGGTACGAGTACGTACATTCTCCGGGTGGCTCTCTCTGACAGCGGCCTAGCGCCTCTGCGAGTACGAGTATATCGAAGCCCACCCCCTCGAGCCACGCCCCAGGGGCCAATCAAGGACGGAACTTGCTCTCAGGGGTGCCTATATCCGGAAACCTCTCGAACAGGGCGAGATTTCACACCAGTCGCGGCTGCTGCTGTTTGTCGGCGCCGTTGTGGACTGATCAATGAGGACGCCGTCCAAATGTCCGGGTGAGGAGCCACTCCGTCCCTTGTTGATGTTCCCAAGCTGAGTGAGAGCTCACCTCGGTCACCATGGCGTTTGTCTTGTTGCCGAGATAGGGCACGAGCTTGATCTTGGATGAATCTCGACTAGCCAGCTCCCTATCACCGCCACCCGCCTTGTCGGCCCCCCAGTCTGTGGCTCTCTTCTCCACCTCCCAGCTTCCTTGGATCCAGAATCCCAAAGCCAGATCCATTTTTACCTTGCTATGGGCCTTCCGGTACTTCGCTAGCTTATGCAACTTGATATCGCCTAACGATGGACAATCAAGAATTTATGAAAAGTCCTATCTTCAAGCTAGGAAGCCTTTGCAGTTGGGGAGTGGTCGGATTTTGTCCAATGTCAAGAGGGTGGGATGCCGTTGGCGCGACTGTGAAGGATTCCCCTCTGCCCACTGGCTACGGGCCATTGCTCCGCAACTGGAGGGAAAACGCCATGCGGTGGCAGGCATGTGCTGCATTGAGGAGCGACTCACCGACTGCTTGGGCGTGATTGTGGCAAAAGGAGCATTTGATCGCTGAAATATTTGCAAAACGTGGCCATCTATCAAGGCTGTGTTGCTTGTCCACCGTGAAAGCCGAGACTCTGCAAATCGTGAGGTTCAAATGCACCTCACACAAGATACCCTGGAACGAATTGAATCTCCCAATGGACATGGGGGGATCTGGATACGCCCCTGGCTGCAAACCCGGTCTAGTCTGAGACTTGCATATGTACATAGCAACCCTAAATTTGACTCCCAGGTTATTCCGGGCTGGATCATTGTTTTCGTTTCATCTCCTGCTTGGCTATCTGCAATGACGATCGCACAGATCAAAAGCCACGGGGATAGCTTTGTACTAGGACGAGTACACCGCTTCCAGATACCAACGCCCCCCCCTCCAGCGATAGGAAGGTATCATGAAGACCCTCCCACGGCCAAGAACAGACACGGTTACGTACTGCTCTGGATGCAGCTAGCGATTCGCGGTGCCACTGAGGCATTGGCGTCATGTTCAGACCAGTGGAGACTGATGAGCATCTCCGAAAGGAGACTGGTTCGCGGCTGATATTGATGCGTGGCGGTGGAGCTTGACGCCCATGGCACAATTCACTGCGTCCTCGGAGCTTCTAAGGTCCGACACCATGTCAAACTGTGACGCTAAACAGGCATAACGAACGCCGAGTACGGTTTTCGGAGGACAAACTCACCTTTTATCCCTCTCTTATGCTATGTACCTCGTCCCGGGTATTGCAACAGTGATGCCCTGACAACGCAGGCAACCCAACAGCAAATTGTTTACTTCCACCTTCTCATCGTTTACTTTTGTCCCAGCAGCTAGTCTGTGTAGGTGGTGACGTGGTCATCAGGGGTTCTCTCTGTAATCGCGTCGACGAAGCACAGGGTGGAAGTGTACAGCAATCCCTCGTTGAAGTTGCGGCTGTTGTTCGTCCAACGTGTTCGCATTAAGGGTTATCGGCAGGCGAGATAACCCTTATCCGGGAAAGCCGGAAGGTTGCTGTGGCTGGAGGGTCCGCCAAAAAGCGAAAATGGTAATCTAAAGTGGCAGGGAACATTCCTTGAACATGCCGTCAGCGCACAAAGCAGGATCTGCTGGCTGGCGTCCAGGAAGATCAACCCCGTGGCGCAACCCCTGGACATGATCCTCCGCAAGACTAACCCAAGCATGCCTAAGCCGTCTCCCTGCAGATCATCTTGAGCTTTCTGCAGCCTAAAAATCCGGGTTGAGAGATTATTATTTCTCCATCTTGGTCAGGGTCGAAGTCCTTTCACCTCCTTTCTATTTCGCTTGACGAGTGACGTCTGGTTTACCGCACCAAGTCCACCGCAGCCACGTCCATGGAGACGCCAAAATGCTCCCGGGTCTCGAAAAACCTAGATTTTTCGACCGATGGGATAGGTATGTCGGCCGGGCCTGCGGACTGCGGCATGGTGGAGGTCCGCCTTTCTCTTGAGATGCCAGCATGGCTCGACAGCGTCTTCCTCTAACGGAGAGCTTGCGAGTGCCACGAGTTGACTTGGCGACCTACACGGATTCTGTTTCCGTTGGCTTCGTGTTCAATAGTCAACCCCGCCAAACCTATTTCACCTGGTATGTATCTACTTGAAGCAGCCAAGATTAGCCTTCTGGAAAGGGACTGGTGTTGGCTATGTGAGATATTCCATATAGTGCATGCCAGGCGTGCGGAAAGATGCTGTCCATCCGACTCCTTCTCACACATCGACAGGGTCGATGTTCAGGACGATCAGCTTCAGCACCCCTTCACACATGCTCTGATGTTGGTATAGGTGTACGGAGTGTCGAGGGCTAATAATCGGGCCCTCTGTCATCAGCTAGCTATTCATTGCACTCACATTTTCACAGTCTTCACTTTCTTACTGTTTATCGATTGCCTGCGAGAAAGCTCTCCTTGAGAGGCCCCTTTTCGGACCCCAATGATAATATGATTTATATCGATACCCGTGTTTCTCCCGAAACTTTGCATTGCAAAATGTACACCCGAAACAAGAGTGCATGCCGTTGTCGGTAAGGTTGCGTGAGGACAAAATGGAAGTGTCGAACTTTCAGAGAATGGGATATCAGCTGCCGGTGCTGACGACCTCGCTATGAGCTGAAAGCGACGGTTTATTTGGACCGACGACAGAGCTGAAGGAACTCGGGAGTTGTGCCGCAACCTTGCTGCTGGGGTTCAAGAGCCCGATACGTTGCAGATACTGAGTACAAGAGACGGGCTGAGACGGAATTCAGGCGTCCTTCGGTCAGTTCTTTGTTGACGCTTGTATGGCGAGGTTTTGTCATCGATGAGTGTGAACTTGCCAAGGTTGCTAGGTCAGATTACCGCAGTCGCAGTTTGTGGTAGTACTAACAGCAGCACCCGCAGCTTGTGCATCTATGACTCAGCCTCATAGAAGACTTGCCTAAAGGAATCCGAAGTGACAACATGGCGGTCATTCTCGGCCCATATTTATGGTGCGTGCTGGAAAAGCACGGGTTATTTCTGGAAGAAGCATCGAATGAAAGCAGTCCTGTCCCGATTGAGGTTTGTAGTATCCTGAATATTTCCAAATCTCTTCGTGTTCTTTCAAACACCATATCTTGTCTTATGCCCGTGTGCTGAGGCAAGAGAGAAGCGTTGCCTCTTACAAGTTAAGGTAACCAGCTCTAGCATTTCTAGGGGCGATACCCTGCGTCTGGCCTATCTGAACGTCAGATCTGGTAACGGTTTCGGTGTAGGAGCATGCTTGGTCAGCTTCGCAAGCCGCCAACAGCGACGCCAGTCACCAATAGGGGCTAGTGAGGCTAGAGGGGGCCTTGAACGGGGGATCGTCGCACTGGGCAATGGCGGTGACTAGTAGTTGATTCGTCGACGGCAGGGCACGGGAGCTTGGGGCAACAGCCAAAGGTACCTTCTGAGGCACAAATGAAAGAAGATGACTGAACACTGCAGGCGTGCACAATAATATACGAGTCGGGGCTGGTATTTGACGAGAGTTGCAGGTATGTGGTCAGTCGTATGTGCCTTCTTGGCTCCTCAGCAGCCCAGCTATTTGTCGTTTATCTGAAGTTGACACGATTGTAAAGAGAGGAAAGGACAAGAACTCTCTTCGCTTGCCCCCTTTTTTTCTCTCTCGTCGCCGTCTCCTGGGCATAAAAAATTCTTAGGCAAAGCGTCGTGTTCGTCCGCGCTCGGTGCAAGCCGGAGTTTAGGAGGCAGAACGCCCAATTCTGAAACGGACACGCTTCGGCCCCTGCGCTTCAGAGGCCGTGCATAGGCATACGCGCAGCGGCATTATCAGCATTGTTGGGCATCTGGCACTGCATCCTCCCCAATTATCTCGAACTCCTTCGCCTCTCTTCCCAGCGTGCCAGCCCATTTTGTGTCCAGAGGGCTTACGCAATTGCCACTCCCGTGCTGCACAGCCATTCATCTTACAAGTGATCGCTAAACCGACGGCGGAGCCCCGGGCGAACAGAACGTTACCGAGTACGGAGTACGGAGTGCAGCTTTCGGCCCATCGAGAAAAAAACCCTCCGAAGGGACCTATACTCCAAACCGCCCCCATAACGCCTTAGATCCAATCTACATCGCATCTTCGAGCTCACGCCGACTCCTTCTTTCTTGCCCTCACTTTGTCGACCATCCATCTCCCCCCAACTATACTCTCGACCTCTTTGCGCAGCACTGTCGCTGCCGCCGACTCTCCCTTTGCTCCTTCAACGATGCGCGTTTTCTCGGGCTGCTGACGTGAGCCGACTCTTCCGAGCCCTCCCTCTCTCCCCCAAGCCTCAAAACGCGGAAACTCGAACCCTCGACCCGTCTCGCCTGCACGAGTGTGTTCAACGTCCCAGAATAGTGGACAGTATCTGAAATCCCCGTTTTTGGCGAGAACCTGTTGTTCGGTGTTTCTTGATAAACCAAAAGTCACACCCCGCGCCCTTGGGGTGACGGTTCAAACCCCCCTTCGCTTGGACTGTACATCTGCGCCTGAAGTCGCGCCATGGCTCGAATACACTTTACCAGCGGTGAGACCAGTGTCTCCAAACCGGTCAAGAGAATGCGGTGGGCTACGACTCGAAAACCTGGCCAAAGTGGAGTGAAGAAAAGACTCTCTCTGCTCCAACGGGTGCCCAAGGTGACCGTATCATCCTATGAAGAAAAGCCGGACGGCCCCAAAAATGCTGGTCTGATCACCGACGAGAGTCCTCTCGGAGAACAGCAAATACAAGAGGGATCCCACGGGCGCAAGATCTACGTCAATTTACCTTTACCACCCGAAGCAAGAACAGAAGACGGCCACATCAAGGCCCAGTATTCGAGGAATAAAATCAGGACGGCCAAATATACCCCCTTAAGCTTCGTGCCAAAAAACTTGTGGTTTCAGTTCCACAATATTGCTAATATATATTTCTTCTTTATCGTTATCCTCAGTGTAAGCTTGATGATGACCTTTTTCAATGGTGGATGTTCTAACCTGGTCAGATATTCTCCATTTTCGGTGCCTCAAATCCCGGCCTTGGATCTGTTCCTCTGATCTTCATCCTGACGGTGACTGCCATCAAAGATGCGGTGGAGGATTGGCGCAGAACGGTGCTGGACACCGAACTCAACAACTCCCCCGTGTATCGACTCGTCGATTGGGACAATGTCAACTCCTCTGACGACGACATCTCTCTCTGGCGGCGGGTCAAAAAGGCCTGCACAAGATCTGTCATTTCGACCTACCGCTGGATGAAGAGCCTGAGGAAAGGGCAACCTAAGCGCTCTGAAAAAGATGCGGTCGCTGAACACCCCGGTTTGCACAGGAATCATTCGATCGCGACCAGGAACACTCTTCGGAGCTCGATCTACACGGAAGAGGGAGAATCTTTCCATTCTTCCCACAGTCAGACCGGTGATGACATTGCGATGACTCCCGTACCATCCCCCGGTTATCGATCGAGCCTCTCTCCAGATGCCAATGGCGGACCTCCGAGCAGTGCATTCTCGTACGAAACCGCGGATGAGGCTCGCGCTGCTGGAGACAATGCACCCTCGATGCTCCGGACGCAAAATTCCTCCAAAAGAAAGAGCGTTGTCCCCCCTAAGAAGGACTATGGCAGCGTGATCAACCCTCACAAGGAAGTCCCCGATACCGCCCGCTTCAAGAAAGACTACTGGAAAAATGTCAAAGTTGGGGATTTTGTCCGTATCTACAACGACGAACCTGTCCCGGCCGACATCGTCGTCTTGTCCACCTCTGACCCGGATGGTGCTTGCTACATTGAAACGAAGAACTTGGATGGCGAGACAAATTTGAAGGTCCGCCATGCCCTTCAGGCAGGGCGCAGAGTCAAGCATGCCAGAGACTGTGAATTTGCCGAGTTCTTGATCGATAGTGAAGGACCCAACCCGAACTTGTATGCCTACAATGGAGTGGCCCGTTGGCAGCAGCAGGACCCTAAGAACCCTGACGCTCCCGTGCATGACATGGCAGAACCCATTACCATCAACAACATGCTTCTACGTGGCTGCAGCTTGAAAAACACCGAATGGATTCTCGGAGTGGTTGTGTTCACTGGGGGTGAGACCAAAATCATGCTTAATTCCGGTATCACCCCCAGTAAACGTGCACGGATGGCTAGGGACCTGAACTGGAACGTCATCTACAACTTCATCATTTTGTTCTTCATGTGCTTGGTTGCCGGTATCGTACAAGGTGTCACCTGGTCCGAGAACAACAACTCTCTGAACTTTTTCGAGTTTGGCTCAATTGGCGGCAATCCCCCGACCGACGGCTTCATCACTTTCTGGGCCGCCGTGGTCCTGTTCCAAAATTTGGTGCCCATTTCTTTGTACATCACCTTGGAAATCGTCAGATCTATCCAGGCCTTTTTCATTTGGTCCGATGTCCATATGTACTACGAAAGGCTTGATTACCCCTGTACCCCCAAGAGCTGGAACATTTCGGATGATTTGGGACAGATCGAGTACATTTTCTCGGACAAGACTGGAACATTGACTCAGAATGTTATGGAATTCAAAAAGTGTACCGTCAACGGAGTCCCCTATGGCGAGGCCTACACTGAAGCCGAGGCTGGGATGCGACGAAGGCAAGGAATTGACGTTGAGGCTGAGGCTGCCCGGGTGCGTCAGGAAATTGCAGAGGCACGCGTCGAGACGTTGAAGCTGCTCCGCAAGACCTACGACAATCCTTACCTGCACGATGACGAGCTCACGTTCATTTCTCCCAACTTCGTGGCTGATCTCAATGGACAGTCAGGCGAAGCACAACAAGCGGCGGTGGAACATTTCATGCTTGCTCTGGCGCTTTGTCACACAGTAATCACAGAAACAACTCCTGGTGATCCACCAAAGATCGAATTCAAGGCCCAGTCTCCCGATGAAGCTGCCCTTGTTGCAACGGCGCGAGATATGGGATTTACGGTCTTGGGACGTACGAATGATGACCTCCACGTCAATGTCCTTGGCGAGGATCGAACCTACCGCATTCTGAACACTCTTGAGTTCAACTCGTCACGAAAACGAATGAGCGCCATTGTGCGCATGCCTGACGGCAGGATCAAACTATTCTGCAAGGGGGCCGATAGCATGATTTATTCGCGTCTCGCTCGTGGCCAGCAGCAGGAACTCCGCAAGGCAACCGCTGAAAACCTGGAAATGTTTGCACGTGAAGGGCTCAGAACGCTCTGTGTCGCAGAAAGAGATCTAGACGAAGACTTCTACCAAGAATGGAACAAGGATCATGACTTTGCCGCTCAAGCCTTGACTGACCGAGAGGACCGCCTCGAAGAGGTAGCCGACAGAATTGAGAGAGAACTTACACTCCTTGGAGGCACGGCCATTGAAGATCGTTTACAAGATGGTGTTCCCGACACGATTGCTCTGCTTGGCCAAGCTGGTATCAAGCTCTGGGTCCTCACCGGCGACAAGGTCGAGACTGCTATCAACATTGGGTTTTCATGCAACTTGCTCTCAAATGAGATGGATTTGATCCTATTCGATATCCCTGAAGCCACACTTGACGAAGCTGCGAAGTTGCTGGATCAACACCTCCAGACATTCGGATTGACCGGCTCCGATGAGGAACTGGCGGCCGCCCGACTTATTCACGAGCCTCCGCCTCCAACCCATGCGCTAGTCATTGACGGAGAATCACTCAAGCTCGTTCTGCGAGATGAGCTTCGGCAGCGTTTCTTGGTGTTGTGTAAACAGTGCAAGTCTGTGCTCTGTTGCAGAGTTAGTCCGGCACAAAAAGCCGCCGTGGTTCAGCTTGTCAAAAACGGACTGGATGTCATGGCATTATCTATCGGTGATGGTGCCAATGATGTTGCCATGATTCAGGAAGCCGACGTCGGTGTCGGTATTGCTGGCGAGGAAGGCCGACAGGCCGTTATGTCTTCCGACTATGCCATTGGTCAATTCCGTTTCCTGCAGCGGCTGGTCCTCGTTCACGGTCGTTGGTCTTACCGTCGTCTCGCCGAGAGTATTGCCAATTTCTTCTACAAGGTTTGTGTCAACTCCGCCCTGCTCATCTCGCTGAAACTGATTATGCTGGTAGAATCTGGTCTGGACTGTTGCCCTGTTCTGGTACCAGATATACAACAACTTTGACATCACTTACCTCTTTGACTACACCTATATCCTCCTCGTCAACCTGGCCTTCACCTCTGTTCCCGTCGCTCTGCTCGGTTTTCTGGATCAAGACGTGAGTGACAAGGTGTCTCTTGCAGTACCCCAGTTGTATCGACGCGGAATGGAGCGAAAGGAATGGACGCAATTAAAGTTCTGGTAAGGAAATCTACACTTTGTGGAACCATCCAATCTGACAAGAAGGCAGGTTATACATGGCTGACGGCTTATATCAATCTGTCATCTGCTACTTTATGGCTTATCTTCTTTTCCAGCCGGCAACTTTTGAGACCGAGAACGGACGAGGAATCGCCGACCGAAGCCGCATGGGTGTCTATGTCGCTTGTGTGACCATCGTCGTAATCAATTCCTACGTCCTTCTCAACACGTACAAGTGGGACTGGATCATGGTGCTGATCACCGTCATCAGCTCTCTCTTGATCTTCGCCTGGACTGGTATCTACTCTTCTTTCGAAGCATCCTTCCAATTCTACAAAGCCGGATCCGAGGTCTATGGGCAATTAACATTCTGGGCATTAACACTCCTGACATTCGTGACATGTCTACTACCTCGCTTCTGTTTGAAATATCTTCAGAAGAACTATATGCCCTACGACATCGACATTGTTCGGGAGCAAGTCCGGCAAGGCAAATTCAAGTACTTGGACGAATACGAGGCTTACGTTCCTCCGAAAGTCGTCGATCTCTCTGGAACCTCATCTGAACAACCTGAAGAAGTTCCTGTGGAGTCAAACGGGCAGCAGCAGCCTCAACACACACGCTATGGAAGCATGGCGGAATCGCAGCGACCGATCTACCCACCGTCGGAGGCACCTACCCGTCACCCTCACAGTCAAACGGGCAGTGATGGCACGGATAGAACCCAGCCTTCCTTCGATATCGGTGGATATCATGGAGACTCGTCTACACCCGAAAAGTTGCGGCGGAGGAGACCCTCCGTAGAGCGTGCCCGCTCGTCATTTGAGAGGCAACGCCAGTCCTTCGACAAGCTGAGACCAAGTTTCGAGGGCAGTCGTGATTTCACCAGTGCCGCCATGTTGTCAAGAATGGAATCTCAATATTCCCAACCTGGTCTGAGTGAGGTCAATACTCGAGTGATCCCAGAGGAGAACGTGTAGTGACCTCCTGACAAGGGGCAAAAAGCACATTTTGCGTATCATGAATTTATGCCGGCCTTCTATAGCTATGATGATCAGGGCGTTGCGGACCGCATGGATATTGGACAGGTATTATAAGGGGGGCTTCTCAAGAGACTGGCCATGGAATTGTGAAGTATTTAGCGAAGGCTTTTTGTGCAGTATATACTTTCAAAGCACCAAAATGAAGCCACGCAACAAAAGTGTGCGAGACTTTTGAGCGATTGTTTTTAGATAAAGCCACCATTTGGTCGTATGATCAATCACTGCCATGTGGATATCCAACAACTATTACTTACAATATATCATGTTCAACTGTTGTGGCTTTGAAATTTAGACCGCTACCAGAGCCATCCACAGGATATCGTAAATGTGTACACGTAGCATGGATGAAGTCGACGTTATGGCTATGTAGTCAGCCTGTGCAGCGATGTCGAGGATCCTCTAGAAAAATGCCAAGCAACGTTATACGGAGTTTTAGCAGCACCAGCAGCACTTAACGCGCTCTCTGGGCTGGCAACCCCCAGGCGCCAAGAAGTGCTAAGTATGAAGTGCGCCAAATTCATAGCGGCGCGAATTGACGCGCCGCAGCCTCGACAGACTGCGGAACCATATTCACATAGTGTCCGAGACACAAGTTCCACTAACTGACTGCCAGCCATGGAACTGAATTGTTCTTCCAGAGTTGAGTGCGGGCTTTAGCATGAAGATTTGTTTCTGCGATCACGACCTTCCCATTATGAGAGATCTAACATCTCGCTCATGCATACCGGCTCCAGTTAACATCACCAACCCTCACCTGGCACTGCTACCACAACTCCCGCCGTCATGGCAGAGTTCGTAACAGCCTTACAGTATGTTCACGAGGGAACAACTCATCTTGGCCGAAGTTGCACTCGTTAACATCTCTCGCATATAGAGAAATCCAACGCTTACCTCCTGGACTCCATCTCTTTTGCCCCCGGCAGAGCGACGATGATTTCGACAGATATGACGATGCACCAAACCCCGACCCCAATGACCCAGTCCGGTTTGCGAGAATCGAGGAGACAAAGGAACGCCGGAAAAAATTTGTATCGTCCCTCCAACTCCTCGCCTTCGACGGGCCAGAAAGTGAGCAATACCAACGTTTCATGTGGGAAATTTTGGAAGAAGCCTTGGGAAAATGTGACATTTGCATACGGGAGTACTACATTGCAAAAGTCGACTTGCTGAACGCTTTACGGGCGGACTATGACGAGAACGAAGTTGCAGTCTTCTTCGACCTGATCAATCGGAGGGATGTCCAGCGGATAATCCAGGGACTCGACGGCGCGGATCAGACTCTGCGGAATGTCCCAGAACAGAAGAGGGGCACTGCGGTCTTGAATCCCAAAGATCTTCACGCCTTGTTTGAGGCACTCGCTTCCCAGGCTTTCCTAGACAATGAAGATCAACTTCAGGCCCATTTTGATGGGCCCTTCAAGATGATACAGACGAAGAAGTCGCTGAAGACGCGGGATGTCCTTCCTGCCGCCACTCAATTTCTCTTTGACTCTAACACAGTCCGAGTGGTGTGGGCAAGTTCGATTTGGATGAGACTCAGTCGACATCCCACGGATCTTGAATGGGATTGGGCTGTGAAAGACTACCTTCAGAAGAAGCTTCAGACAGCATCCGATCCTCACGATGTTGCGAAACTGTGGGGTGCTTTGAACCTCATTGTCCAGAAGCTTGACGACCGATTGATCACGTACAAACTTTTCGATCTCCACCCGAACATATGCACAACAGCGCTGAATCACTTGGCCAAGCGGACAACCGCCGTGCCCTCTATTCTTTCGACTCTCAAACAGATCTTGGACAAAGCTCCGGATGCATTTTGGCAGGCTATGGGCTCTATCTCCTCGCAGACAATCGTTGAGCAGATCTTTGCAAGCCCTTCGTTTAACAAGGACCTCCAGGAATCTACGGCAAGGGCTGGCGAGTCCACCCCGAATGTCCTGTCTTGGATCATTTCACTGCTGGAATCACTCAAGCCTGCCAATCGGCCGCCCGCTTCACACACGCTCCTCAACCAGCTATTCGAAAGAATTGATAATGGCTCCCTCAGCCTTGCAGCAAGAAGGGCATGCTTTGAGCAAGCTGTAAACGTGTTGCTAAAGACCGTAATGAGTTTTTCCGGTGAGGAAGAGGACAGCCAACGTCCAATCGAGCGGTTGGTCTATCTTGACACATTAAACCTGGTTGGCCATCGTCTAGACGTGATACTTCGACCTAGAGACCTGGCTCTTGCCGGATCACTGCAGAAGGACACTCGGGAACATGTTGTGAACCTCGTCAAAAACTCGATCGCCTTGGAATGTAAGTGTCTGAAGCTCGATTTTGAGAATCTCACCCGCAACGAATCCCATGGGCAGGACTCGAGTGCCTACACTCCAGAGATTTGGACCTCTGTCATTGACAATCTACGGGATGATGATCACCCGCTGTCCGCTGCGGCACTGATAGGGATCATGTCTCTTCCTGGTCTGGAGCAATTCCGCATCAGAGAAGGCGACAGCAAGGCAAGAGAAAAAGAGTCATACAACGCTATCTTCGAAAAAGTAAACCAAATGGTCAGCAAGCTGCTGGAGCGCATATCCGAATTCCAACCATCCCATCTGGACTCCCTGTTCAGACAACAAGATACGAGCATGTCTCTAGTAGCCGCTCTATTCTCACCACATCAAGAGATATACCAAGCATCTATTGCTATGGTCAAAAATATCAGTGGAGAGTCAGGCCGGAAGGAAGCTCTCGCCCATTTGATCACCGCTTTTCTCGGGACTACCATATATGGTATTTGCTGGTTGTTCAGGCGAGTGGCCAACTATAAGACGTTTGCCTCGGTGCCCAGAATGCTGAAGACAGGAATGGAAATCCTTGATGTGCTTTGTAACCCAACAGATGGCCTCTTACGACGCATGGAGCTCTCTGGTCGAGACCTTAGAGCTGTACAGAGCTACTGGTCATACCAATGGATCGCTCTCAAGACCATATATGGCTACACGGAGCGCTGGTCCATAGAGATGCACAACAAGGATCTGATGAAGGAGGTCTGCCGCGACGCCATGCAATATGCTCAACAGCTCTTCCATGAATACGACCTGTATGCGAGCGTCTTGACAAAGCCAAAGCCTGATAAAGCTGACGAGGTTCGAATGATCCTGCTGGACTCGGCTAGCGCCAGTGAGAAGAATATCGGATCACCCTTGAGTACTCTCGATACCATGTGCAAATGGCTGAGACTGAGAGACGAGTATCTAGTTGACACACTAGTATCACTGATCTGCAACATGCTGTACCAGCTCAAACGGCTTCGGGCCGTGGTGACCCATAGTCAAGGTCTCGCATACGTGGAAAATGTGGCGACAGGAGGCAACGTTAGAACTATGCTCTCAGCCTCGCAAAAAGCTAGATTAGTACGGGCTCTGGAAGACTATTTCGACCGCCAGATCGGAAGACCAGCCATCAAGAAGCAAGCTACACTTAACGTGGAGAAATGGACCGACTCAGCTGCCGCCTCGAGAATATCCACCCCTGAGTTTAGGGACCATGGCGCTGATGAATTTGGAGACGACGAAATCGCCGATGAGGACCTGATCGAAATCGCGAGCAAAACCCTTGATACTCATAAAGCAACTGTCACAGCCACGGACAAGAAGAAGATCAAATCTCTCCTCTTACAGCAACCGCCTGCGAAAGCGAAGGCCGCGCCTGTATCCACAATCGACATTCAAGCAAAGAAGGCGCAGGAAGCGAGGACTTTCATCGAGAACCGGAAGCGCGAGGAGGCTGCCCGAAAACTCCGTGACAAGGAAGCTGCTCTTAAATTGAAAGGCAAAACCGGAATTGGTGCTCAGACGAGTGGTCAAGGCTCTGGACTTGCTGGGCTGGGTGTGGTAGGCAAGGATCATTCGGCCGGTCCAAACAGTCTCATGGTGTCCAGCGAGTCTGAATTCGATTCAGATTCAGATGACGAATTGTTTGGTATCCAGCCGAGAGATCCTACGGTTCGCGACCGGCTTGGACAGAGCAAGCCCGTGCGGGCTGGTCCTGTGCGGAAGATCAAGCAACAACGGACCCAGAAGGACATTCGTGCTCGACTTGCTCCCGATCTCGGCGATTTGCACCGCACGATTCTTGGCTGGGATTTTTTCGCGGAGACAGATACGCCTCCCAATTCAACCAAGGAAGACTACACCCTCGTTACAGACACGTTTCGAACTGCACAGGACTACCAGAAGACGTTTGAACCACTTCTGCTCTTAGAAGGCTGGCAGAGTTTTCGTGCGGCACGGGAGGACGGCAACTTCAAAGCCTTTGAGGTCAAAGTTGCCAACTCGCTGATCGTGGACAGCTTCTTTGAAATTAATTCGGTGATGTCTTTCGCGGAAGGTAAGGATCTCGGCATTGGAGTCTCGGACGTTGTTTTGTTGTCAAAGGCAAGCAGACCAGATCAAGACCCTAGCGAGCCACACTGTTTAGCCCGGGTCAAAGAGATATTGAGGAAGAAAGGAGAAGTCCAAGTTGTCTATCGGGTGAACGCAGCAAACAACCCCCTAAGATCATTTCTGAACGACAAAGCAGTGGTTTATGGTGTACAAATTCTGTCGCTGACACCGTTGGAGAGAGAGTATGGTGCACTGATGGCATTACAGTACTACGACCTGTGCGGCGAGATAATCAAGGCTCAGCCGTCTCCCATTCTCGACTATGCCGAAGAAGTGCTCCAGCCGATTAAGGCGACTTACGGTGTGAACTTCGCGCAAGCCAAAGCTGTAAAGTCCGCCCTTGACAATGACGCCTTCACTTTGATTCAGGGTCCTCCAGGCTCCGGCAAGACCAAAACCATCTGTGCACTCGTGGGTGCCATGTTGACGGGCTTCGTCAAGAATCAAAACAACAGTGCTGCAAGATCGAGTGCAATTCCTGGTGTATCACGGCCACCGGCATCCAGCAAGAAGATCCTGGTTTGTGCTCCCAGCAATGCAGCCGTTGACGAGTTAGTGATGAGATTCAAAACCGGGGTTACAATGTTGGACGGGACACTCGAAAACATCTCAGTCGTCCGCTTGGGTCGCAGTGAAGTGATCAACAGCAATGTCAAAGACGTTACGCTTGAGGAACTGGTCAATGCTAAGCTCAGTGCTGCCGCACCCAAGGGTCCAGGGGAGGACATCCATGGATTAATGATGCAGCATAAAGGGGTCTCGGAAGAACTGAGAAATCTCCGTGACTCAATTCAAGACCGGCGAGGCAAAGGTCAAACAGTGCCCACGAGCGATGAACAGCTGATGGACGCGCTTCGACGGAAGCAGAACGGGCTGGGCAGCAGAATCGACGAGCTGAGAGAGAAGCAGAACACTGCATCTCGGGACGTGGAACTCAGTCGAAAACGAATTCAACAGGAAATTCTGGATTCGGCACACGTTCTCTGCGCGACTCTGAGTGGAAGCGGACATGAACTATTCCAGGGCCTCAACATCGAATTTGAAACTGTCATTATCGATGAGGCTGCACAGTCAATTGAGCTGTCGGCATTGATTCCTCTCAAATATGGATGTTCAAAGTGCATCCTCGTGGGAGACCCGAAACAATTGCCACCTACGGTTCTATCGCGGAAAGCGGCCAAATTCCAATACGAGCAGAGTTTGTTCGCCCGGATGGAGAACAACCACAAGAAAGACGTACATCTCCTGGACACGCAATATCGTATGCACCCAGAGATCAGTCTCTTCCCGAGCAAGACATTCTACGACTCTCTGTTGAAGGATGGCGCAGATATGGCTAAGCTTCGCCGAAGACCGTGGCACCACAGTGAGATTTTCGCGCCTTATCGCTTCTTTGACGTCCAGGGCATGAGCCAAGCCTCAACTAAGGGGCACTCGCTGGTCAACGTTGCCGAGATCAACGTCGCAATGCAACTGTACAGGAGATTGACGACAGACGTCCACAAATATGACTTTGCTGGGAAAATTGGCATCATCACTCCATACAAAGGACAGCTGAACGAACTGAAACGGCGCTTCAGGGATCAATATGGCGAAGCTATCAACTCCAGGATTGATTTTAACACCACAGATGCTTTCCAAGGCCGAGAGAGCGAGATCATCATTTTCTCTTGTGTCAGAGCTTCAACCCAGGGTATTGGTTTCTTGAACGACATTCGCCGTATGAACGTGGGTCTGACCCGTGCCAAATGCTCACTTTGGGTTTTGGGTAATTCGCAAGCACTAATGCAAGGCGAGTACTGGCGAGCCCTGGTCACAGATGCCAAAGCCAGGAATTTATATACCGATGGCGACCTTGCCAGGCTGCTGGGCCGGCAGCTGTTGACAGATGACATGATGAAGGACGATGTCGAAATGCTCGACTACAGTGAATCGCCTGCTGAAATCGTCAAATCTTCCACCATGGCTGCAAGACCATTTAGTAACAAGACGGAGTCGAAAGAACCATCCCCAGCACCCAGGAAAGAACCGAAAGACGCATCTCGACCAACCGGTCCCTCAAATCAAGCTGTCCCGACCCCTTCCAGGCCAGGAAGCGCTCTCTCCAGGCATTCTCCAGCGTCTTCGGTTACTCGACCAGAGCCGAAGCGGCAGGACTCGGCACAATTCGGGGGAAGGCGAGATCTCGCCAGAGCCGATATCAGAACCGAACCACGTCCTGCCGAACCGCGGGAGAAGGCGCTGGTGATGAGGGTTGATTCCAGTGGATACGATCCTTCGGGGGGCGCCAATGGCCTCAACGACCTCCGTAACTGCACAATATGCGGATCCTATGAGCATCGCACGGCCAACTGCGACAATGAAGAAGCTCTGGCTGGGTCAATCGGGACCTGCCATAGATGTCAGTACCCTGGTCACACGGCCGTAAACTGCACTGAACCTCGATGTATCTCTTGCGGCGAAGTAGGTCATGCCACCGATGACTGTACGGCATCTCTAAATAAGAGACTCGACAAGGCGCAACAAGAGAGGGTGCGGAGAGAAGAGATCCGGTATGGTGAAAGAAGAGACAGAGCACGCCAGCATCGAGCCGAGAAACAACTTGGTGAACACGGCGCGCAGATTCCCGCCGTCAAGAGCTCAGTCCCGAGTCTGGAGACCAAGAGAAAGCGGGACGAGTCCTCTGGCAGCGAGTCCACGAGAGCTAAGGTACCGAAAGCCATGCTCGACAACAGATCTGCATCTGGCAAGGTCAACCCAAACAGAGAACCGTCAGCTTTGCCTCCGAGACCCGAACGGCCTCCGCGAACGGGACCAGCGGCTCTTCCACCAAGACCTCCCGGTGGCCGTCCTCCTGCGATGACGACCAACGTACCACCGACGGTGAGGAAGAAGAAGACCAACGCTAATGACATGTTTGTGAAACGAAGATGAGAGCAGCCACGACCTTTTCAGTCTCGCGACCCAAGTGGTCATGGTGAAAGCACGACTCTGGCGCACACATTATGTGCAGTTTATTTTAAACACACTGTACGTTTCAAGAAAGAGGAAGCTGGTAGACTTTTTCTACATGAGAGAAACTTGGGAATGGCTGGATTGAACTTGCGGGTTGTAGCGCGTTGCGCTATGAGGCGTTTTTGTATAACAGTGTAGCATATGACAGCGCGGAGCACAAGATGTTGATAGACATCATCATGGACGGGAAAGCACCAGAGCTGGAGCGTCTGCATGGCAACGGGCGTTTCGTTTTCAGACTCCCGCTACGAGGCCAGAATATGTCCTGAACAACAGCCCTGAGGAGATCGGGCATCACGAGGCCTCCTTACAAGATAGTCAGTTGAAGACCGAGGATCCGAGGGTAATCATGCTGCATTTAAGCGGTCGAATGACTACGAGTTGGCAACATCTTTGTGGCTTGGATTAGCAGAAGAGGGATAGATGTCGTTCCTCTTGTGTTTCTAGCAGCTTCAAACACCTTCGCAGGATCGTCATCTAGCAAACGAATGAGGGTTAAAAAGAGGATATGAATCATCTGCCAAACACAGTTCTCGCAGAAGAAGTTGACTTGTTCTCTTCCCCTTATTCATATGTCCAGACTGAGACTGAGGATTTAAGTACGAGCCTTCGCACCCGCCTGTAGTGCATCCTTCAGCGCTCCTCTCTCCTCGACCGTCTTTGCGACCAAGTCCCCGACCTGGGTGTTGAGGGCTGCAAACCCTTTGATCACGCCCAGCCGGTCGGCCTTGCCGAGCTCCTGGCTCATCTTGTACTTCCCTTCCAAGCGGGTGACGTGGACCTCGATGCCGATGATGTTTTTCTTGAGCAGCTCGACGTAGCGTTCGGGCGCGTCGGTGACGTTCCACGGCCTCTCGTAGCCCATGATGGTCGTCTCGGCGTGGTGCGACAGGTCGCCGATCTGCTGCTGGAGGAATCTGCCCGTTCCTTCCAGGTGAGTGTCGTAATGCACGATGGCAGTTCCGTACGCCTGCACCGCCGAGTAGTTCCACGTCGGCACTACCTTGCCTGTGGCGGGCTTGGTCTCGACGTAGAATTTGGGCGTCACGTAGTGGTGTACGGGGCCGCTGAAGACGACCGAGACTTCTTCCGTGAGACTCTGGGTGCCGTTGTCAGATATACTTTGCTGCTGCTGGGCGGCAGCTTCGATCAGCGCCTTGGACTGCGGATTTTGCCGGGCAAGATGCCCACGCAGTCTGCCTAGTTCTGTCTCGCTCGAGTCATCTGCGACGTCGAGGACCCACGGGATGTGCGTGCATTGTATCGTCGGAAAATTGGGCGACGAGAGAGACGTAATCAGAAGGCCCAAGGGATTCTCCCGTATAAAGTGCCGGAGGACGGGGATGTTGAATTCAGCGTGGGCGGCACGCAGGTACATGGCTGGTTTCCGAATATTTAGATGTCATAGAGGGGAGTTATATGTCAACAGGTGCGTATCATGGCAACATATAGCATAAACTTGGGGTTGTCTTGAAGAGGAGGACTTAGTGCACGCCCTACGATTAGCATTTGATAACAGAATCCGCACGACGCTGGCCCACAGAGCGGCGAGAACGATGGCGTTCTCGGCTGTTTGGTCTTATCTCTTGGACCTTTTCCTGTATGTCCCCTTCGAATAAGGCTCCTCCCTCAATCAATATATATACAAGGGGTATGGTCGACTGTTCCCTACAAGTTGTAAGTCAACCGTGGTACGCCAGCACGTGACTGGACAAGGCTGAACTCCGGATTTCTTGGCATATTTTACACTTTCTCGGCATAGCTTCCACTTTGAGGGTATGGCGGTAATTGTTGAACGTGTCCTCTGGCATCGCAGCCAAATTGCAAGGTCACTTTGAAGCTTTCAGGAGAAACCGTCCCTCCGTCTTCTTCCCACTTCCTCTTCCCTCTAGGATCCTTATTCTCGCCGCTCCTTTGGCTCATCTCTTGCTTCCCTTTCTTCTCCTCGGCAGCCTGAAGCTGTTTTACGGTGTACTGCAACCATGAGTGGCCGTGCGTGTTCTCTTCCTCCTCTCCGCACTTTCAATGGACAAAATTGCTAACCCACCTCCCAAATACAGTCCGCTTCCTCGACCTCATTAAACCCTTCACCCCCCTCCTGCCGGAGGTGGCGGCTCCCGAATCCAAAATCCCCTTCAACCAGAAGTTGATGTGGACAGGAGTAAGAGCGCACCCAAACTCGAGAACCCACGCGACAGATGGCACCCATGGACAAGTGCTGCGAGACTAACAACTGGGTTGCGATGGACAGTGTACACTCCTGATTTTCTTGGTCATGAGCCAAATGCCCCTCTACGGCATTGTCTCGTCCGACACTTCAGATCCCATCTACTGGCTGCGTATGATGCTGGCCAGTAACAGGGGAACGTTGATGGAACTGGGAACGACACCCATCATCTCCTCGGGGATGGTCTTCCAGGTATGCGCGAATAGCTCCTCCGTCGGCTCAGCAGCAGGCACTAACTCATGTGGCCCTGTTAGTTGCTGGCTGGAACTCATCTCATCGATGTCAACCTCGATCTCAAGTCGGACCGCGAATTGTACCAAACCGCCCAGAAACTCTTCGCCATCATCCTGTCTTTCGGTCAAGCCTGCGTTTTCGTCCTCACCGGTCTATATGGGCAACCAAGCGACCTCGGGGCTGGTATCTGCCTCCTCTTGATCGTCCAATTGGTGCTTGCTGGCTTGGTGGTCATTCTCCTCGATGAGTTGCTTCAGAAGGGATACGGTCTTGGGTCCGGCATTTCGCTCTTCATCGCCACCAACATCTGCGAATCTATCATCTGGAAAGCCTTCTCTCCGACGACGGTTGACACCGGCCGAGGCAAGGAGTTCGAAGGCGCCGTGATTGCCCTCTTCCACCTCCTCGTCACCTGGCCCGACAAGACACGTGCGCTCCGCGAGGCCTTCTACCGCCAGCACCTTCCAAACATCATGAACCTCTTGGCGACCTTGACCGTCTTCGCAGCCGTCATTTACCTCCAGGGCTTCCGGGTCGAGATCCCTGTGAAATCCTCTCGCCAGCGAGGCATGCGCGGCTCCTACCCCGTCCGTCTCTTCTACACGTCCAACATGCCCATCATGCTGCAATCCGCATTGGCGTCGAACATCTTCATGATCAGCCAGATGCTCTACACCCGCTTCTCTGATAACTTGCTGGTGAAGCTCCTGGGAACCTGGGAACCCAGAGAAGGCTCGTCCCAGCTGTACGCGAGTGGTGGAATCGCCTATTACATGTCCCCACCCCTCAACTTCACCGATGCGCTCCTTGACCCCATCCATACGGTCATCTACATCACTTTCATCATTGTCAGCTGTGCGGTCTTCTCCAAGACGTGGATTGAAGTTTCTGGCAGTGCCCCACGCGACGTGGCCAAGACCCTCAAGGATCAAGGACTAGTGATGGCCGGTCATCGTGAGCAGAGCATGTACAAGGAGCTGAAGAGAGTCATCCCCACGGCTGCTGCCTTCGGAGGTGCGTGTATCGGGGCGTTATCCGTGGCCAGTGACATGCTTGGTGCGCTCGGAAGCGGAACCGGGATCCTGCTGGCGGTCACCATCATCTATGGATACTTTGAGATTGCGGCCAAGGAAGGAGATTTTGGCCAAGGACTGAAGGGATTGATTGGTTAGAACCTTTGACAGGTTTTGAGCAGTTGAGCTTTTTCATACACAGGCTTGTTAAAGAAGCGAATAGGACCAAAAAGTGCGCCCTGTTTCTGCATAGCAAAAAGGTTTTAGGGTCGGGAGGGTTGGGAATTCACTCAGACGACGACAGGCCTAAGGTGAAAGGGTGGTTGGGGGATTGCAAGCGAAGGAACGAACAATACTCTCCATACATCTGGTCTGGTCTGGTCTGGTCTGTTTCTTGGGCTGTGGTGTATGTTGCTTGTATAGTACAGACTGACTATGACTGGCTACTTTGTTGTCGCCCAACTTACTGCCTTGTTACTTGCTTGTTGTACTGTGTGTATGATGACTTCGATCGACCTCTCTCTCTGTGTCTCCCTCTGTCTCTCTGTTACCGCCTATCTATGCAAAGAAAGAATGAGGACATTCAAGGCCAACCTACCTCCCTACCTCCCTATCTACCTATCCACGTACTCGTGACAGTCTTGCCCATCTTACATGTATGTAAGGATAACTTACTGATAGAGAAAATGGATGTCAGGGATACACAAGTCACTCCGTTTCTGTGTGTGTTGTTTGTTAATTGATTTTGTGATAAGAATAGTTATATATATATAAGTATATGTACTCCCTCCCCCACCCCTCTTTCTCCTCCACTCCTCCTATCTACATACTGTGCGGTGTAGAGAGAGAGATAGAGAGAGAGGTGTAGAAGCAGGACAAAGCCGGGGCGACGAAGCTCTTTCTATTGCCTGCTCTCCCCCTGTCCTACCCTGCTGGGGATTGGCCTTCGCAGGCAATCTTTTTGTCCGTGTTTGATCCGTAATTACGTCCACTTGGCGTTTTCTTCTCGGCTCCAATGTAGTTAGTTCATGACCGTTTTCTCCTTTTTTGGTCTTTTGACACCGTTCTCTGATGGTTCTCCGGGCTGTATTTTGTCCCCCTACGTGCGATAATCCCCGTTGATGGTGACGTACTCGTGACTGAAGTCGCAGGTCCAATAGTATCCCTCTTCGTGGCCAACCCCGAGGTCGACGTCGATGATCAGGTCCTCGTCCTCCAGCAGCCGGGCGGCGCGCGCCTCGTCCACGGCCTGCGGCTCGCCGTCGACCAGGAGCTTGAGCACGCCCTCGGCCTTGGACTTGGAGGATTCGGCGGGCACGAACGACACGTGGGTGCGGGCCGGGACGACGGACTCGGTGGGACTCGCGAGCGCGATGTTGGGCGTGTACCCGATCGCGCAGAGGATGCGGCCCCAGTTCGCGTCCTTGCCGTACAGCGCCGTTTTGACCAGCGGGGAGCGCGCGATCGTGCTGGCGATGGCCTTCGCGTCGGCCTCGCTGAGCGCGTTGCGCACGTGGATCGTCACGAACTTGGTGGCACCTTCGCCGTCACGGACCACGAGCTGCGAGAGCCGTTGTGCAAACGAGGTCAGGATCCTCGACATGGCCTGGTAATCCTCGCTGATGGCGGAGGAGATCGTGGGTACTCCGTTGGACGACGAGGCGAAGGCAGCACCGTTGGCGAGAATCGCGACTGTGTCGTTGGTCGAGGTGTCACCATCGATGGAGATGCAGTTGAAAGACTTGTTCACCGCCGTGGTGAGCAGGGACTGCAGTGCTCCCGCGCTGATCGGGGCGTCGGTGCACATAATCCCCAACAGCGTGGCCATGTTGGGGTGGATCATGCCGGCGCCCTTGGTCATGCCGGCCAAGCGGTACTCGACACCCTGGTGTTGGGCACCAGGCAGGGTGAAAGTGGTGGACAGGAGCTTGGGGAATGTGTCCGTGGTGCAGATGGCCTTGGCCGTAGTCAGCCAGGAGTCGTGATCGCTACCGAGATTTTGGTACGCGGTGGGGATCTTGGCCAGGATCTTTTGGATGGGGAGTCGCTGGCCGATGACGCCTGTGGACATGACGAGGCTGTTGGCGTCTTCTGCGTTGGACGATGATGATGATGGCTGTTGGAACTGGGCAGATGCCGTCTGAGACATGGCCCATGCGTCGTCCACGCCTCCCTGGCCCGTGACGGCATTGGCACAGCCCGAATTGACGATGATACTTCGTAGTCCGGCGCCGCCGCGCTTCTCGAGTACGGCCTTGCTCACCTGGACCGGAGCGGCTTGGAATTTGTTGGTGGTAAAGACGGCGGCCCCGAACGCGGGCCTGTCGGAGGCGATCAGGGCCAGGTCGGGATGAGACTTGTTGGCCGGCTTGACGCCCACGTGGGTTCCCGACACTCGGAAGCCTTTGGGGTAGGTGCCGGACGTGGGCACATATTTCACCTTGGACGCTGGGACGGTCGCGTCCACGGGTGCCGAGTAGTGTCGGACGAATGTCCGGATGGCTGAATGGGTGGTGGAAGGGCGTATAGCGGACGCCATGTTGGTTGCTGTAGACTGAGACTTGCACGAAAAGACACCTCGAGTATGACCCTCTGCGTCTCCTTCACGAGGTCGAATAGAGTAACTCAGGAGAATGCCCACCACTTCTTCAGCTTCAACTCATACGTACCGGTCGGTGGCTTTGTCCTTATCAATGGCCGAATCCCGGATACGGGGGAGGTGTATATAACGTGTGAATCTCGCCCACGGGCCGGTGTGACTATGTCGATACCCCCAGGTCAGAGATTTCCCCCAGTTGCAATGTCCATACAAGTCATTCCGTTTCGTTGGCGAAGCATCGAGGCGAAAAAAGAAGAAGAAGAAGAAGAAGAAGAAGAAGCCAAAAAGAAACGAAGGTGAGTCAAAATATAGTGTAAGTGGTAGAGGAATCCACCGACCAATCAGCGTCGCCGGTTTGCGGAGCGGCAGCAAAACGTCGCGTCGCGCAACTGAAGAAACAAAAAGAATAAGAATTGTCAAGTGATATATTCAATCAATCGCTTTGACTGGCCATGGTCCTGTGCACAAGTTCTCTCTGTATCTAGATCCCTTCACTCCTCCGCCATGGCGAAACGAAAACACCCCGATCCTGAGGCGGATTCTGTCGTCGAAGTCCCAAGAGACACCCCCTCCCACACCCCTTCGAAGCGCCGGAGGAAGACGACAGGTGAAGAGGGGGCGGCATTCACCAATGGAGACCATGACAACGGAAGCCCCAGGACGAATGGCACACCCAAGCAAGATGAGACACCCTCGAGAAGAAAACGAAAGTCTGCCGTCCAAGACCTCCAGGTCGAGGAGGATCAAGACGAGGGCAGTCCTACCCCAAAACCCAATGGTCGCACCCTGTTCTCGACTCCGACTCGAGGTAAAGGCGGAGCTGCAGCTACGACACCTTCAAAGTCGGCACGGTCAAAGGCAGACAGATCTGCGAAGAGGAAGAGTGCGCGACTGCTCGCTGAGGGCCAGGACGGCGACGAAGACGAAGACCTGGACGGACAAGAGGCTCGGTTGGCGCGGAAGATACTTGAGGAGGAGGAGGGACACGACGACGACGATGATGAGGACACGGACAGAGATGGACTGGGCGAGGATGATGTCGAAGCCATGGTCGACGGGAACGAGGTGGACAACACACCCTCCAAGAAGACCCCCGGCAAACGAGGACGACCCAAGGGCGCAAAGTCCCGACGCTCACCCACCCCCGAGGGCGACATCCCTCCTGAAGAGCGGTACTTCTACCAAACCCGTGCCGGACCTCCTCAAGTTTCGGGCAACAAGTTCAACTCGGTCAAACTGCTCACGCACGAGGAGTACTTCGAACAGATCTCGTCGTGGCGCGACCCCCACGAACCGGAAAAGGCGTATTTGATGAAACTGCACGCCCGGTCGTTCCCACAATGGCGCTTCGAACTCGCCGAGGGGTTTGGTCTGTGTCTCTACGGCTACGGCAGTAAACAGCCTCTGGTCAACCAGTTCGCCGAGTACATGTACAGCAAATGCTGTCCCCCGCCTCGCATCGTCGTCGTCAATGGCTACGTCCCCAAGCTCAACCTGCGCACCATCCTCAACACCATTGCCGCGGCCGTGGCTGAGACCGAAGACGACGCGATTCGCCTGGTTGGCCAGCCAGAGGAAATGCTTGATACTCTGCTGTCCCACCTCACCGACGATTCTCCTTCCTTGCAGCTGCTCGTGATGGTCAACTCCATCGACTCGTCTTCCCTCCGCCGTCCGTCCATGCAATCACTCTTCGCCCGCCTCGCGGCCCACCCTCGCGTCTCCTTCCTCGCCACGTGCGACACCCCGACCTTCCCAGCTCTCTGGAACTCGTCCCTCCTCGACCAGTTCAAGTTCGTCTTCCACGACTGCACGACCTTTGCGCCCTACGCGGCCGAGATCGGTAGCGTGGTGGACGACGTCCACGAACTCCTGGGTCGGAAGCGGATGCGGGCCGGCGGGAAGGAAGGCATGGTGTTTGTGCTGAAGAGCTTGCCCGAGAACGCCCGGAACCTGTATCGCCTGCTGCTCGCGGAGATCCTGAGCATTCTCGAAGACGGAGGACCCGACGGCAACGACGAAGAAGAAGTCGCACCTTACAACAACAACAGCAACAACATCAACGGGGGCGGGGCAGATTATGAAGAAGAAGAAGACGACGACGACGACGACGACGAAGAAAAAGGAAGACGAACGAAGCGGAAGAAATCACGCAGAGGCACGAGCAACAAGAACACAACACCCGGCGCCGTCCCCGCTACCCGCAGAGAGGCAGGTTCCGGCGAGGACGTGGGCGTCGAATACCGCACGCTCTACCGCAAGGCGGCCGAGGAGTTCATCTGCTCGAGCAGCATGAACTTCCAGTTCCTGCTCAAGGAGTTCCTGGACCACCAGATGATCACCAGTCGGCGGGACCCCGTCAGCGGCGCCGAGGTGCTGGGCGTGCCCCTGGCCAGGGCCGAGATGGAGGCTGTCTTGGAGGAGCTCATTTGATGAGGTCCTGAGAAGGAGGAGGAGGAGACGGAGGAGATGGGGAGAGGATTGAGACGGTTGGTGGGATATATGAGACAGGGGAGCTACCAGGGCATTCAATGGATGGATGGGTAGAACAGCGAGCCCTGCACAACGGAACACGTCTAGATAGATAGATCTACAGTATAGCCGTGGGGGGTAGCTGGCCGTCTACCCACCTACCTACCTGAATACCAGATTGCCTGAATACCTGAATATGTAGACTCATATATACATAATAATCGGGTCTGTCCATCCGCCTGCTGAACAGCAAGTACTTTGTGGTTGGTTGGTTGGTTGGTATTGTTCGTCCGGATTGCCTAACTACATACACGCTGTAACTCTCCGGATATTGATTTTTATTGTTCATTCAAGTCCCGGATACTCATTCTCATCCTCATTCTCATTCTCCTGCTACGGCAAAGGTTCCTAATCATCCATCCCACCCACCCAACGACTGATACAGTACAGATACAGTGCGGATGAAACAAATCCAATTGACCCTTCAATGCCCAGAAAGAAACCCCATTTCGGTTAGTTTAGGTAAGAGAGAGAAAGAGAGAGAAAAGCGCCAGGCGCATAGACTTGTGGAGTGCATATGCAGGTATGATTGTGATATGGTACGGGATGGTAGATGTATGTATTGTAGACGCCGACCGCCGGTGATGCCATGCATTCATTCATGTTTTGTTTTCTGTGCCTCAAGCATGTGCCCGCAATCCACCCCCCAGTGGTCAATGCTGGTCCTCGTCCCTTGTGCTTCTTTGTCCCTGGTCCTCGTCGGTGTCTGCCCTTGCTCGTGCTCTTCGTAACCTCCTCGATTCGAATGTTTTTGGTTGATCAGATCCGTTTTCGCACCTCCGTGATAGAAGCAAAGACAGAAAAGAAAAGGCTCCCCGTCTTTATCTATCCCAAAACCATGCAGTAATGTGTGCGTGCGTGTCCATCCTCTTGCCCAATTACCATCCCCGCACGGCCAGCTTGTCGCCGTCTTTCATGCTACTCACGTTGATGCCCACCATGGCCTCGCCTAGGCCTTCGGAGCACTGGGCCAGCACCTTTGCGTCGCGGTAGTGCGTCGTGGCCTGCACAATGGCCTTGGCTCGCTGGGCGGCATTGCCGCTCTTGAAGATGCCAGAGCCGACAAAGACGCCGTCGCAGCCCAGTTGCATCATGAGCGCGGCGTCGGCGGGGGTCGCGATACCGCCGGCGGCAAAGTTCACCACGGGCAGGCGACCGAGCTCGGCGGTCTGCTTGAGGAGGGCCGCATCGCAACCGATTTCCTTGGCCAGGGCTCTCAAGGCACCCTCTCCCTCTTTCAAGGCCGCCTGGGCCTTGGCGATGTCGCTCTTGACCGTCCGCATGTGCTTGACTGCCTCGACGACGTCGCCGGTGCCGGCCTCGCCTTTGGTCCGGATCATGGCGGCGCCCTCGGCGATCCGTCGAAGGGCCTCACCCAAATTCCGGCAGCCGCACACGAAGGGTACTCTGAAACCCGCCTTCTCCACGTGAAAGGTGTTGTCCGCGGGGGTCAAAACCTCGCTCTCGTCGATATAGTCCACTCCCAGCGCCTCAAGGATCTGGCACTCGACAAAGTGGCCTATCCTGGCCTTTGCCATGACGGGTATGGTCACAGCGGCCTGAATCTCTTTGATCAAAGCCGGGTCAGACATGCGAGCGACGCCGCCCTGGGCACGAATGTCGGCAGGCACACGTTCGAGGGCCATGACGGCGCAGGCGCCGGCCTCCTCGGCGATGCGGGCTTGTTCCGCATTAACCACGTCCATGATCACGCCGCCCTTGAGCATCTGGGCCAGGCCGGCTTTGACTGTGAAGGAGGGGAGGTCGCCATTGGAGGCGGCGGAGGAGGAGGTCTGAGGGACGATGGTGGTGGATGACATGTTGGAGTTGTCGTTCATAACCATAATGGGGTAATGAGCTGGTGGGAAGTGTGTTGGTTGAGGAAGAGAACAACACTGGTCGAGGCGAGAGGGATATATCCGGGTTCGGGGTGACGTGGGATTTCAGGAGAACGGCAGGCAGCTAGGTGCTGTAGGACTATAGGTTCTCTCCTAATTCAGAGGAAATGTCCAAAGGAGGAAGTTGAGAGAGAAGGGACGTGAAGGTGTCGACGGAGGCAAAAAAAATAAAATAAAAATTTCCCCCGCGGGACTGAGTCACCACCAGAAAATCAATGGAGATTTCGCACCCCCCACCACAGACCGAGTCTGGCCACCACAGTGACGAGTGACAGAGTGACAGTTCGGAAGAGGACAATGCGACCAAAGAGGAAAAAGAGCAAAAAGAGGAAAGTGAGGAAAGTAACCTCGCTCTCCGTGTAGCTAGATACCGACCAAGTGATTAGACAAAAAGCAAGATGGCAGTGGTGGTGTGGGATGTTATCAGGAGATAAGACAGGAGACGAACTTTTACTTGTAGATTTGCCTGCGCCCTGGGACAAAGCAACAGCTACTACAGAAGATCAACAGGAGTGACCGTGCAGCAGCATTCTAGATTCCAATGACTCTGCATCTGGGGAAACCTGAGAGAAAATTCTGCCCCGCGGCGACGATGGCCGTCGGAGAAGTCACCCACTGATTGCTACTAGCGGCGTGGCGCTAGTGACTTAGTACATGCTAGTAGCAGGATAATTGCCTTAGCGGGAACCAGCTCGGATAACAGCGGCAACTGCAAACCATCCCCGATAAGAGCGCCACGTGATCCGATTAGTCATCCTGCACAGGCCTCATCATCATCTCCGCACTTGAACCGAGCACGCCGAGCACACATGGAGGAGAAGGAAGAAGATTTAGCAAAGGAAGAGGAGGAGTAACTCGTACAGCAGACTCGTCATGGAGCAAAATAGACCGACCGACCTGACAGACCCAGACCTCACCTGTGCACAACACACCATGACCTGACCGAGCTTGTTTGCTGCTGCTGCTGCTGCTGCTTCTCCTCTCTTTCACTTCTCTCTCCGGCAATGACCAGCACCTTGGGCTTCTCGATGCGTTGCTCAGATGCTGTGCCCATGCTGTCCTCATCATGTCAGTCTCTCAACAGACGACCATACACAGCCCATCAACTCCGTCCCTTCCTGCCAGCATGCAGCCACCCGCCTCAACCTCCGACGAGCTTGTCTCCCTCTCCTCTTCCTCCTCCTCCGCCCCTCCACCTCCATCGTCAACACCGACACTGATATCGCTGCCCGACTTGCCCGAGGACGTCTTTCTCTTGGTCCTGACCGGCCTCTCCGCATGGGACGTCGTGTCCTGCCAGCGCGTCTCCAGATCATGGCGTGCCGCCTTCTCCAGAGACGAATACATCAGATTCGTGCTGCAGTCTTACCCCCGCGCCCGCGAAGTCCGGGCTCTGCCACCCAGCACTCTCCATCTACACTCTCCGTGCCAATCACAAAGCCCGCCGGACTGGAAAGGGATCTTCGCCGCGGTGGCCTCCCGCTACCACCACCTCGCCCGGGGTACGGCCAGAGTCGTCGACAGGTACCCCATGGCGCCGGTTGAACAATTAGGCGACTGGTTCCCCGTGGGCCAGTGGGATTACCACGAAAGCCAACCCGGAGGTCGTCTCTACTACGAGACCGCGGCCAGCCATCTGAGTCGCATCGGCACCAAGCCTTACCTGTTCAGACCGACCCTGTGGTCCTACGACGACGGCCTTCTGGTGTATGCACCAGCCGAGTGCAACGAGGATGGCTACTTTCCGCAGATCCTGGCCCTGTTGGATGTCGAGACGGGCCACAAGTATCCCATCCCCTTCGACATTCGGGGCAAGATCATCCGCAATCTCCGCCTCAAACACCGCACCTTGATCGTCGAATGGGCCGAGAAAGACCCGTTCCACAATCTCAACGCAATGGAGCAAGTCAACCGGCATTTCGCGAATTGTTTCGACGTCCGGCGGACCAATGAGGAAGACCAGGCATGGGAGGTGACCTGGCGTTCAGAATGGAAGATGCATTTTCTGGGCCTGCCGCCCAATTACCATGACCGCTTCTTCTCGACCCACAATGCTACCCATTATGCTGTATATTTCTGGCAGCCCAACCGGAGCATGTACACGGGGGATGAGGAGCTGCCCATCGAGTCGCTCTCGGTCTGGGACATCTCTGGCCCTTCGCCGTATAGACCCTCCGCGGACCCGTCTGGGAAATTCCGCCCGGCCGGAAAACCCGGGCCCTATATTGTGTCCAGGTTCTCCTTCACCCAGATGGACCTCTTTGGCATCCGCCAGCGTGCCAGCGTGGCCTTGATGTCTCTCCACCTGGACTCGGAGACCCTCTCACTCACGGTGCGCGAAAACGTGGGCGTGGCCGGCCAAGGCTACTTCGACCCGGCGGAACGGCTGTGGTGTGCGAAGACCACGACCTTCCCATTCCTCGGCGAAGGACCTCGACTGTTTCGAGAGTGGGACGGCAACCTGCCCCCCTACCGCGGCCACTGCAGCATGGAGACGGCCGACGTGGAAGAGAGCGAGCGCTGGTTCCTGCCCATCATGGACGTGGTCGACGCCGAGGCGGGTGTCCGCCTGAGCCTGGTCGAAACGTGCTTCTCGGGCCAGAGCGTGGAGAACCGGCTGGTCGTGCGCATGAAGGTGGAGGCCGACGACAACAGAGACTTTGCGGCCCTGGAAGAAGCCACCCTCGGCTGGGCCACCCTCGACGACGACTTGACCAAGGAAGTCTCCTTCATGGGCCGCATCGCCGGCAACGAGCGGTGGCTGATCGGCCAGAACGAGCGCATGGAGATGGTGGTCTTGAAGTTCTGACCGGGTCGCCCACCCTCTTGTAAATAAATCACACCTACCCCACCACACATTCTCAGACACAGCTATCTATCTTTTTATGTACATACATCATACCTGCCTGCCCGGCTCGTACAGAAGGGTACCGGTACCGGTACGGCTGAGAGTAGATTCCGCCGGCATATGCAATGCAAGAATCAAGACCGGACCGCTCGAGCCACCAACGACCCTGTGTAATGACTCCCAGTAGGTTGCATCCGTGTTGTTTCTTCATCTTGTTCCTCTTCTTCTTCGTCGTCTTCTTCTTCTCCCTGTAAGTTCTCTAGACCTCTAAGAAAAATAAATGCACAAGCCGGGAGGAGTGTGGGTGGGGGGAAGAAAGAAAGAATTAATGGAGTCGGATTGAATGAATGATTGATTGATTGGAAGCGAGAATGGTGTTGAACGGCGTCTATCTATCTATCTATCTTTATATCTATACATACATGATTGGTGACTAAGTATTATAGATGATAAATGCCGATGAACAAGTCCCTCTGTCTCTCTTCTTGCTTCCTGCCCTTGACCACTTATCCTTGCACCTATCCTTGCATCTATCCTTGCACCTATCCTTGCATCTATCCTTGCACCTATCCTTGACCACTTATCCTTGCTTCCTATCTTTGCGTCTTGGTGTCCTTCTCGCTATGCTAAAGTCCATACAGAGCAGACCTCTCCCAAGGTTTTCAATGCTTGGACTTTGTTTTTCTTTTCCTTGCTTTCCCTTCGCGGAACTGTCGAGGACGTGTTTGTTTGTCTGTCTTGGCATGATTGGTGTGATTGATGACTTGTTGTCGGAGGCAGTTGGAGACGGCGGCGTAGATGGGGCGGTGGGATGACAACGATATTGTCATTGTGTTTTTCGATTGCTGGAGGAGAGGGCAGGTCACCTGGCTTTGGTGTGGTTGACGGGCAGTGTGCGTAAAGCTCAGGGGACTTTGGGGAGCGATTGAATAAATGCTTGACGAAAGACTGACGGCGGCTTATGTTGCAGCGTAGATAGATGATCATGTGGATGGTGGCAAGATGGTATTCTGTAACATGGGGTTACAGGTGATTGAATTGGTTTGAGGAGGGTGGGATTGGCCACTGGACATTGAATAAGGATGGAACGATTGACAGGTGCAGGGCGTTTAGATTGTGGTTTATGTGGCAGCAACATGGCGTTCCTCTGTCACTGGCTGGAGTTGAGGTATATGCTCACGCGTTGTTTTTCATCCGGGCGAGGGAGTTCCAACCGTCGAATGAGGTTTGTGCGGTGTGGTGATGGCGACACCAATAGTAGCAAGATGCATTGTGTATAGTTTGACAGAGTAGGTTGTGGGGGTGGAGCGGTTTGGGCTTGGGTTGTTTGGAGGGTTGGATTGCCTGGACGTCTGAATTTCTTGGAGGTGTTGAGTGGTTTGCCGGTCCAGAAGATTGGATTATGTGGAGGATTGAATTGCATTGAGGTTGAGTCAATTGGAGGTTGCGGTGTTTGGAGTTTTGGATTGTTTAAGGGATTGAGGTGTTTCGGGGTTGAGGTGTTTAGAGGATGGATAGTTTAGAGCGATGAAGTGTGTGGGTGTTCCATTGTTTATAAGGATGGATAGTTTGGAAGCTGATTTGTTTGTAGGTTGGAATTGTTTTGGAAGTTAATTTGATTTGAGTACGCATATCAATTGAACAATCGACAAGCCTTGAGGAGCGGCACAGTTGACAAGTAATCGGCAGCGATATAGCAGGCTTGTCACACAACAGCGTCGATGCGGAGGTATATGCCAGACTATAATTGGCTTGTCGAACGGAATTGAATTGCCGACAAGGTTCCATGCAGCGGCATTTGCGCGCAGTGCTCCTTTGTCACATTAGGGCATCAGCGTTGAAGTTGATGACATGTTTGATATCGTGGGTGTTGTATTGGGATTTGCGTTGACATTCCCATGTAGCAGTGTTGCAAACAACGTTCCTCTGTCACATGAGGAGTTTTGACCTTAATATTTGAAGTTGCAATGGTCCTCTCTCCCATGAGGAGCATTGACGTTGTGGTGGATAGTAAGGTTATAATACTCTTCTCTCCCATGAGGAGTATTAATAACGTGGTAGACGTCGAGATTACTATACTCCTCTCTCTCTCACAAGGAGTATTGATGACGTGGTAGACGTCGAGGTTGTAACGCTCCTCTCTCGCATAAGGAGCATTGACGTTATGGTAGATAGTGAGGCTACAATGCTCCTCTATCCCATGAGGAGCATTGAAGTTGTGGTGGACATCAAGTTTGGTTTGGTTGCTGGAAGCCCAGCAGAGTTTGACAAGCGAGTGTATTCGAAGCAGCAGTATAGATAGCAGCAGTGTACATAGCAGCAGTGTACATAGCAGCAGTGTACATAGCAGCAGTGTACATAGCAGCAGTGTACATAGCAGCAGTGTACATAGCAGCGTAGATGGCGTTTGACAAGCGAGTGTGTTTGAAGCAGCAGCGTAAATAGCGGCGTAGATGGCAGTGTAGATACCAGCAGTGAGATCTTTCCAGGCAGCCTCTTGAGCGAAAGTGTGGATGCATATGAGCATTCTGAGAGAGGTCAATGGTCTGACGACCAAATGAGTGTCCATAGATTGATGTTGCTTTCTGATTTGAGATGGACGGCAGCGACAAGAAGGTGATCAATCGTCAAACAAGAGTCGAAGTCGGTATTGATTGGCAGGACTGAATTGACTCGATTTGGTAATGAGTGATGAAAGTGAGCGACAGTGGTTTGTAGCGAGCGATTGACATAGACGTAAACCAAGGCTGGTGTAAAGAGCGACAGTGACTTGTAACGAGCGATTGATTAGATGTAACCGAGATCGGTGTAAAGAGCGATATAATGTCTTTGAACCGCGCCGTCAACGCCTTGCGTAAACGAGTGTGTGTGGCAAGCTCAGATCGAGTCGCACTGCCACTGTTGCTCTGGCTTCTGATGCTCTTGTCGCTTAAATAAAAAAAAAACAGACTGGCAGACCTGGGACGTATCTTTATGCAGCCCGAAGGCTCACATCCAACAGGAGCGGCATCTACCCAGCCGAAGCCAGTACGCACGCATCCGGAAGGTGACAGAGCTCATCATTAACTTGACATTGATACGCCAGAGGTCGTGAGATGTCATGCTGTGTGACTCAGTAACCGGGACATCGGCCGAAGCTTTCTCACAGTCATTACTGGTCTGCAACCGTCTGTGACCTGACGGTAGATAGAGGTCCAATTCTGCGAGGCAGTCTGGGGGGTTACCGCTGTTGTCAGACGTCGGCGTCATGCACATTTGGCCGCGGTGCCCACTAGTTCCATGTTGTCCACCGGTCGGACAGGTGTCCACGCCGAGGGCGCGGAACAACCCGTGGGAGGGTTGGCGCCGGCGACACAACAGGAGAGGAGGCAGGAGAGGAGAAAGGAGAGAGAGGGCCGAAGTCACCTTCCCAGAGTTCAATAGGAACCTCTGAGAGGGAGCAGTCGAAGGTCGACGTGCTCCCGTGCTTGGGTGGCTTTCGTAAGATCTTGCGAACCCGCCTGCGGATTCTCAATTTCAGGAAAAACTTCTTGAGAACCCAGCAGGAGTTGCTGGCCAAGATCGAGAGATAGGCGCCCATGATGCTTGTCAAGCGGGCGAGAGAAAGGGAGAAGGGATGCTGTGGCTTTGTTAGCAATAAGTCAATTTGCTGATAGAGTACGCCTCATTCTTACTGATGGTAGTAGCTGCTGTTGCTGCTGAGGGTAGCGCTGTTGCTGTTGCTTCTGCTGTTGCTTCTGCTGTTGCTTCTGCTGTTGCTTCTGCTGTTGCTGCTGCTGCTGATGTTGTGTTGTTGTTGTGTGCTCCTGGAACACCTTGTCAGTCAAACATATAACAGTGTTGACACTTGGGGGTACTCACGAGTACGTGTACTGTCGCGGGAGACCAGAAGCTGTTCTCAATGAACATCCTGGATATTTATGCCTGAAGCTTCCATTGCCAGATCAACTCAGGGTCCTGGCGGTGAGCAAGCCCACTGAGTGAACCAAAGGATCCCTTCAATGGCAGTGGGGATGTCGTCGTCGATAAGACCTATAACGAGGCTGAAAGAGGGCGTCCCCTGACCTGTCAAAGTTAAAGTTCCATCACGTTGGGCACCACCAGCCTCCTCGTTCACATCAAAAGTAAAAGCGACGGGATCCTGTACAGCAGGTATTTTTCATTCCAGGATTGAGACCTATCATTGAGCATGATCCAGGATTCGGCAGGATGATATTCGAACATTAGCTGTCCTGAAAATTCTTGCGGGTGGGACCTGAACGCTTGGATCGGTTTGTACCACTGACACATAGGAATGGCTGAAATGAGCCTTCCTGAAGCTTCCCTTTGCGAGAATTTCTGTATTGAAATTTGTCACACCTGTCGAGCATTTCACTTGGGACAGGCAGCATCAATGGACGTCTGGTCCGCGAGTCCCACCTTTTTCCGGTGATCGAATCATGAATTCAAGGCTGGCCTTGACATGACTGTACTGGATGCCATGGAAAGCTCGACTGAATTTGTTTGACCAATACAGCTACCGCATAGAGTTCTGTATTTCGAGGTCTCCTTCTGCCTCCACAAGGCTGAGTTGAGAGTTTGGATCCATACGAGTATTCATGCGATTTACCTGCGTTCATTGACATGATCTTGCGCACACCCAAATCAAGCCAATCCCAGTCCACGAGCAGAGTTCCAGCACATTGCTGTGTCACACTTGAAAGTGTGTGATCCATTCATTGCGAGAAGCGTTTGGGGCCGATGATGTCCAACTTGTGATCCGAATGAGAAACCGGAACATTCCGCCCCAGCTCCGAGAACAGGTGCGTTGGTGACTGGTAGGTCGACAGCCTTGGGCGAAGCGTGGGTACCATTTCTGAAGGATACTAATATGACCACAATCAACTTGTTGTATGGCTTCAGTGAGGAGGTACAATTGAGCTTGGGGAAGGTATGGCGAGGCCGGCACCCACGTGCCGATACGGTCCAGTTCTTATCGATACGCATCGTAAGCTTTATCAAACCCGCCTGCACCCCGTCATTCGCTAATCCCAGTAAGGAAAATACAGCGCTAGACCTCCGACAGTAATGGCGTTTTCGCCCCTCAATACCACTGTCCCGCTTAATTGTTCAAGCACGTATCAAATAACCTGACAGTCTTTTCGATTGTGGATGCCACCAACTGCGATATGAAAAAATTCAGAAGGCTGAAGGAAGATAAGCGCTTGTACCTCGTAATTTTCACCAGATTGGCGCCTCCGATATATCACCGAATTACAGATGGATCGTGCAGCAGGCTACTGCGGTCTTGTAATAGCGAAAAGTTAGGACCAATATGCCCGATGGGGGCAGGAGCTGGAGCTTGGAGCTTTCCCCGCACCGTCTTGCAGAGCGGTCCCGACTTTTCTTTTTGTCATGAGACTTTTTTCCAAGCTCCATTGTTACTTGAGATCAGGAAGAGAGGGAAATTTCACATGTCATTGTAAGGTTCGCATCCGCGGCGACTCGACTCGTTAATCATGCTTTTGGAATTCTATCGAGATTGCTCAATCTCAATCATCCCGATGCTTGTGCTTGATTATCCTCCGGATACATGTATATTCGGCCTGAACTAGACTGCTGGGCATACGGGGATACCACTGCAGCCCATGGTATACCACTGCTTTTGATGGCTTGCTGGATCGAGCCGAAAAAAAAAAAATTGGATCCTCCGCATGCTCATCCTCCCCTTCGACCCTCACTCAGTTCACCTCATGAATCTTTCGTAGTTGTGCGCGCAAGAGCGCTTGGTTCAACAAGAGTTTATTCATTTCTTGTTTCTCTGGCCATAAGCCTTGGTGGCATAGTCACCCTGGTAGCAGATCAGATCCTCAGGCCTGTAGTCGTGACGGCCGGAGAAGTAGCTCTCGAGGATAGCCTTGGTGCCAGCCGCATAACGTTCTTGAGCATCGATGGAGGTACCCGACATGTGAGGGACCATGGCATTGCCACCACCCCATGGGTTCTTGGCATATCGGAGAGGATGGTCCTTGGGGGCGGGTTGAGGGAACCACACATCACCACCGTAGCCGTTGAGCTGGCCGGTCTTGAGGGCTTCGGCGACGTCTTCCTTGACGACAATGGCACCACGGGCGGTATTGACGAGCCAAGCACCTAGAGGAACAAAGTCAGTCGCGAGTCAGTGAAGCGGGTTTTGGAACGCAGCTTACCCTTCTTCATCTTGGAGATCAGGTCCTTGTTGAACAGTCCTCGAGTCTTCTCGTGGAGAGGGCAGTTAATGGTGACAATATCACACTGGGCCAACATCTCTTCGAGGTCCTCGACACGTCTGCAGCCAATCTCCTTCTCCTTCTCAGGGCTGAGTGGCTGGTAGTCGAAGTACAACAGCTCCTTGCAGTCGAAGGGCTTGAGACGACGGAGCACACGCTCACCGATACGGCCAACGGCAACGGTACCGACAACCTTACCTTCGAGGTCGAATTCGTTCTTGGCCACAGCTGCGACGTTCCAGTCTCCTCTCTCGATCTGTTCGTGGGCAGGAACGAAGTTGCGGACAAGGGTGAGGATGGTCATGATGACGTGCTCGGCAACCGAGACGACGTTGCTGCCAGTGACCTCGGCGACGGTGATACCGCCATTGGTAGCGTTGGCGGCGTTCAAGTCAACGTGGTCAGAACCGATACCGGCAGTGACGGCGATCTTGAGCTTCTTTGCCTTGGCAAGACGTTCGGCCGTCAGGTAACCGGGGTGGAAGCTGTAGGTCAGTGTCAGCAAAGGTATTTACCTCCGACGTGGGAATCGTACGGCGTAGTAATGATGACTTCGGCATCGACCAATTCCTGGTCAAACTTGGAGTTCTCGCCCTCCTTGTCTGAGGTGGTGACCAGTGTGTGTCCTTGGTCCTCAAGCCATTTTCGGATCCCTAGCTCGTTCTCTGTGGTTCCGAGGAGACGAGGTTGTTGTTTGGCATGCTCGCCGCCCTGGAGTCACTGTTAGGGGTCGAACTTTTGGAATTGGGGAGGAAGACCACAGCAGACATACATCGTAGAGGACGAGAAGAACTTTGCCCTGACGTGAAGCAGAGGCTGTCAGTGTGCGTTTGGCAATGGAAGGAATGGCTGCACGGCGTGCAAGATGCGGGGAACCAGAAAAGAGGGATGACGTGGGGCGCGACAACGAGCGCGCAGCAGCACGGGTAAATACCATTGTGAAAGAGAGAGGTGAGATGAGAGGAGAGTCAAGTGGTGAACAGGTCGAGAGAAATTTGGAAAAAGATAAACAGGCGGTAAAGTGGTTTTGTAGTAAGACCTGGGCGTGTCGTGAGCTGGATGCGTCTGCCGGCAGAGCTTTGAGCCTGGGACACGGTACCTTGATTGTTCGACTAAGGGTGTGTCAGTTAGCTTAGCTCGGACCTGAACGGGAGGAGCTAACGAGTAGCGGGGAATAGATGAGCATCATGAAGCAAGCCTCAGACCATTGCCACAAAGGATGGGAAGCTGGGTGATGTGGGTAGACGGGGGGGACTGTGGGATTGGGAGGAGAGGTGGGTTTGGATGGTGGAACCAATGCAGGCTTGAGGGGGCGAGGGGGGGTGAGGGAGGAGAAGGTCGAGGGGAGAAAGGAAGAGTGGGAGTGGGAGGGGCAGAGGTAGCAGCAGTAGCTCCAGGTTACAGGTAGCAAGCAGGCAGTTAACGCTGTAAGCTGGTGCAGCTCCCGGGCGTGAGCAGCCGCCCACCAGCCCTCACCTGACAGGCAACAAGGACTTTGGCCGAAGCCCAAGCCTCCTTCTCTCAAGCTGCAAGCTGCGCCCCGGGAAAAGATGCCCGAAACACTGACACAGAGAAGGAAATAAACCAGGAGGGGTACCGGGCAGCTGGGTACGTACCTGCAAAGCCTCAACTCAACGTCTCAGGTCAGAAAATGGTCACTGAGAAACTGTAGTAGTGTGTACTGCAGTAATATCAAGAGAATCAGAAATTCCAGTCGTCTTCGGACGAACGCTCAGCACATTTATAACCTTGTGACCATGTCCCATTTTCAAGGACCACACACCGAAGATTTTTCCCTCTTCGTTGTCCCTGTGCTCTTGGGCGAACGAGTCTTTCCACACATCATCCTTCAATTCCCCCTCTTTTTCTTCGTCCTGTTGCGGAGCTCTGCCAGTAACTGCCACGGTCCTCTTTCCTGCCCCACAAATCATCTTCCGGCTTCGTCCAATGCTTGCTGCTCCAGCCTCTGAGCTCCAAGGCTCCTCCTAGCCGCCTGACGCACGGCACTTGGGATTCGTGGAAGCCCGTCCAAGCCGCCGAGCCTTCAGAATTGTGCATGAACTGCTTTCTCACATACGGCGTCGTTCCGAACAAAAACCCTCTGTGACGGCTATAAGATCCCCACGACTGACATGGTCTCAACTGGGGGTCATGTGGCGCCAACAAGAGGATGACAAGGGCACTTGGGACGTCGAGGCCTTGATGCTGACCTTTCCGAATACACACGCGTCCCTACGCGGAACGGCCTACACCCACGCACGAGCGGGCATTGCTCGGAAGTCGAAGCTTTTCCGCTGAACAACATGGCACTTCAGTCTAGAAAATGTTCTTCCGCATTTCGGAAGGTTGGACTGACAGTCTTCCGATGCAGTGCTCGCAATCCCATGGATGTAAACAAATGTACTAATTTGGTATCAAAAGGCGGAAGCTCGGCCGGCAATGGGAACTGGTGGAGAGCTTGGGGGAATTCCCTGCCCAAAAATGCCCGTCGCTGTCGGTAGCTGGCCTGCCTAAATGATTTGCCGTGGGCGAATCGCGCCCTTTTCCCCAAATCGGCCAGCAAAGTCCGTCCTGGGTTGAACGAAACGGCTGAAGTCAATCTGCGACAATCAGGGAACCACACAATCCCGGCCCGCAGACGCCTGGATCTCTGAGCATAGATCGTAGTTCCAGCTGGCGGCACTGAGGCAGGTTATGACCGAGATATCCCCACCCAAGGCTCTAGTGCCAGAACAGCCACTGGCACATCTGAACAATCCGGCCACCTACCCGTTGATTCCCTGCCATTCCCCGTCATACCCTGGAGTGACAAAGTCCTGTTCACAACTCACTCTTTCACAAGAGATTGCTCCATTACTTCTCAGTGCCCAGGAAGGCTTGGAGACATCTCCTGACGTGGAGCAGTGGCATAACAGACTCTGCCTTTTCAGTATCCGTCAGCAAGGAGATATCGGTGCTTGGATGGCATGCCGCAGTTGCGTGACGTCGCTGCAAGGCTGTGAAACTTGTGAGGACGAGCGGTGGTCGAATCTGAGCCATCTAGCTTCCGAGTTGCATGACTGCCCGCTGCCGATCGAGGACCGGATTTCCTGCTCCGTTGACGACTATCAGACCGCAGATGGGCGTCAATCTTGCAGTATGCCCACTGTTGAGACGAGGCCTTATTGGTTTCTCCAACTTCGAGGACCCCAGGCTCTAATCTGACGTTTGGAGATCTCGCCAGGTCCCCTCCAATCCTTTCGGGACGTCCAGTGGGAAGTTCGTATTCTGATGAGTAAAGCCGGGAACGAAATGTAGCGAGGCACAGTCCTGAGCCTAAGAGGTGGTGGGACTCCAACCTCTTTGGTGACTCGATCCAGGTACAGTCCCACTGACAGGGTAGACGTGAATCTGAATGGTCCGGGTCGTTCATTCTCTGTTTCCTTGCAAGATTAGCACACTCGGACCACGTATTTGCTCTCCGGATTTCTGGCTCAGATATGATCATCTGAACAGTTTGTCTCGGATGCCGTGGAATGCTGCTTTCATTTTTGCCGGTGCATCCTGACATTGAGGGCCCGCTTAAGCATATGTAGCTAGTCGTGACCATTCCGTCAACGACTGACGGCCACTAGCCCAATGACACGGCATGATGGATGAGCTGCCGGCGCCCTGCTTCTGCGATGTCTCCCGCGATATCAGACAACAGGGAAGGGTTGAGAGGGTGCCTCGTCTACAACGTCTTCTGCTTGCGCTCGTTTCAGCCATAGACTGAATGATTTCCAGTTATATGCTCGGAGCGGCTTTGGTCAGGGCGGCTTCTTGTTCGTCGTTCGTGCCTGTCGGTACGGCGTCCACAGCTGATGTTATTGTCATTGGTCGTCGGGCGTATTCTACCAACACTTACATTTGGTCATGGTTCTTCCCAGCGGCGAGCTCGTCAAAGTCGACCGGCCCACCAGCATGATACCCAATACCACTGCTATCGCCGAAGGATGGAGCCGACGTGAGCGGAAAGACGTGACTGGGGTTTACATTGTTGAGCCCGTGGAGGGACATCAAAGGTGCTCCATAACACTTGTTGGAGAGAAACGATTAAGAAGCACCACCCATATCACGAGATCCTCCACTAGGAGGAATCGAGCAGCGATGTCGATGCATCTTCGCATTCTTGTGAAGAGGTTTCTCGTATCTCCACCACCGCAAGCCTCGGATCTGACCACGAGCGAAATGTAAAGTCCAAACGCCATGGCAAAAGCCGGCCTGATTGGCATCGTCATCAGCATCACCGCAATGGGCGCCAAGCTGTCCATCGTACTGTGCAGCTTCTCCGAGGAGCCGCACGCGAAACTCGCTCCCATCTTCATCTGTGTTATCGGCCCTCAGTCGCAGCGCCAAGGACAATGAAGATTACCTGCCAGTCATGACCTGCGAAGCACGCTGCAGACCTCCCAGATATGTCATTGTCTTGAATGCCGATTCATCATACGTCAACTGCGCCGCCGAATGACGCCAAGGGCGAGCGGAAATGGCAAGATGGCGGAAGGGAATCCGCAAGGACTGCCAATGACACTGGTGCATACGAAAAGTCGTAAAACCGACCTTTGACATAAAGTCGCTCAAGAAAAGGCTGGGTGGATTGATGAGCTGGTTTGAGGAGGTTTGGGATCCTGTCAATATAAATCTTGTGTCATCACCTCACGAGAAGAAGCCGGATCCGTTATATGAAGCCGCCGTTCCCGATGGCAGTTGAAGGCTTACACATGGAAGAGCGACGAAAGGAGAGAACATCACATTGACGAGGCCAGGGTGGGATTGTACGAAGCCTTACACAGGCTTGGACAACCTGGAAGACCTTGGATGATCTTCCACGGGAAGGGATTTGGAGTGTATAAAAGGAAATATAGACAAAACGCGGAATGCCTTGTCGTCGAGTATATGTTCGATATCACATATCACGAGATCCTAGTAGGACATGTGGTGCTGCTGTCTCGATGCATGTTGTTGTTGTCGTCGGGAAAGAGGAGAGGTCCGGAATCGGTCTTACTTTACTCCGAGAGCGGAACCCGATGCGTACCAACGATAGCCGATGACAACACATTTTCGAGCAGCAAAGAAAACCCAGCTTCAGCTTCGTAGTTGGGTTGACGACAAGGAGCTCTACAGGTGGCTCTCCGCTGAAACCAATGGCAACTGCACGTCTGCCTTTCCTGTACCCGAATTTCCTGCGTGCTGTGCGTGCGTGTGAGCCCACCACCTACCATTCCATTCGGGCCCCTCCGCCAGCTGCGGCAAAACCTCGACGCAAAGCGAGACTGCATACCTCTGCATGCCGCCAGCAAGATACCTTTTCCCAGAGGTACGGGCCCGCCGCCTCTCAGAACCTCCCGCCTCCGTCAAACCCTTCGGAAGTGGCGAGTTCGCAGCAACAAGCCAAGGAACAGGAAAAGGGAAAGAACGACAAGTCCAAAGAGAGCAAAGAATCATCCCAATCGCGGTCTGTGAAAGATGGCCCCACGGCAGAAGAAGTCGGGCAAGATGAGCCCCAAGCGTCAAACGCCACGTCCGACTATATTGATGAGGCATCCCTGCGCACAAAGAACCATAAAGTCAATGTCCAGGAGGAGAAGCCTCTAGACAACAACGAACTGGACCTGATACTCGCGATCCCCTCGCCGTCAGAAGTCAAGGGAAAAGACGCGCCCAAGCACCCCCATCTCGAACCGTCTCCATATGAACATCATTTCGACACGTACTCGCTTGTCCAACAGCTAGCAGCGAAGGACGCCTACACCGTCGACCAGGCCATCACGCTGATGAAAGCCATCCGGCTCATGCTGTCGCTGAACCTCGATGTCGCGAAGGAAGGCCTCGTCTCCAAGTCCGACATTGAGAACGAATCGTACCTCTTCCGCGCCGCCTGCTCCGAGCTGAAGACCACCCTGCAAAGCACGCGCCACTCCGAGACGCTCAAGCAGCGCAGCCAACGGGCACAGTTGCAGCACGAGTACGACATTTTGAACCAGAAGGTGACGCAAGACCTGATGACGCTCAAGGAGGAGTTGAAAGGCCTGTTCAACGATCGCAAACTGGGCCTGCAGGAGGACAAGCGCAAGATCGACAGCAAGATTTCGGAACTCAACTATGAAATCACGGTGCTTCTGAACAGTGAAGCCCGGAGCGAGGTCGAGGGGTTGCGGTGGGTGTTGACCCGACGCGCGGCGTTGGCGATTGGGTTCTGTGCTTGTAAGTTGCTTCAACCCCGATCTGTTGCCCCAAATTCTGGATTCGAATGCTCACCGTGTTGCCAGTCATGATCATATCCGCCCTGAATTACTCCTCGATCAAGATGCGCGAGAAAGAAGAGGCGGAGAAGAGACGCAAGGCTGCCGCGAAGGACGAAAAGGAACGCGAGCAGCAGTTCCAGCGCGAGCAGGCCAACTACCCGGGGCTGAGTCGGTCGCAAGGGACGCAGACGGATGAAATGGGAGTGGTCACCGAGACCCTTGGTTGAAGAACTAGTGTCGACCGACTAATACTCGGTCCACTTATACACAGGGTATAAAAACTGAGGCTGGGCCTTTTTTCCCCCAATGTTATATTATGATACCAGATAGACTTCTATTCTCAATGACGAAGAGATGATGCCTGGATCAGTGCCCATGCAAAAGGCGACAGACTTGGAGAGGACATATCTACTACGTAGGCACAGAGAGTAATAACCAAGCGCCATGGTTCGTTCTGTCGTGACATGCTCCTATCCCGAACCACGGAGTCGATACAAGCTCAGTTCACTACTGTTTACGCGATATGTTGCGCCCCTTCTTGTTTTCCTCCGTCCTTCTTACGGTTCGTACCCCTTATTGTTAATTGTGTAGATGAAAATAGGAGGCACAGAGAGAGAGAGGAGACATAGGTATCTGTCTGCCCGTTTGCACACAGCAGGAGGAGCGGAACTCGGAGGGAGAGGAACGGGGCGAACGTCGGGCAAACGAGGACGACAAGCCATCAGAGATTAACCCAGTCAACCTCGCTCGGTTCCTCAGACTGCTGTGCGAGCTCTTGCGCCCTCTCCCTCTTCGTTCCCATCCCCATGCCAAGTAAATGCCGGTCGTCCTCAACATATCCTTCCCCTTTCTCCTCCCCTTGCTCGTTCAGCGTCGAGCCGACGTCGACCGGAACACTCGCTTTTCTCGCTTCATAACGTCGGCGGAGTCTGTCGCGAGCCGCGGCGACGCGGTCGGGTGGCAGGCTGGTTTTGCCGGGTCTAGCGGCGATGGTGCTGGCTGAGGCGGAGCGGATGGCTGTTGTTGTTGATGATGTTGATGATGATGCTGCTGCTGGAATTACTTCTGTGGACTGAGGCAGGTTGCCGGGAATGTCGGCGAGCCGTGTCGTTGCAATTGAGGTCGAAGTTGAGGCTATTCGCTGCGACGTGGATGTTGAGATTGATCGCTTGATCGAGGGTAGATGGTCGCTTGGAGGTCTTGCAGGGTCGTATATGCCGGCGCTTCGTTCTGCTGTTTCAGCACCTGATAAGCTCGTGTGCCTCTGGCCCTTGGACTCTTTCACCGTCTGGCTTCGCACTGTTGTTTCGACCCTATCGACTTCCTCCCGAACGTAGGCTCGAGGTTTGTCCCTTAGGGCCGGCGACGCATTCGTGCCCAACGTTCCAGCACTGAGCCACCTCTTCTCTCCCTTCTCATCCGTCAGGTGTCTGTCCACTTGCTCAAGATCGCTGCCGCCGCGGTGGCATTCCGCAGCACTGTCCGTCTCTCTTCTCAATCTCTCATTCTCCCGTCGCAGCTGGTCAATCATGCCCTTCAGCTCCTGGTTTTCCGCGTCCTTCTTGCGCGCATACTCGCGCATTTTCTGTCCGTAGCGGACTAGCTTCTTCATCTCCTTCTCGGTCTGCGCGATGTATGCCTCGATGGCTGCTCGAGAGAGGAGGCATGGTGAAGTGGAAGGTGCAGACGCGGCCGCAGGGTTGCTTTTGACCAGTAATTGCTCGTCCTGCACTGCGTCCTGCAGCACGGATGTCGGCTTTGTCTTCGTAGGTGGTATTAGGTTGTGGATGGGTTTTAAATGGCCAAGGGCCGCTGGTGCATCTTGCGCTTTGGATCTGGGCTGTCGAGGAGAAACGGGCAGGATGGGCAGCTTCGGAGCCTCAGGGCTGACGCTCTTGAATTTGACATTGATGTCTTTCAAATACTTTGCTCGAGGTGTCGCCAGGCCCGGCGTGCGGAGTATACCTTTTGTAGGAGAGAGGATGTTCCGGCCACCATGGGCATTGGTGTCTCTCTGGCGCTTTTGTGACGGTGACGGTACGGGCGAGTCCTCCGCCACGTATTTCCGCTTCGGTGACGAGGGATATACAGGCACGAGGTTCTCCTTGTCGCCGTGCTCGGGCGAAGATTCGGGCGAGGCGAAGAAGATGCTTCGTATCGCACGATAGGCGAATACTGGGGCGGGGGTCACAGGCCCCTCTAAGATGGTTTCCTCGCCGGGCATATTGTGAAATGAATTGGTAGGGAATAAGAGTTAAGATGTTGCAGTTACCCGGCATCTATGAGAAGGAGGTTCTCTTGTGACAAAATCTTCTTGTTTGAATAATACGGAATCTTCAAGCCCAAGCTGCGCGTTGTTGGTGTTTTTCCGAATGTGGTTAGCGCGTGTTGTATTGGGCAATGGATAACGACGTCGTCCATCTTACAACTTTTCCTCCGCCACGTCCTTGAGCCCTTCCTCATCCTCCTCATCCCCTCGATCAGCTTGCTTACAAATCGGCAATGCCGATGAAGAGGGAGTCGGGACATCGTCGCTTCATCGACCGTGGCGACAAATTGGAACCGTATCCAAAGTATACGCATGAGAAGTCGGACATAGAGGATGAGTGAGTATGCTACGATTGTGCTTGGGCCGTATTTTTGGGAGCAGTAGTGCCCGCCTCCGGATCAACGATGCCAGTTGAATTCGTGGATGGCACCACAGTCTTCTCCTCGAATTCAGTCACATATCTCTCCCCGGTGCAGGACTGTGACAATAGCGTGTCAGCGACGCAATGACAGGTCAATATTTGGGCTCAGCCTCGAAACACATGTAGCATGCAGGTGCAAGATTCAAGCAGACCCTATCCTCCAGCCCTGATATTTTGACAGAGAGGCGTGCAAGAAAACATGGTTTCAGGCGACCAATGTTGAGGGAATGGTATGAAGGTAATTGATATTTGCCCATCATCTAAACCCAAGGGTATCCTCTCCTCCTAAATATGGGTAGCTGTGTTTACCCGCAAGGGACATAGTCTGGTTCCTCGAAAGGCGCAAACCAACATGGCTGGGCTCTTTGGAACGCCCACTTATTAATTGCTGGATACGAAATCGGCAATCACCACATCGTCCCCCACCACACTTGCGACGGCAGGCTTTCTATCTCTCAAATAGAAGAGAACCAGCGAGTACCAATCGGATACTGCTATCCGATGTTCCACTCCGCACGACCGATGATAGCGATAGAGACGGAAGTCGAGGTCAGTTTCGCAAGGTTGGGCAGATCCATCGCTGTTCGCAGATGCCACATCGTATGTTAGACAATTGGGATGGTGAGAGCTTCTGGTGTATCCGAGGTATACCTGAACAAAGTGCAAGGCGCTACACTCTTGGAGCCTTACGCTGGCTCCAGGCTATCCCACCGTGCAGCAAATTATAGTTGGTCCTTCCGTGACAGTCTGTGTGGGCTCGTCCGACTAGCTCTCTGCCGACAGATGCGAAATGGTGTTTTTAGTCATGGCCGGTACAACCTCAACGTCGCAACCACCTGTAGACCACATCGGCGAGGACGCTTTGAGGGGAGTGGGGGTTGTGGTTATCTGTGACGAACCAGTATTGTAAGTCGCGAATTACAAGTGTGGCGAGACGTAGATTCAGCGGCAAAGAGACGAGGCCACATGCAAAGTCCGAAAGGACAAAGATGTGTTCCTTTCCCAGCCAGGCGCTCAGATACCTCTCTTATTCCTAATCCGAATCCTCGTCTTCGTCCACTTGCTTGTCAAGGACCTTCTTCCATTCTTCCATCATGTTCTTCATGTCTCCTGGCGTCATACTGGCGTCCACGACTTCCTTGGGCAGTTTGTGCGCGGAGTATTTCGTGGCCGAGAATTGATACGCTTCTGGATCGTCTCGTTTCACGAGTCGGAACTCTGGATCAAAGATCAGATCGGCTTCATCATCATCGGCTTCATCATCATCGTCGTCGTCGTCGTCGTCCTCATCCTCCTCCCCCTCTCGATTTTCAACGTCCGGACCTTCTCCAATCTTCAATGTCAGGACTGGCGATTCAAAGGATGGCAGTTGTAGCAACTCTAACCAGGAGAAGAGCAATGAATCCGTCCGGGGTGCCCATGGGTTTATGTCAATCAACCACACACGGTCATGCGGTGGCGGAATATAGACATCCACAACGAAATTATCGTCCGGGAATCCCTTTCCACCATCGCCAGGTAGCAAGTGCTGCCCCAAAAACTCCTGGATTAACCGTTTGAAGGAATCCCGCAAGTCGAAGAGAAAATCAAAGTGGTTCATCTCTCGCTGGCTAATTGCAATGAGTTTTCGTTCGCGGATGAAACACCGAAATTCAAGCGAAGGGTTCAGGTTGAACGCTTTCCGTAGTACGAGATGGTAAGGCACTTCAGGGAATGCGTTCTCTTTCCTATCGTCACGGGCGTTGCCATCGTCAACCTCGGTCTGATCGCCGTCTTTCGATTCGTCTGCGATGGTGCAGCCGTCAAAAGCGTGCTCCAAGTCGTGCGTGACGAAGTCGCTTGACTTCAACAACAAATATACATCGTTTGGAGTTCGACATTCCATGTCATTTGTGGTCGCGATCCAGGTGGCGTCCTTGGGCGCTGACCAGTTCAGTTTCGGCATCACCTTGCCACCCAGTTCGGATATCGTGGAGCGGATCTTAGCATGGATGTCGGCCCACCGCTCCGAAGGATCCTCATCCTCATCCTCGTCGTCGTTCTGGAATCCGTCTTCGAATCCACTATCTGCATCACTGGGCCCGTGTTCAGGGGGCAGTATTATCCCATCGGCACGGAGGTAGTCCAGGAATGGCTGAGAGAGTGGAATAATCCTGGATTTGGGAGTCAGAGAACGGAAACGGGGATACCATGAGTGGAAGGAACAGTTTAGGATGTGAGCTGGAGTGACGGGTGGGAAAGGGAGGGACGTCAGTGGTCCGCTGTTGTCGTTGGCCGTGTTGGACATGTTGCTTTTGCTTGTTGTATGTTTCTTCTGGTCAGGGTTACGCCGGTGCAGGGTATTATTCCATCGTAGATTATAAAGAGACGAACGAAAATGATGCTGTGACTTGGACTCATCTCTTTCGCCACAGCCTTGCTCTGCTTGGCGTCAGCCTCGCACGTGTTCGCGGCGATTCTTCCACCTTCTTTCGAATGACTAACTGAACTCCTAACATCGTCGTCAGAATCACCGACACCCGTGAAAACTGCTTTTGTACGTTATTATCAAGGCTATTGTCAAGTCTTTCTCTGGATTGACATTCTAACTACACGGGAACAAAATCGATGCCGTCCTAGAACAAAGCCCCTGGATTTGATGCCGCTCCAAGCTGCGTCATTAGGTTTGCCACCATGTTTCCCTGCAGCTCTGTTTAGGCAGATCGTATGAAGCGGCTCTTTTTCCGCAGCGTATAGCCGAATTTGAAAAGGATCCAAGGGATCGGAAGGAGCGCCAAAGACAGAAACCCAAAGACACTTCCCGCCCAATGGATGCCCAGCTTCTCGTACATCGGAGTGGTGAATAAAGGGAATACTGCCCCGAAAAGGTATCGAATAGATCCGTTTGCCGCGACAGCTGTTTTCAGAATGAGCCTTGAATTATATGATAACAATCAAAGCGGAGATACTCACCGGACGCGGAAGTACCAACCCCGTACGATGCAACGAGGTACGATATCGAGGACAGCTTCAAAGGAAATTCAGTGAGAAATCTCAGGCTTGCATGGGAAACCTGGGAACTCACAAAGACAATAAAAGCCCCCAGACCAAAAGGGATGCCGCTGGCCACGACCACTGCCCAGTTGCCGCCTTGGTGAGCCGCCCATGCGTACCTGCAATGGTGAGGCAAGCGGAAATTAGCTTGACTCTGAGAGCTTGGGCGGGCGTTCTGCAGGAAGATGTCGAACGAACCAGAACAGGCCAATGGGCAAAAAAATGCTGCCAACCATAGCGGCGTACAGTCGGTGCTCTGGGGCCGCCTGGCCATCTGGTGCTTGCCGCACAGCCCGAGCATAAAGTGTCGCCTCGATTATGATATGCATGACTGCAGCCAGACAATAACCAATAACGACACTGATAACGGAAAGGCCAACTTGTCGAGAGTTGAAATTATAGTCCAGGGAATAGACATAAGGGGCACTTGCGAAAAAGCTGAAGACCACTGCATATGCATACCCTGTGTAAAGGGTCACAGAGAGTGCAATAGCCTCAGTGGTAAGCATAGTTACTGACCGAAGAACCGCCGCTTTGAGTGTTGACAAGGCCAGCTGCACCATGCCAAAACGGCCCGAGTGCTTAGCGGTGCGTTGGATCCGAAAGTCAGCAGTCTCCTTCATGAAAAGGGTCAAAATCCAGATGGGTGCCCCAATCAAGACCACTGTCCACTGAGTCCATCTCCAATCTCCATGGCGGTCGTGCATAACGTATGCCCCTACCAACGGACCCAGAGATGGGCCCAAGAATGGGCCGCAGATGAAGAGAAGCCTGGCCAGTTGTCCACCTCTTCCCCAAACATCAAGAATTGTTCCAGCACCGATGGCAACTCCAGCTGATCCCAGGAATCCGCAAAAGAAACGGCAAATCAAATGTGTGGCAAAATTTCGTGCAGCTCCAGCACCTCCTGCGAAGGCAATTATGCTTGACGAGGTGGCAATATACAGCCACCGACGACCAATAAACTCTGATAGAGGCGCCAGGATCAGAGGGCCAAATGTCAACCCTAACATGTACAGGGTTCCGGAGAGGAGGGCTCTGGTAGAGCTGATGTTGAACTCGGCCATAAGATCAGGGGTGGCAGGAACTGTGACGGTTGAGGAAAATGTACTTCGATTGATCGTGACTAGGTCAGCAGGAGTGTACGATATGCTTTTCGGATGGTTCAAGACGTACATCAAGAAGCACAAGAAGCAAGGCACCGCAGTATGATAAATTTTCACTCCCAGACTCCAGCTCAGGGCATTGATGGCCTCAGGTGGCTCATGTCGCTTATTGACTGAACCCAAAGCTGACAGGGAGTCACTATTGCTTTTGTCCACACCCATCTCGATCTCGGTCTCTGACATAATGAAGGGATCGAACACGGCTAATGCGTGACTCAATAGAAGCAGGCAGGAGATCTTCTGAAATTGGGACGCGAGTACTCTAGAGTCTCTGGAGTGCGGACCTTCACTATTTGAGTGGACCGGCTCAAGGCATGATGATATTGCATTTCCTGCTGCTAGTGTGCTACTCCGCGGCTTGTTCTCCGCCGGTGGGTTCCTTTCTTGCTGCCTTATCCCTTTCATTCCCTGTATGCCGAGCGATTGGACATATGGGACTATGGACTTTCTGCTTCGTCGCCGCCGAATGCAACTCCAACTCTGAGCCACTTCGGTCGCTGCGGCGCCGAAAAGGCCGGCGGAGTGGAGACGAATACGCCGCACTTCTGAGTTCTGATTGGCTCAGAGGGCCTCTACCACTAATCATACCGACTATAGACTTGCCTCGCAACCTTGTCATAACTCCGATTTCCCTCATTTGCAGTCTTGGTTTTCTCTTCAGTCTTTACCCCTATTCCGAGTATTGGATGGTTAGATCTCATCGATGATGAGTAGAGTACAGAAAAGGCCTCCCACCACCGATACCGGTGACAAGATATACCCACATCGGGACCCGTTCCCACCGAGTTCCATACTGGGAGCACGTTCCTGTCGAGCCTGTCATCAGCGCAAGGTCCGCTGCGATCGTGGAGTACCTTGCACCAACTGCTCGAGATGTGGTGTTGTCTGCGTATATCCCACGAAGGACAAGGACGGCGCGCGGAAACCTCACACCCTCCAAGACGTCTCAAATCGTCTGGAACGACTGGAAGTTTTGCTGTCCCGTTTCCTTGAGAGGGGCCAAATCGCTACAGCGTCTGAGCCAGATCGTACTGGTAGCGGTGGTGAGTCTCAGACTCTAGTTGCGGTTCAACACCATGCGAATATCAAGGCTATCGGAACTCCAAGTCAACGCCCCGGGAAGTCAACATGGCAGCTATTGTTGAATGATGAACAGGTCGTCTCATCCCCGAATAACTCAGATGTCGAGATGCTAAGACAACATGTGAGGCCATATCTCCTATATTTTCTCAAGTTTTACTCTTCCACAAAGGTACTATATGATGAATACCCCAAGCTCATGTGAGACGTCCTACAGGAACAAAGAGCCAATATCACTCAATCTACTGGCCTGGAGACAGTACCTTCGCATGTTCAAAAGAAACCAAAAACCCGTCACACTCCTACTCTTCCCCAGCCCAGTGCTTTGACGCCTTCAGTCCTGGCTTCTGATGTGCTGGACTTCTATCCTGATACTCAACTTGCCCTTCGGTTATGGAACGTCTACGTCAAGTCGGTCGACCCAGTCCTCAAAATTTTGCACATACCCACCGTCCAGTCCACCGTGATTTCCACCATTCTGGACCCCCGATCGGCACCATCTTCAACCCTGGCATTGACGTATGCCATATACTTTGCTGCCGTCACAGCTCTTTGCCATGAAAATAGCGACGATACTGCCGTAGACCCACATCGGGAGAACATGAAGCTCTTGAAACGCTTTAAGCTGGCCTTGGATCGACTGCTTTTGGTCACCGATGTCATGAACCAACCCGACGTGACAGCATTACAGGCCCTCGCAATTTATGTGGTAAGCAGTGAGGCTGCTCCCCAAAGGAATCGTTGCACCTAACTCCGCTGATCTATCTCTCTGACCACGTCTCTTTCAGACCTGTCTACGCGTCCACGAAGTTGGCCGGAGTGTATGGGTCCTCAACGGGCTGGCGATCCGCCTCGCTCAATCGATCGGCCTGCACCGAGACGGCACGAGCCTGCAACTGAGCCCATTTGAGACGGAGATGCGCCTCCGTCTCTGGTGGCATCTCTGTGTCCTTGACTCGCGCGCCCCGGAGGACCAAGGGTTTCAACCCACGGTCGACATCACCAACCGGGACCTCCGCCTTCCCTTGAACGTGAACGACAATCAACTCTACCCGGACATGGCGAGCTTCCCAGAGGAGTCGAACGGCTGGACGGAAATGTCTTTCTTCCTGATCCAGACCGAGGGGTGTCGGTTGCTCTATCCGATTCTTGATGTCCATGTCCAAGAGCAACAACATTCCGCAGACGCTGCCTATCTCGATGTCACAGCCAAGCGCGAGCTGATCCAGGAGCGTGGGCGATACTTGTCGGCAAAATACGGCATTCTATCGCGGTCTGGCGTGCTCGCCCCTGTCCTGTCGCGCATCGCCGACCAACACACCACCACGGCGTGCAGGAAGATGGAGTTCGTGCTGCAGCTACGCGAGGAGATCATTAGTATGCGCAAGCAGAAAGGGGCGCCCATGGGCGTGCCGCGGGATGGTGACGATGGCGATGCGACGACTCCGACTCCGACTTCGGACGTGCTCAAGCCATCGTTCCAGCTGGCCTGCGCGGCGTTAGAGAGCCACTATGTGTTGCAGAAGGACAGCCTCACCTCTGGCTTCCGGTGGTTCTTCAACATGTACACGCAGTGGTACGCCCTGGCCTACGTGCTCCGCTGTCTCTGTAGTGGCGGTAGCGGCGGTAGCAGCCCCGTCGTAGACCTCGAGACGGAACGGGCTTGGACATTGGTCGAAGAGCTCTTCCCGCGAGGCATGACACTGGACGGCCACTCGACGGCGGTCTCTTGTGACCATGGGCCTGCGAACAGCATTTGGCAGTGCCTCAATCTGCTCCGAGCCCAGGTCATGTCCTTGAGACAATGTCCCCAGCAGCAGCAGCAGCAGCAGCAATCCATGGCCACTGGGAACGTCGAGATTCAGCCGTCGTTCACCACAACCACCACCGCTAGCAGCAGCGGCAACCATTATCCTCATCATCATTCTCATCATCATGGTCCGTCCCAACTTCTTCGTTCTGACACCTCGATTGTACATGGCATCTCATCCACGCTCTCCGAACTGGGTCAAGAAGGGTTCATCGTCGACCCCCATCCAAGTAACACGATTATCCCTCCGTCATCGCTGGATCTGTCCATGCCAGATAATAGTATGCCGTTTCTGCCAGATCCGGACTGGAGTGCCGTGATCAATGGCTGGCTGAACGACGACGCCCACTCGAGTGTGTTGTGACGGAAAATGTCTTTGTTATCTACAGTATATCACTTCACAGATCACCAGAAGGTCAATGGCATTTCAAAGGGGAAGAAGCGTCATTTGGGTAATTGTGCAAGTTTGGTTTTCATTACTTTTCTGATCATAATTGTGGTGCTTTAGGAAATTAAAAGCATCCGTTTGTCCCCAAGAACCTATCCTATCCTGACCCATACTAGGTTAAACCGACCTTTACTCCATTCCGGTTTGTGTAACCTTACAAAATATACAGGCCATCGCAAGTCCAATGCGAGCGCCCAGCGCTCTTGTCATGCGATCGGATTAGATCCATCCCCATGTTTCCATGTCGGTGGAACCTTGCTTGGCGACGGGAACCTCAAACCTTTCCTGCTCCGTCATCGACGTGTCAGAGGCGCTGGCTTTGATCGACGCGAGCGACATCGTATCCGAGGACGGGGCCGTGCTAGACGCGTCACTTCTGTTCCTCATTTTGAAGGGGTGGTGGCCCTGGCTGTTGAGGGCGCGCTCGTTGATGATGTCCAGCGGGAAGCGGGAGTGAGAACTGGAGCTCGGTGGACGCCGGTCGGTGAGGGCACTCCGACACTTCCGGACCTGTTTGTAGTGGCTTGAATAGAGGGCGTCTCTGTCAGGAGGAGAGCCTTGGAAAAGGGCCGAGTCGTCCATCGCACCGGGAATGTGCTTCATGGGGGAGAAAATCTTCATCATGGTCTGGATCTGGGTTGCCTGCAACTTGATCTTCTCCTCCTGCTCCAGGATCGTCACGTAGTAGTCGTTCAAGTCTCGGTGCAGCTGTCTCATGAGGTTGATGTCGCCGCTGTTCCATCGTCGGCGTTTCCTCTGCTGGCTGGCGGGTTTGACGGGCGAGATTTTCTCGCCAGGGGTCTGCCAACGGTCGTCACTGGAGTTGCTGGGCGCTGGGCTGTCGTTTCTCCCCGACTGCTTGAGTTGGCTCGTCGAGCAAGAACGTGATCGACGAAGTTTAGCTTCTTGCTCCACGCTCATCGGGCTACTTCCCACACCCTTTCGTATCGGGCTTTCCATGGGGCTGCCGAGGATAGTGTCTCGCCTTGGGCTCTCGCGTAGGCTCAACCTATTGGCCATGACTTCTTTGAGCTTGGAGGGCGTTCGTGCATGTTTTGGACCTGGCATGGTTGTAGAACTGCCTGCGATGCTTAATCGTGGACTGATCGCGCCGGCCCGAAAACGTGCTGTGACGGGATCACTATCGACGACGACGAAAATATTGCTCTGACTAAGCACCTGGGGAGGCATGCTTCGCTGGGTTTCGGTGGATTGGACTTTAGACATGCGTGGGTGGCGAATCCTTAACTCTGGGCTTTGTTGACGACTGTAACATGACGCCGACATGCTGTAAACACTTGTCGGTCGGGAGTCCGGCACAGCGGGAAACCGACCGATTTGATCAACGTGGTATGTGACAACCGGTGGGCTTCTAGACAGGGAGGTCTTGCGACTGTCGTTCGTTCCCACGGTGTCAGTCTTGATCAAGTGATTGCGTGACTTGGCGAGATCACGCATCCTTCTTTCCCGAACCTTATCAGCACGACTGCTTCGAATGACATGGTGCGCAAAGTGGAGACAAATTTGTAGGTTCTCTTCGAGGCCGCCATCCAACATTGCCACATCCTCTGGGGCTTTGGTCACAGCAAGCTGTGCGTCGTGAGCTTCGGGCGGCAGTGCAGGCAGAGGAATGGAGGGGGGCGGTCCACTGTTGCGGGTGACAGAGTCGACGGACCCCTTGCGCCTGACTTCCACGTCAATACTATAGTGCGACATCCCTTGGACTTGAGCTTCGATCCCCGCCAGAGTATTGGCGCTCCTCGCCGACCGTGCTGACGAGAGACGCGCTACAGGCTTTGTATGTCTAGGCTGTGGGGTGGTGGTTTTTGTTTTGTGCTGAATTCGTGGCGTTGTGTCACGAGATCCGCCAGAAGATGAAGCAACTCGCAGCGACTCAGCCTGCTTAGCGTGCAGCATTCTGAGAGTGTTGTTGAGAATTTGAGCCGAAATATCCCGGGATATTGGGGGGTGAGCTGAGAGAGGGTCGGTGGGGGTGTTGTGCAGAAGAGGTGTCCTGCCTTCATCTTTTGGTGATGGTGGTAGAGGCTTAGAGGCATTGGCTTGAGACAGTGCCTGCTTGAGGGCAGTGTCTCCTGATACCTGGACAGAATCCTGAGGCGCATCCTTCCTTACTGATGATCGCACGACGACGGCGGGTACTGCAGAGGTTGTCGGGAGCAGGCGATCGTTGTCAAACTTTATGTTTTTCAGAACAGTTCGGCATTCGTCGCCAAATCCGTCGCTGCTGACGGGATCATGCAGGGAGGGCATCGGCGAGGTTGCGAGCCCCGTACACCCGGCAGGCTCATTCTCGGCGTGGATACCCCCGTGAAGGCACGAGCCGAGACCTCCGTTAGTGAGAGTCAAGCCGGATTCACAACAGGTTTTGTCAGTGTCAATATCCATATCGTTTTCTCCTCGCAAGTTGGAGGGCACAAACATCAGGGCCGACCGTTGTTGGCTGGCGGCGTCCTGGCGTCTCGTCGCCGTTACCTTTCGGTTTCGAGGATGTCCACTCGGCCACACCCTCGAGCCTGCACGAGGTACTTTGCTGATCAGAGGTTTGACGCAGCGCCAGTAATAGGCGGCGCCATGGGCACAGAGGCCGCCGTGATGGGAGTTGGCGCTGGCTTCGCTGATATTGCGGTGGATTCTTGGACGGCCAAATGTTTTGGTCATCGCTTTGGGAAGATTGCGATGCTGTTGTAAAGACATCTGGCGCCCGAGCTGTTGGTCGTTGCCCACAGTAGACGAGTATCTGCTCTCGATCGATGGGCGATCTTTGGAGTCAACAGGCGCTGAAGCTGTCTCCCTTTCCGCGCGTGAGCGGGCATACATCTTCGCCCATCTTCTGGATTGCCGAAATTGCGGTACGCGTGTCCGCGAGACTGAATCACACCGTGTGGGAATGTTTGGGCTGGGACAGGGTTCGCTGTAATTATGCCATTCTGTTCGAGGCTCGTCAAGGGTGATTTGAGACATCTCCGGGATGGTTGCAAAGGAATCTCGAGCAAGCAGAGGTAGGCTCCCAAAACCGTCCATGGACGGGAGCGCCATGATGGGTTCTGAAGTCTCCATTGTGGCCTCTGTGTCTCGCATGTAGAGAATGTCCAGCCTTGCTTGCAACATCGGCAGCAAGTGATGGGTGTCCAATGGATACCGAGGTATCCAGGACGCGTTGAGGGGTTAAAGGGCCTGAGGGTGTAAAAAAATATATGTAGATCAAGTTGATTGACAAGAGACCAAGGTTGTGGACAGGCAGATCACCAGGCCAATGCACCTCCTGTCAAGGCGAATGTGTGTGTGTGCGTGACGGGTGAGAGAACTGGGGGGAACATTCCAGGGTCGCGCGATGTATTAATGGACCACGTTTGTCAACGCTCAGGGTGAACGATGGAGTCTGCAAGGACACGATCTGAGATGTTTGCGGCTGGCATGTCTGAGGCAAGCCCATGTCCCGTATCTCGAGTCCCTCTGTGGGTGGTGGGCACCTGCATATCCATGCAATTGCAAGACCCGATTGAGCAGTGGGTGGCAATCTCAAGCACAGATGCATCTTCGGCAGCCAATCGACAGTGTGCAAAATATGCCGGCAACAAGGAACCGAAGAGGTGGCTGCGACAAGCATGCAAGGGATGGATCTCGGTGAATGGAGTCGAGTGGCTTGCAGGAGGGTTTTCTCGCATTGACGTGCATTTTGGGGCAAAAGGGAGGTTGTGGTTGGATGCACAACGGAAAGTAGGCCGAGATCGGTGCGTGATTGGTGACGCCATCGCGCTAGTCTCCACTAGATCCCCTAGCGCCACTAGGCTGACTTAGCGCCATCTGTCAACCACAAACTCCACAAACAAAGCAAACTTGTCCGTCGCCTCCGCCCTCAGCGCTCGGATGCGGCATAGTGCAAAAGCCTGTAAAGCCTGCAAAGCTGGAAAAGCTGGGAAACTTGAAAGGCGGGGAGCCGCACACACAGCATCCTTGCCCTCTCTTGTCCGCATCCTTCTCTTACCCAAAGTCAAAGACTGCATTTGGCCGCTCCTTGTCAGCCCCCCTTGCTTGATTGAGATACGCTATTCATTGCAATCAGGCCCGGATCTCCATTGTCCGTGATTTTATTCTTATCCTTGCGGCAGCACCTTCCATAACCTTGATCCTGCGCCCTCCGTCCTTCAATCCTCCCTCCCTCTCATCCTCCATTCCCGTCCTGGCGCAACCCAGTTCACATTCGTCTTGGTGCCTCTACCAATCACCTCTCGTATTCGAGCTCCCTTGTAGACGGCCTACCCCTCAAAGACCACCATCTGCTCCTCCGGGATCTGTCACATAGCCTTGGCTTCGTTGACCACCAGTCGGCGTCCAGGGTTAGGGTCCATATTACCTCAGTCGCCTCAGTCGCAGACCCCCTAAGCCTGGCTGGGAAATATTGGTTGGTGGCTCCTCCCTTGCGTTGGAGAATCAGAGTTCAGAAGCCTGCATAGACATGACAGCAGGCCCAAACTAGGTGCTTGCGATGGAAGACATCCTGGCAGATTGCAAGTACAAAGGTCGATGCAGGGAGTCAGCTTTTCCCATGATGACGTTGCCCCTGGAAGCAGGGTGGCGCCCCCCTAACCTTGTAGGTCTGTGCGTCTGCCATACCCATGCACGTGCCATGTCGAGATCTGAAGGATTTCGCGACTCCACGGATACCTTACCCTCGGCCGTGGTACCGGATGAGCGTGTCTGCAAACGAGAAGGAGACTTTTCGCTAAGCAAAAGCTATCTTGCCCTACCGACGATCATCTCCTAGTCGGGGAATGGCGAGGATGCTTCCCCCCCGCTCACAGCTTCAACGACAACCCGTGCAAGCCTATTGCGAGATGTCTGATCGAGATGTCTGATGAGGCACGGGCACGTCAGTAGGTATCTTGTTGCCAAATCATGTCGTCAACAACGTCAAGCGACAGCAATGCGCTCATTTTTCATTCCAGGTTTGCTCTGTCAACCTCTGACAATGTGCGATTCGTCGTTCGACTCAACCACAGGATGATTTGTCGGAGTGATCACCCGCGAGACCAGGCTTCGGACCCAGGCTCGGACCTCTTTTTCTCCGCCCCTAATGTGGGGATTATGCTTCCAAAGCCCGGTTGTCCTTATTTGATGTGGGCTTTCCGAACTCAGGTCCTATCGTTGTGGACAGATGGGAAAAACGGCACGGTCTCAGCTGGGTAACTGCGAGCCAAGTTCGACAGACTACAACCCTAGAGTTGGAATACTGCACAGCTAGACATGGCGCCCTCCCCTTCCCCTTCGAGTCGATCCCGCGCCACCAAGCCAATGAATCGCTTATCAAGCGCCTCCTCTCGCTGGTGTATCTGGTGGCCGAGTGCACGGACCCGGCTTCCCAGTTCACCATCGCTCGACGCGAGTGAGACCCCTCGTACCCCATATCGAGGGAGAGGAAATCCCATCTAGAAGAGGGGTATACTCGAATGCCAAGTCTCGAGGCAGATGTCGCTGCATTTGTTCTTGATCGTCACCGCTGACCGCTGCAGACACATTTGATAACGTCCGCCGATCTGCCTGTGCACTCTTGAACGAGCAGTCCACTTCCCTTAAAGTCACCACCACGCGCTGAAAGAATATTCTCGCAAACCGCTCAAGAAATGATATTCTCAAAACCATAAACATCCGCGTGGACAAGTATGGGCTTCCGTAAGGGGTAAGTTTCTTAGGGAAATCTTGCGGTTCAAAGACTCCACCGGCAGTGTGCCTGTAGCCGGCAATAAGATGTAAGTTCGACACGCTTACCCACCGGCATCAGGAGACGAACGCTCCAACAGTCCAAAGAATTGCATTTGGAAGTCAGGGTCTTCACCCTCTGTCGATCATTTCCCATCATTGAAGCCCAAACACAGCCTCGCTCAGAGCCACTGGGACCTTGCCGAACATGCCGAACTGCCTGCTATCATCCATGGCGAAATCTTCAGTTGCGCCGATCTCGAAAGTCTCCTGAATCTCTGCGCCTACGACTGAGACAGATTGAGCGTGCTCCGGTTCTTTGCAGGAAACTATCTGCTTGCCTCGGGCGGGTTCAACCTCTGACGGGACTGGATTTGGCTGTCAAAGTCTTTGAGGTTCGAGGAGACCACAATTCGCCCAACAGCACTGTGAGCATGTGTGTTCAGGTAATACTTCATTCGCATGACTTCCTCCGCCCCTGCTGCGCCAAGTGTCCAAGGGTGGTGACTCAGTTTTGGATAAGCTGGCCTCATGAACCGTCAGTGGTTTTTCGTCCTCTCATGTACCGATTACAACACATCTCCGTCGTAACGACCTGAACGGAATGCGATCTACTTGGAGATCGGCCGACAAGAACATTTATAGTACATTTATAGTTAAAGCGTGTTCTGAACCTCCATCCACTGCGTGATTTTGATACGGAACCCGTCTCACTCCACAAGTCTCGACAACAGACTTCTGGAGCTGTTCAGAAAGACGTCTCCAGGTTGATCTCGTTGGTTTGTAGCGTGCAGGACAGGGTCGACCTCGGCGATCTAGTCTCCATCTATTGGGGAATGTAACTTCCTGTTAACATGCCCATGGGCCAACAGCAGCACGAGGCCAGGTTGGTTATGGAAGAAAGGTAAGAGCTCGCCGAGTTAGTGCTGGTGCCCAAGACACTGTGGACAGTCACAGAGGCTGGAATAGACAGGATCAATGGGCGTATTGGGCGCGCACTCGGTCGTCAGTCGTACGGCGATGGCTGGACAACATGAACATACAACTGAAGCATGACTCGACGTCCAGCTCTCAACGCTGCCAGGCAAATCCTTGTAGACACAGAGCATTTGTGAAAACCCATTGGCCAGCTGTCAAAAAGCGTTCTGCTGGACGGGCTCAACCATGATGTCAACTGTTGATCAGAGTTTGACATGGTCTCCCTCAACAACGAGGTCAACTCACCGGCAGACAAAATAATTTCATCGTTCCGCAGAAGAGGAAACACGTGGCAATATTTCCCGGGTTGCCATGCGCACTTGTACCCCTGAGATCCAGTGGATTCTCTCTCGGAAAAAAACCACACAAACGTCGATCCCTCCTAAGCGCGTGCTGTCAGCGCGCTTCCAATGCCTACACGTGTCTGTCGTGAATAGCTTTGACATATCCGGGCATTCAACGCTGTGCAACCACTCCCCATGGCCATCATCGTAGCGATTCAGATAGGTGCAGCAGCTGGGATGCCTGAATAAAGGAGCGTTCGGTTGCCTCTACGGCTCATACCAACAAAGGTTGGAGTCCAAAGTGAGAGATACTAGTGCCATCTAAGCCGGGAAGAGCATTGACTCCTGCGATGCTCTTATTCTGGTTGCGGAATAGTGTACAACGTGCACCTTTTTTGTCTTTGAAGGGTTTGTAGTAGAGTGAAGCGTCGTAATCAATGCCATCTTCATATATCCCAGTCAGCCGGGAGCCTTTTGCCGTTTACCAGCATCCATCAAGACTTCTTTCGGCCTTGCCTCGTGACGGCCCCCTTTGATCTTCGGGGAGTCAAAGTTTGGACCAGCATGAGCCGTTGCGTGATGTAATGATCCAAACAAAACAGAGTTCATACCCCTGGCTTGCAAGAGCTCTTGGTTCAACTAACGACCAACATGACATCAGCGTGATCGGGGTCGTCGATGCCTTTTGCCAGGTCCCTGGCAGATGTCTCCGACACCCAATCATGCAACGGTCTGGTGCAATCTTCGCCAATGCTGGAGTCGCCTCCGTGGATGATGTCAAACATATCGAGAAAAAAGGTCAATTTCACGGCTCACTGTGTCGTCCGGATCGGACCAGATTAATGAGGTACCGTGGCTTTCGAATGTCGACAAAATTGGTCAGCATCGACTTGATTTTTGACGATAGCGTGCATTTCTACCGGGAGGTGAACCAAATCACGTCCATAACCTACGTGCCCGATGTCAAATACCTGCAATTTCAATCAGAAGCCAACGACAAGCAGCCATTCGTGCCCAGCCTTGTTATCTGTGGCGACGCCTCAATACTTTGAAGACTGTCTCTTTACGACAGACAATCTCCAGTCAACCAAAGCTCCGATCAGTAAGCTGAGATCATTGTTCGAAGGGACCCTGCCGGAGGAGTTTCGACGGTATATGGAAGATCTTTTACCCGCAGGCACGCACAGCACACGCCCAACCTAGCAGCTGTTGGCAGAAATCTACCATGAGTTGGAGCCTAGAGACCCAGATGTCAAGTCGAAGGTCTGTGTAGGTAGTAGAGGTGCCCCGAACTCCAGAAGCCTCGGATAATAGTGAATCACCACATTTGTGAGTGTTTATTATTCAGCAGCCTGCTGCCAATGGATGTGCCGTCGGACAACTCGGGGGCTCTGTTGTTTCGCTTATAAGCGGGGTGGGCCAAGAGGGCTTGTTGTTGTTGTTGTATCGGTGGACATCAGAGGGAGTCGGAGTGTCTTGTCGCAGGCTGCGCAAGGAAATTTGTCAGAAGCTGGATGCAGGTATCATGATTCGGACGTAGTCATTCTCCAAGGCTGAGGCATGTATATCAAATACTGAGATGATGGCTTGGATGGTCACGATGGTGTGTAGCTTGTTATTTGAGAAAAACCGCGACTCAGCCACCGAGGCGTGCCAAGACCAGCGCTTTCCCCAATCGGGAATCATGAGACAGGCACCAACAAAGAGTCAATCAAGTCAGCAACCCGCCGACCACCTTGACTCCCTTAACTCCCTTGACTCCCTTGACCTCTTCGACCTCTCACAGCCTTCGATCCAGCATGCAGCCATTGTCGCTAAACTCGCATCTGGTCTGCAGGGGATGCACTCATACCACTGACACCGCCGTCCGGGTCCCCGATCCCAGCCCCAAGCTCGAACCTGATCGGGCATGCCATTGCTAGAGCACATGCTGCTTCTGGGCTAGCTGCTCGTATGCGGTCGATGAAGAGATGGCAACCCGGCCCGCAATTCCAAACGCCTCAAGCTCTACGCTGTTTAGGCACTAGACTTGCTCATTGGGGCTGGCGCCCGTTTCTCTCCCCCACCCTGCGAATGCTCGTCTTGCATCAACAGGTCAACGCCGGCCAGCTCGTTCCGTGTGGAGCTCAGCTGGAATGGGCGTAAGCAAGTCCAGTGGCCGTGACAGAAACCCACAAACTCTCACAGGGACTCTTGATTCATCACAGTTGATATAAAGCCTAGTCCTCCCTTTTAGGGCATCAATGGACGAGATGCAGATAGTCGACCTCTCTTTCATCAACATGGTTGGTGTTCCTGGACGCAGTAAGGGCTGTCATACGTGTTTGAAAAGGAGGGTCAAGTGTGGTACGTATTCCCTTTGTGGTCATGTCTCCGACGTCCCTTGTTCTCGAACCAATGGCTGACACTCGTGGCGTCCCAGATGAGGCCCGTCCGACCTGTAAGCGTTGCGAAAAGGCTGGCTACGCATGCGCTGGGTATGAGAGGAAGCTGGAGATGCGTTTCCACACCTTTGCAGACCAGGCCGAATCCGCAATGTCGACACCACCCAAGACGAGCAAAGACCTTCCCCCAACGACGACGCCGGGAGGTGTGCCCGAGAATCTTGTACTCAGGTCTAACGAGAGTCCGCCGGGCTCCAGCTCCCTGCCTCAGGAGCTGAGCTTCGTGGCATTCAGAGACAATATCCAATTCTCCTATCTCTTTGACAATTTCGTGTGGAGCAGCTATGGCTCGCCGTGGCTTCAGATGTCGGCCGAGGGAAAGCTCGACGCGCTGTCGCTGGAGGCGTGTCGGGCGTTTTCCCTCAGCATCTTCGGGAGGCACCACCGGCAGGCCGAGATAGAAGTGACCGGCGCCATACATTACGACAAGACAGTCCGGGCCCTATCAACTCGACTGTCGAATGTGGGGGCGCCGGGTAGTGAGAATCTGATCGTACCTATCATGATCCTTCTCATGCACTCCGTAAGTTAGCTGCAACCCTCGCTTACCAGGGGTGTGGCATCCGCAGGCTGACCAAACACATAAAAACAGTCGAGCACCCCGGATCCACAGGCATCTGCCTTTCACATCCAAGGCCTGCTGAAACTCATTCAGATATGCGGGCCGGAGAGATTCGCGACGGGTCCCTTGAGGTTCGCTTTCGAATCATGCCGGGCAACGCTGGTAAGGGGTGGCCAAAACCATAGAATTTGACCATGGCACTGACGGTTTTGCTTTTCGCTGCTGCAGGTCACCGTCTCCCTGATCACCAAAACCCGAACCTTCCTGGAACAGCCCGAATGGCTCAGTGAACCGTGGGCCACGTGCGGCGAGTACAACAAAAACCCGCAGAACCGGCTCGTCGACATACTGGTGCACATCCCTGGGTTCCTGCAGGACCAGGCGCAGCTCGAGCAGGCGCCATCCGAGCAGTTCCGGCTCGAACTCGTGCAGCGCATCGAGTACCAGATCGCCAAAGCCCACAACTGGCGGTGGCAGTGGGAAGAAATGAACCCGACGGTGGCGTGGGAGGTCGACCCGGAGACGCTGCTGCCCGCCGACAATGGCCTGCTGGCCCTCGAGCCGCGGCCCGTGCGCAAGGTGCTGGTCTTCTCGTCCTTTGCCAAGGCCGCCGAGCTGTCGCTGTACAACGCCGTCCTGCTGTTCCTGCTGGGCCTGCTGTGGACCCTCAAGCCGACGGCTGCGCAGCCGTCCCCACCGTCCGTGCGCGTCGCACCTGCGCCGTCCGCGCTCTTCCTGCCCGGCGACTCCATCGACTCGCTGGTCGAGCCGGCCGTCGAGATCTGCCGCGCCTTCGAGTTCCAGCTGCTGGCGGCCAAGACGAGCCGCGACTCGGCGCTGTTCTGGCTGTTCCCGCTGGGGCTGGCGAGCATGGCACTCGAGGACCACGCGGACTACCTCGCCTGGATCCGGAACATGCTCGACGCGTCCCAGGTCACCCGCGGCTACGGCACCGGCGGCAACACCTTCGGCTTCGGCTTCTACCGCCTGCCCAAGATCCGCCGGAAGCGCTCCGCCGCCAACGACCACCGCCCCTTGATCCAGCCACAGTACGACTCCGACGCGATCAGGCAGCTCTCCGAGGGGTCATCGTCGCCAGACGAATTGTTATGAACTGGGGGATGGGGCCAGGAAGCGGCGTGAGATGATGGGTTTATGTTCCGGGTCTGGGTGATATTTGCGCTGGGATGGGGAGTGAGTGATACGGTGGTCCGGGGCCCCGGGGCAAGGGTAACAAGAGATCGGACGGTATACTATTACCTTGATGCTTTTCTGGCCTGTGATATGGCGTTGATGCATTTTCGATGTGGAAATCACGACGAAGCAGCTAGCGAGGGTGTGTGGTGTATGGCGCACGGTGTAGTTCTGCGATTCCTCACAATTCCGGGTGCTACAATCAAACAACGTCAATTTGTGAAACTTGCTGCTATAGAAAAGACACTCAATCCCAATTGCGCCACATATCCGTGTCCCGTTCGATTGGATCGTCATGCCGCACCAGCCGCGTACACGCGCTCGGGCTCCTCAGGGGCAGCGGACGCCATCATGTTCTGGATGCCTTGGGTCAAATCAACACCCACCCTCTCCTTGGCCAGGAGATCGACCAGCAGTGGACTGGGCTTGCTATCCCGGTAGGGCTGAGACGCCGCTTGGCTTTCCTTGTATTTCTGTACGTTGTCCAGGTACATATCGAACAAGTAGGACGAGTCAAGCGGGCCACCTTTGGCTTCCGGGTGGAACTGCGTGGAGAAAATGGGTCGAGACTCGTGGATGAGACCTGTAAATCACTCTGTAAGTACTTGGGGATTCGTGTTTGATCAGCAGCGCGGCTTACCTTCGTTGGAGTTGTCGTTCAGGTTGAGGAAGTAAGGCTTCCAGCCCTTTGGCAGGGTTGCTGCGTCAACGGCATACCCATGATTCTGACTGGTAATGTGACATTTCCCGGTCGTGAGATCGAGGGCTGGGATGTTATGTGCTCGATTGCCATACTTGAGCTTGATGGTCCTAGCGCCAGCGGCCAAAGCGAGCAGCTGGTGGCCCAAACAGATACCCATGATAGGGACTTGAGACGTCTCCATCAACTTCCGGAGGTGGTAGACGGTATCTTGGCAGTGGGTCGGGTCACCAGGCCCGTTGGAGATGAACACGCCATCGAAGTGATGGGCAACCTTGTGGATCGGATAGTCGAACGGGAACACCGTGGCACTCGCACCCCGGCTGACGAGACTGCGAAGGATGTTCTCCTTGACTCCACAATCAATCACAGCGATGTGGGCGTTTGGCGAGGGAGCGCTGACATGGAATGGAGCCTTGGTGCTGACTTTGCGGACAAGATTGATCTGCTCAGGATCAATGAAGGCCTCGTCCTGATCTTGGTCATATTCCTCTCCGATGGTGATCCTCGCCAGGCTAGAACCCTGCTCCCGTAGGTAGGTCACGATGGCCCGGGTGTCGACACCACTGATTGCTGGCACACCCTCCCTCGCACACCATTCGCTCAGGCTCTCCACAGCTGTCCAGTGAGAATACTTCTCTGCCACATCCGCAACTACCACTCCCACAGCTTGAATGTTCGGGCTCTCAAAATATTTCAACAGGCCATGCTCATCGCGAACACTAGATGGCACACCGTAATTGCCGATTAGAGGCTGGGTGAAGACTAGAATCTGGCCGCGGTAGGAGGGGTCGGTGAGGGACTCTGGATATCCGACAAGAGAGGTAGTGAACACAGCTTCTCCCGAGACATTGCTTCGAGCACCAAAAGATATTCCGTCGAAGATAGGGCCGTTTCGGATGGTGAAAGTCGCCCGTTCTCGAGTGGGAGAGGTGCTTTTGAACTGCTTGTGGACAGGCAGAGGTTGCTGTCGAGGGGTGTTGTCTGCCACGGTGGCCAGGGATCGAGCTCGTAAAGCAGAGACCGGCGAGTAGATGTTGGCCGCTTTGGGCACCAGGGTCGACGGTTTCAACACCCTCGAAAACATTGTGAAATATTATGACTCGTTGTATCTTCTCGTCTTCCTGACCGCTAGTTTGCCTGGGCCTTCCACAAATGATCTGCCGTCGTGGTTAGAGATGTCAACAAGTCCCAAGGAAAGGTCAGTAGTTACCACTAATGTAATCCTACAAGTCGATATGTTAGCACCAGATTGCAAATGACGTTGGTATTGCGGTGACACAAGGAAATGAAGTGCTTATCAGTGGGCTGGCGGGGGACGACTCCAGGGGAAGGAAAAAATGACTTACTTGAGAGGTGAAGATGCTGGGGAAGCACATGAACGCGATGGCGATTCTCGCGCAGGCAAAGGAGGGAGCAGAAGTATCAGAGCCTTACGAAGGCAAGTCTTAGTTCTCTGCAAGATGGGTTTGCACAAAATTCTTTCTTCGCAACGAAAAGACGTAGTTCTGTGGAGATGGAGCAGGAAAAGATTGGTGGAGGAGATCGATTGGACTGGGCAAAGATTTCAGCGCAGGCGGCGCAGGCGGAGGCTCACTGGACCAATCGCCTGCCCAGCAAAAGTTTTATCTGGCCCATGCAAAAATTCTGCGTCCGGGTGACGAAATGTATGCAGCCAAAATCTGCACCCAATGTCCTCAACTGACCACCGCGAGATGGATCGAATACCACTTACTACTCCCTCTCGATCCTGGCTGGCAAATCGACGAGTCCTGGCACTGGGGGAAACCTCTCGCAGTCACGGGAGCTCACGTGACGCACATTATGTCAGCTGTCGTTCGTCACGTGTTATTGCCTCTTAGGTCTCTATACCGTGCCCTAACCACGCCCCCTGTACCTCCAGATCAATAGCCAGAATATTGCTATTGTACCTATACATGTGACTCTTTGACGGACGAAACTGTAGATGCTTGACTTCCTTCAAACGAAGTTGACGCCATCTGCACGCGCAAGGCCTAGAAAAAGATGGACTCTCCCCTGCTGAACTGTGGCTTCGCTGGCTGGCCCGTCCCAGACAACCCTGCCTTGTACTCATCGACCAAAACCGACCACACATCGACTACTTCCAAATCTCTGGGACGAGGTTCCTTTGCCAGCTCCAGATCATAGCCCGTCAGACCTTCGATGATCTGGTTCTCAGCCTGAAGCAGCGCTGTCTTCTCCTCCTCTGACAAGTCCCAGAAGTCTGGCTTGTATGGGATGTCAAGAGGCTCGACCGACAATTCACTCTCGAATCGCTCATGCAGAGCGTCGACCTGTGCCCGGTACCAATCGCGAAGATACCCAAGCTCGCGGATACCAGCCATCTTGTTTGCAGCCCACCATCTGCAACAGGTCAAATCCGACTCGGCCCGCTGCCGGCCGACGCTGAGCTCCGTATTGTGGCGCTGGAGAGCTTCAATTTGGGACCGGAGTTGTTTAACCTCCAGTTGGAACTGTTGTCGAACAACCTGCGACATCTCTCCAAAAGCTTGCTGTTCGCATTGAGCTCTCCACTGCTCAGCAGACTGTTTAGTCCCCGCGAGCTCTGCCTTGTGGCCTCTCAACTGATCCTTCGTACCAGACAGCTGCGACTCTAGGCTATAGTTTGCTTCATCGAGGCGAATATTGCTCTCTTGAAGTTCGGCCACGCGCTGCCTCAGGCTGGCCACTTCCCTCTGCTGGTTGCGCTCCAGTGTCACGATTTTTGACTCGCGTTCTGATACTTCGAGCGCAGCGGCACGCAAGGCCTCTCTTGTCTTATCTATATGAGATGCGCTTTCCGCAACCTCTTCCTTGAGGCCGGGAATTTCTTCCATTGACATGCCTGTTTTAGACTTTACGACGTTGGGAAGCATGTTCATAAAATTGTCAAGTCTCCCTTTCCAGATCTCGAAGTTTGCAGAAAGCCTCCCGCATTTCTTCTGGAGCACGTTGTGGTCCTCTCGAAATTGCGACTCCTTTTGCTTCTGCTCCTCGGCAGCTTCGGACAATGTTTTATTTGCTGCGGTGAGGTCAGCACATGTACGCTGAGACATCTGAAAAGCCTGGCGAAGGTCTCTCAGCTCGTTCGGCTTGCAGATAGTGGGCTCTTCAATCTCTCGAGGATCCTGAGCATGCTTGTTTGTAAAGTCCAGAAGTAGTGTTTGGTTGTACTCTTGGACTTCCGCAACGCGAGCGTTTGCTTGATCCCTTTCCTGAACTGCCTCATTGATCTGTTGCTCCAGCTCCTGCATGGAATTCTGCAGGTCTTCTAGCCGGCTTGTCGCATCGGCTAACTCTTGCTGGAGCAGGATATTGCTGTCGGCGCCAGAGGTATTCGACGGCGCGCTCAAACTTTGGCCTTTTGATTTCGCTGTTCTGATACCGGGCAGCCGGATCTTAACCTTTTCTTTGTGGCCGTCGCCGTCAATGGTGCTAACGAGTGTTCTCTTCAACGGTAAATGTTGCTTGTTGAGAGCTTCGAGAATTGGTGAAGCACTGCGAACTTTCGCCAACAATGCCGCAACAAAGGTAGGGCATGGAGGTACGATATCTTGTGTGAGGATGTTATGCTTCTTCATGGGACGAGAGACCCTCTTCTTGAGAAGGAAGAGTCGTCTGTTTGGTACTCCAGAGTCTCCATCAAAAGGTGAGCTTTTCTGAGGCTCGACTCCAATGTTTGTGATCTGCATAACAGTTAGTAGAGGCTTCGAAGTGCATGTTTATCTTGTGGCTTACGTCGAGGGTAGCCCTGCCCAACATGTTCAGGAAAGGTCTGAAGACCATTTTGATGTCTGCCACAGGTGTTGGCTCACGTTGCTGATATGTGACGAGGGCTGAAAGCGAGCTATGGGGCAAGAGGCAACAACCTTTTCCAACAGAGAATGTTCTTGATGAATGAATGTTTCAAAGGAAGAGTTTTTGGTTCCTCGATCAGATAGTGATATTGGATCTGAGTGTTGGTGGAAAGCTAGGAGAGAAATAAGGGGAGCAAGGCTGAGAGTGGAGATATATAAGAATCAAACCAACGCGCCCGACTGCCTGCCACAGCCTTCGCGCGTGTCGCGCCGGGCCAATGCCTCCAACATTCACTCTCAGGTACGCGAACTGGTTGCCATGAGAACCGCTCGACTGTGAATACAGGAGTCAACACTTCCGTTTGATGGGGATGGTCAGGTGAATGTGTCCTCGGGTCACGAGACGGGCAACTGGCAAAGGAGGTAGAATTTGGCTTCTACCATGCTGTCACATCTCAGTATTTCCAGCTCGAAGGCCATCCGAAGAGCCAAAGTTACGACATTATCGGATGTGTTTCGATGGATATCCGACGGTAACGACTGCATACAGTGCCCAGGAGCGAAACCCCGCGCAGCTGAAGGACGTTAAGCTGCATCCAGGAGATCGGCAGCCTAGAAGAGCATATTTAAATACATATATTGATCGTCCTTTCGGTCGGCGTGGCTACTTCGCGAATAGGATGTGCGATGTTGCCGCCAGTGTTTGTGACAAACAAGAACCTCATTGTCCGACCAACAGGCTCAAAATGACACTTCCCAGGAGGTCTTTCTGTCCCGGACAGCGGAGGATTAGAGGAAGTCTACGTAGGCGATCGAAGGTTCCCAGAGCCGCAGCCAGGAAGGTAAGTAGTGTTGGACCAAGGAAACAGTTGTGCGGCAGTGGGAGACTCATATAGCGGTCATGTTTTCGCTTTGTGATACCGACCCCTTTTCCAGTCAGCCTCGTTCGTGCCAGCTCAAGTCAGCTCAGGTCTGGTCTCTGATGAAGCCAGGGTCCGTGGGCGACAGTTTCGGCAGGAGAGAACATTGGAAGGACCAATATATGGAAAATATTCATTTCTGCTTGGTGTAGAGGAGAGCCGTTGGACTGAAATCTCCTGAAAAATTCTTACTTCTTGCTGACAAGGACGGCCTCTTCGCCAGAGGCTAATCGACCACGGTCCGGTTCCGTGATTGCCTGTCGTCTGCAGCTTTCTATTTTTCGGTCCGTTTGATTTGTGGAAGATGTCAACACAGACTCAGCGCGTGAACGAGTACCTGCATACTTTCAAACCACGACCACAGGTCGGAACCCCCGATCTAATCCAGAACCTTTACACACCGAGGCTCCCATAACTCGAGCTCCAAATCTCCCCACTTGCTGCGACCACGCGGTGGCCCTCGTTGGGGTGGGGGCTGCTTTCCCGGTCTGGGGGGTCGATGTGGCGGCGTTCGACCACCAGGTCTGCCTCGAGGCTCGAGGAACAGGAGCGGCCAGATGGGGATGAAGCAGAACTCGTCGACGGCACAGATACGGTCACATTGAACTTCGTCGGGAAACCACCCAAGCCAAGCACGCAGCAAGGAGATGGAAGTCCTGTGCTGTGTGACCAGCGGCTGCAGGACTGATTCGGGGACGGTGGGAATGAGACCGGGCCCGTTGTCATGCTGGTAGTATGTTTGCCAAGCCTGTTCGATGGAGAACGCGAGTGAGAGAGTTGTGTTACAGATGACTGAGAGCACGGTCTCGATAGTGTCCAGGAGGGTTTGCTCTGTTGGAAGCAGGGTAGCGCGGAGCTCGTGGAGGGCGGATGTCTGACTCGTCGTACAGCGGGCGTGGATGGCTGGAAGGAAGGCGGGGGTCAGTGGGTAGGTCAAGTAGGGCATGAGCATGGCATGGGATTTCGAGCGGAGTGAGCCGACGTACTCCCTTACGAGTGTCGTGTTGGTCGTGTTGGAGGGCGGAGAGGTAAGCACATGAAGGACTTGTGTCAGGGGCTGAGAAAAACGGGAGGTTATGTCGACAGCCTTTTGAGTCCAGTCGATGCCCGTACACAACGAGGAGGAGTGGTTGAGAGCACGGAGCGTGCGGAGGACGGTGTCGCTCATCATGGTCGCTTCGTAGTTCGTGATTTGGGAGAGATTGTGTGCTCGGCGCCGGGTCGAGAGCTCCTTCAACGCGAGACGTTGATTCCCATCTCTGCCCGGGCCCTTCCAGCTCCCGTCTACTGTGAGATTCAGACGGTTTTTCTCGGTCTCAGCGAAGGCGGAAGAGAACTCCTCGAGCATGGAATCATAGTAGCTGAGAAAGCCGCAGAAGTTTGGCTTGACCCGCCCCTCCGGTCGACCTGTCGATGAACCTGAACTACCCGTATGCCAGGTCGCGCTGCGGAACCATTCGAAGCTTTGCGACTGTAGAAAGGGTTCCAGCTCGGCCTTGCTTCGCCAGTTAGGCGGGAGAGGCATGTCGGGGCCACCGGTTGGGGTGTCTGACGCTGAACTGGTGCGTGAGGTTGCCGTAGCAGGTCTCGTTCGCGTGGCCAGCAGCTCACAGAGCATGGGATCCGTGGGTTGTTCTCCTATCAAGACGGCTTGGGCTGCCGATCCATCATCATCGCTGAACCGTTCGGGCAGAAGCGGCACAGACACATTGACGTGGCTGACTAGCCGCAAGGTCGGGCTGGTGAAGTTGCACCAGATCATCTCGAAACCGGCATTCATGCGCACGATGCCCTCGATACCCCAGCCCACTCCGCCCAGCTCATTACTCTGCACCCACTGACACAGCGCCGCGGCACGGGCGTACTCGTCAAAGAGGCTACGCCACGTCCCATTGCCCCCTTCCTCCGAGCACGTCGTATTGCCGCACAGAAACACCATTTGCGAGTCCAGCGGGCCCGTCCCCATCAGGGCGGCGGACATGCCATCGAAATAGAGACAAGGCACCGGCCTGACGTTCTGGTACGTCAGCAAGTGTGAGTTTCGGCTGGAGCCCATGATGCCGTAGGACATTTCGGCGTCGAACGCGAACCACTCCGGGCTCGAGGGCAGCTTCTCGTCCCGTCTTCCGTGGTAGAGGTTCGTGAAGGCCGGGATCTCGCACGCCACGATCGAGTGCCCGTTGGGCATGTACGTGTTGGGCCACTGTTCCAGCAGATATCGGAGGGAGGAGAAGATATGAGGGGCGGTCGATGTAAAGTCAGTGTTGGGTTGCTCATGGACAGTGGATGGAAGACGGATCTGCTGGGCAGCTACCCCTAGGTAGAGAACCGTGAGAGTGAGGCATATGCTGAGACATGTCTGCACATCGCCCGGCACTCGGGAGAGGGCCATAGACACAACTGAGCAGGATGATACCTCCTCTTAAGAATGGCCGAGGAACTCAACTATAGCTTCATCACGAAACGACAAAAGGGTTGTATAGAGGGCAGAGATCTAGATATATATCATGTTCTGTATCAACCTACCTATCCAGTGTATTGTATCTTCGTTCCTTATCAGTGTCGATGAGGCTGACGTGGCAAGGGAATCGCATCACGTGACGAGGTAATGCCTCTCAATCGTCCTACTCAATATCAATGACATGATTGCAGGGTGGAAAGTACTCATTCATTCATAGGATAAAACATGCATAGTGGGCGATTCCATCATGCCGATGCCGGTCGAAAGAGAAGTGAAAAGTGGGCTGCGAAGGTGAGGCTGAAACTACAACAGCCCCTTTACCCCTTTTCTCTGCATCTTGTCATCAATTTGATTATTGGCCCTAACTCTTCTGTGCTCCCGTCCGTCATTAGACTGCGCCGCCCACTGTGCTCGATTTTCCAGCTCTAAAACATGAGCTTGCACTCCAGCATTGGTCATCATTCAAGGCATGACTCTGCCATGCGGTCTTCCTTGGTCTTCTCAGCATATCCCGTGAGACGCGACTGGAGACCTCCTTGACTGACCCAATTGAGGCTCGTCGACAAATTTATTGTCCCTCTGGAGACGCACTCGTCGCACAGAGCACACCATGGCGAACGCATCGGACATCATAACCTACATCGGCGTCCCGCTGGCCGTCCTGGGCGTCCTCCCTATCATGTACACATTCATGATCGCCATTCTCACACAGCGCAGAATCCGCGCCGCCCTCGTCCACCACGGCCACAGACCTGTGAGCACGACGCGCCCGCACGACGGCTTCACCATCCGCAGCTCCCCCATGACCAGTCTGATCGAAGTCGAATTACCTCGCTACACCATTGCGCCTCTGGAGCGCGGAAATGAGGACTACTGGAAAACCTCGACCGAGGGAAGAGACGCATCACAAGAAGAACATCACCATCTCCTCGCATTGGATCGTGCAGAGAGCACGCTGTCCATGGTCGAAGAAGGTCGCGTGCGTGGCTTTCTGCGGGGTGGCAGCTGGCGGGGCTTCCACTGGAAAAAACTTATCGTGGGCAAAAAGCTGTACAGGATCCAGTATGAGGACGAACTGAGGGAACCGCCTGCAGAGGTGAGCTTCGAGGAGCTAGTGGTCTTTTTGTTGGATTGGGGAGCTGTGCCAGATGGGATGGGTTGGGAGAAACTGAGGAGTGGCGGGTTGTGGACGCCAAGCGGGACGGTGCTGCTCAAGAAACCTGAGGATGATGCAAGGGATGGCGAGGAGAGCAGCAACAAAAGACGAAGGGGCGTAGACTGGGTGCTGCGAACAAGTATGCCGGATGAGAGTGACGGAATATTGAGTCTGACCATACAGTGGTCCCCAGACGACACAACCTCCGTCAGAGACATGAGAGGCGCAGAGAGCTTACCACCTGGCTGGGGACGATTGACTCAGCCTGCCCTGATCGAAGCGAATGAGAAACGTAAGGAGAATGAGACCGACTTGCCGGCGCGGATCGAGAACTGCAAGTCGGCAAACAAACACAGCATGGACAGCACTAGCTTCCGATTCCACACCGAAGATAACCGTGTCCAAAAACTCCTCTGGGAGCACAACAACCTCGAGACCGGCTTCGTCTGCGCACCGTTCCAAAAGTACGAGCAGTCCTCTGCAGGACTATGGTTTACCTGTGCAGCATCGGCTTTGCTGGCACACAAAAATCCCACAAGTGGCGGCCTCTGGGCGTTCGAGACTCCTACGGAGATCAAGACCTTTGTGCGTAAAGACACGATCCCGTGCGGTGTGATGGTCCTCCTCGGCCTGCTCTCCGAAAACGACGCGCCACAGTGGTCATCTGAAAAGGACGACCACAACGACGGCATGCACATGGCGCGGCAACACCAGCAGTGGGTACAAGCCCGACTCGCCGGCGAGAGACTGGAGGCCACCATGCCACCGGAACAAGCCCGGATTCACAAGATGAACCGAGAGTCGAACGAGAGACAACAGCGGCACAACGACATGATGGCTTCCCTCGCCGCGCGAAAGCAGAGGGAAGAAAAGCGGATTATCGACGCGATCGCGAGTCCGAGGATGGACATCAAGCGCGTCAGCGAAGCGTGCCTGACGTGGTTGATCGAGAGGGGAGAGGTGGGCCAGGAATGGACGGTGCACGAGCTGGCCGAGGCCGTGTGTTACCTGATGGTGGTGGATCTCCAAGATTACTCAAGTAAACAACACCACCAGAACGATGACGGGAAAGTGGACGAGGAGCAATCCGGGGAAGCCATGCGGATCGTCGTGATCCTGGACGAATGGATGGCCTGGGCCACGGCCGGAGGCATGAAGAAACAACAGTTCCGTCTGCTGGAGCGAGAAAGGGATAAAGTGGCGTTCTGCTTCGCCGTCGCCCTGGTCGCGGTCGTGGCCGACGCCATGAGTTCGAACAATGCGGGCATGGGCAAGGTCGGGTCGGATATGCTCGAATGTATGAGGTTGTGGAGGAAAGTTCGCTTAGGATAAGAGAGGGCGGGGAGGGAGCTTCTAGTGCGAAATATACGAGGTACGATGACAGACAGGGCCTTTAGTTTATCTCCATCCAGGACTTGTACGTTCTTGGCCAATCTGATCTGATCTGGATCTGATATTACATACATACACCCCTTGGAGGTAATTAGGGAATAGGACTGGACTAGGAAAACGCATCTAATGTTGGTCAGCCTCGGTATTTCCCCCATTCTCGCCCGCTACACCTCAACAAGCTAGTACGCGGAAATACCCCCCTCCCTCCCAATTTATCTTGGCCTTTGGGCTCGGCATAATATCAACTTCAACTGCCGCCTAGGCTTCCAGCTGCTGCTGCTGGCTCTCCCCCCAACCCCGTGTTTGAGGTCTCTGACTTCTCAACCGAGAAAAAGAGGGCGTGAGAGCCTTCTTCATCTTCTGCCTCTGCTCTCTATCAGTGGGTGCAATGATATGCAAAACGCTCCCTGTGGTTGCCCGCCAACCACTTTGTTGTGGATCCTGGCGGAGTGGGTAGGAAGGGCGGATTCGAACTATGTACCGAGTACGCAGCAGAAAAGATTTTCTCTGTGGGCACCTTGCCTGCAGTCCACGCAGAGACTCCGGCCTGCTAATCCCCATCAATCTAATCAAGGCGAGTTTTGACGTTGGGAAATGTATTTTCCAGCTCCAAGCGGCAGCAGGTCGTCTGTCTACAAAGGGCTCCTTTCCCATCCGGGCCTAAGCACACTAAATCCTCAGATCCAATCCTTCGATACCCACACACCAAAAATAAATGAGCAATCAATCGTGTGAAAAAAAGAGCAAAAAGAAATTGAAAGCTGTGCAAGATCCGTGAATCGAACACGGGTCTCATCGATGGCAACGATGAATTCTACCATTGAACCAATCTTGCTTGATATCTGGTGCTAATACCTCTCAAGCCTTGCTGAAGACAGACAAGACAGGATTGAGGATGCCAATTCATGTTTCAGAATATTCTGTGTGTGAATTGTTGACATGATTTCGGTAGCTTTGATACATATACCAGCGATATCTGACAAATGGGTCGGTGAGGAAGGTGGCGATGAGGCAAGACAGGAACAATGCACGACATGTTTACTATATCACTAAACTACTGCATGAATGTACACGGTGCAGAGATCTAGGGAGATTTCTTGGTACTTCGCAGTGTTGAATCGTACAAAAAAGGTTTCTTCAGTAGAGAAGCCGCCCAATTGGACCAATCGCTACAGGCCATGCGACGCAGAAATGTACGCTTGTATAAAAAATGTACTGTCCCGATGCCTTTCCCCCAAGGAACCGTTCAATACGCCCAATGTATAGCCAAGACCAGAAGACCTGGGAATGAGTGAGTGAATCAAATAGGCCATGGTTATGACCGTCCGAGAACTTTCTTCAAGACTTCGCCCAGCTTCTCAGCACAGTCATCCCGTAGGCTCATTGATCGCCACGCAACAAATCGGTCGGGTCTGACGAGGACACATCCATCTTCCTCAACTTCTCTCTTACGCTCCCTGTTCACGGTAAAAGTCAGTAACAAAGATTTTGGAACACATGCCGGGGAACAACTTACCAATCTCGATAGACATCGACCCATTCCTGTCCCCATCCGATGGCGTGGGCGTTAATCTCCACTCCAAGCTCTTTGCCGACCTTCTGTGCGGCCTCAATCCACCTCTCGCCCCCGATACCAGTCAGCAGACAGAATTGTCCATGTCCAGCCAAATCGATCGTCGAGGTGTGGTTCTTCACGGGCATCGTCCGATTTAGCCATGCATGAGGAAGTCGATGGCCCGGGTAAGTGCTGACTTTATGATGCAAAATTGGATCTTCTGGCCATTCGGGCTTTGGTGTGTTGGCCTTGACTTCATCGTCAAGGTACACGGCCGTCGATTCATATCGGTGATTCATTTCGACGCCGATACCGTGGAATTCGTGACTTGTCCCTTCAATCGCTTCATTCACCCGTTTTCGCCTTTCTCGAGCCTCGGGTGTTGCTGTTTTCAAACTGTTGAAGATTTTCATTCTCTGCTCGACTGTTTCTTCCATCAGACCCATTTCTCTCCAGACAGGGACGTGATCTCGGATACCCTGATTCGCGCGGGTAATCACGCCCAAGCCGACAGGTTGCCGTTCGTGACTGAAGGTGTCGAGAATTGCGGGAGACGCGAGACCCTGAGCGACGTATTTGATCTTCCATGCCAGGTTAAACGCATCCTGCACGCAGGTGTTGGATCCGAGGCCATTGAATGGAGGATGTCTGTGCACAGCATCGCCGAGGCAGAAGATGTTTCCTTCGGAGTAGTACTCTGCCACAATCTCATTGATGTACCATTTGGAGACGTCGAGGATTTCCAAGGGAAGATCGTCCCGGCCCACGATTTGTTTGCATCTTTGGAGGTATTGCTCGCGAGTGGGCTCTTTCCACTCTGCCCCAGGCTTGGGAAAGAGAATGAACATCCATCTGGAAGCCTTGATTAGAAGCTGCCGGACGCAAAAACTGAGGGCTTACTCACTCGTTCCATGGTTTGACCATCCTGATCAGTCCGCTCCAGGCGAAATCTGGATATTCCTGCTCGGGTTGAAATACCCAGTGCAGGTTTCCCTTTCTAGCCTCGACATAATTACTCAGATCGACTTTGACCAAGACATTCAAGGCCAATCCCTGACCAGGCTTCTTGATCAAAGGGATCTTGAGCTCTCGAAGGACTTGGCTCCTTGCTCCATCACAGCCAAAAAGATACTGGGAGCGAATGTAGTATTCGGTCCCTGTCAATTCGTCTTTAACTCGGCTGAGGATCTTTCCGTCGGCCTCCTTCTCAAAATTGACGAAGCTGGTTCGGAATCTGACATCCCAGCCTTGGGCTGCAGCTCTTTGAACCAGAATCGGCTCAAAAATCGTTTGCGGCAAGTCGACGTGATGACAGGGAGTAGCTGCTTCATATTCGCCGTGTCTTTTCGGGTCATTGCCCCAGGAATAGATTCGAGCATATTCTTCACCGGTCATATCATGGCACCAGCGGGTGTGCACCATACAGTCGCCCTCGACGGCCTGGGAAAGACACGTTTGTTCCAAATCGATATCGCGAAGACATTCAAAGGCGGCGGGATTCGTAATGTGCGCCCTCGGTGTCTGTGATGTCGTAGCAGCAGCAGCTATCATGATGCCTGTCATCGAGTAAGGTGGATGAGAGAGAAAGCAGGCCAACGAACCCCCAGCTGGACCCGCGCCGACGATGAGGACTGGTGTTTCCACCACTTTCGACTTGATCTCGGGTACGCCGTTGGTAACTGCTGAGCCAGACATGTTGGCGTTGGTCTCTGGGGATAGGCTGTAAGTCCAGTAGTGAAATGATGAGAAACGCTCTGATGGAGGGGTTGTCAGCTCACTGGACAACGTCTTACCATTGTCGATATATACAACTACGGTGTCGGAAATACCCCCTTTCCCCAGACTCCACTGATCTCACATTGCGGGATGGGGCAAGGAAGTGTGACGCCCGAGAGGGCCAATGGCTGTTCCCCCCAAAATGGCCGGCAAGGGGTTCGTGGGTATCGGTTCCTTCGGAACTTGTCAAGGGACCTGGATCCCGATAGATTCATGGCTCTGGGCTCTGACAGCCGGGTATGGGGACACTGTCGATGGTTCGGGAAAAGGAAACGTGGTATGGCTGGATGGACTCTGGCTCCTGGTGCTTGCAAACACTCTCGTAAGCGAATGTAGGACGTAATTGACAGGTGGCATGAGAACACAGCGGATGACTTGGGGATGATGGTTTGGCCGGCAGCTTTGCGTCCTCTGGTCTCTACCAACTGCGGCGAGTTGTTCACAGGTGTTGTGGTGTTGTGTACCTGCGGCCCATGACATCATCAGCTACAATACCACACTCATTTCTCACCCTCGGCCACATCGTCAATCACCATCGTCCAGCTCCCTTCACATCTTAGCAATCACAATAGGCCTCTCTGCTTAGAGATCTCTCTTTCATCTACCCACTGTGCTCCGGTTCGCTCCTGGCAGAGTGACCTCATCAAGCGCCATGCTATTGCGAACCGTGATACGACCCTCCCTCTCCTTTCCTTCGGCCTTGAGATCAATATCTGCTCCTCTCGCACGGCCAGCTTTCAAACGCCCTGTTCTCGTTGCCTTCGGCCTCACGGCGACCCTTCCTTTCGTGTATCCTTCGTCCGTCATCAGGCTCGACTCTTCACCTTATTCACCACCTCCTGCGGGTGCTGCGGAGTTTAGCAGCTCCTCCTCGTCCTCCTCAAATCCCCGCGGAGCCAAAACTCCTCTCACAAAGGATGGAAAGACGATCAATCCTGCTGCAGTAAAGCAAATAAGTTTGGGTTCGATCCTAGGCCTGGCTGCGGGAGTGCTCCTGTCGGCGTTTTCTACAAGTTTAACATTACTGCTCGGACTGGGCATTGTCGTGTGGCAGCTGGCCGCTCGAAGAGGATATAATTTCATCCCAGTGGATCGCCTGCAACGATACTTCAAGAACATCGATGTTCGCAGTGCCGTCAATGACAACCTGGCCTTTAAAATCAGCTTCGGACTTATGTTTGCCCTTGCCGCCTTTGGTGAGTTTTGAGGGCTTACCACTGACCGATTGACGAGTAATGTCAGTGGGGATTATATATCCGTTGAACAACAAAGGTCCGCATTCGAGTCCAAAAAAGGAATCGTCTCGCTTTCAGATGGTCGGCTCGACCAGATCATAGGATCCTTGACGGACACAATCTGATTGATGCAAAATCCTCGCTTTTTTTTCAGGGTGGGAGGCAAGGCCGGAAGATCAAAATTGTTTAAGTGGAACAGCGCCGTATACACACCAAGGTGCTAAAACCGGGCCAGGGGCATATGTGTTGGCTGTACCGGACAAAATCTCATCGACAAAAGGGTTTCGCGGGCGATTGATTTCATCCAGAATCCGAGTTGAGAACTGCAGTATCCCCAGACGAAAGGCTCGAATTCTTGAGGGGTTTTGCCAGATGATTGCGATACAGAAAAAGTTGGGCGGTGTCTTCCATTGCAATATCCAACCATATCCCCGGCAGTGGTCTATGATATCTATCCCTCCACGTGCCGTTCTAGAATGCCTGCAACCAGCTATCTCAAAGTTCACTCGTTCAAGTTTTCGAGCTCATTGGACCGTGTATCTAGTATTTCCCGTTCCACCCTCTATCTGACATGAAATGGTCTAATCCAATGATGGAAGATGTCTGTTTATCCTCGTCGACTTTCGAAACAAAAGCATCTGTGGCTAGCTCCCCTCCCCGCTCGGTGCAGCCTTGTCGCCAAGTAGACTCTCGTGGGACTCGTTGGAAGCGTCACCAAGATCGCTCCAGCTCGTATCCACGCGGCGACCGGAGCCGCCGCTGCTTCTCTCGGGCCTGCCGGGCGCGTGTCCATCCTCCGGTCCTGCTGCACTGCTCGTCCCGCTCCCTACTATCCTGCCTTGGGGCAATTGATTCATGGCGTCCTCCTCGGCGTCCAGGCCCCTGTTGAACCACCAGAACAGGCCGCCGGCGACGAAGGCCACGGCGCCCATGACGCCGAAGTTCCACACCAGGTACGGGTCGCGCGCGAGCCACAGGAAGCCCTCGCCGATGACGTTGGCCACGGCGCTCATGCACAGCGAGAAGGCCTGCACCATCGAGCGCATGTTGCGCGGCGCCTTGGTGAAGGCGTACTCGATCGATGTGATGCTGGCGAGGATCTCGCTGATCGCCACGAGTAGGTAGATCGGGGCTTGGTAGGCGATCGAGACGGAGGCCGGGGGACAGTCTCGGGTGGTGTCGCCGCCGCCGCCACCATCCGTCACGACGGGTTGGCCCTCGGAGGGATAGTAGCCGCACTCGTTGTGTGTGTAGATGTACTTTTGCAAAAAGGCCGCGTACACCATGGCGGCAGCGCCGAACCAGAATCCGAGCGTGATTTTCCTGATCGGCGTCAGTTTCACCCCCCGTTTGGTCAGGCTCGGATAGATGATCAGATCACAGATCGGGATCAGAATGATCAGGGCCAACGGGTCCAGGTTCGAGACAATCTCCGGAGGCACACCGGCATGCCTCATCGTGTCTGCTTGAGATGTTAGGTTATTATTCACTTGGTTGTACGTGAGCCAGTACAGTGGAAACCAGAGCAGAACGGAGCAGGCTTTCACGCCTCGACGCAGTTCCGACACCCATGCGTCGTCGAAGATCATCCAGGACGGCCGCTTACGGGGCGGGATACGGGATGGCTGCAAGGCGGTCCAGAAGGTAGTCGTCTTGCGGACATTGCGGATTGTGCGAAGAGGGTTCCAGGACCAATATGGCCGAATGGCATAGAGGAGTGTCTTGACAGTGGGGCCCAGTACCGAGCCTTGTGGAGGAGCGAGGCGGTAATTCTTCTTGTTCAGGACGAGTATGAGAGGGCAGAGGAGGAACATCAGCGTCGGCAGCAGGAAAGCGAGGTAGTACCCGACATACAACGCGGCGTAGGACATGGAGATCTGGCCTATCAAGGCGCCGATGTTGATGAAAAGGTAGAACCAGTTGTATATTCTCGCCGACGTCATGGCTGGATCGATAATCACACGCTCTCCACTCTTAGGGTCGATCGAAACGCGGAGTTTCTCTGACACAATTTGCTCAGCAATGAGAGGCGAAATGTTCGGTTTGAACCCGCCCGTCCCGAGCCCGAAGACGACGAGGGCGATCACGAAAGATATGAAAGCAGTGCTGGTGTTTGCTAGCACAGAAGGCAAGGCACTGATGGTGAGAAGAACATGGCCGATGACAGCGATGCCGATTGCCAACATGATCGTTTTATATCTACGAGATCTCGTCAGTAACTGTTGAGGGCTGAGCATCATGTTCAGGTAAGTGAGTGTTACCTTCCAAGGTAGGTATCCGCCAACCATGCTCCCGGCAGAGGAGTCACGTAGCACCAAAAGGCGAAGAAAGTGCCCAGGCCAGTCGCCATCTGCTGGCCCTGACCCAGCGCACCAGGGTTGTTGTCTGTGTCTCCACCCGGGTTGGGCGCTCGACCAGTTGGCGTGAGTAGGCGTCGCTGGACGAAGTTCTGAAACAGGATTTGCGTGCCATAGTAAGAGAACCGTTCGCATAGTTCGACAAAGGCGACCGTGTAGACACGCCAGGGGATCTTATCGGCCACGCGGGGAAGAGTCTCCAGTTCCACCTTGGTCGGATACACGGTATCCTCATCAGAGGAGTGCGGAGATATCAACGGTTTGTCTTCTGTCCGGGCGGTCAGCTCATAAGCGTTACTCTTTCAGAAGTCTCGTCTTGCCTGGCTCATCCAGCATTTCCGAAAGGCTGGTCCTTCGCAGCCCGTCGTTGGAATGTCGCAGCACGCCATTCTCTGAATGCTGGGGAGAGTGCCGTAGCGGCAACGGTGCTCCCGTGAGCGCCTCGAGTTCAACGTCATGCATCTTTAGATGCGAACCAATCTTCAAGTTTGAAGATCATTCGCAGCAACTGTCCTCTGAGTAAGATGAAATGCCTCGGCGTCACAAACGGTGGCCGCGAAGAGACAAAGATAGTTCATCAGACCTGTTGCTGAGGGAAGCAATGGATCATTCTCGATCTGGTGCTTTATGGATGGAGAGATTGTCTGAAGAACACAGCTGCAATTAACATGGCACTGAACAAGGCACTGAGATATATCTTCGCAAAGCTGACGCCAGAGGGGCAGTTGATGATAACGGATTATCGCGACCCGCTCCACTTGATCATCGTCGATATGGCTCTTTGTCAGCTTCAGCATACAACTGGCAGGTGTAAAGTAACCTGAGCCATGAATATATCGTCAGGCCGACGTCGATTAGGGGAATTTCAAAGGAGGATTGTGAGCCATGAGACCAGCAGTCGAATAGGGGGCCGATCCGGATTAAATGTTCATCCGGTTTCCGGTTTGGGGTTTCAACGAGGCATACAGCAGGTCATTCCGAACCTAACTATTCGTCCGTCGCGACATCAATGCTACGTAACAGATGTGAAAAAGCAAGTCTTGCCATTATCGATAGCTGGAGGTGGTGTGGCACGAGTAATTACAGCCCCCATGTAAATTGGGATTTATATCTCGCTGGAGAAATACACCAGGCCATACACCCACCGCTTTCACTGACACAAATAACCTGCATTGCCCTATCTCTCCTGGATGCTCTATTCCTCTCTGTCATGGGGCGGTCGTCATCGATTTATGTGCGCTATGGCCGTGCACACGTCTTAGGCAAGCACACCGAACAGCGACTTCGTCCTCGTCCAGTACTCGGCTGCAGACTTAATGACCGCCTTCTCCACGGGCTCAGCGGATGTATCTCGCCCTAGTGCAATGCTGAGATATACTTCGTCAAACTCGTTCTCCATGTACCAGGCCTTGAAATCAGATTCGAAGATATGAGAGCTGACAGCTTTCTTGACCAGCTCAACCACGGGAAGAGACCATAAATCGGTGCCACCAATCTCCAGCATGATCTTACATAGTTGTCGTAAAGTAGAGAATGCACAGGGCGAGGGCATGTTGTCAGGCAGCATGTCCTTATTCCATTTCATCGACTTCTTCCTGCCTTCTCTTGACGTGGACAGATGGAGACTGACCTCTTTAGCCACGAGAAGATGTAGCTTGCGAACAAGCGCAGGGAGCTTCGCAAATCTTGCTTGCTCCGGAAATGCATGCTGCAAGGAGGTCATAGAAACCCTAATAGAGCGCAGCAACGCCACGATATGGGAAACAGTCTTTGTTTCTCCCGCCACTTGAGTTGCTTTTTCCGTGATACTTGCCTCGTATTCTAGCAATGCCCTCTGCAACGCGGCTTGTAGATTGTTGCAGTACAAACTTAAGTCCGCTTCGCACAGATCTCTGATCAGATCAGAAGCTTCGTCTTCGTTCTCTTCCTCGGGTTCTTCGATGATATCTCTCCATCTTATCTTCGCGATCTCCTTGAACTGGTCGAATGCACTATTCGTGGTCGCGATCCACGTATTCAATGACTTTGAAGCTTTCGACAATGCCACATTATTGCCTTCATGGCGTTTTCTGATACGGGTGATGAGCTTCGCTCCCCCAGCGTCCAGATTGGTTAGTGCAAGCTCTGCGTCCCAAAGCGATTTGGTGGTCCTGCTAACGGCAAGTTTGTCGAGGAGCAACGTCGTGATGTGAACCAGACGAGCACTTTGATTGTGGCAAATGTCGTGCACTCTCTTGTTCACAGCTTGGGCGATCTGATCTTTGATGTCCGACCCTGCTGGCAACGAAAAGTAGAAAGGGAGCAGAATGGCGTAAAGCTCTTGCCGCAACTCCAGCACCTCCGCTATCTGGTCTATTGTGGGAAGATATTGGCCCAGTGCATCAGAAAATGCTCGTAAGCTCTCTTGAGACCATGTCTCCAGTTTAGCTTGCGTCTCCTCAGATGTGGCCGCACTCCTCTTGAAGTATGGAACAAATGACCGTATCTCATCTGGAATCAACGAAAAAGTCTGATCAAGGCCCAGGGACTCCAGGTCCCTAATAGACGGATCCTCCAAGATCGGTCGCTTCTGCAGGTGATTGATAGACTCGATCATGGGGCGTCCTATCAATGACTTGAAAGTCTGCAAGGATAAGATTTGATACCGTAAGGCTTGACAGATGGTGGATTGTTGGCGAGAGGCGGTCAGCTGACGCCGGATTTTCTCAAGCCTGAGCTGGCGCATCTGCGCCAGGGCATCCTCCGAAGAACTGCTTGTGACCAAACAGTAGGCACATATTGACTCGAGAAGATCCGACAACGTTGACATAGGGTTGGTCAGGCTAGCTTCTGTTCGTAGAAGCAGTTGCCGCCGAAGCGCACCAAGCTTGTTCCGCAGGGAATCGAGGCTCCTGATCAGCGTGTCCTGGTCGCCCAGTGACTTCAACAATAACCTCGAAACGACTATCAGTTGAGCACACCGCAAGATGTGCTGGTCACGGAGAGATGAAGCTGCAGTCGTGCAGCAGCGTTGCAGGAGGCGAAACTGGGCCAGCGCCACTTTGTCGGCTGGCAGAGGCCGGGGAGAGGCATCTTGTTGGGGTGGTCTGCAATTGTGACTGATTGACAGGAGGTTGTCCTCCGCAGTTCTGGTCTGTGCATCTAAGACGACAATGGCTTCGGCAGTCGCCAAAAGCTCACGATAGCTCCCACTGGTATTCCCAGGAGAGAGTCAGTATTGTGGGATTGTACGTGCCGCCAGCGAAAGCAGAAGATGTAGCGTACCCAACGAGAGCCCGGAGCTTGTCTTTGTTTTGTGCAGCACTTGCCCGCAGCTGCTTTTCAATCACCCTGGTTTGTGGGATGCGATGGTTTTCGAAAGCATGCTGCCAGCTGATGATCGTCGTGGTAGTGTCCATCATGGAAGTGGCTGGGTGCGGAATGCCTGGTTGATACAGACGTTTTTGTGATCTGTAGAGGCCACGCTGGAAGAGACCGCGTCGGCCATCCAGGTGCTTCGCCGTAGAAGCCTGCGGTTAGATTCAAGACACCACGCATCTACGAGCAGGGACAATGTTCATTTCTGTTGGTCAAGCGTGAGCAAGCCTTTCATGCAGGCTCAACATTAATATACAGATTCTGAAGACTGGGGTCTTCTTCTAATGAGTCTAGAATGGTCTGCACCTCTTGCTCCTGTTCTGCGGACAGGGTAATCATGGAATCCTCATTCGGCATGTATACCACCTCTGCCTTTTCCACCTGGATTCCCAATTTGTTTTGGAGTCTCTGGGCGACAGCTATGACATCGCCAGGCTCTGTCTCGACCACCAGCTTGTTCTCTTCCGACGCAATGTCGAGGGCGCCCGCCTCGATCGCATCCTCCAGGGCGTCCTCAACACCGATCTTTTCCTGCTCTTCAAACGAGACTCGCCCCTTTTTCTCGAACATGAACGCGGTAGGAGTGACTGTGCCGCCGGCTTTCGTGATGATATAGCGGATGTCCGTCAGAGTCCTCGCCTTGTTGTCGGTCTGGCACTCAATCATGGCAGCAACGCCGTGAGGTAGCATGGCTTCGATGGTGACATTTTCAAGAGCTTGGCCACTGGGAGATTTTCCCTGTCCTTTGGCGATGGCGTTCTCGATGGCAGTCTTTGAAAGCTGGCCCTTTTTCGCAACTGCGATCGCATGCGCGAGTCTAGAGTTCATACTGGGATCAGGCCCGCCCACTGTATTACCATCAGTCTCTGACCGCCGGGCTTGAAGTTATCCTGTCCATGTCTTACACTTTGAAGCCATGATAATATCTGCAGATAGGTGGGTCCGGACCCTGCTCTTCGCCGCATCTGCTTTGCCCTTGTCATGTTTGATCTTTGCCCACTTGCTGTGTCCAGACAACCGGGTTTGGCAGCTTGACCAGTGCCGGCATGGCGCCTGAAAGCTCTCGAAGGAGAGACGTGACCTCCAGAGCTGGCGCGCACCCATGCAAAAGACAGATTGCTCTCGATGAACAACAACGATGGTGGTCAGCTTCCCCAGAACGACAGTGGACGGGAAAACGCCAGAGGAAAATATCGGTTGGGGCATAGCGGCTGAATGGCAACTGCGCCTATTGGCTTTATGTTTATCCGTAACTGGCCGTATCTACAGCGCCACCCGAACCATTCGAGCACAGTTTGCCTTGTCCAACACGGCATCATCGAAACTTTTGAATTCGACGTCACTTGAGCTCTCAATCCACTTCGATCAATGCTCGGAGAAGCTGGGCTGTGGATTACATGTCTGAATCCCCGTGACTAAGTTGTAATTTCACCGCTTCACCCATTGTCTTGCTCGTCAGACGGGGTCTGTACCTCTGGCTCCTCTATCTTCCAGTATAGTAGAGAATCGCTCGTGTCTCTCAGACTTTCCCCTCCCACGCCCTATATACTTAGGGGATTGGCTGCCATGAATGCAGAAGGAAACGTTCATTGGGTGACTTGAATCTCTTACGAATGAGGGATGCACCCATGGTTTCTGCCGACGGCATCAAACTCGCTATTTCTGGCTGCGAAAGACCGTGAAGCTTGCCTGCCGATTCTGGCATGTTACGTACTTGTATTATTATGTACCTCGTACTTGGAGCACCCAAGTTAGCTTGAAGAGCTCGCTACTCGTAACTGTCATCGTAGTGGCTCGGGCATCCTGAACTAGCGCATGGTGGCTAGAGCCAGTCAGCCAGGAACCCTACTCCGTACAGACCCCTGGAAGCTCAGCCTGATCGTCGTTTCGAAAGTCGACCAACATCAGCATCCGAACCAGGAGAGAACGCTAGATCGGCTGTTTGAAAAGCCGCGTCGCGAGACTTGTTTAGTCCATGAAGCATTGCCCAGCCATTCGTTTGCAGGGTTTTGTCTAGGAGCAGCTTGGTGATGCCTCGGCTCTGCCGTTCACGCCTTCTCATGTCTTAGAGTAAGTATTGAGAGATGTCTCAATTTTCCAAACTCGGTGAGAACATCAGGGCAGCTAAAGGGAGTATGTTATAGATCTAATCTGTCTCGAGTTTTGAGAAGACGATTGGGAATGAAAACCCCTACCATGTGCACGGTGGAGTCCTTTCGGTGGGTAAGGAAGGGTATGGTTTGCATTCAGCTAACGCTTTATGATAATTTTCCGCTTCGATGCACGTTCGGTGTCCACGGTGCATGGTTCGCCCCCCCCCCACCCGATTGAAAATCTTGCCTAGCATTGTATCATAGTGTATGGTAAGCTGATACAGTGGTATTGTCATGATTGGTCGATCGAGATCGTCGTCTGACTTGCCATGTGGTTCCTCCCCAAGACGCCAGGAGCTCCCACGCGAAACGAGATGTGCTGCTAGTGTAAGGCATGTGGTCTGTTGATGAACTCTTTTTTCACGTCAAGCAAACAATATCCTCGAAGCTTGCTCACTCCCAATTCACTTCTTGTAGACGTTACCATTGGGAGCAGTGTAAGTCGAGCCTCCAGATCCGTTGTTGTGATAGGTGCTGCCATTGGCGTTGGAGTAGTAGTAGGAGCCATCTGCAGGAAAAGCATTGGTATAGCTTTGGATATCGAGAAGAGGTTGCTTACCAGAATTGGAGTAGTGGTAGGCGTTACCCCCAGGCTGAGTGCGCGTGTCCCAGCTGTTTCCCTACATCTACGGATTAGCCAACGGGAAGACTGGGACCTATCAAGGCCATGATGGTTCTTACTGCAGTATTGACGCCAGTGTTGGTGACTTGGTACGGGTAGTACGAGCTGCCGGATGAACCAGTTCCCGAGCTGGTATTGTCCTTGCCAGACATTTTGAACGGTGGCAGGGTGGTGCAGTGGGAGCAGTGATAGGTCAGATTCGTCGGAGGTAGCTAGAATGCAGAATGCAGCACAATTTTCGTGGCAATGTAACCGTGGAGAGAGGCGGCACAGTGATTGTTAGTCGAAGCTGTGGATTTAGAAGCTGGTGAGACGGAAACGCAGTTGGCCTGTGAAGCTCGGCCCCTTTGTAGCCCCCATTTTTAGTCAGCAGCATTCACCAGCCATTTGGTCTCTGCTTCCTTCTCAATTAACTCGCGACCTTTTTCACTTTCCTTTACCTTAGCGTTGGCGGAGGTGGATTACAGCTGCCCTCGTTATTGTTCGCTTTATTGCGCTATCGTCCAACACCGGATTACCAGATAGAAAGCCTTGGCTGACTGGAGGCAGCCAAGGATCCTAACGTCACCTTGCGAATGTCAACCACTCCTGACGTAAAATCACACTTGCCTCCTGCAAACAAGCATGGAATAGCGTCAGCTGGTCCCGATAACAGAGGAAACAAATTCCCCGAGCACGTTGAGGAGAAGATTTCGGAGTAAAGTGAGGAATGGTACACAGGCGGGCGTACGCTTCGGAGCTCAATCCATCTCTATTCTCATAGGGGGTTTAGCTCAAGGTCCGTTCGAAGCAATTCTGCGACCAAGATCTTTACAAGAGGACAGTTCAAAACTTGACACAAGGAGCCGATTGAATGCGAGGGAGCGAGCCCTCGGAGGCTGGCCGTGGCGAAGCAGGTTGGCAAGTATCTTGAAGCTATCAAACCTCGAGACACTTACCCTACGCTACCAGCGGGGTCCCATCCCAGAACCGCTATCTGCTGGTCGTTTCTGGCTGCAGCAAAATCTGTCCCCAGTCTGCTGTTGTTCGGCCATTGTCCAGCCCACAAGCAGGCAGAATCCATGTAATGTGAATGGGCCTTGCTCTTTTCTCTCCTCCAAAGGGTTGAGCAAAGCCATGAAAGGCCCCTTCGCGGCTGATCACAAGGTTGATCTGGTCTCCATATGAAAGGGCAGAATACCATTTCATATGCGCAGGCCCCTTTCAGAATGGTTCAGCAGGAGAATACACTTCCAATAGGCTACTCCAGTCTCTGAAGCGGAAGCGGCAGTTTGACATTTCGCCCCCTTGGCCCGATAAATCAGACTAGGTTCGAAGGCACCGCATCACATGTCGGAGAATTTGTTGTTTCACGACGGCCTGAAGTTGGGAGAAATAACTTCGGTTCAAGGTGTGGTAACTCAGCCACAATCAGGTGTCTCTGATTTTATTGAGCCCTTTGTGACGCTCGAGAGGGCGTCCGGGACCTAAGCAGAGATTGCCACCGAGGCGCCGAAACGCCAGCTCTTCTACAATAGCTCAGAGAGTTTTAATTTCCCACTCCATGTTGTTGGCGCATTAGTTGTCCTACAACCAACCAAAGGACTATGCTGAGAGGTGGCATGAGAGAAGGTAGGCTTGCAACTCTGATGATTGATACCGGAAAACGCATCTTTGAAAACCCAAGTTTTGGGATCTGCTCTTGGGTTGGTCCTTGCCTTGAACGGTTTGAAGGCTATGTTAACCTTTAGGCGAATATTGCCAAAACTCAAGTCTTCCTCAGGGTTGCCTTGAAGGCAGAAGGCGTCGAGGCTGCGACAAATCTCACACCTTTTGATTTGCCTCTGCAACTCGTCTTCTCAAGGCTGCATCCGGCAAGCAATTAGACTTTGCAGTCCCGTGGTGTGAATCTGATGCACGTTCTCTCCAATCGACAAGCGGTGTATTATGATAGCTGGAAATTTTCCGCTCCGAGTTCTTACACTTGGGGTCGACTAGGAGCAGTTGGCCGCACCAGTGGAACCGCAGGTCCATTCTTTTCCAAGCAGACCTCGTGAGAAGACCAATGGGCTTCTCAAATATTTGGGTGAAGCATATACCCTAGGTACTCTGCCTTCTCATTCGCTTCATTTCATCACCGTTTGCCGTTTCAAACCTGCGCCACACGCTCTCCTCAGCCCAGCAAGCAACGAGCGATTGATTTCAACGAGGATCTAACGTCCGGTTCCCAGAACAGCTGTGTATCCATATCTTCCCCAGCACTTGGGCCACCAAAACGCCTGCAATTGGGCAATGCCCCGAGAGACCAGCAAAGTAAATGCCTCAACCTTTGGCAAGCGGTATGAGCTGGCAGTGATAAGGGGAGTCTCATCACTGTTCCTCACACTTCGTTTTCGTTTTCGTCCTTGTTAAGACGACAACAACCACAGCTATTATATTCCTTCCACCACTGTTCAGACGTCGTAAGTGAGGTCCCAAAGAAGCCGGCACATTACTGATATGGGTATTTAGCCTCAAAATGTACGATCTTGCCCTGTCCTCACCAGACACTCGACGCCATGTGGCAGAGAAACCATCACCATCGCCACTCTCAGAAGAAGGCAACAAACTTGTGCCCCCTCAACGAGACTCGCCGAAAACAACTTGCAACAGTCTCTCCCCAACACATTCACACATGGCGGATGCCCCGGAGAAAGTCTGGTACTGTTGCAATTGCGGTTATGGGCCGATGATCGTGAGGGTCAATCCTGGTTGCGCCGTTTGCCAAACGCGGAGATGCGACAATTGCCGCATTGAAAACAGCGGAGCATAAAATTCTCAAGAGATGATCGCCCTGAACCTGAAAATATCAATGGTCGGAGCTGTGCACGGGCGATGCAATGGGTGGCTACTGAACTTCAAGATGTGATGGCTCTTCAAGGTGTTGTGTGCTGGACCAAAGGAGAGAGATGAGTCTTGATACCAAATTGGTTGCCAGAGCCAAATCATGAGGCCGAAGCTGTGTGAGGGAGTTGTGTGCTTTATCAACCTATCTTCTACTGTCGAGGCACGGCAGGAAGGTCGCATCTCAAGGCTGCCTTGTAGATGCTTCAGATATATTCTACATCTTTGCTTGGATCTACTGCAGATGCTCCTGCATTAGCGAATGCACAAGCACAGTGATATCACAATGTGCATTCGCCCAGCAAAGGCATGGCAATACCACAGATGATTTGTTCATCTCCATCGCACAACACCCCTTGGCTGCCAATTTGGGTACATTCCGTGGAGAATCCCTACCTCGTTTTGTTCACCTTGTGGAGGGGCAAGTTGATGCAGTCTGCGAGCCCGGGTAGCCATTTGCAACGAAAGACAGCCCCAGGGGGTCCTTTCGATAAGGTTACGAGGGCTCACTGAGGGCTACTGCGCCACTGGCTCAGCCCATTTGCGTGTCTTTCATGCAAAGTGTTGGTGAGGCTGACATAGTGCCCAACAGCACGAGAGTCGTGATAGAGTTCCGCGATGGGCGTACAAGGCTGACCCCCCCAGGACTTTTGGAACGCCCAAAAGTGGACCAAGTAAAAGAAGCCTGAGCTACAGAAAGGACAGTGTCTTTTTCCACGACGGCGCAAAGTCTATCAAGGGCTTGCACACCGCTTGATTGTAGAGGCCTAGGGGATGCCTACTGTACATAGGGACATTGCTGAAACACAAGCCGGGGGGAGAGCTGTAATTGGTCAGCCCCCGACAGGCGACGATGCCAAGCCCACTAACCTTCGGGTGGGGCCAGACGCTGCCAAACGAGCGGCTGCGGGAAAGCAAAAGGCTGCCACCATCGTCAAGTGTCTAGAACTTCAGCTGTTTTCCCAACGTCAGTCACTCACGCCCCTCCCTCGATATCCTCTGGCAGCCGGGTATTTCTGTCTACGATGCCAAAGTGACTGTGTGCGATGCTCAACCAAATCACCGTACAGTTCCGAGTAACCAGATATGAGTCAGTGGTCTCATTGGCGGACTCCGACCAAATCCCTTCGTGCTGCTGGATCAGGCTAACCGTCCCTCCCCAAACAACCTACCTGCCTGTCCTCTGACTCAAAGCCGCGCAGCCTTTTTATTTCCGGCCCAGTATCCGAACTCGACCACAGGGCGATCCGGGTTGGAGCTACCGGCAATATGGATCGATCTCCTCAGCATGGGAAAGTTGCGATCTTGTGTGACTCCGCTGGGGCCAACACAAACACTAATGGCTGTACCACACTTCTTTACGACCGGGTTCAGCCCCATCAAAGACGAAAAAGTTGGAGCCAGGCTCCTCCAGTCATCGGAGCCTAGTCCTGGGCGTCTCCTTCCCTCTCGACATGGGGGTTTTCGTCCATTTGAAGAGGTTTTGCCTACGGGGCTTGGATAGGCGGCCAATCAGGCTTTCAGGTAGGCTGTGAATTTGTATTGCCCACGGAAAATGACATCTGTGCTCACCGACAAGTCATGACCTGAAACCACTCTGAAGACCTCGCTCATCCTGTTTGAGCAGCGTCACAGACTAGGGCGGCCACTAGATCACGGGTGTCTCCATTCGCTCCAGAACGCTAAGATCCCTCAGCGAATGTTTTGATCACTGGACACAGAGTCAGGTGAGAGCGAGCCTGCTGCGGATTGTGAACAGGCCTCTCGGGTCGAAAATTTCTCAAATGTCCTTTTGCTATCAATGTGGCCAAATTCTGTCCCCGTCGCACCAATGCTGTGGTATCTTTGGCTGTCTCCCACGACCATGCCTCCATCTCTGCAGAACTCTGACTTCTTTGCGGGTCCTTGTGAATGCCCGATATCATTGCCCCTTCACTGGTTGTTGGTGCAATCGTGTTGGTCCGTCATGAAGATCAAAGTTTTGTTTCTTCTACAACGATCAGAGTTTGCCTGGTTGTGGCTGTGATCGGGCATCTCTGTTGCAAATTGAAAGCACCACTAACAGAGTCTACTCTGCTACGAGATGGACCTCAGGAGAGCACCATTTCTTATAAGATCGATCCCCCTTCAACTTGCCTGGCTGGACTTCTATCAACCAGAGATCTTCACATCGCCTCTTCACTTCTTGTTTGTATTATCAATCCCCAATTCTACGTCCAGGATGAACGGGAACGGCGCTAACGGGGGTGGCAATGGAACCAACGTCCGAATAGTCTCTGCGAACGCCTGGAAATGTTGCTATTGTGGTAACGAAACCCTCCTCGCCAATTCCGGGGGCGATTGCGTGGTTTGCAACAGACGAAAGTGCACACAGTGCACACCAGCACTCATCAGGCAAAGCAAGGTGTCAAGGAAGCAAGACAAACCTGTCCCGCGGTCACCCAAGTAGCACGCCGGGCTCTCATTTCTCAATCCTTCTGGCCGGTACATTCCCCCATGCATGGAACGCTCTGGACCCCGCTAACATGAACAAGACTATCTCCAGCAAGCTCAGCCAGCTCAGCAGCTTTCCATTCAACAAATATGCAACCAACCTCGAGCCACGCCGGGGCTGGTCATTGCCCCTTTCAATGTATCATGGGCTCTCTCTTGGAACACGCTACAGAGATGGGAAAGGCTAGCCCCTCTAGGATGGCCGTATTATGAGCACAATCAGACGTCAGAGGATAGAATCGCCGGCGTGCAATACCATATCAACCCTTACATCTCTTTCAGAGACGCACGTTTCCTCGCGTACTACTATTTCTCCAACCAACGCTACCTCAGTCTTTGCTTAGAGGGCCCACCCTTCGCTCTAGTTTATGAACTCTCAGCAAGCCTCTATCATCCCTCGGTTGTGGGACTAGCCCCTCCGCAATCAACAAATCCATATAACGAAAAAACCATCGGCTAGCCTTTCGTGGAGCTGGGACTTTTGCAAACAGACTTACGGTATGCGCGGTACACTGACGTGCTCCGTGGCCTGAGGCCGAAGATCTTTTCCGATTGGAGCATGGACGGCATTCATCATCTCGCATTCCCCTAACCTGAACATGTGTCCCTCCTCCCTCCCTTATCTCATCCCCGCGTCCGCTTACCTGAATCTGCTTTTCAGCCGAATCGCGCTCGATGAGTCCTTCATGATGATTCACGTTTACCTGAATTCTTTATTTACTATGGTTGGCGCCTTGCTGCAGAATTTGTGCTTGGCGAGGTTCGTGTGTGCATACGGTGTAGCCAATCTCCGTGTCTGAAGCAATTCTGCCTTGGCTTTTTGGACAATATCTCACAACTGCCTACTTTTTTCTCTCCGTCGGCATACAGAGCCCATGGGCAAATATCTGAAGAGTCAGCCACCCAGAGGATGTCGATCTTTTTGCAGGGAGCCTCTGCCGGACTAAGCACCGGAAAACGTGGTGACGGGGGTCTACGCCTGCCAGCTAACGGTTTAAACCTCCCCCAGTGAGTCCATGGGTCTTCCCCATCCACTCGTTCTTTCGAAACTGCAGCGATCAGCACTGAAGACGCGTATTTCGCCCATCGTTCTCGTGTCTCTAGCCCTGAGCTAAGGACAGAAACGCCGCATCAAAGGCGAAATGGAAACTTGGTGACGATGGCCTCTTTGGGCCACGCTGGAGCTGCTGACCACCTGACCGCGACTAGAAGAAAAAATAACAAAAAAGCCTCGCCTGGGGACAGTCGTCAAGTGGCCCAGACGTCAACTACACTACTTCTGACTTCCATTTGTCCCACTCTCTGGATACATTCCCACCAGTCTTGCCTGGGCCAAGTTGCCAGGTTCCCCTCCCCACTGTCATCATAACTCTCGGCTTCAGGCAACTTCTGCATCCTTCAAGGGGTTGAAAGTTCCCAAATTGCGATGGCGGACAGCATAAACTTTCGGACCATGAAAAAGGCAACCAGCCAACGAGGCACTTTGGGGATTTGGACTTCCGGAGGCGCCTGGGCTGGAAGGCGCACAGAAACGCCGCCAGGAGTGGCTATACCTGAGACAGCTCTGGATGAAGCGCCACGTGCTAATGGTCAACGATTCTCCAATGAAGGGCACCATACAGGGGTTTCCTGCAGTGTACGCTATAGCGTCTTTTCGTCGGGTAGAGGTACTCGATCACAAGGAAAATACGCTTATATTAAGAAGCTCAAGGAGACTATGGAACATTGGTATCTATAACCCCGTGTCTCTTTCTCACAGAACCCCTTCTTGTGTTGACCAGCTGCACGATATCACCTCCTTTCTCACGCAGCTCACCACACTTGCCTGCTCGGAAAAATAACTATCTCCTCCACCATGTCTTCTTCTAACAATCTCAGAATGGTCGAAACAAATTACTGGTATTGTTGCCAATGTAAACAGCCAGAAAACGCATTGCTCAAAGACCCCCAGTTGAGGAAGCTATATGCCAAGTGCATGGAGTGCGGTCATACTCGAGACGATTGCTGCGAAGTCGCGTATATCGAGCCCAGAGAGCAAAAGAGTAGGAAGACTAAAGATGCAGCAAAGACCGATTCCTCGGTATGAGCGGGCCCCTCGCTGCCCTCCTTCTTCCGTGGTTACTGACAACTTCAGGATCGCTGAACGATCACGTTACCCTCCACACGAACGCAATCACTCCTCTCCCATGGAAGCCGGCAGCAACATCAACTGCGACCAAGGTGCTGCCCTCCACAATTGGCGTCCTGGCAACCTCTCCATTCACGATCTACAACGAACCGGGAAAACAGAACATACTCGAACATCCCACGTCGCCCTGGGGGCGACTTGTCTTCGCTGCCACCTACCTTTCTTTCTTTGTTTCCTCCATCATCGATACCTGGCCGACCAGCATTTAAAGGCGGGATTGGCAAGCGCATGTTGGAGTCTATTATTCACTTGGTGACTTCTTATGCCTGAAAGGTTCTACCAGACTGCTACCTCCCGCTATTTTTTAGTTCGATGCTCTGAGAGTTTGGCTTTAATCTTGCAGGAGTTCTTTTCGAGACTGTGTTAGTTAGTCATGTCATTAATCAAGAGTTGCTCTCTCTAGGTGTTATGAACGAGTATTTACTGATCAAATCGACACGTTTGTTTGCATTCTATCAGATTCTACGGCAGCGGCCAGAAAACATCATGCCCATCCTGTTACACATTGGATTGCACCTGTCCTGTCCGCATTTGGCTGCGGGTCTAGTTGCCATGAGTGCCTCCAAGTATTCCTCCTCCGTGACCTGGAGTTACAAGTCCAAGAAGCCACGTCCCACAAAAGAAGGTCTGCGCCAGTCTTTCTCCCGCACGAACAAGATCTCGTTTTCAGTTCTCTGTTAACTCATAGGACACGAAGGGTTGGGCCTTGCCGTCTAGCTTTGCACCCGTCACCTCAATAGCGAGCGTATGGAGATCCCGATCCTGGTTTATGGGTACCGTACCGTTAGAGTGGAGAAACAAGGCAACCGCTTGCCACGATGCCTGGACAGCAACAAGCCGCCCGCTCACCGCTCTTTGTCGTTCGGACATGCCATCTCTTCTGCCGTCTCACTGAATGGCCACGGGCAGTTAAGCGCAGCTCCTGAAGCATTTCTTCCACACTGCAGGGCTCGTGCCGTTTCAACAGGCCGGGGAACCTGTCTGATCTCCCAGAGAACACACGGCAGGAGCCAATGAAGAAAGCAATCAGCACCTTTACCAGCTAGCGGGGCGACTTGGGAATTGTTGGCCCCAACCAAAGTGAACTTAGCCACCCAGCCTTGCATGAAAAGGGTCAGGGAGAGACTCTCTTGAACCCATGTTCGTAGAATCGGCAGGAGGAGATCATATGAAGGGGTCCAACGCAAATCATATTCAATGGATCATGCTAGTCACTGGCAATGGCAGGTTGAACCTACGGCAAGCCTGGCCAGGCGCCACCCGGCATTTGGCCTAGGGCGAGGTCCACACAGTTCCAAAGGACACCTGACGTGTACTTGAATTCTTTCAAACATTCACAAAGGACCATGGCATCGTTCGCTTCTGAAAGCAGGTCCGCCACATTATCCCAGGTCGTCAGTGTCACGGGTACGAACGAGACCATTCTTGGGACAGTCTCGAAGGCGAATCACAGCAGCACGCCGCAAACAAGACACAGTTGATCGGAGAGCAGACATAAATGACTCGTATCGGCTTCTACTGTGAGCAGAGACCCTGCTGCCCGGGCTCCTTATTGATGGAGGTGAGCCTCCGCGAGTAGAATCCCCACCTTGTCGACCTGGGCGGCAGAGCCTCCTGGAACATGCGGTAGGATTTAGGACATCACGCTAGTGGAAGTGCCAGCATCGACAGGCATCACTGCTCGCCCCGCCGTTTGCCCAAGGACTTCGGAGCCATTAGTGGTGAAGTGGCTGATTGAGGCGCCAAAGTGGTTCCAAAGAGTTGAGCTTGATGCCTGCACATGTCATCATGCATAACTATCCGGACATGGGCGAGGTCGACGTGCCCACCGGTGAGCGCCTGAGGCTAGTCTCTGGTCTGCAGCCAATGCCCTGCTTGACTAATGCTTTGACATTCAATAATATCAGCAAATAGGCCTGCAGGACGTGTTGACCGGCTGGCTAGAGGACGAAAACGGAAAAGTACAAGCATTGGCGAGGATGAACCCGCAAATCCAATCCCCGTGCCTCTAAGCGAAGGTATACCACAGCACCAGCACTCGAGAGCGAACAGGAATCCGCGAGTTGAGAGAGTCATCATCGGTGCTGCCGTAACAGATGCTCGCAAATACTTGTCACCGGCAGCTTCGAGTGGATAGGATCGGACTCGTGACAGGAGAGAAATCAGCACATGTCGCTTGGAGGAAGAAACTATTTTTCGCTCGCCTTACGATGCCGATGCTCTGGTGGTTGTCCCACCCAAAGGGATGTCCCTTGCAAGCACATTACTTCCGAAACTCTTTCGAGTCTAACCTCAAATATATCCTGAAGCGATGCCCACTCGGCAGACCCAAAAGCAAAGCAAAGCGGCAAGCGGGCAAGCGGGCAAGCAAGCAAGCGAGCGAGCAAGCAAGCAAGGCATCGTTGGGTTGGCGAGACCGACACATCGACGGATCCTGAATCGCCTTTCGTTCTTCTGGGGTGATAGACGCTCACCCAGCCGATTTTAAGCCAGGACCCAGCCCAGGGAGCATAGCCTTCACACTCTGGAACTGCACCTTTTTCTATCGTCTCCCTTTTGGGCTACGAGCCGACAAATGAGAAACCGCGCCCTGAATTGACTTCAGCCCCAGTTTATGTTTGGTTTTTGCTCCGTTGTGCACAGTGACTCTCGAGATTCTCTGAATATACACTGCATCTGGCCCAGACCTGCCTACCTGATCTCTGTCTGCGTGTTTATTGGTCTGTTTGTTGTCTGTTGGGGCCTTTGGTCCGCCCTTCTTCCTTACCGTGTGGAAAAAGTGGAGACCTGGCTGGAAACGCAATAGGGAGTAGGACCATGTCGGCGCGAACAGAGAAAGGAGATAGTCGGTGGTGGCAGAGACTAAGCGTGAGGGAAGACCAGCCCAGACAGACAACAACCACAGGTTGCGGGTCGCATAACCCAGCCATGGCTTAACACACTCTGCAGCATAGAGAGCAAGGTAGGATAGGACGGGGCGAGGCAATGGGACGGAAGGGCAGGTAGCTGCCCATTTCCCCCCCCTTTTCCACCCTTTCTGAGCGCCTAGGCTCATCTCGTCTCGTCTCATCTCGTTCCCACTCCCATTCTGATATCCGTTCCATCCCCCTCGTCCGTCCCTCGTCATGTCAATTTTTTAGAGAACAATTTGCCTTCTTTCTTACACCCCCCTCGGTCGCCTGCCTGGGGCGGTGTTGGGCCACGTCGCCCTGGGCTTCTGCTGGACCAGAACACTGCACGGGGGAAGGGGGGGCGGTGAGGGTGGAGGGTGCGAGAAGCCCTGACTGAGGCTTGAGAAAAAAGAGGAGCAAAAAGCAACAACACGTCGCCCACCAATCAACAACGAAAAGCGGAGGAGGGAAAAAACAACACCAAGACGAGGAAAAAGAGCTCAAACAAGTTGTTGGATTGGCGGGAGAGACAGAAAGACGGGGATCAGACGAGTTCGAGCCTCGACTGGCAAAGCCCACGTATGAAACGAAGCTCTCTTCCCCTGTTCTCTCTGCCTTGTCAGGTTTTCCGTCGGGTTTCATCAGTCTGTTCTGTCTGTCTTTCGGCCAGTCATATGCTCGTGTTAGTCTGGTAGAAGACATGCCATGCCATGTACTACTCCCTACATAATTGGTCGATTAGTTAGCTATTCACTTACTGTGTAGAGAGAGAGAGGCCTTTTTTTGTCGGGCAAGCAATAACTAATTTGTCGACGCCGGTGTGCGTCGTGCCTGGATCTGTATGGCTCCACCCACACTCCCTTCCATCCTCGGTCGGGTCGTCTGGTCTCACACGCAAGGGCCCATCTTTGCCTGAGAGAGCCTGGACGCCTCCCTGAGCCCAGACCGCAGCGTCGGCCAGGAAAGATTGGAAGGGAAGGGCATCACTCGTAGTCCAAAAAAAAAAAAAAACCAAATTTGTGCAGAGTTCAGGTAGGCAACTGGGATCCTGGGACCAGACGTGTTCTCCATCAGGCGCATGACTGGAAGTGGGACAAAATGTTGAATTGGATGTAGACCAGAGAGACTAGGTGGCGCTCTCTGCTCATGTCGAGCCAGGAGTAGATGGTACGAGCCAAAAAAAAAACCCTCCAGGTCGATTTTACGGAAGAGAGACGTCATCGCCCGACGATCTCTTATCCTCTTTCACATCTTCTCCCAATCCCTCCTCGGCGCCCACCCCTTTCCCTTTGGTTCTCCTTGCCGTCTGCAACTCGTATCCCGTGGCGTGACCTGTCGTCCAAACGGAAGTGATCGACATGCGCTCGGCTACTTTCTTTTCTTCGCGCCTGCATTGCTCTGGGCTCCACTCGCGCTCGAAACCGGAGCTGAGGGCTTCAGCTCCTTGATGTCCTGACCTTCAAGCGCTTTGGTCGTCTTGCCGTCCTCCTTCTTCGCTTCCTCTCCTTCTTCCTCCTCATCTTCGCCGCCTTGCCCGAATTCGTTCACTCTCGAGTAGTCCACCTTGTACTTGTACTTCTGATAAAGCCAGACGAAGAAGATAACATCATCTCTCAGAGTCGCCAGACGATGCAGGAGCGGCATTCTGATCGTAAACGCAAACAGGTCGTCGATGAAGGTGTTCAAAAACTTGTACGTCAGAGCTTTGCTGGGCATGTGCGCGACAGATTTCAATCTGTAATTGATATAGAGCGAAGGAACCATCATGAGGAACCCGTAGGCATACACCGAACCCACCAACGTCTCAATCACGAAGCTGTACCACGACTTGTGCGTTTCGTAGATGAGGCTGTAGACCGCATACGCCAGCAGAAGTGGCACAGCAATGATGTACAGGTAGCGGAAGGCAATTTGGTCGTATTCTTCTGTTTGCCTTTCCTTCTCGGTCAATTTGTGTTTGTCTTCAAACACAATCACATAAGGCAATACGTTCTTGAACTTGGAGTCCGGACCCGGTTCGCGCAGACGCACATCAACAGTCTTGGTGATTTTCCAGGCTTCCAGTACAATGCCGAAGCCCTGTGATGCGAGTATCATCCATGAAGTATTCTCAGAATTGTCCACAAGGTACAAGAAGATGACGGTCTGCATGAACACATTCGCAAGGATCGTCCGCACGGAGGTGCCCACATTGTCCTTCTTCTTCCGCCAGTGGGAAATGTCGTTCTTGAATGCGAGACCCTCGAAGACCATGTGCAGGATGCTGACGACGAACGTTGTCCCCAACAGGTAGGCATTGGTATCTAGCAGGATTTCTTTGAATTTTTCGAATTCGCTGCCATCGCCACCACCGGGCATGGGCGTGCCACTCGCTGCTTGTGCTTGGTTTTGTTTCATGCCCTCGTCAATAGAAGCCAATAGGTTGTATTTCCAACTGGCCAAGTTGTACAGCTGGATGTTCAGTGGCATTTCTTTGACGGTGTCGTTGAGTTCAGTCATGTGGCTGCGTAGTTGCCAGAAGGTGTTGAGAAAGACGACGGGGTAGTACCATCCATTCTGGCCAGAAGCATCGCGTTGACCGGTCGGTTCAAGGACAATATTCTTGCGCAGCGACGGGTGCATTTGACGCCAGTTCTGCACACCTGTGTTCGGGATAACAGCGACCGTAAAGTTCGGATGGTAATAAGATCCAATCTGCACCCCCTGCGGTTCTGATTCTTCTTGTTCAGCCTCGTCGCTCTTCTCGAGCAGGTTCTTGAACTTGCGGGCCTTTTTCTTGGGGAGGAACTGGTTCAGCGGCCTTTTGAAGTGAGTGGCTTTATGTGGGTCATAATTTGGACTTGTTGGGTCAAACTCGCTACCAGCGAGGGCGACGTAAAAATGCGCCCACAAGGTGCCGTTGTGTTGTACCTCGGGTGGTATAGCAATTTGTGTATGCACCTCTCGGTTTTCTTCATAATTTCCTATCCCAAAGCTCTTCTCGTCCAGCACGAGGGTCTCCTTCGGCACGGTTGACAAGGCAGGAAGGGTGTCCCTCGGAGACACATACATTCGGATGTCGACGACGCTATTCTCTGGCCATATCGGGGCAATGTTTTGCGGAATCACCGAGTAGTTTGTGAGGGCCGCCACATCGGCTCGTTCCTCGAAATTGACGTTTGCCTGGGGCGCAGAGGCGCTTCCGCCAGTCTGTGACTTTGAGCCAAAGAATTGATTTACCACGAATTGCGTGAGCATGAATATGGCGACACCTTGGATGATGGTCTGGAACATCGACTGCAGAGATCTCAGTCAGTACTCGTGGTGGATTCACGGCAAGAACTGAAATCTCTCACCTTGCCCCCTTGTTCCTCCCTTGCGGCAGGGGTGCCGCTACCTCTAGATTCCGGCATCGTGGCTTGTCAGAGCCTCTCTCGATAGACTTGAGGTAGAGGATTGGACTTTTCCCAGCCAGAGTGGCAGATGCGATTGGGAGTAGGTCCGGCCCGCAGATCGGCAGGTGGGAGGAGAGGAATTTTGTTTATCCGAGCCCGATGGAGTCTTGGCATTGATATCCCGTCCCGATCTTCGGGCCAATAAACCCGCCACTCTTGACCACGATGACCACGATGACCACGACTTAATCCCATTCATATCAGCCCAAAACTGCGCTTCCAATTGGATAGTTCAGCTGCTCCTGCTCCTAGTTGAAGGTCGCCCCGAAGAGACACCGCATATGGCGTCCTAGGACGCAATGCTAAGTCCAGAGACTCGCCTTACACGCATCGATGGCAAATGGCGGCTCGGTGGGCACACCAACGCCTCAATTTCCCACACATAATGCTCCTCGAGTGTGGCTCCTGACCTCAGGAGACTCTCCAATCGGTATATCGATTGCTCGCCAGGTGCTTGACCACGGCGACTATGTTGTGTCTGGCATCATCCAGGCAGAATTCGAGAACGATGGTGGTCGGAGCCAAGAGTTCAAGAGATTCCTGTCTCAAGTTGGACGAATACCTGGAATGAAGGAGCGGCTGAAGGTTGTCGCCCTGGATATTAGGTATGCAGCGCTGCCTTCTGCAAATTGATGTGATTCCACCCGAGTTTATATTATATGCATCTTTTCACTACAAGATGGCCGGGATTGACTCCAAGACAGGGTTGTGGGACAATGTCAGGCAGCTGTCGCAGAGGCCGTGCATACGTTTCGAAAAATCGACATCCTCTTGTGCTGTACTAGTGAAGCAGTAATCGGGACTGTCGAAGAACTTGCCGCCAGTCCCCGGACTATGACCCTCGTGCGAGATCAGTTCGAGAAGAATTTCTTTGGCCCCATGAACATCATCAAAGCCGTCATCCCACAGATGCGCTCACAAATGAATGGTCACATCATTGCCCTTACCGGCATTACAGGTCATCTCGGAACACCCGGATTGAGCATGTATTGTGCGTCCGGGTGGGCGTTGGAAGGCTTTTGTGATAGCATCGCCTATGAGATTGCGCCTTTCAACATCAAATTGACCATTGTCCAAGCCAGCGTCGAGATTGGAATCTTGACCAACAAGATAACTTCCGCACCGCCCATGAAGGCATATACCCGGGAATATGGTCACACGGCTCCCATATTTCGAGGGATTCTGGATGGCTTATTGAATCGCCTCCCTGGTATTCGTGCCCAATATCCCCCACCGCCAGAAACAGAAATCCAGTCGCCCTCGTCAGAAGCGGAGAGACAGAGCGGCCCCTTCCTCCTCAGCCGCAACGAGGTTGTCAGTTTGTATCCACCTCTAAGTCATGCACATACGGAAAAACTGATTGCAGAGACCGTCCATGCGTTGACGGCCATTGGTGGTCATGAAAACCCGCCTGCCCGCCACATTGTTGGGATAGAAGGAGTCGCTAGCGTGAAGGAGAAATTGAAGACGGTCAGCGAGGAACTGGAGGAATTCGTCGACACCAGTGCATCAGCTGATATCACCGCCCGACCAGGGGCTGGTGGGCCCGGGCGTGCTGCAAGTATCGTCGACGTGGACATCAAGGATCTTGAGAGTGACATATTTGATGCTTCATTGGGATTGAGATAGGAGAACGGATTTGTCCTCGGGCAGCAATCATGCATTCGCTTACATATCGCCGGAAAAATTTTCCTCATTACTCCCCAATCAATCAGGATTCAGCGTCGTCCACCTCGTTCGTGTCCTTTCTCCCTCTCATCGCGGTCAGCTTCGTCACGCGGTCTTGATCGAGAGATGCTTCTGGATCGTTTTCTGCGATAACGATCGCGTTCTCGAGGGGGCGATGGTGATTTTGATCTCACACGCTCAGATCTGTTACGTCGTGGCGACCGCGAACGGTGCTCTCGGTGTCGGTGGTGGTCGTCCCGACGGCTTCTGTGGTGACCGTCTCTGTGTCTATGGCTACTCCGGCTCCGGCTTCGGTGTCGTCGGTCGCCGTGACGGCGTCTGTATTCTTTGAGCGCATAGTGAAGCTCCTTATCCTGATTCGAGACCGTTCCTTCGAGGTGTTCCGGAGTTCTGGATTGCCCCTCATGCATAGCCGAGACCCCTGCCACGCGCCCGTACCCAACACCCCTGGAAGGCGCTATATCTTCGCCCGCTCCAGCCTCTCTCAGAACGTTGTCCACCTCGCGTCGAGTCCCTAGCTCGTCCATATTTGGGTTGTTCCGTTGAGGCACGGGCAACCCCAGAGCGCGGGCGAGAGCATCCTCTTCAGCCTGTTTGACGCGCTGGATCTCCTCTCGCCGTTCTCTCGCTGCTTTTGCCGCAGCATCTTCATCGCCCTGTGAGTTGTCGTCCCCCTTCGCGTACCAGGAGAGATCACGGCCTTTCTGCCAGCGACCGACAGGGGCCATCAAGGAGTGGCCGAGATAATTTTCACGGTGAGAAGAGGTTTCGACGTCGGACCACTTGAACTCCCCACGGCCACCTCGTGACCCCTCCTTTCTGACGGTAGCTAGCAAATCCATAGTTGTACTAGGCCCAGGCCGGCAGAGACAATGTCAATGTCAAGAATGGGAAGAAAGGTCGAGCTGAATTGTAGGCGAGACGTGAGACTTGGGGTTGGAAGTCCACTAGTGTTGGTAGCGGTATGCTGTGTAACCACAACTCGACACTGCACACGGCATATATTTGGGGCAGTTTGGACAGAACAGGTTCAGTAGACATCCATCTGCGGAGGAGGGACTGCTCTCATGCGTTGATCGGTGGAATGATATGTCGCATTGGGGGAGGGGGGATGTAGGTGGCGTCCAGGATTGCAGGATGTGACAAGGGGATGAGTCGAGCCGTCGCAGCGTCGGCCGGTCGCGTCTGCAATCCTTTCCGAATCGATGCTTTTTGTGTTGCCAACCTCGATCAGAAAATGCAGGTGTCTCCGTACAAATTACGAAGGTAGCTCGGGTGCGATGGCAGTGGGTAGAAGCAGTGCGCATGCGCATCGAACAATAATGTGAGATACGCTTTTATTGGCACCGCCTACGATTCGCTACAAATGCGTCATGCCACTCATGTGCTCCGTCCCACGGCAAGTATTCGATGTCCAAGGTGTCAAGCTGCCTTCACCTTATCCACAATTGACAGTTGCCGGTCAACCTATTTACCTCCTCTCGTTCCTCCCTCCGTCGTTGGAGGGCGCAGACACGACAGCCGCTGACATCTACCGGTGAGTTGCAGGCAAGCTGATCTCCCTCTCCCTGCGCTCATGCGCCTGCACCGCCATCCAGTCCTTGGCTCCGAACCTCCTCCGGACGAGCTCAAACCCCTCTAGAATCGAAATAAAGAGAGAGAGAGAGTCCTCGCGCATACCTGGGCCGCGATGATGTGCCCAGCCATGCCTTGAGTGGCTAACAAGACTTTGATTGAAACACAAGGATCTGTTCGAGAAAGGCTGTTGTAGCCCTTTTACAGGAGCATGGACGAGGATATCAGGCCATTCGAGACGGTCCACATTGGTCTCACGAGCATCGAGACAGGGGCGGAGAGGTTCATGCGCGATGGACTGCCGTACCGACCACCTGTCGCGTACTGGCGAAACAACTTGACGGCGTTGTCTCAACGTTTCAATCTCTACTTTGTCGCAACGAGGGATACCATAGCCGTCTACAGACCTGACTTTCCCTTTCAGAAGCTTCACAGGCTGCCTGCGCTGGTCATTGTACCTGCACTGGCAAACCCTGATGCTGCTGGCTACATCGATGACCGCTCTCCCCATGCCATCAACCATCTGATCGTGGGAGACTTGGGGAAGGAGGAGATTCTCCTCCTCGCGACCGATTCGGGCAATGTGTCGGCCTATTATACCAAGTCGATTGAGGAAGCCATTCGAAAGGACCCGTATCGCTTCAGCACAGATGCTCGGAGTGACTACGTAGGACTGTGGCCATTCTTCGGACAATGGGTCTATGAGTCTGCTTGGGGCCTGGCCATCCACACCGATGCGCGAATGATTGCCGTGTCGGCCAACACGCCGCATCACGTTTCAGACGATGACCCGTGTGCTAAGATAACAGTATTCGCCTTCGCTTTGACAGACACCAGTAGTGAAGAGGGGGACGACGAAGACCGATTGTCCGACGATGCCCATGAGTTTTTCGAGCATGCTAAACAATCAGATTGGCAAGAATGGCTACCGAGAGGTGTTGACGCTACGGCTCCACCACGGAATAAAAACTACAAAATCACGCTCGCCGGCGTGGAAGGTCATTACCACAACATCCCCTGCATTTCCTTCGTGAACACAGATGATGACTTTGAAGGCAATTGGCTGTTGAGTACCGATATTTATGGTGACATGAAGATGTGGCAGATTTGGCAAGGGATCTGCCAGAAATCCTGGGACTTTGCGGAAAGAAGTATGCGAGGGGGACTCGCCGTCCGACGGCGAGAAGGCGGCTGGCTTGTCGCTGCTCTAGACTCCCGCGCCTTCCGGCCAGCTAGGACGATGGAGCAATTTTGCGGGTACTTCAAGGTACCTCAGTACCACGGGCATAACAGTCTGGAAAGCTACGACTTGACCAACGTTGTCCGACTCCGCACACCTAGCAATAGCCACATACATTTTCTCATGTACGATGGCACGGACGACGACGACGATAAAGAAGAGGTCCGGGAGACGTTTGACTCTTGGTCTGATATCGACGAAGCAAGCGTTGATGCTGATCGAGCTGAGGCTGAGGCGAGTTTGCCTCCGGTCTATGGCCGAGAAACTAATGATGGAACTTCAGAGGGAGATAGTGGGGTTAGCGACGAGCCTGAAGGGCCCCTGGATTCAGGCACGAGCGAGGTTGCTTCCGTTACTGGGTCTGATATGGGGTCTCACAGTGTTGAAGACGAATCTGCAGCACCTCAAAGGGATACGCTCTCATTGGAATATATGCGTTTCGACGAGGCCGACACCGATTCCGAGGAAAGTGAGGACGACGACTTCCAATATCTTTCTAGCTCGGAGGAAGTAGAGGATGCAGACCTTTCTTCCACAAGTCGTCGAAGCACCACATCACTGTCAAGTCTTGCCCGCCGAAACAGCCAGGAGGTTGACGTGGACGTCCTGTCCACTTCTGGTGGGAATTCCCCGTCGCGAAGACGGCAGCACATGGAACCGAAGCGCCCCAAACCACCAGTCGAGAGCGGCGGTTCGAACGTTCCCACAGCCCGCGCGAGGGCCAAACCACCGACTATACCTACTCTACATTGCAGCATGTCAAATCTGAGACTTATAATGGCTCCAGAAGCCGATTCGGCACATGTTTTTTGTGCCAACATCCTCAAACAGGCGCTGCCTCCCACAATACAGACCACGCATCACGCCAATACAGATCGACTCAATATGATGCTGCAGATTCCCGAGTTGGGAATCGTCGTCATCGCGACGCAGATCGGCCGATGTGCGGTGTGTTCCCTGACGAAGAATGAGAAAACCGGAACACTGGGATTGCGAGTGAGCTGGATCTTACCAACCAAGAAACAAGAGGTGAAGGGATTTCGACCGTTGGGGCCACTGCTTGGCATAGCAGCTTCCCCAGTCCAAGGTTGCTTCAGGCGAATTGAATCCGAAAACCGGTCCGTGTCGACCGAGGTGACAGAATGGGGAAAGGACGGGCTTGTGGATGGAATTCCTACCACATTTGACCCGACTGTTCTTGTCGTCGATGGGCGGGGAGGCGACGAGGACGGATCTCAATTCTTAAACATGGACACGGAATCTGGGGGGCGTGTGGACGGGCCTCGGGCGAAGAGGAAACGTCTATCACACAATATTAATCAAAGGCGACCGGGGAGGACGAGAACAGAGATACGGGAATGGGAAGTTCCCTCGAGTCCAGAGCCATGGCAGGGCCTGGAAAGTAGTCGGAGGTACAGGCTCATGCTGACCTATGTGGATATGACCGTTCTTTACTACGAGCTATCGCGTGGGGTGGAAATGGAGGATATCGCATACGAGGAGGTATCGGCCCTCGACCTGCTTGACTGATCTACGTCTCATACAGTAGTAATATATGGACGATGTATTCGGATGTCGATCACGAGGTATCAGCTACATCTGAGATCACAAGGAATCTAGACTCATGATCCTCCTGTAAACACTCCCAAAGACTCCAGAATTACATACATCAAATATCCGGTGTCTCTAGAAGTACTCGATTACTGAGACGAGATGTTCGTGATGTACTGAGCCAGTATTGGAGGAACGAGGCTGTGAGATGGTGATTGGCGGAGGGAAAGCCGACCAACGGATGAGGTCATATCAAGATGGAATTCTGTATATCAAGCTGCTTCCATATTTCATCCCCATCGCGGTTGGTGGTGAAGAGGTTTATAAGCGATAATTTCCAACACCGAGACCATTGTCCGATATTGGCCGTTGCATATCAAGCATCGAAAACATCAAACATCCCTTTCTTTCCACGCTATTTGGTGGCTTTCCCACCGGCTCAGCGCCATCTGGCTCCAACCCAGCAGCTAAAAACTCCCTCGCTGGTCCTTGTACGTCTCCCCGACAAGAAGCAGAGTCCCCTGTGTCCCTGGCAAAGATACTTTAGAATAACCAGCATGGCGGAGCGCGAAAAGAAAAAGTCGATAGTGATTGTCGGCGGTGGCATCATCGGCTGCACAACTGCTTATTTCCTCACCCGTCATCCGAAATACAATCCAGACTTGCACTCGATCCATCTGCTCGAGGCTACCGGGATCGCCAGCGGTGCGTCGGGGAAAGCTGGTGGCCTGCTGGCTTTGTGGGCGTACCCGTCGTGCCTGGTGCCGCTCAGTTTCGGGCTCCACGCTGACCTCGCAAAGGAACACGGAGGTGAGCAGAGATGGGGCTACAGGGGCGTGGGTGTTGGGCAAGTCGAGTTGAAGGGGCGCCATGTTAGTAGCCAGGCGAAGGTGATGACCCACCAAGGCCCGGTGGACGGTGAAGCGACTGGCAACGCGTCGAGCAAAGGTGAGGATATCAGGGGAGTGCATCGGCCGGATGTCGCCAGCGACGGCAACGTCGATCCCACCCGCGTCAGCCTGCAGAAGCGCAGCAAGGAATCATACAACAATCTCCGGGGCATGGGACTGCCGGACGATCTTGACTGGCTGGCGGAAGAATGTGTCATGGGATACGACTCGATGGGCTCGCCCAGGGACACCGCGCAGGTCCACCCATACCAGTTTACCACGTCGATGGCGAAGCTTGCAGAGGAAAAGGGTGCCCGGGTTATCATGGGCAGCGTCAGCAGGATCCAGCCTGCGTCTCCGGAAGGCGGCGAGCATACAATTCAATACACCGACACCTCGACACACGAGGCAAAGTCCCTCCGCGCGACAGATGTTATCATCACCGCCGGCCCGTGGACGAAGACGGTCTGGCCAGGGTCCCCGATTGGCGCACTGCGCGCCCACAGCGTGACCATCCGCCCGTCGCGCCCCGTCAGCGCATACTGCCTGTTCACGTCGCTCTCGCTGCCCAAGAACTTCAAGGACGGAGCGAAATCGCGCGCCAGCCACGTCACGCCGGAGATCTATGCCCGGCCCAACAACGAAATCTACGCGTGCGGCGAGGGCGATCACCTGGTGGCCCTGCCCAAGTCGACGGCTGATGTGCAGGTCGACGACAGCCGCTGTCAGGACATCGTCGACTACTGCGCCAGCATCTCCGACGAGATGCGTGACGGCACCGTTCTGGTCCGCCAGGCGTGCTACTTACCGCAGGTCGAGACGGGAGGAGGCCCGTTAGTGGGCCCGACGCCCGTGAAGGGCGTCTATATGGCGGCGGGACATACTTGCTGGGGCATACAGAATGGGCCCGGCACGGGGAAGCTGATGAGCGAGTTCATCTTCGATGGGAAGGCGGTGAGCGCTAATGTGAATTCTTTAGATCCTAGGAAGGTGTTGAGATAGAGCTATGGACAAGTCGGGGGGGATCCGCCATCGGCCAACAAGTCCCGAAGACTCATGGGGAGCACATTACCCAACGTCTCTTGGATATCACCGCGGTAGACGACCTGATTTAGGGGATGCCTCCATGGTGTTGATACTCCCCGTCGTTGCATTGCCATAGAACTCACTCTTTGATGCCTCTGCTCGCAATTAATCCATCACTGAAACACCGAGCCATGTGCAACCCTCAAGCCTTCCAAGCACTCACCACCTGTACCACGTCCTCGTCTGCAACGACATGCCCCAGCCCGACTCTCTGCGGGATATGCTTGGCCGAGGCACCCCAGACCAGGGCGTACTTGAACGTCTCCTTCAGGGTGCGATGGATTTGATCACACACGTCCTCGATGGTACTGCCGCTGCGCACGATGAGGGCCTCGCCAAAGTCTGGATCCACGCCCTGGCGCTTGGTGTAGATGCGCATCAGGCGCAGCTCCTGCCAGCACCGCTCAACCACGTCTTGGACGCCCAGATCCAGCTCGCACGACATGACCACCGTGTGCGGCTCGCGGGCCAGCTCGTCCAGGTATTCGACGGTGACGCTGTCGATCTTGTTGTACACGTACAGGCACCGGATGTACTTGCGGTGGTCTTTCATGATGACGTCGATGAAGTCGTCGACTGTGGCGTTCTCGTCGCGCACCAGCACCTCGCAGTTCAGGAGCTTGTAGTCCCGCAGGATGTTGTACAGCATCTTCTCGTCCAGATACTTGGGCGGCGCCTGGAACGTGATCTTCATGCCGCCGGCTTTCTTGGCTTTCAGGTAGATATTAGGCGGTTCGCGGTTGAGCCGGATGCCCACGGCCTCGAGTTCGGCCTCGAGTAGAGCGCGTTGTTCTGCACGTTTAGTCGCGTCCAGGACCATCAGGATCAGGTCCGATGTCTGGAAGCTCGGGTCAATAACCACATAAAGAACTCAAGAGTGTTTTCGGCGCCAGACCTTCGCAGCACTGATGACCTGTCGCCCTCTACCTTTGCCTTCCGAGGCACCTTCGATGATACCGGGCAGATCCAGAATCTGGATCTCTGCACCGGCATACTCGAGCACACCGGGGATGGCGGTGAGTGTGGTGAAGGAGTATGCCGCCACCTCGGACTTGGTCTTGGTGATCTTGGACAGGAACGTAGATTTACCCACCGACGGGAAGCCGACCAGAGCTATTCGAGCGTCACCCGATTTGGAGACATCGAAACCGGTACCACCACCGGACCCGGCTCCGGCCGCAGGCTCCAGCAGCTGTGCTCGTAGCCGGGCGAGTTTACTAGTCGACAACGTCAGTCAATGTAATTGCATGCGAGCGGAATGTGCCGACTGGGAAACAGGAGAAGAAGCCCATGTCGTCCAGGAAAAGGGGCAAGGCTGGGAACTGGGCCAGGACATCCACCAACAGCAAATACTAGATATGCTGGTGCTTGACATTCTGTGTCCGTTTGGAACATCCACGTCTTCATTTCTCCTTTAAATCACAAAGCCATCGCAAGCCATTGTCCAGAACTCGGCTGAAGTATGCACAGCAACAGCGTGTACAGTCACGTGAACGCACGTGCCCAGATCTCGCGTTTCGTCTTCACAATCTCGTCTTCTTACTCCGTCTTCTCTCGCGATGGGTGCTTCGTCTTTAAGAACCAAATGCAAGACCTACCCTTTCAATAAACCGAGGTGATACTCTGAGGATCATTCTGTCAGAGTGCGCATATCCAGGACTCTCACACCATTTCAGCACGAACCTGTGGCTTTGTTTTCTGCAATCCAATCAGCACTGGACCAGGCCATATATGACAAGCTGCAGAAACCCACTCTGAGTTCGGGCCATTTCGGCCTCGATCCTGTAGCCAGAGTCAGATCCGAGACAGCTTTGCGCGAGACACAGCAACCCACTCCTTGATTTTCTCTGTGATGTTGACCATCTTGAAGGTGAGAAGCCGGACGCCCTGTAGAACAACAGCGTGGTAACACCCAGCCGACACCGGGAAGATTTGAAGCCACACAAAGAAAGAGGGATAGTCTCCTTTCTAAGCAGGCAGATACGCCTGATCCGACCCGACGTGTCTCAGAGAAGCGCAGGGAGACTCAGTTGGTGAGAGAGACCAAGGGCCAAGTTGAAAGATCGAGAATCGGCATATCGGAACAAGGTAATTCCGTCCCGTTGATGTCTTGGCTGGTTGAGCCTTGCGTCGTGACTCAAGACACACGCTTTCACCAAACAACATCTTCCTTTCATTTTTCCAACAACCACAACAACCAAACCACGAAGATGAGAACCAGAGAGATGATATAGGTGGTTGCAGCTGTCGCTGCGGCTACCAGGCAAACGCTCCAGAGGAGCCACGTGCCAAGACTTGTACGGCCAAGGACTGAACACTGAGCGGGTCTCCAGGTCCCTACGGGGATCTGAAGTGAATTCTTCAAGATGCCGGCCAAAAAGAAAGGGAAGAATCCCACAGCGCAGGCTCCGGTGCCTCCTCAACCACAGACACCCACATTGCCACCTCCATCTGAACAATCTCAGCGTAACTTCGAGGAAGAACTCGACGGTTACCCCGAAGTGCAATGTAACGAGTTCCTCGCCACAAAAGCAATTTATCCTGACGAGTTTCAGCGCATCCGGGGCAGGAAGGATGCCTGGAAGGTAAACTGGTCGCACCGCACCCTCAACATGACGCTTTCTGACACGACAACAGACTCAAGAGAACTTAGCTTTTCAGGTCAGGGTCTCACCTCTCGAAAGTCGTGACTATTTCGCCAAACTCATCTTCGAGTTTCCACGCGACTATCCGAAGGTGCTCCCCAAGATCAACATTGTCGAGGTTGGGCCTAAAGATCCTGACCTGAGAAAGCGAATCGAAGACATTATTGCCACCAACCTGAAGCAGAACCAAGGAAGTGAAGTCGTCTATGTGGTCAACACTGCCATCATGGATTTCCTGGACCAGACTTACTCAGACAAGGCCGCCAAGAAAACGCAGTTCAGCCTCGAGGAAGAGCGTGCCGCGCAAGAAGCTCTGGCCAAGAAACATCTGCAGGAGAAAGAAGAAAGTGCTCGCAGACAACAGGCAGAAGAAGCAGAGCAGAAAGAAAAGCTACTATATTCACAAGTCGAGAGCGAAAAACAACGTCGCCAAAAGTCTAATCTGTCTCGCACAGCCACTGGGGAAGATGGCGCGGTACTTTACGATGCCCCAGAAGAACAAACCCGGTTTGACCAGACCATGACCTGCAAGGATACAGTCACAAACACGCCATTCAAGTTCAAGGCAGTCTCGGGCAGAGTCGTCATTCTCAGACGGAAAGACAAGAAAATCACGATCGTCTCCCCTCGGGTGGACACCGAACGTGTTCAAGCCCCCCAGCTCCTCCTCAAGGATATCTACATTCCCGAGACGGCAAATACATCGGCTCACATGCAGAAATGTATGGAGATCGTTGAAGCAGACCTGGAATTCTCAAAGGAGCATCATCACGAGAATGTCGTCGACCTGATCAACTACAAGATTGAGCATATCACCCTTGACAATGGCACAGGCGAATGGACCCTAGCCGTTCTTTCCGAATTTGCTGATAAAGGCTCCCTTGATGACCTTCTCGAGCTTTCTGGGCCGCTCAATCCAGCGAAAGTCCGCACTTGGACTCGAGAACTCGTTGATGCTCTCGTCTTCTTCGACAAACATGGCTACGTTCATCCCGCAGTCCATGCTGGGAACGTCATGCTTTTCATGTCCCCAAACAGAGGAGTTACGGTCAAACTTGCTGACGGTTACGGGACAAAACTTCGAGAACTTGTTGACGCCGTCCGAGATAAGTCTGGTGCGAAGACAGAGAAGCTGCCTCTTTGGATCGCTCCCGAGCTAAACAATGAAGCGCCAGCACGAACAAACAAGACCTGTATATGGGATCTCGGCGTGATCGTGATGCAGATGGCCTTGGGCAAAGGAGTCAAGTCTAAATATACATCGCCCGCGGATGTGCTCGAGGACGTCGACTTTGAGTCCAGTGCTCAAGGACTGCTGCAAGAGATGTTTCGATCCAATCCGAACCGGCGCCCTTCAGCGTTTCACCTCTCCAGCAAAAAGATCTTCTTCGAGGAAAATGACAAACTCTTCCGAACACAGTCCCTAAATCCGCTCACTACTCCGGGCCGTGTGAGACGTTACAGTGATAGACCTGGAAATTCTAGGTATCGAAACGAATGGGAAGAATCTACCATGCTTGGAAAAGGTGGCTACGGTAAAGTCGTTCGTGCCAGAAACAAATTGGACGGGCAGTATTACGCCGTCAAAAAGATCAAGAGTGAGTCGACAAAGGAACTAGAAAGCATATTACGAGAGGTCACCCTGCTTGCGAAGCTCAACCATCCGAATATTGTCAGGTACTACAATGCCTGGTACGAGAGCGCATACGAACAAGTAGAAGACACAGCTCCGCGAGCAGTCCCTACCAGATCGATCCCTCAAACGGCTCCCTTAAGTTTGGGTCACGATTTTATGGAACCATCAGTTTATCGAAACCAGGGTGCAGAATACAGCGACTCTGACGATGGTAATCTGTTTGCTTATCAAGATCCACCTTCCATTGGTGCGGACGACGGCTTTGACGACGACCCATTTGAAAGTGATCCAGAGCCGGAGAGATCTGAGGAGCACGGATCGACTGATCCTTTCGAGCGTTCAGATGCCCCAGACTCTGACTCCCCGCAGGGTGTCAACCTCGACCCCTTCCGCAGTGAAGACTCGCCCCAAGCGCCCTCAAGCCACATTCGGTCACGCTCAATGCCACAGAACGAACCATCCGTCCTGTATATTCAAATGGAGCTTTGCGATGGCCGCACATTGCGTGATCGAATCAACGGAGGTCTGCCAAAAGATGTGGATGCTGGGTGGCGATTGTTTCGGCGCATACTTGAGGGACTGGCCTACATTCACAGCCATGGCGTGGTGCACAGAGATCTCAAACCCGAAAACATCTTTCTCGACTCACACGATACTCCGAAAATTGGTGATTTCGGTCTTGCTGGCTACGGACAAGCAACATCCAGGCCAGACCTCTCGCGGTCAAGGCCAGGGATGACTACTGTATCGTTCGATATTGGCACCGTCGGGTATATGCCCCCTGAGCTTGAACACACGGGAAGCAGCTACGACTCGCGTGCCGACATGTACTCCCTTGGAGTCACGTTCTTCGAAATGTGCTTCTCATTCAGCACCCAGACCGAACGAAGAATCTCCCTGGAAGTCAAGCTCAAGGAAAATCCACCACGCTTACCGCAGCTCTTCAAGGAAGAAAGCCATCAAAAACAAGGGGAAATAATTGCGCGGCTCATTGATCATGATCAAACTCGAAGACCAACTGCCCAGATGCTCCTCGACAGCGGCGTGATTCCTGAGCCACTAGAAGATGAGAAATTTCAACGCTACATTGACAGGATGGCGGCAGAAAACCCCGGTGAATACCGAGCGCTCATCACGAAACTCTTTGCAAACCCAAACAGCCCCGTTGCAAGCCTTGCCTGGGAGGACAAGTCGACAACAATGAGCACGGCCTCTGTCGACTCGATGCTTTGGATATCTACTTGCGACCAGCTGAAATCCATCTTTCGACGCCATGGCGCAGTTGAAGTCGGTCGGCAAAGCATCATCCCAAAGGCGGAGTTCTACCCACACGCCGCGACTTTTCTCGATTCTTCCGGCTTGGTTGTCCAGTTACCATATGATCTTACTCTCCCATTCGCTCGCACTCTTGGACAACAGCGTCCTTCGAATTCCAGTAAAACTTACTGCTTTGGCACGGTGTATCGGGCTTCTCCACCAGGTTCACAGCCGAGACAATTCCCTGAAGTTGACTTTGACTTCATATCTAACAGTGCCAAAGACTTGCCCTTGAAAGAGGCTGAAGTGTTGAAGGTGCTTGACGAGATTCTTACCGAGTTTCCTGCTCTTGCCGCACGCTGCTGGATAATCTACCTTAATCACGCCGACCTCCTCGACCTCATCCTCGACTTCTGCCGAATCAAGCCCGTTGAGGCTGCTGATGTCAAACGGGCTCTATCACATCTCAACACCCAGGGTCACGAATGGAAGCAAATACGTGAAGAGCTGCGCAGTCCCGCCATCAACATCCCAGAGACGTCTGTCACGGATCTCAAGCGGTTCAACTTCGACGGAGACTTGGAAAAGGTCCGCACAAAGCTGGCCAAGCTGTTTGGTGACTCCGACCACTTCAGCAAGGCGTTGCCGCTCCTGGGCCGCCTGGATGAGGTCACGAAGTACCTCCAACGCATGAACGTCCAGACACAGATCCTCATCGCGCCACTCAGCAACAACTCGGAGTATCTGTATCGGCGGTCGCTCCTCTTCCAGTGCGCGGACAGCGCTTCGCGGCGAGTTCTGGCCGTCGGCGGGCGGTACGACGCCCTGGTCCAAGAGTATCAGACCAAGTCTGATAAAGGCAATGCCCGTGCGGCGGGGTTTCGCCTTAACATAGTAGACCTCATCGGGTACGTTCGCAGCCAGATCTCCGCCCAAGCGAGCAAGTCGTCTAAGACGACAGCGACCGCCGCGGCGGAGTCGAAGCCAGTGGCTAGGAGATGTGACATCCTGGTCACCAGCTTCGACTCCAACGCGCTGAAGACTTCGTGCTTGGAGGTCTTGTCGTCGTTGTGGGCCGCCGGGCTCAAGGCCGAGCTCTCCGAGGAGTTCCACTCCTTGGAAGAGCTAGAGATGAGCTACGGCAGCCACAATGCCGGAGGATACTGGCTGGTGATCGTGAGGGGAGGGGCGCTCGGAGAGAGGAACTTGAAGGTCCGGGGCCCCTCCCGCTCTGAGGACGAGGTGAAGGCGGTGGAGTTGGTGAACTTTTTGCGGCTGAAGATGGCGAAGAGTAGATAGCTTGGGAGACGTCGTGTGCTTTGAACAATCAAGATACCCAGTTTCACAGATTCTGATGCTCGTGCTGTCCGTGTGAGGCGAGAGATGTTCTGTACAACGAGAGGCAATGCTCCCCTTAATAACCATATTCAATGTGCTGCTCCATACGGTGTGCTCCGCAGTAACTGTACGGTTGCGCATTAGGCGTCCAACCGCTGCCCCTGACGTCGCCGTCGATATTATTTCCTCGAGGCCACATGTCCCCCCCACAAGAAATGTGTTCTCCAAACCCAATCAATACCAATGGCGACTGAGTCGAGGTGAGGCTCAGAAGTAGCCATCAGGCAGGATGTTGAGCTATGCGAGCGGGTCTGTGGTTCTCTGGCGACTTCGCATCTTTGTTTTCACCCTTCTCTCAGTTTACTCTTTAGTTGCACACGCTTCGAACGATACCTTGCTATGGGGTCCCTACCGGCCAAACCTCTACTTTGGGGTCCGACCACGAGTTCCCAACAGCCTGTTGACCGGTTTGCTATGGGCCAACACCGACAACTATGGCACCGCCCAGCTCAATTTCCGTCACACCTGCGAGCAGCATGAGGGAATGGCCGGTTATGGCTGGGAAGAGTATGATGTTCGAAAGGGAGGAAGACAAGTTATACACGACACGGGGAACCAGATTGATTTGACTATTGATTTTGTGAAGACTCCTGGCGGAGAACATGGCGGGAACTGGGCTGCGAGGATAAAGGGCGTCCCAAGAGAAGATGCGCCCGCTACCCTGGTCACGACTTTGATCTTCTATGCTGGCATGGAAGGACTGGGTGAGCTCGCATTCACGAACACGGACGAGGAAGATGAACTGGTGACCCTGCATGGCGAGACAACTGAGCTTGGGCAATTCGACATTTCCTTCGAAGATTCGTCGGAGAACCTCTTGCCATACAAAACACACCCGGCGTGGGATTCCAAGCCACTCGACAGGCCGCTTCTGTGCAGCCTGCAAATACCGCCGGATGCCATCTGGCAAGCCAAGAACATTGTTTTCGCAAGCATGAAGTCCGAGATCGATGGTCTCGTACAGCAGCATGGCCAAGAGAACATGCCACCTCCGTGGCAGGCCTTCTCTATCCCGCGGCAGCCTGGTCCGGGGAATTTCCACATGGTCCAGAAGATATTTGTTGGCGCTTTTGAGACCGATATCCAATTCAAATCTGTCTCTGGCCCTGCGGTGTCGTCGGAATCTCTCACGAAATCCATCTCGGGTTCCTCGACTGAATTCAAAAAGAAGTTCAAAGAGGTCTTCAAACCGTTGCCGCCGTTTACCAAACCTATCTACACCGACTTCTCCGCGTCCATGTTCTCCAATTTGTTCGGCGGAATTGGATACTTCTATGGGGATTCCCTGGTTGACAGATCTTATGCTCCAGAATACGACGAGGACAACGAAGGATTCTGGGACGAAACTGCGGCTGCACGCGCACGAGCGGAGATTGTCAAGGATCCTCCCGCCGAGCTCTTCACCAGCGTGCCCTCCAGACCTTTCTTCCCCCGTGGGTTCTTATGGGACGAGGGGTTCCATCTCATCCCCATCGCGGACTGGGATCTTGACGTTACGATCGACATCGTCAAGTCATGGTTCAACCTCATGGATCAGGACGGGTGGATTGCTCGCGAGCAGATCCTCGGCGCTGAAGCACGGAGCAAAGTGCCTCCAGAATTCCAAGTCCAATACCCGCACTACGCCAACCCACCCACGCTCTTCCTCATCATCGACATTCTGATGGACAAAATGTCCAGTCCCACACACGCTACGTCCAAAAGTCACATCGAAAGTGAGCTCCGGACCCTGTACCCCTTGCTCAAACGCCAGTACTACTGGTTTCGCCGCACGCAATTTGGGGACATCAAATCCTACGATCGCGAGGCTTATTCCACCAAAGAAGCATATCGATGGCGTGGACGGACACCACAACACATCCTCCCTTCTGGACTTGACGACTACCCGCGCCCTCAACCTCCTCATCCGGGCGAACTCCACACCGATCTCATCTCGTGGGTGGGCATGATGTCGCGTGTTCTCGTGCGTTTGTCCACTTTGCTTTCCGAGGCCGACGACATCCCCGACTTTACGTCGCAACACAAAGCCATACTCCGCAACATCGACGACCTCCACTGGTCAAAGGAACACAAATGCTACTGCGACGCCACCATCGACGACTACGAAGATTCCGTGCACGTCTGTCACAAGGGCTACATTTCCCTCTTCCCCTTCATGACCGGCCTCCTACCACCCACCCACCCTCACCTACCCGACGTGCTCGACCTGATCTCATCGCCCTCGGAGCTGTGGTCCCCTTACGGGATCCGCTCCCTCTCCAAATCCGACGCCTTCTACGGCACGGACGAGAACTACTGGCGCTCTCCAATCTGGGTCAACATGAACTACCTCATCCTCAAATCGCTCCTCGATCTCGTCCGATCCACCGACCCCGCCCCGCCAGTCAAGGTGAAGACCCAAGCCATCAAGATCTACACCGACCTGCGCAAGAACTTGGTTGAGACCGTGTTCAACGAGTGGGACCGCACCGGCTTCGCCTGGGAGCAGTATAACCCGGAGACAGGCGAGGGCCAGCGCACGCAGCACTTCACCGGCTGGACGAGTCTGGTCGTGGTCATCATGAGGATGCCCGACCTAAGTAATTCCGGCGGCGAAGGGATCCAGCACGGCGAACTATGAAAGATCATTCGCGCGATCCGCACTTCGTGTCAGGTTGGTTTCATGTATGGGCGTCGAGAGAAAAAGCAAGTTACAATAAAATGAGCGTCGCGAATGGGATAAAAGCGCAAAAAGGAATGCAGTAAATATATCTATATAGATACATCTGAAATAGAAATGGGAGTTACGAGGAAGTGGCACCACATGCACGTCAAAAGCGTCTCTCTTGTTATTGTCTTTTTGTATTTGATGAATCTCTTAATGCCAACGCGGATTCAATCTTCGTCCTCGTCGTCGCTACCGTACGCCACAAGTGGTCCGGCTGATGCAGCAGGTTTTGACGCCCGGGTAGACCCTGCGCCCGCGGTATATCCCTTCAGAGCCACCAGCGTCGAACCGGACAAGATGCCGTTCTGCGGGGCTTGACCATTGCTACTCCCTTCCTGGCCTGCTTGTGATGTAGGCGCTTCTGGAGCCGCAGTATGTCTTTCCGTGGACGAACCCTGCTGCTCCGGGCCAGCTTCCGGGCCAGGAGGAGCCTCCAGCAACCCCCTCTCGCCCAACTTCTGCCCTTCGAGCTCTCTCTGCTGTTGTTGCGTGGACCAAATCGCCTCCGGCGCCTCATATCCTTCCAGTCCATAGCTGCTCTCGATGCGCCTCTGGTCCCTCTCCTCTCTCGTCTCGCGTCCTTCGATCTCCCTGACCGTTCTCGCACCCAGCGCCCGCCGGACGGCCTCAGCGGCTTGCTCTTCGATCCGGGCGGCCTCTCGCTTCTGGCTGAGCGGATTCGGATCCACCGTGGCCCATCGAACGTTCAATACCTCATTGTGGTCCAGCGCCTGGTGAGCCATGGCTTCTTTCGCAAACTGGCTGTTCGCCTCGTTGACGTACGTGACGAAAGCGACGCCGCGGTTGGTGAGAACGCGGATGCGTTCAATCTCCCCCCATTCTTGGAAATGCCGTGCCACGACCTCCTCGATATCGTCCGTCACATGGATCTTCCCCACATATAGCGTGCGATTCTGCCTCATGAAACTTCCCACACCACCCATGTCGTCTCGGTAGTCGCTGTGTTTGTCCCGCCCAAAGCAGTCGACGTTCGGATTGAACACGTCGTATATCGTGGGTAGTCGATGGAGGTATTGGCATTCATGGCCCTTCGGACATAGTCCTCTCGCGAAGAATAGGCAGAAGTAGCTCCCCGGCGTCTTATCTGCTGCCGTCCATCCAGAGTCGTTCCGGATGTTGCACCGCGAAGGGGCTGCATGGGTGGTCAAGTAAGAATCCTCTCGATCGCCACCAGACCACTTGTTGTACCAGATGTTGAACACCGTCCCCGTTTGCGGAGGTGGCTCGGATTTGATCGTCGAGGGGTCAACTTGAGGCCGCGCCGGGCGGCGCTTGCGGCGAATCAGTTTTGTCTTTTTGGCCGGAGGCTCTTCGATCGAGGCGAGAGACGTTTCATTGTTCGTCTGCGTGACAGCGGTGCTGGTTGGGTCGGTGGCGAGCTCTGCTTCTGCTGGGGACGCTGAACGTTTTCGAGACGGAGAACGGGGTGTGAGCGTCGTGCGGGCGTGGACGACTTCAGCCATGGTCTACGAGTTGACCAGAAAGTGAGAAATTGAAGAGAGGTGCTGCGGAACCACTTATGGCATCTCGAAAGCCGAATATGAAATGCGCAACGACGCATTTTCCAGTTGCGCGGGAAATTTCATTTCGCCTTTCGCTTATATGATCCGACCTATTACCTCAGCGGAGCATTACGCACCCCAAGCGCGATTTCACATCCGGATGTGAATTTTGACTCTATGGAGTTAGAATACTCGGTAGACATATATCGTTCATCCTCTCAATCAGCTGCTCCTATCTTACGATCGACTAAGGAATCCGAACATCTATGCTACTGCCCTGACGGAGTTCCATCACTTTCTCGGGGAGTCAGCCTTCACCTTCAGTTCTACTAGCCGCTGTGGCCATGGACAAGAGGGCAGTGACTCCAACTTATTTTTGATGAGAGAGTATTCGGAAAGCTCGACGGTCTTGGCTTATGTCTCTCGCGCTTAGGCGCGGCTTGAAGATGGCGTCTTCTCCTCCCAAAGACCCTTTGATCATGATCATCGGGGCAACTGGCACCGGCAAGTCAAAGGTGAATTCTACCCTCGACGGAAAGAAATGGATATCTGTGTGCGTGAGAGAGAGAGAGAGAAAACTAATCGCCATGAAAATAGTTGGCTGTGGAGTTAGCCACTCGATTCAACGGCGAAGTCATCAATTGTGACGCTATGCAAATGTACAAGGGGCTTCCGATCATCACCAACAAGATCCCAGAGAATGAACAGAATGGGATCCCCCACCACCTGCTCGACTTCATCGGTCTCAAGGAGAAGCTCTGGACGGTGCAGCAGTTTGTTAAGGAGAGCTCGCGCGTTATCGATGAGATTCGAGCCAGGGGCCGACTGCCAATAGTGGTGGGCGGGACGATTTACTATACGTTTTCCTTGCTCTTCGAGGACGCCATTCTTACTCCTCACCGCAGCGAGCACCAGTCAGAGCCTGATGTAAAAGCCAGTGACGAAGATTTTCCCATCCTGTCGGCTTCTACCGAGGAGATCTTTGCGAAACTCCAGGAAGTTGATCCCGAGATGGCGAAGAGGTGGCATCCAAATGACCGAAACAAGATCCGACGGTCTCTCCAGATATATCTCCAGAGTGGTAGAAAAGCTTCTGACATCTACGCCGAACAGCGTCAAGCTTCGCTCTATGATGGCAATGGAGTTACGATTCACGGTGCCGATGTGCATGATCGAAAAATGAATCTACGTTACCCAAGTTTGCTCTTGTGGTTGGAAGCCGAGGATGCCGTGTTGAAGCAGAGACTCAATGACCGAGTTGACACCATGGTGGCAACCGGACTGTGCGGCGAGGTGTTGCAAATGGCAGAGTTGGAAGAGGAGTTGAGGCAAGAGGCAAAGCCGCTCGACTTGGCCGGCGGTATCTGGGGATCGATTGGCTATAAAGAAATGAAACTTTGGCTTGAAGCGCATCAAGCGGTGGATCGCGATCCTGCCAAACTAACGGAAGCGGAGCAGGACGGTATAGACGCGGTCAAGGCGAGCACCAGACGCTACGCTAAGCGTCAGAACCGGTTCGTTCGAATTCGTCTGGCAAAAGCTCTCAAGGCTGCAGGAAGGCTGGATCTGCTTTTCCTTCTCGACTGCACTGATCTGATCCGCTGGGATATCGCCGTGGCAGAACCAGCGCAAGCACTTGTGGACGCATTCCTCAACGGAGACGAGCTGCCCAAACCGAGCTCGCTCTCGACCATGGCGGAGAGAGTACTTTCACAGATCGAGGAGGATGATGGCGTTGATTCCCGCGAAGCCAGGACTTGCCCGGTGTGCCAAAAGACACTAATGACTGGGAAAGAATGGAGAGGTCATCTTGCTAGTCGCAGCCACAAGAAACTGGCCGCCTGGCACCGCAACCGCGAGTCCGTGCCATTCGGGCAAATTGACGAGAGCCAGCAAGTACCCGTATCGACTTCTCCAGGCTGATGTTTGGACCAACGTGATTTAACCATACTGGAGCCTGACGGTGGCACGATGACTACCATCAAAAGACTGTTCACGGAGGTTCAGATGCCTCCAGGCCGGTGTCGCCTCTCAGCTCCAGCAAATGTTGCTGGTGAGATTGGAGGCCGGTGGTCCGCCACTCGACAAAAGCCGAGGACAAGATGTCGCCGTGCCCTGACTCTTCGACCTTGAGGACCTCCAGTACAGGGTACTTTTCTCGCTTTCGGACCCGCCAAACTCCGTCAGAAGTGATGGTAGTTTTAAGCCCTGTTTCGAAGTCAGCAAGGTCCGCCGCATAGTCAACCATGTGCTCACACTCCAGGAAGCTTGCGGCGAAGTTGATGCAGGTTTGTCCGTCCCACAAACCCCTGCCCTTCAACTTGATATTGTCTGGAATATTCTGCACGTTCAACTCTTCAAGACGTTCCAATATACCTTGCTGAGTTCGATATCCAACAATGATCTTGGGTACTCCGAGCAGGAACGATTGTGCCCAAAATTTCAGGAGTTTCCTCTCATATTTGATATGCTCTCTCTCGTTAGTGATGGTGGCTGTCGTCTTGAGCTCTACCCAGTCGATCGGCTGCGATTTGTCTTCCGGCTTGAAGGCCATGACGGCGTCCACTTCTCCACCGAGAATCATCTTAACCTTCCCGAAGCCAGTCCGGACGATGGAGCAATATTGAGCGTAGTTGCTCACTATCAGATCTTCTCGGGATTCAATGTACTCTCGAGAAGTTTCAGGCCATGAGGCTGGCATCAGGGAGACAGTCTCGAACTTGTATCCCCAGAAGCTCATGAGGTCTTGGGACATTGCTCCCGGTCGTCCCGCAGATGAATACTGTTGTTCGCGAGAGGAAATTTTCTTGGTGTGATTTTCCTCGATAAAGAGGGTGCCTTGGAATAAGGTGACATTCATTTCCCAGTCATCCAACTTGGAGAAGGGAACTATCATCAACTGTCGAGGCGATGAGCGAGTCTTTGGCAGTTATATCAAGCACTTCACACCTTGGTCATCATTCCTCTCCATGTCACAACGTCGATTTCCGTTTTGGAGCCCTTCTCTTTCTCGTACGCTATGATCGCTTCCAGGAGACCATCCAGATGGTCATCGTCAGAATCATCGAGTTGCCGGAACGTCTCAAACCCTTTGCTGAGATCGCAGGGCAGTGCAGGTGGGTAGTAGTAACGCAGGCTCGAGGCGTCAAGCCGAAAGTTATGGTCTTCGTCATAGGAAAAGTATGCGATTTCCTGAATCTCTCTCAGATCGCGTTATCAAGATGTATTGGAGCCCACGTACGCGTGGCCTTCGAATTGCCGCATTCAAACCCGTGAAACGAGCCACTGGCTCGACATTGAAGTTGTGTTTTTGAGCCATTACCGCGGCCCAGTTGTCACCGAAGCCTCCTTAGGAATCATATCGTCCGGCACTGCGGTTTGTGAAAGATCCTGCCACAGGGTAGAACGAATATCCCAGCCACTATGCCCGAACACCGACAGAAAGAATGAGCGGAAAGGGCTACATTGATGGAAACTAGAATCACGTGAGAGCGCGATCCATTCGCGCCCCGTAGTGAAATCGACGTCACGTCTTATCGACAAGAACAGTAGACGCGTCGAGCGATTTGGGTTAGCACCAGGGGGCTCCTGTGAGCTCTCTGGACCACATGAAACAAACTCACCGTTGAATCGTTTCTCCACCTTCTGAACGTCCGTGACGTCTTAGGTACCTGCCCAATATACATACCTCTTCTAGTAGGATATGGCGGGCAACAAAAGGGCTTTGAGCCAAGTAGATGGCAATGCTGCCCAAACACAGCCACCTTCCAAACGAGCATCACAACAATCAGCAGCAGGGGAAGAAAATGAGACTGGTGGCTATGCGAGTATGAAGAAGCTCGAACTTTCCCAGCTGCTTCAAGAACGCAATTTGCCGTGCAATGGCAGTAAAGACGTGCTCGTGCGACGACTTGAGGAATCTGACCGGAGCCGCACTTCTGTGACTGCATCAGAGCTTACATCCAGAGAGGTGCGTCTGAAACATTCAAAGAGGATGCTTATTGCATTATGTGCTGACTTTGAAAGGGCTCTGCCGCTGCACAATCCGCTGGACGTTGGTTCAAGTACACAACGCTCTGCAGACCGTTGAAGGACATTGCGGCAGAGAAATGGGCAGGTAACCTGGATGATGGTACCCCTGAAGAATTCATTCAAGAGAAGGATGAAGAGTACAATGAACAATACGATGAAGAAAAAGGCGACGCGGAGGTGACAGCTGGGGCCACCAGCGAGGATGGTCAACGCAAATCCCACTGTGGCAGAAAGGGTTGTATTTGCAAGCGCCCTGCCTCTGAGCTTCCTGAGCATCGGTGGATACTTACAACCATGGGGTATCAGGAGGTAGCTCGCTTACAATGGCAGGTGCGCGTTCGAGATCAAGATGAGGTTGAGGAGTACTTTGGCTCTGATTACAATGCCTATGGGTTTCAAGAAGTGATGGAAAACCAGGTGAGTCCAGCTTTGGAAGCGATGGCTCCTTGCGGCTTTTGCTGAGCCTTCCATGGTTAGCTTCTATCTTTCAACAGCGAGTTCTCCGAACGCGAGACGGCCTTCGCGCCTGCGAGGTTGTGGTCAATAATTGAAGGGTTCGCCTGGCTTCTCAACGACCCGCTACCCTGGTTCCATAGTGACGACCCCGGTACGACGTTGGAGAGGCTTCAAATGATAGGAGGCGCTGTCTTCGCGACCCTGAACATTTTCGAAAAGACAGGACTGCTGGGCGCCGACTCGCCGGTGAAAAACATTGGGCTCGTGCTGGGTGTTCTGTACAACAACACTCGAGAGTGGCCAGGCGACCTTGGCGTGTCCGAACTAAGCTGGCGTGGGGCCATGATCAGAGAAGCTCTACAGCATGGCATTGAGGTCAAGGGACAACCCTATGGCATTGAAACGCTGCTCGATAAGGATGGCGTGTACGGGACACAATCCAGCAAAGGAGACATGAAGTGGAAAAGGTTTGATTGGGCCAAAAAGGCAAGTCTGGCATAATCCACGCGCACAAGTGTCATTTACTGACGATACCACAGTTCAGGGCATTCTCCAAGAAGCACAAGAGTGGATCTACGATTGGTGGCCAGCACTACGTCCTGGCATCCGCAATGGAAGTGGCTGTGATGGACATGGCCTCCAGTTTGTTGTTGTTCTCTGAAGTCTTGGCAATGGTTATCCAGGGTGCAGTCAGATCACGATGAGAGTACATATACTACTTGCTTCCAGGGTGGGGAATCTGCATGTCAATGTCCCTGGCCCTGTACTTTCTTTCTCCTTTCCATTGCAGCAAAAAAAAAGGGCATGTCCAGCAGCGTGCTGCTACTTAACTGCCTCTCCCCTGGCAGACGAACTAAGCTCAGTTTATCGAACCTGCGAATCTCTCATTTTGACCTTGACGTTGATGTTGGATTGGAACATTAACCACCGATTCTCGGTCTTCCACTCGCTGAGTAAGTCGAAATCGAGATGGCGGACGAGCTGCGGGACGAATTTCGACATCTCCATCAAGGCAACATTCAGGCCTTGACAGGCTCGGGGACCGACTCCAAACTTCACCGTGCCCCATCAGCGCCTCATTTCATCTGTTGGGAAACCCAGGAACTTACGGGTATGTAATAGCGGTTCATGGCCGTGGTATCACCCTCGAGCCAGCGCTCTGGCCGGAAGACATCGGCGTCAGGACCGAAGACGTCCTTGTTGTAGTGGGCGACCCAATTGTTGATGCCGACCACTGCTCCTTCAGGGAAGTATGTTCCAGCGATCATCGCACCACCCTTGGGGACAACGCGAAACAATGGCAGCCTGGGAACGAGGTAAGTGACGCTGAATGGAGGATGGAAATCCCATCTTACCCGGTGCCAGGATACAGTCTCTGTCCTTCTTTTATCACCGCCTGACAGTAAGGCATCTGCTGGGACTCATGGAATGAAATGGGATCCGAAATTGACCCTGTTTTCACCATGTCGTCGATCTCTTTGCGCACCTTGTCAAGACACCGCCGATTCTTCAACAGAAAATATATGATGGCGGACAGAGTGATCCACGTGGTATCAGCGCCCGCCACGATATTGCCAAAGGCTCCAATGAGAACATCCCAGTCGGAGAAATTGGCGGGATCCCTCTGCTGACCGGCCAGAAACTGGGCAAGCATGTCCTTTCTGTCGAACTTCTCTCCTCCCTCCTTCCGTTGTGCGATACGCTGCAGGGTGTAGGAGATGGTATAGTCTACTTTACCTGTGCCCGGCCCGGCGAGCCAGTTGACGATTTTGAATAAGGTTGGGTGCAATTCCGGATAGACCCCGACGAAAGCCGCATAGGACATCCGTTGACGCAGACTCTCGCAGATGCCTCCGATGTCTTCACCCTTGACAAGGAACCCAAAACGTTCGGAGAACTGAATGTCGTCAGCGAATCCCGCCGGCGTTCAGAGCTTTCGGAAGAGCACACCGTTATGTGACCTTGGCAATCGAACGCCCAACAAGAAAACCAGTGAGTCAGGTCGACGGTCTCGCCTGACTTGGCGAAGGTCTTGAGCTTTTCGATCAGGAGCTCTCCACATTCATCGATCAATGGCTCGAATGCGAGTATCGACGACATGGAGAAGGCCTGTGCGTAGTTACGGCGGAATCGAGCAGCATCCTTGTTGTCTGGCGTGCTGAAATTGGTGGTGGTACCAGGAGGACAAGACGGCCCATACCAGCTCGACTTGACCCAGGGATTGGAGATGGTGTAGATGGTTCTGATAGCCTCAGGGTCATCGATGCTGTACGAGTTGGGCTCGAGGCGCACGATTTTGCCTATACCAAATCATATCAGAGGCATGATGGCCGATTAGAGGGCGTACAACCACACACCATATTTCCTATGCAAGGCGATGTTCACTTGCTCAAAATCCCCTCTGACCAGGGCCTTCAGATACCACAGACGGGTGAAACGTGCGAGCCATGGTCCGGGGGCAGCGGGGAGCCTGCTGGTCGCAGACCAGAAGCAGAAGTACAGCAACCACGCCAGAAATAAGGCCGACAGGCCAATCAAGGCTGAGACTCTGTACATGTCAACGGTAAGTCCAGGAGAATCAATTCCGTTTCTTTCCCTCAATCTTTCTGACTTCGATCTCCTCCCCAGAGAAGGATCGGGCCGTCGGGCGGTACATATATAACCTACCTCGTACGTTGGAGGAGATAGGCGTTAGTCCGGGCGACTGGCGGATTTGTGGAGGAGGAACTGCAGGACGCCCATCCTGGCAGGTCCTTTCTCTACCTCTCCAAATCCCTCTGCAGTAGTGTCCTCGATCTCGGCCGCATTTCTGTTCGCTGGTGGTGATGGCATGAGGGATGCAAGCCCTTCGGGCAGACTTTCCCTCGCTGAAGCATTCGGCCGCCGCCTAAGGTTGCAGCTGACGCGCTACGGCTGCGGCGGCTTCATGCACGTCCGGAAGACCAACTACGAAGTGTCTCCCCTAGACTGGCTCTAAGCAACACGGCAGCCACTCGGAAGGACATCATCTTACCTCCCCGTCTGGTCTGCATGGAGGGGCCCCTAAAACGTGGCAGCCCCACGAAGAACTCACGGCGGACTTGCATCCCTTTGCAGTCGGCATGTGCAGAGCAGACCACGTTCAGGAGGTACCTACACTCCACAAACACCCGGCTCGAAAACACATCTCGAGGCTTGGAATCCGAACCTGACTGGCGCTTTGGGTGGCTAGGTTGTTCCCTCCAATGATTCATATGCTGATGGACCGTCCGTCGCCCACCATTCAACACCCACACTCCAGATCATATCCATTATGGCCAACCCCAGCGCTGAGCAGGACGAGGCGCACAGCCCCGCCTCCGGTGACAGTGATGTCGGAGAGGAGGTAACCATACTCGTGGATGAAGAGGTAAATTCTCCCTTTCGAAGATCGCCTTCGAACAAGGCCTGGCTAATGGGTAATCCAGGCAACAGAGCGCGACTCAGCATATGGAGATGAGATGTAACTCGTCTTTTCGTGGCGTCGAGAAGGACATGCTCGACTAACCTGATCAGATCTGCCTATACGGCGTCCCTTACGTCGTCGGTGAATACGTTCATGATGCAATACGGCCGTATTTATCACACGTTTCGGGATCAGAAGAGCAGTTCGTCTCACCGATATGTTTCTCCTTGTGGATTGCGATAATAAAATCTTTTCAGACATGTTGCCCAGCGACGAGCAGGAATTCAAGAGGCTGGATCTCCATCACGCATTGATGCTTTGGCTTCTCGGGAGTCGCCTTCATTTTGCTCCCATCGGATCACAACCCCAGAGAGTGCTTGATCTCGGTACGGGGACAGGCAACTGGGCCCTCGATTTTGGCAAGTTGGGAATCTCCATTGTCGTCCCAGGTGTCTGACAATACTCGCCCAGCCGATCAGTATCCCACGGCAGAAGTCATTGGAACCGACCTCACTCCTATACAGCCGAATTTCGTGCCCCCGAATCTGAAATTCATCATTGACGATTTTGAGGAGGAATGGGCATACGAGCACGTACCATTTGATTATGTTCATGGGCGATACCTGGCGTCTTCTGTTCGAGATTGGCCGCGCCTGGTGCAACAATCTTTTCAGTATGTTACATTGGTCTTGTTCTGTTGATATAGCTCCACGGCCTTCAATACATCAATATGAGGTGGCTTACCGCAAGCACGCAAATATATCCATGGGTACTGACGAAGTGGATACTCCAGGAACCTGAAGCCCGGCGGGTGGGCTGAGTTCCAAGACTGGGACACGAAGATGTATTCAAAGGATGATTCGTTGCCTGAAGAATCAGCCCTCTACAAATTTCATCACTACACCTGTGGCCGCCGGACTGCCGCAGGCTACGATTCTCAGCCTGGTCCAAAGCTCGAGGGTTGGCTTCGAGATGCCGGCTTCATCAATGTACATGTGGTGAAACTACCTATTCCGCTGGGCACGTGGCCTAAGGACACCACATACGTGAGTGAGATGTGCCCATGGCGCAGGCATTTGCTGACCCAGTGAGCTATCCATCTGCAGAAGCAAGTTGGAATCTGCAATTACCTTCAGTTCCAAGCGGGCATGGAAGGCATTGCAATTGGGTGCCTCGTGAGGACTGAGCCCGACCCATGGTCGATTGAAGAGGTGCAGGCGTTGCTCGCCGAGGCGAGGAGAGACATGAGGAACCCGAAGATTCACGGGCAGTATGACTTGTAAGTAGGAGTCTGCACGGGATTGAACAAGCCTTCTTCATCACACCTTCTGACCGTGATGGCTACTAACTGACTTTGCACATAGTTATGTTGTGTATGGACAGAAACCCCCGTTAGCTGAGGGTTGATCCTGGCGTTGCTAACCGTTTGATATCACGAGGGAGACTCGTCCTCCTGGAAAAGCCTGCTGGGAGTTCATGATGCTATGCCCGATATGCCCAAGTGAAACATGTATCCTGTATCGTATATTATTACAGAGTCGACAACTGACCGATCTCATACTGTAGATTACGGTGGATCATTCGCTTGGCATCCACGAAGTAAATTCAAGGCCCAGAACACTGTGAACACTCTGTAACTTTTCACCTCCTTTTTGCTGCTCCTAGTTTCTTCGTGTGTGTTTTTCTTTTTTGGAGGAGGTTCTTGGGAGACTGGTTCATTCAACATCCATGACATGGGCCTCAAGATGATGTCAAGTTACGACCAGCTGTTGGTGTAAGAACTTGGTACGTCCGGTGTCACTCACATTGCCCCGTCAACTCGCATCGCAACCCCCATCGAGGAAATGAGCAACAGGCTTCATAATGCCGTGCTCGGGCTTTCCAACATCATCCTCATTGCCGCCCTGGTGATCTTTGCAAAGGGATTCTTCCCCCACAAAGCCTTCTTGCCGGGGCTGGCGACATGGCCCGCTGCCACAGCCGCCACGGGCGTTGCTCGGTCGTCCCCCTTTGACCGCGTCATCTTTATGGTCGTCGACGCCCTACGGAGCGACTTCGTCTACGGGAACACCTCGAGCTTCACTTTCACCCAGAGTCTCATCCGGTCGGGCGCGGCCGTCCCGTTCACCGGCCATGCCAGTGCGCCCACCATCACCATGCCGCGCGTCAAAGCCATCACGACCGGCTCCGTGCCCAGCTTCGTGGACCTGATCCTGAACTTCGCCGAGTCGGACACGACGTCGACCCTCCGCGACCAAGACACCTGGCTGGCCCAGTTGCGCGCCAAAGACGGCGGCGGTGGCAACCTCGTCATGTACGGCGACGACACGTGGCTGCGCCTGTTTCCGGGCTTCTTCGCGCGCGCCGACGGCACGACCAGCTTCTTCGTCTCCGACTTCACCGAGGTCGACAACAACGTTACCCGGCACATCCCTGCCGAGCTGGCGAACCGGGACTGGTCGGCCATGACCCTCCATTTCTTGGGCCTGGACCACATCGGGCACAAGACGGGGCCCAAGGGACCGAGGATGCCCGCCAAACAGGCCGAGATGGACGGCATCGTCAGGGACATCTATGAGAAATTGGAGAGCTACGACCACCTCCAGTCGTGCTTGTTGGTCCTGCTGGGCGACCATGGCATGAACGAGGGTGGAAACCACGGCGCGTCCTCCCCGGGAGAAGTCTCCACGGCTCTCACATTCATCTCTCCCAAGTTCAAGTCAGCCTTCGAAGGGCAATCTTGCCCCGTCGACGACGCGGTGGACTACCATTACTACGACACGGTCGAACAATCCGACATCGTCCCCACGCTTGCGGCCCTGCTGGGATTTCCAATCCCGCTCAACAACCTCGGGGTCATCGTGCCGCGACTGCTGGAGCTCTGGACCCAGCCTCACGACCAGTACGCTTTACTCTACCGCAATGCGGAGCAGATTCTGCGCATTGCACAGGCGACATTCCCCAAGGAGTTCAGTCAGGTGTCCCCGTCGACTGAAGAAGAATGCTCGATCACCGACGGAGAGGACGCCGAAGTCCTCGCCTGTCTGTGGCGGCATGTCGCAACCGAGCATCAAGCGGTCCGCACTGACCAGCCCCATCTTGTTCCACCGACCACGCATCTCAAATCCTTTCTGTACAAAGCCCAAACCCTCCTCAGTGGCACGGCCAGTAACTACGACCTGACCAGCATGCAGGTCGGCATCGGCCTCAGCACGCTGGCACTGGCCCTCTGCATACCCAGCTTCATACAGGGTGCTCTAGGCGCCGGTGTGGACGGGGTGATCCTGGTCGTCATCATGCTCGCCTACGCCGTCACCATGTTCGCCAGCAGCTACGTCGAGGAAGAACATCAGTTCTGGTACTGGACCCTTGCTGGCTACCTCTTCATTCTGCACTGCCGGGACAGCAGGTTCAAGATGACCGACGCCGGGGGAACACGTGCTCGTCGTCCTATATTGGAAGGGCCGACGATGGGCACCGCGATCGCGTACCTCCTGTTTGGCGTGGCCCGGCGCTGGCGACAGACGGGGCAGAAGTATGCCGGCGAGGCCGACATCCTCGGCGAAGTCATCACGCCCAACGCCTGGCTGCTCTGGGCGCTCGTCATGCTCGCGTACGCGGTGCCCTCGCGCAACCTGAGCCGGCGCGCCGGCGTGTGGATGGGCTCGCCGCAGATGGGCGTCCTGCCGGCTCTGGTGTCCATCTCGGCGTTCCTGTTCAAAATCGCCTTCACGGCCGCCGACGCGCCCGAGCTGCTCGCCTCCTTCCCACTGCTCGACCCGCTCGTCGGCTTCGTCGCCGCCTATCCGCTGGTCAGCATGGCCCGCGTGGTCTTCCTGGGCCTGGCCCACCTGCTTGCCTGCGCCGTGTACTACGAGGCGCCGTGGACGAGCGCCGCCCATGTGCGCCGCTTCCTGCCGGCCTTGCAGGACGTGCTCTCGCTGTTCCTCATCACTCAGTCGCGCACCGTCTACGTGCCGCTGTTCCTCTTCTTCCACCTGCAGCTGCACCTGCTGCGGCAACGTGGCCGGCCGCGCTCCGTCGGCGAGATCACCGTCCTGGGCCTCTTGTTTCAGTACGCCTCGTTCTTCACCTTCGGCAGCACCAACTCCATCGCCACCATCGACCTGTCGAACGCGTACAACGGTGTCAGCGGCTACAACGTGGCCGCCGTGGGGATGCTCACGTTCATCAGCAACTGGGTCGGCCCCATCTGGTGGGCCTTTGCCATATGCCAACTGTTCAGCACGGTCCAGCTCACCGGTGGTGATGCTGCTGCTGGTACTGCTGCGAGGAGTAGCAGTTCTTTTCTCTTCACGGCGTTGGCAACGTTTTCTTGTATTCATGCCCTGGCGGTCATGTTGGCCTGTATGGTACTGCGCGAACACCTCTTCATCTGGACCGTGTTCTCCCCCAAGTATCTCTACACGGCGGCCTGGGTCGTGGGCCAGCACACCCTCGTCAATGCAGTTTGTGTCGGGTCGCTGCTGCAGCCGTGGCGGCGGACAAGGCGCGATCCGACAGAACCATCTGGCACTTCAAACATAAACAAATAGATCTATAGCATATTTTTTGGGGGCGCAAAACACTCGCTCTCCCTCGGCCAATCAACCACACTTTTCGAAGATTTTTCTTGTTCCTTTTTTTTACAGATGACCGTTCTGCTGCTGCTGCTGCTGCTCTTGCTGCGAGACACAAAATCCGTCGAAGAACCGGCCGATTCCCTGGGTGTCGTCGATGGGAATCACTTTGGAGACGTCTAGAAAAAAGCGTGGTCAGTCAGTCGGGGAGCTCTTCACGCGAGGCATTGGATTGTGTAACGTACATTGGTCAGGGCGCACAATCACGGTGGCGCCTGTCTCCGGATCGACGCCGTACTTCTCATAAGCGTGGCCGTGGCCCGAGTTGTAGTGCTCGTCGTCGACGAATACTTTGTGGAGGTCTTTTGAAGGCGGGCGGGACAAGATAAAAAGTCAGCAAAAAGAATACGATCGACTGGCTGGCATTTCTGTTCAATGTGTATAGAACAGTTCTTGCTTCCTTACCTCTCATTTTCCACTTCCCGGTCACGGGCCAGAAATAGTCCGGGATTTGCTCCTGCTCGAGTTGGAGGCGGTCGCCCGTGACCACCACGATGGGCTCGATAAAGCTGTCAATGTCCGCCGACACGGGAGTGTACTTCCGCACGGGACCGCTGGGAGATTGCATGTATTCTGCGATCTAGAGAGAGACACACACCCACACACACCTTGAGTCAGTTCCCGGTCTGGTCGCTAGCAGCAGCATTGGAAAAGATAAGACAAACCTGGTTTAGTCTCGGGAGCATCTTGGGGTCGCCAATCCGGCCGGCAAAGAAGATCACGCGCCACCGACCGTCCGCCTTCAAGGCCCGGGCAAGCTGCATGGCTTTGACATCACAGTACCGCACGACCTGTGCGCCGGGGAATCTCATGCCGACCACAAGCTCCTTGGCCAGCTCCTGCGTACTGCCGGCGCTAGACGTCACGCTGGAATCCTCGTATTTCGAAGTCAAGCCGGCGGTGTACCGGCCGGATTTGATGAAGCCCTCGCGAAACTCTTCGGGGCTGATTTTCTTCTCGTTGTTCGCCTTGTTGCTCGCAAACAACTTCATAAAGTACCGGTCAAAGTCGATCAGGTCGGCCGCGGTCTTGCCGCGCTCGATGCGGTACGTCTGCAACAAGTCTGGCGTGGCCTGTCCCGTCAAGACGTGCCCGAGTTTCCAGCCGATGTTGAAGCCGTCTTGCAGGGAGACATTCATCCCCTGCCCGGCTTTTGGTGAGTGGGTATGAAACGCGTCACCGGTCAAAAATACCCGGTTGGACTTGGTGAAATGGTCCGCGAGACGTTGGCCGATTGAATAACATGACCACCAGTACGTGTCGGCAAAGTCCATCTTGTACGGCTGGAAGATTTGCTGTGCCTTCTTGTGTAGATCCTCTAGTCTGATTTCCTTGACGTTGGTGCCTGTGGGAAATTCGATGTAGAAGCGAGTGAGAGAGCCGCCCTCTCGAGGGATAACCAGTAGGGATCCAGAGTCGGAGTGGACGGTGACCTTGCGGCGTATGTCGGGGAAGTTGGTTTGTGGATAGATATCCATCACTCCCCAGACGGCATCGGTGCTATCTCCGACCATCTTGTAGCCGAGCGATTTGCGCACGACACTGTGAGCTCCATCACATCCCTGTTATCAAGCAAAACTTAGTAAGGAGGTATACTCTCGACCCGAGCGTGCCCATGGCAACACTTACCAGGACATACTTGGCCCGGAAAATCTCTTCTTTCGCATCCTCATCGCGCACCGCAACAACCGTACAAGGATAACTGGTTGAATGCATCTCCGCCAACTCCTCGTCCAGACGAACGCTCTTCACCGTCCACCCATAGCTCACCTCCTCGCCCCGGCCAGCGCCCAGCTTCCTCATCTTCTCCAGCAGCAGGCCATTGACCCGCGCCTGGTTCAGGATTAGATGCGGCATGTGGCTCAGGCCCTTGGCGGTGTCGGCCGCACGGTTGCTGCGGCGGATTCCACCGTGCCCGTCGGGACTCCAGAAGGCGACTTCCAGGACGTGGTAGGCCTCGCGGAGCAGGTCCTCGGACAGGTCCAGGGTCTCGAAGATCTCGACCGTGCGGCATTGGATTCCGTCCGCCTGCCCGATGGCCATGGGTCCGCCGCGCCGCTCAAGAATCTTGAACTTGATCTGTTGCCGTGGGTGTGTCGTGTTGTAGATGGTCAGCCACAGGGCCGCGGTCAGCCCAGCGCTGCCGGAGCCGACGATCAGGACGTCGAAAAGATCGGCCTCGGCCATTCTTGAGCTGGTGATCGTAGAGGAACGGGAGTGTTAGACTGCGAAGGAGTGGGTTAGGAGATGCGCGGAGGGCGAATATAAGGAAGAGGACTCGTTTGGAAATGAAGACTAATTGCAATATAATGTACTGCAATAGTTGTTGAACGTCTCCAAAGCAATGTGAAGCGGCTGTTTTGAGAGAGAGAGAGAGTCTCGGATCTCCGTGAAAAATAGTCAGACCTCCGTCGAGAAACCCCAGTCACCCCGGCGAATTTATATCTCCAGCGTCTTCTCTCTGGGTCTTCAGCGTGAGGAGCAGATATCACTCCCGACCCGACAACAAGACATCAGTGTGTGCGGCGGTACTTGAGTGCGGCATTCCTCTTCCCCTTGATATCACTCCCAGTCTGCAAACGCTCGTTTCTTCTGTTCAGCCTATCGTCAACATCGAGATGGCTTACCGTCTGGTATTTGTGGTCCTGCCTCTTCCCCGCTCTCGTTCTCGTTCTCGCTTCCGAGGGTGGGATGATATAGCCAATAGACATCGATCGTTGCCAATAAGCGAGCCTTTTCGGAAGAAATTGCTTCCATAGACTTTCCGCTTCACTATGCACGGCTTCACCGGCCACGAAAACTACCTGCTCTTGGGGGCTGTCGGTGATAAAGAGGAGCCGAGCTCGGTCGTCGTCGTTTGCGCCCTGCGTGTATATCGGGAACGTTGGACGTCGATACTATTGAGTGGAAGCGTGGACTTGCTGCCCATCATTGGAGGTTGATATAGCATCATTCCAATTACGGTTAGCGTAGCACCGCTGCTCTTCTCACCGGGCCAATTGTCATGCCAAGTATCTCTCACCGCCTCTGGATTTGTACCGGCAGAATACTTGCGAAATTCGCGACTGTCCAGCACAAAATTCCAATCCCGAAACTCTTCTACACTGTACGTGATGTAGTCTGGCTCCCTCTCTGGCTCCCTCTCTGGCAGAAATGCCGTCGTTAGATCCCACAACCACGCTGAACGCTTCGGTCCCTGCTTCTGCCATGCCAATCATTTCACCCAATGCCCTTCTCCACGCCCACTTGAAGCAGAGCCCCCCTCAACGCCCATCAAACCGCGTCCCTTCAGAACCGCGACCTATCCAGCTCAACGTGGGCTCGTTGACACATTGCAATGGATCATCCTTGGTGAAAATCGGGGCGACGACGATAGTGTGCGGCGTGCGCGCCGAGATACTCCCTACAAGCGAGATTCCCAGTTTTCGAGTCAACAAGTCCTCGGGACGGGTCCGGCCAAAGCCGCCGAGAGCGAAGAACGAGGTGGATGACAACGAGGACGAAGGAGAATACTCGCCGATGCAACTGTACAACCTTGTGGTGCCAAATATTGAGCTAGGCACAGGTTGCTCGCCCAAATACCCTGCCAACACAGCCCCTTCCGTCGAAGCGCAGTCAATATCCCAGCGGCTGCTGTCGTTACTCCACTCCTCGCAGCTCGTCAGAACCTCTGACCTCGAAATCATCTACACTCCGCCTGCTGAGTCCCAAGACCTAGAGCTAGGAATAGATACAGAACCTCAGTTGAAAGCGTACTGGACACTGTACGTTGACATGATGTGTATCAGCCATGGCGGATCCCTGTTTGACGCAGCCTGGCTCGCACTCCATGCTGCACTGCAAAACTGCCTCCTCCCAAAGGCCTGGTGGGATGCCGACTTGGAAAAGGTCATCTGCTCAATGGATGTGAAAGAAGCATGCAAACTACGGCTGAGAGGAATGCCAGTACCCAGCAGTTGGGGGGTGTTTGTGCCCGAAAAACGACTGTTGGCCCTGCAGAATGACGCAGAAGATCGGTATTGGATTCTTATGGACTTGGATGCTTTCGAGGAAGAGTCTTGTGTGGAGGTGGGTTGTATCACGGTGGATTGCAGCAACGGCGCCAATTCAGCATTGATTTTGAGAATCGAAAAGAGTGGCGGATCTGTGATCGGGGTCGATCAGATTGCAGAGGCGGCCGAATTTGCAAAACGGAGATGGCACCAGTGGAAGCATGTGTTGGACACCGCATTGACTGCTTGAATATTTGGACGATCCGAAGGCGTCGGTTTGCGAAACAGAAAAACAAACACCTTTTTCACATCGTCGAGACGGTGTGAGCGAGCCCGCAGTCAGCATTGACCCCCTATCCACAAAACCTGTTTCACTGTAATGAACTCTTGTACGCTTCTCGGGAGGAATGACACCGTCCGGCTGGTCACTCGCAGGAACCTCCCTGCTTTGCTCCTCTTCTACACGACGCGGCTTTGCCTCCACAGGCGGAAGGAATTATTCCAACTCTATTGGTTTCATATCTGCTGGGCCCGAGGAAGCAACGACGAAGCACAGTCTACTGTTCTCGATACGCAACTTTGGATTGCGATGAATAGCACAAGCTCTGGACAATGACCTTCTGTTGTTGATCCACGAAAAAACCTTCCAGCACATCTCTTTGAGTGAGCGTGTGTGAGTCCAGGGTGCCTCAAGATTTTCGACCGCGCCTTGCCATGCAGACGATACAAAGAACCGCGCCCTTCTCCGAATTCGCTCGAGTTGAAACCTCCACGCTAAAAGGGAAAAAGAGAGACAGCCACCCATGCGTGATTTTCAGTTCGCCGTCCATGCTTGTTCCGACCCTACGGCTCTTCTCTATCCTCAGCCTCGTCTGCCGCAATCAACGCGGCCTTCAAGTGTGTAAACAAGGTTTCAGCAAACAACGGTGGCACGGCGTTCCCAATCTGCCGCAGCATCTGGGATTTGCGTCCGGAGAAGACGAAGTAGTGTCCAAAGGTCTGCAGGCTCGCATACTCCCGAATATTAAACCTTCGAGTGCCGGATGGGTGGTAGTGGTGGCGCTTGTCCGATGTCATAATGGTTTGGCACAGCCCGTGGCCTGGGTACGGTGGCATCGTCTTCCGCATCTCTGACCTCTCGTTTTGTTGTGGAGCATCCACCGGAATCGCGTCGAGGGTGCTAATGATTGATGGGATAGGCAGAAGACCTGGTTCTGTACCATGCGTCGGTTTGGGGAAAGCAGGAAGCCGCTCGCCTGGCCTAAAAGGCAACCTCTGGTCAGTGGATGAAGCCAACGAAAAGTGCTATGAGAGAGTGTGTGCTCATCCTTCGACTCACCCAGATGCAATGATGATGGTTCTATGTCTCGTCTGAGGCACGCCATACTTAGCCAGCTCGACGGCTTTCCACTGGATACTGTATGCCTTCTTGATGAACCCGCAAATTAAATTGCGGAAGTGTTCCCTCTTGTCAATGTCTGTGAGGCTCTTGGCCTCCTCGAGGGTCACGATTCGCGGTTTGCAGACCTCTAGCAAGCTGGAGACTTTGGAGAATGAGTCCAAGTCCTGCTTGTTCTTCTCCGGGTTCGGGTTGCGGTTGGCACCGCAGAAGGGCTGGCACGGTGGACTTATGTGCAAGAAGTCCACCACGTAACGCTGCGGCGACATGGAGGCGATCTTAATGAAGTCTGAGACATCACAACATAGAGGGTGCGTCCCGGTCAGACCAAAGTTGTTCCTGTAAGTTTCAATGGCCACTTTATCGAAGTCGACGGCGAACTTGAGCCTGAGGCCTGCTTGGAATGCGCCCGCCGAGGTGCCCCCAGCTCCGCAGAACGCGTCGGCAAAGGTCTTCCTCCGGCTTGTGGATGTTTCCATTCCCCTCCACTGCCGACGCACCTCTCGGTCAGAGATTTGGAATTTAATCTGCCCCTTTGGAGTTACCAGGGCGCCATTGTCGGCCTGCCGAGCCTGGAGGTGATCGATTCTCCCCGAAAGTGGCGGTCCTCTTGGGTCTCTTTCTTCAGTGGGCACATTGCTGTCTGCACTGGTCCATCTGCAAAAGTAAACGGCTTGCTCATGGTCCTCGCCGGTGTATGCTTCCACGTGTTTGCGGTAGTGGAGGTTCATATACAGCTGGTTTGTGAAAACGATGGTACAATTTCTCACAATTTCGCCGACAGGCACTGTCGTCGTGACGTACCCAACCTCCATCTCGTCGTTGATCTTTATGAGCTGTACTAGCTCGTGCTTTCTCTCCGGCATAAACAGCTCCCAGTGGTTTTGATACAGGAGTCTGTACCCTCTGATGCTGCCACGTTCTCCGGTGTTTGGGAGATATTCCACGATTCGAAGGAACGTTTGATCCGTCAGTTCGACGTCGCAACCTGGCTCCAGCTTCACTGGTCCTCTGGCGACTCGCTGGATCTGAGCAATGTCAACCACTTTCTGAACTTGGGGTGGTGCGACATTTCGGCTTCCGGTGATGAAGAGCTCTTCTTCGCCATCGTTCCTGTCATCACTCTCGTCGTCCAAGACAATAACATTTGGACAACCGCTGGTATCCCTCTCGGAGAGATGGTCAGTGAAATTCGGACGGCGCAATAATGGGTGATTTATTGAGGATTGGCGCGCCCGCGCCTGGAACCACGAGTTACCGCTTCGGTGCGCTGCCACACCACCAGTGCGATACATTCTGGCCCGTTCTTCGGCCTTGGTGTCCTTCCGGGTGTCTGTAGCAGTGGATGGCTCTTGTCAAAACGAGGGGCCCGGAGGAGAAGCGTGCACGAGTGATCAGAGGTCAGGAAGAGACTTGCTGGAGTAGTGAAATGGCTGGACAGGGAGATATCTGAGTGGCTCTGAGAGAAATTAAGACGTCTCCAAAAGAGTGGAAGGACGATTGATTTGAGAGAGTGAAGAGAACAGAAGTTGAAGAGGACGGATTTCTAGGCTGCTTGTGTCTGTCTGCTGCCTGTCTGTCTGAACGAGGAGACCAAAGGGAGTCTGAAGCCTGGAGAGAACAAGAGAAGAGCTGAAGAGTTGAACAAGATGAAACGGTATTGGGAAGGAACCTCTTTAATAAAGAGAGCTGGTGTCGATGAAAGAGCTCAACAAGGCGGCAAAAGGATCAGGAAGAGATGCTTAAAGAGACGCTCGAAGTAAAGAACAAGCGGCCATGAAAGAACTGGACATGAAGGTAAAGGAGAGATCAAGAAAAAAGACGTCTGAGGAGAGGATCAGTGGAGCGATTGAACGTATTTGACAGGCGGCATGAGGGCCACTCACACAAAGAGAGCCTGGAGACTGAGATGCCGGCAGACACACGAGAAGGAAGACGAGAAGGGCATACAGCCTCCCAAGCCCTAGGTCTCAATGTTGAGGCGCGTCATTGGGAAGATCCCAGACAGGCGGTGGTGCTTCTTGACAAAGCTCGGCCAGCCGGTTGGCCGTGTCGTTGAAACCACCGACATGATGATGCAAACAAAAGAAGTTTCTGGTTTTCCTTCCATGCAGATAATATTCGACACAATGCAATGTTTGCACCCCTGCGAAAGCGAGGTAAACTTGGGCTCTCTGCAAAGACGCACACACATGGTAAACACAGACACAACGGACTGCCAGAACATTCTGCCGGGCGAAGGCATTGACGCCCCTCAGTAGTTTTGTTCTGCTCGATAACCTCATGATTGATTGATTGATTGACTGACTAACATGCTTGCATTCATTCATTTGGTTGGGACTCAGGACGTCAGTCTCTACTAACATTCTTTATTTATGATCACGTGCGAGGCTCGCAGCCGAAAGGGGGGATTCCGCCTCCTCGACCACCACTATGTTTACCCTCGTGCAGGTACTTGGAGAAATATCTGGGGCCGCGCAATGTTCGTGACATTAGAGAAAGCAGAGCTGGCGCATCGTGCATGGAGAAAGGCAGGATTTACCGTAAAAGGGTGCACAAGCATCAAGTATCTGGTAATGCGCATCAAGCAAACCCACTTGCTTGCAAGACTTGAACGGATTGACTGAGTGATTGACTGACTGACCAGCTGCCACGGGATAATGTAGCTTTATTCACTTCGCCCCTTTCAGACTTTTCGTGCAAACTTGCCGGGTTGTGTGGGGATGGGGATACTTGTCCAGGCGCCAAGCTAGAAGAATTCTTTGATCAATTAATTAATATCGCAACTCTTCGTCAATATCGTGGCTTTGTCTCACAGATCTGGTGGTCAAAGTTACCACCTCCTGTGCAGAACTAGTACCCAAGATATTTCCCAATATTGCGTTGCCGATCCGTGATCTGTTTCCAGATACCTTCTGGCTCCTCTTTTTTCTTTAGACTTTGCCCTTTGTCAACGGCCACAGACTCCCAAGCAAGCGCTTGCCGGCTTTTTTCTCCCTGGGGAAATTGTTGTTGCTATGGTAGTCGGCAGCCCGCATCACTGAAAACAAGGACAACGACGAATTCTTTGCAGGTCCACCTAACTGAGGGAGGCGTCAGATCAAGCTGCTCAAGAAATTTCCCGCAAGACCGGCGCGGGAAAGCATTCCCCGGTTTTGCTTGTGTACTTCTCTGGCACGTCAAAGAAACAGAGGACGTGCGAACATGTCTGTACTCTCCTTACATGGTAGCGGCCAATGAGAGTCTCAAGACTGCTAGAATCATACATTGTGAACGTGATTTCTGACGCTCCTAGAGACCTCACCTCGTCTTCTGTACAAGGAGATCGCAGCCTCGCCTTTGACAGAGTTCCTCCATGATGTCCAGACTCAATGTCATACCTACAGTTGAGGTTGCGGTCGGATAAGCAGGGAGCATGTAGAATGGCTAAAACGCCTGGATACCGTGCATAAAGCTGGGTGCCGCGTTGTTGCAACTCAAGGCGCCGCTATCCACATCGATGAACCGAGACTGATTGAAGCAACAGCGTGGGACTCTCCTCCACCAGGGCGTTAGCCATTGTTGGCCATGGGTGCTTCATATCCAGGCGGATAACTATTTTACATGGTTGAGGACCTGTTTTTTTGACGTTACAATCGAGGGGTTTGCCGAAGAGATATGCTTGATTGTATGGCCACACTCATTGTGCAGTGGACGCCTTCCCCATCTCATTCGATGATTCAGCGAGCACTCTAACGCTATGTTGGTTGCGTTGACAAAACATACTCGGACCGATCGAAAGCGTGGGTGTCAGCAGGCAAAATGGATGCGGTGAAAGACTTGATCAACAGCCATCGTAACACTTATCGTGTGTTCTCGCGCCCATTCTTGACGGTCGACCTCTTCCATCCTCTCAGACGCGTTCCAATGAGATCACGAATGTCTCGTTCACGTACCACAGAGGAGCGGTCAACTTCCGGATGTGGAATGGTTTTCCAGAATGCATCTTCCTTGAGACTGCTCTGAACTCTTACTGGTAATTTCTGCACTTGAACATGACCTAGAACTCCACTGAGCGGATTGGCAGCCTCCATGTCTGCAACTCAGTGTCGGGCATACCGTTACCAATGCTGGCCTTCTTTTCGCATGTGTCTACTTCATAGCTCTTCAACTTCTCGACGCCAGACCCGCTAGTCCCGATGCAGAAAAAATTCAGACTTCAAGTTACGGGTATCGGACACCTTCCTCGGCATGACGGAGTATCGGGTATCGCTATCTTATCGGCAGAGGAAAGCAATAGCAAGTCGGAAGGAGGTGAAGGGAGGGAGGGAGGCGTTGGCGCGCGGCTAATCTCGGGCTCTTTGCTGGTGTTGTATTATTGTTGTGTCGGCGGTGAAGGGCGAGTGTGAAGGCGGGAGGGACATCTCCGTACAAAAAGCAGCAGGCTTCGGATCCAGTGGGTGCACGTGAGCTCCGGAGATGCATGCGTCCCCTCGCGCCCCTCGCCTAACCCAATGTCCCCGCTGACCAGCCAAAGGAAAAAAAAAAACTTATATGTCCGCTGCTGGTATGAAATCAGGACCTTTTCCTTTCAGAAAAAATTCACCATGTCAACTGCTCCTTGCCCAGGTCGACTGGGCATATTTCGCTCCAACTCGGCATATCCTATGCCCCCTGGATCTATTTCTCCTTCAAATCCGCTATTGCTCGGTCCGAAGCGACGAACTTCCCACTACACACTCTCACTCCAACGACTAGCCCTCGATTCTTCCCGATCGTAAAACCCTGACTCGTGTTCTATCTTTCTTCGAGCCTTCTGATCCCCGTCTCTGTACTGGTTGCCATGTCCATCTAGGTGCGTCCGACCCCCTTGCCTTGCGTTCCCCCCACCCCTGCAGGATGATCCCCTTGTGTATTTTTTAGATGTTAGACTTCATAACCAGTGTTGCTGAAAACCCTCGGGTCTGATGGTGGCTGAAGTTTTCGCACTGTATCGCAAGCAATCTGCTTGAGGATCTGTTTTGGCTGACCTTCTGTGCAGAATTGTATAGACCTTGAGCCAAAATGTGCGGCATTCTCGCCTTAATCCTTGCCAACACGTCGTCTACGGCCGCCGCCGTCGACCTACACGAAGCCCTGTATCTCCTGCAACACCGTGGCCAGGATGCCTGTGGGATTGCGACATGTGCGACCGGTGGACGGATATACCAATGTAAAGGCAATGGCATGGCAGCAAAAGTTTTCCACGATGGTCAAAGAGTAGTTGATCTTCCGGGCTTCATGGGCTTGGGCCATCTGAGATACCCTACTGCAGGAAGCAGTGCGAATGCCGAAGCTCAACCGTTCTACGTGAACAGTCCATACGGTATCTGTCTGGCGCATAACGGCAACCTGATCAACGCGCCTGAACTGAAGCAGCATCTGGATCTGGCGTCTCACAGACATATCAACACTGATAGCGACAGCGAGCTTATGCTCAACGTCTTTGCTGACGAACTCAACGAGACTGGGAAGGCCCGTGTTAATGAGGATGATGTATTTGCAGCTCTCGGCAGGATGTACGAGAGATGCAAAGGCGGCTGGGCTTGCACTGCGATGATTGCAGGTTACGGGCTCATTGGGTTTCGTGATGCATTTGGCATCCGCCCTCTCGTCCTGGGGTCCAGGGAGTCTGCCGATGGACCTGGCAAAGACTACATGATGGCTTCAGAATCCGTTGCCCTAGCCCAACTTGGGTTCGATGTCATACGGGACATTTTGCCCGGCGAGGCGGTCATCATTCAGAAAGGGCACGAGCCGCACTTTCGACAAGTGCAGCAACGAAAAGAGTACGCCCCCGATATCTTTGAGTATGTCTACTTTGCCCGTCCCGATTCAGTCATGGACGGAATCAGTGTCCATCGGAGTCGGCAGCATATGGGCCTGCGACTTGCAGCACACATCAAAAAGGTGCTCAGTCCCCAAGACTTGGAAGACATTGATGTGGTCATTCCTATTCCCGAGACGTCTGTCACTTCAGCATCGGTTGTCGCCAAAGCACTGGACAAGGAATACTGCCAAGGCTTTGTGAAGAACCGTTACGTTTTCCGAACCTTCATCATGCCGGAGCAGAAAGCCCGACAGAAGGGGGTGAGGCGGAAGCTGAATGCAATGGCCATGGAATTCAAAGATCGCAATGTTCTTTTGGTGGACGACAGTATTGTTCGGGGCACTACCAGCCGGGAGATTGTAACGATGGCACGAGAAGCGGGCGCAAAGAGGGTACACTTTGCGAGCTGTGCCCCTCCTATCACGCACGCACACATCTACGGTATCGACCTGGCCTCGCCACTCGAACTGGTGGCGCACAACTATCACGGGCCTGATGCGATTGCAAAGCACATTGGGGCTGATAGTGTGGTCTATCAAACTTTGGACGACTTGAAAGCCGCGTGTGTCGATGCAGCTCGAGAAGCAAAAGCGTCCGACGCCCCCAGCAACTTCGAAGTCGGTGTATTCTGTGGAAAATACATCACACCCGTCGATAACGACTACTTTGAGCACTTGGAGCGGATCCGAGGTCAAACTCGCAAGCTGAAAGTCATTGACGAGGCCCGACGGGCTGTTGTCCAAGGCGTGGCCGGCGAACACCAAATCCAGCTGGCCACGAACGGAGCTGTGGTCACTGAAGGTGGCAAGGTGGTGCCTGCAGCCAATGGCAACGGATACCGGCGACAGTCGATTCAGACTGATGTTACGAACTCACATCGGGGTTCGGCCGTGTCACTGGGGTATGAGGACGAAAGTCCATCTGTACGAGATCGTATGGATATTGCTTTGCACAATCTGGGAGATTTCCCTGGAAATGAGTGAATTTGACTTCTGCTGGGACATCGAAGGGTGGCATTCGTGTGCATTTCCTGGCATAGAATGGGATCGGGATCAGCATATTAGAGGATGGTCATCAATCCTGGTTTAGACATGACGACTTCCAGTTGTCTCGAGAGCATTTTGGGGGCGGCTTCTCTTTCTTCTATGGCGCCTTCCACTTCTTGCCGGAGAGGAGGAAGAGGCCACTGTTGCTGTGCAGGACTCAAATGCTCTTTCCCTCTGGTCGGGAGCCATGCAGGCGGCCACATTTACTTCTCCCCAACATGATCTTTACAAGATTGCCTTTGATCCACCTTCAGTTTGCTTTCACTTCAATACACGCCTCGAAACAGTTGCAGTCGCTGTGGCCTTTCGATCAATCCCCATTGACCTGTCGCTCGCCAAGTCGTCATGATGTGTCTTCTCCTCCTGTTGTTCAACGTCTTCTTCGGTGCTGTTATTGCTCAGCTATACACACCTACTGCTAGCGAGGGGAATGGCGACATTACACAACCAGGGCGGTGTCCTGCATACCTACCATCCTTTCCTGGGTTTGAATTTCCACATCTGATGATACCAATTTCATCCACCGCCCCTGACACTGCCTTTCCCAATACGGACTCCCCATACATCACAGCTGCAGACATTTCAATGATCTTCAACTTTGACATTCCCGCCTCTCGCAAGGGCCAGACCTGCAACATGGAATTCCTCTTGCCGAATCAGACAGAATTGAGCACATCGTCGTTTCAGCTCGCCGGTATCAATGGGTCCTTCGTCTTCTCTCTGTCGGTGCTTGGTGGTGGAGCGGTGGCAGGCAACACCACCTACAGCAATCAACCTCTTCAAGCAAACCCGCACGGTCTCCCAAGAACCTTACACATCGAGCCAGGACACGCATATGCCATTGGCAGCACCATTTGCGTGCCGGGCAAAATCAGCATTACAATGAGCAGCCCTGACAGCAGTTTGACGTGGTTTCAAGACTGGAATCAGTGTGCCATCGGGCTCTTCATCACCTATTCGCCATAACATGGAGTAAAGAGCTGGGAGAGAGGTTCGCGGGATCCCCAGCCTCGTGGCACATTAGTATGGAATATGGGGCCAAATTATTGGGAGGACATTAGTTAAAGGTTTAGACGGCACCAGCGGATATTTTAGCGAGGACCAGCCCTCTGAATTCCCGTGGTTGCATGAACTGAGGGTGAGGGTGGTGACGGAGGAGGCTGGGGATGGTGGGGTGGGGGGGGGGGGGGGAGCGGTTCTTGATCCAGCATGGCTCATGGAGGAGGGTGAATTTAACTGCCTATTGCTTAACTAATTGGAGCCTGAAGAGCCTTAGAGGGGGAGCGGACGGGGCTTCACCAGCCTGGACAGAGCCTCATTTAGAGCCTACCTAAGTAGTTAGGTGGTAGTTTAGCCCTCCGGCGCCTATCGGGAGGGGAAAAACTTCCCAGCAATCACCAGCCCACCAGCCTCAGAGTTGCCCAGTGTGGAAACTCTCTCATCCATGCTCTTGTCTCGGTAGCAATGAAGCTCACTATTCCATCTATCCATCGTCCCCTGCCTCCCTTCGCACCACTTCGCTGTACGTGTTGTGTCGCCATCTTAACATCCATCTCGAGACATCCTCCCTTCCCACGAGTCGATGGAAGTCTCGTTACAAGAACGCACATCTAGACGAAGGCGACCTTGCCAAACATCTCACACCAGAGTAAACAACCAGCGCGCGCACCACAACATTCATACACTATGTCATCTTAACCTTTCCCCGAAACTCTCTTCGAAAAGAGATTCATCGTTCTCGACCATTTAACCATGTCGCGGCCACCTGCTGCTCGCTCTTCGGCCGCATCTGGCCTTGCGCCTCCACCACCTCCCATCTACCCTGCCAGTGCACATGGCTCGACTGTCTTCGCTGCTCCTCCCCTCTCTGCTGCGCCCACACATCTCAGTCGCCCACAATCACGTCTCGAGCCACCGCCTTTGGCTTCGACCATGGGCCCCATGCCTGGCACGCTGGAACGACCAATCCAGGGCCCCAAGAAGCGCCTGATCGTGACCTGCGACGGCACCTGGCTCGACGCCGACAACGGCCTTGTCAATGGACATAAACAACCCCCATCGAACGTCTCACGCATAGGATGGGCAATCAAGGACACATCGCGCGACGGGATCCCGCAAATCGTGAATTATCAGGCTGGAGTCGGGACCATGGGAGGGGCCGCTGCACGTGCCGTGGGGGGAGCTACAGGTTTGGGACTGAAAGAAAACATGCGCATGTCGTATACATACCTGGCTGTCAACTGGCGTCTCGGCGATGAGATATTCCTTATGGGGTTTTCTCGTGGCGCATTCACGGCACGATCTGTGGGCGGCATGGTCGGCGCAATGGGGCTTCTCACACGGAGCGGCTTGCCCTATTTCAACGAGATTTTTGAAGACTGGGAACACCGAGCCGACGACCGTTACGTCTCGCAGTTTCCTGACATCCCGTTCCCCGAAAAGGGGCGGTTCGATGATCGTTATGTGCAGGAACTGTCAAGGCGTGGATTGACCACCTTGAACGTCCCGATTAAGGCGATTTGCTGCTGGGACACGGTCGGTGCTCTCGGTATCCCTCGGGTGCCGTGGCTGGAGAATTTGAGATTACAGGCCCGCGGCATGCACGCCTACGAATTCTACGACACGACACTGCACCCTTGCGTTGAGAACGCGTTCCAGGCGTTGGCGCTAGACGAACGAAGAGCTCCATTCACTCCGGCGTTGTGGGAGAAGCGGGACAACCACCGAACGAATCTCGTCCAATGCTGGTTTCCGGGAGTGCACAGCAACGTCGGTGGGGGCTACGACGACCAACAGCTGGCGGACATCACCTTGGCGTGGATGATCTCGAAACTGGAGCCATTTCTGGACTTCAGACAGAATTGCCTGATGGGACTGTGGGAGGAAAACCGCGCTTACTACAAGCAGACGAGACAGAAGACGAGGTGGTGGAGTTTTGGCGAGATATTTGACACCGTCAAGGGCCTCTACGCACTGACGGGAGCGAAGACGAGGACACCTGGGAATTACTTCCGGTCGGACCCGGCCACGGGACGGACGACCAACAAGAGATTACGAGGGACCAACGAGTTCATCCATGCTTCTGTACGGGCGAGACTGGGTCTGCAAGGTCCTGGTGTCCAAGACCGCGGCAACTACGAGCCACCCGCTCTCCGAGACTGGACGTTCGATGTGGAATATGTCGGGCCAGGACAAGGTGGCAATCAGGATGGATTGCTGGTCATGTGGAACCACCACGGCCAGTCGTCGCGGCGGAGGGGAGAGAAAGGCGGGCAGGACCGAATTCCTGAAGAGAAGCTGTCCGAGACGGAGCTGGTGCTTCTGAGGCAGAGTCCGCGCGCCTACGACTACGTCATGCAGTTACGGCCGACTGGAGTACCGGGCGGGAAGAGGCGATCTCGAAGACATGGGCAGAACGGCGTGCCGAATGGACCTGGTCCACTTCCGCCAGGAATGGGCCCGTATGGGGGTGGAGGGCCACCGCCGGGGTCTTTTGTTGGAGGTCCTCCACCACCACCACCTGGAGCCATGAACGGCAGACGCAGCAGAAGGTCACTGAATGCCGACCTCTCGCCTGACAGCGACGACAGCAGGGACCGCGACCGCGAAAGACGGCACCGGAAGCGACGAGAAAGCGGAGGAGATCCAGATCGCCATCGACGGCGGCGCAGTCGAAGGTACGACGATGACGAGTAGCGAACGAATTGAGCAAGACGTGTTCCCCCCTTTTTTTTCGTATTGATTTCCTTTTATTCTCTCTGTTTCCTTTCAATTTTGTGATTTGCAATACAGCGCGAGGTTTGTGAGCGATAATCTACCACACACCATCATCTTACAGGGAGAGATCGGAAGTGGGGACTCAACAACGTCCTGAACATGAACATGAGCATGGTGTTGCTGGTATCTATCACGGTGACGGCGACAGTTACGATGGCAATGACGAGAACAACAACGACGATGAAGTAAGGTGCGGATTTGATACCCAGATAGCATGCATACCTACATACTCTTGAGTGTTTGGCGCTGAGCGTTTAGCATTCAGCGGGAAAGGGGGCGCCGAGAAGAGCAGAGCAGATTCGTTTCATTCAGAGATATTATATTACAAGCATCCAGCGCGGGGACAGGGACGAGGAGGTGGGACCAGACGAGGATGGGATAGGATCGGCATGGGACATAGCAAGCAGGCAAGCAGCAGGCAGGCAAGCAGGCAGGCAGGCAGGCAGGCATTAATATTATTATTTATGTAGTTATGTACCATCCGCATATGAGCAAGCAGGGGCAACCTTTACTCGACAATGATATTATTATTATTCCTATATACGTCCATTTGGTGTACCTTGCACAATCTATTTCTTCGTACATGCATGCCTGTTTTCTCAACGGACAACTTCAGACATATATGTATTCACAGACATATGTGTATATGTATATCTATGTATAGTTATACCTCTGTACAAAGTACACTCTGTAAGTGTATCATGAGATCATCAACATGAACGGGTATGTAAGATGGAGGGAGAATGAATGCCCAATCCAAACAACGACGGCGACGGCGACGGCGACAGGGGACAAACAAGTCTTCACATGGATGGCGCATTCACCTAATTGTCTGACTGACTGTCTGTCTATCTACCATTGAATGGCATTAATTCGCGCGCGCGCTACCTCGGCGACAAACTGCGACTGATGACAGAAGAATTTCTCATTCAGGTGAAACTGTTCCATCGTCATCCCTAGATACACTCACCCACCTGCACACCGGTCATTGCAAAGCGCTGCTGAGCACAAGAGCTGAAAAAATTGTCAATGTTCATCTAATGCCTTTATGCTGCTGCTCTGTGCTCGACATCTGGCCGGCCGACAGAACCAACCAACTAGCCCACCCTCCCATATCACACTCGTAACATTTGCAGTTCATTTCCGTTTGACGCCCACAAAACACCATGTCGCCACACCAATGCTGATTCAAATTGAAACCCCCACCACCTCTCACCTCACCAATGCGATGATATGTAACGTATCGGAAGAAAAGAAAATGGATCATGACCCCAGAGAGGCAGTGACGTCTTCTTCTTCGAACGCGGGCAAACCGCCGTCGTCATAGTCTTCGAACGGCATGCCGGCTTCACGACATCTGGACTGCCACTTGCTAGTCTCGGCCCACGCGCTCCTCGCAGACTCCTTCATCCGATCAAGACGACTGGTAAGTTCTTTAATGGCGATGTCATAGGTGGCACGCTCGCTATCCCATTTATTCTTCTCGTTGAGGAGTTCTTGAATGTACTCGTACGTGCGCTGGAGGATCGCTCCCTTGTTCTTCTCGGTACCGGGCACGATCTTGGCAATGTTTTCGATACCTTCGTTGATGACTTCACGACGGCGGCGTTCGACTGGACAGCAACTCATGTTAGCGACGTGGCTCGTGGCCAATCAATCAATACAGGGGCGGTAAGCATGTCTTACCTTCCTTGTGGTTGTCCTTGCGCAGCTGATGCCACTCTGCACTTCCCACCGCAGGCTTGGACGGAGTGTTGGTGTTGGTGCCACCACGCGCATCAGCAAGAGCTTGAGCAGAACTAATCCCATGAACGCTGGGGCTGCCATCCGCAAAGGTGAATGGAAGACCAGCGCCAGTATCATCTGGATTGGGTTCAGGATAAGGCGATGGATTCATCCCCGGGGCGGCGAGAGCAGCCTGGGCTGTTCGAGCGTTATCATCGGCGAGGATCCCGTCACCTTGCAACAGGAGACCGTAGTTGGTATTGTCATGCTCTCCGTTCGTGATGGGCACCTTGGTATCACGACCGACATCTTGATCAGCCAGTCCACGTTTGCGCTTGTTGTTGGCATTGCCGGTAGCGGCGATAACGGGTTGATTTGCCATCTCTGCCAAGTTGATTTGAAGGGCGAAATTGCGCTCAGAGAAGCCCAATGCCGGTAATATGAATTGTGACAATCAGGCACAGACCCGAACCACTCTCTGCCTTTTGGCCAGTGAGGAAAGGGCAGCAAGGCGAAGCTCAGAGAGGCGGCAAGGAGGATTGTGGAGATGCACCGGGTGGTCAACTGTGATGATCGCCAGGTTAGCCATGGTCAACAGACTATGTGTACTTGGGCCTAGATGGGTGAAATAGGTCAAGAAAAAGCGAGAAGAAAGGGAGTGAGTAGAGGAGAGATGGTGTGCTGCGACAACTTGTCACATGAGGATTGCATTGTGGGCCAAGGGAGCAGTGGGTGGTGGTGGTGGTAGTGGTGGTGGTGACTTGGAACGCGTCTTTGGGTCAGTTGTCTCGGTCGCAGTGAAGCTTGGGAGTTGCTGTGACTGCTGGCGCCGCTGAGCACCATGAGACGCGCTGCAAGAGCCCATCAAAACGGGGTGAGATGCGCAGGGCGCTGCGGGCGCCGACATTGCGCTGAAGCTGTGCCGATACTGCGCTGAAGCAGTGCCGACACTGTGAAGCTGCGCCAACCCGCAGATTGCGAAGCGGGACTGGGTGTGTTGAGGGAAGATCAGGTGCCATCAGGTGACTTGAAGTTGGACTTACCACTGCTGAGCTGAAATCACAGTCGCAAGACAGTGAACCAGGATATTTTTGGGTGCGGATTTGATTTTCACACAGACACAACACGGATACAGGCGCACCGTGGGTTGCGACAAGATAACGAGTTGTGGTTGAAGCAGTCGAACTGGAATTACAGCATTCAGGTTCAGATACTCGAGGCTCGTTTTAGAGGGAAACAACGACAGGCCAGCGAGAGGCGCCGGCAGTTCAGCTCATGTGACTCGTCACCTTCCCACTTTGGGGGGGAGCTGCACAGGGCGGCAAGGAAGCCACGAACGCCGCTTGACCCGAAGTCGCTTAGCGCAGTGCAAAGGTTCTCCGGTGGCTTGGCGGCCCGGAAAAACCAAATGACGGCCGGGCAAAGAATGCCATGGCATATGACATGTGCCAGTCTGACTGTATCTCGTGATCCGGTGTCTGACCCTCCATTACCAGGCTATCCATCTATGCAGAAGACAACCCCTGGAAACATTAGTACATATTGTCCACCCATGGCTTGCGCCTGCCACCAGCCGGATCATCAATCCATGTCGAACATCCTTCCTTGGTTAGGTCTTTGGTAGCTCCGACGCCTTCTGTTCTGTCTTATCTCGGACTCTTCCGGATGTGCAGTGGGAAACATTGAACATAAGAGACAACTCTTCCTCCGCAATCTGATCCTCAGTTCGCTGATACCTTGTAGTCATCAACATCATCTTCATCATTATCATCATCGTCATCACCATCGGCATCATCTTCGACCGGCTCCGTGACTTGTTTGAGCGAGACTGAGTAGGCTGGGGCACTGTCCGTGTCCACCATAAGTATCCCGTCCTGGGCTCGTCCAAGGATGTCCCAGATCCGGACTTGCCCATCCTTTGTTATGCCCATTACACAGCTGCTGCCCGCATACCTCACCTCTCCAATTCGCGGACTGATGCCTTCCTCGCCAGTCCTGTTAGCGCAGACAACAAATGCCTCGGACTGAGCGCCTTGGGGACCAAATAGAGGAGTCAGCCTGTCGATCCAGTAGTTGATGGTGTCCTGGTCCGGGACCATCACCTGACTGGACAGCTCCTCGGCATTCAGCCTTGTTATCCAAGCCATGCTAATGACAACCACCTTTGCACGAGCCTCGCGCGCGTGATTGCCAAATTCATACGCCGTCCACGGAGCCTCGAATCGATATGGGTTTATGTCCATGCAGATGCCCGCTGCTGCCTTGACCTGCTGACCCTTGCCGCCAATGGGCAGCACGCCCGCCCAAAACCCTGGGCCCTCTTGAGCCCATGTTTCGTCCGTGTAGTAGAGGAAGGATTTGCGGTAGTGGGCAACAACGTCCCCTGTAGAGCTGACGAAGACAAGCGAGTTGTAGGCGATTTTGCCGGTTTCCTCGGCCGTGATACGTTGGTCAAAGATGGTGTTGTAGTTGCCTTCCTCGGCAGCCTCCGGGTATCCTACGGCCACGGTGCATTTCAGTCGTTTGGCGGTGCGAGCCGCCCATCGAGTCGAGGGTCCTGCTGCCGTGGGCTCGAGAAATGGTGCTATGGCTGCCAGGGACGGGTGATTGTAGCCTGTCATCACAGATTAGCCCCCACCGGCGTAGGCTGTGCAGAACAGCAACGCCCACACTTCTCCCACACGACGAGGAGTGGCCCTCCTGCACCTCTCCCTTTGGGATAGGGGGCGCGACAAAGGTTCCTCTGACTGACTCACCGGTGAATGCAAGTTCGGGAAGGACCAGAAGATCGATGTCCTTTAGCACACCTTCCCTCTCTTCTCTCATCAACAGACTTTCCGCTCGGCTGAAATTAGCGGCAACCTCGCCCAGCCGCGGGGAGAACTGTAGAGTTGCGATCTTCATATTAGCAGGGACCACAGCGACATCTCCGTGAAAGTGCCCGAAACGAATGAGGCAGTGATCACGACAGGGGCATGGTATAGCGGCGGGCAGCGAGTCCTTGATTTCTCAGCACGATCAATTCCAGAAAGCAGTGGGCTGCAGCTAGAGGATGTCAGAGAAGAAGAATGCAGGGGTCAGCAAATTGGTAGCTGTGTCTATAACAACTTGAGAAACGGGGGTTGATAAATCACGAATTTGACCAGAATTGTGGTGGAGCCGGCTACGGCGGAGCAGGGGCAAGTCTCGCCAACCCGCAGCAGCCAACAAAGAGTAGAAAGGATCAAAGTACCGAGTACTCGGTACAGTAGGAATGAGTCTTTGCAAAGCCATTGGCCATTCTTAATCGACTAACACAGAATGTGGTACAACGATACCGTCCGGTATCTGTTCCCGCGGCAATCTATAACTCGGCGCGAGCTTCAAGCAGCCTTCGCACCCTCGTCGTCCTCATCAGCATTCTCGTTCTTCTGCCTCTCTCTTTCCCGTTTCTTTTCTAGTAACCGATTCAGCTTCTTGGCCACATTGAATACACCTCCAGTTCCTGAGCCGCAGGCAGCACACGAAGGATCTTTTCGGTACCGCATCAAGGCGCATGCCTCACAGAAGTAATGGCCGCATTTGGTGACAATGGGATTCGTATATGATTTTTTGCAGATAATGCAAGCAAACGGTATGCTCTCAAGCAACTTTTCGTCATCTTCATCTTCTCCTGTTGATTGAGCGTTGCGGTTCGCAGATGCCACCGTTTTGGCGCCCGGATTCTTGCCTTTCGTACTGATCTCCCACTCTCGATCGAGCTGCCATCCTTGTTTATAGTCCTCGCGTGCGTGCAGAAATTTACAATTATCTCCGAATCCACAGAATCCGGTTTGCTTGTAATCCTTACACACATCGGGAGCGAAATCGGTGACAGTGATTGTCCTCACATTGGTCGAAGATTTTACGGGTCCAACCTGTTTCGGAGCACGGTCTGGATTCTTCTGTATGAATGACTGATAGTTTGCCACGCCTTTATACGTTCCATCCAAAGTTGTTATGTCTGTCCTCTTTGAAGGTTCCCCAGACTTTTTGTCGCCATCTTCATCATACCAGTTCGACGCTTTAGTAGCGTCGTCCCTGTTCGTTGCAGCGATCACGGGAGTGGTCGACGTTTCTTCGTCTGGCTTCTGACGAGGTTGGGGATTGGCCTTTGAAGATGCGGTAACACCGGCATTCTTGCGCCTCCGCTTGATTTGTCTTCCCTCTTCGTCTTCGAAAGATGAAAAGCCCGAATCCGAGTCATCATCTGGCGGAGGGGTGGCGGCTCGCTTTCGAATCGTGGACTTGGTTTTGGGATTTCTCTTTTTAAAAGTGACTGGGGGCGTCTCGACCGCAACCTGTGGGTCCTCCATCGTGAGTATTTGCTTAGGAGATCAAAGAGGGAAGTCAGGAATATGAAGCACTATCAACTCGAGACTGAAGACTGCATGAAGAAACGAGGTTTCTGGAAGCTGCGCAAAGCGTAACGCAGGCGATTTCTAAAGTGCTGCTTGCATAAGCCAAGCAAATGATCGACGGCGCTAAACCTTATCGTTCTGCTCGCCATAGTTTCCCCATGTGTGGTTTCTCCGACTGCATCTCCAAGCTGCGCGGATTCTGAACTCGCGAATCGAGGCACCAAAATCAACAGCATGTGGCAGATATAACCATCGACCTTCTTGTTCCTTCCACCATGGTTGTCCATCTCATGTTGCCTTGAACATACATATTCTTTCTTGGGTGGCTTGTCATCCCGCGAGCAGGCCATGGTAGACCATGTAGCACTGGGTCACCAACATGGGACTTCTGGCGATGCCTCTCCAACCCCCAGTCCGACCGCAGAGGAGCGTACCCGACGCAAGCTCGCCAGCTTCAAGGTCACCCATGTCATTCTTACGCTCTTTTTCTTATGGATGATGTGAGTGGTGCAGGCTAACGGCTGCGCTCGCGCTCAAGCTACAGGCTGACTGAGTTAGGACTGTACATATTATTGGCATTCTGTTTTTTGCTAAGGGCTTTCTTCTCACCAGATTGGTGTTGGACAACAAATCCGAATGTGGAATACTTCCATCCGACGAATCTTCTCGAGAAACTGGCGGATGCTGGCATCCAAAGTCGTTCGATCGAGCTGTCGTCATAATAATTGATGCTTTACGATACGATTTCACCGTTCCTTCTCATCGTTTCTATACAGAGCCCCAGAAAAAGTCCTATTTAGACAATTTCCCCATCCTCCACCAGACCGCTGTTTCGAACCCTGCCAATGCAATCCTGCTGCCGTTTATTGCCGATCCTCCGACCAGCACCCTGCAACGTCTGAAGGGCTTGACCACTGGTACTCTTCCTACATTTATTGATATTGGTTCAAATTTTGCTGGGACAGCTATCGAAGAAGATAATATCATTTCTCAGCTGAAAGATGCCGGCAAGACGATTGTACAACTTGGAGATGACACATGGCATTCGTTATTTCCTGGATATTTCGATCCCAACATGACAAGACCCTATGATTCGTTCAATGTGTGGGATCTGCACACCGTGGATAATGGGGTCATCGAGCATATTATGCCTTTGCTGGACCAGTCGCCGACAAAATGGGACGTCATTTTTGGCCATTTTCTTGGGGTTGACCACGCAGGCCACCGATATGGCCCTGATCATCCCGCGATGGCCGACAAGCTACGCCAAATGGATGGTGTTATCCGACAAATGATTGAGAAACTTGATGATCAAACTCTTCTCGTGGTTATGGGCGACCACGGCATGGACACCAAGGGGGACCATGGTGGGGAATCAGACGAGGAGATCGAAGCGGCACTTTGGATGTATTCAACGAAGCCTCGCTTCGGCCGCATTGATGCGGGCGACTCTTTGCCTCCGGCCACCGCAAAAGAGCGCCCAGTTGGCCAAATTGATCTGGTGTCAACACTCTCAATCCTTCTCGGTCTCCCCATCCCCTTCAACAACCTCGGCAAACCAATTGCTGAAGCCTTTGCGGGGGCTGAAACGACCGACTGGCAAAATCTTGCGAAAGTGGAGCAGTTGGCTCAGAGTCAGATCTCAAGATATCAAAAATATTATACGCGTTCGCGGGACCTTGGTCTGCCGGAAGAAGCTTACACGAAGCAAAACCAATATGTGCACGAGGCCACAAAGGCCGCGGCGCATGGCAAGTGGAAGGATTCACATAACGCCCTTGTCAACTGGCATCGAGAGGTGATCTCCATGTACAGACAACTGTGGGCCAATTTCAACTTGACCGATATGTTGACTGGTGTTCTCCTTTCTGGTCTTGGACTGGGGCTTTTGTTCCTGCTTGCCTGCTTCTTGGAAGGAGATAAAGCCGGTCTCGCTGTGCATTTGATCAGGAGCGCCGGACTCGGTTCAGCTGCAGGCGCTGCGGTCGGTGGGCTGACTGGACTTTTCTTACCTGCGAGATTCACTGTGGTGACTGGCTTGATCTTCGGCGCAGGCATCGGTGGCGTTATTACGGCTTGCTTCTGGTCATGTCAACACCTTTTCGCTCCAAAATCGTATCTACCATCCGCATGGGGATGGTTGGCCTTCGTCTTCTGTGTGACCCAAGCGGCGGGATTCGCCTCGAATTCCTACACGATCCACGAGGACACCATCCTCCTCTTTTTCCTGAGTTCCTTCGGCGTCGTGTCTTTAATCTCGTCGTTACGACAAGCGTCCACACCTGATCGAGTATTAGGTACCTACCAGTCAGTCGTGTTCATCATCCTCACCCGAGCGGCATCGTTTTCACGTCTTTGTCGTGAAGAGCAGATGCCCGGCTGTCGCTCCAGCTTTTATGCTTCGACCAACTCATCAACTTCGGCCCCTTGGCAGCTTCTCATCCCTTACAGCGTGGCTCTGGTCATACCGGAAATCATAAAGGCCTTCTACAAGGGCACTGCATCGTATGCAGGGTCGGCCGGCTTCTGGATTGGCTTCAGCGTCCGCATGGGCTTGTTGCTCATTGCCGCATATTGGACGGTTGACGCTGCGGACAACGGGGATTGGCTGTTGGAGCGAGTCTCATCCGCAACGCTCAAAACAGTTAACATCACCCTGGCCCGGTCTGCCCTGGCAATCGCGATTCCCGTCGGAATAGGGACTTTTGTGTGGGCCAAACCGTGTATCGACATCTCGATAACCGAACCGACAATGGTTGGTCACGAATCTGGCGCCCGTGGCCGACCCCAACTGGCCGTCTTTGGCTATGCAAACGTCTTTGGCAGTCGCTACTTCATTATGATGCCGATCCTCGTCTTAGCAGTGTCATTACTTCTGCCACCCATGGGTCAGTATTCTATCGCCATCCTCAGCTGGCAGATTCTGTGCCTCCTGGAGATTCTAGACACCAATGGGCTTACTATTGGGTCTGCCACCAAATCCAATATCGGCCCAATCATGCTCGCCATCCTGGGGTCGTACCATTTCTTCAAGACTGGGCACCAGGCAACCCTGGCCTCGATACAATGGAACTCAGCATTCGTCCCTCTACGTACGATTCAATATCCTTGGTCTCCGCTTCTGGTTGTGCTTAATACCTTTGGAGCTCAGATCATCTGCGCGGCAGCGGTGCCATTGACGGTCCTGTGGAAGAGACCGATCGATAAAGCTGGTCTACGTGGGTTATGGAACGACGTGCTCGGGGCTTGCCTGACGCATGCTCTATATTATGCGACTATCCAACTGGCGACGACGATGTGGGCAGGGCACCTGCGACGGCATTTGATGTTGTATCGAGTGTTCATGCCACGATATCTCATGGCCAACGGGGTGCTCCTGATTGTGGATCTGGTGCTGGCTTTGGTTGCCTTGGCTAGTGTTAGAATTGTTGGGCTCAGCGTTGGTGAGGTGTTTGGCTTTTGAACTCCACCAACTACGGGCTGGTGGGGGGATCTGCACCAAGCCGAGAAAAAGCTCCCTAGCCGTCCTTGCACGAGGCCCGGGGGTGCACCATGTACAAACAGCCAAGGTCCTCACTTAGTCAGTCTCTGGATCTGGCAAATGTACAGTGTACAAACCTCAAGGCACAGGTGGACCACGTCTAAGAGACGCACCTGTCAAGTCACGCGATAGAGAAAAGCTGAGTCAGGAAAAAGCATGTATCGTACCATTCGCCTCCTCAATGCACCTGTTGGCGGTTGATGCTGGGTTTCCGAAAGCGAAGAATGGGGCGTGGGCACAGGCGCAGGACGCAGCACAACCCAAGGACCCTTACGTCATCAGCCAATCTCTGTTCTCCAATTGACCGAACAGATCCAGAGTCTCCAGATGCATTCGCCGTATATTAACCAGCTGCGTGTTGGCTGTCACTGCTCGAAATTTTCACTTGATCTCACTTCTTCTCCTCTTCCTCAGACTCGTCTTGAAAAGACCCCTTGAGATCTTGATCACCCACCTTACCGACAACTGCTCCTTCTAGGCAAACGTCCTACAGCCCTGCCCTCTGCTTTCCTCTGTACCCCGCATCCATTGAACAGGCCCCTCCCTCCGCCACAATGCCTATTACCGTCCCTTCCACTACCTCCCTACACGACCTCTTCAGCCTTAAGGGCAAGGTCATTATCGTCACCGGTGCCTCCGGACCTACCGGGATTGGCACCGAAGCTGCCCGAGGATGTGCAGAAATGGGTGCCGATGTGGCCATCACATATTCGACCCGTCCTCAGGGAGGTGAGAAGAACGCCAAAGAGCTCTCGGAGAAATATGGAGTCAAGTCCAAGGCGTACAAGTGCAATGTTGGAAACTACGAAGAGGTGGAGAAGCTTGTCCAAGATGTCATCAAAGACTTTGGCAAGGTCGATGTCTTCATCGCCAACGCTGGCCGAACTGCTGACAGCGGCATCCTGGACGCCCCCGTCGAGAAGTGGAACGAGGTCATCCAGACGGATTTGAACGGTGTCTACCACTGTGCACGAGCCGTCGGTCTGCACTTCCGAGAGCGCAAGACTGGCAGCTTCATCATCACTGCATCCATGTCTGGCCACATTGCCAACTATCCTCAAGAACAGGTCAGTCTCCATAAATTGGGGTTTTTTCGATGAGATGATGTGCTAACCACTCACGTAGACCTCTTACAACGTCGCCAAAGCTGGCTGTATCCACATGGCACGCTCTTTGGCCAACGAATGGCGAGACTTTGCTCGCGTCAATTCGATCTCTCCTGGCTACATTGACACTGGTCTCTCGGACTTTGTTCCTCAGGATATTCAACAACTGTGGCACAGTATGATCCCCATGGGCCGTGATGGCAAGGCGACCGAACTCAAGGGAGCCTACGTCTATCTTGCCAGTGATGCCAGCTCCTACACGACCGGCACCGACATCATCATTGACGGTGGATACTGCGCCCGATAAATGCACAGCTGGTATGAAAACCGGTCAAGCGAGGAGCATTGAAGAATTGGAAACATGACCCACGGTCGTGTCAACGACGTGGTCTCGACCAAGCCGCCACAAGATGACATAGACGTGTGTGACAAGGCTGAGCTAAAACATTCCTGTTCAGGGGTTTCAGGCTATGTACAAACCCATCTATCTCCAAACATATCTGGTTAGCCAAATGACACTATTGTCTCCTGACGAACAAAAAAGCTATTTCATCCGTTCTCTGATCATTCCAACATGTACATTCTTTTATTCTCTTGGTCTCTTTCTTTCTAGAGCACCCTTTCGCAATTTCGGGTGTCGAGAAATCCGGTCGATCTTTGTGTAACGCGAGAGACAACTCGATGACCGAACCTCTGGGTCTTCGTCATCTGGGATGAATACTAGTATTAATAACTAACCCAGCGAAGCGTCAGCTGAGCTGGTAGTATATGCTTAAAACGACAAACAGCCACGCCTCTGATTGGTCAATCCCTATCGAGGCTTATCGATTGGCTATTGAAAAGAGTAGTATTGTGATCTTAACCGGATCTTAGTTATTCCGCTCCTATTCCGTCCTTACCACCTCCAATTCGCCATCGCTACCAACTCAGCTTTCATCACAACTTCATCAAAAACTCCATCAAATCTTCATCAAATCTTGATCAAACCTTCATTAAGCAGTCTCAATCTGTTTGTCTGGCAATATCCATTCGTCTGTGAAAAGCATCTCTCAAAAAATCTTCTATGAGCGGAGTTGTGCAGCCCCGAAACTACCAGATTTGTTGGCCACTCAAATCGCCCTTAGTAGCCTGAAACCCTCACCTCCCTCTACACTTAAATCCTTAGCCCTTGAAGGCCCTGTTAGCGTTGGCGTTAGTCAGAAAAGGTGGAATTCGAGGGCTTCACTGGCGTTGGTGGAACTGTGGTATTACGGACCTAAGTCAGACTCGCAGTCAACGTCGGTGTGGTAAGATCCAGTGGGTAGCTATTCGTCGTGGCCGGTTGAGCGTGGGTCTCTACGATTACCAGCAAAACAATACCTATTTAGCTACTGTATAGTATCTCTACACCTTGTGAGCGGCGATGGCGATATCTCTGGTGCCTAGTAGGCAATCCCCAAGACCGCCCTCAGGACCAAATGTAGAATTACCTATAAGATCACCTTCAAGACTACTCAGGAGGCCACCTCTAGGATGTAGGACCACCTCCAGGGCCATATCCAGGACGGTCCCCAGGCCTATTGAACCCTTACGCAGACTCGCCCCAAGTTCGCTGGTGTAATATCAGTCACGTGCCATAACTCCGCTGACGGAGTTATAGCACGTGATATTTCGCTCCTTAAATCGCCCTGTTACGAACAAGGGGTGCCAAGCGTACGGGTCGCGGGCTACCTTCTGAAGCTCTCCAGCTTCGGAATCTCTGTCGTCTGCACCTATAGATAGGCAATATACTTATTAGATAGTTTGCTGGCGAGCCATTCCTGACACCACCAGGATCACCTACAGGACCACCCTCCAGTCCACCTCCAGGGTAACGTCTAGGGCTACGTGCAGGAGGACCTCTAGAACGACCCTTAGACCTATTGCACCCCAGACCCATTGCACCCTTGGAAAGTCTCTCCTCGCTTCGCTGGCGCCTTGAGGAGTCCCAGTGGGCTCACGCCTCATAGTCTATTCTATCGACTAATGAGGGCAGAAGACGGCACGAGGGGTTGTTATGTATAAACAGCAGTTCCCACCGACAACCGGGGACTCACTCTGCACAAAAAAGCGAGCTTTCTTTGTATGTATGTATGTATGTATGTATGTAGCTGGATCTACCAAAAAATGCATAGTAATAGTGGGTTCTTGTTTGTTTCTCCTGGATAACGGTGTAATACACAGGATTGTTATCTGCCATAAACAGTTGCGGCACAGCCCGTAATTAACTATTCAGATACACACGGATCAAAACCAAGACGATCATTTTGCTTGATGAGCATATCAGCACTTCCAATGGTCAGTCAGTCAGTCAATTAGTCGGTCAGTTCTTACCATTACCATTGCCGTACATATAACCATGACGAACTTGTTGTTTTCTTTTGCCCATGGTTTGTCCTCTTTCGTTTTCTCACGTTTTCTCTGGGCCGAACTCGAACTCGAACTCGAACTCGAACCCGAACCCGAATCTGGAGGGCGAGGGTGGGTCGGCTTGTTATTGTGAAATGTCTAACAAATGGATTCTATATAGCTGGTGAATTTGACCGTAACGGCTAGACTCTATTGTGACTTTTCCGCTGCTTGTGTCGGTGTTATTTGAGGCAATATATCTCAAGCCACGCGCCCCCCCTTCTCTCTCTCACCAGCACCCCCTGCCCGGTCTACACACGGCAAGCAGGAACATCAAACCCAGCGCTCCACAACAGACTGCCCATGATGACGACCAGAATAGCCAGGCTGACCGCCAGGCTGGCGCCGCCGTAGACGTAGGCGTGTCTGCGGCGGAGCGTCTCCAGCTCGCCGACCCAGGTGCTCACGGTGGTGGCGCAGCCACTGAAGCCGTCCATGACGCCGTTGAGGACCTGGCACGAGAGCACGCCGCGGTGCCCGAAGCGCTGCACGATGAAGCACACACCCAGCGCGGCCGTGCCGGAGACGTTGGCCAGGAACGTGCCCACGGGGAACGCCGGCACGCGCTGGTTCAGGTGTTTGGAGAGGTAGAACCGGAACAGGCAGCCCGCGGGCGCGAAGACCAGCGCGAATATCACCTCGCCCCGCCAGGCGTCATGGGGCGGCCAGATCGCCAGCATAATGGCGCCGATCCAACATCCAACGCCGAGGAGGATGACAGTCGGGTCCAAGATTCGACGGGCCCAGTGGAAAGGTAGCGTCGGCGTGATTTTCTGCGTGGCAAGTGCCAGGTGAGCGCCAAACTTCAGCGCCGCGAGTGAACACCCCACCTGCACGATCAGGACGGCGGTGACGGCCTCGAAATCGTACCCACGCCTCCTTGGGCTCGGCTCGTGGTGGTGCGTCAATGACCCGAGCTGTCCACTCAGCGCCAGGAAGGCGTCCCGGAGGAAGGTCGAGAAGGAGGTGAAAGAGCCGCAAAAGCCGGTCGAGAGGCCAATGTACAAGGGGATCGTCTTCTTGACTTTTAGGTGCTTGTGCTTTGAGGCAATCTCGTCGTCGGTACTGCCGCTCCGTCGGTCTCCCCTAGGCCGCTCGTGGGACCAGGGGTCGGCGTATGTTCCCCATTCCTGCTTGAACAGCTGGCGGTCCTCAGCTAGGAAACCGAAGATGAGGGAGCCGCCCACGTTCGCCCAGAGCACCGGCGACATCACAGGAGCATCCGGGTAGGTGTTGATGGCTTCGACCCCCAGCCGACTCAGAGTGCCCAGGATGGCGAAGAAGATAAGATGTCCAACTACGTAAAACTCGGTGAGCGGTACTAGAGCCGGGTGGTTGCTGGTCCTGGAGTCTTCTTCCTTTTCTTCACTACTGGAAGGAGATGATTCGACAACAGGCCCCGAAGCTCGAAGATCGCCCTGAGGGCCACGGTCGACAATTGAAGGCACCCGAAGCTCGGTGAGGTATTCGTCGTCCGATGCTCGACCTCGCTGGCTCAGTCTCCGAGCCGTTGTTTCTTCTCGTTCCAGATCGTCCTGCTCGGGATCCTCTCGACGTGCAGGCTGGGGCATGGCCAGTTCTGAGAGTCCCGCGTTTTCGTCATAGGAGTCCGGTTCTTCTTGTTCCCTGCGTGAATCTGATATTGGGATCTCCTCGCCCGTGTCATCGGGCTGGCCCATTTCGAGATCATTACTTGAGGGCGGCCTTTTGGTGGCGTCCATGTTCGCCAGAAAATGACGCGGAGTCTCCACGGGTTGGATGATGTTGTATGGCTTAGCCAAAGGGGACAGGGCCCAGATCTCCTGGTCTGAAAACTTGGACAGATAACGAGCTAAGAGTTACACGAAGAGCTTCATACTCTGGCCTGGGCCATCCTTAACCGTAGAATCTCGATTTTTGATGGCGCGTCAGCATTTGACAGACCACAAAGGAAAAGATACTATCACATGGTACAAGACAAGAGAGGAGAAGAAGAAACACGGGAGACCTACCGCTCCTCTAGTTTATCACAAAGTCAGCCCGTGTTCCGCCACTCCCCGCTCCCGATCGGAACAGTCGAGATCGGATCTGTGGTCAGAGTCTAGTATATCTGGACCAGGCGCTGGATCTGAGTCTCAGTTCCCGAGCTGGTGGATCGAATCAGAGGAAGCGGACGTGGTGCAGCATGAGCCCGCGAGGAAGCCCTCGAAACTCGTCTCGGGCGTCCATTTTCGTCGATTTTCTTTCCAGGGATGTTCTTCCGTTGCCTTACGTCCCGACCTCGAGGGCCGAGGACGAGGGGCAGCATCCCACACGGCTCGTCAATGGTGGTTTGTTGTGGTGGTGGTGGTCACAGGTCGTTCTCCTTGGAAGAGGCGGCTGCGACGTTCCGGGCGGATGTGGTTTTGATCAACATGGCCCGATCGGACTATAGCATTTCCCCCTCCCTTCACAGGAGAGAAGATCACACAGGTGGGTAGAACGAATAGAATCATGGGGGAATATGACGAGAAAGGGCGTCGCTGTGAGGTGCATGCGGTAGGAAAAGAACAGGTGGGAGGAAAAGGGGGAGTAAATTATATCGACCGGGAACCTCGTGCAAGCTCAACCCAATCGGGCATTCTTGATCCCATTTACAACACTCGGTACAGCCTTTTCTCTGCTTCCCGACACGCCACTGATGTGTGCCTTGCCTCGAAGACGCCCTGAAAGGTCAGCATGAAATCAAAATGTGGTAGGATGGATGGCCATGTGGGTAAAGGAATCGCTTTTCTTCCCATGATGAATAGCGAGTGAGAAAGGAGCCTTCCTGTCATCGATCGTCTAAGTACGGTTTGATGATCTCCCCTGTGCCCTCCCCCCGCCCGTTCCGTGCCATCCATTCATCCGTCACTGCCGCCCCATGAAACAAACCTGTTTGTACCCTTGGGGTGGGATAATAATAATTATGTACATATTGAGGCCCTTGGCTCGCTAGCTGGCTAGCTACGGTACGATACCTAGTACCTACCTACCTCCCAACCATATGTCCCGACCGTATCGACTGGAAGCCGAGACGTTTATGTACCGAATGTATGTATGTACCTTGTCTTTGGCTCGTTCTCTACTCGGTACTTCCTCCAAACCCGGCAGCCAAGGACATATTATTACTTCCCACTCTTTTCTGACAGGAGCGGAATAATCACATTCATCTGATACACTCGGTTCATAGACTGGTATCTGATGTTCTGCTGTAGAATTAACTGTTCATATGGCCCCGGTCCGCCCTTCTATTTACCTCTCAAGCTTAACCTCCCACTCATTCCGTTCCTGGGCCTGGCCGCCCCCAAGAGCACCTGGTACGGCTTGTGTCCTTCGACACTCAACCTCTCCTCCCCACTGATCCCATCCGCAAACTCATCCTTCGTCTCCACGGGCTTCCAATCCCCTTCCTCGATCTTCCTGCCGTAGAATTCTGGCATAAAGTCCACTTCTCTGATCACCAGGGCCAGCACGACTTTGGCCTCCATCATCGCCAGTTCCTGGCCGATGCAGTTCCGGGGCCCTTTTTCGAATGGACGCCACGCGTCCTTTCCCGCTGGCGTGTGTAGCTTACAATCCGGAAACGGTGTCTGAGAGGGGATGAAGCGTTCCGGAATAAATTTCAACGGTTCGGGGAAATATGCCTCGTTCCGGTGTATCATGTGCGCGACGGGCCACAAGTCAAACCCTACCAGGGGGCATTCCTTGCCGGTCGACGGATCAATCATCACCGTTTCCTTGACGACGGAGACTTCGTTGGGACGTTTCAACTCTCGGATCGTCGACGCAGGTGGGAAGAGGCGAAGCACTTCTTTGAGGACGGCACCAAGGTACTCGAGTTTGTTGATGCGGTGCGGGTCAGACTTGATGAGCTCGGCCATTTCGGACGCGGTGACATCCGGCCCAAAGACCGAGTCAAGCTCCGCGGCGACTTTGGTGTAAACGTGTTTGTGGAGGTGGATGAGGTACATGGTATATGAGATGGTCGAGCTGGTGGTGTCGTGGCCGGCGAAGATGAAAGTCTTAATACTGTCGATGGCCATGGTGCGGAAGGAGCTCGTCATGCTCATACCACCTCCTTTGGCACCAGCCGCGACCTCCTTCTCGTACGCGTCGAGAGCAAGGTCCACAATGGAGCGCTTGCGGTCTTTCCTGGGCTTTTCGATTTCAACGGACCCATTGGTCCCCTGCGACGTCTTCCGCGCCGCGAGCTTCCTGTCGATTTCGGCGCCCAGCAGGGAATCGAGTTTCCTTGCATTCCACCAAAGACGGATGGGACGAATGAGGTTGATGTCGTCAAGCGGTCCAATACTGGCGCTGGTCGGCATCAGCTGAACTTGTCTCCTGAACGTCGTGACGATGGGGTGTGGGCGTTTCTGACTGTCAAAGTCCGAGTCCATGACCACTTTGCCGATAATGTCAATGGCAAATCCTATCGACAAGGGATCGAGTTCAACAAGCTCGTTGGCCTTGGCCTTGTCACGAAGCAAGTCGAGGAACACGAGGCTGGAGTCCACCACGTACGGGACTAACGTGATCAAGTGGCTTGCCGAGAAGCCCGGGTTGAAGATAGACCGGAGGGATTTCCAGGCCTGGCCTTCCAAGCCGACCATGTTGTTGGACCCCAGGAGCCTTGTCAGATATTTTGTCGTGAGTCGCGATTTCGGCAGTGATTGACCTGTCGTCAAGAATTTGGAAGCAAGTTCCGGGTCGGCAATGAATACCCAGCGGGGACCCAGTGGCCACCAGTCGACGTAGAAGACGTCTGTGGGTTGAAGGTATCAGCATTCACAGAGAGACACCAAGATACAGGTCAATAGACAGAGGCAGGGTCAAAGAGTCGAGCCTTGTAACAACACGCTGAGACTTCATGAGAGAATGCTTACCGCCCAAATCATATTTCTTCCTGATGTAGTTTGCCCAGTTCTGGACGTGACAGTTGGGAGGGAAGAGCTTCTTGCAATCACCAGCAATCTTCAAGTGACCCCAGAATCGGCTTTCCATAGGCGGTTGTGGCTAGAAAACGTGATGTCAGGGTTTGCCATGTCGCTTTGGTCCCATACGAGAGAGTGAATGGCGGGCCATTGCTACTGGTGGATGGCGAGCACTCACCAGTCCATCGAGCTCTGCACGCTTCTTGTAGACCAGGTTGACAAAGTACACAGCTCCTGCTGTCAGCAGTGCTAGGACTGTTGATACAACCCGCCACATGGTTTCAACATCTACTTGTGATTTTGTGGACAAAGCCTTTATCTGTCCTACGAGATTGCAGAAATTGCGGCGTAGATGTAAGCTGGCAGCTGTGGCGTCCGAAACATAGAATGTGATGGATGGGCAGTGGGATTTCTGATATCGAATCACATCTGCATGTGCGGATGTCCACGATCCGACACCAAAAAGGAACCAATAACCAGCTAGTTAATTAATTAGTGAGCCAGTACCAGTTCCTTGAGACGACTCCTCTTTTGGTGCCACCGATAAGCAGCAGAACAGGAAAGGATTACGGTGTTATTAAGTCCAGGAACATGGCCAAGTAGATGAATCCCGTGTCGGTAAGACTGACATTCCATGCATTAGAAGTGGCCCAAATAACTTTATGCGTGACAGAGACCACACGCTGTCGAGGGCTCTCCGGTGAATGGACTGCAAACGAAACGGAGGCGGCGGATTGACTGCTTGCACCCAGACGGGGAGGCACTCAGCGTCAGCGCCTTGGTGGATTTGTAGGATCTGGACCGCGCCGTGATTTCGAGACGTCGATTGGTGCGTTTGACAGATGGATCCAAACAGTAGGACTTGCTCGATAGGCAGAGGACGAAGGAGTCGAGCAGACTGGTAACAGCCGTATCGTACGTTGAAAGCTTCCTTATTAGGCGTTCCGTGGGGGCTGAAAGAGACAACGTTGCTGGCAGTGGTCGTTTTGTGAGTCGAGTGCTTCCGGAGCGGTCCCCGCACCCGGTTCGTAAGGTGAAAACACTTGGCCAGGTGTACAAGCACCCAACAAGAGGTATAGAATAGATGGCTCATGAGCCTTTGTCGCACTACCAATGCCACGATGCGTTATTCAGCTTCCACCAATCTGCCGCTGAAAATCTGTAAATGGATATATTTCAAATATACTCCCAAACAGAAGACGCTGTAGCAGTCCTGGTCGAAAAGTTCTGAGATCCCGGATGCAACGCGTAGGTTCCAGGGTTCAAAGATGAACCGTACAACATCAAAATAATATAGGATGCGTATATATGCATAGAGCTGATATCACGAATGGCACAAGAGAATGAAATGCGAGGCTATTCTGCAGGATGCCTCACAAATCCGTCTTTTCAATTATGTGTCAAAGATCGGGGTGTAGTGGCTGGCCCTGCCTGTTGGAGTTGTTCGACAACCACGAAGAAGGCTAGAGCCGTGAAGGGTCGACAGTCAGCGGGCGTGGTAGGGATACCTTGGCCCATGCGTTGTTTTGGCCAGTGACGATGGAAGGACGAGAAAATTAACCACGATGTGAACCAGTCCTGCATATCATAAGATCGTGAGAGGTCGCTCCGGACTTGTGCAGACAGTTTTTCTGAAGGCAACGGAGTCAACAATATCGAGTTCAAATGACGGTACGCAGCTACTCCACTGCTGGATGGAGAGACCATCTTGCGGAGGAGGAGATGGGGCTTGGGATCTATATGGCGACATCACTATCGGCCGTCCCCGGGTTGAGCAGGCATCTCAAAAGGTCGGTCCATCGTCCCCATCTGGGGTTGCATATGGGCCGAAGGTGTCTGCGGTGAACCCATATTAATTATATCCTAGGGTGGCACCAAGGTTGGGCTGGGAGAATTGGAGCTTACCACAGTTTGGGTCTAGCATTCAATTGATTAGCAAATACTGTATATTTCTTTCACGAACGATAACATGAGTAGAGACACAGAGAGGGGTGAAGACGTACATCGCTGGCCTGACTCATGGGTTGATATTATTTCACAAAGCACATAGCTATCACTAGAGCTAACGGCACAATTCACAGGCAATTCTCACATCAGGCATTCTCGTGCCAAAGTCCTAGGTGGTTGCTCATTTCTTTCCCGCCGCTTAAGTATGACTGCAAGATCTGGGAACCCATGGGCGCCAAAGGCTGGACCTTTCCCATGTTCATGCGTGTGCTGAACAAGCTCCGAAACACCGTTCAGCCTGTTCATTCGTGCCACCGAGATTAGTTGGGCAAAGATTGGGTCCAGTCGTGTAGCACTGCCATCAACATCCCAACCGTAAACGATTTCAATGCACACATTGCGCCCACGGGCGCCTTAAGGGAGTGTGTGGGCATTTTCCCCATCAGCTATAATTACTAGCATCGTCCCGTGAAGGGTCATTGGAAATAAAAGGCTCCTAGCCTTTTGAAATCCGCTTGCTTTGATTTCTCGCGATCCACATCTTTCTCGCCTTGTATTTACGATATGTGTTCCTACGGAAGTACCTTTGCCGAACAGAGGGAATGTCTCAGGGTAGCGCCACTCGAGAAGCACAACATCGAGACGCGGATGGTGAAGAGATGCAAAGCTGCTCCCAAACCGGGACCTCGCTGTGAGCAATTGAACCGTGATACGTCACTCGATGCCCTCCCGTCAGAGAAAGGCGAGAGGTGGCCCTGGGGTCAGGATTCTGGAATTTCGGTTGATATTCCGAAGATCAAATATGTGAATTATACCAACTCCCACAACTGTGCATGTTTGACAACGACCATAGGTCGATCTTCATAGATAACGTGGGCGGAGTGTTGGGATCGTCCCACGTTATAGAGACCGACCTCCCTGGTTGACCGGGAGATTACCAGACAGAGGGCACTGGTCAGGTCAGATGACCATTGTGATGATACTACCTATTGGTAGTGGACATTGAGCCATCAGGGGTCACCAAGTTTACACAATGGAGCCGGTCATTATCATTTTCCACGGACTCTACTATCAGAACCAATGGAAAAGGCCCCCAATCTGGCCATCATCCAATCTTTCGGGCCGTCTGAGTGTTTCAGCAGATTTCCAGAAAGCCGTTGTACTCTGACCGCTGGGTCTCGCAGCGCCAACACCTCTCATCCTCCGGCGGTGACCACGCCTTTCCGTCAAAAACAACGCGATGTGCTTCAACCACACAGAGAACCCTGACACCAGCCAATCTGCTCAGTTTTCGACTGATGCGCTCAAATTCTTGGCTCCCGGCAAATCTAGTGTTGTCTACGCAATCGATGACAGAAGAGTTGTGAAGATGTACAACTCCACCGACGACAACGAAGATGTCATTGAACGTCGCGCATACGACCGTCTCGGCGTCCACCGCAACATTGTTAAGTGCTTCGGCTGGAACGACGGCGCGAGGGTGCTCGAACGCGGCCAGATACTACGAGGGATTTGTCGACAGCACGGTGCAGCCCGGATCTCCTTGCGGCGGAAGATTCGCTGGCTGATCGACTTTGCGGAGGGCGTCCGACACATACACGACAAGTCAATAGTTCATGCTGATGTCGGATGTCACAATGCGGTCTTGACAAAGCATGATTGCTTGAAGATCATCGACTTCGAAGGTTGCAGCATGGACGGCGGAGAAGCAGGTTCGGCATATGAATGGTTCAGCTACCGACCATCGACGCCGAAAATCAGCAAACAAACGGATATTTTCGCGTAAGGATGTGCGGTGTTCGAAGTCCTAACAGGCAGACCTCCTCATGACGACTTGGAGAGCTCCAAACATCGTACCGAGTTGGTCGAGCGACGCTATCAAGGAAACCAATTTCCTGATGTTACAGATTTACCACTGAGCAAGTTGATGCATGGTTGCTGGTTCGGCACCATCACTTCTATGGAAGAGGTGATAAAGGAACTCGAAGCGGCAAAACCGTCACTCCTGAACGAAGCCGGCCAAGTTCTCCGCAGGACAGTTCGTCGTGTAGTGGACAAGACCGGGTGCAGCAGAACCACCGCGAATTCGAGCTGAAAATGCGCACCCTGAGACACACAAATGGTTCTCCCTGGCATTCCTCGCCCTTCGACGTTTCTTTCTTTGGGCGACGATGTCCTCTGCAACGAGCGCCATCATCAGCGAAAATAGCGGGTTGGTCCACTGGCCGATTCCGTGATTTGTTTGGACAACCCCGGCACCGAAAGTACTGTCACTTTGGGCTAAAGAAGTGGCCCCAGGAGCACCAGTAAGAATAATCGAATGGGGGCGCGGAAACCGCAAGCTGACCCCACGATTTATATCGAGTACGGCTCGATAGATGGAGACAGATAGAGAGAGAGCTGGGATACGTCGGACGCCGCAGTTATCACGTACGAGGCATCAGATGGCATCAGACGGCACGGGTCGCCGTTGAATGAAAATGAGATTTGACTTCCGGCGGTTGATGCTCGAATAGTTTTGCTGTGGCACTCCTCCACTAGACGGACTGAGCTTGGCATCAGAACACTGTCGACTCCGTTATCGAGAGGCTACAGGCATAGTCCGAAGGCCTTGTTCGAGGTACGCTACACGCTTCTGATCCAGAGAATGGTGGGCTTCACATTTCGCGTCCAGCACTTATTCGAGAATTCCCAATCCCATAATTACAAATGCTGTCCCTCTGTCATCTACTTCAGTATGATCTGGTTGTGTAGTTCAGTCATTCTCTTTAGCACTGCTTGCTCAGCTCCATTCGCTTTCTTAATTCTAATTCCAACTTGAGTCACTCATTTCCCGGCCCGGCCGTAATGTATTTCCCGGTATGCATGCTGCCCGTGTTGGCCTCGTGCACTGCGCTTACTGCTGCTCCTCCTGGTCGACAACCAGGTAATGTTCCTTAACCCCCATCGTCTCCTTCATCTAGCACAAGATGGTATACAAAAATGGCCCCAAGCAGTGGGCTCTGGAATACTGCAACGACCTAGAGCACCCGGTATCAGCCCTGTACCAGCACTATCACGTCGACTGTCACGACCATCCTGACGCCAGCTGCGAGCACATCCACCATTACTATCACCAGCACTGCCACCATAACCGAATCGACTTCGTTCTCTACCGCAATTCAGACCAGACAGTTACCGCTTCGACGGCCAGGATTCCATACTCGAGGAAGCGGCTCAGCAGCAACATGTGCAGACAAAGTATTTGCAGGATCAAGCTCAGGATACGCCCAGAAGCCGTCTGCTTGACGCTTTGGCCTTTCCGGAGATGAAAGAAAGACGCAACATGATTGAGGGGCGTGTCGTCGACTTCGGCAAGACCTAAGGCTGGATATTCGATCCTGCAGGCAAGAGCAGAGCTCGTCATTGGAGTTCCAAACCCAATGTGTTCGTTGAATGGTTTCGGACCGGTAAGGAAGTCTTTTGGATCAGTGGCAAACCTGGAAGCGGGAAGAGTTCCCTCATGGACTTTATCTATCAAAATCTTCAGCCCAAGGGCCACGGTTTTGCCCATTTGGAACCATGGGCGAAGCGACAACCTGTCCGCCTACTCTGTTTCTGGTTTTTCAAACCGGCCACAAGTATATTATTGAAATCGCTCGAAGGGTTCTGGAGGTCACTTTGCTTTCATATCCTTGACATGGACCAGGATATTGTGGCCAAAATCCGAGCTGATGTCGACCATGCAGCACCCAACAGCCTACAAAGCGGGATCCCACGCTCGGTCCAGGACAAACACGGTAACACAACACCGAACTAAAATCCTGGATGCGCTATCTGCTCGATCACTCTGCATCCAATTACTGCTTACTGGTTGATGGGCATGATGAAGTCCCGGATAAACATCAAGTTTTGCCCGATGAAATCCGATTCATTGCTCAGAGTTCCAACAAGGTCAAGGTTTACTGTTCAAGGCGACAAGAGGCTCTCTTTCAGCACGCTTTCCAGCAATGTCCGTCACGCGTGACACCTCGACGTATACTGGGTAGCTTTTTCTTATCGAACCAAGAATATTGAAGTGGAAGGCGACGACGGCGGGTAACATACACCACAGGACAATAGCGATGACTGCAAATGCGGCCGAAATCCAGAAGCCTTTCGGTCTGGTCCGCCGTGACCCGGCATGATGTGAACATCCGGAGGTGCCCTTGCTGTCCATAGAACCTGCGGTTCTCCCTGCTGAATTGTAGTATACCACTACACTCAGCGGCGAATCTTGATCTCTCCAAAATCCATTACCGTTTCGAGACCTGAGCATCTCGCCAACTAACGTGAGTAGTGACTAAGCTATTCAGAGCTGTGGTTGTGCGACCCGAGCACCGCTTAGCAAGCCCTGAAGATTGCCCTGAGCAGCTGAGCGCAACCCTGAGTGCACGAAAGGGTTCCCAGTTTTCTGTGTTTCAAAGCTCGGAAGGGTCACATTCTCAGACCCTCCCCTCCCGCTCGGTTATACTCGACGCACTCACGAGGCTCCTTTCCGGGCCAAGCTGTTGCCTGCTGAATCTTTCACGAGTATCGAGGTAGTCAGGTGAAAGGAGCCAGATTAGGCTCCCTACACTCGGCTCAGGGGAAACTCAGTTAGTAGTGGCTCAGCCACGCTCACCTTTAGCCTAGAAGCTCGGCTTAAACGAAAATCGGACTCGCAGACAACCCATCAATTAATCAATTACATGAGAGGCTGCGTTCTATGAACTTCCGGAGCGCAGTAGCACCAGTTCTATGCTGGGGAGAATATTGAACATTTATTAAATATCCAAATGCTTGAGCCTTTAGTACTTAGGTTGTAGGTAGGACTTAGCCATACTTTCACAGCCACGGATGTTCTGTAAATCTGAGCCATTAGACTGACCTGGTGGTATCACTCAATGACGGTTGCTTAATTCTTGCATATTCGATCGCCACTTGAGTAGGAGAAATAGGTCGAGTTGATGGCCGGTAGTGCGTGGGATGTCCACCGAACCTCCACGGCAGCTAGTTCCTTTTCGGTGAAAATGAAAGGACCACCGTCAATCCAATCTACTCCTAGACAAAAACCTTCCATCTATCGATCCTCGGGCATAAGAGTACTAATGGGCTAGTCGTTACTGACTGGCAAAACGAACGGACACTTTGCGACTGCGGCCGTTGACCGCCCCGTCCACCCATCTCGACTTCAGGCTTACCAAATAACCTTTGAATTCAGGGCGAGCCCAGGGCTGAGCCTTTGGCGCATCCAGTATCCATAATTGCATGTAAGCTATCAAACAGAGACCCAAAGCTCGAAAGGTGTGTATTTCACATAAGCTAGGGACGGTCAGTCTCCTCAATACTTGGTCCAGCCTCGTCCTCGCCCTCAATGATACTGTAGCCTTGTCATTTGTCAGCGTACAGTTGTAGCGCAATCTTGGACCCCAGGTCGCAACCCAGCGTCAGCTCCATGATGACATCGGATTCTGAATCGGTTGGGACAATGAACGACACACATGAACGGAGAAGGGGTTCTCCTGCCTTTTCTTTCCTGTACAAGTTGCTGGTCTTTAGCCCAGACACAACGTCATGATTTTCCGTAGCAAATAGATTTTCGATCTCCACACCATTCATGCCGTTGATGCGCACCGCTGGTAATGGTGTTAAGGTAGAGCCGTTTGGAAACACGGCTTGCCACTTCCCTTCTACCTTTCTCAGCTGAACACCCGTCATCTTGTATATGATGTCGTCCAAATCAGGTCCGCCCATTTCCATATGTAAAATGTGGTCGGCTGTCGGGTCGTGTGGTATTGTCATTCTGACGGCATTTGTAGTTCCTGGAGCAGGCATTCGACTGGAGTTGCTTGCTTCTAGATACCGCCAGTAAGCAAACTAATCCAGGCTATATTCAGTTGTAGAAACCACGGAGTAACTCACCATCTTCCTCAATAGCCTTCCGTAGCCGGGAAAGCGCATGCTTCTCTCCCTCTCCGTACATTGGAGCAATGAAAACCTCGAAAATACCCAGGAGCGAATAAGCTTTGTCCTCTACTTCTGTCGTCTGGCGCTTCGATGCCCATCGGAACTTTTCCTCGACTCCGTATTTACACAGCGGAATGCCTTGCAGAGCAAGGGGTGGAACATCTGTCACCTCATGGATAATTCTTAACAAGGAGTCCTTGTTGCCCAGATGTTGACCTTCTCGAGAGAAAAAGTCGACAGCTCGCGGAGCCAGGAGCTCCTGCAGTGTCCATCCCCTTGTGAACCACCGACTTTTGCGGAGTGCCGGCTCCCACGACTCGAGTTCAGCACCCGCTGTCACGGAAACATCTGTGAGATACACGTAGCACTTCCTGGCATTCCGATACCATCTGAACATAGAGTTGATGGCTTTTGAGAGCTCTGCACTACTCGATTTGTCAATACAACAACTGTCGATCCAGAAGTACTTCAGGCCGTCCATGTGTGCTTGTCTCCCACAAAAATGGATTTTTTGATATCCGAGCTTGTCTCTAGCAGAGTTCTCTGATATGTCTCTGAAAGTGACTTCATGGTTTGGAGCTGCCCAGGTATGTGAGAGCACCGCGTAAGCTGGTGCTTCATGCTCAGGAAACAGTGTCAGGCTGGGCTGACTGTCGGCGTCAAGACTTAACAGGTGCATATCGAAGAACCTTGAATGCGGGCTGGCTGAGGAACGATTTGAGATTAGTGTAGAGGCGATGAAACCTGCCAGGCCCGGTTGAGAGAACAGATGGACATCGACAAGGCTTGGACAAGGAGGCGCATTTATGGGAAGAACAGAGCCAGCAAACATTGGCTCAGCCTTGGGCACAAAGACAGCTCGGGCGACCTATCAAGTCGAATTCAAAAAATGCTTTTGAAAGATCAGCGTGGTCTTTCATACCGTATCGATAAGCTCAATTCATTCGCAGATATTTTCGTCTAGACTTTCTTTCTACCCTATAAGACTGCAGGAGTAACGCAACCGGTCCAGCTGTGGCGCATTTCACGAATAGTCTTCTAATAATCACGAAGTAGTAAAAGACCGGGCCACGATGATTTGTGTAAGTAGGGGAATCATGGCCTTTGAGTGAGAGCCTACCGGACACCTGCACCCAACTCAATCAAAACGCCGCAAGCGCTTAAATTGGGGCCTGGCAAATGATGGCTTGCCACATGGTTTGTTGCAAACAATACAGAAGAGAGAAGGGCAGGGGAAAGCATCTCTTTTGGCGTCTGTAAATGTTCAAAAGAATACCTTGGTTCAGTTCTGTTTGTGTTGGTAAGTAGTCCCGTCGCCCAACCTCATCCGTGGAACTGGCTACATGTCAACTCATCGAGAGTTCCCTCCATGTCTGATGCGTCATCCCTCATATCCAACGCGACCGAAGATGGTCACGAGAAGGCAGTGCAAGGCAGACGATTCGGGCCACATGCATTGATGGAACTTTCGCCTTGCTTCGGCCACATTGGTGGAAACGGCTGACCGATGTGACAACCTTCATATCCTTGCAAAGGATCTCAAGTCGCATTTCATCACAGCAGATTGAGAGTCTGTCCGCGAGACATGGCATAATTCCCGCCGTTTCACCTCTCCCACTGTGCGGATTGTCGACATTTCTCGAGGGCATTCTCTGGTCTGCTCCTGCCGGGCCCCCAGAGCCGCGTCATGACTTAGCGCCGTTACTGGCCACTATCCGGTTACGAAACAATAGTAGGCTGAGCACAGCCCTGTCAATTCAGCCTAAGGACGCCATGAGTCTCGCTTTCTCTTTGACTGGACGTACGAAGTCTCGTGTATCGGATATAAGTCAAGGTTATACCCTCGCTGATATCCCTTCTTCCACTTGATATACACATGTCGGAGTCCTTTGCCTTCCAGACGATATCATCTGTCAGAATGAGGTTTCTATTTCGACGAAACAAAAAAACCGCCTCCCCAGACCACAGCCTAACCCGTACGATAAAGCAGGAGTCAGCGTCTCCAGCATCTGACAAGATATTGGCTAGCGACGAACCACCGGCCCTCAGTGACTGGACACCAACTCCATCAACACCCCGACACAACAAATTTCAAGGATTGTTGAATGTCACACCTACCACACCACTGGATCAACTTACAACCTCCAGCAGCTCCAGGGGGCTATGCCAAATATGCTCTTCCGAGGGTGTGTCGCAAATCACGAAATCGAGCAATCGCAGTGGAAATGCGGGAAGACCGTTCCTGAGGTGCTCTCAACACGGCTTTATACGATGGTTGGACGAGCGTGGCATCCACGGGGATAACCCCCTCTGTTATTGCAATAGGAGCAGTAGGCGGGGTGTGGCAAGCCCTGAGAAGGGCAGGAAAGTTTTCTTTTCGTGTGCTGCGGGCGAATGTTGCTTCTGGCAGGGCGATCGGAGAGTTGATGGGCGAGACTGGTGTGTCGATGATAATACGGTAGAGATACTTCTTCGACTCGGCCTTATATAGCCTATGTTATAAGTATATTGGGAGAGGGTGATTGGGTTGACTTGTTAGTTACGTCTCTGTAGGGTGAAATCGGACGGGTGTTATGATGCGTATTCTGTGTTGTTGTCTCCTGGTGCAGCGCCTTACTTCTGCAATTCGAAGTTACCTTTCAATTTGCAAGGAACGCCCTATGCATCATAAAGAACATACGCTGTCCTTAATTACATTTCTCTCTGCTCGATAAATTTTTATCTAAGCTTCATCTGCCAAGTACCACCGCCCTATCCAGCCTCGTCAACTATCTCAGCCTTGCCGTAACCGCAACACAGCCAAGGTAATAATCCCAGAATCCCAGTACAATATGGCCGACTACCAGGCTTCAGTGTACTCTCAATCACCATCCACCCGACCAAATCAGCAAGGCTGCCCTTCTTAATATACCACAGCTCCTCGAGAAGCTTCTCCCGCTTCTTGCGCGGCACATATATCTCTACCAACTTATGATGCTTGCTTTCAAAATTCTTATCCGTTATAGGCTCTTACGCCCGCGCCGACTACTTGGGGCCTAATCTGGCCCTCAGTGTCCTGCTCAGGGGCGGCTCAGGGAGTGCTCAGGAAGCGCTCAGGTTAAAGCGGCCCTCGCTCGCCGTCTAGGACCAAACCGCATGTGGCAATTAGGTTTTTCATTCTCGAGTAATATAGGTAGTCAGGCGAAGGGATCCAGATTAGGGTCCGTGGCCCCCTAGCCTCGACTCAGTGGAACTCAGGGAGACGCTCGCCAGGGGTATTGAAACTCAGCCTAAACCAACATCAGACACGCAAACAACCCATCGAGTTATCAACAGTGTGATTGGCTTCGTTCCACGGACTCCCTGAGGGGGATCTGGAAATGAGGCTGATCAGAGAAATGAAGGTGCAAAGCAATCTGAGCAGGAACGGTCATCCTGAGCAGATCTGGGTGAGGCCGAGCCAACGTTAAGCCTGGTTACACAACATGAAGTCAGAGTGTGGAGGCTGCGATGCCAAAGTGCACGTTGTAGAGTTTATTAGGAGTGACCGTGTATGAATGGACAAGATAGGCAACGCGGAGCTTCGACCAACCTCTCATGAGTAATATTGTTTGTCTCGTACGAAGTGCGATGTATGGGGAGGTCGAGGCAGCAGCGTAGAAGAAGGGATTGGCAATGTTCACTCTGGCATAGCTGAACGTAGCAACTTTGTATCATTGTAGTCCGACTATACGGCCGATTAGGCACTCGAAGGCTTCCGGGACTCACCTTCTGCTCAAGGAGTGCAGATGATCTTTCGCAATCGATGCCGCTTACTAGCAGATGAATCAGGGATCTCGAGGAATGTTCGACCCGACGTACCTTTCTCATGTTGACTCGCCTACTGGCTGCGTGCATTTCTTCAACGGAGATTGGGCCTAATTACATCTGTAGTCGGTTCGCACCACTTTCTTCTGCCTGCATCAATCACTCGCTTGTGGCTGTTTCCCCTGTCTGACTCGGCGGAACATGATTCGCCAAATCTCTTACAGGCGTATGTCAGAGGGTAAATCTAGTGGTTGTAGCCTGCCTGGTGAGTCTTCTTCGCCCCCTCCCCCCGAGTACGCGCCGAGGCGGAATGTGCCTTGCGGCATGCTTCAATACGATTACAGCCCTCCAATTCTTTGGTCTCTTGTGTACTTGTGCTCCATACTTATCCTGACAATTAGAACTAGAATCGGAGCATATGATGATTTTGAGAAGTCCCATGATCTTTCTACTTTCCCACTCTGTTCTGTTGGAGCGACCTGCAGATTCCAGGTCCTTGCGGTAGCTCGGGCCAACACTAAGAGATTACCAGTTTTTGACAATGGTTCTCAATCCAGGTGTCGCTTGGTTTATCTCATTCTCCGATCATGATCCATCAATAAACAAAAAATGCATATTTTTTACGAAAAAAGCAAATAACCCGAGATGTGGAAGCGAATGTGAAAGAGAAGACAACTATCGAGCTATCCAGCTCTATCAGATTATCAACGCACCCTCGAAGAACGCAGTTGGTCTCGACGTACTCCAGGAATATGTCTTGTGCAATTGCTGCAAGTTTGCGCGTCATCAAGACCGCATTGGTAACCTGGATCTTTTGATCCCACTAGCCCAACGATGGCAAGATGAGATTCAAAGGAACCTTGATCAAGCAGTCACTGGCTTGGATGAAATTCCGTCCCAGTCAGTTGGCGGCCAGCTACAATATAACCTCCGTTCTCGAGAAGTTGAAACCTCAGTCAATTCCGCCCAATACCAGGTTACAACTATTTCTCAACCACCTTTGTCTGAATTCCAAGTCCATATAAAGGAGCCTGGTCTTGGTGACTCTGTTTCCTGCAAACTCGTCGAGTGCCTGAAAGGAGGCGACGAACGAGATTTCGAGACCGGCTCGCTTTATATCTACCATCGGGACTCCTCTCCTGGCTATGTCAAGATTGGCTGGACCGCAAACTCGGTTTGGGACCGGCTCCAGAGATGGGAAGAGAAATGCGGTTACAGTGCACACATACTGATGAGCGTACACGAGATCCCAAACGCCCATCGAGTCGAGACTCTCACTCACCACGAGTTGATCAAGAACTGGCGTCGGGAGCGAAAGTGCCAGAAAGAGGATTGTCAGATAAGTCATCAGGAGTGGTTCGAAATTAGCAAGGAACAAGCCATGCTGGTTTTGACGAATTGGGCGATGTTCATGTCAGCAGCGAAGCCATACAACACCCAGGGTGAGTTGAAAGATGTGTGGAAGAAAGCTGTGGCAAAAATGGATGGGAATGGAGAGGCTATCACAGCTCAAAAAATGTCAAAGCTCCATTCGGAGTTGTTGACTGAGGAGAAACAAAGTGCTCCTCCTCCTATCAATACCGAGTATTCATCTCTCGACATCTCTATGTCTTCTCAAGCCAATTCGTCCACGCCACCTTCTCGCGCGCACCCACCAAAAGACTTCAGCGAGCAAATTGTTGCTATCCGGCAAGGTATCGAAGAACTGAAGCTTCTCATGCGTGACAACCTGCCACGTAAAGATGCGAAGAGAGTCTCTGACGAAGCTGGAAGTCCCGCTACAGAAAACGAGCCAATATGGAAAGAAGAAGAGGTCACGCTCCTCGATGACCAGCTAGCCGGTTTGTCATTGGAGAAAGAGGTTGTGACGACTTTGGATGTGGTCGTCGAGAAAGCCAATGCTATGACGACGGCAATCGAAACTTTGCCGACGGCGGTACCGCTTGGGACGGAGGTGGTTACAATGCAGGCCTGAGTGGGAGTTGAGGCTCTCCTTGAGAAATACGACGATATGATACATATATAGCGACATAACACATTTCTCTTCTTCATCCTATAACTCCATGATCAGTTCTGACCGAAGTTGATCGACGCATGGAGAAATCTGTGAGGTGGAGGGTTACGCTAGAAGAAGATATGGTCAAGAGGAAGAACGCGAGGGAAAACGCCAAGGTGGAAGGGCATGATCCCAGGTACGGAAGTGCTGCTCGGTTTGCCGGCCACGTGTAATTACTGTACATAAAGGTTCGGCGCTTCCGGAGGCAGTTCGCCGTTGCTTCCACCTAAGCAGCCCGATGGTTCTTTGCCAAAGACTGGCACAGAGGGGGCTGGATGCAGCTCGATTCCAAACGGTTCTGCCAGACCGTACGAGGTACCGAGTACAGTTCACAGATGGAAATAAAGACTGACAAGGGCGACAGATCCTTCTCTGGCAGCAGCTATGGTTCGCAAATGAGTTAACCGGGCAGCATGCCACCTGTGCCAACACCTGGAATTGCAGGCAATGCTCCGGTAAGTGTAGTGTCTTCTGTCGTGTTGTCTCTCCACAGGGCAACATAGGCCCATGGCTCAAACAAATGTATTTATCTGCCGGAGACAAAGGTCGCAGGGTCTGGCCAAGAGACATTATCAATTCCAACGGGCCAAACCTTTTGTTCGGTGGTCGCAATGCGCAGAGCTGGGAACCACAGAGATCGCTGGCAAGGGTCAATGAAGCTGCCCCAGAGTTTGACTCCTTTTCTTCATCTCCTCACAGCTTAGCGTGACTGGAAGGAGTCTAGGCGAATTGTTTTGGTGTCCCGCGTACCATGCTCGTCATCCCTGCTTGGCGTAGAACTAATAGTGTCCAAGATCTTATTTCCAACCTGACGGCATCAGCTCGCCGTGGGTAGAAATTGCATGTTTGTGGGCCATGAATGTGCGACCGTTCAATGTGCATGGTCGGGCAGAGGGAGCAGGTCGATATCGGCCCGCCGTCGACGAGTCCCAGAAACCCATCAGAGTCGAAGTCCCATCACCAACAATGACGGTTGGCTCTCAGTCACAACCAGTAAGATCTAGTCCCAGAAACCACATGAGCAGGTCGCTCAGGCAATGTCTTCAAACGGGCTGTTGCAGCATGACCTCTCCTAGCCGGGAATACTTTGGCAATCTGATCCCGAAGTGTCAGTTACGTTGTATACTTGATGGGTATGCCCCATCTCCCTCCTCTTATATTGAGCAAATAGACCCTGAACGTCGTGGAAACGAGTCATCAAACAAACACGGGAGGGAGGGAATGCCGCTTGTTGGTTGATCTCAAAGGCAGACTCGAGGGCCAATGAACGGATTCTTCCCAATGTTGTTCTCTAAGGCAAGTGAAGGCAAGTGAAGGCGGAATGGACGGGATTCTCAGCGCAAGGAGAAGGTTAATGTGCTGCTCCAGTGTTGGAAGAAAACCGACACAAAGCTAAGAATGAGAATTGCTGGTGACTGGGCAAAGTCGAGGAAAAGCCGCTGCACAGAATGGCCCTCCGCAGTCACCACCATCTCCCTTCAGATGAGTCGTAACTGCGCCCCTGCACTAAGAAATTCACCTCTCCCCAACTATACATGAGTGACAGCATCCTCTTTTGCTGGTTAAGTGCGGGTTCGGCAGTGCTGTGGTCGGCAGACAGTCACTCACTCGATTGTCACTGTCACAGCCTCAAACGCCGAATCATTGTTTCTGACTTCTCCATCATCACTGTCCACAGAAGATGCAATCAACGTTGTGCGTCTTCATCAGGGTATAAACTCCCCATAATCGATAGGTTGCACTCTTCTTCCCCTGGTTTCGCTGATCGACCCCACTGCTAACAATCACAGCTTCATCATCATCATCAGCAGCAGCAGGTTACCTCTCTCTATATCATAGACCATCAGAGTCTACAGCTGCGACAAAGCTCTCTCAGTCTCATCCGAAACATGGACCGCGCCACCCCTCGCTCGAACCCTAACTACGACGTTTACTTCTCGGACGAAAAGATCAAGACTGTGGTAGAGAGATGTCTTCCATTTGTCAAGCGCGAGCAGATGGTCATCGAGCACCTGCCCTCAGGAAAGTCTTTCAACAACCGAATCTACTTTGTGAATCTCAACGAGCCAGTTCGCACTCTCCGACCAGAGTGGAACGGAAATGAAGTGGAAGTGACAAAAACAACGACGCAGATCCAGTCCTCATTTTTGGTGCTCAAGATAGCAGGCCATCCCTTTGGACGAAACAAGGTCCAGAACGAGGTAGCCTGCCTGCTTCTTTTGGAAAAACACTGTCCATCCCTTCCGGCGCCAAAATTACTGGCCTGGTCGGACGATGGCAAAAAGATCAGGACACCTCAGTATCCCCGCGGGTTCAGAGACACAGAACCAAAGAACATTCCGGTGCTGGCGATCCAAGCCGAGGACGGTATACCGATTGAGGATGCTCGCAAGGATACCGAGGGACAAGGCTGGATCTTGATGACCCGCGAGCCAGGAAGGCCGATCAATTCAGAAGATTTGGAGGGTGATGCTGGAGATGAGTTGATGCGCCAAATCGCGGTACACGTCGCTGCATGGCGGCGGGACATGCCTCCAGCAAGGGCGGTCGGCAACCTGCGCATTGTTGGAAGCAACTCAGCTCCCCAGCCAGCGGCTGTTCTCTACGACAAATCCATTCTGCCAGGCTACGAGGTCCATATTGATGGGTTGATAACCAACAATTCTCCATCATCTCCGCTGACCACATCGGAGAAGTTCCACGCTTTCGTGCTCAAAAACTCACTGAAACGGCTCAAGGATGGGAAGCTGTACGATCACACCTCGGACGACGTCCACGCACTGGTGAAGCGTATGGTTGACAACACCCTCCCCAAGCTCCCAATCTTTCAGCATGGCATTGAGCCAATGATATTCACACACGATGATCTTTCCACCCGCAACGTTCTTGTCTCGCCCGACGCATCCGGCAACCTCAAGGTCTCCGCGATCATCGATTTCGAGTTTGCCGGGTTTTTCCCCAAGGAAGAGGAATTCGCTGGGACGCTTCAAAATGAGCAGGAGGAGTGGCCACTCAAAAAATTCGCTGTCTTCTTAACCGAGCTGAAGGACCGCGAAGCGTTGCCGGAGAATCTGGCGCAGAAGATTCCATCGCCGTCGGCAATCGGGAACGCCGTGGACAAGTGTTTCGAATTTGGGACGGGCGAGCTTCATCAAGCCGTGCTGCTCTTGCGTACGACGATCAACACTGCGCCGTGGTGGATCAAGGAAGAGAAAGGGTACAACAAGAAACAGCTGCAGGAGGAGATGGAGGCAGCCAAAGCCAGAGTCGAGAAAGCCGTGCGGTGGCTGGAAGAGATGGTGCCGCCGGAGGAGCGTGAGAAGCGGAGCCGAAGGCGTACCAACAGCACGCGAGGTTGAAAGCTCAGCCCGTCTGTGATTAATACGCGTGATGGTCTCAGGGGTTGGTGAGAGGTCAGATGCAGGCAGGCAGACAGACGCGATCGCACACAGAGACAGGAGAGAGGGAGTGAGGGAAGGGAAGGGGGGTGAAGAGTCTGGGGCAAAGAAGATGGTGGTTGGGATATGATATCGAATTGTGTCTAACTGGCGCAGGACGGGATCTGCTTGACATCAGAGACTCATGTACGAAGATGGATCTAGTCTTCCAAGGAGACTGTCATAGTCGGCTGGACAACATATGCGGCCCAGACAAAAGCTCTACAGATATGGCAGAAAGCTCTTATGCAACCAAAAAGGATGCTATGGCATGTTTAAGAGCTAGTATCATCGTCAGCTAGCTAGCTAGTTAGCTACCTGTGTAAATCCCATTCATAGGTTGCGAGAGAGAGCTTGCAGAGCGATCACAGCACTCGTTAGACCCGAATGACAATGTCACTGTAATAAATGAACGAAGAAAATCAAGCAGGCCATATAGAGAGAGAGAGAGAGAGAGAGAGAGCAATTCCAACCGAGAAGAGAACGAATATAGGTAGTAGGTAGTAAGTCCTTGGTCTCTGTACTCAGGACACGGTAACGATCTACTTACTGTCATTATAAAGTATCCAACTCCATGTGAGGGAGGGTCTTGATCTGGCCGCAAGTTGGCTTTCTAGAAGTCCTCTGCCGTCTTATTGCCCATATTCCTTTACTTTCCCTTTCCCTTGCTGGCGAGATATTCACGGGCTGAGTACCTTCTCCACCCTCCAGCCAGTCTTGCTCTTCACATCCATGACCTGCCTGACCTTGACCGGCGGGAGAGGCCAGCCCAGAGCGCCTCCGGTGCCGCTGCTCGGGCGCAGGTCCACCGTGACCCAGCACTCCCTCCGCCTCGGCGAGCCGGGCAGATCGTCGACCTGGGTCTTGGGGACGGGTTTGCCGTATTTGACCAGGGCCGTGTCGCGCGCCAGGGACGCCAGCTGGGCCGCGGTGACGGGCGCGAGGGGGAACATCCTCGTCTTGGGGATCTTCTTGGCCTCCGGATGCGAGGATGACGACGACGATGTGATGGTAATGGTGTGGGCTTGAGAGCGCTGTAGGTGGCTGTAGCAGATATACTCGGGCAGGTCTTTGACGTTGGCTCGCGCGAGAACCGAAGACGGGTGGATGAACACCGCTTTCTCGTGCAGCGGAGCGGCCGGGTGGTCGTGCAGCGGGATCAGAGGGAGATAGGGCACGTCGATCGCCCGGCGCGGTTTCACGGGGATGTCGGACGGGGGTTGCGGTGCCTTGTCGTAGCGGACAGCGACTTGGTCGATGTACCCGGACGCCACGACTGTGTTGATTCTCGTGGCCACCTTGCTCGAAGAGATCTTGGTCTTCCGGGACCGCGAGATCGTCTCGCCGGTGATTGTGTTGCGGTGATTCATCCGGACCAGGTGTTCCAGCTGATCACGCAGCTGGACGATTTCGGCCATGGCCTTGGACCGGAGGAAGAGCGACTTGCACAGCGCCTCTCGGCTGGATGGAGAGCTGTCAAGATACATAGACACTGCGGTGAGGAGTTTCATCGCATCGGAAGTTTTATCGTTCTTGCTCAGCGTGGCGCGGGCACGGCCATATTCTTGTCGTAGCCGGTCGCGGCGATCGTCTTCCTCTTGTTTCTCGATTGTGTACACTGCAGGCTCTTCGTCATCGTCATCGTCATCTTGTCGACGAGAAGCTGATGAACCGGCTCCTGTAGCCTTATCATCAATGAGATTGAGTTGCCCTTCCGTGACAAAGATCTCTGGAACAGCTAGAGCAGAGACGAGCGCGAGGATGTGCCAAAGCAAGTCTGGCGCAGTGACACTCGCGGCCAGTATCTTCCCGAGGCGAGGCGAGAGCGGATACATAGACAGTTGTCTGCCCAGGTCCGTGATCGAACCGCTAGTTGCCAGGGCCCCCAGGTTCCTCAACAGTTGCTCTGCCTTGTCGAGAGTCTGGGCGGCCGGTGGTGTCGGGAACGGAAATTCGGCGATCGGTCGGGGGTAGGCGAACCCCTTCAACTGCAGCACCACGCTCTCTGCGGGTGCCCTCAAGATCTCAGGCTCTGCATGATCGGGAAAGAATTGCTCGTATACTGCTGACGAGTACAGCCGCCAACAGTGCCCCGGCCCTGTACGTCCTGCGCGACCGGCACGCTGCTGTGCGCTGGCTTTGCTGATATAGTCGATCTCAAAGCTCTGGACGCCAGAGTCAAGATTATACTTACGTTCCTTGCTACGCCCAGTGTCGAAAACATAGCGTATGCCGGGTATGGTCAAACTCGTTTCGGCCACGTTGGTTGCAAGCACAATCAGCCGTGCTCCAGGAGGGGGTGGTTCGAAGACCTTCAGTTGTTCGGGAGTAGGTAGCTGTGAGTATAGTGGGAGAATGTGGACTGATGTGTATGGTTCGCTTGATTTCGAATGCATACGAGCTTGGGAAGGAGTTCTCTCAGCTTCTTCTTCCTCTTCGTCATCTGAAATATCGAATTCCCTCTCTTCCGCTTCATCTTCTGAGTGCGTCAAAATGTCCATCTCGAAGTCGTCCTGTTCTTCGTCCACTCTCACAGCGCTCAGTTCGAAATCCTCAACTTCAAGCGGTGCTTCACTCGCAGCAATCTCTACTCGGGGTGTGTTCGTCCTCCCCCTGCTGCTACTTCCTCGGCCCAGAAGAGCATTGAGTCGGTTGCCAACTTGCTTGATTTCGTTCTGGCCCGTTAGGAAGACGAGGATGCCGCCTCTAGGAAGTTTCCGGTGAGCCCGTCTGACCTTTTCAATCACCTCTTCCACATAATCTGCTCGTGACCTTAGCGCAAAGTGTGTTGTGACACGGTGTTGACGTCCTTCAGCTTCGACTATGGGAGGCCGTAGGGACTGTGAGAAGAGCTTCTCATGGAGAAAGTCACCAATGTTGAGTGTAGCAGACATGATGATCAATTTAAGGGGCGTCGGGTTCGGGTTGAATTGATTCTTCTGCATCCGAGCTGGAACGATTTTGCTCAGCATTCCAATCAATAGGTCAGTATTGACGCTTCTCTCGTGGGCTTCGTCGACGACTATCACAGAGTACTTCCTCAACAGCAAATCCTCGGAGAGCTCACGCAACAAGATCCCGTCGGTCATGAATTTGACCGCGGTATTCGGCGAGACGTTGCTGTCAAACCTGATCTGATATGACACTGTGTGCCCATGTTCTCCCAGCTCGGTACTCACCCGCTTCGCCATGCTGACTGCGGCAACACGACGAGGCTGGGTGATTCCAATCATGCCTGGAGTTGGTCCTTCCGGGGAGCCGTAGCCGGCTTCGAAGAGAAATTGTGGTATCTGTGTGGTTTTGCCGCTCCCGGTATCCCCCTTGATGATCACAACGGGGTTATTGTGGATGGCTTCCATAATTTCCTGCTCTCGTTGGAGAATTGGCAGTTGGGACCGAGATTGTTGTATATCCTCTGACCGACTAACATGCACAGCGTACGCTATTCGATTAAGTACAGGATTTGACACCGTACTTGCTGTCGCAGGCTTCGGAGGCTGAGTCTCTGATTTGGTGACTGGTTTGGGCACAGGTAATAGTTGTCCTTCGCCCGTTGTGTAAGACGGTGTATATCCTATGGATTGGTTTAGTTGCTGGGTTGCCCATGCTTTGAATGCTGAATTCCTTGGTTTTATTTTGTCCCCATCGACCTCGTCGGTTTCGGACATGTCTGTGTTGTCTTCACTGTCTGAAGCATCTTCTGAATCGTTCGATGAGCTAGGCAATTCGGAGCTCGACCCTTCCTCCTCTTCTTCCTCTCCCGAGTCCTCTTCCTCTGAATCTTGCTCGTGTATACTTGGCTCGGAATCGAAGCCTTCCCAGGGCAACTCCACTGAAGCCTCGTCCTGCGGTCGGATCCGTGTCTTCCCCCTTCGAGATTGTATGATGGGCAATCCATTTTCATCTAGTGCCAACGGTTGGGCAAGACCACTCCCCTGTATATGAGGAGGCCCGTCAGATATTCTTGGTTCCCCCAGCCGTTTCTTGTCGTTAAAGGCTTCCTTGTGTTCTGCCTCGAACGAGTCCTCACTGTCTATGTCCGAATCATCCTGCATCTGTGGGATCTTTTGTTTTGAATGCTTCGAACTTGGCCCCGCTTCATTTATAAACTCTCCAAATGTGCGTTTCCCCAAGTTCCCAGAGCTCTTTGCGACAACAGCTTCATACTTCTCTTTCTCTTGCTCCAATTTCCGCAACAGGTCCAACGTCTCATCCTTTCTCAGTTTGTTCTCAATGTACTTGTCCAATCTTTTCTTCTTCTTGCTTGAGGCATGTGGCTGTTGGGCTCTCAACTCTTCCCTCAATTTTTGCTTCTTCGCCTCTCTCTCCGCCTGGCTTTGAGGGACAATGATTTCTTGGTTGGTCTGCTGCGGGGCGGTGGTGGCAGGAGACGGTCTGGCTTGCGCTTGCTGACGGGCAAGCACTTTGTGCTTCCGCTGACGGGGAACAAAGCGAGGCATTGAGATCACAAGTCTCCAGCCTTAGAGCCCATACAGCCTCTTCCCGCCAAAATAGGTTGTAAAATCGTGCGCATTGCGAGAAATGTGAAATGTGTCGGTGCATGGAAATTATTGCGAAAGCCCGGCAGAAAATATTTGGCGGTGACGCACTAATACAAGGCGGTGAGGAGGTTGATGAGGGTCACGTGGACTCCTTGAACATCAGGTGTAAAACTCCAGCGTATATTCCACTTCATTCTCTTTTAGGATCAAGACTATTTCTGGCGGAGCATGGGCTTGCCACAGGACTACGGTATGGCGGACATAGACGACACAAAGGTTACGATCCCTTTCCCTGCGCCGACGAAACAAGTGGTAGGGGAGGTTAATGGGGTGAAAACCGATGTCATGTACATCTCATTTGCGGACAAAATCATGATCACTATCACACAGAATGGAAAGTTGGGCCAATGGGTACATATCCCGAAGGAGTGCTAAGTGACATTCTGGGCTACGTGCTGATACGTGTTGAAGATTACGGTGCCACTACTGAGCGACAATCCTACTCATTCGGATCCGTATTTCCAAACAGGCCGCTCTGGAGACGACACCTTGCTTCCGTCAACTCGCTTTTCGCCGCGGACGCTATTAGGGGCCGGTGGTTCTGAGCGTGAGGCTATGGGCCAACTGTACGCTTCGCAGATTGCTGACGCAATCGTCACCAAGACACCCGACGAAAGTCGCGCTCTCATGCTCGGACTCGGGCTCGCCAAAGTTGAACTCGAGCGGGATGTCTTCCTGCAAATCGTTGACCTTGTTCTATCAGTCATCTGAAGTCTCGAGATCGGCATTCTCCGCTCCCATGGCGTCAATCAGACAAGGCAATCTGGCGTGCCAGATCCGTCTTTCGAGGGAAGCGCCTGGCACCTCCGACGACTTTGCCGTACTTTGCGTGCGGCGACGGCTGATTTCTTCAACGGATGCGTTGATCTCATACTCTCCGTCAGCAAGCGCAATGATGCCCAATTCGGCCACACAAACACCACCGGGCTCAACGGCGGGATACAGGGCACGCTGGAGCACACCGGTCCAGATGAATCGCTTCGTGAGGTCCAGGGCGATGTTATGGGGTTGGTGTCGGAGAGCAGGCTGGAGGCGAAGGAGGAGACGCAGAGACTCTTGGGTGCGGTTGCGAATTGTGGCTGAAAGAGTTGCGAACAACTCGGTCTGGACGACGAAATGTGATCTCCCGATCTGTCTTACGGGGGTATCTGCGTTGCCCTCTATGCCCTGAGATGGTTCGTGTGGTTTGACAGTAAACTCGATCTCGACATGGTCGATCTTCAGTGCATCCACCATCCGTGGACTCAATCTAACACCCTTTCTCAGATCGATCTCGCCGTGCCTGCCCGAGCCTTCTTCCCGCCACGTGCCTCGTATGCATTTGAGAAGTTCTTCACGGTACCAGAAAGACTCTCGGCTTGCTGCTTCTGCCTCTGCACTCAACTTAGACGTCGTTACCACAAATTGCTTCTGTGGCTCTAGGTTCGGAATTGACGCATGAGGATCCTGAATGAACAGCCGAGGAACCAGCAAAATCACCCGACTGACATGGCCGGGTTGCAGTGTCTCAGCGACTGTATATGCATCCTCCCAGAGCTGGTCGTCGGTAGCGGATTCCCATTTTACCTTCCGAGCTTGGAGTTCAATGTGAAGAGGCTGTGGCCAGACGTTCCGTAGATCTAGCGACAACATGCAGTACTGACTTGCATCATCTTGAGACTTGAGCCAGTTGGATAACATGGATACGCCTGACGCTCTGCTTGAATTTTTGTCGTATAAATGCTTTAATTTGTCCGTGGTTGAAGCGGGAGCCCAGCTGAAGTCATTATGAATCGGGAAGACATTGCAACGTGGGATTTCCACGCAGCCGTTGACTGTAACCGAGATGGGAAACCGAATTTGTCTGGTGTAGAAAGTCCCTTTCACTTCTGACAACGGCGACCCCAGATACGCATAATCTGCTTGTATAGCGGCGCTCACGAGGCCGGCCCGACCAAAGATTGTCACTTTGTATGCAATGCTCTGACCAGGCTCCAAGACTTTGGAAGGATTTTCCTCGTGCTCATCTGTGATATCCACGGCTGGATGTAGGCTGAGCTGGTTCTGGATTTCGAACAGTTCTGCAGGGTTGAGCTCTTTGTTCGTAAGAGCCTCCTGCAGCCTCGTGGCGACAGAGTCCTCTGTAGTAATAAGGATAAAATCTGCTGCCACGACCTGGCCTTCATTGACCAGCGTGAGATCGAAAACACGACGTTCTCCTTCTAGTAGCATAATGGCAGGATCACCCAAGCTGCGGGAACTTGCGACGAGTCGAGGCTGAGATTCAATGACCTTGAGCTTCAAGGGTGTCGCCTCCGGAAAATTCAGCGGGAAATTATCGCTTAGCGAAGACCCTCCATTCTCACCAGCCTGCTCTTTCCTGGACCTGACCCTTCCAACAGCATTCTGCTTTGGGATAACTGGGCGTTTCCATTCATCCCGAAAAGTCAGGAAGTCCTGTTCATAGCAGTTGCGCACGGTGGCTCTGCAGCCAATAATTTGCAAATCTCCGCTTCCCGTCGGGGTCCCACTGAGTATGAATATCTGTGTCGAGAAGGGACCCAGCACGATGCTGTGACGTGAGGGAGCAAAATCACACCCTTCGCTCAGCAGGCTGATTTCTTCGATTTCAATCTCTGCTTCGAGCGGATTCTGCAGAAGGACGGTGAATATAGCGAGCTCTCCTGCCACCAGAACTGGAGCGGCGGCAACGGACTTGTCTTTCGAGAACGGATTGTATATAAAAGGATCTCGCACTGTTTCCACGAGACCACTCCCACGTAGACTGACGTCGCTAGGCTTGTGTGCAATTAGCTTCGCGAAAGTCCCTTGCTCCAAAACCTGAATTTCACGGACGAGAAAATCGTCCCAGTATTCAGCGCGGCAGCCATGTGCACCTAACCGCGAAGCTGCCGAGACGGCACGTTTCACACTGTCGAGAAGGCGTACTTGGTCCTCTGCAGAGATCAATGGAACCGTATCAGTGGGATATTGAGGCATGGTGATCATTTGTCTTGCATCCCGCAGAATGTTCGACGTGAAATGGAGTCCAGCTGGGACATCGGGCAACGCTTCGCTCACTGCCACACACGTTCGCAGCATTTCTAGTTTCAGCATGGCGTCGCCGGAACTGTGCTCGATGGCCCACATTCTCAGTCTATTGTGAATCTTGTTGATATCGGCAGGGATCGTCTGTGCTGGTCCGGGGACCGGTGGCAGAGGCACTCCGTATGCTCCGGCAGCTAGGTTCAGCATGGCTCTCGTACCAACCACCATTTCGGGGAGTACACCCAGGAGTGCAGTGTTCAGAGGCGGAAGTCCAGCTGCGGGATGGATACCGGCCTCGGAAGCACCGATCTTTCTCGCCTCAATCAGTCTCGGGACTAATTGTTGCATGAGCTGCTTGAGATAGAAGGCGTGTTTGCGATCCAATCCCAACAATGACAGACTGGCGCTGACCGCCGCTAGAATAGTCGTGTGGTGAGATGGATTTCTGCTCGATTGAGCTTCTTGAAGTGTCTCAATCAGGATATTGGCAAGCCCAGCTTTGGAGATGGCAACGGGTTCCCCATTCGACTGTACGGAGTTCTCAGATGCACCACCGTCACCAGTCACAATCTGATTCAACCCTTGTTTGTTTAGCACGCCTCCTGCACGCTTCACATATATCAGTATGTTCACAAGCCTGATCCGACATTCCCTCAAGATGTCTTGCAAAGAGCCACCCAGGTCCAAATTCGCCACCTTGGCGTAGAGTTCAAGAACAGTCTCAACTAATGGCGGTAGCAACTGGGCCAATGCCTTTAGTGAGTCGCCGGATTTTGATGCAACCTCAGCCTGAAATGCTCCGCTTCTGTTGGGTAGAGAGCGGCAGACTTGCGGTACAGAGAAACTCAGCTCAGACCAGGATAGGAGAAGCATGCAGATAAGAAGGTGTTCAAGAGCCTTTGCATGCCACAGATGGTCGTGACCACTTTGCGCGACAGCAGCTCCTTCGGCAAGGTAGTTCATTGCCTCTGTCCAGAAGCCACGTTGGAGCCAGTACATGCCCTGAATGACGTTGAACCGTCCCCTGGAGGTGTCACTCTAGACATGTTTCAGCAAACGTATGGGTGTGGCGTTGGGATTAAAATACCTGCTGCTCTGAACCATTTGAAGTCGGCATCAAGCCCGGTGACTTTGTGGACATGGGAGCTGAGTTTCTCTCTACGAGGGTTGGAGTTGTGCCGGTGCGTCGAGGGGCCTGCGAGTTTGCAACTGGCACCATGCTGATTGGCTGATCTTTGAAGTCATTCACAATGAGTTCGATCCCGTCCTGTAGTTGCCGTGATACAGTGGTCATGACCACCCAGGCGGCATTCTCAATATCTGCCTGAGGCATGCAGATAATGTCATTGTCAAGAGGATTGGAAGGCTCGGCGCCGCAATAAATGAGTCGACGAACGACCAGTCCAGGACTTGAGGGTAGTTGCTCCTCAAATCGGATTTTGATAGAGTCAATCGCGGCAGAGAAGTCATCCCGGGCCAAGCCATCTGCTTCCGAGGACGGGGCAGACACATTTGCAAGTCTCTCGCCATCAATCAGCCCTAGGAGAACCTGGCACCGGCTGTTCGTCTCGAAAGGGAAAAGATGCGGTCGGCCTCTTTGTTCGTTGACCGAGATGTCGTAAAAGATACAACCATTTCCCGCATGGGGGTTGTCTACAGCTACCAGCCAAAATGAGTTTTAGGCCTGTGTGAGAAGTTGTTTCGGCATACCTAGACAAGAAGGGGAAGAGTCCAGGACTCTACGTTGGATGATTGAAGCATTCTGCAAAGATTTGATGAATTCTTGGAAACGGTCTGGCGTTATCGGTCCGGCGGGGACACATAACACGTTAACCCGTGCGACAGCTGTGGGTAGGAAGGGGTGATAGCCCATGATGACATGGTGGCTATGGCCGAAGTACGGAGTAGATAGACTTGGAATCGCCAAGATGAAGTGAAGAGCACAGGGTCCAGTATTTTTTTTTGGTCCTCAGTAGCACCAAAAAGCGCGTATATCGAACACTTCTCAGGAGGCATTGATGACACCAAACAAGGTTGATGGCTTAGGTAAGCGACTGGCCACGAGATGGACCCAGTGCCCAGAGGGTGCCCCCACGCCCCCAGCAACAATCGGACCCCTAAAGCCCCCTAACATAATGGCTCCGGCGGCTCCTCGGGCCACGTCGCGTGTTGCAGGGGCCGCTGTCTGCGGCTCGGAACTCGTAACCCCCTCGACGTCAGCCTTATTGCAGCCTCGCGAGAAACATCCTGCCCTCCTGCATGAGTCGTTCAAACAAATCTGCCACTCTTTGCTTCTCCATTCTTCTTCGCCTCTTCCACCTAATCTCCCTCAGTATCACTCATTCGCACCTCTAAACCTATTCCCTTCAGGCTATTTCCTACGAGTTCATGTTCATCCGGGTCGACCATTCACGTCGATGATATTCCTCGCCACCAAGGCTTCAAAGCCTTAACTCCGAAGTCAATATTGTTGGATGTCAACCCCGCCGCCTGTCTCTCTTGACTTCCTCCTCCCAGACCACTTCTTCTGCACAGGCAGTTAGGATTCGGAGCGGCACAATGGACTTCGACGCCCTTCGCGCACGTACGCTGCGCTCTGGAGCAGATGAAGAGGCAGTCACAGTCAATACAAGAGCTTTGATAGACAAGGTACTGGCCAGATACTCTGGAGAATGGACTGTGTTGCGAGAGTTGCTACAAAACGCGGCAGATGCTTCAGCAACTAAGATCACGATCAAATTCGAGACACTCCCCTCAGCCACGGTGCCTGTGCCTACCGACCCCTCACCGTCGAATCTTTTGAAGCATACGGTTCTGCATCATACTTTGAAGAGACTCGTTGTGACAAACAATGGACAGCCTTTCAGCGAGAATGACTGGAATAGGCTGAAGCGGATTGCGGAAGGAAACCCGGACGAGACGAAAATTGGCGCTTTTGGGGTTGGGTTCTATTCCACTTTCGCAGACTGTGAGAACCCTTTTGTCTCCTCAGGAAAGGAGGCGATGGCTTTTTTCTGGAAGAACAACTCGTTGTTCACGAGACGATTGCAGCTGCCGGAATCCGAGACTTCGGCAGACACAAACTTCGTCCTTGACTACCGGGACACCACGTCTCCAGTGCCTCCATTACTCCCCCTGGCACAATTTCTGGCAAACAGTCTGACCTTTGTTGGATTGGAGAACATCGAGCTTTGGGTCGACGAGTGGAATCTGCTCTCGTTGCAAAAGAAGACGTCCCCAAGTTATGACGTGGCAATACCTCGTGATATTGATCCCAAGACGAGTGAAGGCTTTATGAAAGTTACCAAAGTCTCAAAAGAAATCGCCCAGATCGATGGCCAGTGGATGAGTGTCATAGGTTGGAAGGCCACAAAGGATACGACTCGGTCGAACGAGAAAGACTCCGCTCCCTCGCTTCGCAAATTCTTTTCGCGGCTCGCGGGAACTGCACAAGAGGAGACCCAGTCAGAAGTTAGACCTGACCGCTCAGCCGACGGGGAATTGTTGGCGACAAAAGTGTCTGCCACCGTTTTCCTTAACGTGAATACAGCCACCATCAAAACATTTACCGGCCAGAAGTTCAATGAGGAACTGGAGCGTGCAACCAAGAAGCCGCCTCCAAAGTTTACAAAGCTCGCCATCCTGACGGCTCCATACATAGAAGATGCTAGCCTCGCTAATGCGTCTGCTGCTGGGGATGTTTTTGGGACGGTCCTCCCCAGCAGAGGGGGAAAGATATTCATTGGCTTTCCCACACATCAGACCACTGGTTTGAGCGCACATATTTCCGCACCTTCGGTCATTCCAACGGTCGAACGAGAATCTATCGACTTGAACGCCAGATATGTGAGGACGTGGAACATGGAGATGCTTCGTGCAGCTGGTATTGTCTGCCGAGTTGCATGGTCGTGTGAGATGCAAGAGCTCAAGGAAAAGACTCTACGAGCAGCCAACGGCAAATCCAAGATACGCATGGAGGAAGTCAATCCTTTCTTGGACGAAGCAATTACTACGTTCAAGAACTTCACCTTCAGAGAGTCGACTCCTTCAGCTTCGATAGGTCAGCTCCTGGAGGACGCTTTCTGGACATGTAGCAAGAAAGCGTCTATTGAAGTGGTTTCCACGTGCGGAGTTCTTCCTACTCACGACGTCCGGATTGCTCCGAAGGATATGAGCTTCATGGAAGGTATTCCGATCTTGCCTGAAAAGTTGGTCTCCGAAGCCTCTGTTCTGGTGTCGAAGCTGGTCGACTTTGGTCTCCTGACTGAGGTAACGGTGACCGACATCAAATGTGCACTCGAGTCAAGTCCATTGACCACACCGCAAGTATCCGAGTTTCTTGGTTGGCTCACAAAACAAGCAACCCGTGGAAAACTTGACAAGGCTACAATATCAAGTCTCCTCGCTGTCGCTGTTGCAAACGACGACAAGCCCGAGGGCAACGGAAGTCCACTTCTTCAGCTTGGAGAAATTCGTCATTTCTTAAATCCCAGCCGAACACCCGTTGATCTCCCGGTGCCGCCCTCAGTGATGCCATTTAAGTTCACCAAGAGCATGAGCAAGCACGAGCTAGAGAGTCTCGGGTGGGAGGAGCTTCAACTGGTGACATGGGTACGCTGGCTGATTGCCCAAGCTGGAAATCGTCAAGTCCTTGCGGAAAATCAAGACATTACGAAATCTGCAGAATTCAGCTCGCAAGTTTTGCATCTCCTCTCGAAACAATGGGATTCGCTCAGCCAGCCCTCGAAATCGTCGCTGGTAGAATTACTCGTCAAGCACACCGTAATACCTACGAAATTCGGGATGAGAAAACCTAGCGACGCTTATTTTCCAAGTGTCAAGCTCTTCGATGATCTGGCGATAGTCGAAGGCCTCGGCTCTGTCAAGGATAAGTTTTTGCTCGCTCTAGGTGTCCGCAAGACCGTGGAGTTAGGAGTAGTCTTCGAGCGACTTTTGGCATTGGAACCCAAATCTGCCAAAACCGTCGGCAGTGCGAACCCACAATGGAGCCACGTTGATTTAATCAAGTACCTGGCCTCTGTACAAGATGATATTCCCGGAACGGATATACAAAAGCTTCGAAGCACCCCCATATGTCCTATGCAACTGAAGGGCAAAGACGGAGGCGAGTCTACAGAGCGCTACCGAGTGAGCGAGTTGTTCCAGCCACGACACGACTTACGCGAACTCGGGCTCCCTGTCTTAGCTTGGCCCGGTCAGTATCGGTCCAACTCTCCAGAAGGGAAGTTCTTACACGCCCTCGGTCTTCGAACCACGCCGCTAGTCCCAGAACTCGTCCAGATCATGGCGGAGACGGGTCAGAAAGGGCCCAAATATGATCTTGATCGCCGAGACAGGGCGCTGGCTTATTTCCTTTCTCACCACCATGCTCATGGCTATGGCTTGTTTGATTATCAGAGCATCTCGCTTCCTTTCCTGCCACTTGAGAACAAGCCCGATCAGCTTGCTACGCCGACGCAGTGCTTTTCGAATGAAGGAGCTGCTCTGCTCGGCTTCGATATTCTGAAGCGCGACTGGGTACCCCACGCCACAAAGGTCGGCGTTAGGGAACATCCACCAATGGACCTTTGCATCAATATCCTTTCCAAACGGCCGCCGCTCACGGCCAACGATGCTCGGGCTATCTTTGCCTATTTTGCAGGGCGGCTGGCAGAGATCAACAACCACAATATGTCGAGGCTGAATGTCACTGATTTCATTCCCATTTTCCCCAAGAACAAGGAGAAATCGGCTCCCAAACTTCACACGTCCCCTCGAAATTGCTTTTTGGGCGAAAGTGAAGCCTTTGGGGAGATCTTCCACTACGTTGATTTCGGTGCTGAAGCGAACTCCTTTCTCATCAAATGTGGTTCGAAGCAAGAACCTTCAAAAATAGAGATTGCGCAGATCCTTGTGAAGGAGCCTGCCCGGATTTCTGCAACGTTCCGCAATGCTGAAAAGTACATGGCGTTACTCCGGAGCATGGCCGAGGCTGCTAAGACCTTGAAGAAGAACAAGGAGCTTTGGGCCGAGATGAGGAGGGCACCGTTCCTCCTTGCAAGCAGGGAACTCCCGCCTCCGACATCGTCGGTAGAGAAGCACACTGCCCCCGCCGACGATGCCGATAATCTCGACGAGGAAGAGGTTCAAGGCATCCGCGAATTTCAGCTATGTAGTGCTGAAGATGCTATCATCATCGACGATTATATCAACTACAGCCTGTTCAAGGCAAGCATCCTTGCAGCCCCCCAAGAAGAGAGTCTTGAGGACTTTTACTTTGCTCTGGGGTCTCCACTGCTTAGCTCCCTTGTCGAGGAGGCTGCACGCCATGGCCCGAGAGCGCAGGATCAGAAGCCCGCACAGAAGCTACAGAAACAGATCCTCGAAAGATCGACACTGTTTTTACACGAACAACCCGCGGAGACCATCAAACATGATGCAAAGTGGCTGGAAAAGAATCTACAAGTTCAACTGGTCTCATCTATTTCGTTGCGAAGATCATTGCGAGGAAGGAATGTCAGTCACACAGAAAAGCGGTCTGCTGTAATCACAGCAGTGAATAGAGAGTACACTCTGTGGATCTCAGGTGCAAAGCCAGACCTCTACCAAGTCAGCCAGTCGTTGGTGCACATTTTGCTAACAAGACCAAAACTGCATTCTGCAATCACCCTCGAAATGCTGCTGAAGACGGACTTGCTTGATCTCCGCGCCCGGGGCTTCAATGTCTCTCGTATTCTGCGACAGAAGGCGGCAGAGGCCCGGCTCGCCGAGAACAAGAGACAACAAGAACTCGAGGAGCAACAGAAGAGAATTGAAGAAGAGGAAAAGGCCTGGCGAGCCTCTCAAGAACAAGCTGCAAGCGATAGGGCTCCACGCACCCACGTCCCAGGTGGATTCCCAGACTCACCGGATAGCAAAGCACTGGCCGGCCAGGACTCTAGCACCGCCGCCCCAGTCGGCAGCGATGACTTACGGAGACATGGTCGCAACTTGTTTTCCAACCTTTCACGTCAGCTCGGGCTCGGCAACAATCGCCACATTCAACAAATGCTAGGTCGCAATGATGATGAGCCTCGAGCGGTCACAACTGGTGAGACTGCAGAACCGCCTCCTCCCTATCAATACGACCAGCAGACTGGTCAGACCAACTCGACTGGGTCGTCAGTCACCGCTCCTCATCAACTCCGGGAGAATCTTCTCAACGCCATCAAAAAGTCCCGTGCTCACAACTCTTCGGAGCTCTTCAGTCGTGGAGAGACCAATGTCCTCCAAGAGACCAAGTCCTACTGTGACGAGCACCCTGCCCATGATCTTACTTTTGTGGCTGAGATCAAGGACGGTATCCAATGCTTTCTATCCCCTTCATCTGTAAACAATTCGTCACAGTTTCTCCAGCACCACTCGGCTGGGTTGACGGCGTTTGCGGGCCTCCTGAAATCGGTAGGAGCAGTATTTTCCCTTAGCCCGCGTACCTTGAATATCTTCTTTGAAAGCTCGGGGAAGACCATCGCCTTCAACAGAAACGGAAGCATATTCTGCAATTATCGGTACTTTGAACAACTGCATGAGCGAAACATGGGAGCAGCGGGGACAGGTGCGTACAGCGAGGCTTTTGTCTACTGGTGGGTGATCTTATGCCATGAACTGGCGCACAATCTTGTTGCGGATCACAGTTCGGATCACAGCTATTATACGGAGGGTTTTGTGGCTCAATACTTTACCAAGGTTGTCGCGGTTTTAGGACAAGCTCATGCACAGCAAAATGCCCGGATGGAGGCCCCTCTCGTCGAGATTTGAAAGAATGATTGGAGCGAGGGGCCGTCGGGCCATTCAGGCGGAGTCTTATCACTGCCTCTCGCCGGTACAAGACTTTTCTTGTTCTCTCTGGGCCGGTCTGAGCGATCAATCATTTGTTTGTTTCTCGGTGTCGGGATTAGACGAAGAATGACACTTTCCTAAATGCTGGGTAGAAACGAAGACGGACTGATTGAGACGTGTCTCAAGCCGTCACACGCATCCGGGATGTGTAGAATATGCACACGACTAGAGTTGAGGCAATGAAGGAGCACCTATTCCTCTCCATCCATGCGAGCAAGACGCCCTCCTGGTTTAGCCAAATTGATGACTCTATCATGGCTTATGTTTCTGGGAATGGTTCAATTGACATTGTGTTAAGTTAATTCCAAGAACTATATGGGTATATATTGAGGTTGGTATATGTGCGCACCGCATGCACAACGTGTATACGAGTCATCAGTCGACTCACCATAGTTCAATCCTCCGAGCAGCCACTTACTTCCAAGCGAGCATCTCGCACTGCAGCGACGCGGCCCAGGCGTCGTCCGTCTCCGCCCACTTCTGCGCGGCGCGCAGCGTCTGCTCGATCTCGTCCTGGGTGATGCCGGCGTCCCGCCAGCTCTGGTGGAAGGGGTCACCCTGCTTCAACTGCCCGGTCGCGCGCCAGGCCAACCACTTCCTGGCCTCGGGGCCCGCGAAGACCGTCGCCGAGGCCCCGACGCGCACCTTGCTGGCGTCGTCCGCGTCGAAGCCCACGCTGCGCAACAATGCCGGCATGCTGGTGCCGGTCGCCTCGCCATCGTCCTCGTCCTCCTCTGGAGAGACACCCCCGCGTAGTGCCCGTGCCGCGTTCTGCACCCACAGCCGGTCGAGGCCCGAGGAGCGCGGGTAGAAGTGCTGCGCGGCTCCGTCGCGCGTGGCCAGCACGCCGCCGGGCTTGAGCACGCGGCGCATCTCGCGCAAAGCCCGCCGCGCCACCTCCGCCGGCGTCATGTGCCCGAGCACCTGGGACGCGAAGACGACGTCGAACGACTCGTCCGCGAAGGGCAGCCGCTCCAGCACGTTGCCTTCCTGGAACACCACAGACCCGGGCCCCGAGCTGGGGACGTGAGCCCCCGCCGTAGCCACGAGGGCTCTCGCTTTCTCCAGCACGGCGGGCGACATGTCGATGCCCACCGTGCTCCCCTGGCTGGCGTACCGGGCCAGCCCTGTCGTGATGGTGCCCGGCCCGCACCCGACGTCGAGGATGTGGTCGGTCGGCTTGATGTGCCGGAGCAGGAACGCGGCGTCCGACTCGGCTGTGCGAGTCAGGTGCGTGGCTACCGTGTAGTCCGAGTGGCCCTGCGTGTAGGTGTTGGTGGTCTCTGAGTTGCCCGGTTGCGTAGTCGCCATGCTTTGTTTGTTATTCGTTGTGTACCTTTCTTCCCGCCCTCTGTTTCTCTTTCTGGAGCAGGGGAAAAGACTCCAGGTTGGCTGTTCTTTATAAGTGCCGTCCTGGGGTATTTATGTCCTGTCCATCATCGGGCCTTTCGTGTCTAGCTATATATGTGAAGCGAGGAGCTCAGAGGTCCCGAGTCATCTGGAGATAGGCACGTACAGCCCCCTTGAATCCGGAAGAGCTCCTGGTTGGCCCCTCTCCCTGCATAAAGTCCGGGCCGGTAGGAGCGGGCCGGTGGGCCTCCTTCTGTTGATGCAGGCCAATGACAAAGCAATGAATGCGTCTGCCTGAAGCCGGACGGGGACCGGGTGGGTGATGTAGAAGGAGTCCGCGCGGGAATAAGTATATGGACACTGACAGACCTCCTAGCCGGAGGGTTATCTATTCCCGGACTCTCCTGTACCGGAATGTTGTGAACAGAAGCAATTGTAGGTATTGCTTCCGTGGAACGAATGATGAATGGGTAAAAAAGTAGCAGTAACGAACGCCATCTATCGATTGCCTTTCATTATCATGCTCTTTCGTGACCCTGTATCGTAGTTGAAACTGCTAACCTGATACCTCGTTTAGAATGTCGACTGTCCCGTCCAATTCGTGCCAATGAATATATAGAACCATGTCCTAGTAAGCTGGGAATTTCCTGTGGTCGTCACTCCGGTGCTCGCCATGTTGAAGGTTGCCAAAATGCGCCGTAGAGTCAATGTGTGTCGGGCCTTTTCCTAGTCCCATGTCGCAAGTGTTGAAAAATATCCTACCGATATTTTGTCCCATCCTCGAGAACACTGATGAAAAACGTCCCTGTCACAGATATACATCAAATCCGTCAACCCATCAACCCACGTGAAACCCTCGGAGAACACTATCCAATTTGGTCATCATTTCTTCCCATTCCTGCTCCTCATCGCTGAGCACGGTAATCGCTCCCCCAGCGCCGATTCGCCACTTCTGCAGGTCCTCGCCAGCAGTGTCGTCCTTTTCCTTCTCGTCGTCATTCGAGAAGGCTGTGCGTATACACACCGACCAAGCGCCATTGCCGCCGACGTCCATATACCCGATGGCTCCCGAATACACGCCACGCTCTCGCTGCTCCAAGCCATGGAGAATCTCGCAAGACCGCTTCTTCGGGGCACCCGTCATGCTTCCGGGAGGAAGCGTGCGTGTCAATGCTCTCACACCGTATCTTGTCATCTCCTTTGCATGTTCATCGGACGTCCGATCGGTCTCAGCAGATACCGGAACGTGAGCACGAATATGCGAGACCAGCGAAAAGACCGTTTCGGACTCGACGACGTCGCATAATTTAACGACCTCAACTTTCGCGTCGCGGCCCACGGTGCTGTATAGATCATGGCGGATGAGGTCCGCAATCATCAAATTCTCGGCACTCTCCTTGGCCGAGGACAAGATTGCGACGGCTTTGGAGCGGGTCATTTCTGGAGTCTTCTTGACAGTTCCTTTCATGGGAATCATGTCGATAGCGCCATCTTTGGCAGACCAGGAGAGAAATTGTTCCGGTGAAGAGGAGAGAATTGTGGTGTTGTTGAGGCGGATGAAAGAGGCGAAGGGAACAGGGTTATATTGTTGAATGTTGTTGTAGAGCAGCCAAGAAGCGTCCGGGTGAGCAGGCGTCGTGACAGTAGCTTCAGTGGTGAGACATAGTTCGTAGGAGTTGCCTGCGAGAAGCTCAGACTGACATGCGCGGATCCGCGAAATATATGTATCATGGTCGGGGAGGGTAAAATGTGTCGAAGACAACACTTGGCGCAATGTGCCATTTTTCGATGGGTCCCAAACCACTGTGGCATCGGACACAGGTGTGGTGCTCAGCTCATTGACCATTCCATCGACCCAAGAGTCGTCATTAGCCCTTATCGACTGTACGTAAGCCATTCCGGTGTAATGATCGAAGACAATACTGCGCTCCACCCAAAGGAGGCTGATTTCCGGCGTCGAAACTGGTGGTCGGGTATGCTCTGGCACATCAAGATGCAATGACGCCGTTCCGAATTCGTAGGATAGAAAACCCATGAAACCGCCTTTGAATGGGACTTCAGACGTGCCACCATGTTGAAAGGATTTGCTAGACAGGAAAGATTCCAGACAATCCACCACTTGTTCACGATCGAGTGTGAAATTAGCAGGAGGGCCAGACCCTTTTTTGAGTGTAGCGCAACCTCCGTTATATTGCAAGTGAAAACTGCATTCGTCAGGGAAAGCGTATATGCTATACCGACCCCTTTTTGTCGACTCCAGCATCACAGTAGCGTTGGGCAGAGATCTCTGGTGGCACAGACTTGCAATGGCCCGATTCCCGAGCGGTAGATGTCGAGCTCTCTGGGCGGCGGTGCCATCGCACGACTTTGAAAGAGAATTCAACTCTCTAATCAATACCGCACTCTCTCTACGGTCCACTGTCGCGAGTTTGGGGGGAGCCGCCCGGGTCACAGAGACAAAATCTCGATAGGCTGCGTTGTGTTTTCTCGTAGCATCCCACCACTGTTTGATGATCGTGTGGCAAGTGAGACTAGATTTGCATGATTCGGGGTGGAATTGGAAGCCGTGGAATGGCAGGAACTTGTGCCTGACTGCCATAACCCAATCATCTTTATCCCAGGCCAGAACTTCGAGATTGTTGCGGGACTGGTATCGTGATGGTTCACTCGCAGGTTCAGAAGGGCCTGATCCAGTAGACGGCAGACTTCGGAGAGATGATATGCTCTCGCTGGAGGCAGATGAACTCGGACGACTTGGTGTCCGGTCCCGCTTGAGATCGCTCACTCGAACGCCCAGGCTGTTATAATTCGTGGCAATGATGCTCCCCGACTGACAGAATACGTCGCTGTCAGTGTGGCATATCTCCTTAGCATGACCATGACACGGCAAATCTCGACGCACGACAGGGACTCCATTCTGCACGCATAGACTTTGAAAACCTAGGCAGATCCCCAACACCGGAATGTTGTACTCTGAAGCACAGGCCCAAACTCTCCTGTACAGGCCAACATCAGATTCATTGTACGGGTTTCCAGGACCAGGACCGAGGACTATGGCATCGAAACTGGCGAAGAATTCCCGTGGAGACTGGTTGTACTGAGTTGGAATATCACAGTCGATCCTCACCAGAGTAACATGAGCCTGGAGCTGCTCATGAAGAAGAGCAGCTATGTTCTCGGCGAATGAGTCGTAGGCATCGACAAAGAGAACCGACCCTTGAGTTGTCATTGATTCTGCCAAAGCCAGTCTGGTATGGTTGCAGAAATAACTCGTCTTCCTTGACTGGTGGACAACTGACAGCAGAACAGTCACAGACCCAGACCAGAGACGCCAAAGATACCACAGACAGGAAAATGAAGAAAACAAACAAGTAGAAGAAGACCTACCTCCCCCTTGTCTACGAAAATGAATATCGGGAGAACATGGCGATGTTCCAGTCATGCCGTAAAAGTTTCGTGTTGGAGGGCGGAAATTTTGGCAACGAATGGAAATGTTTTACCGGAGACGCAAGACGCACATTTGCTTCACCGCAGCACGACACCGCCCAATCTGGACGCACCCAAACACATCTTCCACGGTCTCCCCCAATTGAAGATGGGACATTCTAGACAACGTATTCTGTAAGGTTTGTGAAGACAGTGACACCACACTGGTGACGGCAGCTCTCTTCCAAGACTCGCTCAAGATGACCATGCCCGTCCTTGAGCATCAGCAACTATGGCCGACCTCAAAGACGACCTGACCGAGAAAGCTCACTTTGATCCTAATTGGATTGCTTTTAACGGAGGAACTCTCCACTCGAACAATGGTGTGTGACAAGCTGACCAAGACCCTGCAGCCACTGACACTTCTTCCTCAGTGCTTTTCTATTTTGCGACATCCCCTTTCTTTGATCATGTCTCGGGCAACCAGTCGCTCTTCACACAGTGGGCGGGCACGCCCAACCAGAATGACATCTTGGGCACGAGGGCCAAGTTTGAAGCCAATCTACGCCACCAGCGTGGAATACAGTACGTTGTCGAGCACGATCCCCTAGAGGAGCAAGTTATCTTGGACGGTCCGAATGGACCTGAGAGGTCCAACGTCTGGGTCATTCGCAAGCAGAACCGTGAAAACGAGCGTGAGGACGGCTTCACGGTTTTGGGCTATTACTACATTGTCAACAACGTCATCTATCAAGCTCCTTCAGTTGCCAGTGTTCTCAACTATCGTCTGGTGAGCCGAGTTCCAAGTGTTGAAGTGACTCTTTGTTGACCTGGACTCATAGCTAAACACGGTTTCCGCCCTCAACAAGGTCTTCACGGCTCCCGCGGACCTGTCTTTCTTTTCAGTCTCTCATGGCCACACTTACCATAAGCCAGTCCAACAGTCAACAACACAAAGTATGCTGAGTGCCCCACAGCAGGGTAATGAACAGCAACCACCCCCACCAACGCCGGGACCTCAGCCTTCTAATGCAGAGAAGGCTTCAGCCACTTCTCAAGCCCAGGAGGAAGCAACTGGTGGGACTCGGACGGCTTGGGACGCACTTCAAATGACTCTGCAGTACGGAAAGGAATACGTGGATGATATGCCGTTGGTGGGCGAGCCTGGGAACTTTCGGTTCTCTAAAAACAAAGACGCTAGTGTCACGACAGGCCAGACGAAAGCCCAAATCCAGACATCTCCCACTGGCACTCCTGGTCAATCCCGAGCAGCTTCTGTCGTGCCCGCGACGTCAAGCAATCCACCTGCAGTTGCCAAGGGCCCTAAGATGCTGGAGAAAACGGCACCACTATCCGAGGGACCAGCAAAGGTGAAACGGAGGAAGAGTAAACCAGGTGTACCTAGTCCATGAAGCAGCCAGGCTCCAACTTTGTGGCTATAGTTTGCAGTCACACTCCAGTCAAACACCGGTGTTGGTACGTCCCACGGATATATCTGCTAATAAATGAGGCTCTTGGGTAGTTGATTATTTGCATCTGAAGCAAGCTTGGCCATTATCCGGATGTTCGTGCAGGTTCCATGAGTAGCGGAGTTGGACGAAGCCAGCTTGTTGAGGCACCGGGTGTCGTCACGTGACTCCCCGTCCCGCATGGCTTCCTCCCGCGGCAGGCAGCGCGAGGCAAGCGTCACCAGCCTGCGACTTGCGATCTGCGACCTGCGACCCTTTCGCCGCATTATTTGTTCATCTTGATTTCTCAACTAAACGTCCTTTTCCTCCACCCCCCAAACAGAGTCAGGCCACTCATTTGCTTTAGAAAGTCATCTTCGCAATCCTGGTCTTCTTGTTTCTACCTTATCAATCAGAGGCTTCGACTTCGTGACCCAGTGACACTCCCCTGACGGAATCTGAACGCCTTTGTGTGCGTGGCGGGGCAAGATGAAGCTCTCCTTCAGAGTACGTGAATGTGACCAGTCGCCGATCAGACAGTTACTAATGCCTGTGACAGGATCTCAAGCAGCAAAAGTTCACGATCGATGCCGAGCCATCAGACACCGTGCGCATTTTATCCTTCTGCAAACTCCCTGAACAAGACACAGGCTTACCCCATTTGCTCAGATCGCGCAGGTGAAAGAGAAGATCACCGCGGAGAAAGGATGGGAATCCTCGCAGCAAAAACTCATCTATGCCGGTAGGCTAAGCTTGAGCTCCGCTTCATGCGCTCCGACCGGCAGGCAACTGACCTCGAGACAGGCAAGGTCCTCGCCGATGCCAACACCGTAGAATCGTACAAAATTGAGGAGAAGGGTTTCATTGTTTGTATGATATCAAAGGTCGGTCGTCATCTCATGTCCAAGGCCGATAATCTACTAACGGTGTGTCTTCTACAGCCAAAAGCTGCCCCCGCGGCCAAGTCTGGCACTCCCTCTACACCGGCGCCATCAACCTCGACCTCCACACCTGCTGCACCAGTTGCTCCTCAACCAAACCAGTCTACAGCAGCCTCAAATCAGCCCTCAACTCCCACGCCTGCCCAGAGCACAGCCCCCGCGAGCGCGGCCGCTGGGTCTGGCTTCAATGATCCCTCAGCATTCCTGATGGGTACCCGCAACGAATCAACCATTCGCGAGATGGAGGCTATGGGATTCGCAAGACCAGAAATAGATCGTGCACTGCGGGCAGCCTTCTTCAACCCTGATCGAGCCATCGAGTATCTCTTGAGTGGCATCCCAGATAATATTCAGGCAGAGCAAAGACCAGCGACCCCGGGGGCTCCAGCTGCGAATCCGGCGTCACCCCCAGCGCCTCAGCCCGTACAGCCCGCCCAGCCCGCCCAGCCTGCTCAAGCTGCTCCACCTGCAGGGGACGAGCCTATTAACCTGTTCGAAGCGGCGGCACAGGCCGGTCGCCCAGCTGGTGGAAGAAGAGCTCCCGCAGGAGGTCAAGGAATGGCGGCGGCAAATATGGACTTTCTACGAGCGAGCCCACACTTCCAGCAACTTAGGCAGTTCGTCCAGCAGCAGCCGGCAATGCTCGAACCGATCCTGCAGCAACTCGCCGAGGGTAATCCTGAACTTGCCCAGATGATCGGCTCAAACCAGGACCAATTCCTTCAGCTGCTGGCAGAGGTAAGCCGACGCAGCCAAGGTCCCGATGGCCACCTATGCTAACCTGCGACTGTAGGATGCTCAGGATGCTGTCCCGCCCGGAGCAACGCAGATCCATGTGACCGAGGAGGAGAGAGACGCGATCGAACGCCTCTGCCGACTTGGCTTTCCCCGTGACCAGGTCATCCAGGCCTATTTCGCTTGCGACAAGAACGAGGAGCTGGCGGCGAACTTCCTCTTTGAGCAGCCTGACGACGAAGAGCAGTCGTAGGGTCTTATCGTCGTTTGCACCATATTATTCCTGGGATTCGCAATCGAAAGCGGAGTTTTGGTGGTGTGCGCATTTCGTCGTTGGATGGCATGCATGCGATGTCATGTGATGGTCTGAGGCTCATGTCAGCAAGACTCGGCGGCCGATGTGGTCGCTCATGAGCACGAGGAGAGTCTTTCGATGGCGGTAATGGGTCTATGCTGAAGAAAACGACACGGACAATCAAGAAGTAGTGGACAATTTGCGCCAACTATGCATGTTCCAAGACATAGCCGAATCTGCCTAACGGTGTTGGTCAAGTCCCATAGCTAGTCTAGCCAAGTTTTCCTGTTAGATGGAGTCGAGAAGGGCAAACGGGTGAGCCGGCTTCTGAGACTTCCAGACCCAACATTGTCCGCTCTACACCCCCTCCTGGCAGATCAAGGAATGAGCGTTCCTCCTTCGACCACTTGCCAGCGTGAGCTTCTTGTAACCCGCTCGAGATAGGCGTAGGGACTATGATATCTTCCAATTGAGGAGGTCGGTTGCGCTTTGTCTATCGATAGTATACGGTTCATCCACTGACGGCGTGACAGCATACCTCCCTCTTCACAGCCCCTTGCTCGAGTCCTGGGTCGGAATATCTGCTCGCACTGTGGTTGTACTGATGATCCTCCTCTCCTCATCGCCTCCAGACGCGACCAAAGTCGAACTCGACACCTCTCTGACTCCTGAGGATGGGAACGGAGTCGGGTCTGCGCTTGGCACAACAGACTCCTCACGTGCCTCGTTTTTCTCCACGTCCCTGAGAGTTGCTTTCCTCCCCGTATGTGCGTCAACATACTCCACCGGGCCGCAGATACGGTCGACCCTCCAGACGCCGAGTCCTCGCCTTCCCACGACTCTCTCCAACGTCGGCCACACCCCGTCGTCCCCAAAATCTAAGTCGTCCAGATTCAAATGCCGGCGGAACACGGCTAGATTGGTTAAACTCAGCTGCGCAGGTGGGACGTTCATATCGATTGCGAAACTGAAATTGGAAACCGGTGGATAGTCGAAGACGGGTGCTTGGGCAGGAGTCTGCTTGGCTGAACCTGGGCGGGTATTGGAAGCATCGAGACGCCATGCGCTGAGTGGCGCCACCACATAGACATCCGTCTTCTCTTTGTGCAAGATTAATCGTTCTAAAAGTGATGGGTCGCAGGTCGGCATGTGTTGCATGAGCATGAAGATCAATTCGTTTTGAGGATAGCCCATCAGCGGAACAGTGGAGATATTCAGGGACCTGTTGGTTGCAGGGTGCGCCGGTTCAGAGCCGAGAAGGAAGGTCGGCGGCGGGTAGGTCTTCCACCAAAAGACTTCAACATTATGTGCGTCAGAATGGGTTGTGTTCAATGAGTGTATTACCAGGGAAGGCATGGCCAGCTGCGCTGGAATGATTCCGCCTTGGTGATAGACACCCATGAGGATTGCGAACAGGGCATTAAAGATCACCCAACTGGTCCAGAACACAACCGACCATGCTTTCGAGGATGGGGCCCGAATGCTCGTCAGGACCAGAGGCACGGCGGGTAGGAGGAAGCGGGGTTCTTGGTGTGGGATAAAGCTGAGTAAAAGACAACCTGCACCCGCAGAGGCGAGGCGATTGTTGGTGAGCATGCTTTTCAGGATGCGGAGATTGAACGGGTAGGCAGAAGCAATTAGGATGATTAACGCTGGTCCGAGAAGTTGAGGAAGGTTGATCAGAAGATGTTGATAATGCGGATGGAGACCGTGCTGTGCAAGATTGCTGGTCTGCGTATTGTACAGGAGATTATTGAGCGGAGTGATTACTGGATTCTTCCAGACACAGTCGTAGAGTGCACTGAAAGACCTCGTGGCTGACGGCCCAGAATAGTAAGCCGTATCGGTGATGATGGCGATTAATGTCCAGAAAAGGCCGGAAAGTGTGAGGGCCAGAAAGCAGAAAGGTCTCGGGGGTGTGCGTCAGTCTTGTGAATCGAGGCAGCCGGGCGTCAAGGCCGAGCACAATGGCTCCCTACTCACCTATTCCAAAAATGTGGCAAGAGTTGAATGCCGGGTATCACAACGAAGGCGGGAAAAGTAACCCGATTGAAGATTCCGAATACAAAAAGAAATCCTAGGACAGCGCTCGACGCGATTGCGGACCGCTTCTTCAGCCACCTGTCAGTACATGCCATGTCAACGACGACAGTTGTAGGCGACATACCTTGTCGCGCAAAACGCGCTCTATCATCACTAGGCTCCATAAAACCAGAAGTGTCTCAATAGAGTTCGAAAAGGTGTGTGTTTGAAAGGTCCAAGTCACATATGAAGAAGTGACCAAAATCACGGCCTGGATCCAGCGTCGAGGGGAGCGGACTAATTCATGAACAGCCCAGTCCTCCAGCACGAAACTGAGAACAAACATAACCAGGCGAAGAGTATAATAGAGGATAGTGGGATCGACGCGATCGCCTTCATCTTCCTGAGCCCAGGTCCATTTCAGGAGGGTCATGGGCAACCCATATATTGGCCATAGTGGAAAGACACTACGGATGGGGCGCGAAGACGTCCATTCCCATGTTGGACGAGTCGGATACGGGAACAAATATCCTGCACAAAGACATCAGCAACCTGGGCTGATACAGACATCCTTGGAGGCATACCAGCAATGGGTTCTGGCCCCTGAAAGATCTCATCCGGGTGAAGATAACTGGGCGACACGGCAAAATAGACGCGGATAAACAGCAAAAACAAGTACAGTAACCGCCACATCCTTTGTTTTGATGCAGTCACCGTGCCGGAGACGACTTGGGCATTGTCATTGTTCTTTGTCTTATACAAGGTGTGAGCCACTCCCTCCAACTCATTCTCAATTGTGACTGGGTTGTGCGTGAGCGCGTTGGGCCAACGCGTCACTTTTGCGGAAGGCGAGGAGATAGGAAGTGAGGGTCGATTTCGCAACCTCTCGACGGAGAGGAAGGCCGGGAGGATGCACAGTGAGCGAGAGGGGGAATAACAGAACCCTCAGCAGCAAAAGCGCGAGAGGACAATCTCAGTCCAAGGTAAGGTCGGTGGTGCTGCAGCAGTGAGAGTTGGTATGGACTACAAGCAAGAATGATGCTTGTGCACATTGCGCGGGTGACGTCGGCCCGGCATGGTTTCACGTGACCTTGGTTTCCGGCCTGATGGCAGCGGGCAAGACAACAACATACGAGCATTATTATTACACCATCGTTACTCCATAGCTGGCTGCGACTGGACCAACTATCTGTTGGACAACGCATCATGTACTCCTGTGAGTAGCGAGGCATTCTTGTGTTGGGCCATTGCATCGTCCAAACAACGAGAATACCACGGTCTCGGTCTTTCAGGTGTATGTCTGGGTCTCACCACCTTCACTTCTTTTACTTATGCCCACCGCCAAAGTCAGAATGGTCGGGGGCAGTCGATATACCGTTGTGGCTACGCTCGGCTGCGTATTACCTGTTTGACAAAGCAAATGCGGTCTCAGACCATGCTTTTCATGACGACCTAGGTGATATATATCTTTACTTAAGCATAACCAAGCCTCGAAAATACCCTTCCATTGTGTACATCCCATCCGTGTGCCAGTCTATCTCCGATTTGCGTGCCAATCTACATCCCATTTGTGTTCTATGTCCTAATCAATTACATTTACCTTGCTGCCACATTTTGACATTCTTGACCGTCAGACCGCGTTCGTTTCCCGTTCCCCAGCTCGGCTCCCACTCCGATCGGGCTAATTGACGTGTCAGCATAGATTGTGAGAGGTAACAGGTCACACTGCACTCACCGCCGTAGAAGTCAGAGGCTGCAGAGTCTCTTCCGTCAACCCATGGCTTGCTACCAACTCCGTCCCTGTATGACATGTGTCAGCCATGGTGAAACACAGAAGCAAGGCTGCCAGCCAAAACGTACGCGAACCAGCCATTGCGACTCCCAACCGCAACATTGAGAATCAGGTAGAACTTTTGATCGAAAGGTGCATTTTTGTTAGGAGAAATGAACCAAGGATTCGTGAGTTGCGTCCCGTTCTCGAAGTCACCTTGGAAATGGCCGCGTTGCCAGAAATCCTGTTTCGTGAAGTCGACGTAGAGAATTTGCTGAAGTCGATTGTCGACCCATGTGTAAAGGTAATCTTTTGACCACTCCAGACCGAAGGTATGGAAACCTTCGGAATAGTCTGTTCTTTGTTTTTTGTACTTTTGTGTGGTTCTGAAGAAGTTGTCGGTCTTCCACGAGGTACCTGACGTGTTTCAGTTCAACAAGATCAACGCTCGAAACCGAGACTGAGTTTCGCTCACCCCAATGGATCGTGCTTGAGACTGTCTCTCTTCCGCCGTTTCGGTAGCCACGTGCGTTACCGCGACTTTCCATGATATCAATCTCGCCACTCAGCGGCCAGATTCCATATACAGAATCTTCGGGCATCATCCAGATTGCCGGCCAGAGCCAATCGCCCTTTGGCACCTTGGCCACGACTTCAACGCGACCATACTGGATCGATTTTGCACCTTGCGTAGTCAGGCGTGCCGACCTCACGGGGTTTATGATCGTGTGGGAGGAAATGTTGGAGGTCCTGCTGCATTCATCGGCATAGTATTGGGCAGTTATGTTGGCTGTGCATGATCCGTCACCATGTTTTGACTCGCCCAAGTTCAGATGATAACTGATCCACAGGTTAGACAGAATCTTTCAGCAGCCCAGGGGCCGTACAACTACTGACCCATTGTGTAGTTGGCCTTCAGTAATATCGGTTGTGGCGGTTGTGAAAGTGGGAACGATGTGAAGTCCATCTCCGTCAGTAAAGGCGTTTCGGCCGTCAGTCGTTGTCCAGTCGAATGAGCCCGTACCAAAGCCGTCAAGTTGGACTTGATGACTCCAGATAGATTTATCGAGAGTGCTGAAGGAATCGTCCAAGACTAGACAATACTGCAAAGGAAAACTCTGTGTCAGTGAACCACAGGCAGACGAAATGGGGGAAGCCGAACCTCGTGGTTGGGAACGCCGACCGCGATCCTCCAGTTCACAACAGCGCTGACAGCTATCGCAAGGAGAAGGCCTCCGAGGATATACCAATTGCCCTTGCGAGGCGCTTTGTATTTCTTGTCCGCAGTCCAAGGTTTCTCGATCCTGCTTGATGTCAATGATGCTCGAATAGTTGGAAAGGGGAACAGATGGAAGAGCAACTCACTTTCCGTCCACCAGATAAGTCTTGAACTCATGGTTGCGCACACCGCTCACACGGTAGCTGTTGAAGCCTCGAAAGAGATCCTCCTCGGAACCGTCTCGGGTACGATTGTAGCCATAGTTCTCGATCGATGCGACCTCGTTGTTGCTGTGACTCGGCATCTGGGGACTTGGATGACCTGCTTGATGCACTGCATAGAGGAAGTCGGGGTCATGAGAGTTTGCGATCGGCGACGTCATCTTCTCTCTCGTCTTTGCCCGAGCCTGACTGACACACAAAAGCCGTCAAGGGGGCGGCGAGACAATGATAACGTAGCGAGCGGCATCCAACTTTTGCGTAGAGCTGTTGTTGGTAGTTCACCCAAATCAACCGGCACGGGGTGGCGACTTTCATGTGCTCATACAGGCTGTTTTCTTGAGACACGCTGGTGAGTCGTGAGACATGTGCTCGACGCGCAGAAGTGGGAGTAGCCTTTCGCCCCCGGCATTGTCACCCAGGCTCTAGATTAGTACTCGGTGTTGGCTGAATGTGACGGGTGTGACGAAACTGGCTCTGGAAACGTTGATCTCGCATTATTGGAACGGCATGTCCAGCCACGCCAGCCACAATATTCCTGTCGGAACATGAACCCTGTCCATTGTTCAATTGGGACGGTTCAGAAGTTGGCCGTGAAATTAACCCCTGTTAGCGAGGAACGGGAAACCAAGTTCCAACAAGATAGAGAACATTCCTATCACACATGAGGAAGGTGCCGGGCCTTGTTGCCGGAGAAAACAGATACACTGTCTCTGATCAGTGCGGGCCCGAGTTGACGATCCTCTGGCTGTGAGGCATCATTGGTGAAGCGGGCAGAGTCACCGCCATGTCGATAATGACCCTGGGATTGACCGTCCAGGTTTTGCGTGGCGAGCGGACAATGTGCTGTCATGGCCGTGTCGCAGCCACTAGCCCAGAGGTCCATGAATAGCCACTTAGCCCTGCCGCCAGGTACTGTACTTCCGACACCATGTAAGTGTCTCAGCCCAGAAAAGTCTTAGCCACGAGATCTCCAGGTCTAAGCTGGCGGATGCCTCCTTATCCGGATCTTGGACACGCCAAGGTGGATCTCGGGCCTGTTCCTGCAGTTAGAACACGTCCAATCACCACGGCAGTGTGAGATTTGACAACCTCAACGCTGCGTTCAACGGCTGAGCTAGATGCCCGCCACCATGCCATTGAAATCACACAACGCGGGACGCGACCCTGGCCGACGGCGACCAGAATCATGCATTCGGACAAAATGCGTGACTGACATGGGGGAAGTCTACGTTTCGCACCCACGGGTCTCCCTGGACGGTGGCCGGTGTGGGAGATAGCGAAAAGCCACCGTCCTTTTCGGTAAACAAATCTTCTCAGTCCATCTGTCACCTAATATCTGTACTTCGCCGTCATTATTTTCTGGCAAGGCTCAGTGAAAACCGACGTGGCAGGCTGATGTAGAGACCAAACTTCTTTGCTTCTACCAACAACACCCGATGGCTTCAGTCTCCGAGGCAGGGGCCTCTACGCCTCTGGCGAGACCTCAATATCTGCATTTTTCGCAGCCGAACTCTTCAGGTGTGTCCGTGTCAAGCCGCCAGAGCAGGCGCCTGGACAAAGCCAACTTCGATGAAGCACTGAGGCACAGGACGGTAAGAGCTTCTGCAAATGCTAGGAAAGCTGAGCTAATTGTCGAGTCTTAGATGACCAAGTTCCTTTATGGAAAAGGTGCTGCCAATGGTTGGTTCGACATCAACCTGCCAAAAAGGCCACTCGGTGTCCTGCTGCGTCAATCCAATGGCACCTACAGCGTCGAGCCACAGGACCTCCCGGAAACGCTGGTTCGCACGGTTGCAAGACTGGGCGTTCAGGCAGCTTTTGCCATTGCTACGGATTCCACAGAGGCTATCTTCGATGTCATTGGGGACGAAGATCATGGAATCATGCTTGGTGATGGCCTGGATCTCCAAGTCGTTGACTGCATGGCCAACCTCATGCGAATTGGGCTTGCTCAGGCCCGAAGGTTTCCCTACGCAGCATTAGTCAGAAGCGAGAGAATTCTGCTGGTATGGCATGACGAGGCAGACCAGGTGTTGCAACAAGCGGTCGCCACGGAAGAGGCATTGATGAAACTAGTGAGTTCCGACAAATTGAGACGGGTGTATGTGGTCTGCCAGCCAGAAGAGTGCTGATTGAACATTAGATATGGGGGGATGTTCCTTTCACCGCCGGCCATCACACATCCAGAGCTTTGACTGCGAGTTCTCTAAGCCTGTGGAACAAATCGAAGAAGGACAGATTCACAACCGAAGTCACAGAGATCTCGGATTTGGAAGAACAAGACCTCGAAAAAGAATCCCTCGATCGCCCAGTAAGGCTCTATGGCGCAATCATCATGGCTTGTTCGATATTCTTCCTGGTCTTCCTCATATTCGGCTACACCACATCTCATCTGGTCCTCGAGATGCTGACAGATGGCGATCGCATGCGTTTCGTCTGGATTGCCTTCGAGCCACTAACCCTGATCGTGGCTATGTTCTTCTCTCTGTCTCTGATGACTTATGCCTTCCAGCTTTTCGGACCCATCACCGGCCTTTTCACCAACACACGGTTCTTCTCAAGCAACAAACCAAACCTCAAGCAAGCATATGATCAAGGATTTACCCCTCCGCGAGTCACAATACAAATGGCCGTCTACAAGGAGTCACTGGAGCTAGTCGTTATGCCAACGGTTCGGAGTCTGATGGCTGCAGTCTCCGACTATGAGTTGAAAGGAGGAAAGGCCAATATTTTCATCACGGATGATGGCCTCGGATACCTCCTTCATAACGACCCTGCTGCCGCACAAGCTCGTATCGAATGGTACGAAGCCAACAACATTGGGTAAGCGTCATACACAACTGTCTGGCAACTCCTTTTACTGACTTTCACCACAGCTGGGTCGCCCGACCAATGAACGGCGAGAACGGATACTTTCGTACCGGGCGATTCAAGAAAGCCTCCAATTCGAACTTCTGCATGAATTTTGCCAACAAAGTCGAGCGAACTCTCACAAAACTCGTGCATGCCCGCAGCCAAGTCAGAGATGGGAGCCCAGTCTTCATCGATCCGGCGGAAGAGGATGTTCTATATCACCAAGCTTTGACCGAAGAACTGGCCAAGGATAGTCGAGTCAAAGCCGCTGGAAACATCCGGATAGGTGAAGTCATCCTGATGTGTGATTCCGATACTCGGGTTGTAAGTTCGTGGATACCTGGTTGCGAGTATTGAGCTGACCCGTCCGCAGCCTCGGGACTGCCTCATCCAAGGCGCAGCAGAAATGTTCCTCTCGCCAGAAGTCGCCATCATTCAACACCACACCAGTGTGTACCAGGTCTCGGGAGACTTTTTCGAGAACGGTGCTACTTATTTTGCCAAAATGTGTTATGCGCAGATTCGGTTCCAAGTCAGCAATGGTGAATGCGCCCCCTTCGTCGGCCACAACGCTTTCGTGCGCTGGAAAGCGCTCCAGGACGTCGCAATAGATACGGGTGATTCTTCAGAGCCGATGTATTGGTCGGAGTATCATATTTCGGAAGATTTCAACATGAGCATTCGACTTCAAAGCGCCAACTGGGTCACTCGATATGCTTCCTATCATCAAGACGAGTTCAAGGAGCAAGTCTCTCTTACAATATACGATGAAATCAGTCGATGGGAAAGATACGCTTACGGCGACAGTGAACTCTTGTTCAATCCCATTTGGACCTGGCTCTGGAGAGGGCCCTTCACTCCGCTTTTCAGGAAATTTTTGTTTTGCGATATGCATTGGTCTTCGAAGCTCAGCATTATATCATACATGACTTCATGTGAGTATTGTCACTTATGGCCAGTGGACTTACGAGCTGACACCCTTGTCTCACAGATTATGCCATCGGTAGTGGCTTCTTCTACACTATTGCCAATTATGTCCTGGTTGGCCTTTACTGGGATGAACTGGACAAATTTTATACCTCCTCGTGGTCTATCTTTCTCTCCGTGGTCCTGGTGTTCTGGATCCTCAGCAACATCGCTCTAGCCATTATGCGATTCCGCATCGGCGAACGATCATTCTTTGGTTCGCTCTGGGAAAATTTCAGATGGCAGCCGATGTACTGCTTCTATTTCTATGGCCTCAGCTTTCACGTCAACAAAGCCTTGATCGCCCACATCGTCGGGTACGAAATGACCTGGGAGATGACCAAGAAGGAAGTCGAGAATTCGAACTTCTTTAAGGAGATTCCAAAGATCATTTCTAAATTTAAAGAGATGTATCTCGTTTTGCTTCCACTCGCTGGTGGCGTGATATACATGGCGTTGTTTGCACCGCTTGCATGGAGGATTACACAACCTGTGGCGATCGTACCAATGGCTCTGATGATCGTCTGTCATTGCAGCTTACCTTTTGTCCTCAACCCGCATATCGTCAGCGCCGTCGATCAGTATGCTGTTGACGACAAAAGCCATATTGAGAAGGTTTGAAGGGTCATAATGAAGGGCAGTACAGGAATTGGAGTTTGGATATACACATACACAATATACGGCTCGAGCACAACTAGATGGCGACATCCAACACTAATTTTGCGAAAGGTACATAGAGTCATAGACAATAATAAGAACAAAAACAACAACAATAACAAAAAATGTATCAATTTCATCCTGTTGAGCGAAGCGAAAACAGTATTACAGGCAACCTCGTCAAAGAAGCCGCGGATTTGATTGGTGCGGAAGAATATCGAGATCCGATTAGCTGTCTTCTCTACCGTCACGTGCCACTTAGCCTTTGACCAATAAGGTGTGAATGTTTCGGGGCAGCGATTTTCAAAGCGCCTTCGTACGGCGGCGACATTGCCTATATTAGGTGCTCAGTTACTCGCCAGCTTAGGCGTAGTACTAACCACGAAGTTTATCCGTCTGCCTCATTTCTCGACTCTACGGCAGCGCCGAACAGTTTAAGTCGAGAAAGTGTCGAGATCCGCGTCGTGATATTTATTCGAAGTCAAGACTAGGAGGTATGACTCCTACCGGCGCTCTTGACTTGCGTGCACAGGAATTGAACAAGGTCGACAAGATAGGGAGACAGGGCATGAACTTATGCGTTAGTACAAGGTGCTTTGTCCTCGACGGCCAGCTCCCCTGTGCAGATCCGAACATCGAGTCCAGCTCAGGCTAGCCGCGCGGGGTGAGGACTCGTGCAAAGCCC